AACTCTGGCGTGGGTACGTTTTTACTCAGGATACACAATCGCCTCCAAATTGATCTACAACCTGACCAGCAACCAATTAATCGACTGTTTTTTCCTCTCCCTCCATATCTTGCGCATTGTGGGGGAGAACGTGAATGAGTACCTCAAACGCATGGCGTTTAAAACGTCAAAGCGGCTGATTCGATGGCGGTTGCTGAAACACTTGGCGCACATGAACCGATTGAGTCCGGAAGACTGGGAACTGGTTTCCTTACTGGATTTTCTCGAGCGCCTGTACCCCAACCCCTGTTACACGACGGAATTTAACCGGACGCAATCGATTTTGAGCAATGTCTGGTACCCGGAATTCCCGGTCGCGTGTGAGGTGGAGGAAGTTGATGTTGTTCCGACAGTAGTTTCGGGCCCCCAAAGTGGCGGTGTGACCATGTCGGGCACTACTTCAAAGCTCGGCAGCGGTTCCACCTCTTCGCGTCACAACCATCTCAATGCATCTGGCGTTGACTGTTTCGCGGAAGATTTTTCCAACGAGCAAACTACTGCTGGAAACAAGACCACATTGTTTTCCTACGCCGACTTCACTAAGCGTCGTAACGTATCGAAGAATGCGCTCCGGGGGATCAAGCAGCCACCTTTCATGACGTACCCGTTTGGCGGGTACGAGATGCTCTTGCTGGGGTACAGCGTCGATAGCAACATGAACATGAGCAGTTTATTGCAGGGAACAACCACCTCCACGGTCGGGGGCGGGATGAATAAAGCAGGGACGATCGGGGGTCGTGGACTTGGCGCCGCGGGAAAAACAACTATGAGAGGAACGACCACGACGAACAACAGCTACGGAGGACAACAAGATCATGCCAGTTTCGCTTCATCACACCAAGATGTTACAAACGAAGGAGCCACAGAAACAGATCATGATGATCTGAACACCCCATCAAACAGGATGAAGCCCTCCGCAGCTGCTCCAGTGGGCCGACAGTCATTGAAAAGCTTGCTTTCCGGTGGCAGTCTTCGTCGGGGGGACCGATCTCCTGCTCTTCTTTCACCCGAACAAAACAATCACGGAAGTACAAGTGCGGGAGCAGTGTCGCCTGGCAGTAACTCCGGCGCGCAAAGGAGGACGCCAGAACTGGGCGCTGCAGGTACTACCAAGATTTATAACCGTAGCAAGAACAATTATAGGCAGAACAAACAGAACTCAAGTGCGAATGCCTCGCCCGCGTCACAAGAACGAGAATACGATCCGGAAGCGGATGATGAACACGACCTGGAATTCGAGCCAACTACTTCCAAACCCACATCTTCGAAGCAGCGAAACGGAACCTCAAATCTAGTATCAAATGCAAAAATGTCTGGGTCTGGAAGAATGCGTGTTTGTCATGCACGTTTTGCATGGGCCATGATGTCTGTGATGCATGCCCTAGCATATCAGATTTTTTGAGGGCTTCTTGATGCCTATTCCGCATGACAAGCCCCCTCTCCGCGTAGCAGAAATTAGAGTCCTTTTGCTGCTCTTGCAATACAGATTCCTCTAGAATCCAAAGACAGCATCACAATTTCCATTCTTTCCAGACCCAGACATATTTGCAATGCATATCCTGAGGATGATGACGATCTTCTAGAGGACATAGAAGAGGAGGAATTTGACATCGCCGAAGAGCTGCAAATCTCCCACCACCCGCCCGATACTTCTTTTCACCAGCTGGCTTCAGACTTTGAGAAGAACAGCGATATCGCGTCAACCGTGGGGGATCAAGGGCAAGTATCCTCCAACGAAATAACTATTTCACTGTGATGGTTTTCCAACATCTGCTTCACAAGTTTGATGTTACACATGAGACAGAAAAGTTGCCATGCTTGCTTCCCAAAGGAAAAGAACACGCTGAAAAACCCAATGTCCTCTTGCAGGTCGTGCAGCAAGACAAATAAATGGTAGTTCTGCTTCTGTGCAGCATTCTATGCATCACAAGTTCGCAGTGAAGCAGTTTTTTCATACGATAGCAAAACGGAGAAGACGAGGTGTTGTTCGACGATGATGACGATGAGATCGCCGACCCGCCGGCTGTGAAATCGGTTGCGCAGACGGTCGGGGCGGTAATAGAGACTAAGCTGGATCTCATGCCACAGGAACAGCAGCAGCAGGCAACTCAGCAGGTGTCAAAAGACCAGAGCAGTCATTTGCGCACTTCTTCGGAGGAACCGAACTTGCAACCGCTCCTACGGCCGACGTCGTCGGCCGCAATAAATGCGAAAACAGCAGAGCAGGCAAGAAGCAAGAATTATCCTTCCAGGAGCGGCCACGCAACTGCAGCTGGTGCTACTTCCGCAACGGAAGCAGAAAAGCAACAAGAACAACATACCCGTTTTTCTACCACAAGTGCACTGCACCAGCAACGTTTGAATAAACAACAGCAGGCAACCGGCGCAGGAACTACAACACAAGACGGTATGAATTCGAATTCCTCGTCCACCACCAGTAGCACTTCTGCTGCGCACCGGGAGCGGCATTTCTACCTGGAAAAAGTTTTACTCGACCCGAATTGGATCCAAAATCTCCCGAACTTCCAACGGTTGTCCGACCTCCACGACCCGTGGACGGCGTTTTCCTCCGCGGTTATTCAAGCGATTGTGAACATTCCACCGCAATTACAAAAAGCGTGGAGTTTCCTGCCCACTGGGGACATCGACGACGTCACTTGCAATCCGAAATTTGGTTTGGAAAGGTTCCCCGGAGTGGAAATGAAGGGTAAAGACAGTGCGTCATCTTCGGCAGGCGGGGGAGGCGCGGGGATTTCTAGTGGAGGGACAGTAACTGGTGGGGCAGGTATAACTGGTGGAGCTTCTAGCGTAATTGCTGGTGGAGCGGCCAACAGCAAGAGCAAAAACGCAACGAATTCTGATCATGGCAACAAATCCTCGTTTCTCAGCACGGCTAGGGATCTGATGTCGTCGAACACAGGGCCGTATCCTGTGCAAAAGTATCGTACTCGTATTGCAGTTATGCATTACAATTTTTTTTCTCAAGGTAAATCCGCGTTACAAATTTTATTTCTCATGCTGAGGAAATTTGCAATGCATTTATAGTTATACGAGTGCGATACTTTGCAATGCATAGGCCGCAATTCCGGGGAGTGCCGCTGAATCACGGGGATGAGCAGGCGATGAACACCATCTTCGCCGAGCAGGAGGATGAAATCGTGCGGCCGAATATCAAACACAAAAGTGTTAACGTTAACGGTTTTCGTAGATTGCAAATATGCATGACAAAATTTGCTTAGCGTGCATGCTATGCATGACAAATTTGGGCATGTTTTGTGGTGCATTACTGCATCACAAATTCCGTTAACGTTAACACTTTTTCCTGTGATACCAAATGGAAATTTACAGCACCAATTCGATCTGCACCAGATCTACAATCCGAATGGAGGAGCAGGTAATGCGCAAGAGAATCATGACCACGAAAATAATGTTCAAGCTGGCACTGTTATGGACTTCTCCGGGGGTACTAGCGGCAGCACCTCCGGCGGGCAACAAATGAACGAGGCAGGCTCAGCGGGTAGTTCTTCGGGTGCCGGGGGTAGATTGAGCAATTCAGGGTCGATGTTAACTACATCAGGAGAAGCGGGTGCTAGTGCAGGTGAGCATGTCGTCTCCGGTAAGACCGGTGTCGCGACGGTCGTTCAAGCGGTCGACAGCACCTCCGGAGCAAGTGTAACTTCTTCACAAAGCAAACTTTTAACGAGTAGCAAATCTGCGAATATGAATAATAACCCGAGTGGTGGTCAACAACTGCAATCCAACGCAATGCAGATCCAGCTGGGCGGTGGCGAGGAGAACGAAATTGCGAAGCTTTCTCAGTGCCGGGAATGCCGGGAGTCGGATGACACGTATTCCCTCTGGCTTTTCGAAAACCAGTATCAGACCGGGGAGCATGCGTTATTACAATATCTCCAGGCACAGGGGATCGACTTGATGACGGAGGAAGAGTCGAAAATTGTGCACAGCATCGACAACTCCTCGAGCACGGCTGCAGGTACTAACGCTACCTCCACCTCTCCGACGAAATACGGCAGACAGCAGAAGGCTCTGCTGAATTGGAAAAACAAGAACAGCAAGGCCACCCACGGAATCCTGTCGAAGTACAAATCGGTCGGGGCGTATCTCCACCTGACACTTGCTTGGGTGCGGGAGTGGGATAAAGAAACCAGAGCGAGAGTTTTGATGGAGAAAGTGTATTTCCTGCCGGATGAACTGTACAAGCAGGTGAAATGGCTGCAGTTAGACGACGGTTTATCCGCAGAAGCTGGCTCAACATCCTCTCTGACGCCGAAGAACAAGACGAAGTCGAAATCTTTGGAAATCTGGTTCGATTTCTTGCTTTGCCACATGGATTGGCGAGGGTTGGTCGCCTGGGTCGACGCTTTGCCGCTGCGGGGACCACAGAAGAGCAACAAAACAGTATTGTGAGGAAAAATCCCCCCCTCCCCATATCGAAAGCGAAATTTGTGTTGCTGTATTTGAGTACACAAATCACATCTGTCTTGCTAGAGAGGACTGCGGACCCATATCAAGCCTGAGCAGAGATGCTTTGACTTAGGCGCTTAGCATGAGAAGCGTCCGTGATGTTGGCTCAACAGCATGACAAACCGCCTCCATAATGGGACGGAAGCTGCTGCCCTTGTCTTCTTGCAACACAAACGTGATTGGTGGCCTCAAATCAGCAACACAAATTTTCGAAAACCTACCTCTTCAATATGGGGAGGGGGGATTTTTCCTTGCGATAAACAGGGCGAACAGACCACAACATGAATGTGAAAGACAAAGACAGCACGACACAGAAGTCACAGGCTCCTGTACTAGTAGACCAGGATCATGAAGAAGATGACCTTTGCGACGAGTATGGATTTCCCAGCGCTGCGTGTGATTACGACTTCACGCACTTGCGCAAAAGGCTCCCCCTACTCCACCCCTACGCTTTGGAACTGCTGTACCAAGCGCTGGCAAGGAGAGGAATTCTGAACCTGGAGAGCAACAAAAGGTACCACAATAATAACTTCCGCACAACGACGTCCACTGACAATCGTCCAGCGAGGACAGGACCAGAAAATAACAAGCAAGACAAAGACCAAGAACCTTTTCATCTCCGCAGTTCATTCGGGGGCCCGACTCTTCCTGAAGACAAATCTGCGACGCGTGCGAGAGCATTGTCAAACTTGTTTGATAACCTAGACACGCAAGCGAACTTCAAAACTTTGATGATGCGACTGGCGAGGTCCGGGCAGCTGTTTGGCAAACACAACTCAACGTCTGGGACTGGGAGCAATGGCGCAGCTTTTTGGGATCATGATGCGGAAAACGGCGACCTATCACAACAAGACCGTGAGCAGCATCATGGTGGCTATGACCAGGAAGGAAATCCAATTTCTGTCTCTCCGCATGGACAGCAGTATCCTGGAGGTGGTCCACCTCGTGCAGGTTCGAATTACAATACTGCAGCCGACGATAATATCGGCGGCGGGGCAACTTCTTCTTCTACAACTGGAGGTGTTGATCAGGACCTGTACGGGAAAAGATTACAGCCGAGAAACAATCTCTCCCCCTTTCACAGCTACTTTATCAAAAACATCGGGATCCGGGAGGACTTGCCGTCGGTATTGCTTCTGTATCTCCAGAGCTACAACTTACTGGCGAATTTTGAACAGGTCGAAGAATTTTTCACGACAGTGTCGTCCCTCGGGCCGGATTCGAATTCAACAAGCAGAACTACTCCGAAAGGCAACTACAATGGTGTTCTTGGCGCGGCCCCCGCCTCTGGTGGAACAACAACCATATCCCCGGGTTCTTTCAAGCTGAAGCCCTGGGCGTATCTGAGCCTCACGGGCAGGCTGGGTAACGCACATCTCTTCGCCGCTTCGCTGCAGCATTCCGCGCACTTTTTGTTGAATCACGGAACATCATCTTCTTCTCCTAGCGCGACAATTTCTGGTGGCACGACTGCAACTTCTTCTGGACCTGCATCAAGTACTATCAAAGGCGGCTTGACATCAACTACAAACAAGAACCAAACTCCTATAACCCTCCGAGAGGATCGGCACAGGATTCGTTACATCGCGATGGACGATTTGCCAATCGAGACGGAGAAAGACTGCTTGACCTTCCTCGCAACGCTCATGTTCGCCCCGGTGGATTCGGCGTTTCAGGCGGTTCGGTTTTACTCATCGTCGGTTGAAGAGGATAAGAACAGTAGAACAAGCCGAGGGAACAACATTAAGGAGGAAGACCACGACGACGGCATCAAGATGAGTGAGAATCTGAACCGAACCGACAGCGCAGATAGTCATCAGCCGCAGTCGAGAAACGATCACTTTGCGAAGAAGAAGAAGCCCTGGCACTGCAGCTGGGAAAAGCTCACCAAGGTGTGCGCAAGGTACCCGATGTTGCAAATCGCATTGTCTGTAGTCGGGAAGGACCCCAGGTTTGCCGTCAAAGGGTCGAAGAGACTGCAGATGAAAATTTCCCAGGAAAATAAAGCGAACAACTGTGCCTCACCTTCCGAAAGGTGGAGCAAACGCGGCGAGGGAAATCGAAATAAACCAGCAGAACCGGTGGACCACGAAGTGAGCGACACTGCGAGTCTTTCGACCCAAGCAGGGGCGAGCTCCAGCACGAACTTCCAAGGGAGTTCTTCTTCCGAAGCAGAGCCAAACCAGCACCAAACTACAGGAACGACGTTAGGAGGTGCTGGAGCATCTTCTTCTTCAGCGAACAATCCGAATTCGTCGAAAGTAAAGACCGCTCCACCAATTATCAAAATTCTTGAGCCAGACGATTTTTCTCTCGCCGAGTCTATTTACCAGAAGAACAAGGCCCGCTGGAACAAGACGATTATGCAGAAAAAACTGAAACACGAACGGGAACTGCAGGAGAAATCCCAGCAAGAATCCAATTTAAGGAACAACCACAGCTACCTGGGCTTGCTTTCCGGCAGTTCGAGCTCCAGTAAGACGACAAACGGTATCAAATGCAAAAATGTCTGGATCTGGTGGAAGATTGCTAGCTTTGTCATGCCGGTTTTCCATGACCCACGCGGTCTGGCATGCACGGCCTAGCATGACAGATTCTGTGAGATCTCTATCATGCCTTTCCTAAATGAGAAACTGCCTCTAGTGACTTGTAAAAAAGTGAACAACTTTTGGTAATCATGCAACACAAATTTTTTCGCGATCCAGATGTAGCATGACAAGTTACACGCTTCCAGACCTAGACATATTTGCAATGCATAAACGGAACCTCCAGTTCCGCCCGGAAGACCCGCGCGGCGATCAACATGCCCGTGGCGATATCCTGTGCAAAAGTATCGTACTCGAAGTAATCGTAGTCAGGCATTACAAATCTCGATCCCAAGGCAAAACAGCCTGACAAACTCCATTTCTCATGCTGAGTGAATTTGTCATGCGATTTCCTACTAGTACCATACTTTTGCAATGCATAGGCTCGGTTGCTGGGAAAATCGCCCGACGACTGCTATTTTCAAAAAGACGCCTCGGAAATTGACGAAGATTCCGATAACAGCAACGGATTCAGCTCTGGCGGGTTCTACTCGACATCTTCGTCCAGTGACGACGACGAGGACGATGACAGTGAGGACTCAAGCTGCTCGAACGATGGTGATGGAAACGAAACTTCGCAAAAACAGAAGGGGCGACGATTGGGGGATGGTCGTGATGGAATGAAGCAGGGGGTGTCAACATCAACGACAGGAATTACACAACAAGCGGTAGGCAGCAGGGGACTACAGCAGAGCAAACTGCAACGAAGCTCCAGCGAGGAGACGGAGTTTGCGAATTCGGGGAAAAAAATAAAACCTGGAGCAAAATCTTCGTCTTTACGGGGCGGCCGCGGAAGTACCAATAACTTCACCAGCAATTCTGGGAAGAAATTGCAACTGGTCAACGTGTCTTCGGCCGGAAAGAGCCTTGCGTCTTCGGGAATGAAAAAACCAGATCGGAAATCTCGGTTTGGAATGGATCGAAAGGGCGTTCTTTCTGGATCACCGAATTTGGTCTTCAATAGCAGCGACAACGATTTCGTGAGCGCCGGTTTGAAGAATATGAATTCTGGCGAGAGGAACAAGAATAGCAAGAAAAGGAACGCGACCTCTCGCAGGTTGAGAAATTTCGCGACCGGAGGTTCTTCCAAGGCGACTAGGCGGATCAGAAAACTGTCTACCTCCCTCTCCACAAGTCCTGCCCCTCTGAACGGTGCAGAACGGCAAGTCCTAGTACTTAACAGCACCGACCAGAGCAGCAGCGCCACCAGCAAAGAGCCGATGTTGACAAGTAAAAGCTCAGCGAGTCCCGACGATGCGAGCTATTTTCAGCCGGGACAGGAAGTTTTCGGAAACGAAATGGAAGAGGAGGAGCCGACGTCAGTGGAATCTGGCTTTGTCAGCAGCTCCATGAACTACAGTTCTTCGGATGTGGAACAGGATGAGAAAAAAAAGAACGTAGGCGGAACAAATAAAGACGATTGCGAAGACGATAACGACGATGATGATGCTTCAGACTCGCTCGAGCCCCCCGAAGAAGCAGACGGGCGGTATCTGCAAAGCTTTCAGAGAGATGTGAAGCTGATCGACTTGCTGTCCGATATCAGCGCCTTTGATGTGGAGAAGGCGTTAGCGCCACTGCCGATGGATATCCGGGATATCTACAACAGCTGCAAGACAAGTAACACTTCTGCGTCAGCCTCTCCTACTCGAACTCGTGAAGAAGAGACCTCCGATCCAGCCCCGGGCGGGGGCAATCCCAATTCTACTATCCACCAGCCTGAAGAAATTTTTGCAAACGATTTAGATGAGGCCTACTACCTCGCGCAAGGCCGACCGCTGATGGCCTTTCATGTCCATTTGGAGAAAGAGAAAGCGGCGGCGAAAGCCGAGCAAGAAAAATCTCAACAAAGGAACAGCACCTCGCAGCAGGAGCAGGAGCAGCAGCAGAACCAACCCTCTTCTCAGCTGTCCCACGCCCGGAAGATGCAGCTGCACCGAATAGCGAAGTCGGTCGCGTTGCACAACCTGTTGCACGAGGGGGTGGTGAGTTCAGCAGTGTGCTTATTAGAGCTGTGTCAACTAGACACGGAGATGCTCAGGGTGGATGTGCAGGCGGCAAGGAGAATATACGACCACATGAACGCGAAGAAAAATATCAGCTGCAGCTCCGTCATCGAGTTATTTCTGTCGTTTCCGGAGGTGATTCCCGGAGCGGAGGACTCGGATCAGGTGGGAACAAAACGTAGTTTTGAAGACATTTATGTCTCCTGTGAATATGCCTGCTTGGGCTCCTCTTCGGTTTCAGTTTTTCTCTTGCGGTACAACTTGTGAGGCCGCTAGGACGATGTTATGCTGTACCTCTAGTGTAGAAGTAAAGTTTTGGACGGACGAATGTACTAGATTCCCAATTAAATCGAGTTGCCCGTAAAGTAAAGAATAAAGAAATACCTACCACAAAAATCTTCAGGTTGCCATGAACAGCACCGCCCTGCTGACCAGTCTCCGCATGTTAGAAGAGGCTACCTGGGCCTTAGATCCTCACCCCGGCTCCTCTTCTACCACTTCCACCCTGCATTCCCAATCCACCGGGCTAGATTCGCCCTGGCATCTAGTCGCGTTGTTCTGTCGTGTCCACGCGCTACCCCGGTCGCTCACCTTACTGCACGAGCTGGCGCGGTATCAAATGCAAATATGTGGTCTGGGTCTGGAAGGTTGTAACTTGTGATGCTGTTTTTGGATTCTAAAAAAATCTGTGTTGCATGACCAGCAAGAAAAGTCCAGCTTGTGCTACGCGGAGAGGGCATTTGTCATGCGGACTAGGCATCAGGCGGCCCTCTAAAAATCTGTGATGCTAGGTCATGCATTACAGTCATTATGGGCCATGCAAAATATGCATGACATCCTTCCAGACGACCCAGACATATTTGCATTTGATACGCGGAACGGCGATTGGGTGATGCTCTTACACGAATCCGCCGTGCAGGAGTGCCCGCCCGACACAGTTTTGGACGTGGTGGAAGGTTATTTCACCGACTTCGCACTGCAGTCGCACTTGCGGATCGTCATTCAGGGATCGTTTTTGAACAAACAAGGCACGACGTCTGGATCAACTACAGGAGCTTCTGACAAAGATAAACTGCAGGGTGGAACGACAGCCGCCGCAGGATCGGTGGTCGCTGCTTCGAGCACGAATGGAGCAGGAGTGCAACCTGACGACGCGGCTGCTCGGAATACTCGCGCCGCCCTGGCAGCCATCAATGCCATCACGGACGCGGATTTTCAAAAATCTGATGAGGATATTCTTGGGGATCAACACACCGGGACAAACAATTCATCATCTTCTGCGACAGAAGCAGGAGCAGCGACACAACTACTAGGGAGCAGCAACCTTCTAACGCAAAACGGCAGCGGGAGTGGCGCTTTGGGCTTTTTCCTGCATTTCTGCAAGAAAAATAGCGGCTTGTCGATCTGGAACACGCTGAAAAACCTCGGCCGTCCTCGCGCGGTGACGAACTCGACCGAAACAAGCGCATCTAGTTCGGACAACTCGTACGACGAAGCAGTCGCAGCCGCGCTGGGGCACCAGCTGTTAGTGCATGCGGTTCGGACGAAGACTGGGAGGCTGGCTGTGGTTGCCTCCTGTTTCTACAAAAACGGAACTACAGCAAGTAAAACAGAATCCGAATCTACGTCAGAAGCAGCTAGTGCAACAGCTTCTAGTGCCAAAACTACTCCTCAAGAACGTGTCACGGCGCAGCAACCGCCCTCAGCGTCTCCAGGATCTTCCGCACAACAAGCAGCTGCGAAAAACGAGCTGCTGTCCTGTCTGAGCGTTTGGCTTTACGTGGACATTGCGAACTTTTTCGAGACCTCGAGCCACCAAATCACCGGCGGAACCAAGAAAGCTGCAGCGGCCCTGTGGTCCTCAGCCCTGCACCCCATCACGGAGCAGATGCATCTGCAACTGATTAGTGGAGAGCAGGAGGACCACCAAACCATGACCCATGCACAGCAGCAGAGAGGGGGCGCAGATTTGGGCTATGGCACGGGGTATAATCCAGGTAGTTCTAACAGCACGGCGGCGACGCGCGGGCTGATTGAGAACACCGGAGGGCCGCGTGGTGGGTTCTCCTCCGCACAACAGAGAGTGTCGTCTTCCACTTCTGCGCAACATGCGAATCAGCAAGGCGGCGGTCTTCAACATCAGGGGCACTCAGGTCAACAAAACACTGCGCATCTACAGTTACTGCAGCAGCTTTTCTCGCTTACCAGTCTGCAGTCGCAAAACACTAATCCTTCTGGTACGAATGCGAACAAGAAGAAAAAGCGGTCGCAGATCCAATTTGAGCAGGAGAAGAAGCTCCAGGAACCCTGGCGCTGGTCGGTGGAAGAGGTTGCGAAATATCTTCAGATTCTGATCCAAGCCCAGCTGTTCACGCCGATTTTGCGCGGTTTGAAGATTTTCGACCCCGAAAACCCGTTTTTGGATTTTGTGCGCTTCTGCCAAGCCTTCAGTCTGTGCCGCTTCGACAGTGCGAAGGCGTATTTGCGGAAATATGTTACAGCGATGCAGGAGCAGTGTCAAGGTCAACAAGAAGAGGAGCCACGACATGGGGAGCACGGGCGGGACCATCCTGACCAAAAGCCAAAGCACAGTGGGCATTTCCTTTTCCCGAAAGCTTCGATGTGGCGGTTGAGCGAAGAAATTTGCGAATTTTTGCTTGATGTCTCCATCCCGACGCGCGGACCCTTGCTTGGGATCCTCAGCGTGTTTTCCCCGACCTACGAGCGGAGTTATCAGGCGTTTTGTCTGTTGGAAAAGACGGGCCAGTTTAACAGCAGTAATTATTTCTCATCAAGTTCAACATCTGGGTTTGTTTCGCCAGATGGGGAGGGGGCGGGCACTGGCAATGAGAAAACACAAGCAGAGATGATTGTGCAATTTGAAAGATACTACCGGTTCAAAAAGGCAGTAGTTCCTCTGAATCATGCTACGGATCATTCTGGAAATGGAATGAAGACAACCACCGACGGTCAGACCATGGACGATGGCGCTTCTAGTACGACCTTTGCCGCAGCTAGTAGTCCATCAGGAATTAGTCCAACCCAGCTGCAACAGGAAGAAGACCTTTTACATTTGCTAGTCGCGCGGAAACTTCTGCCCGAAGCGAGGGAATGGTCGGCGACGGGGGGCGGAGGCGGAGGTAGTTCTGCTGGTACAGCATCTAACACATCAGGTCGTAGTGCCACGACATCCACCTCTGGAGAGGGCTCTGGCGGCGGAAGTGGACCACCACCTCAAACTGCACCCACGAGAAGTAGAGACCACAACGCGCTGGATTTAATCTTACACGAAGAGGCGCAGGAAATGATTTCCAAATTTCGGGAAGGCGTGTGGTGGGCCGTTCCATCCGAGCGGTATCTGCTATGGCAGAGGATTTACAAGTTGTTTGTGAAGCGGAACGAGAGTGTCGTCGGAGGTGGTGGAGGAGGAGGACATCACGACGGAGTTCACTACAGAAGTACTAGAGACCTCCCAGCGGGGACCACCGCCAGCACAACTTCTGCGAAGCAGGTCTTTGTAGACAGCGGGAATTATTTCGTTGACCTCGCCACGGAGTTCGAGGACGAGCTCACGCTGGGCGAGCAGGCACTGTTGATCCGGTATGCACTGGAGTTTTTCGCTGGTTTCGGGCAGCAGGAGAAAATAAGTGCAAAAACAAATGCCAGCACTAGTAGTACTAAGTCATCATCTGCACCAAGCGACTTTTCTACAAATCCGCGGTTTATTTCCACCCTGCAAGCCTGCTTGCTTGTCGTGCTGCATCAAGAAAGCAATCAGCGATATTTAGCTGGCCACAAGGGACCGTCGAAGCAGAACTACTACACTAGCAACCCCGGCGACGACAAAAAGCTCTTGCGCGAGCCGGCGATCCCCTTGAAGGACTGGCTCCGGGATCGCGCGACGTCGGCTTCTACTGCGACATCAAATAGGACGACCACGGCAACAAATTCGAAGAAGCGGCAGCACCAGGCGGCATTTTTGAAACCGTATGTGGAGAGGGCGTATGCAAATCTTCTCATGCGCGAGGACACGCTCGAGAAGGCTTCGCAACTGGCGGACGCGTTTGCTTCTCCGGATGTGCTCGCGAGTAGGAAAGACGTAGACACGGCATTGCATTTAGTCGGGTCGTCCACCAGCTCGAAAGCGCTGGAAAGGATCAGTGAAGACGTGGACCACTTACTGGCACCGCTGGCGAAGCGGTTGTTGGTGCAGTTGAGATTGAACTACAACAAAAAACGCAGGATGAAAATAAACTCTGGAGGGTTGATGACGTCGTCGTCCGTAGCTGGTTCTTCGTCCCCGATCAATCTGACGTCTACAAGTAGTTCATCATCGCTCTTGGAGGAAATCGACGGAATTCTTGCGGAGTTCGACCCGGATCTGGATTTGTGTGCTCAGGCACTGCAGGGTTATGAGGAAGAGGCAAGGTCTGTTGCTGGACAACAGCAACACAGACATGCCAATGCCAGCACCTCCAGCAGTTCATCAGCCGTCGGGGCAGCTCCTGCATCTACAACTTCATCTATGGGCTGCGAAGATGCCGCGGGCTCAACTTCTAAAATGCTTTCGCTGGAAAAGATGCTGGTCGCCCGTTTCGTGAAAAATCTGGTCCACGGGAACGACTGCCTCTATCAACTGCAGAAGTGTCTGGGTCTGGAAACTTGTGATGCTAAAATGTGCATGATGGAAACACTTCCGAATGCAGACCAGCATGACAACTTTCCGGAGCATTTTCCCATAGGAAGCCCGCATGAGAAACGTGCGTTTTTGCATGACAAAAATGTAAATGAGTGCGGCTTTATTTGTCGGTTATGCAATACAGATTTCCCAGGAATGTAAAGCTAGCATTACAAGTTCCAACTTTCCAGACCCAGACACTTTTGCATTTGATAGCCTCGCTCCCTGGACGAAAGAGACGGAGTACCCAAACCCGGACGGGGAATTAGAGGACGACGTCATTTCCCTTCCGCCAGAAACGGTGAACCCCGACTTCCAAGCGTTTATCCGCTTGTCGGTTAAGCCGGAGAAACTGGGGGAAGAGGCGGTGAAAGCGTGTTCGATATCCCCTGAAAATTAACCATCCCCATCCAATTTGTCACGCAAAAATTCTGTGTTTGTCATGCAGAAAGTGGATGGGGATGGTTAATTTTCAGGGAATATTTGACGTTGGAAACCGACTATGATTTCTCCGCTCGAGAAGGAGAACTGGATGGTCTTGCAGAAGATGATGAGGACGATGAAACAAGAACTGCAGAAACTACAAGTGTCAACGACAAAAATCACGAGCCGAACAAGCGGTTTGAAATCGAGTGCCAGCTCCTGATTCTCGCCTACCACTGCTTTGTCGCGGGCTGTTACCAGAAGCACCTTTTGACCGTGCTGAAGTTGTTGAAGCGGCGGATAAAGGTGTACGCGCGGAAAAACATGGAGGACGTGTTGTTGAAGATCTTGTACCACATCCCCGAACCGCTACCGGAAATCTTCAAGCATTTCGTGCAAACGAGGGGCAAGGAAAAGCCGGAGCTGCTTTTTGATTTCGTAAGGGAATTGGCAAAGGACCCAAACGAAGAGGAGTTGTTTAGTGTGGACGAGGAAGTAGATGATACTACCAATGAAGCGGCCACCGAGCAGGAAACGAGCGACAATAAATCTCCGGGAACTACTTCTGCGTCTGCACGAAATTCCAAGAATACTACGACAGCAAGAGCAACCGAAGCTGATGCCGCAGGAGACGAGCCTAAGCAGCCACCGGGTCGTTCTGACTTTCCTACTGTAGAAGACCATAGTAACACCGACGAAGATGACAATTCTTCCAGCCCGGACAGCACTCACTCCTCCGCCCGACAGCTCGAGGACGACCAAAATAAGATGATCACCTCCACCATCGAGATGCAACGGGTCGCTTTTGTCAGGTTCCTCCAGGATGCGGAGAGGCGGAAAACGTTGCCCTTTGAGGTCCTGGTCCAGTGTCTGGACATTTTGAAGTTGAATTCCCAACTCGCGGAGCTGCTGTATACTCGTGGTATGTATCAAATGCAAAATAAGTGTCTGGGTCTGGAAGATTGCGAGATTTGTCATGCTTGTCTGGAATGACCAAAAAGTTTGTGACGCGTGTCGAGGAAGATACCCTTTTGCCTGTCATGCAAAAACGCAGCTTGTCATGCGAAAAACGCAACACAAAGAAGCGCAGATATTTCTCATGCTTGGCTGTGCATTACAGAGCATTCACTATTCCCAACGCAGCATTACAAGTTGCCAGACCCAGACACTTTTGCATTCGATAGTATGCAACAACTGAAGAAACTCCCCCGGAACTGGCGCGAGCTTTGTTCCCAGGAAAACGAGGGGAATTTGTTGCTGATTTTGTCCTATGCATTGCAAAAGTAACGTACGTAGTATGAATTGCATTACAAATCAGCCCAGCATTGGAAATGGAATTTGTAATGCTGTTTTACCTCGAGAACGAGATTTGTATTGCATAAATGCAATTACTACGAGTACGATACTTTTGCACAGGATATGTCACTCTTCCTGCAAGCGGGCAAGAAGTTTGAGCTGTGCGAGAGGTTAGAGAAGCACTTGGAGTGTTGCCGTGTCGCGGCTCTGATCTCCGTGCAGTTGAAGGGGATTCAAGTGCATTTGGCCGTGGCGTTGCAGGAGTTAAACCAGGCGGATGAGAAGCGGATGAAGGAGCGCGACCGGCTGATTTTTCAAAAAGAGTTGGAGGCGGTATGAAAGTGCACAACTCCCCCTCCCCCTCATTTGTCATGTAAAAGCCCAAATCCAAGTGCTTTCCTGCGGTACTGTGTGGATGACAGATTTCGGAAGCCCAAACAGTACTACACTAGGCGCATGAATTAATTTGTCATGAACAGGCTCCACGTATGCTGGTGTTTGTATTGCTGTTCATGCAATACAAATGAGGGGCGGGAGGTGGAGTTGTGCACTCTCATAGGCAGAGCGGGAAATGCTGAAGAGGAGGAGTGCGATATTGTGAGGAAAAATGCCCCCACTCCAGAACTTGGGAGCATTTGTTTTGCAAACCTTTCCAATGGAAACACTCGCGATCTTGCATGTACCAGCATCACAGATTTTCAACCTTAAGTAGCGAAACTTTGTATTGCGAAAGATCCCAGAAAGAGCGGCGCTTGTCATGCAAGCGATGCTGTATACGACTAGAATCTGCACCAGAAAGATTCGTAGTCCCTTCATGCATGACAAAAAGTTTTTATTTGGAAACTTCGCATCACAAACTCCGGCGTGAGGGCATTTTTCATTGTAACATGCGAAAGAGGAGAAAGAGGAACGCATGTTGGTGGAACAGCAAAACAAACTTCTCAAGCAGGAAACGAATCATCTTCGGATGATGCAGTTGCAGAATATGAATATGAGCAACAGCAACAGTAGTTCCGCATTTTCCCTTGCCGGCGCTGAATACTCCACCATGGGCGGATCGGGGCAAATTATTCCGCTAGCCGCCAACTCTGCGACTGCGAACCGAGCACGAAGAAGTGTACTGCTGGGGAGCCAAAATGCAAGTCGTGGTGATGACGATGTTGACGAGATGAATTTCATAGACCACGGCGAGTTTGCGTCGTCCTCAAATGCCGTCGGTCCGAACGATTTCGAGTTGGGGAGAACGCCGAGTAAAACTTTTTTGACAGCAGCATCAAATAGAAATAGCGTTGTAGATGATGAACAACAAGCAGTTCCTGTGGTGGAAAATTCATCATCGTCTAGCAACTATGCGAAGCAGAGTCAACAGCAGCTGAACAACGATGCTTTGCGGAGCAGGTTAGAGACCCCGGTGAAAAGAGCAGGCACAGGGGATGTTGACGCAGAGGACAAACTACAAGATCAAGATCAGCAGCCTTTCCTGTTTGTGGGCGAGACAGCGGATAATGAGGGCGATGACAACCCTTTCGAAGGACAACAGCAAACAGCATCTACCATTCAAATAAGAAGGCGCAGCCCTAATGTAGTCGGACTCGAGAGCAGAAACAGACACAAAAAGGACGAATTAGATTTCCTTCTCGCCCCTCGTTCCCCGGAGCAGAAGAAGGAAGCGCTGAGTTTGCTGGAGAAAGATGGTGCACAGGACAGCACTAAAAATGCCGCCGCCAGCAGGAGCCGGCGTGGAGCCAACTCTTTTGACGGATCAGAAACTACGAACAGCGACGCCTCTGGAAAGATGAAACTGGACGGAGACGACAACGAGTTTGGAAATAAGACAAACAAAGGCGAACAGTCTTCCCGCACCGTCACCACCACCTCCGCTTTCGGACCTTCATTGCTATCTCCAGATTTGATTCTCGATATGGACGAGAATGAAGACGAGGATGAGAAATTGTCGTCTGCCGGTTCATCTTTTCACCAGAACAAGCGAAAGCAAGGAGCGAATCCCTCGACTGTGGGAGGTGAGATGACATCTTCCCACGAAGTCCACTCGGAAGCGAGCAGTACCGGTGCGGAAAGTAGTACACCAAGCACGTCGGCCAAACACGGAAACAAAAGCACAGCTTCCAACGCGGCGGGGACATCCGCATCCTTTCACTTAGGCGGAGGGCCTAGTGGTACCGCTGACGAGAACATGAAAAAGAACAACACGACTCTCGAACAGCAAGAAAAGGAAGAGAACATCAACGAGCCAGTGTCCTGCAACACGACCACGAAGAGATTGATGCAGAAACTGTTGCAGGCAGAGAAGATGGGGCTGAAGAACAGTGCCGCGACCAATTCCATCGGTGCAACTACAGCTAGTTCTGACGTCGATTTCGAAGAGATGAATCACGAAAGCAAAAAAGCTATGATCGAATCGCTCCGGCCCATCTCCGACGCAGATCTATGCTGAGAAAAAACGTCCCCACCCCATAGTCAAGTTGGTAAATCTGCAACACAAATCTCCAATCTTTGAGGATCGTGCATGACAAGTTTCCATCTGCAGTGTTGTGCTGGTTAGCAAGGGAAGCCGCATGAGAGGGCCATTTTATCATGGTGTTTAAAGCAATACAAATGCCAAAACACGACTGGAAATGCATCTCATCGAGATGCGCATTACAGATGCTCTTGTCATTGCGCATTTGCATGACAACTCTGGGGTGGTGACGTTTTTGCACCTGATAAGATCCGTTTTTAGTGTTGAATCTGACGCGAAAGGAGTTTGAAACCTTTTGCGAGTACCACTGCGATTATCTCTGCGTGGACACCGTGGTGTCCGCCTATACCGGAACCACCTCGCGCAACAACGGCAGCGGCTACGATCTCTTCCATGATCAAGATTCACGACCTAATGCTCCTGCCACCACTAGCGGCACATCCTCTTCTTCTTCTGGTGCATCTACTTCCGTGAACGAGACGACGACGACCCCGGCGGCAAAGCCAACCAAAGAGCCTGATGCACTTCATCCGACGGAAGAACGACCAGCTGATTATCCCAGTTCGGAGATCACCGACGATGGTGTCTCGATCTGGGCAAAGTGCCTTTTCCGACAGGTGATCGTGAATCGAAATCTGATTTACTTGGCGCTATTCCTCGATTCCCGGGAGTTGACGCCGCTGATGGTACAGCAGACCATCGATTTGTACAAGAAGAAATCTGCTGGGTTTTCAACTCACGCCTCGGGCGGAAAAATGTCTGCTCACCACTCGTCCGCCGCGGCGAGTTCGCATCATGCGGCCGACCACCAGAGCAATGACAACTACTCCACGGGCGCGAAACTTTTTCTGCGCACCGCGGTAACGAATCTGGAGCAACGGTTGAAATTTGCAAAGGAATTGAAGTTTGACGACATTGTCGCCGAGGTGGGGCCGCTGGTCTACGATTTCTCCGCGATTGTCAACTGAGAGGTTGGTTGGTTGGTTTGGTTGATAAAGAGGCTGCATTTTGACTGTACTGGGTTGAATTCTTGAAGCTCGGGTGCAGTTGTATCACTGATTGCTTTTCAAATTTCATGTGTGAGTGTCCTCCTTGTCAGTTCTCTGATACTTCAACTTCTACGTGTACATACTCAGCTTGTATCCCATAGATGTCACTACTTGGTAACCTACACAAACAGATGCAAATGTAGTTTGGGAAGACCAAGCTCCTTTACAACACATTTTGCCAAGTTGTAAGCCACATCAAAGACCATGATTATGAATGCAAGTCCAAGTCCAACCAAGCAATAGCAAAACACAAATAAAAAGCAGTTATGAATGTGGTAAGAAAAACGTACAGAACATCCACACTCAGCATCACTGAGAGTGAGTGCCTGAGGTGTTTTTCTTTTCTGGTAGTATATTGCAATGTAGCTCTATTGGCAGGAGCCTGTCTTTGCCTAGCAATGTTGAATTACTTTCCGTTAGAAGATTTTGCAAAAGAATGAAGTGCACACGACTCATAACTGTTGTTTTTTCTCCTCAGCTTTTCTATCATGGACAGCGGTTTATTTTACTACAACTAGAATGAAAGAACATTTTCTCAAACAGAAACAAACTTACCACGGGAAAAAAGACACTGAACGACGAGACCGAGGTGCAGCCAAGAGGGGCTCGCTGGGTCGAGGACGTGTTCTTTCTCCAAGCCAGGAACGTTTTTTTGCCAGGGAAGCACGACGGAACGGCTGGAAGAGCTACGTAGTACGCTGTACACCACAGCTTCATAGCGTAGCCGCGACTTGGTCAGCATCATCGTAGAAGTTGAGGGTGCCAACCATGTTCTTCTTCTTTCTAGGCCTTGGCAAAAGATGAATCGAATATGAGTACCGCATGATCTTCTGAGAGGTTGTGTGCGGTCGTGTTGGTTTTGTCTTGTCCACAAACCTCTTTTTGACCTGCTTCTGATGCCGGCAACTGCCAGTAGCGGCCCGCCGCCGCAACCACCCGTCCCAGACAACACCTCGCAAAACCCAACAAAACAGCGGAGTCGGCAGGAGTGTTGGGACAGTCGGGACGCGTTTTTCCAGTGCTGCACTGAGCAGAATGAGGACCAAACAAAATGCCAAGCGGAACGGAGTGTCTTCGAGGCCAAGTGCCTCCCCTCCTGGGTGCGGCACTTCGAGATCATGCGGTTCGGACCGGAGCTAGGGGGCGCAGGAGGTGGTGTGCGAAGTAAAAACGCAGCGGATGTTGAAAACAAAGTCGGGCTTGCAATGGATTCCAAAAATTACTTCCAGCAAAGTGTCCCGACGGGACGGAGGGACGAAGAGAAAATGGCCAAAGTGATGAACAAAAGTTGATAAACTACGAGAAGCAAGTTGGAGCTCACAACCCATAGATAGTATAGAAAAAATCAAACGTGCGCGATTTTTGCAGCTCTACCTGTTCGAGGGTAAATTTGTATACTTACCTGTGCGCTCAGTTCTTGTTCCCTTAGAAGAACGACGAGGAGCGTCGGTCTTTATTACACGTGCAGGCAGTGATGTTGGTGCTGCCTCCAGGTAGTTTGCTCGTGCAGCTTTTGCCGTTGTTTGAAGTAGAGCTCATCTATCATCAGTTGTTTTGTAGGTTGGTCCACGACCACCCATGCCCCGTGGATTTTTTATTCGTGTTGTGTCGTTCTACGGCTGTTTTCTCTTACAACGCTCCGTGCTCGTTGGTGTCATTTCGTTTCTCAACGTTAGTAGAAGGTGGAAGTACTTAACCCCATCGTTCTTGTCCCGGCGTTCACCTAACATGATATCGTGACCGCTGCGTCGACGTATAGCACCAATCCAATTTTTCACGGACCTTGTTGAATTTCGTAGTAGTGGCTCTAGCCTTCGTCGTAGTCGTCCACACAATGTTTTACAACTGCAACCGGAAAAACCGCAGCGACACGTCCTGTCACTGAGCTTTCTTGCTTCGCTTCATGCAAGAAAACGAAATACGACGTAAAGCATGGATCTCGTCTGGGGGTGTTTCTGCAAGTTGTAAGTACAAATTAATAAACCTGGTCGTCTAGTCGTGGTCGGGTGCCGTAGCCCTTGTTGAAAAAGCTGTGCTACGTCCTCGTTCTGTACGTGTATGAAGAAGATGCAGAAGATTGTAGTTGTATAACTATTTCGCGCTACAACGACTGCTAGACATGAAATCATGCCCACGACTTTAAATTTACTCATCCAGGAAATAACTGTTTTTTTGCCGGGTGCAAATAAAACACACAGCACAAAAACGCTGCAGAAGTAGTAGCAGAGCTCCACGTCCACGCACAAGACCTACGTAGATAAATTTCATCTTCCCTGGCAGAAGTAAGTTTTGATCTTGTTTGCTCCGTTTTTGTTGTAGCGAAACAACAAACACAACGAGAAAAAATGCCGAAGAAGACCACCGTCCTCGCGATGCAACTGCTCGCGGCTCAGATGGCCGAAGCGATCGACTCGTCGAAAACCCACGTGTGGGTGGGGAACGAGAAGTCGGGAAGTGCTGTTTTGCAGGTAGAACAGCTAGTACTTGTCTTTGTCTTCTATTTCGAATATTCACCAGCCTCTACTTCTCGTGAGCTGCTTCGTCTTAAACTTAATCCATGCCGACGTGATGATTGTTTTTTTGCTTTTTCGTGAACGAAAGTCTGATCATCTGCCCTATTTACTTGAAATGCAGGTGGACAAGAAGAAGAAGGCCCGGTCCACCAAGGTCTCGAAAGAGGCGGAGGCAAAGGAGATGCTGGCCACCACCACGGAAGCGCAGGTATGAAGAACTCTTTTTTATTTGCACTGGAGATGAAGATGATCGATTGGTTGCATATACTAATATTTGAAGATCAATTCGGACTCTTATTACACAGACAAGACGACACAGCACATTAATTCCTACATTTAGACCGCTATACATATTCTACTGGGGAACGTTGCGTTGAGCTTGAGGACGACACGCAAATAAGTCGGGACTTCAGCGCTCGGCGACGAGGGGCTGTAAGTAACTGCTGCAGCCAAAGTAGTGCTTTCCTTGAGAAAGCAATTAAGTGCGAGTGCAAGAGCGCCTGTTCTTGCAGAGATAGGCTTCTCCTTGTTCGCAATGACTTTGTATCTTGCAGCGTACAAGCCTTTCACAGAAACGGATTCTGATGCCGCAACTTTTTTGTCCGAGCAGACAGCTACAAGGAAAAAAAGTAACAGCGGTGAAAAAGATGAACCGCCGAAAAGTAGATCTCCGATGTTTTTTTCTGGTACATTTCAGTTTTATGCTCGAAATAATACACCCTGAAGGGATATTAACGAGAGGTGGGAAAGGGGAAAAAGAGCAGGGTACGTAGCGAGTAAAATAGGGCGTTGAAATATCTTGGATCGAAGTTTCAATGAAAATTTTTACAGGAGCCTTTATGCAGGCAGGTTGGCAATTGTCCCGACGGCAAATCGCAGACGGTTTTTATTGTCCCCGGCAAAAGCGTGCGCTGGGGCATGTGCCAGGACGAGCCCGAAACTTGTACGCCGGACCAGGAAACGACCATCAACTCTATTCTGCAACCGCCTGTTTTAAAGGCGAAAGAAGAGTAGGAGAAGCATCAACCTGGTAGACCAGACATCAAACATTATCTCGCGTATTGAAAAAACAAATAAACTTCAGCAGGTGGACAAGAAGAAGAAGAAAAATATTTTTTTTTTTCAAGTTGCAAGAAGTAGAATGAAGTAGAAGTTAGCAAAGCAAAGTTACTCGTCCCATTAGTTGATCGGCGTGGCCTACTTAAGCACCATAGCAAAAAGCCAAAAGTAAAGTTAAGCAAGCGCGCTAGAAGTTCACGATTTGAAAGAAGGAAGAAAGTGAAACATAAGCGGAGATCCGAAATTTTGAACAGGACGAAACGATGCGTAGCCCGTGCGGTTTCCCGGCCTTTGTGGTGTCTCACCATCAGGGGGCGTGCCGCCTAAAGTCCTAAAAGTCCCGACCGCCCGATAGATAGATAGACTGACTTAGACTTCCCCCCTCCGTTGGAGTTGCAGCGCACCTGCCAGCTTTAATGTCCTACTATCGCCACGGCTCTTTACACCGCCTCTCGTTGCATGACCAGAGGAAGTCTTTGCAGGTGAAAGTCTCGTCTTAATTGTACAAGAATGCTACAGGCTTTCGCGGCAATTCAGTTTTTATTCGCATTCTTTTTCGTATTACATTATTTATAATCTTACTTTTTCGCAGTTCGCTCCGGCTACAATGACGTCCTTAAACTTTCATTTTGATTTTACATAGACTTGCACTTTGATTTTCGGTTGATATAAACGTAAATTCTGTATAAGTATATTATTACTGGAGGAGCAGGAAGTAGATCATGACCAAGCGCGATGTGCTCCAAGAAGCAGCCCTTCTCACCGTGAGGTCAACAAGTTGCACATTTTTCTCGATTATGTTGCGCTCCCGATCTCGTATCTGTTTTTGGTTTGCCGTTTCACATAAACCTAAAATCAAAGGGAGTTTGAGCTTTTTCATTTTTTTTGGGAAATCAAAAGCACATGCACAACACATTCGCCTGATTTTTTACCGAGATTCGTTTCTTTCAAGAATGAATTTGTGGAGGAAATTGAGGGCAGGCGACTTCTTGCCGCCGCATTAGTCTTGTTCTTGAAAATCAATGTATGTCTTGCCCATATTCTCGTGTACAACTACATGTGGAGCAGCACTGGCCAGAAGAAGAAGTGCGAATGAATCGTCGGTGGAATGTGTTACAGAAAAGCCTGGTGATCGTGACCGTCATGTAGCAAATGCTTAGACAAAAATCGTTTCGTCACTCTAGGCAGATGGTCAAAAACAAAAATAGCAGAAACTCAAAAATAATAAAGTAAGCTCCAGCTGGAGCTGTTTCGTCACGTGTCAGAACCTTGCAAAAAATTTCTACCGCCTCGTCTCGTCCACCCAGATGAATGTCGGGAAGGATGAGATGAAAGCTCGTGTGGCTTCTGTAGTCGGGGATCAGTACAAGACATCAATGTAGCGACGAAAACATCGATCCTGGATCTAGAATCCGACGAAGTGAAAAAGGATCTCCACCTTAAGTAACATTATTTGTGAAAACCGCAGGGATCCATCTTCAGAACAAACGAGATCGTGTTGAGAAGAACTATTGACTCCGCGGAAATGTTGATGTTGAGAAATGCGTAGCGCTAGTACCACGGGATGGACGATCAAACCATTTTTTACAATCGCGCAATCCCAATGAATTTTTCAGCTCACAACAGGAGGAAGGTCGAACGACGAAAAGATATTGGCAAATTGTCACATGATCATTATTTCTGTGCCTGTGTGCCCGTATTGCTAGATAGAGCACTACGCACACCTGCAAGAGAACAAGACCACACGACGGCTTCCGAAGTAGAAATCGAAATTGTTTAGTTCCATGGCCCTCGCGTTTTCTTTCGCATTCACCCTTCTTTTTCACACGCAAAGCAACATCATGTCGGACGTGAACCACGAAATTATCGTAGTCTGCGGCACGCCCGGCGTCGGCAAAACCACCTTCGCCCGGGACTTGGCCAATCGGCTCGAGCCCAACAGCAAGCACTACGAACTGTCCCGGTTGGTGGAGCAGAACAAGGCTTTACTCGCGACCGACGAGGACCAGTTTGACGAAGAGCGAAATTGCTCGGTCTTTGACGAGGAAAAACTCGCCGATTACCTCGAAGACCTGCTCATCAACAACGAAACAGTGCAAGTGGTCAACAGCAATAGCACAGGGACGACAACGACGGTGGTATCAAGGCAAAACCCGAACACCTTTTACCACGTGCTGGATTTCCATTGCGTGTCCTTCTTTGACTATGCGGACGAACTGTTCGACAGCGTGAAGCTCGTCGTGCACTTGTCCGCGAGCACGGAGGAACTGGGAAAGAGGTTGGAGAAGCGAAATTACTCGGAGCAGAAGATCCGGGAGAACATCGAGGCGGAGATTTTTCAGGTGGTTGGGGAAGAGGTCGACGAGATGTTTAACGGCGATGAAGAGCGGAAGGAGGTGGTGCAACTGGAGAACAACAGCCTGGAAGACATGGACCGGAACATGGCTATGGTGTTCGAGAAACTCGGGCTTGTTTCTACTTGTGCTGCACCAGCAAGTGGCGAAGTGGCCGGCGCGGCGGCCACAAGAACGTGTGGTGGGGCATGAATTTCGTATCTGAGGTTTCTTTGAGGACCTGCTCCCGCCACCTGCTCGGATGAATCCTTCACATGATGTTAGTAGAAAGGATACTGGCGGAAACGATTGACGATAGATAGTTCTACTTTGGTTGCAACGAAACTGAATCCTCGCATGAGGTGGATTACTACCACCAGTACGCAGCACAAGAGCCAGCACCAAGAAAACGCGCTTCAGAACAATGTCGTCTCTTCAGGTTTCTGCATCATTAAAACTTTCGAAAATAAGACGAGGCGGCGGTCCTGACGCGTCGGCGTTGAGCAGGCTTGTTGGTTGGGTTTTCAATCCAAATTCCTATCAATCGTGTTCCTCGACGTCCGTTAGAAGTGGCCTGTGTCGTTGTAAGAAAGATCATCACTTGTAGCTGCTGCTGCTTGGCCGGCCTGCATAGTTGTACTAGCCATGATACAGTGACACTATAATTGAAAACGCGCTGTGATATAAATGGTTTTCTTTCCCTCCTATTCCGATAGTTCTAGCCGGATTCTTACAAGAAACGAAAGATCAGCTGAAATACCATGCTATGCACATGAAGATCGGGACAACTTCAAGTCTGAAATAGTAACTCCCGTGGCTTACGAACGAACAGAATCAGTACACGAAGAAGGCGTCTTTTACTGAAGAAGATGTTGGAGAGGATGTATACTAAAAGCACAGTCATCATTGAAATGCAGCGACCACTACGGCTAAGCATCACAAATGGCAAAAACAATATGAAGAAGAGCTTTATTTTACCACGCGTTGAGCCTTTTCTAGCTTAGCTAATTTGATTTCACTAGTTCTACAACTCATGTCGGCGACCACCTCATTTTGACTGTGGAAAAATAAGGTAGTGAAAAATTAAGTGTATACCTAAGCGACCCCCAACATCAAGCTGCAAAATGGTCATTCCAGCAAAAAAAGAGGACGACAAAAAAAAGGTATAGAAGATTCTTGGCGCATGATCCTTTCTGAAAGCATAACCTGCGATTTGCAAAAATAAATAGAGCCGAGACTCCTAATGCTCCATTTATTCGATCGATGATCGAGCAGGTCGAGGTTGTCCAACATGTGCTCGGATTCATGAACTGCTGGGCGTTGAATTAAGAAACACCTCTTTATAAATCAAAATCTCTCAACCACAGCCCGCCGGCGAAACAACCGCGAAAGACAAGGACGAAAAAACGTCCAGCGCCACGGCACAACAGCTCCTTGACGAGGAGGATGATTTTGAGGAGTTTAAGCTGCCCAGCTCCGCAAGCCTGACCGCGACGACGACCCGGTTGCAGAGGAGCGTCAGCAAGGACCATTTGGACAAGGCGCAATGGGACGACGAGGACGCGTATGACGCGTTTCAGGAGAATCTGAAAAAGGAGATTTTGAACTTCGCCGCGGGGAAAAAGTGAGTTTCAACATTGCGGTATTTTTCTGTATCGCAATGGCAATAACGCCACCACACGAGAACGTGAACGACCCATCACCCATGGCATCAACAAACGTGTAATGAGGAGGAACCGGCGGCAACAGACTTTTTATGATAGATTTTTTTGAACTTTGTTCAAACCACAACCACGACAAATAAAAGCAACGCACAAGTGAATATGGCCCGCTGCGCACCACAGTAATGTCCGCTTGTTTCGTTGCAGGGGTCGGAAAAAATCGCAGTTTTTTCGTGCTTGTTCGGCCTCACGTACCTGATTTAAGATCTTTTTCCATCTTCAGACACAATTCAGGACCTTCGGATGAACAGACAGAAGTTGGTTGATCCATTTTCAGAACCAGCACGAATCTTTTTAGATCTTGAAGCAGCTGCTGCAGCGTCTCCTGCGTTTCCGTTTTTGGCGAGAGAAAGCTCTTTCTTCGCACCGTTCTTGCGGCAGTACCTTCATTTACTAGAACTAGGCCAAAGAGAAAATAAAACTGTATCTGTATGTAAATGCTTTTGGCGCAACAGCACGCCAAGTTGAAGTGCGTTTATTTCCGGCGTTTTTCTTTTCCAAACAGGTTTCGTTTGAGGATGTGCGACAGGCGTAGGTTCTGTCATTTTGACTAGCAACAGGAATAGACCAGTGCCGCAGTGTCCCTACGGCCATATTAAGATGGAGGTGCGGAATTGCCCGAGGATGAAGAAAAAGCGTCCCACATTGCTCCACCCGTTCATCTTACTGACGGTTGGAGTCACCAGCTTTTTGTTCTTCCTTACCACTCTCACAGACGGAAAAATATCGAGAAGAAAACGCGCGGTTACCGCAAAAGCCAACAAGGTGGCCAAGAGAATTGTCGACCAGATGCGGTTTGCGGCAGGCTTACCCTCATCGCGGATCAATGTCAGGAGAGCTACAGGTGGTAAACACGACACTACTAGTAAACAAGCAGACACGTCTTCATCAGCAGCAGCTTCCGCTTCGGCTTTCACAGCTCCTGCAGCCAGTGTTAGTTATGGAGCAAAATCCAGAGCGGCGGGAGGTAGTGCAGCTGCAGCTCCTGCGACACCGCCTTCGCCACCTGTTGACGATACTGTAGCTCTAGCACTTTCACCGCACAATCGCGCTGCTGGTGCAGCTGCTTCAGCAGCTTCATTGCAAGACAAGCGTTCGTCGAAGCCGAAAAGGAAGAGCGGTTCATCTAACCTGCTGGCTGCATCAAGCCCTGCGGGCGCCGCAGCAGCATCTCCTCACCTCCCAGCAGCGAACGCTTCTGTTCTGCTGGATGATTTTCCAGCTGCAAATGATGAAATCGGTTCTCTCGCGTCACTGCCCTCAACGATTTCCTCGTCAACCGCGTCTAAAGGGACAACTCTGAGAACTAGAAAGAGTACAAAAGCCGGCTCCTTTGCGCGACGCAGATCTGTTGGGGCGCCGGGCTCTACCAGTGGGACGACGAGGGTGTCGCGGAACATCAAGGTGACAAGTCACAAGAAAATAAGCCTTGGCGCAGGAGGACACAACACTTGTTCTACTACGCAATTCAATCACGACGTACTCCATCCAAGTAAGCACCGTACGACAACCTCCAGGAGCTCCACAGGAGCGGCGGAAGTTTTGACGTTGAGTCAAGCTCCGGCGGCGCCGGGTGGAACGACCAGTTCTCCGCCAGGCTCCATCTCCTCGTCCTCGAAGGGCACAGTGGTCAGCTGCAGCACGGGCGGATCTCCGGAGGTTGATGATAATGTGATGGCCACGGATCGTGGAGTTGACCACCGGCAACAACTGACTGCGGCCTGCCGGTCATCTAGGGGTACTAGAACCACTGCCACGTCGAACAAGGCAACTTCGTCAAAGGTAGTTCGAGGTGGTCCAGGAGGCGCAGCAAGCAGGCGGCTGAAGTCTCCGGGCCGCATCGCCGCGGGACGGCACAAGAATCTGGTCTTGTCGAAAAATAAGAAAAACAACGCTGATCTGCCAAACTACTTGCGCCCACCGGCGGGCCTGCCGTCGAACTATTTTCATGCTAGTGGTGCTGAGAGGAGCCCAGAGTCATCTAATCGGAACAGCGGTCCTTTTTCCTCGCCGGCGGGAGGGGGATCACCGTCCCTCGGTTTCTTATCGGAAATTCTCGATCTGGGCGTGGAAGACATCAGCAGCAGTCCCGTGCGTCGAACCAGAGCAGGTAGAAGTTGTTGCCAACCACCCACTTGCTCCTCTTCGGAGATGCCGTCTTTTGTCTCGTTAGAAGACACCGACAAGGACAGTTCCCCGCATAAGAGGACGCAGGGCGCAAGCACGAATAGAGCCGCAAAGGGTCCTCGTGCAACAACTGGGAGAACTGTGAAGCGAGAAACAAAGCCGCACTCTGCCAAAGGATTATGTGCCGATCCTACTTCCGGCGCGAATCGTTTCTCCTGTTACCCATCTTCAGCCCACGTCGAGGATGTGGCCGCGGTGGAGCGCCCGGGGAATGAATGTTTGTCGGAGCGGGATCATGAGCAACAAGCCACTGGTTTAGCTCCTGGTGTTTCATTGGATGAAGGAGCGTCACCAGCGCCTGTCCTCCCGATCGCCAGCAAAAGAACAGGTGCAGCGGGTTGTAGTTCGGGTGGCGCAACTACGAGCTCCGCAATCTGTGCAGCCAGGTCTACGAAGTCTAAAGCCAAGTGCACCGCGAAAGCACGGCCGAAATTATCCGGTTTTGTAGGTGGATGCGCTGGGACACCAAAGGCGAAGCGCAGTGACTGTGCTGCTTCAGGACCCACCTCGTCCTCCTCTTCGTCTTCCCGGCGCGGAACCTTTGTCCACTGGCCAGAAAGGAACTGTGTGGTGCGAGGAGGACATCAAACGCTGCCGAGCAGTAGCAAAGCTGCAGAACAAGATGATGCTGCCATCGGGGAAAATTACCAAATGTCGCCTCCACGACCTGCAACTACATTGGATGTTGAAGCTGCGATTGCGAATCCTGGTGCGGAAAGACAGCCCAGCAGGTCTAGTATGAGTTGTCAGGAACCAGACGCCACTGGCGATGGAATATTACCTGCCGCCAGCGACGCAGTTGCACGTGTAATTGCGACCGAAGCAGTTGTACCAGCACAACACGAGCCTCGTAGCCCCTCCAGCAGCCCGCGCACCAGTTACCGGGAGCAGCGGGAATTAAAGCGGCAGGCGAGAACTTCGGTCTTGTCGGAAGAGGAAATGAAAGAGACGGAAGACCGGTTTCAAACGCTGCAGTCGTTTCTGGGAAAAACGGTGCCTGGTAACGTCGAATTATGTGCTGTCGAAGCGAAAGCACAGGATGCACATGATGTGCATACAGCTTGTGGTCCTGCTGCACCTGTTCCGCAAGTTGTTGCTGGATCGTGGCCTTCTGCAGCTCTCTACAGCCCACCTACAGGCCGCGATGAAACCCCTTTCGGTTTCCTCAACGCCACCTCCGTCCTACATACGGCTCGATGTGAGCTGATCCACCAGGAAGATAGCGACGAAGAGATTGTGGTGTCCGCAGCTGCGATTGCCTGCCCGACCAGATGTTTGCCGAGTTGTGAGCAGAAAGAAGTCGTGGATGAAAAAGGAAATAAAACCTGCAATTATGGCTCTTCTGTTTCATCTTCTTGGGCCGACCATTTTGGCTTCGACCTCGCACAGGCGGTCGCGGCACTGACCTTAGAACAGAGCCCATGTGCTGGCGGAGGCACCACTGCAGAGAAGGAGGAGGAGGGGCATGATCGTGAAGTAGATGCGCAAAGAACGGGCCTTCCTGCTTCGAAAATAAACTCGCAAGGTGAAGAAGCTACTGCAGATTCTTCCGCCGCTGCTTTGAATCGTTCTATGACCATTTCTCCCGAATCCTTCGACAGTACGATGACTTTCGGGCGGTACCCAAGTAGCTTATCGGTCGACAGGGAGTTTTTGTTGCAGCTCTGGAAGCAGAAATACGAGCGAAAGGGAGACTGTGGGGACGATGATGCTGGCGACGACCACGACGAGGGGGGTCGCTGGCGAGGAGATGACACTTTTAGGGCTTCTGATGTTCTTGCAGCCGGTTCTACCACTGCGGCGGCACCTACCCCCGCGGAGGAACAAAGTCATGCCGTGTTATCGACGACAAAAACTGTGACTTCAACCTTTGGAAAGAATTTATTTTCTGATGACGATGGTCACTTGCACGATGAAACGCACAGAGCAGGAACACGAACAACTTGTGAGGAGACACACGACTCCTGCTCAACAGACGAGGATCGGTACGAATTCACGCTTCTCCTAAACGTGATGGAAAGCACGCCGGTGCCGGGGAAGGGAAGCACAAGCACGGCCCGTTCTTTACATAACATCAAGGGCGTTAGTACTATCGGAGAGGACGAGGAGGAGCTAGTACATGTACAACAATCAGGTCGAAAAATTAGAAATCCTGTACTGGAGTCCCGCTCCCGCCTCGCGGATCATCTCCTCATCCCGGCGGATGATGAAGATCATATTAACCCGGACGACAAAGTAGAATACTTCGCCCGCGCCCGTGTGATTTTCCTGGACAAACTTTCCGGACGCCTGCGCGAAATCGGGGAGTACAGCTTTCAAACGCGCAAGCCCGAGAAGGTCCAGAGCCGGAAGAAACTGTTCGGGCCCCTTTTGAAAGCGCTGAAGTTGGAATTGACTGCTGCTACACGAGGAGACGCCGAGTTGTCGCGTGATGAGGTCGTGGTCGAGGAGGACCACGGTCGTGAAGGAAATCGAAACTTCCCAGTTCAGCCGGTCCGCACGCACAAATCCTCCCGGGTTGTGAATTTTCACAACATCTGGACGTCGCCGGATGATTTGCGGTTCTTCAACACATCTTCCAACATTGATTCGAGGAAGAGAATCAGGACGGTCACACAGTTATTCGAGTTGAAGCCGAATAGTAGAAGGCCCTCTTCCACAGCCTGCAAGAAGGATCTGGATTCAACACCCTTATTTCAACAAACAGACTTTCTCCACCTCGATTTCGATGCGGAATCAGACGCGCAGGAAACCGAGAACGAGCGCGCTCGATCGCCGGTCCGTTTGTACCGAGGACGAGGGGAACCTTCGAGCCGGTTGAACAATCCGTTTTTGCAGAAACGAGGGTGGAAGAAGATGATGAATGACGACCACGGGTTTTTCTTGCCGCCGGAAGTAGAACCACGACAGGATAGAGGTATTACTTCCTCTTCGTGTAGTGCGGCAGGCCAGATCATAGGTCAACAGCCTTCTTCTAGAAGAAGGCAGCACGACCAGGAGATCGGTGTTGTAGATGATGAAGACCAGGACAAGCATACTATTGACCTTCACCTCGTCGAGCCGCCGTCAGAAGAGGAAGTGTTTCTCAGTGCCACGGATGAAGATGAAGGACAAAAAGTTGTACTACAGCCCACTAGAACAGCGAGTAAAACGACCAGACGAGAAGATGTTGAGCATCTGGTGCGAGGACAAAATTTGAAAATCCACCACCCTACCACCCGCGTCACGAACCCGCAGGTACTTTTCTCGGGTCTTTGCTCCTCGTCTTCCGAGGAGGGTTGTGCTGCTTGTTCCAACGATGTTGACACGGATGATGAGGAAGATGATTTCCGCTTAGTTTCCGCATCAGAGCTGGATTCCGAGTTTCTAAAGGAGCCGGAAAGTAGTATGCCTTTATCGCCAGGACGGCGGGAAGCAGCCGAACAAAGAGATGACTTGGGGACCACCTCCTTTCATCTTGACGAAAACCAACGAGAGATAATCGAACAACTTTTTCATCAACGCCAGAAGGCCTCTTCTGCACGACCGTCGGTGCAGCAGCTGCCACTGGGGACGAGTAGAACTTCTGCAGTAGTATCACCACGCGCTTCGAGTAGTTCCTCTTCGTGGCAAGACATAGTTGTACCGGGTTCTTTTACGGAAGGGGACGACGCACAAGCGTTCGGTTTCCATCATGGTGGGGGATCAAGAGCAACTTACGAACACGATATTTCCGTGTCCTCCTCCGGAGAAAGCTTTTCAGCAACCAGTCTATCGCCAACATCTCCTGGCCGGCGCGCAGAAACATTTTTGCCGACGACAGCGACGATCGCTAGAAGAGCGGCGGGTGGTGATACTACCAGTGGGACGAGTGAACATCTGATCTCGTCGCCACGAGGACCGCGGCGGTGGGACCACCTAGGAGGAGCACCGCCGGCTGGGGCAGCGGATCATGGGGACTCTACATCTAATATGCCTCACCGGACCTCCACATCTGTCCATGCGGCTGTACCGCGGTGGAATCGACGCTATACTTCTGCCGGGCACCGTGACCAAAGAGGATGAGCATGAGAATCGAAGTAGATTCATGCGCCGATAGGATTTTCATTTTGAAGATGTGTAGTTGCCACGATAATTTTGTTTCACAGTACCAGTACCTACTTACACCGTTTACTATCTCACCACGAGGCAGCAGAGTCTCGACCTACGTTTTAATGTTTCATCTATGCAAGAGCAGCGCCCTCGCCTCAAGCTCAACCTTTTCCAATGTTAATGTATAGTTTTTCACAAGTTTTGGAGGATATGCATATGTCTGTAAAAATAATGACGTACACGTAAAACATGCTTCCACCTTGCTTCTGCTTCTGGAACACAGAGAGGCACCAGATTAAGTTCGCTTTTGGTTTGTGATCGTTGAGCATGTGGTAGTCGTTTACTTAAATGAATTATGAAAATGAAATCGGCGCCAGGCTTCGCAGCTTGGCCCTTGTTTGACTTTCTGAAAAGAATGAATACTTTAATCAGCACGCCAGATCATGAAATTATAGAAGAAGAAACACCCACGCTCAGCAAGTAGGATTGAAGGCGAGCGCTTCATCCCTTGAGGTAGATGGGAAGCACAATCGGCACGCCGTGTTTCTCAGTTGATAATGGACTAGAAGACAATGACAACGACCCATTCATCAGTCCTCTCGCTCTACTGGTGTCACGAATCTACTTTCTCCTTCTGAGTATGGGTCAAGCGAGTTGAGGGACGTGCTGGCTGCACAACCGGCGCGCGGCAAGAACTTCTGCCTCCTTGAGTGATGCGTTTTTTTTCGGACGTAAAAAAACACGCATGAGAGACTGTTGATGAAGAACAAGAGGACGTGTGCTCTGGGGTATAAACTCTTGAGGCCCGCGAGAGACTAGTTTTCATCACATCCACAATAAACCCACAAATACGCTGCTGCACGGTGTGGTCTACTTCACTTGTATAGAAAATCGCGGCTAGGACGAGATTTTCAATTCGCTCGCAACGGGCGGATTGTTTTCTCTTCCGAAGGCCGTTGGTGTCAATTTGCGCCGAGCCTTTCTAGGCGAAGCCGTACATCACAAAGAAGATGGTGGTGTTCTACGAACTCCAGCACCAGAATGTGCCCGGGCGAGGTTGCAAAAGGCCTGCTACACACGGTCGCACGCTGGCCAGAACTGGCGCCACGAGCGAGAACAAATCTGACGATGCGGACACGACCGGAGCAGATCAAAAGATCGCGTCTGCTACCTCCGCCGGGACTAGCACACAAGAGGAAGAAGGTGGAAACGAGCAACAGCTTGCACCAGTCGAAGGGATGACGACGACGACCACCGCGACGATCACGACACCAAAAGCGGCAAACTCCACCGCAGCTCTCGCCACCACAACTTCTACTACCGCTTGTTTCCTCTCGCCCGCGCGGGCCACGCCCAAGGCCCATCGCGGGAGCAACTTCTTTCGGGTGCACCACTCCGCGCGGCGGGCGTATTTGGTGAAATCGATTACGAAGGACGATTTTCGGATTTCTTACCCGGATAAGGAGAACTACCATTCGAAAGAGAAAATGATGGCCCGGAAAAAAGTGTTGGAGGAGCAGAACCAACAGTTATTGACGTCGATGAAATTGTCCAAACAAAACCCGAGGACGATGATGCTGCGGAACAATCCGGAGGATGGAGGTATGGAAAAAATCATCATGTCGTGAACGTGATGTTGGTCGTCTAAATTAATCAGAACCTTGCAACACAGATCCTCCATATTGGTCGCAATACAAACTACTTTCTGCTTCTGCAATACAAAGTTTCATCAAAAATCAAATGACCTTACCTTAGATCCCGACGTGCACACGTGGATGATTCGCGATTTGCCGTGCCGCTTTCGGCAGGAAGAGCTCCGTTCGATTCTGGACTACGAGTTTGGTCTCGAAAACAAGTACAATTTCTTCTACCTTCCCATGGACGTCCGGCTGCGGAACAAAAAAGCGGCTAACCGGGGCTACGGGTTTTTAAACCTGGTGGACAAAAAAGACTCGGCGTTGTTGAAGGCGGCACTACACGGTGAGTCGTTATGTCGTGGTGCTTTTTTGTGAATGGAATCCGAATCTTATGCTTGTTTTGCATGTGAGCTGCATTCTACAAAAACAAAATGCATGCACTGCATCACAAACTACACAAAGGTAAACGCCTCCCGGGGTCGGAATCGAAAAAGTGTTGCCACTATCAAATGTAAAAATGTCTGGGTCTGGAAGAATGCAACTTGTCATGCTAAGTCTGAAGCATGCAAAAATCTGTGTTGCATGATTACCAAAAGTCTTCCAGTTTTGACCAAGTCGGGAGGCAGTTTCTCATACAGGATAGGCATGAGAAAGATCGCGCAGAATCTGTCATGCTAGGCCCTGCATTCCAGACGAGACCTCATGGGTCATGGAAAAGCTGCATGACAAATCGCGCAGTCTTCCAGACCCAGACATTTTTACATTTTATAGCCACTTACAACCAGCCAAAATCCAGGGTCTGTTTGCGAATTTGTTGTTTTACAAGGGGCAGTTTTACAATTCGAACTACAACGCCGCGAACTGGAACTACAGTACTAACGGCAACGGCTCTTACAGCAACGGCGCGAATGCAAACGGGTTTTTTAACAACACTGGTACTGCTGGTACGGGAACATCATCTACATCGAACAACGCAAATACGTCGTCCTCGACCGGTAGTTCTTGTAACAACTATTCGAACTATCACCAGCACCAAAATCACCCGAACCAGCACCAGGTGATTAGCAACAAGATCCCGACGGTGAAAATTCCGTTTGTCAGCTCGTTTTTGGAGCTACAACTCTGTTTGGAGCAGCTGAATCAGATGGAGATATCTTTCGGTAGCTGTGGCGTAGAAGTGAAGGAAAGGGAGGCGGATGAAACAACAACTGTGGATGAAATAAATGAGGACATAAGCAGCACCACAAACGGTGTCAAAAGCAAAGCCGGGAATCAAAAATCTGATGGTGCAGCAGAAGACACAGCTCGAGGTGATGAAGATGTTTCGGCAAAAGCAAGCGACGACCAGAACAGTTCGCCCAATGAGGAGCGGAAAATGACTGACGGCGAGATTTGTACTTCTAAAAACTACGAGCCAAAAACTACAAACAAGACCAACGAGTCGGATTTGGGGTTGCTACTGGAAGGGCGTACCATCGCGTTTTTGCCTGCCTTTGAAGAGGAGGAGGCTCCTGATGAAGTTGTTCATGTCGAGCAGCAGCTCCAGACCTCTGATGCAGCTGCAGACGCGGCGGGAGGCACTACTGGCGCAAAGCTGAACGAGGAAGCGGCCACTAGTACAAGAACAACTACTACATCTTCTGCACCGAAACTCAAAAAGAAAACGATTCGGGATAAGAAATGGCTGCTGGACCAGGTGATCAAAGAGCTGCTGAAGTCCTTTGAAATTCTCGAGAAGGATGAGGAAAAAGAACTGAATTTGATCAAAGAAAAGAATTTGAATTTTAACAAAGAGGTCGAGGCGGTGACGAGCAGTGTGATCGAAGGGGCTGTGGTGCGGGAACAGGTGGATGCGGTCGTGGAGAAAATTTTTGAGTCCGCAGCGGTGGCGGCTGCGGCGGAAAGTAGTAGAATGTTGGAGTGTTGTGGCGAGCAACGTAGCAATGGAAGCAGTAAAGATAAAGAAGACGCTTCTACTGCAGTTGCGCGGGAAGAACTACAGGATGAAAGTATTAATAAACCATGCAGCAGAAAAGCTTCGAAAGCAACCACAGTTGGTGGAGCAGACGAAGACCTGTCCGTTTCCGCGTCAGCTTCTCCTCTTGAGGAAATAACCGAGGCTGGTGGGGGGAAGAGCGACGATGGAAAAAAGAATGTTATTGATGAACTAAACCACGAACCGTTCGATGTTGAAGAAGAAAACCAAAACCAAGAACTGGCCGCCCGAACCTCCACAAGTTCTAGTATCACCTCCTCGGCAAGTAAAACAAACAGTTCTGGTGAAGACGACATGAATATGCCAAAAACTCCCGCCGTGATTTTCTGTCCCACGCCAGACGGCTTCGAGATGGTGAACGTCTCGGAATACTTGGCGAAGCCCGGAAGTGAAAATAAACCGCTGCCCGCCGGGGTGCGACTGATGAACTTTCAGTTGCCGGAGTTGCTAGCGCAGAAAGAAGATTTACAGTTGCAGGAGAAATGGAAACAAATCTTGAACAGCAAAAATCTTCTTGATACCAACAACAAAGCCGGAAGTTCTTGTCAAGAAGGAGAACAACCATCCGCGGAAGATATTGACGAATTTGCGCAACTGGCCCGCTGTAATTCCGGTGTCGGCTCGGGGAATGGAACGAACAACAGTTTTGCGTCGAATTTCGGTAGCTTTGGCGGGCAACTACATGGAAGGGAAATTTTACACTACTCGTCCCGGCACAAGTTGCACAACGGTAGTTTCTGTAACGGTTTTTTTGGCGAAAAGGATCATAAGCAGGAAAGTAATATCCACAACAGCCGAGGTGGACCGCAGCAGCTGCAGCACAATAGTACTTGGACCAACAGTACTTCTACCAAGCAGGAAAAGCACTACAGCGTTGTCGAGACGGAAAACTCCATTTCTCTGGTCACGAAAATCCCGGTGAAGAGGTACAATCCGAAGGGGTTCGCGAACAAGGGTTTAATGAAGATTCATGACTGCTTGCTGAAGAAAATGCGAGAATTGGAGATGGAAAATAAGCTGCACGACAATGTGGCCGCGGGAGGTAGTAGTAGTTTGGACGACAATGTTGCGCCGGAACAAGGGGCAACGGAAAATTTTGAACTTGGCGGAACATCGAACTTTCGAAAGGCTTCTTCAGGTTACAACCAGTTCCAGAATTATCCGGCATACAATCACCATCCGGCTGCAAATAAAGCCTTCTCTTTGACTGGTCCGCCACATCAAGGAAGTTATTCTAACAAGAACCCGGGTACTACTACAGCTACAAGTACAACTTCTAGTACAGCGGCCGCAAATTCTACTAACGTTGAGGCTTATCAAAAAATGGACCCGGAATGCAAGCAGCACATGGAGGTTCGCATTGAGTTGGTGGAATTAACCAGTATCAAATGCAAAAATGTCTGGGTCTGGAAACTTGTAATGCTGGGTGGCGTATCATGAGAGAGGAGTCCAGAAGTGCTGGCTCAGCACGACAAGTTTCTGAGCTTCTAGGTATTGCCTATTCTGCATGACAAACTGCGTTTCTGCATGACAGAATGAAAAGTGGGGCTCTTGGGTAAAATGTGCATGACAAATTCAAGAGTCATGTGAGACAAGCATGACAAACTTGCATTCTTCCAGACCCAGACTACATTTTTGCACTTGATAACCAGTTTCTTGAGGCAAATCCAGAACACGAAAGCGGGGGGAGGAAGTAACAGTAAGTCAAAAGCAGCTGGTAAAATGAATCTTTTTTCCAGAGCAAGCAGTACGACTTCTAGCGGAGTGGACGAGGACCAGGAGGACCAACATCTAACGACCACATTAGAACAAGCCGACACTGGAGCAGCTACAGGGGTGAAACAAGCCTCGCCCGATGCAACTGTTGGTGAAGAGAAAACTGCGACCGCTGGTCCGGCCATGTCGGCTGGAGGTAGTGCAGAAACAGATAAAGCAGACCTGAATGTAGAACCCGACACGAAAACGGCAACTACCGGTGAGGAACGGGAGCCAGAAACTTCCTCCTCGAAGCTAACCGAAGTGGAACAAAAATCTTCCCAAAAAAATCAGATCGGAGAGGAAGAAGCAGCTGCAGCGGAAGCAGCTCTCCAAGCCAAGGCGCTCGCGAAGGCTGCGCGAGATCGGAAGAAACGGGCTTTGGCTTTCCTGGGCATGGCGATTGACGATGACATGACCCCTCTGGACCAGAACGAGCCGAACGCGATCCTTCCTACGGCTGCTGTGTTCACGGTGAGTTGTAGTGCGAAGATATGAAAGTGCACAATTCCCCCTCCCCCTCATTTGTATTGCATGAGCAGCAATACAAACACCAGCACAAATGGAGCCTGTGCGTGACAAATTTATGTGCCTAGTGTAGTACTGTTTGTGCTTTCGGAATTTGTCATGTAAACAGTGCCACAAGGCAGCGACTGGATTTGGGATTTTGCATTACAAATGAGGGGGAGGGGGAGTTGTGCACTTTCATAGAAGAGCGAGCTGAACCAACCCACGCCGGATCTGGACAACAAAGAAGCCGCCGACGAGATGAAGCAGCAGGACCTGGGTGTAGCTGATCGTCCAGCTGCAGATGAGGAAACTGAAGACGATATTACAGCTGCACAGCTGCAAGAGGTTGAAATTCTAGCCGGTGAAAAGAAGAACAACACCACCACAACTTCTGCAGAAGACAAGAAAGTTGTGAAGAAGAAGCTGCGAGGACGTACAGCTAGTAGCAAAATCCGTTCGTTTTCCTGTCCGGCCCGTCCCGCGACTTTTTACTCGGAATCGAACAACGAGGTTCTACTGCCGCTTACCGACCATTTTAGTGAGGAGATCAATTTTTTGAACAAATTAGACCCGATCGAACGGACGGAGGAGGACTTGTTTGGAGCAATTGTGGAGGATTACTTTGAAAATTTGGATTACGACTACTACGATAATTACGGCTACACCAATACTTACGGGTACTATGCCTCCTCTGGAGGAGGTCCTTCGTATCATGGCGCAGGAGGGTTGTATCATGGCTCATCTTCTGACTACAACAGCGGCACTACTGCAGTTGCCTCCGGCTCTACTGCCTTTGTTGATCCTGCTGCGACGGGCCGGCATTTGCAGCAATGCTACGGTGCTGGCCGTGGTCCACTATGCTGTGCAAAAACATCGTACTAAGGTAGGAATCGCATTGCAAATTAGCTCAGCGTGAGAAGAAATGGAATTTGTAATTTGGATGGACCTTAACCTTAAGAAGGAGATGCTGCATGAGAATGCGATAACTACGAATAGGAGGTACGACACTTTTGCAATGCATATCCGCCGGCTGTCGACAATTACCGGATCCAGCGGGTTGATCATGACGTGGTTTCTGTTTCCGGGAAAAATAGCGAAGCAGGCAACACTAGCGGTGTACTATTGCAACGACCAGGAGCTGGAGCCGTACCAGCACAAGGTGAAGCGAGATCTACCGGGGAAGTCGAACGGGTTGCACTCTGCTCTGGTGGAGGTGCCACGACTTCAGCTGCAGCAGATCAGGCTATAATTTTGGGCAAAGCAGCAGGGGGATCTTCTTCATGCGAGAGCGAGGCTGAGGTGAAAAATGCTAAGACGGTGACTGGCACTACCGAGAGCAGAACCAGCACGGAAGAGTCGCGTAGAGCAGGAGGAGATCTTACTTTGGAAGTAGACAATAACCGCCCCGCAACGGGTCTAGTCCAAGATGATGTAGGTACTGGCAGCGGCAACGCGACTGGTCCTTCTTCTCTCCCAGCCGCGGGCAGCACCGCTGCATCGGGCTTAAGCACTAGTACCAGTATCATCTCCAGTGTGATATCCACCACGGTGCAGAAATGCCGACAAATTTTAGAGGAGACCACGGGCTTGAGTACTGCGACGGCAGAGAACTGCGCACTACGAGCGCCACCGTTGGAGACGTCGACAGAGGAGGGTCGTCGCGGTGGTGCAACAACTGAGGTGGATGCAGCTGCAGTTAACCAGGATCATAATTCCGCTGCTCCTTCGTCAAAATCCTATGCTGCTAAAGAATCTTCTGCTGGCTGCGCTCCTGAAGCATCCGCCGCCCTGGCGGGTGGAAATAAACAAGACACGGATAAGAAACAACCGTCCTTATTGCCTCTAGGCAGTGTGAGTCTTACCGCGGGCAGCTGTTCATCAGGAACTACAGCCGGCGCTGACGATGGTGCAGAGGAAGAAGCTGTTTCGTCCGGTCTGCATGTACTTCCCGCCCACAGCAACGACCCGCATCACAACAGTAGTTCTTCCCGTTTTTACAGCGCCGACGACGTGCTGTTGTCTCAGCACACGGGTGGTGGACCAGGAGCTAGTACTTCGTCGAATAACGATTACTACACGTCTAGGGAAGTGTCAGAATCGAAATTAACGAAATCGAAAAACTTGTAATGCATGAAATGCATGACGCGAAATACGTGTGTTGCAGAGCAGGCAAGTGAGGCCGAGTGTAAGCCTGTTTGGGGTTATAGCTCGAGCTGCTTTAGAGAATCAGTCTTCTTTACCTAAGCAGCGTTACAAACTGGATTTAGGCACCGCCAGAATTTGTCATGCGCTACTTAGAAACTGGGCTCGAACTGGAATCCATTTTATGCATGACAAGTCATTTCGATTTTGTCAATTTCGATTCTGACACTTCCATAACGTCGTCGACGACCCAGTTCTCGCACAACCGTTTTAATTCCTACGATTTGATCGCCGACAATTCGACTTTCAACAGCCGGCCCTTTCTGCTGTTCCCGACCAAGCACTTCCAAACCGACGTGGACTTCGTCAAGTGGGCGATTGGCAGCATGGAAAAGACGAACACGATATCACAGGAACAAGTGTTAGCGTTAACGGAATTTGTGATGCGACATTGCATTTGCATCACAAAACGCGCCAGAATTTGTCATGCATAGCATGCATATTGGGCTACATGATTAACATTTGTCATGCATGACTGTAATCTTTGAAAACCGTTAACGCTAACACTTTTTCTTGTGATACACGATCCTGGTGAACGAAGTGTTTCAAGATGTGGAGGAGCCACGGTATTTCTATTCCCTGAAAATTAACCATTCCCATCCAATTTGTCATGCAAAACATGTAGTAAAGTGAAAGTCTGTGCTCCTTGTCATGCAAAAAGTGGATGGGGATGGTTAATTTTCAGGGAATAACTTCCCTGGAGAGGTCTACGCGAATTCGGTGTTGCAGGCCTGCGGGTACTGGAACTTCGGAAGCAGTACGAGCGGGGGTGCGCTGAACGTTGCGGGACTCCCAGGCGGAGGTTCATCCTGCCAGCACCACCGCGACAGTTTTTACTACAGTTCCTCCAACGGCTACAACAGCTACTACGGGACAAACTCGTACTACGGAACCACGACCGGCGGCACACTGTTTGCAGGCGTCGAACCGACGACGCCGAAGATTTACGCGGACCAAAACGCGTGGAACATTGACCACGGGAAGCGGCTATCAACTGCAAAAATGTCTGGGTCTGGAAGGTTACAACTTGTGATGCTGTCTGTGGATTCTAAAAAAATAAAAATTTGTATTGCATGACCAGCAAGAGGGGTCGGGTTTGTCCTACGCGGAGAGGGCATTTCTCATGCGGTAGAGGTATCACAAAGCCCTCTAAAAATCTGTGATGCTACGGCATGCATCACAGACATCATAGCTTATGGAAAATATGCATGACAAATCTAGAAATCTTCCAGACCCAGACATTTTTGCAGTTGATAGCGGCCGGTGAGTGAAAAGGAGCGGGAAGACATTCTGCAGCGGTACAACGTGAATCCGCCCCCCGCTGCGAAACCCGTGCCGCAGCCGGGGGAGATGAAGAATGGCGGGAACAGTAAGGGGGGTGGAGGTGGTAACACGTTTTACACCAGTCACAACGCACAATACAACTACCCACCGCCGCCGAAAATAAATGTGAGTGGACAAGCTACTACCGGTACACAACAGCACGCGATGATGAAAATTAATGCGAGTTGTTCAGGTGGAGTTAATCTTAATGGCGCGTATAACAGCAGCAGCAACAGCAGTAGTTTTGGAGTTGCCTCGACATCAGCACGGTCTTTCAGTATGTCGGGCCCGTCCTCTAGTACAACTGCAGCTGTTATGGGAGCTGCCGGGGGGAGGAGCTGTGACAACACCGGGGCAGGAGGAGCTGGTCTTGCGGCGTCGACCGGAGGTGCCACCTCCTCGGCGTCTTACAGCAATCAAAACACGTCCTCGGCTGGTGTCCCGCGACCAGCTTTGGGCGCTGGTACAGGCGTGTTTAACACCAGCAACTCAGACGCCACCTCTTCCTCCGCGCAGTCGTTTTACGCCGGCAACGGAGGTGGTCTTGCTTCCACGTATGGAGCTGAGGCTAGGGGATCTTCGTACCACAATGGAGGGGGTGGACCACCGATGCCAAACAGATCAACTACCATGGGTTCTTACGATTCATCTTATGCCAGCAGAAATAATTCTTTCGGGCAACAAGCGCACTGCTCATTTTCCGGCACGGGGGCTCCTGCAGCTGGCAACACCAATAGTTATTTCAACTCCTCTTCAACAAATTACAGCAGCGAAGGCGGATTTGCTTCTTCGGCCGCTGGTGGTTCGTGTTACGACAGTGGGTCATCTTCTACTTTTGGGGGGCCTTCCGCGTATCAGAACATCAATACGGGAGCTGCATCAACGACCAACAACGCTGGAGCTGGCGCTCCTGGCGCTTCTTTCTACAACACTAGCAGTTACAACAACTACACAGCTGCTCCGGACGGGGGGTCGTCCTCTTGCTACAACCACTCAAGCAACGGGGGGTCTACAAGTCGAAACTTCAACAGCGGACCGGCGCGGCATGAGCACGACCAGGGTGGTCTTGGTAGCTCTTCTTTTTTTCGTGGGAACAACTCTAACTACGACAGCAGTTTTGGTTGTAACGCTGGCGCTCCTGCTGGAATGATCCGGAGCGCCGGAATGAACACGGGCTGCACAATCTCGGGATACAGTTACATCCCGGGACCTTCATGCACGGCGGGAGCGTCCTATCAGACAGGTCACCACTATCAAGCAAACAACAATAGTTCGTATCATCAAGTAGAACATGACGAGTTTCAGCAACACAGCTACCAGCAGCAACAAGTTCAAGGCTCTGCTACCGGTACCGGTGGGAACACACATTTTCATCACAATGCAGCGAACAATAATTCTGCAGCCGAAGGAGGTGTCTGCGGCGCCGCTGGGTCTACTTCCGCGCAGTCAGGAGGTGGGAGTAGTGCCGCTACCTCTTTCCGCCTGAGTAACATGGCGAACACAAATGCCGGTGCGGTTTCTACGTCCGGCAGCTACGGCAACAACCAATACAGTAGACCACCTTGTTACAACGACTACAACACAGGCTACAGTAATCCGTATCAAGGAGCACAGTCACAGGCGCAAGGAGCGACATCATCTGTCTTGAACACACCTTCCGCGTCAGCGTCACATTCCCAACGGACAGCTGCTGCGCCCCTGCGTGGCGGCAGCTTCAATTACACCACTGCAGCTCCTACTTCACACCAAAATTATAAATTAAATCTAATGAATATGAATTCTAAAACCTGTACAACGACGCCGGCCCACCAGCACCAGGCAGCGGGCGTTCTTACGGGTATAATTGTTTTTTCATGCATACATAGAATTTTCACACGACACAGCGTTGTGAAACGCGTTCGATGTACGAATGAATTCTCTGTCTCGCACATCACCAGTGCTACAATCAGTACGAGCCAGAAACAACTTACACACAAGATGAAGATCACGCGAGAATTCAAAAGGAATACTACAGGTCAGGGCTACAACATCCCTCCGCCCCCGGTGCGCAACCGTTACACCAACCCAAACTCCTATAACATTCCTCCGCCCGCGGTTCCCGCGCCGGGGCACCACGTAATTAATCACACAACTTCTTCAACCCCGGGGGCATTGACCATCCCGCCCCGACCACCGCAGCAAAATATGAATAACCGGCCACACGACCCCCACGGTTTGTTGCAGATTCCTTACACCGGCCCGGACGACTTTGATTCGCCGGTGAGTATGCTCCTGGACAACCTGGACAAGGACTCAACCACGAAGTCCGCTACGGAACGGAAGTTGAACGCCTTGGCTCTTCTTGGAGGTTGTACCAGTTCTACGAGGAACGATGTTGGCGGGGGTGATCATACTACCACGTTCGGCAAGGAAGGAATAAACAAGACTGATTCGGCAGGAGCGGCGAAGGAGAAGGACGAGCAGTCCACGGTTGTCGTACCACCCCCAAGGAGCAGTCGTGTTCCGCCACCGCCTCCCAACTTGCTCGGTCCAAGCCCAAGCTTGGTTGCGGCGGAAACAAGTGGAAACAAAGGAACAGCGAATGATGTACTGCTAGCAGGAACCAGCAAGAAGCCACAACTACAACAAGGTGATCATGCTAGTCGTGCAAGAACCAGTGCTGCGCCTGTGTCGGCAGCAGCACCAGTATCGAACATCAAAGCCGCAACTTCTAAGGTACCACACCCCCCCGCGCCGGTGCTTCCCACTTCTGGCGCTTCTGTCATAACAAGGCAAGTGAGCGGAAGCAGTGCCGGGTCCGCGATCTCCGTGGCGGGAAACAAGAACGTTGGTGCAGCTCGCGGCAACGATCATGGTGCAGCTCCTGGACCTGCGATGAAAATGATGAACAAAAGTTCTGTGGGACCTACGATGGTCCCGCCTCCCGCGGCAGAAAGTGTAGTAGTTAGCAAGGGAACTACTACAGCAGCCGGTGTGAATCCATTATTGAGTACGACGAGCACAACTACGCAACAGAAGCATCAGACTGGTGCAACTCCTGGAACGACCGCAGCTCTAAATACCAACCTGATGAACTTGATCAACCAGCCGAGTTGTGCAACCACCTCTTCTACGTCTACCGGAGTGGCTCCTCGTGCAGCTGGTGGTATTTCTTTCAACAACACGATTCTAGCCACCCCGGTGCTGCAAGATAAGTGCAGTACGACTGGATCGACCAACACGCCGTCGACTGCCGAACTGCAAATGAACTACTACAGCAATACTGGGACGACATCGACAGATAGTTACCAATATGCTCCTCAACATCAATACCAGCAGCCGTCGTATCCTGGAGGACATACGACCTCCGGAGGTGTCTATAATCCCAGCTCTGGTGGGCACTATCAAGGACAGCAAGAACAGCAAATGCGCAACAAGGAAAATCAGCACCTCGCCGGTGTTGGGTCAGCGTATCTTGAGGAACCCAATGGAATCAGCATGAACGCATACGGAGGACCTTCCGCATATGCTAACGAGCACAATAGTACAGCTTCCTTAGGTGATGCTGCGTACGCATCGTACGCCTATGCTTCTAGTATTAATCAGTATCAGAACCACCAGCAACACTATCCCGGGTCATCAACAGCCGCGCATTACAACAACGGCCTGAACTGCGGTGGCGGACTTATTTCTGGCCGCTCGATTACAGTTGAAGAGAACCAACAGCAGCACCACAATAGTTTCAGTGGCTATGGAAATTCGAGCAGTTTTGCTCCTACATCATCCAGTATTCATTGTAGCAGCGGCAATGCAGAAGGAGAGTCGACTTTCAACTTGGGCTCCTCGGAAATAAATGCAGTAACAAATAATCAGCATTCGGCTACTGGTCCAGGCTCGTCTATCCACTTTGCGCCACTGAGTACTGCCACTGGGGTGCATCAAGGTGGAGCTTCTCTGCACCAGATGGACAACAGCCTGATGATGCAGAATGAGCAACATCACCAGGGCCTGCAAGCCGCATCAGCCGTGATGGATCCGCAGTTGCAGTACGGGGAGAACACTATGGACGAGGACGCCGCCGATATCAACGCCATGTTCGGAGGCTCCTCAACTGCAGCTGGATCAGCGACCTCCAGTCTTTTCCAAGTAGACAATAACCCCGGGTCATTCGGTACTGGTGTGGGTGGTGCGCACCAGGGTGGCGGAATCAACTCTGGAGGTGCAGGGGTGACTAGTTACTATTGATTATTTAGAGTGAGGGCGAGTGACGTCGTGGTGCCAAGGAGGCGCGCGAGTTTACGTATAATCGCCACGAAAGAGAGAGATCTCTCGTATAACGCCGGGTCTCTGAGTTTAGCTCTCGGCTTTTTTGTTTTGTTTTTGATGACTGCCTACTTGTTTCGCTCTAGGTTTTTGTTTCTCCTACGTAGATAATCGAGGTTTTCGACCCAAATTTGATGGATTGCACTGAAATCCGGACGCTTTTTTGAGGATATTTCAGCTTCTGCAACTTGTATATGACCTGTGGCAACACGGGACGGCTTGCCAAGGTCATCTACAACCCGCTTCTTATCCTTGCCTAAATAAAACCTGATGAGTTTCTGAAAATATTATATATGTCTTTTTCTATCAAGTTTGTTTGTAAAGGGAGGCTGTCACAGTTACTATCACAAAGTTCTTTGCAATTTCAATACTGAATTTGATTTTGTTATTCCTACTGCATGGAATATGGCATAGACTCGACGAGATGAGCTTCTTTTTACTTTCTTTATAGTTCATCGTTTCTCCTAGGAAAAAATTTTGAACAGCCCCGCATTTTGGAATCTAAAAATATCACAACCTGCTTACTCGTCACATGATTTTCGTTTCTTTCAGTTTCATTCGAATTTTTCAACGGTCTAATGCATGAGATTCAGATATCCTGAGTAAAAACGTACCCACACCAGAGTCAGGATGGGGATTTTGCAACACAAACCTAGGAGTTTTGTGAGTCACGCATGACAAGTTTCAGTCCGTAAGGTAGTGCAAGGTAGCAAGGAAAGCCGCATCACAAATCGATCTGCTAATCCTGTTTACAGCATTACAAGTTCCCAAACACGATTGAAAATGCCTGTCATGGGGTTGCGCATCACAAATGTTCCTGTCATGGCAAAGTCGCATGACAACTCTGGTGTGGGTACGTTTTTACTCAGGATATCAGATTGATCTTGAACTTGATGAGTAGACCTAAACTCTATATACTTCTCAGACGGTTACAGTTACTTCAGGTTTTTTTCCAAACAATTTCAATTTCTTTTTCTACTAGCTTTATCGCGGCTCGTTCTTTTTGTCAAGTATGGCTCCTCAGCTCTTTTCCAAATTGACGATATTCTACGGAACAGGTTTTCGTAATATGCACAGTGAGATGAAATCTTTATCTTGGCTCGACTTTTCGCCCTTTATTTCTTGTAGTTTTAATATCCAAAAAAATATCGCCTACAATTGATTTACGTATGATATTCTCCATCTCCCTTGTGTTGCACTTCTCTTGCTTGATATCAATGCTGATACAACAGGGAGCAAAATCGCTCCAGTGCTGTTCTTTATTTCGTTTTTTGCTGTGTTAAATGGAAAAATGAGATGGGGTATGATTCGGCTACAGAATTTGAATTTCTCTAAACTTCTGCTGTATTTCCCCTATTCGTATGGTTTTAGTCCGGTTGCAGTCTTTATCTTTCGGCCTAGCTTATTTGGGTAAGAAAATTTTCTTCGGGACGTGCAGAGTCATTTGGTTTCTTTTTCGGAGATCTTTACTACGATTTCTTCTTACAACTACTTGCGTTTCCACTAAAGCTATCACATCTACAACTCTTCTGATTTCTTCGATTTTTCCAAGCAGAAGAATGAACAGGGTAATTTTGACAACAAATATCAATTTTTATTTTATGCATTTGCCTACACTGCATTACAGCAGAATGGCTCGACCTGTGTGTGGCTTTTTTCACCATGTTGTCGGTTCCTCGTACAACAAGCACTAGTGTGTTATTTTTACAAACGCCTTTTGTACTCCGCGCGATTCGGTTGGGCACAAGTTTCAGTGAGGCTTGCATTTTTATCGTGCATCTCTATCTCGGTGGCAATACAATTCTTCTGTTACCCTTCCTCCGCTTGATTCGGTTCGTGCGCGGCAGAAGTTGTCCGACAAAAAAAGGTTGAACTTTATCATGTATCCATCGTGCGTTGAGATTTAGAACTCGTCCACCTACTGCTGCTCGGTGAGTCTGTCGTCAAGAAGACTTGTTTCGTCGGTGCGACAAATAGTTACACACTTGTTTCTTTCCACACATCGGTTTTTTGCCTCTTCGTGATTTCATGTCGTACACGACACTTCTCACCCTTCGGTTTACTTTTCGTGCTTCATCGTACAGGACATCTTGGTAGTCTTGCATTGATGTAGTAGATTTCGGTCGTCAGCCGCCCGGCGAGGGTATTTCGTTGTCGTTCCTGCCTCAGGTGTGAGATTGCAAAATGAAGAAAATCGTGCAGCTGGTGAACAACAAACCACAGCATCATTATGTGACGTTAAACAAGTTCTTTATCTTTATTTTCGAAATGCACATGCTGATTTTTATTTCCCGCAGGTTTGGCACTGTCACATTTTCAACGATTGCGTGTCGTGTTAATTGTGTACAACTACTGCGATTGCATTTGCGAAACCCGCATTTGCTGCATTCTCTCATCAATCATACAACAATTTGAATTTCTCAAGACCACTAAGCGAAGTACCCCCTCCACCATCGAAAACCAATAGAGGTGCACCCAATAAGTCATTTTGAAAACGGGACAACCGCATCAAGCAGAACTCGAACTTGAAGAACTCGAAGTCCACTGCAAGACAGAAGGAACAGCAGGAGGTGCTGGAGTCGTAGCATCGCAGAATCGTGGACGAGCATAATTTGCGTAAACCTAAACGTCAAAACTTAAAAAAGACGATGTTAATGCAGACGTCCTCGGCGCAGAAGCTGCAACGGCGTCTCACCCTTCCGATCATGGAAGAAGTGGAGGGAGGCCAGCAAAAGAAGAACCGGACCGGCGTGACTAAATCCAACGACCCCCCTGCACCAGTCGCCGCTGGTGCTGCGTCGTGGTGGTCTGCTGTGGCGCGATTCCTCAGTCAACAGCAGAACGAGAACAACTTCTGCAAGCGGCACAAAGTCAAGCGAGGAAATGACATGGATGCATTTTGTCATTCCGCCCGGTCTTTCAGTTTCTGCAGCACCACGACCTGTCGTGCCGGGCCTGCTCGTGGTCCGATCGCAGCTTCGACGTGGTCCGCGGTTTTATTTCCGAAAGGAGTACAACTTTTGTGCTTCTCCCGCCTCCTGCTTCTCTTGACCTGCTTTGGCGAAGATTTTTCTACTCTCACGACCCCCGGCATTTTCGCCTACAAGCTGCTCGACAGCAAGGTTGCTCAAGATGAAGAAGAAGGTCACGTCGGCACCCAGTCTACTAAGATGAGCTCCGCAAAAACTCCTCCCGTGGTGGTCGACGTTCAAGATAGCGGTTCGCAGCAGAATGGAGGTCCACGGACGACTAGTACAACATCAAGTGCTACACCTTCAACTTCTACTGCCACTTCGACTTCCTACGTGTCTTCGTGGTTCGACGGGTTTTTTTCCCGCAACTTCACGATGTCTTCGTCGAAGCAGTTTCTGGCGCCACGGGGAACTCCAAAGAACGGCAAGAAACCTGCCCACGGCGTCGAGGTGAGCAAGGAGCCTGAGCGAGAACGCCAAGAAGAACCTCTTGCTCAGGAACCCGAACCACATCACGACAATCTCCATGACGAGACGTTCACTCGTGACGAAGACGACGATGAAGATGACGACACAACTGAGGACGGTGAAGATTCGCAAGAAGCGGAAGCGCCGCAGCTGAAAAGCGAAAATCTCGACCAGCAGGTGGAGGGGTCTACTTCCGAAGATTCATCTTCCGATCCTTCTCGCGCAGAGCACGACCAGGGTACAAGAGCGTCGTCGAACGAAGAGGCTGAGGGTGAGCAAGTAGATGTTCTGGCGTCCGATGCTCTGAATTTCTCCGGCGAGGAAGCAACAAATGCCGCGGAGCAGCAGGCACTGACCCCGTCGAATGAAAATGATTACGATTTTCAAGACGTTGATGTTGACCGAGAGGACAGTGATAGTACGGGGGCAAATTATGGAAACCGAAATGCAAGGACCACTTCTACAACATCATTTTCTTCTTCAAGCGCGTTGGAAGATGAAGACGCAGAAGTTACTGCATCCACCGCGTCCTCTGCGATCACGCCGAGTGGCCGCACGACCCTTTTGCAGGACGACACAGGGAGCGAGTCAGCAGACGGACAAGCAGCCGTGGCACTGCAACTTCTCGCGGTGGAACAACAACATGAAAAACACGATTTCTCATTCTCGCAACCAAAAGATTTTCATGATGTTCTTTCTCCACGAGCAGGCGGACCTGCAATGCTTTACTCTCTCAACCGCACCCTAGACGACGTCGGTGCTGACAACATCAATCAGGCGCCTTTGCAAGAACAACCCGGCACGACGGCGATCGGATTTTTGCAGAAGCAGGGCACCAGCACGATGGCAGCAGCAATGAATCCAGGCGGAACTGCTACGCAAGTGGGGCCGTTTCTGCTCACCCACCTGTGGCTGCCGAAGAACTTTGACACGGACGCGATGCTGCAATTGGAAGGCGAAGGTGCGAACGAATTTTTCCAGCCTTGTGTGACGCGTGTGACAGACACGGGGGCTGTAGAGCATTGGAAGCAGGGGGAGAAGAATTTGAGGAGACAACACATTTACGAGCCTCGGGGCAACCGCGCCCAGTACCCGTTCACGAACAGCCGGCCGGAGGACGTTGGGAACACGTTCGCAGGTCGCCAGAAACTCTTCATCACGTTCGGGAACACTGGAACGGGAAAAGTATCCGAGCAAATTCTTTTTTGAAGTGTTGCCCTGCTGCAGCCGGGCCAAGGGTCTCTACGCACATCATCGACAATTCATGATGTTTTGCTACTTGTACAAACATTCTGGTCTAAGCTACGTTGTGACCCCCGTCTTTCTAGTAGTCCCCTCTCCTCTTTATTTTTCCAAGTCGCGGCACGGACGACACTGAGTACATTGTCACATGTTGGCACATGTGTGTGCATGATGCATGCAGGGGTTTAGTCATGGTCCTTGTGTGCTTGCTGCAGCAACTACATCAACAACTTTTCCCTCGCATACCGGAGCAGCCTGGCAGACAACATGATCAAAATGGCGGGCCTCGATCCCGCCCCCCCGACGGCAGATGACGATAAAGATCACGTTCACAGGTTTCTGGTAGATGACCTGATCGAGCCCCAGGAAATGTTCAAGGTTCTTGCGTTATCAATTGCAAATTCAAGAAATATGTCCTCGGGTTCTCGAAGAGTAGATTTAGAGGTAGATGGGCTGGAATGCACACAGTGCATGACAGGCGTGTTAGCGAACGCTTCTTCTACAACTTCTTGTCTGCTCCGCCTGGCATCCTCGCTCTTAGCGTATTGAGAAGCGGGAAACAACTTGTGGCACTGGTCATGCAACACAGATTTTTGTCTGGTCCAGAGGTGTGAGCATCAAATTTTTCACAAGTTATTTGAACGCTTCACGACCCAGATGACATATTTGAATATGTATAAGCGTGGTTGTTTCTCAACTCGGCCGGAATGGACATCGACACAATCATCAAGCGTAGTGATGAGCTGTATAAACGCGCGAAAAATGAGTTTGATCTCCAGCACGATTCCTCTCTTCCGCCGGCCGATGAAGACGAAATTATCAAGCGCAGCAGTGAGTTGTATCAAAATCAACTACGCGCTCAAGATCCTCTGCTGACCGCACGCATCTTCGACGAGCTTACAAAAACGAAAACCCCGAAGAACCCTCATGAGGGCGGAAGTTTGGATACTACACAGAGAAGCACTAGCATATTTCCCATGACCTTTATTGAAAAAATCCAAACAGCACAATAAAGACAAAGATGTAGAAAAATTCGTATTTTACGGAAGTGCGATTTCTGCATCACCTTTCTGCCTCTTCTGCATGGCTCCTCCATGTCCATGAAGGAATATGCTAGTTTTTTTCAAAACGATAAAGGAGGCAATCGTGCCACCTGCGGGGGCCACGGAACAATGTCCGGTTTTGCTGCGGAGCGAGAAGGGAAAAGTGTCGTATCTCGAAAAATACGCTTTTCCTGCTCTGAAGACAATTACGGGAAGGGGAAGTAAATTCACCCGAACAGATGACCTACAAGAGATGGCAGAGGAGCTGGTAACCGATCTGGAAAAACTCAAGGACGTCGAGGACCCTCAGCAGGTCGAAGAGGTACAAGCAAAATCAGAAGAGCGGCTTACGAATCTGGCACGCGTTTTTGTAATCGCTTCTGGTGCTCAAGACAAGGACGCTCAGCAAGATGATGCGACGTCGCAGCTTCGGATAAAAAAACTTGTGGAAGCACCAGGAAACGCTTTTGGCGAGAAGTTGAAAATGACATTGGGTATCGACTTTGAAGAAATTTTCCGGGTCTCGAAAGACGTTTATTAAGTGCACGTAGTGCATGACCAACCGACAACAAGCTGAGCGTAGTAGTCAGCCAAGCCGAACAACGTTTTGAAGGGCTCTGTAGTGCGCGACGTGCCTCATGAATCGCAAAAACCAAGCAGTGGTTTTCCACCACGACCACATGCATAATAAATGCTCAGAGTGCAAGGCGAGTTGTATAATCGGAGTTCAGCATTACAAAAATTGTTCCAATCTTCGAGACCCGGCAGACATGCTTGTACTTGATACCGAAGAAGATGCAGGACGGAATGGAACTCGCGTACTGGTTTTCTCGGAAGTGCTACGCAACAAAAAAACTGTCGTGTAGTTAGTCTTTGTGCCGGTTGTTTGTAACACAGAATGTGCAAGACGAGAAAACCGGCTGCACTCATCATTTTGTGCATCGTCCCACACCTTTTCATGATGGATGATTTCACGTACTAGCGGTGCAGAACATCTTGCCAAACAAAAAAATTGTGATGCTTCTCCAAACAATGGAGCACTCGAAATTCGAATGCTCCATTGTTTGTATATTGTACACTACACATACAATTATTTTTGTCCCGGATAAGCGCGGCCTTCGTTCGTTGCCTATGGCGGCACAGGAGAAAATGACGAACATTCCTAAAACTGTATGGGGCGTTTTCGAGAACGCTAGGCCCCCGCGTCTCGATGTGGAAGAACTGAATAACTACGCACAGGCGCAACGTCTACTAGAAGAGTACCACGTTCTTGGGGAGAATACGCTAAGCCCATTGGGATACGCCGATTGGCTTGACGATGTGACGCGATGCGTGTCAAGTGGCCTGAAACCAATGACGCAGGCGGAGTGCAAAAAAGCCAGATCCGGCTTCGAACGCGACTCCACGCGGTTTGCGCTGAACGACATATACGACATTTGGATTGGGGCCAACCTTGTCGAGAAGGTGCTTTTGTGGCAGCGCAATGTCGATCGGTCGCTGGCAAAGGTGCGGGGGTTCACTAATCCGTGGACCGCGGAAACCGGGCCGCGGCTGCCGAAAAAAGGGTGGCAGACGGACTCCTGGGTGTTGCGGAACCACATCGTAGAAGCGTGGGAGAGGATGCAAGAAGTACCAAAACCGAAAGAGATAATGCCAGGGCCTGGCGGTAGCGGGGCGATTGTGTCAAGAGAGCAAGGGGGACGAGAGACGGAAAAAAACTTGGAGCAAGAAATAAAACCGGCTGTCACAATTCAGCATTTTGTCTTGTTCAACAACAATCCGAATCGGGTAGTGTCACACATAGACGCCAGTCAGCTGGTGATGCACGTCGAAGCCAGGCAGTTCTTAGCGCTTGCCCCAGACGCAAGCGATTTGGTGAAAAAAGGGCACGCGTATTGCAACAAACGGAGCTTGTTTTCCACACGCGGCACGATCCAGACGCCACTCATGTACAAGCAGGTGGATGATAAGCTCGATTTTGCCCATCGCTACTATTGCGTGACTGCCAGTGGGCAAACGTCGTCCATCCGCAATATTAGCCCAGGTGCAGGTAGCGACCTGCCGGAGGTGGAGGAGACGAAACAAGAACAACTAAAACGGCTACAACACGACGGAATTAAGTATTGCGAGGGACACAAGCAGGAAGGCAAGAAAGAGACCTGCGCAGCAAGCTACTGCAAATTTGAGATGCAATATGACAGTGCACCATGGCCCTCCTCCCCTCAGTGCTAGGGCAGGAGCAGGAACGCAAACAATGTCACAGAAGGCGCCCGCACGGCAAATGCAAAACCGTACACGGACTTGCGTACTAAAAGAAATTGTTTGGGTTCCGGTGCTGTCGCTGTCCTGCAGGCAATGCACATAAAGAAGCGAATGTTCTTGAATTTGAGTGGATCTGGATTTTATATTTTGCATTCTTTCCATGATTTTGATTTCCAAATGAAACTTGATGAGGGAGGCGAGGGTGGGTGTTGCACTCGCATACGCAAGCCGCAAACCCAGCAGTGTTGGAAGACCAGTTTAGTGGTCTGCGCGCGACGGTTCAAGAGTACCAAAGCCGGTGGAACAATGCAGTTACAAACGTGGTGTATCAGCAGATCGTGCCTGGAGCGTATGATCTAGAGGCAGGAACACGCCGAATAGAAACGCTACAGGAGGGAAATGGGGGTGAAAAGCTTCAGGGTCTTTTGACTGAAATGACCCAAGTTCTGGAGTGGGTCTCGCATTTCGCCACGACGTATCCCGCGTAAGTAAAATCCAGGCCTCAACAAGCGAATTCTCGAGGAGCAAGTATGTGTTGTTCGCCGTTGCTGGAAGAACTTGCAGTGTAAATTAAGCTCTGGAGAAAAACGCAGGCAGACACTCATTCTTTTAAAGAATGTTCTTGTGACACATCTATTCATATGCTCTATGCTTGTTCACGCACACAAGCTCCAGATTGCGTTTCGCTCAAAGAGCTGCTGTTTGTGTCTCGCGCGAAGTTGCCGCCTTGCTGGCAGCCTCCAAGGCAGCGAGTTTGCGTGAGGATGCGTGGCTCTTGCCGAACACAAAGGGAGCACTTTGACAAACAAGTCGAAAGTTTGTCCGCAAAAAAACGAATGAGACGCCCGTCATTTTCGCGGGGCACCGATGATTGAATGATCAGATTTCAGTTGCATGTGCGAAATCTTCTCTGCGCGAGCAAGTTCAAGTACGTGTGTGCATGCCGTATGAAGCAGTAGATCTACTAGATACAGGTAATGGCCTTGATTTTTTTACTAAGGATAGTGACATGGTGAAGCTTCCGACATTGCCGCCGTTGGAAGCGGTGGAACAAACCGACACTCTCGGGGTATCACAAGCAAACAAGATCGTGATGTCACCGTCTGAAGCATTTCTGTTCATGCAAGAAGATGATCGAGATGGAGATTTACATTTAGGCTGCGACATCAGCTCTCCAAAAATCTTGCTTTCACTGCAACTGTGTGCCCGCGAAGGCACGGGCAGCAGGATGGAGAATCACAACATGACATCCTGACGTTCATCGGTCAGTGGCCAGGCATAGTCAGATTGTTCAGTACGAAGAAACTGGGTCATAAGCGTTTTGGTCTGTTGCAACAGATGTTTGCGCGGACATCTGACTAGAAATCTTGCATTTCGGGACGGGGACAACATGTCTTTCGTGCATAAACAACTCAGATGGCCCAACTCCAGCTGGGCTTGGCGAATTTCCACTCCCAGGAGCCAAGGGTACTCTCTTTTGACGGTGATACATAGAGTATAAATAGATAAGCGGCGCCTCAACAACTTTCTTCATCCAACACCCATGCCTCGCAGGATGCGTGCACCATTAGAAAAAACCTTGCAGTTTGCTGCTTTCAGCTAAAGTGCGAGATTGTTAAACTTCCGTCTGAGATTTCACAACGCTTATTTGCATGCTCTCTCACTCTTGGGGCGCGAAAGGTGCTGAATACTAGGTACCAGAAGGCAGTGGCTAGTTGAAAAACAACATGTCTACATGGAAACCGACACGTTTTGTTTTGCTCAGTTGTAGCAAGACGAAATGTTTCCATGCGGAAGCTTTGGCCCATGTGACATTGTTTTTACACAACAGGTGGAAGTGCAAGAAGCCGCAGGAGTGGACCCTCGATCCGGGCAACCGCAAATAGATCAGTTACATCACGGGAGAGAACAAACTCCTCATCAACAAGACCTGGAAGTGGAGCAGGTGCCAATAGCTGTATGCTTACAACATCAAAATTGCAGATTTATTGTTCTTCAATATTTCATGTTACCATTTGCATTTCTTTTCATCTTCTCGTTCTTCTAGTGTCGACGCGTGACTTGTCTTGTTTCGTCGGTTGTGCCAGTACCGGATATAAGTCCCGTAAAGAATGATTATATTAGGAATAGCGAGCTGCATCTTACCCGACTAGCGGAACACACCAATAGGCAAATCTGGAACGTTTTCATGTCCAGAATATTTAGTGGCATAGAGTGCGATCAGAGTTGTGGTGCTTAGATGACAACAGCGTTCTTGGACAAAGTTGTACATCAGACGTAGGACAGGTGCAACACGATAAAAATACTACTACAGGTTCCACAAGCATCCGCTTCAGTGCCCGGTGAGCCACCGGTGGCCTCCTCCAGCCCTCGACGCGGTCCTGCTGCATTGTCATTTCCTCCGGGGGGTATGACGGAGACGGCGGGTTCTGGCGATCTATGTCTCGCAAAAGTGCTGTCGCAGTTGTTAAAGCAGTCGATCCGTTTCCGGAATGAGCATGTAATCATAGCTTCGCATGATCATGTGTTAGTGCTTCGTTCCTGCATTCCAAATAAGTAATGACCTCCCCCGGCGTTCACCGTCTTCATCCAATATTGATGTAGTAAAGGAATGTATGGCTATGAGTGACTAGCCACCCATGTTGCATTGGGATGAAGACATGGGCCATCCCCATGCCGAGTTGTGATGCTGGAAGCTGCTGCTACGGCTGCGACACTTTTGCCTTTGACACGTCCTTGGAACACCACGAGGCCCGACTTCGCCCAGGGGACTAGACGGGGTCGGTATCGTCGGGAGAAGCTTTTCCCAGCGGAAGGAAGCGCAGGCCGCCGCAGCACCATCCTCATCCACGGCAGAACATGACGACGAGCTCTTGGCTACTTCTGCACCGGAAGAGTTATCCAGACGCGACAAGCACTCGTCCATCGTGCCGACACCAAGCAGCACAGCTTCACCTTCGTCCCCCCTAGAAGATGAAGTTGTGCAGGAGGAGAAAAAAAACGAAGTGGCGTGAGCAAGCACAGGCTCAGGCACATGGAATGTCCGAAGACTGCCGGCGGTACTACCAGCACGTTAAATTGCATCCACATCAGAGGTGCCATTGGCAAAGGTCAAAGCACTAATTTCAATTTGTCCCTCTATGGATTTTTACGCGGTATATTTCGAATCAGGAGAATTTGATAGCACCCACCCATCCGATTTCGTAACTTTTTTCATGTAGAAGCAACGAAAAACAGGACTACACTTCAACTTTTTAGAACAGCACTGCTTTGTATCCTTCCCAACTTTTCAGTAGACTTTTAACTTTTAGCACCGACCTCTTAACTTTTCATCAACTCTAATCTTAACTTTTTCTTTTTCTCAGGCTTACGAGGCCACAGCTGCTGTACCCACCTTGTATCTTTCTTGAACTAGCACTAGCATCTTGAGAGGAAGGTAAACCCTTCACACGGAAACCACGACTCCATCACTAACAAACAAACAAACAAGATTCGTTTTTTTTTCACTAGTTGTAGTTTTTTTTTCACGCCTTTTTCATTTTTTTCAGACGCAAAAGCACAAATTCAATTTTTCATTTGAAGCACATCATCATCAATTTGAAGTTTGATATACGTAGAATTGGCAACAGAACAACATTACCTGAAGCATAGTAAAATAAAGTAAATTCCAAACCATTTCTGTTTCATGACTTTTTCAGAGTTTTTCTTTTTTGCCCGCCGCGGTTTGAGCTTTCAACATTCATCAATCCATTCTCATTCTGTTTTGCATCGATTCAAGCAACGCACAAAAATCAGTTTTTCGCCCTCGAAGGTGTAGCGTGACATCAAATTTCGTCTGTATTCAATTCCCTTTTACAACTTTTTTTCTCGGGTGTGATTCATTTCAGTACAACTTTTTCGTTTATTCCCGCATACTTGAATTTCTATGCCGCCGAGTAGAGGTGTGGATGCGCAACAAGTATTTATTTCGAATGCTAGTGCTGCACAAAGGCAGCTGACAAGAAGATCCGGGTCTAAAAATACTTTATTGTATGTCTAGATCAGACCGACGAAAGGATTCTTGCCGTAAAGTAGAGTTGTAGCGCTAGTGCTCGCCATCCCACCAGAACGAAGAAAGATTTGAGAGACAACACATCAAGCATAGAAAAAAGTATATCTGCAGATCATTGTTTACAGGGTTCTTTCGTTTGTTAGTTCATCTTTGCAGTAGCAGTTTACTAGTTCCATCTCTATTTTCGTTTATCAGCATAGAAGAAGAACCCGATTTAAGTAGAGCGCATGATCAGCTGAAATGAATAGATCCTAGAAGGTCAGGTGCAACGTCGGCCGTGCTTACAAAATCCACCTGCCAATTATTCCGCCGACAGTGGATCATGCGCCGAGAGGACTACTTACTCAATCATGCCAAAGAATATAATAAGCAAGAGAAAGACTAACATCTTAATGCAAGAGCTCCATGCGTACGTCTAACTACTGTCACAAATAAAGCATTTCCTCACTAGAAGTCGTAGTCCGTCGTTGCAGGTCAGGTGCAGTTCGGTCTGAATAGATTTGGTGTAGCGAGTGAAGTCCTCTTCCTCTTCGGTAACGCAGTCGTTCTTTATTTTCCGTCTGAATTTTGATTTTCTAGCATGTTTGCGAGCATGATACTGAAACATAGGATGGAAGCTTCGTGAACTACTCGTGTCGGTCATTTTGCGCTCTTACTTTTTTATCATCTGTTGCTCGTCCATCCTTCTTCTGTCCCTGCCATCAGGTAACCGCTTCGTCGGTCTAGCAGTAGCAGCGGCTGGTAGCTCTACTAGCAGCAGTAAATTTTTGGCACGACACAAGTTGTACAAACATGTACTTCTGATCGCGTCGCCCTCTCGTCCAGCACCTCTGCGCTGTCTTCGGAGAAGATAGTAGGCGTGAGGTCGTGAAGATGTCGTGCATCTGCTACTAGTCGTACACCACTCGCAGATCATGGAAGTGTAACTGACACTGCGTTTAATCACTACATTACTTCTGCTGCCGCGGCTCGTCTAGACTTTTGATTTCATTGCAAATCAATAATTGAATCATCCCATGTCAACTACCACTGTGATACTACAGACGCCACCCGCACCCTTTGTCACGACCTAGTAGTACCCCCTAGATACGAAAAAAAAAGTATAAACGGCAACTGACCCGCTTTGTTCCAGAGGCTGTGGAACAAAGCAGCTTCTTGAAGAGATGTATCCCCATGCTATAATCGGATTTTGTTGTAACAGAAACTTGAAATAAGAATGACGAAAAAACCTGGCCTCAGTCAACGACGTTACCAATAGGGTATCAGGGCAGGCTATTCCTGCCGCGCGTCGGAGGAGGGAGTTGTGCCGAGCCCCGCTCGAACTAATCATCAATGAGAATGCAGGTACGACATCAGTAAGCTACGAGGCGAAGGCCAGTACGAAATCCTTCATCTACAATGATAAATGCAGTCTTTACCCCAGTAGCTGTCGGAGCTCCACCTGTTATTTTCACATGTAGCTTGTTTTGCTTTTCATGATCTGTTGTTCAGTATCAGTTCCACCCTGAATGTCCCCCGATTAATTATTCACATTGTTCTTGTTGTTTGAGGTCGCAGTGAATTCCGAACTCTAAGGCTGGCAGGGGTTGGAGAACGAGAGGTGGCTCCGGAAGAAAATAAGTAAGTACTTTAACCGACGCACCATCATCTTCACGACGACGATCACGACCCAGTAGAGCTGCCGCTTGTGAATTTGCAGCGATGACGGACCAAGCGGAGATGAAGCAGCCCGCCCGGTGTTCTTGAACACCACTAAAAAAGACCATCGGCACCGAGGATGAACACGACAAGTAGAGCCGCAAAGATGTTGTTGCCGTGCTTTCAACATCTATCGCATTTGTCCTCGTCGTCCTTGCGGGTAGGGTTGCAATTATGTGTCGTGCTGCTACTTTTCCCACACGACACGACGCCGCCCACAAATATTCACCTGCGACCAGGACGACCACATGATGCCAAGAACCTGGAAGAAGCACGAGACCACCCCAGAAGTACTTTCCTCTTCGTCGGTGCGGTCCGAGTTGTGGACATCGACCGGGCCGGATGGCCGGACGAGGTCATGATCGTACCGTCCTCTGCGGCGGCACAAAAACAGGCGGAGGAGGAAGCGAGAAGGGCCGCGGCGGCCGCAGCAGGGAACCCCCATAATATGCTGGGTCAACATGGATTTTATTCCGGCGCCTACAACTTGCTGCAACCGGTGAGCAGTTTTTTGTCGGGCATTTTCGAAGGAATGTTCTCCCAGTTGAAGAGGCTGAAGAATGTCCGGATGTCCTCCTCGACCCAGTTCCTGGCGCCGCGGAAGAAGGTAGAGGAAAATCAAAACACGGCGGGGGGAGCGGCCTCTGAAGACGGAGCAAGGAACGACTTCCTCGAAGATGCAGGTGAACAGACCAATAGTGCAAGAACAACTTCAACATCTTCCACCGCGGAACACGTCGCGCGACACCCAAACGCAGGAGGAGCAGAAGCTGAAGCTCAGCGATTGGACCAAAAATCCGATGGAGTTATAACCGGGCCCGGTGGACGAGGAAGAGCAGCTTCCAGCTCGGTGGAGCAGACAACAAGTGTACTGGAAGTAGAAAAACGTCGCCCTGAAGATGGAGGTGGAGCAAGAAAAATGGCGGGACCACCTGCAGATGTTGTTCTACCCGCACCAGCGGAAGAAGCAGGAGCAGCGGGACCAGCTTCCCCTCGTCCACTTACCGCCCCTGACAAACTACAAGCTGATGATGAGATGAAAACAGTTCCGACGTTGATCGTGCCAACATCATCTTCTTCCATTTCTTCCTCGAGGACTCATTTTGATGCGCAGAGCTCAGCCACTGAAGAAAAATCTTCAGTGCCTCCTGCTTCACAGGTGCAGCAAGAAGAGGAGGCGTTGACAACAACACCTTCTTCTTCTAGTACCGCATTTCAATTTTTGCAGGAGAAAACAGTGGACGATACTACTGCGACAAACCCTCCTGCGCAGAACCAGCACCAGCAGGGGCCAGAAGTTGTACTGCCTTCAAAAACCGCACAAGAAAGTCGACCGGAGGTGGTAGATCCGCCGGCTCTCTCTCCTGCGGCCGTAGTTGTGAAGACTGCAAGCCGAAGTGGCACGACGACGCAGCTGCACGATCAAGCCGTCAGCATGGCAGAAACCACGACTTCTGCATCCACTACTCCCAAAGTAGGTCGTAGCGCCAGTGCAGAAGAAGCTACTCTCGCTGCGGGCGGTTCTGAGGACGCACGTACAACTACAGCACCTCCTTCGGCTGGAAAGGAAGACGCTGTTGAAGCTTTTCTTGAAAATCAACAGGGTGAGAACTTGAAACAACGAAATGGAAATCCAAATTTTGGAACAGGAACATCAAGCCACCTTCTTCATCCAGAAGATGCAGCTAGTACATCAACTACACCCACGGTGACGTCCACAGTGGAAAATAGTCACGATCTGCCACTTCATGATGATCCACGACCTGTGCAGCCCCCGGCCGCTGGAGCAGGGGCCGCGGCCACGGAGACGGCTGCGGAAGGCGACAGTGAGCTGCTCGACGACGCTCCTGCTCCCGCAACGTCAACAGCGCAGGTCTCTTCCGGACCCCAAGGAGCGCGACGGCCCAGAGAAGTAGATCCAGTAGAACAACAGGGCAGTGCTCCTGTCGGTGAGTTGGCTAAGTTTTCCTCATCCGGTCGCGGTGATCAAATGAACAGTGAGGCAGCTGCAGCGTTACGAAAAAGCGGAGATAAGGTTGCTGTTGCTCCTCCTGCTTCAGAGGTGGGAGGAGGTGCAGCAAGTGGAAGTAGCGAAGGAACTACCTCCGCACGGCGAAGGAGCAAAAATTATGGAGAAGATGAAGTGGCGGAAAATTATGCGGAGAGTTTCTTGAATTCAGTGCCAGCACCAGCAGCGCCGGAGAAAGACAATGTCAAAACTGCTGTGGACGAAGATGAAGAACCAGTTCGTGGACAGCAGAAGGTTGTTCTTCCTGCGCCTTCGCCCAACGAAAAGAAAACTGCCTCGCAATCGCTCGCACAACTAGATGACCTTCGCAGCCGCGGCTCGGAACAAGGGTCCGCGCACAACTCTGGGCAGCAGCACGACCCGAGCCCCGCCGGGAACACCGAGCAGAGGGCACTGAAGCAGCCGTGCCCCGAAGGCGAGGGGCACCAGCAGCTGTCCGAGGGTTGTACCGCTGCGAGCGGTGGTGGAGCAGGAGCTGCTTCCGCTGCGTTCGTGCAACTACCCGGAGTTGTGCTCCCGGAAAAGGACCAGGTTGCGAATTTTGGCGGCGAGCTCATGTTGAGTGGATCTTCAGGGGGACCAGTAGACAAGAACAGCACCAATATGGGCCCAGGAGGAGAACGAGGCTCGGTTGAGCAACAGCCCGCGGAAGTCGTTTCTGGTGTGGTTGAAGAACAAAAAGATCCGGCGCAACTGGGTAGTACTACAACTAGAACAACATCGCCTGCTGCCATGTCGAACAACGATAAAGTAGAAGATGAAAACAAGAACTTAAACTACATCAAGCTTCCCCTCCCGATGACAATGAAGCATGGGCATCAAGCAGGAGAAAAAGCGGATCTTCAAGTAGATGAAAAAAACAACCACAACGACCTGGTGGATGGAGCGGTCCCGGGAGATCGTCGTGAAGGCAGCGCGGCGGAGAGCTTTCCCACCGAGATGACCGCCGCTTCCTTCGCGGAAGAGCAGGATAAAAGAAGTGCTACTAGTACTGGTGCTGCCGAAGCCGAACAGGGCGGCGACGGAGAAGGTCTCGCAGCGACGGGTGCTACCACTGCTGCAGAAGCGCCTCCCGCTGCACAAGATCATGCGGTGGAAGATCATGCTCCGCGTCAAGATATGCTGCGTAAATCTACGAGGCCCACGACACCCTAGAGTCAAGATGGGAATTTTGCCTTATAGATACATCCAAAAGGGGTTTTCAGAGTAACTACGCATGACAAGTTTATTCTCTCTGTATGCTAGTGAAGTTTAGCAAGGAGATCCAAAGAACAAGCAAGAAGCCACCTGCTTACAGCATTGCAAATGCCAAAACACGACTTCCAAAAATGCTCCTCATGAGGACCGGCATTGCAACAAGTGTTCCTGTAGATGCAAAAATTCCAAACCGTTCCAAAAAAAAACTGCACGACGGCTCTGGGGTGCTGGGGATGTTTTTCCACAGGATACAAGAAGATCTAGGCGCCAGCACTTCTAGTGCAACAACTTCGGCGGCTGTTGCACTTCTCGAAGAGGTCGTGGGTGGTGCCGCTGCTGCGGGTACGAAGGTCACTACGGTCGCGTATCCAGGAAAAAAACTGTGTAAGTGTAACTCTGTAGGGAAAATAGCATCACAAATTCGCTTTGCATTGCAGGGAAAACCTGTCATGCGCAGCCAGTACGTGAAAACACCTGTGAAAGTAACCTATGACGCAGACCCAGCATGACAAGTGTAACAGTTTTGGACTTTCTGCATCACAGACTTACACTCACATACTTTTTTTCTTGCATATCGCGCCCGTGGCGTCGATTGCTCCTCCTGCACAAGAAGGGCGACGCGAATATGGCGTTCTCAAATCGGTTACCTTCTCAACTGTTACATGAATTTGTAATGCAAGATTAGCACAGGCGAGAGGGAGAACCTTGCGCGTCTTGCATTACAGGTTTATTGGTGCGGATTACAGTGCTATTTAGCCCTCCGAGAATTTATCATGCGAAGCAGCTTGGTCGTGTGGCGGGTCATGGTCATTTTGCATGACAAAGCATGTAACAGTTGAGAGTGTAACGTTTGAGAGCCCCATAGCGAAGGTAGTGGCGATGTTGTTCCTCTACTTCGGGTATCACTTGCAAAAATGTCTGGGTCTGGAAGGTTGAAACTTGTGATGCGCATTTCAGAACACAGAAAAATCTCTCATGCATAGGCAACAAAAGTTGCCCACTTTCTGTCACCAAAATCAGGGATTTGTCATGCGGATCCGGCATTGCGAACGCTTCTCGAAACCTGTGATGCTAGAGCTTCCATGCCATACCTTCTGTGTCATGCAAAAGCAGCATGATTCTTCCAGACCCAGACATTTTTACATTTGATATCGGGAGGACGCTAGTGGAGGCGTGGTGCCTCCTGGTCGTGCGTCTCAGGAATCAGGGCTGTTGCCTGGAGTAGTAGAGGGGGAGGAGCAGGTCGGCGTCGGGGACCAAACGGCCGTCGCGTCCTTGGTGCAGAAGGAAGCGCATCTTCTGAAGCAGAGCAGGTCACTTGACGACAAAGTAGCGCCGCCTCAACCCTGGGCTGAATACGCACAACTTCCTCCGGTAATTGTCAATAAAGATCTACAACAAGAGACGACTACGTACTGGCGGGCTACGTTACCAAAAGACGTGTACGACGCAATAGTGAACCCTATCACAGAGGATTAGCATTTTGTTAATCGCGTAGAATTCTTTCGACAGAAACCGAAGCACCAGCTGCAGGAATCTAGTCCGGACCTTCACGGCATGAAAGAAACGTGTCATGACGCAGCCGCACAGAGTAGACAGAAGAGCAAGAGCAAAGGGGGCAAGGGCATGCTTCGAAAATATAGATATATCCATCGTTACTTCTTGCTGCATAATAAGATCAAAATTGAATATTTCAAACGAAATGGACGAAAAGTTGTCCTGTAAATTACTTTGCTACAACTGGTCGTGCAGCAGTACAGCAGATGTATGAATCAGCGCGATGAAACTACCACGCTTTTTTTCTGTGATAGATCCGGTAGGTGAGGTTGTGGACGAGAAGGACCGGCAAGAGCTTCGAAAGTTGGCTGCTGAAGGCTGTCTCCTTCCGACGCCGGAGTTAAAGAAAGAACCCCTCGCAACAATAGGACCAGACAGGCGGCCACTGGTGACGGAGCCTAAAATGAAAAGGAAAAAAATGACTCCGGTCATGCAGTATCAGCAGATTGGGACACCGGAGGAGGATTGGCGGGGAGTATCGGAAACCAAAATATCGGAGGCCGGAGAGGAGTCATGGGTTCCAGATCCATACGCCAACGAGGAGAACCAGAAGCTGCTTGTACAACTGGCCGTAAACAATGTCAATAGCATCGACAATAAACCAAAGCTCTTCATCACCTTCGGCAACACGGGTACCGGGAAGAGCCTTCTCGCTGAGAGAATGATTGAGATGGCGGGGCTCACTTCCTCGGATCCGAATAATCCGAAGGTCGAAAAATTTCTTGTTGACGACCTGGTGGAGCCGCAAGAAGTCTTCAAGGTGTATGGGGTTCTCAAAAGTTACGTTCTCAACTGTTTACATGATTTGTCACGCAAAAGCACTATCAACAACAACCAAGGAGAAGGAACAACTACATGAACATCGCCACGGTGAAGATCAAGCTACTTCGCATGACAAATTTTGGAGGACTCACTAAATAGCACTAGAATCCGCGCCAAATCTGTAATGCAAGACGCGCAAGGTTCTCCCTCTCACCTGTGCTATTCTTGCATTTTGACTCCGCGACCCGGTGGCCTGACCATCTGCGGAAAGATGCCCTATGGGTGCGTTTGTGGTTTCGACGGTCGGTTTAGCATTACAAATCCATGTAACACTTGAGAATGTAACGCTTGAGAACGCGATAAGGTGCTGGGGTGGGTTTTTCTCAATGCAGCCGGGCATGACTTGCGGCAAGTCTTGCCCGGATTTCGTGTAGAGCCTGGAGAGCCTGATCCTGAAGACACGCACTCGCGGGTTGAAGCAAAAAAATCAGTTCTGGAGGACCTCGTCAAAGAGCTTGAGGGCCACATCAAGCTCAGAGACGATTATTCATGCGCGAGCGACGCAGTAGAGCTTCTGACGAAAACTCTTCCGAAGACCCTTCGAAACGCAGGGACGCTAAAATCGGGACAGGTTCGACGTGTCCCACGTGCACACGATGCTCCGGACGTTGATGAGAACACTGGAGAGTGGGTGCCGTTGTGGAGCGATGAACCGCTACATTGGAATTTTGGCTGGGATCTGATATGGAACCTTGCCATGCTCCATGACGAGAGGCTCTATCCCGATGTGGGGGGTGCACATTTGTCAATACCCAAAGACAAGACGATATGCTGTGTAAAAGTATCGTAGTAGTATTACACGCAGGTTGCTGGAGTTGCAATACCGTATACAAAGTCTTGTTCTCTCAGAACATTTTTGATACCTGAAGATTCGCCACGAAGAACTTCGAACGTGGCACAATAAAAAAGGCATATTTATACGACGCTCTGAAAGGTTTATAGGCTTACCGAGCTTGTTGCCTTAAACCCATCAAAGCCACACCGGAACTCTACCTGGCTTGCGGGATTGGATGGTGAAGCAGACCTGCCGCATCTAGCAGCCCAGGAACGTCTACTCGTGTAGCTAAGCGGAAGAGGAAGTCAGCAGTTGCGGCTCTGTGTGACCTGTAAAAGAGGTGTTCGATCGGGACCCACCTATGGGCACCGGCACAGAGTCCAGCTGTTGTGGTTCCCAGGGACTAAATCCGCTCTAGCGCCAGTTTGCCAGGATTAAAGTGGCTACCGCTTCAGCTTCTTCAAACGACACTCCTTCCTTTTATTTTCATTTTGGGTAGGTTTAGCTATGTGTATGTCATGTGCAGACTCATGGAAGACTTACTAGTGCGATGCTTTTGCAATGCATGAATGGGGAAGCCGCAGCAGCGGAACGGGAAAGGAAACTATTGGTGGGACTACACGAAATGGGGAGCCAAAGCCGACAGGAAGGAGGAAAGGGAAGGCAAACTTATGATGACTCCCGCCGAATACGAAACTTTGTCCGAAAATATTAGATCAAAAAATCCCCCCTCCATGTTCAGCGGAAGGCTTCGTATGCAGCACACGGCTCCTGCAGGTGCATCACCCTTCGCTTTTTCGCTATACGTCTAGCGGTTTAACGCGGACGAGGAAGATGTCTCTGACACAGTCGAAAACGCACCACAGATTGTTTGTCGAATGCTCCGCAGGGGCCTCGCTTTCCCTGAATGCAAGAACACAAAACCAAGACTAACAAAACAGCGCCACACCGAATTTAGGAGTCGTACTCGTAGATGGCTTTGCATTCATTCAGGTCTCGTGTCCGAGGCGCGACGGGCCTCCTAGCTTAAAAAGTGAAGTGATGAAGAACCTTAGCGACCTCTCCTGTAGTTTCGATAAAGTCTGGTGATGCTGCCACTAATGCTGAAACTGGAACCGAAAGAAAATTTAGAAAAGGACTGTCCGAAAAGAAGCGTCTTTTGTATGTGCGCCGATGTGGCGCACAGATCATATCTATGGCCAGGTAGGTCGCCCTGCCGCGCAAGTGCGCGAACCGAGAGCGGATTCCCCGCAGGTCTACAGCTGAAGTACGGGGCTTGGTTTTGATGGATTACTGACTGAATATGCATCGACACGCTCACTCGCATTCAGCGATATTGACCCGTTTCACACGCGCGCAGCCCCTGGCTGAGAGGCGAGGGCGCTCGCCTGAGACTGTAGAAACCTGCGGCAAGATAATACAAACAATAATATAGGAAATAGTCAACGGAAAAATAGAAGGGAACGTCGCAAGCTTCACTGCCTATTTTGGGCGGGGGGATTTTTCCTAACGAGGAAAGAAGATAGCCTGGACAAAGGCTACGAGAATAGCGTAGCCTGGACAAAGCGTGCCGGCCCTGTTAGGCGGGACAAAACGGAGCTGACCGAACTCGAACGAAAGAAGGTCGAGCAAGAATTAGAAGGGCCGATCGGGATTCGTCTCTCTCATGTCGCAACGGCGTTTCGATTTAGCAATGTCGCAGGGGACACGGGATCGCAATCGCCCGTCCAAAGAGAGTACCAACGCCACGTGCTGGAAAGGTTGGTTCATGCAATGGATCTAACCTACAAGTTTTCCCGCTATTGCGGGTTCGCTACGAACCCAAAAGCGATGGAGGGAGAAAAAAGCGCAAACGATGCTAACGATAGATATATATACGATTAACGGTGTGAAGAATCCATTCTCCCGAACATTCGAAAAATACTGCGCGCGACATATCTGGTCTGCTGGTTCCCTGGCCTTGAAACCTAGCGCGAAGGTGCGTCTGTAGCTCTTGCGCGACTCGCAGGAAGCGGGAATGCTTTGGGCTTCTGGATGTTTTTAAAATTTGCAAAATGTAAAATTTGCGGGCAAACTTTCCGGCAAATGTGCGGCTAAAATAGTGCTGCAGCAAATTTGTGTCAAATTTCCGACAAATTTGATGCAAATTTTCAACGATTTGCAGCAAACTTTTTGCGTCGCAATACTGCGTCGCAATATTGCGACGTCTCCTGAAAGAGTTTGTTCTAGGACTCTAGTCCCGTTTGTTGGCGTGTTGGCGCGACGCATTTTCGAGCGCGTCATAGCAAATTTGAAGCCAGCCAGAAGCAAATTTGAAGCAAATAGAAGCAAATTCGAAGCAAATTTGCAGCAAATTTGATGTAGCAAATTTTGTTGCGCCCCCCACTGAGGCTGTCGCCTTCCCGTAAGCTTGTGAGCGAGGGCCGCGCATGGTCTCGCCAGATCTGGTGGCTCGGTGGGACGCAAAGCTAGCTGCCTGCGTCTCGTTTCTTCTTTAAAAAAAAAGCCGCGGACAATATTTTTCGATGACGGCCAGAATGGATACTTTAAAGCGCTAATACGAACGCATAAAGCAGCAAAAGCACGCCCTAATCGAGAATAACCAAACGCCTCTTGGAATCATCGAATGGCTGAGGAACCCTCCACCAGAACTAGGAGCTGGAGTTGCGGAAGCCTTCCATGGCTACGAGATCTGGCTTGGAATGAATCTCGTGGAAAAAGAGGAACTGTGGGGTCGCATGGTCGCGCGATCACTGGGAAGTGTGACATCATTTACCAATCCGTTCACCGCAAAAACTGGCCCGCGACTACCGGCGCAAGCGAACGCAGACGCGTGGATTATCCGGAACCCGGTATCCAACGTCTTGAAAGCTATAGAGACAGGAGAAATATTGATATCCCCCACAAAAAGAAAAGTTTGTCTGCACTTTGGGCCCGCGGCAGTTTTTTCTGGCGGAGAAGACAAGGCCAGTTTATATCTTTTTTGAGTTATTTGCAAGAAAAGGGATAAATTGAATAGAGAGGCTGCATACTACTGCTGGCTTTACCGTGCGCGCTCTAAACAACTACATATAGTCAAATGAGTCTGCGCACCACAGAGCCTCGTCATCACGTGGAACAGAGCCAAACAGTTTTAGACTCAGGGCGCGAAAAAGCTCTCAGTGCAAGAATTTTTTGTTGGGATATTGAACCAAAAAGAAACATCGTCTCCTCGCAGACGTGCGACATTTTATTGTAGTCGACAATAATGGGAGTAATGGCGAAGACAGGCTTCTGGCCGCTGTGGATCTCAAGACAGGCGTTGCGGCCACGGCGGGCCCCCCAATATGCACGAGAGATGTCACAGACGTGATGGGCCTGCCCTTGCAGTGGGAACTAATGGACGTTATAAGCCGAAGCCTTCATCGGGAGTTCGAGCGCCTCACGGGTGGCGGTTCATCGCCTCGCACGAGCGTCACTCTGGGCCTCGATACCGCCTTTCTGTGCAGGCCGGACCACGATTACTCGACGGATCTGGAGATCCAGAGCGACATCACTGCATCAGCATTTCTTGAGAATCACGCAGATATTTGTGGCGCAGAGAATTTCGGCAAGAGATTGCCTATGCAGGTCACTCCTCTGCATTTGACGCAGCAATGCAAAGCAGCACAGGACGAGGTCGAGCTCGAGAAGCAGGAGCAAGAGCAACTTCCGTCGCCTGCTGGTGAAAAACAAGAAAAGAAACTCGAAGCGAAGGGATGCTGGGAGAAATATTGTGGCTTCGAAAGCCGGTATCACCTGGAAACAAATAATGGTTTAAAAGAGAAAATGCAGTCACATATACGCATCCACATTGCCGCGATTGAAAAGTCCGCACTCGCGTTAGGGGATCCGGCCGAAATTGAACGAGAGTGGGCCGCTGAAAGAGACAAGCGGCCCAATCCTGAAGCCAAGCCTCCCTTACACAGTGCAGCACGGGAACTAACGGAGAAAAAGGAGGGTGGGTTTTGGTTGCGGGTGGAACTGGCACAGCTGCAGCTGGAGAGACCCGACAAGCCCAAGTTCAACAACGCGATTAATTGGTTGGAAAAGCAGGACTGCACCGCGCTGAAGACTAGCGACCCTGCGCCACTCCCAGCTCGCAAGAACGCTGACCCCCCGGGCGCCGACGAGCAGCGGCTCCCGAGCCTCCAGGCGGAGGACGTGAACGGGGCTGGAGGAAGTTCTGGTGGGCCCGCAGGCGAACCAGCAGCAGCTCTAGCAGCGGCCGGGACCCAGTCCCAGACCATCCCGACCACGAGTTCTGCGTCAACATCCCCCGCGCCGCCGGCCGCCGTCACCAGTGACAGTTTTGACGCCCCTCTTGAGCCCGGAGCTGCTGGTGGTGCTGCTGCAGGTGGGGGCAGCAGCGTCGCCGGCAGTATCTTGGAGCCAGCCGGAGGTGCCCCGCCTGGTGTCTCCTCCACCGCAACGGCCGGGGGCGCAGCTGCTGTGACCAGTAGACCAGGACCCCCCGAGCCCGACATGCTTCCGCAAGCGCCAGCCGATTTTCTACCGGCGCAATCGCTGGATCAACATCTTCACCAAGATCCATCCGCCCTCGCTCCTGCCCGTGTCCGCACCGATGCGCCAGGTGGGGGCGCGGGAGGAGCAGAAGCGGGTCTTCAGCTCCTCCCTCCGCAAGGTGGGGGCGCGGGAGGAGCAGAAGCCGGTCTTCATCCTCCGCAAATATCTACACGACCTCCCAAACCGATGGTAGGTCCTGCACAGCACCAGGAGCGTCCCTTAGCAGCAGGTAGTGTCGCTGCGGCGGATTCTGGCCCTGCTGAGGGCAGTACGGGACCAGTTCAGACGGGGCGCAGGGATGATGATTTGGCCGCGGCGGCCTCGGTGCAAGGGTCAGGTCCGGATCAGCATCATCGGCCGGCACCATTTCGGGCCGCGGTCGGCAAGGTCGCAGCAGCCCATATTATGAAAACGAAAAGTGCGGCAACAATCTTGAGGAAATCTTCTATGGCCTCTTTCTTTTCTGCATCGCAGTGTTGTTGTTGACGTTGAGATATTGGTAAAAAGCACCTGGTGAGGTTGACAAGTCACGTAGCTGCATTCTTATGATTCAGTTGCAGTTGTTACTTATGGTGGTAAGATATCGATGTTTGATTTTCGTGATGCCACGGCAACTACTTGCCGTAGTGTAGCTGGACGAACATCACGCGGACTACTAGGACACGGATATAGCAATACGCTCGTAGTTTCTGCAGCGCCCCACATCGTGCTGACGCAAGGACCACACCAAACACGAAACATACACGAACGAATAGTGACAGGCAACAATGACAAGTAGAAGAACCAGGGAAGATATCAGTGCGTGCGTTTTTCGCTTTCATATTTGGGGTTGCCGCTGTTCCCGGTCGCAAAGGAAGCAGCACCAGCGACCTCGACCGAGGAAAGCAGCCTGAAAGTAGCCTAGCCGCTGGCGGAGTTCCTCAACTTCCGGAAGGAGGAGCACGACCAGCAGCCCCCGTTGTCCAGCAAGATCCTCGGGAACAAGAGGAACCAGGATTACGACCTTACGTCGATAATAATATTCTCGACGCGCGAAAAGAAGAACAGCAACAGGGACGCCTAGGATCTTCGCTTGGGGCGGCTCTTGGGCCGCGGCTCCCTGCTGGAGCAGGAGATGTTCATGTTGACCAAGAAGATCACGGTATTATCGGTCAGCAACCACCTCGACTAGGAGTAGGACCTGTCGTTCTGCAAGAAGGTGCTCAAACTGCTGGAGGAGCTGTAGCAGGAGAACCTGCTCCCGGTCTCGGTCTCGACGACTACCAGTTAGCACCTGGTGTCCAAGTACCACATCAACATCTTTCCGATCCGCAACGTGTTGTAGGACCACCACCTGCACCTCGTCCCAGTGGCCATCGAGTAGCACCACCAGCACAGAAAGGAAATGGAGGAAAAGGAAAAAGTGGAGGGGCACCACGCGACGCGTATCGTCATATGCATTGGAAACGTGTCTGTGTCTGGAAATTCGTTTTGCCTTCAATCATAAGAAATTCAAATCCTTGTATGAGTAAGTAGAATCGCCGCTCAGAACAGAAACAGAATGCGGTTGCTGACTGCAAAGAACTACTTCATACGAAACCAAAAGCAAAACGCGGACCGCACTAGAGGACATGTTTGCACTGGATATGATCTTCGCGTCCTGGCGCGGCAAGTGGAAGACCAGCCGCAGGCGCTCCGCCACAGCGCCGAGTCTCAGGCGTTTATTCGCAACCGGGACGAGCTGCAATAGGACAACAACTCCAACCTCAAGGACGAGTTTCATCTCCGTACAACCCGTACCCGGGCGGAGTAGGACCACGACAAGCAGGAGGTGGTAGTTTGGGTTCGCACCCCGCCGGAGTAGGAGCTCCTGTTCCACCCGGATCTTCACAGCTGCAGCCCATGCCACTACAGCAGCAGCCATCTCGTCCACCTGGAACCGGCGTGTACTACAGACAACCTTCGACGACGCAGCCACAGCTGCAGGCTGCTGCGTACAACTACCCGCCCACGACTACAAAAATCGTGCTACAGACCACACCCGCCCAACAAGCTCAACCAGCAAACCCGGCTGCGCAACCTCAGCCGGTGGCCTCCCCCAAACCGCGCCCGAAGCCGAAGCCAGTTGATCAAGGGGGGTGCTGCGAGTAGCCGATTTTTTTATGGTAGTAGAGTAGCAGTTGCAGTACTTTGCAATACTTTTAATGTACAGATGAAGTAGCACTTACAAATTCAAACTTGCCCCCGTGATTTGATGCGAATCTGCTTTGCAGCATGACAAATTTCAATTTTAGTTTCAACAAGACAATTCAAGAGCGAAGGAATAAGTTTGTTTCGTATAAATTAATGACACATCTACCCTGGTAGAGCCTTTTCGTGGAGTGACTGGAGGGAGTTTCCCCCCGTCCGTTTTTGTATATGGGCTGGCAGATCCCTAGAAGCTAATGCCTGGAGTTGTTGGTCTTCCACCCCTCTGAGTGGGGTCGGGGAAGGAGCCAGCGCGGACGTAGTCCGCAGGTCTCGCTGGATAGTTTGCTTTGTGATGGATTCACATCGTTCTCGCGTTCTAATGAATGGTAGCTCATGTGCTCAGAGTGCACCGCAGTGCCATTCCGCCATTGAGGGCGCTTCCCAGCGGGGAAGGGTGATTTAGGAAGGTTGCGTTCTAATGGATGGTAGCTCATGTGCTCAGAGTGCACCGCAGTGCCATTCCGCCACTGAGGGCGTTTCCCAGCGGGGAAGGGTGATTTAGGAAGTTTTCGCTTTAATGGATGGCAGCTCATGTGCTCAGAGTGCACCGCAGTGCCATTCCGCCACTGAGGGCGCTTCCCAGCGGGGAAGATGGGTTTCAGGATGGTAGTTGTGCGGCTTTTACAACTAGTAAGTGGATCAGGAGGTCGAAGTACTAAGATGCCTACTCATGGATATTTCTGCTTTTCGAGCCCCTGGGGATATGGGCTGTTCTTTGTTTTCGCTCCTCATTAGGGCAGGATGTTTCACTCCGAGCTCTGGCCCTCAAGCTCGGGGTCCTAGATGGGCTGGCTGGAGTTTGTTTTTGTTCGCGCTGCTAGGGAATATGCGGCAGTGCTGCAGAGCATTATGGTGCTGCTCAGGGTGCAAGGTGGGTTTTGCTCGCCCTTCGATATGTTGCGGGTTTTTCAACTTACTAGCTACTACTCCGAGTAAGGGCAGGAGGCTCCGAGGCCTCGTTTGGGAAGCCCTGTCGGGGCCAGATACCTCGCGGTGCTGGTTTTTAGCTTGAGAGCAGCTACTCCCCTGCCGGGTCGCGTCTCTACTCCGTGTTACACCAGAGAAGCTTTGCTTCGTCCTCGGTCTCAGTGGGTCGATAGTATAGTTCTGCGCGGGGTTCTTGTCAGCGAGTGTACAAAACCTCCAGCCGGGAGCGCATGGGTCGACAGCTAGAGGCTTGGCACTTAGGGATACGAGGTGGCGGGGCTCGCCGCAGTTCTGTTGGCGTTTGGTTTTGCTAGGGTTGGCCCTGTTGACGGCGGTGAGGATACTTACTCTGTTTCGGATGCGCGTATAGCTCGCATCCCGTTGGGGGCGCGGAGCCAGTGTCTATTCTATCCTGCCTGTTGGCCGTTTCGATAGATTTTATTTAGGCTGGGGCCTGGATCTTTTTACACATTGGAAGTTTTCCGTTCAGGGGCCCGTAGTACTACCCTCTGCTTCGCTTTGTTGATACTGCGGTCTAGTGCATCTCGTTTCGCGGTGGAACTTCCCTGACCTGGGGCATTTCTGTTTTCGGAAGGCTGGCTAGATGCCTCACAGCGCTGGCACCTATCTCGGCGGCTGCCTTTTTCTTTTACTTTTGCGGATTGGCCTTGCAGTCTCATCTGCACCACACCAGGGGAGCTCCGCTCTGTCCTCGGTCTCGCCTTGCTTTGGGAACAGGGGTCGTTTGGCACTGGCGGTACCCAATCCGTTACCCTTGCGAACTTGTTCCCTGGCTGGGGCTGGTGGTTTGGTGTCTCCTTCGTTCGCCCTCTGTTCCCATCGCGGGGCGGGGCCGAGGTTTTGCTTCGTGGATGATGGCCCGCGCCAAAGTTTGTCTGTGGCGCGGGCATTATTGTCGCGGGAAGGCCCAGCTGGGCTGGGGTTGAGTAAGGTGCGCTATTCGTGGCACCCTTGCGGGGTAGCTGGTCGCACTGGGGGTACGGAACTCGTCTTCGCGTAGACGTGCGCGGGGGTCTCCCGCTCGCTCGGGCCTAGTGGCTGAGAGGCCTACTAGTGGTTCTGGTTCCCTTTTTTCTCATGATAGGGTTAGGAGTCACGCCAGGCGCGTGCAACGCCTTGGCTTTTGGGTGCTCGCCTCTGAGTTTTGGATTTTCCTACGAGGACCGTCGGTTTTCTAGCGAGGTCAGCCCGGGTCGATTTGGATCGACAGCAGTATTTTTCAGCCGATATTCGGATTTCTTTCCTTGCCTTCCGGGAGGGGTTGTTGCAGCCTCACGAACGGATGGGCCTTGGCCGTAGGAGTAGGGCACTTGTCGATGCTCAGCGTCAGTGAGTTTTCCACAAGCGAAGGTCTGCTCTTTGGTGTTCGTTTGGAGTTTGCCGGACCTGCAGCGGCTGGGTTTGTTTCGGGTAGCTTGCTATTTTCCCACCCAGACAGTCGCTGGGGGCACGTTGGAGGTGCGACGCTATTCTTAGGCTTGGTTAACCGGTCGGGAAATTTTGGCTTTCTGTGTGCCCTAGGGAGGCTACTTCTTGGAAGTTTCGGATGACCCGCTTGTCTGGTCGAGCCGGCTAGGCTAGGATAGCTACGTACCGGGAGTGGTCGAGAAGAGAGGCTGTTTGCGTTGTCCTGACGTTAGTCTGTTTAGTCTGCTACTCTTGGATCGCATGGGATTTGTTGCCATAGTGGGAAGCTAGCTTGGTGCTTGGCTGTTCTAGTCCGTTCGCGTTAGCGCAGTAGTTTGCCACTTCTCGGGGGGAAATTGCTGCTACTGTTAGGATGCGATGTGCTCTACAGCTGACCACGCAACACTTGAGCCTGATCGGGAATTCAGGCCGCCCTATTTGAACCTTGTTTAAGCTATTCGTCTCACAATTCAATAGGTCCCCCGGGGTTGCCTAGCTCTCTCTCGCTCCCCTTCTAGCCTATTTCGCTGCGTTCACGGTTATTGCGATCTGCTCTGCGACGTGGAATGTAGCCCAGGGATTATCCATGCTCCTCGACTTTGTGTTTGCCGTGAGAACAGCGCTTGCGTTCTGCTCCGGTGGGAGCCTGGTTTTACTGGTGTAGGGTGCTGCCGCTCGGCTACCTCGCGGACGGTTCTCTGGCTCTGCCGCCGGCTACACTTCGCAGTCAATATTTTCAGGCGCGTTTGTTGGCCTTGCTTCCCTAGAGGCGAAAATCGGATGTCCCTGGTGGGGCTGCTAAGAGGCGGGGTCTCGGTGCTTATGATTGGGGGGCTGTAGCGCCAGCCTTGAGGCTGCACTGGAACAGGTTTTGATTACCCGGCGCGTGGCCTTTTCTTGCGTAGTTTTTCTGGAAGGGAACTATAGGCGCCTTTTCCGTGTTTTTAGCTTTTTCGGGGAGGCGGACTGTGGGTCAGCAGCGATGTCTCCTTGTCCCGGTTCAGGAGTTTCCCTGCGGTAGCTTCACAGGGGTTTTGGCCCGGATGGTCGCGTCAGTAGGTAATAGTGAGTGCTCGCAGGGGCGAATGCAAGTTGAGCAATGGAGTCGAGTTGCGGACTCCGGTCGCCGAGGCTTTTTGCGCCATCTCTGAGGTCCTGCCCGGCGGGCGTTGTTCGCCTATGTGGATATGTAGCGCATGCTACGGGTTTTGTTCTGGAGTTTTACACTGTCCCCCTGGGGTCGACGGTTTCGCTAACGCTATAGGCTATGCTAGGCCGCCCGGCCGTGCCAGTCATGAGGACGGTGGATTTTGTTTTGCCCGGGGCGCGTGCTCCCTTTAGTATGGCCGCAGTACCCGGGGAACGGGCATCAGATTTTCCCCAGGTGGGGGCTCTGGTTTTGGGGCCATTTGGCAGTAGCCATCGTTCGGGGGCAAATGGCCACTCGCCTGGTTGTTTGCTGGCAGGCGGCTTTCGGGCCTGTCTCAAGATGTTCTCTAGCTGAGTTGCGGGAGGAGGAAGGGCGCTCGTGCGGGTTTTGGGGGTACCTCGTGGACAGAGGTTCTTCGCTTTCTGAGTCTGTAGCTAGTTAGGTCCTTCCCCAGGCCGGGAGGACCCGCCTCTTCGTTTCACCAGTCGGGAACCCGGAGCCCTAGTTCGCCTTTGATTCCGCGATTGATTCTTTTACATCACGTCCGCTTTCGCTCCCAGGTCTCTTGTTCTTTCTTTCAGATAGATCTCAAGGTCCAGGGCCCCACCGGACGGCGTTTCGGAATTTTGGGGAATCTGGCCCGGGCAGGGTTGGTTTTTGGAATTGCTTGCTGGCATGGAGGGGCGTTTGCTGCATTGGTTGGTTGCAGAGCATTGGCGTACTCGGGCTTGGCTCGCTAGTTTCCGGCTGCGCCCGCTAGTGGGGTCTGCTGTTGCTGGGCGGGTCCGTGAGGGACCACTGTTCTGGACGTTGGGCAGGCACTGTGCTTTGTCTGCTTTGTTGGACCCGCTTCGCCTTTGTCAGAGGGGGCACCTAGGGTCGCGTCTCGACGAGGATTGCTCCTCTGTGGCTGCTTTTCATTTTTCGCTACTGGACCACATGGGGTATGGTAGTTACTGGTTGCTACTGTGCAGCTTCGCCTTTTGCTTTATTTTCGATACAGGTGTGGAGCTCTTTTCCTGTTCCGCGGTGGTTTTGTGCCTCTGCATTTCTGCGTAGGTTGGTCTTGCGCGGCTGTTCGCCCGGCACCGGGCCGCGCCCTCCGTAGCGCCTGGGCCAATCGCTGGCAGGTGGTCTGCTTGTGACTTTTGGAGTCCGACCTTGTTGTGCACTGCTGCGATGTTTCCTAGCCCTGTCTCGCCCTCCTTGTGTCATCGCTATCTCTGTATCGCGGGATTACTACCGGTTTTCTTCTGTGCCGCCGGGCAGTGTTCGTTCGCGCGGGCAGTGCCTCCTGCGTTTGACTTTCGACTGTTATTGTCCATCCTGCCGCCGCTTGCCGCAATTCCGGCCCGCGGTCTTGTGCTAGCTTGCGCATCGCCATCAGTTTCCTCCGCCCGTGCCGGCGGGCTTTCCCGGGACGGGAGGTGAGTGGTGTTTTCTCTTGACATTGAAGGACTTCCTTTTTCGCATTTTGGGAGTGGCTTTCGGGCTTGTGTTGTATGTCTTGCCACCTCGCTTGGGTCGAGTGCTTTCTTTTCCCCGGAGGTATCAATCCCTTCTACGTTTTGCGGCTCGCCACCAGGGGGCGGCGGATCGGCGCTTTCTATACAATGCTCCTTTTGCGGGATTTTGGTCTTAGAGTGTATCACCATTTGTGTCTATCTTGGTATCGATGGGCTTCCCCTCAGTGGTTTTCCGTGTCGGCTAGGGGCCGTGTTCGAATTTTGTGCCTTGCGGGCAGTTGTTTCATCAGGTCCAGGGCGCAGAACCTTTCGCGCGGGTTTTTGAAGTTTATCAAGAGGACACTACGTGGGAGTTGGGTGGATCCCTTCTGGGGAATTGCCTATTGCTTGCTGCTGGAATGTGGGGGGTTCGAGTGCTTTCTGTTCCCCGGAGGTATCCTTTCTACATTTTGCGGCTCGCCACGAGGGGGTGGTGTATCGGCGCTTTCGCTGCGTTATATCTTGCGCGGGATTTTGGTCTTAGAGTCCATCGTGGTGCGTGTCTATCTTGGTGTCTATGCGTTTCCCCTCTGGGGTTTTCAGTGTCGGCTAGCGGCCGTGTCCGGGTTTTCTGCCTTGCGGGCATCTGTTTCATCCGGTCCAGGGCGTAGACCCTTTCGCGCGGGTTTTTGGAGTTTGTTAGTCAACAGGACCCTAAGTGGGAGTAGGGTGGATCCCTTCTGGGAAAGTGCCTCGCTTTTTCGGGATGTAACAGCCACTGATCCGGGTTGACTTGAAGCTGCTACCGCTTCAAGCATTTTCCGGCATGGAAAGTTCTGCGCTGCGTGCGCTCATTCTAGGCCCGGTTACCGGGGGGCAGGGAAATAACGCGGTCTGCGTGCCCGTGGTTGCGAGTTTGGGTTGCAGCTGCGCTTGCTTTGCAGGCTGTGTTCAGTCTGCTTTCTGTCTTCCCCTTGGGGGCAAGTGGGGCTGGGGCTGGCGCTGTTCCCCCCATTCATCCACCGGTGGTGGGGTTCTGGGGGGTCTTGCCCTGGGGGCCAGGTGGTGGTGGAGTGGGCCGCTCCCCGCTACGGAAGCTGGGCGCGGCCTGCTTGACCCAGCCCCAATAGGCGCGGTCCAACGGGCCGCTTGGGTGTGTGCTCTGGATAACACTCGGAAGGAACGCAACGAAAATCAGCTGTTGTTTTGCTTTATCACTGTATGAGCTAGTTTTTCTACCTTCGTTTTGTTTTCTTCCCCTTTCTAATTTTTTTTATTATTTTTTTGCGTATGGGCTTCTTGAGCTTGACAAACAAAAAAGTTTTCGTTTTCTTTTTGTAACACAAACTTGAGGTGGAGAAGAAGCAAGGAGTTTCGCCCACAATCTTTTTGCTATGTGATTTGAGTTTGTCAACCGTAAAATATTTATATTCAGAACAAGAAGGTCAAAGTTTTCGCGTGAGATGATTCATTTTTGTCACTTGAATAAAGCAGCTTTACTGTACCATAAAAAATTTCCATTTCGTAGTTGTATAAGCATTTCGATTTCCTGGTTGTATCTGAGAGAATGAAAAAGCTCAAGCTCTTGTGGAGATGAACTCTAAATCTGCACCGACAAGCAAGGCTCTTTGTCTTGTTCTCGCGACTTGTATGTTTTGGTAGGCTCTTGTTAGGTTTCGGTTCTTCGTCTGCGCTGGTCGCGGTCCCATCTTTCGGAAATATGGAGAAATATCCCTAGAGGTGGACGTATTTGCGCACCTATACTTTGAAGATCGACGGAGTCACTGTATCGGTCTACTAGGTCCTCCACTTTCGCGTTTGTACCACGACCCCTACAACTCTGCGGCCTCGCGCACTCCTGCGTTACGACTGCTCGTGAGATAGTAGGTGGATCATCGCCAAAGTAATACTCGGTTCGTTCTTCGGCTACTTCTCTAACATCAACATGTCCGTCGTGTGGAAGATGAACATGATGTGTTTGCGTTCTTTTGTGAAGTTCGTTCGTGCTGTCGCTGTCGTGGCGAAATCGGTTTTGTGTAGTGCCCTTTGTCGTGCATGGCTTTCTTCGTGCACGAGGACCCGCGCAGTTTCTTCGTGCGCCCGCGCTTTTCGTACATCGTGGCGAATTTGTTTTCTACAGTTGTAGAAGAACGTCGTAGTTTGAATTTCATCTCTCATCGTTGTCATTCCCAAACAGAGCTGAATACGAATAAACTCGTCGTCCAGGTTGGTGCCCCCTTTTTCTAGCAAGATCTACTATCTGAGTACTAGTTCCCAGCATTTTGCTTCCGAATCAGACTGAGAACAAACAGAAGAACAAGATAATCACCGTACTTTGATCGATATATTGTTATTGTTTTCCCCTTGTTTATTCGTGTTTTCGTTTTGATAAGATTACGATTACCTACCTGGTGGTGGTCAGGATTATGCACTTCTATGAAAGGCCAAGGCCATTGCTGGTTTTTTTTGTGTAGACGAGAAGGAGCTGCAGCAGCTTCATCTTAAGCACCTCCCTAAGACCGAACGGGAGATAGCAAGACGAAGCAGTTGAAGTTGGCTTGGTGGTTGAGAAGCCGTATTTCTTCTGTTCGTTCCGTGGGCACATGACGGGTGGTCGAGGAGACAAGCAGGCAGGTCGCGGCTACGCGGTGGACGAACGGAAATAAGGTGAAGCACTTGATGTTCCGATAGGCGGATAGAATGCGTAGTTAGAAGTTCTGCTGCGACCAGAATGAAGAAGAAGAAGACGGAGCAGCCCGTGCAGCTCTCCTCTGTACCCGCCAGATGGAAAATGACAACAATGATCTTCCTGCACATCTTCACGGTGCAGCAGCTCCGCCCCACAACCGCCGTTCGGGTGCATCACCCGCAGCAGGACCAACGCCATGTACAACTGAACATCGACCGCTCGGGCGGCGACGATGTGACGATCGTCCCTTCCGAGGCATACTTGAAGGCAGAAGAATATGGGAGTGTCAGGATCGAAATCGACAAAATCGAAAAATTTGTAATGCATAAAATGTAGGGCACGTATGGCCTGTGTTGGGGAGGACGCAAATGAGACCGATTGCAAGTCGTTTAGGGGAAGCCGATATGCTGCCACAGTAGCATGACAGGAGTGGTGTTCTTTGCCCAAACAGCATGACAGGTCGGATTTTGGTGCTGCCAAAATTTGTCATGCGCCACTTGGAAACTGAGGCTCCAACTGGTATCGATTCTATGCATCACAAATTATTTCGATTTTGTTGATTTCGATCCTGACGCTTCCATAAAGAAGCCCGGAGACTGGCGGAGCGAGAGGGCTATTTCGTACTTTCTGGCGCAACGTGGTCGTATTTGGCGGATTTCTTCTCTGGTGTGGTGGAGCAAGCAGTTAATACTAGCTCCTTGCTTTTTTTCCAGGGAACAGAAACAATGCTAGGTACAAGTATTAAAACCTCTGAGGAGCTGCAAAACCAAAAGTCTATTTGCTCGTCCCCTGGAAACAAGGAAAGTCGCATTGGTTGTGGAGTTGCTGGGAAGCTGCAGGATGAGCATGAGGAGCATCTTCAAGATGATGGAGATGAAATTCGCACTACTTCTACTTCGTCGACTTCCATCTTGGCCTCGTCGAAGAGCAAAGACACGAAGACGTCTTCTGCTTCGTCCACCACGTCGGCGGAGCCCTCGATAATATCAACAACCACTGCTCCCGCTACGAAGGAGTCCTCGACAGCAGGTGGTCCTAGTGCTGCTACAGGAACAGATAAAGATGTTCAAGAAGACGACGGAAGTCAAACAGACACCAACGCCTGCCGTCGTGCTGGTGGGTCAACAACAGGTCGTGCAGGAACTGGAACTGCTGATGATAAGGATGTAGTTCTACTTCCCGCACTGGGCACCACGGCGCCGTCAAGTAGAACACCACAAGATCAAGACGGAAATACAGGAGATGAACTTGGTGGAGTAGAACCTACAGAAGGTGAAAAGAAGGGACGACGAGCTGAACAAGTGGTGTCACCAGTAAATAAAACAGGCGACAGTCGTGACGAGGAGCGTCGTGCTGACAAAGACGGAAGGGATTTGACAAGATTGCAAAGCGGCGAGGACAAAGCCGCGGCGACGAAACATGATAGTACCAGCAACACAAATCGTACGGACACGAGCATGACCGACGATCAGAATTTCCCGGCACTTGGGAATAAAAGCGAGACAACCAGCACTGAGAGACCTGCGACTGCGCCTAGCTCACCTGGCGCACGAGAAAGTGCTGGCGGGGGGACAAGGAATAGGAACAAGGCCGCTCGTCCACGTCCTGCGGTTGAAGAAGATCCATATGAATTTCATCGCGGGGAAACAAACAAGAACTACACCACTACTGTAGTAAGCTCGTTCTTGCAACCCCAGCAACAACAACGAGTGCAGCAGCAGCAAGCAGGAGCAGACGATGAGGCAGCTTCAACTACTAGCAGTCTGGTGCAAGAAAAGCAGACAGCTGGAGCAGGTTCTACATCTAGTTCCCAGGACCAGCAGGCCGCTCCGTCGGAGCCCTCGCAGTTGGTTTTGGGGGTGCATCCCCAATTATTTCCATTACTTAAAAAAAGCGAGGAGCAGTCCGGGTCCTCAAGGAGGTGTGTGACGCAGATTTTTACACTAGGAGGAGCGGCATCCTTGCTTCCGCAAACCGCGAGAAGAAGTACAACCAGCGCAACATCGTCAGCATCACAAGAAGTTCCAAAAAGCAATCATTTGTCCGTTAACCAATACCGGGCCTACCGAGCAGAGATCGAGAAGTTGACGGGGCTAGACAAGGAGGTGGTCGGGGCCGACGCTCCTGCTGCGCCGACGACCGCGTCTGGCGCGTCTTCAGCCGCTCCTGGTCGGGGACGCTTACTAGACCCGCACGGGGAAAAGCCCAAGCTTTTCGTGGTTTTTGGAAACACCGGGACGGGTAAGAGCACCCTGGCCGACAGGATTATCGAGATGGCAGGCATGGATCCAGCAGTGAAGTTATCCCGCGTAACAAGAGCTACTTACGCCGTGCGTCTCTATTTTTCCACAATCTGGATCTGCATCTGTTTCTGTAGTAAAACTGAAAACATAATAAAATCGAAATTTGTATCGCTAGTAGAGCTGTATGATCTACTTGTGTTGAATAAAAGTGTGCACAGTTGCAGGGCCACGCTTCGACTTGCTGGTGCTGCAATTACGACATCTGCATATGCAAATACTAGGCATGTGATACGCTTAGTAAACAGGAGAAAAATATATCGTGGTTGTATGGCTAGTGTGGGTCTTTTTTGAACTTACTAGATGCACCTCGCAAGTAGTTTTTCCACACATCGATACTCGGATCTCCCACAGAACAAGAAGGAGTTTGTGCCCAGGTACCTGGTTGACGACTTGATTGAGCCGCAGGAGTTGTTTAAGCTCTGGGGCTGGGTCTTCTTAAACGCGGTCGGGCACGACATTCAGCTGTTACTGGGCAAGGACCACCACGTAATCTTCCGTCCAAAGCAGCAGGGGAACTCCGGGCCGCCGCCACCACTTCCGCGTCCGGACCAGTTGCGCTACGAAAGCTTCAAAAAAGCGGTGTTTCAGACGCGAGACCCGACCACCGGCCAGATTATCCATCAACTTCCCGATATCTACCCCGTTATCCAGCAGGTCTGGGACAAGTTTAGACGACTGCTGCCCGACGGCGGTGGTAAAAACAGTTGCGCGGGAATAAATATGGCGCAACTGCTGGAAGTGCGGGACCCGCTGGGGGTAGATCTGCTCGACTTCGGCCCGGTCGCGGTGGACGGCGGAGGCAGACAGACGCCGACCCTTTCGTCGAACTTTGGGAAGGACATGCGCTGGATCATTGAGAACCTACCGAGGCGCCGCGACGCACCAGAGCAGGATGCGAGGACCCAAGTAGCGGCAACTACAGGTGGGTCGTTGGCCGCTGCTGCGGGTACTAGGAGCGAGGGTACCTCCGGAGGTAGCGCGGCTGGCCGTGCTTCAAAAACCGCCCGGGGTGATGAAGAGCACAAACTACAGATGGAACAAGCTGCAGTAGCGGAGCGTCTTACTATCGTGCAAGAGGCTTTCGGATTTATCAACAAGGACGAAGCGTGGCGAGATTATGACACCCTCAGAATGGAAATCCTCAAAGTGGAAATAAGTTGTGATGCATGAAATGCGACACCAAAAAGACTGTATTGCAGAGAACGCAATGGAGGCCGACTATTGTGCTTCATCTACGGGTTCAGAAATGGGCTGCTGATTAGCATGAGAGAACGGCACCCCTTTGCCTAACTAGCATGACAGACACGTTTTGAGTGCCCGGGAAATTTGTCATGCGCCGACTACAAATGGTGCTCCAACTGGAGTCGTTTTTTTTGCATTACAGATCATTTTCACTTTGAGGACTTCCAACCTTAGGCTTTCATAGAGATCTTCAAGACGCCCTGGAGTTAGGCTTTCCGGCCGACAACGTCCCAGAGGTAGTGCGGAAGAGTATCGAATTTCTTGGTTTGCAATCACTGCTGACCATGGAGCAATACAAGTTTCATAACGTCGGGGCACATGGTCTGGCCTTCAGCGAGTGGGTGAAAGTAAACATCTATCACAAGCGAGGCATTGTCCAGGAATTCCTAAGCAAAATGGCCGCGGCCATGGACGATCTGTATCGTTTCGCCCGAAAATGTGGGTTGGACACGCTGCCTCGAGGAGGGGAAGGAAATAAATCGGGCCGCGTGCACCTCCTGGGTGCCAGCAGGGCGAGAGATTTGGCAGTATTTTTGGAAAAGCAGGCACAGGAGCAGGTCGCGGCTAAAGAAGCAAATCTCAAAAAAGTAGTTAACGACGGGATGATGGCACGACCCGGGGGCGGGCCGCGTGAAGCAGACACAGTTCTTCATCTCAAGAACACGGCAGAAAAAGAGTTGGATGAGACAAAGCGACAGCTCGCGCAACAGCAACGCCAAAGGGCACTGGCGGACGCAGAACTATCGCGGGCAAGGGGAGGACCACAAATTGCAGAGACAGGTCGTAATACGGACCATGAAGATCCTGGCCGCCCTCGTCTTGCAGACCACGACGTCCCTCCCCTATTGGCAAGCCCGGAAGACTTCCTGGACTCACTCATGGGAGCAAGTCTAACCGCCAAAACGAACCTGTTGATTGAAAACAATTTGAGCCCTCTGGAGCTGCTGGAGTGGTTGCGAAGAGACATGATGCCAGAGACCGTCGGTGAGTTAAACGACGTGTTCGACATCTGGTTGGGCTTCAACATTGTGGCCATGCCGGGTCTGTGGGAGGACCGCAACATTCCCCGGGCCATGAGGAGCCTACAGCAGTTTCAAAATCCCTTTCTCGCCGAAAATGGGGTCCGGCTACCGAAGGTTGCCAATGCGGACTCCTGGCTGCTGCGGAACCCGCTCAACACGGTGTGGAGAACGCTGCAGAGCGGGGCTGCGAGGCAGGGATGGGACGCATTTGGTGAACAACAGTATGCAGGCCCGGACTTCCATCATGTATGAAAGTGCAGAAAGATATACTCAGAGCCCCTGCTGACTTTGCCCCTGAAGATCAGGTTGATGTAAGACATAAGGAAGTGGAAGGAATTTATTACGTATGAATTTTTCGGAACTTGTTCAAATTGACGAAATTCTTGGGGTTCTTTCGATTTAGCTTTTGCATGGCAATAAACACAAATTCACACCCCGGTTTTTACAGTTCGGCTTTTGATGTAGTTCTCTGGTCAGTTCTTCTGTTAATGTTCTTGCGCTCGTGCAAAGCCGCTGCAAGCGTTCTTGAAGCGGTCCACTTGCGAACGAAGGGACAAAATCAAAATGCAGGAGGTGTGATGTAGAAGTATTGTGCACTTCCATACTATCTGATTGTCATCGACAACAACGATAAGGTTGAGAAAAACGAGCTGATCTTTGTTGCGGAAGTGGGCACCACCGTCACGTCTACTGGTCACCAGCAACCCACGACGACCACGCAGGGCGTATCATTTGCTCCGCTCGTGAACAATGCGGCTCAACGCGACCATTGCCCCCGGGAAGAAGTGTTCGACTCGGAAGTCCAGAGACTCGTCATGGACTTTGTGACCTGGAAGCTCTCGAATATGAACTGCAAAACTATCGTACTCGTAGTATTGCAATACAAATTTCGCTCAGCATGACAACTGGAATTTCTCATGCTGATTTAGCTTGAGAAAAAAATTTGTCTTGCATGACTGCAATTAGTACGAGCACGATACTTTTGCACAGGATATCGAACCGCAACTACCTAAAGTTCGACTATCGCCTGGCGTGCCAGCCCGACGCGGTTTTCACGGAAGACGCCGCCGACGACCGAAACACGCACCGCATGAAATATTTGTGTCGGAACGTGAATGCGCACAGTATCATGATGAAGCAAAAGAAGGGGCACGTCGATCCGAAGGAAAAGATGACTTGCTACCAGTCGTACTGCGATTTCGAAGAAAGGCGGAGGGTTGATTATCATTTGTAAAAACGTCCCCACCCCACAGTCAAGATGGGGATTTTGCAACACAAACCTCGAAGTTTTGGGAGCCACGCATGACAAGTTGCAGGCTGTAGTGTAATGCAGTTTAGCAAGGGAAGCCGCATAGCAAATCCATCTCCTTATCCTGTTTACAGCATTACAAGTTCCAAAATACGCTGGGAAATGCCTCTCATGGGGATGCGCATTACAAATGCTCCTGCGCTTGCAGATCTGCATGACAACTCTGGTGGCGAAAACAGAGTTGGAATATAGTGGCCGGGAGATGATGGTGATGGCACTTAGGTGTCCGCCTGACCCACCCGCCCTGCGTCTCAGGCCATCTGCGGCTATGGCACAATGAGGGGGCAAAGTGTGTCGCATTTTGTTTAGCATGACAACTCTGGTGTGGGGACGTTTTTACTCAGGATATTGATGGTACGGAGGTCATCGGCCCCCCGCGTCCGAAGGAAATCTTTCAGTCTCCGTTTGAGACGGAGGGCGAAAGGACGGAAAGGCTGAAACAGGAGGAAAAGTTTAAGCAGGAGAAAGTGAAGATGAAACAGTCAGCAGGAGGTCTTGTTCAGCCACCAGGGGGGCAACCACCAGGTGGGCAACCACCAGGTGGGCAGCAGGCCCCTGGTGCTCAACCGCCTGGTGTTTCGCAGCCTCCACCTCCGAATATTGATCCGAACGCCGTCAATAACGGGGGTGTAGTGGCGGGACAACAAAGCCCCCAGGGAATTATGCTCACAACAACACAGCATCAGCAAACATATGCGACCTCTGGTGATCCCCCGGCACCGGAGCCCGATTCGATTCGTTGCTGTTAGTAGAGTCAGAGGCTGGCTTCACAGTACGATTGAACAGATTGCACCTGGCGTTTGAATCGCGCAAGCACACAACATGATTACACTCTGTGATCATGGTGATGAAGAAGTATAAATTAATAATCTTAACAAGCAGTTCTTCTTCTTTTCTGCACCGGAACGTAATCTTTTATACACCATTTCTACTAGTTCGCACTTCTTGATGTCGATGCTGATGCACAAGTAGTACAACTCAATACTGTACTTCTTCGTGAAGAAGCGGTGATGTTGTTCCAAATTCCTACACGCCGCGTGGTCGAGCAGGAGGTTATTTCAAGTGCATACGACGTTTCAACATCGCGATATTAAGAGGGCGCTCAAGATGAGAAACAAGTATTCAAGAACCATCTCATCTCTTCGTAGAAAAGAAGCTGCTGGGTGGGCCCCCTGTCCTTCAAATCGCAGATCACCGTTGTGATCTTGGTTTTGCTTTGGATCCTGAAAAGTTCCCGTCAGTCAAGAGCAGCATTGGTCTTTATTTTCCTTCGGTAGACCATAAAAGATTGAGATTGTCAGGGTCCGGATCGATTTGGTTCTGCTTTTATCGTTGTGAGGATCTACTGCTACTAGTCGGCCAAAGTCTTTCTCTGTCTTCGTTTTTCTGATCGTTATTGTAGAATGGCGTTCGTTATCGTCTTGGTGGTTGTTGAAATCGGATCATCGTAGAAGTTTTTCTACTTCGTCGTAGATTTCATTGAAGAAGAAAACGGGACGAGAGCGAGAGTCCCGCCACTCCAGAGTGTGAAGTCCTTGAGAGTGAGTACGTACTTTAAAAAGAAAGTCTGGCTGCTTTCAAGGTTGGGTTGCGTCGTTTGGCAGCTGCGAGGCCATCCTGTTTTCATCGATGCTGCAAAGCAACTCAGCTCAGGAACACAAACGTGAGATCTCTGCCTCCACAGGCCATGGAATGATTGTTTCTTTGGAAGCGGCGCGGACATACTTATTGTTTTGCGATGTAGTCGCAGTTGTGAGAGACCGCGTGAAGAGGAAAAATCATGTTCGCCATGGCTGCTAGTAGCACCCCCCTGTGGCGAAAGGACGAAGAACACCGGAAACAGAAGCAGGGCCGGCGGCGGAGAGTGAAGTTGTTTCATGGTGGGCAACTCGTACAATTACGTGGTGGTCGTGGAGTACAACAGGTGCAGCAGACGAGCTCCAACTACAGCAACACAGGAGTTAAGACGCCCCACAAGAACCCGAAAAATCCCCCGCAGAAAGCCTCTCCACCAGCAGCTGTGAGAACAACTGCCAGAACTACCAAGTATCTGCTCGACGAGAACGGCGGAGGACGAAGTTCTACGCCAGAAGAAGCTGCTGGGACTCAGCATGAAGAAGGTTCGTTTGTGTTGCAGCGTCTCGTCGGTGGTGCTAGGTTTCTGTTTCATCACGACCAGGATGGTGCTTCTGTTCGCAGAAGATCTGCAGCACACTTACTTGAAGAAGATGAAACAAATGGCTATCTTCTTCGCACTGCCCCAAAAGTTGCAGCAGTTCCAAGAACACTAACACGACCGACTGCACGACCTTCTGCACCGCGACCTCTTCTCCAACGTTGTTCTTGTTCCACGGAAGAACAGCAGCGGCACCCCAGCCATGGTTCATCATCATCTCTCAAGAAGGCCAGCAAACTACATTCTACTTTCTGGATTTGGCTGCGTGAGCCTACCGCCTTCGAGAGAAAGTACGGGGGACGACTACTCGGCGGCGCCCCGGAGGATGACGAAGATGTGGTTACCCCTTCTAGCGGCAGCAACGCTCTAGCCGCCTCGCGATCTGCCTCGTCGGCCGCAGCGGCGCGTCAGGCTGCTGCGGATAACGCTGTCAGCAGGGCGGAGAGCGCACCAATCACCGTACAGCAAGTACAACAGCCGGCGCGGCTACAGGAGCCGTCAATATCTTACCGCTATTGGGTCCGCTACATTTTCCTACCGTCCCTACTGGTACTCCTGCAAGGGGTAGACGTGGGCACCAGCAGCGCCATTGAGCTGCACCTACCAGCTGCTTCCAAAGGCCTCTTGATGTCGTCGCCGACGCTTGGAGCGGTGCTGCTGTCTTTTTTCCTGATGTTCTCGAGGCCACCGACGGGGAAGATTCCGGGTGATAGAGAAGTAGATGAAGTACCTGCCCCCGCCCTCCATGATCTAGATGCAGCTTCAGCAGCGCCGACAGCCGAACAACATCATGCTTCTTCACCGCGACTTCTCACCGATTACCTGCAAGAGCCCCGACAGCTGTTCCGCATTGCCTCCGCGCTTTTCTTCACCGGGAACCTTCTCGTTTGGAAATCTGGCTTCCTCGTTACCGTCGCCACGGCGAAGACACTGGACACAAAAGTCTTAACTCTCACCACCACCGGGAGAATTCTCATCGGCATTGCCGAGGGGATCCAGCTGATATCCCTACCTCGGTTCTTGCGTATGCATTTACCCCCGGAAAAGTCCAACACACTGACGAATTTTCTCGAGTTCCAATTTGTGAACGGGATGGTGCTTGGGAGTATCGCCGGCTGCTTCTTCGCGCCGTTCAGCCAGCTGGTCGGTGCAGCTGCTTCTCCTGCGGGTAGTAGTACCGCGTCGGGTTTTGCGGTGACTAAACATGTTACGAAATCCGCGTTTTCGGTTGCCACCAACGCCTGGAGTGTGCCACTGATGCTACCGATCTCGCTGTTTTTAAACGTGGTGTGGAACTACCCGACAGGAGGTGCAGCTGCTGGGCAAGATGAAGCCGGTCGTGAAGGTGGACGAGATGAAACTGCGGTCGTGTCGTCCCCTGCTTCTGCCGTAGCGGTTTCATCTTCTAGTTCAGGGCAGCAAGACGTAGTTGCAACAAGGACGGGTGGTGCTAGTGGTACAACATCTTCGATGACATCTTCGAGTAATACGGTGTACTATGCTCAGCTCACACGCTTCGTCAGATCTTTGCAACCCCTAAACCACGAGGAACTGTTGCAGGTCGGTGAAACGGAGGATCTTGTCGAATTGAGTGCCGCCGCACAGCATACGAATGTGACAAGTAGCGCTGGTGGTGCGAGGACAGGACAACAGCATCAAGAAGGAGGTGCTTCTTCTTCATCAGCAACTATACCAAGACAGCACGACAAAAGCGCCTCTTTCTGGTACACGCTTTTCGGGTTCAACCAGAATCAGGAGCGCGTAGCAGTGGACCAAAATGGACGTGGTGCGGGTGAAACGGCGCCAGACGTTGATGGAGCCGAAACATCACACCGACAAGAGGAACACCAGCTTCCCCTTGCTGAACCGGAAAGTAGCAACAACATCAATCTACAGGAAACCCAACAAGAACCTCCGACCGAAACGGAAATCATGCGAAAAGCGGTTTTCGCTTCGACCGTCGTTATGTTCACCCAAGCGCTTGTCGGCCACACCTCTGGAATTCTGCCCTACGCGCAGGAATTCCTGTCACCGAACCGAAACTTTTCGACATTTTCAACTAGTACATTATCCGGCGCCACAACTGTGCCATCACCCGACCTCCCCAACCCGCAGCGGCTGTCCCTTTCGATCTTCATTTTCAAACTATTCGCGACTTTACACGCCACTACCTGGTTTGACAACTTTGGGAAGCGACAAATCCTGCTCAACGGGGTCAACGCGGTGGGATTAACGTACGCCTTAGCCTCGATTTTCACGGAGTTGAAATCCCAAGTCCTGACGACAGTAACCATTCTCGCCTCTGTGATTTCCTATCAGTATTCCATCGGCCCGGTTTCCTTCGCCTACGTCGGGGAGTTGTTTCCGGAAAAATTCCACCTCCAAGCCGGCTCGTTCATGATGTTTCTGAACTCTGCTGGGAACGCTGCAGTGACGTACTTCACGCCGAGATTCCCCGATAAATCCGCGGTGTTGCTGTTTTTCTCGGTCAACGCGGCGATCAGCTACTTATTAGTGGACAAATTCCTACCGGAAACGCACCGGCTGACGCTCCAAGAGGTGCAGAAGTTGTTGGCCAGCGGGGGGCTGTATTTGGATGGAGGTGCAGGTGTGGAGGAGGAAGGAATGATGTTGGGGGAAGGAACAGTGGTAATGGTCGACGAGGACAGTGTCAGTGACGAGGAGGGAGAAGGATATCATGTTCATCGTGAAAATTCAACTCGTCCACCTGTACGGCAAGTTGTGGAGCTCAACGAACGAAGAAGGGACAACGACGGGAACGAAAACAACAGTCCGGCCCTCGGGGAAGGAGGTGGGTTGGGGCTGCTGTAGTGCAATAGTGAGAATCAAAATCAAGAGCTTGTACTTGGTGTAGAGAAGTTCTCGAACACTATTGAAGAGAAAATGTAGTCTGCCTGCCGGCTACTTCTTGACGAGGACGGCACGTTGCATGCGCACGTTCCTAGCTGAGCTTTTTTTGAGATTCGTTTCTGTTTCGTTCTTGGATAAGTAGTTCATCTACAAGCACTGTTGTATGATTTTCACGAAAACCAAAACAAAAAGAAAAACTAGAGTAGATCTTGATCTGCTACGGCCGCTGTCTTCAGTCTTGGCACAAAGACGATGACTTCATCCCTGCGCCGATGGTACCGTGGCCTGCGCCAGCTTGATACCGAGCGTGATGTTCCGTGTCCGATAGGTAAACCGCACCAAGGTGGTGGACGATTACGACTTTCGGACAAATCGCTTTTGACGATGACACTTTGAAGTCGTTTCTCCTCGTCGTTATTAAATCATCGCACGAGAGATAAATCAAAATCCTCACAGATCGCCTGCGCTCGTGATGTCGGCCGATGCTTGTTTTAGTCGTAAGTCGCCTTTACTCGCATGGTCGTCACTTTCGTAAATCGTCATTGATGTAACCGTCGCGCATCGTCTTCGATTCTCACTGTGCGTTGTTGTGCAGGTAAATGAGCAGCTGCAGTTCGGAATCTAGTTCTAGTTGTTTCATCCGTTATTTATTCCCATGTAAAGAATCAATCGTTTTTCGTCCGTACACTTCTAATACAACTTTACATACTAGAAATTGAAATTCCAGTTCTACCGCGTGGCCGCGCGCCACCGGCACTATGTAGGATAGAAGATTTCATCGTCTGAATTTTAACGCTAATGAAGAGTATGGGTTGGTGATGCGTTTCGTTACTCGCACAATTTCATCCTGTGAACGACGCCCAGGAGCTGGGGTTGGAAAATACATTACAGACTCCTGATCATCCTGAATAGACGCTGATCTTTACCATGCCGCCGAAAGCAAAACCGAAGGCCCCGAAAGGGGCAGGAGCCAAAGCCGCGAAGGGGAAAGCGAGAGCCCGTGTGCTGTCTCCGCAGCGAGGACTCGTCCATGCAGAGCCAAAAATCCACGACCCGTACGAGCGGTGTATCACGTTGGAGGACGTGTTTGAGGAGATGTACAAGCAGGGGCTCAACGTCCCCCAGATGCACGAACTGCTCTCCACGAAGTTCAAGGGCGAGCCGTACAATTTCGATCCGGACAACCGGGAGCCGCCGTTTCACATCAAGATCCAGAAGAAATTTCACGAAATGCAGGAGAGGCTGGAGAAAGACCACAAGGACGCGGAGAAACAGCACCACTTGAACATGTTGCGGCACCAGCGGTTTGAGATGCAGAACCAGGAAAACGCCATGATGCAGGAATTGAATCAAATTCGCCACCACATCCGCGAGATGGAACACGAGAAGGAGCGGCAGGGGGTATGAGAGTGCACAAGAACTACTTCCCCTCCCCCTCATTTGTCATGCAAAATATGAATTCCAATCTTCGCTTCAACTTGGCCCTGTGTGCATGACAGATTCTGGCAGCACAAAAAGAATTGCAATCTCGTGTGATTTTGTCATGCAAAACTCCCTGCAGTCTTGACTTTGGCTTGCCGACGCGTGTATTGCTGTATTTGCACTTCAAATGAGGGGGAGGGAGAGTTGTGCACGCTCATAGGGGGCTTTTGGAAACCAAAACCATCAGTTGATAGAGGCGATCAACTATGCAGCGGAAAAGCATCGTACTCGTATAAATGCATTACAAATTTCCTCAGCATGAGAAATGCAATTTGTAATGCTGATTTACCTTAGCGAAAAGATTTGTAATGCATGATTGCAATACGAGGACGATACTTTTGCACAGGATATCAACCAAATGAACGAGCAAGGGAAGATATCAGCTGCAAATATGTCTGGGTCTGGAAAGAATTTGTGATGCTGACCGGCGAATCATGAAGACGCCGCATCAAATGACGGCTTAGCATGACAAGTTTCTGAGTTCTTGCCCGGTGTTGTCTATTCAGCATGACAGACTGGATTTATGCGTGGCAGAACATTGGTGCTTCTGGGTACCGTGCATCATGCCAGATTTGAGAGTCATGCTAGCACCAGAGCAACACAAACTTGCACTCTACTTCCAGGCTCAGAACTATTTGCAATGCATAGAGGAAGCTGGCAGAAATGGTGAAGCAGATGGCGCTGACCATCGACCCGATCTCCCGGCAGATCCAGGAATTGGATCCGACGGACGGGGTGGATTTAGAACAACTGGCGGGGGAAAAAACTGAGTCCGAGCACGAGGGGACGGACGATGGCGGCGGGTCGCTTGCGGGGGATCAGGTTTTCAAAGAAGAATTCCCCGATCTGGACATCAAGCAGATTCAATATGAGTACAAACAACTCGTCGCGGTGGAGGGAGAACACACCCCACCGAGCTCCGGCACCGATCCGGACCAGAGCGAGATTGCGAAGACGAGAAGGCGCTTTCAACGGAAGGCGGAGAAGAAAAGGGAAATGCGGGGGAGAGCGGCGGCAGCGTAATCCTCATCTTGCTCATGTTTGATGGCGTGGTTTGTGTTTGTCGTGCATGATACTGTCATTGCTAAAACAGTTTTGCAAGATGATTCCTGCATGACGGCTTCTCAGCAACAACTTCAATTTTCAAAATCCCGAAGGTATCAGAAAAAGCAGCAGTCCCTTGCTGAGATGATGCACGCGGAGGCTGTAGACGTTGCTGCCCTCGCATATGGCGTTCGCAAATGTTACATTCTCAACTGTTACATGATTTGTCATGCAAATTTGCAATCAGAATTGACATGATCAAGCTGCTTCGCATGACAAATTCCCGAAGAGCCAAACAGGCTGAGAATCCGCGCCAAATCTGTCATGCAAGACGCGCAAGGTCACCCCTTTGACTTTTGCCATTCTTGCATCACAAATTCATGTAACAATTGAGAATGTAATTGTTGAGAACGCCATATCGCAGCCGAGGGCCAGGAGGCCGCCGAGATTCACAAGCAGGAAGAGGAGGAACGGCAGTACCGGGAGAAAGCGCTAATAAAGCAGGCGGAAGAGGAGGCAAAGTGGGAGAAACGTGCGAAGATGTTTTTAGAGGATCCGATCAAGTACGAAAAACTGGTCGACAAAGACGTAAAAAACCCGAAACTCCTCGCCGCGGTGGAAAAACGACGGAAGGAAAAAGCGAAGGAGCGCATGGACAAGTTCCGGGAGGGGCAGAAGAAGTTTTTGCAGCGGAAATCTTCCTACGACAACATCATCCACGCCGATGTGGAGCTCGAGCACTACGAGTACGACGGAAAAGACGCTGCAACACCCGGCGTGACCAGTACGAAGAAGCATTTAGCGCTTTCTGATCGGCGGAAGCAGTTTTTGAAACTGAACCCGGAATTTGAGAACAACGCGCAGAAAGCGAAATTAAAGCTTTTGGAAGAGCATATCGCACGAAAAAAATGTTTCACTGTGATAGTTTTGCAAGATCTGCAAAATCACAAGTTTGTTACACATGGCACAGAAAATTTGTCATGCGCACTTCCCAAGGGAAAACACCCTTAAAAATTCAATGTCTCGCATGTGTACGTGTAGCAATACAAATAATTTTGTGTTCCATTCCATGCATCACAGCTTTCACAGCGAAACAGTTTTTTCTTGCGATAGAGCACGACCGGAAATTGATCGCGAAGGACAAGTTCGGGGACCACCACGCGAAAAATTTTATCAAAAAACCGACGGATGACGACTTGCGGAATTGGCATTGGGAATACTACGTACCGAAGTTTGATTTGATCAGATTAAGGTTGAAGCGGAAGGGTGTGGATTTGTACAAGTACGGCACCGTGAAGGATTGGAAGAAACAGTTTGAAAAAGACCCGGACATTCTAAAAACCACGTTGATAAAAGAACGCGTCCAATATGACAGTGCACAACTCCCCCTCCCCCTCATTTTTTGTCATGCAAAATACCAAATCCAAGCGCTGCCGTGTGGTGCTGTTTGCATGATAGATTCCGGAAGCCCAAACAGTACTAAATTACGAGCATGAACTTGTCATGCACAGACTCCACACGTGCGGGTGTTTGTATTGCTGTTCATGCAATACAAATGAGGGGGAAAGGCAGTTGTGAACTGTCATATCCAACCGGACACGATGCGGATCTTCCCGCCGACCAACTTCGTTTTCACCGATAATGGTCCGGTGGTGAAATTCCCAGAGATGGGGCTACCCTCCCCGTTTGTGCGGAAAATAGCTGGGTTTACCTTCACGAAGGAGCAAGCAGCGTCGTATATCCAGAAACAATACAGATTGTACCGGAACTTCAAACGGTTGAAGCACTTCATCAAGGAAACATCTGGGACGAGTGAGGGTATGGGATTGTCAGGATTGAAATCGTCATAGTTGGAATAGTTTTTCATGCGTAAAATGCAGCCCACAAAGTGCCTCTCTTGCAGAGTAAGCAAGTGAGGCAGATTGTAAGCCTGTTGTTGTTGAGGGGTAGAAAAAAACTGAGCTGCTAAGGTAGCATGACAAAAGGCGTCTTCCTTACCCAAACAGCATGACAGACTGGATTTCGGTTCTACCCAGATTTGTCATGCGCCACTTAGAAACTGGGCTACAACTTTCATCCATTTTATGCATTGCAAGTTATTTCAACTTTGTCGATTTCAATCCTCCTGACACATCCATAGAGGAGGCGAAGAAATTACACGGGATATTAGCGAAGGCGGAAGATAGCGGGAAAATCAAGTACACGATATTACAGTGAAAAGTGCCCCCCACCCCTGAAATTGCAAAAATTTGTGATGCTAAGTTTCCAAATGAAAACTTTTTGTCATGCATGAAAGGAGTATGAATCTTTCTGATCATGCAGAGTCTAGGCGTGTATCGCATCGCTTGCATGACAAGCGCCGCTCTTGCTGGGGTCTTTTGCAATGCAAATCTTTGCTATTCACGATTGGAAACCTGTGATGCTGATAGATGCAAGAGGGCGAATGTTTCATTTGGAAAGGCTTGCAATACAAATGCTCCCAAGTTCGGGGGTGGGGGCATTTTTCATTGTCATACACGAAAATGGAGATAACCGATCAGATGCGGAAATTGTACCTGGACCACGCCCCGCACATCGGTGACGTTCCGTTTAAATGGCAGAACTGGGAGCCGGATTACCCGAAGTTGCGGGCGTTTCTCCGGATGGTGAATATCCACATTTTACGAACGACGGAGTTCGACAAGATCGTGTTACGCCAAGACCCGGACGCGCGGAAAGTGCAAAGAGAAATCCGGAAAGCGCAGAAGAAGGAGCAAATCTTGATGATTGACGCCGCGGGCGGTGGGCGGTACCACGGGCAAGCTGGGGAGAAAATCGGGGAGGAGGGGATGGGCACGACGAGACACGAGGACCATGCAATTGACCCGAACTTGTTGAAGCCGGATTCTGGTTCGGAAGATTCCGGGTACAGCTTAGGAGACCGAGAGAACGATGCGATGAAGGAGTTAATGCGGGATTTTGAAGGGAAGAAGGACAGCAAAACCGATGGGGAAGAGGGCTTGGAAGGCGTTGACATGAAGGGCGCACCCATTGGCGGATCCGGTTCAGCTGGTGGTCCCAAGGGCGGGCCGCAGGGAAAAGGCGCCGGGGGCCCGCAGAAGGGGAAGGGCAAACAGCAAGCTGGTAAGGGGAAGGGGAAGGCGGGTGGAGGTGGCAAGAAAGGGAAAAAGGGGAAGAAAATGGGGTACCCGGAACCCGCGTCGTTTTTCTACTACGCCGGGGGAGAAGATGAAGGAAATTTTTACGGTTTTCAAGAAGAAGTTGCTGATGATGATGTGTTGCACGGTTCTTCCGGTGAGTGGAACAGAGAAGATAATTTTTCTATCCGCAGTGAAGACGAAGCCAGTTTTTCCTCCAGCGCCCCTTCGTCGTCGTCGACTAGTATGAACCAGGATTATTCCGTCAGAACAGCGGTATTAGCCACGGATCCTCACCTTTTGACCATTCCCGAGGTGAAGCGACTTTCGGTTGCGGCACCTCCCGGTGCCACAATTTCATCTGCAACTACAGCTACAACTATCGGCGCGCTTGGTTCCGTGCCAAAGTACCAGTACGGAGGGTCTTCTTCGTCCACCTCTACCCGGCCGGCCGCGATACGACCAGCCTGGACTGTTTCGACGACAAGCGCAAAACCAAAGGCGAAAATGACGAACATCGTCCAATCTGCTCGTGTCGCTGATCCACTCGATTTCGATACCGAGTCGTCCGCATCAGAAATTCTGACCGAAATCGAACAGGCTGATATCAGTCCGAGCAGGCGAGTTCGTTTTGGCCCGCCGCCGGCGAAAAGGGAAACTAAAGCAAAGTTGAACTGGATTTCGGAGGGGCTGGCGGAGAAAAAGATCAAATTTGTCTTGCCGATAGACACGGGGACGGACGAGCAGGGGAGCGTCACGAAGAAAGAGAAGCTGGAAAAGGAAATAAAGCCGCGGGAAGTGGTGAGCAGTGCTGGGAAGAAAGTTTTCATGTTCTTTCCTGAGGATGAAGAACAAGAACCACAACCAGCAGACGAAGCACAATTAGGTCGTTCTTCAGGACTTGCCGCAGGTGTAAGTCCTCTCATTAGCTGCAGTACAAGCTCGTCCAACATATCAGCCACTTCGCCGCTTTTGCGACGAGGACCAGCATCTGCGCCCCCTGTCCCTTCTACAGCAGCATTAATAACAGCATCTTCATCTGCAAGACGAGTAGACAAATCAGTTGACGAGGTGGACGACGAAGTGCTGAACGAAAACGCCAGACATAGAGAAGTAGATGACGACAAAAAACTACCGCCTTCCAGTCCCTTTCTCTTTTTCGACTCCGATGACGAAAACGCGATGAAAGTCACCCCGACACCGCAGATGCAGCAGTTGATGCAGCAGGGCCAGGCTATTCAAGAGGAGTACGCGCAGATCGTGAACGCTTTACAGGAGTTACAAATGCTGGGGGACGACATCTCCCCCGAACAGCTCCAGTTCGGCGAGCAATTGACCCAACGGGGTCTGCAGCTAGAGCAGGCCATGGCGGAAGTGCAGAATGGTTTGGCGGTTTTGGAGCAACAGGAGTTGGTAAAAATGGCGAAAGCGAAGGCAAAAAAAGCAGCGATGACGGCCGCGAAGCAGAAAGCCGCAGCGCAAAATCAGCGATTCGCGAAGAAGCACAAAATCCCGCCAAAGATGAAGAAAGCGCCGCCGAAGAAGAAGGGGATTCCGAAGTACAAAGACCCGCAATCCGTGATTAAAAAGCTCCCAATTGCGAAGGCGGGCGCATCGGTGGATATGCTGGGGCTGGCACAGGGAGGTGGAGGCGGGAGTGGTGCTGGGGGCTCGCAACAGGCGGGGCAGTCGGGAGGGATAGGTAAGAGCAGTGGAACCACAGGGAAATCGGATGACGTCTTGAATATGCAGATTAAGATGGGCGCGACTGCAGACCAACAACCGGAGGGGACAGGATCAGCAGGTGCTGGTCCAGCAGGAGAAGCTTCTATCGGCGGTACCGAGGAGCAAGACGCGCACGGAGAGGTGGACGCGCGGGGGATTTTGGGGGAATACGTGAACCCCGATCCGAACTGCCAAGGTCCACTGATCCTATGAATTGCAAAAGCATCGTACTAGTAGTAATTGCATTACAATCTACCTCAGCATGACAAATGGAAGTTGTCATGCTGTTTTACCTTGGGATGGACGAGATTTGTAATGCATAAATGCAATCATTACGAGTACGATACTTTTGCACAGGATAGATCCTCGCTTTTGACAACGAGGGGTACCCTACGAAGCCGTACAATCCGGGTATCAACTGCAAATATGTCTGGGTCTGGGAGATGATTCCGAGATTTGTCATGCTAGTCCGGCATGATTCAGATTCTGAGCTCTGTATTGCGTGACCGCGAAGACCTCCTCTTGCCTGTCATGCAAAAACACTTTTTCTCATGCGGAATACGCAAGAACCCAGAACCACGGAAAAACTTCTCATGCTTCGCAGCGCGTTACAGTTTGCTCACTATTCCCTTTCTTGCATCACAAGTTTCCAGACAGAGGTGGTATATTTGCAATTCATAACCAGGGATGAGAAGCAACTGTTTCGGAATTACGACCCGGTTACGAAACTACCGATTATGCCGATGAACATGGAAACGGGCGAGCTGGAAATCCCGAGAAGCGGCTTAGGACAGCCGCTAATCCCGGTAGATCCGCAAAATCCGAATTTTCCGAATTTGCAGATCGTGAAAAAGTGGGGCGTGTTGTTACTACCGGTGGACGTCAAGGGCTTCCCGTTGATGGACATCGACCCGAATACCGGCTGTCCGGTTATTCACTGCGCGATCGATGCGGAAACGGGGTTTCCGGTCATACAACGGGATCCGGACGACCCGGGGAAATTTTTAACCCCTTTACGGGATTTTTTCGAAAAATCTCTTGAACTACTCGAAAAAGAGGAGCAGGAGCGGATCATGAAGGAGATCGCGGAACAGGAAAAGAAATCCGCGGAAAACATTGGAGTCGCGCGGGGAGAGAAAGCGCTTGCTGCGGGGGCGAAAGCTGCCATGATGGCGGAGGGTTACGAGTTTGGGAAACATACCGCGGAAGAGGAACAGCGGGAGATGGAGTTACTCGCGAAGGAACAGAAACTGGATTTTTACTTACTCTCCGATGATGAAGTAGCCCGCGCGCTCTACATGAACAACGTGGACGTTGCGACCCTGGGGATCTTATGAACTGCAAAAGTATCGTACTCGTATAAATGCATGACAAATTTTCTCAGCATGAGAAAAAATTTGTAATGCGGATTTACCTTTAGCAAAGGATTTGTAATGCATGATTGCAATTACTACGAGTACGATACTTTTGCACAGGATAGATCTTTCCCACACCGTACGAGCGCGCGATGGGGGAGCATTTACTCCCTGACGACGACGTGAAAAAGTTCATCCCCGACGCGATCGACCAAATCGAGGAGGAAAAAGATCGGAATTGGTTCAAAAACGGGTGGGGCGCGAGTTTGCGGAAGGCGGATGCGGAAAAATCGGAGAAGCACAAAGCATCAGTATCCTGAGCAAAAACATTCATCCTACCCCAGAGTCAAGTTGGGAATCTTCCATCACAAATCTCGAAGTTTTGGAAGCTGTGCATGACAAGTTTCCCTCTGCAGTGACAGTGTAGTGCTGGTTGGCAAGGGAAGCCGCATGAGAAAGCCACTTTCTCGCCCTGTTTGCAGCATTACAAATTCCAAAACACGCTTGAAAATACCTTTCATGGAGCTGCGCATTACAAATGTTCCTGTCATTGCACATTTGCATCACAACTCTGGGGAGGTGGGGACGTTTTTACTCAGGATAATCAGCCGCTTACGCAGTCGGCGCGCAGATGCCCGGGCCGGTGGCGAATTACGCGTACTTGATGAATCTGCAGAAGCCGGTGTTGGCGCTGGAACTGACACTACGACCCGGGCCGTTTTTGCGGAGAAGAATGCCGGATTTGCCCAAGGGGGTCCAGAAGGAGTTGAATACCGTCCCTTTGCCCGACCCGGCAATCGACGGGAAGAAGGGGTTCCAGTGGGTAAACTACGAGATAAATTTTGCGAAATTATCTCGGGTTTTGAAGATGCTGGGGGTGGATACAATGACGGTGTACCAGGAATCAGACTTTGAGAAGACCAACCGGAACCAAGATTTCAAAGCGGGGGTGAATACTGGGATGAAGGGAACTTCAGATTTTTTTCTGCAGGAGAAGAACCAGCAACCGAATCTTGTCGCTCGGTATCTCTACAAAAAAGGGATTGACGCGGAGGATTTGGGTTTGTGGCCGGAAGCGGGTAGCAAAACGGAACTGAAGCACCAATTTACAAAGGTGAAGAGGAAGAAGTTGAATGCGAAGGTCGAGGTGAAAGTGAAAGGGAAGAGATTAGACAACCGGATCGACTACAACAAACACGAAAGCTCCAGTGAAGACGTCGGGGAAGACGGTAAAGATCCGTTCGGGGCGAACGTTGCGAGGTCGATCTTGCGTCCGGATAAAGATTACAGCTACCTGCTCCCGAAAGACATACGATTGCAGTTGAAACTGGTCGGGTTGCCGAAGAATCCCGGGCCGTTCCTCCAACGGAAAAAGCGGAAGATCGACCATATCAAATGCAAAAATGTTTGGGTCTGGAAGACTTTGAGACTTGTCATGCTTGTCTGTCATGACCAAAAAGTTTGTGATGCGTGTCCAAGAAGAGACCCTTTTGCCTATCATGCAAAAACGCAGTTTGTCATTGTCTTTGTCGTGCGAAAAACGCAACATAGATATTTCTCATGCTTGCCTGTGCATTACAGAGCATTCACTATTCCCAACGCAGCATTACAAGTTTCCAGACCCCGACATTTTTGCATTTGATAGACCAGGCGGCGGTGCAAATCCAGGCACAGATCCGGGGGAAAATGATCCGGGCGCATATCCACAGAAAAAAACCCACTCACATCCACTTTTTGCATGACAAACACAGGACTTTATGTATGTTTTGCATGACAAATTCTTGGATGTGGATGGGTGTTTTTTTCTGGATAGCGCAGTTACGGGGAGATAACGCGGAGATGGACAAACTCGCCGCGAAGCTTTCGAAGGCGAAGAGCGTGTACAAGCGGAACGAGTATGGATTGCAAATATGTCTGGATCTGGAATAAACTTGTGATGCTGAACTGTAGATGATGACAAACACTTCCAAATGCAGCCAAGTGTGACAAGTTTGAAGGACGCTGTCTTATGCGCAGCCCGCATGAGTAGAAACAGCGTTTTTGAGACTTTTTGTAGGTCCTGCAACACAGAGACAGATTTCATAGGAATGTAAGCCCAGCATTACAAGTTCCAACTTTCCAGACCCAGACATGTTTGCAATGCATAACGAAACGCAGTTCGCGAAGTGGAGCTCCATTCACCAGCAAAAGAAGGAGCAGCAAAAAGTGATGATGGAGCAGAAGAAACTAGACAAGAAAGCCGACATGTATTGCTTGCTCAGATGTTACAATCTCAAACGTTACAATAGAATCTGGAATTTGTCTTGCATGAACAACATGAGTACCATATAGAGACTTGGGCTTTTTGCAATACAAATTTCGTCAGATATTTCTCATGAGGTTTGGAGTCCCGAAACTTGTCATGCGCGCTCCTTTGGGAGTAGGCCAGATGTTGCGCATTTTGCAACACAAATTCCAGATTCTATTCGTAACGTTTGAGATTGTAACTACATCTGAGCGGGTTATAGCATGGGGAAGGCGATGGGGGAGTTGGTAAACGCGTTGAATCCGTTTTCGGACGGGACAAAAGAGAAAAAACTAGACGGTGAATCGGACAGCAGCAGCGACGACGGCACGGGCAAAGCCCCGGGTCTCGGCACCGCGGTGGCGCACATTGGCGGGGCGATCGCGGGGAATTTCCAGAAACTCGGGAACGTTTTGAGTGGGATTAAATCGCCGCTGCGGGGAGGAGGTTATGGTGGTGGAAGTTCGCCGGATAACAATACTGATTCGCCGTTTGGTTTCAAAATCGGAGGCGGTGCTGGTGCCCGGCCTGGACACGACGATGTCATGGCGATGATGAGCAACCGGGGACTGGATAAACACAGCAGTTCCGATGACGATAGTGACACCTCACCGAAGAGAAACAAAGGCCCGAAGCCCATGGAGGCGAAGCGGATCGTGAGGAAGTTCATGAACAAAGAGGTCGGGAACCAAGAACCGTTGAGCTGGAACCCCGATGCGTTCGAAGAGTGGAACGACTACGAAATCGATTTTCCGAAGTTAAGGCAGGTGATCCAGAAGTGTCTGAAGGAGAACTCGCAGAACGATGAGTTCGCCGGAGACAACAATCCGGGAATTTTGAAATACCGGTTGGAAGCGATGAGCAACGAGACGTTGAAGAAAACGCTGTATTTAGCGAGGATCGACGCGGAATCCTTGAAAATCTTTCCCAAAGTTTCCGCCTGGTTTTCCGCCGAGAAGGATTGGTCGCACTTGATCAAGGATGAGAGTCCGGCAAAACCCGTGATCCGGTTCCGGAAGATGCCGGTGCCGAGCCCGCTGTTGAAGATGAAGGACGAGGCGAGGAAGCGGAAGGAGGGGAAATTTTTCCGGAGTTCTAACGAGGTGAACGCGGATATTGCGGAGGCGCTGAACCACGCAGAGGGGCTCATTATGGGGAGAAAATGAGGAACGGGATAAAAACTACTTTACCTTAGCCTTAACCTTATCGATGTAGTAGTAGTCGTGATCATGTGCCGAAAAATAAAATGAAAAAGTCTTGGAACCTCCACGGTAGTGGCAGAATCGAGCGGCTGCGCTTCTTCCCGCCTGCTGCTGGTTCAGAACTTTTCGAACGATCAAATTCTAACATCAGAGCACTCCTAGTGCTCTGATGAGTCGTCTTGATAGGCATGCAAGGCGCTCTCGCTCCATGCAACGCGTATAAACACTACAAGACAATGAGAATGACAATGATACTTTTTGCACTAATGATCATCGGTGTCTCTAGCTCGGCCATCCGTGCCGTATGAAATCACGTAGTTGACAAGTCGAACAGAAGTGTCTTCATTTGCGATCGGCTGTAGAACGACTCTTTATTTCTTCAGCGCCAGCATCTACTTTGCCTTTGCGTGGTGTCCATTTAATGTTCTCACCGAGAAGGAGCAGCTGGCCTCTCAATAAATTCATCGGTTGCTTCGTTGCAATTTGCATCGATTTATTTTGAAGGCATCTTCTTGCTGTCGGTTCGTTCTGATTTGTTCTTCGTGTGCTGCATTATTTTACTTACGTAGAAGCCCCTCGATCTCGTCGTTGTCGTCCACTTTTTCCTTCGTACTTTTCGGTGATCCTCATCGTGAACTGGTCGGTATAATGAATCGTCCGTATCGTGTTTACGCACTAAATGTGGTTTCATGCGCCGTTTTCGTGCGAAGGTGCTTCTTGCAGTAGGCTCATAGAGCATTTAGAAATAATTTTTCTCTGTAGAAAACAATCTGACTTTACCATCAACGTCACCAGGCTGATTTTATGCTGTCGGACCCCCCCTTCACTTTTTAAGTTTATTCATCGTTTTGAACCAAACACCGGTAAGTATAATTTGACCCCGAAATATCGCATTCACTTTGAAAAGAACGCACTTAGGAAGCCTTTCCCCTGCGGTCTCCCATTTGAAATTTCAAGTTTTCGAAAACACCAGCAAAATGGCAGCTTCAAAAATTCATAAAGAAAAACCCCTCTCTGCTGCAGCCAACATGTGCGCCACCAGAAGTACTAGAACCATGTTCCTGACCTCTTGTAGTCTCCTATCCCTCGCCCAGCAGCATGGCGGATTTTTTTACCAGTTCGCCGACGCCTACACGACCATGGTGAACGGTAACAAGAATAATCGCCACACGCACATCATTCAGCCGAAGAACAACCGGAAGAAAAAAGTGCACAACAAAAGATCGAAATCGAGTCACAGAGCATCAGGGCAAGATGAAGTAGACGGCGTTAGTACGAAAATCAAAATAAAGGTGGAGGATGAAGACGGTAATCTTTTCCCAGCAGGAGCTTTGTCGGCGCAGGACCTTCTGCTCCGGGAAAGAACGGAAAGAGGTGAAGCTGCACAAGAAGAAGATCTTGCCGCTTCTGGAGAATTCTTGGAGAGCAGGAACCAAGCCGCTCCCACTGCGCAGCTGGAGCAAAACCAAAAGCTGGAGCGCCAGGAAAGCATAGTGCAAAAATTAGAACAACTGAGTCACGACACGGACTTGCAAGTGCATGATGGCCAAAAGAGGACCACGAGCAGAAGAAGTACCGCGCAACAAGAAGAAACGGCTCATAGAATTCCTGTGGATGATCTGCAGCAGGTGGATGTTGCTGGTGTTGTTGGCGAGGAAAACGATGAAAATACGAGACGAAATCAACCCGGGGACGACGAAATATCAAACGAAAATCACAACAGCAGGAGCAGGAATTCCAACGAAGATTCCAGCACAAAAACATTTTTCCAAGTTTCTGAACTGGAGGGCAAGAAGAATAAAAAAGTACACCTACACGATAAGACAAACGGTGGCCCTCCCGCTGCAGTGCCTGATAACGCAGCCAGAACAATAACGGCTCCCCCAGGAGACACAAGTCCCTCATCAACATCATCTTCCGGGGACAATAATAAAACGGTCTTGTACATTTTGGGCTGCATCGCCATCGCAGTGCTGATCGCCGCGGCCTTTCTCGTGTACCTGTTTTTTCTAAAACCGGAGAAAGATTCGTCGGCGAAGGGGGGTGGACCAGACTCTTACATGACGAAATTGGACATGCTGTTGAAGGAGGAAGCGGAGGTGTTTGCGAACTTGGAAAACATCAAGGGCATCGCGTTAGACCCGCAGCGGCCGAATAAACTGCCGAACCCGTTTCCGTTACTGACGGTGCAGGAAACTTCGAAAATGATCGACAAGTTTTTATTCGCGGAACATCAAATGAATACCAACACCATGAGGCGGAACAGCATGACAAAAAACACGCAGATGAACATGAATCAAAACACTAAACCGATTTTCGAGCAGGACTTCTTACCGATGTTGAGTCCTGTATGGATGTGTCAGAATCGAAATCGACAAAATCGAAAAACTTGTGATGCGTGAAATGTAGGGCACTGAAGGCCTGTGTTGGGGAGCAGGCAAATGAGACCGATTGCAAGCCTGTTTAGGGGTATGCAACGCGCTGCCAGAGTAGCATGACGAGAGCAGTCTTCTTTGTCGAAACAGCATGACAGACTGGATTTGGGTGCTCCCGAAATTTGTCATGCGCCACTTGGAGGCTGAGGCTCCAACTGGTATCGATTTTATGCATCACAAATTTTTCGACTTTGTCAATTTCGATTCTGACGCTTCCATATCCTGCTCAACGTGAAGAGCCCGCCGACGCGTATGACGAGATTGAAGAAGAACTGTCCTACGAAGCGTGCGTGGCCTTTCTTTGCGGGGAAGAGTGTTTACTTTCCCCCGGCGGCGCATTGCGGATCGCGAAGTTTCTGGAGTTGAGAAGCAATAGTGGCAAAAATGCAAACACTGGACGTCGAGATGGTGGTGCAGTGGGAACAAATGTTCCTGGGACGGCCACAACGGGAGCAGCCGCAGCACCAGCTGCTCCAGGTGGAGCCAACGAAGAGATGAACAACGCAGGAGGAGGCACAAATGCTGTTGTACCTCCTCCACCGGGCACCAGCGAAGGAGGTGGTCCCCCGCAAACTACAAGTAATATCATCAATCCGGCCATCAAGCTGTTACCTCGACCTTCCGCGTCTTCTCTCGCAGCACGCCAAAGTCAACAAAGTCAAATGAGCACAACTCTGTTGAGCACCTTGAGTGGCGGTGAAACCAGTACATACTACGCAGTTCTGCAACTCGCGAACTGCGATATTGAGACGCTGAAGAAGGATCTAACTAACGGGAAAAGTTCAAGAATACGAATTTTATCAAAAAAATCAACCCTGGCCCTGGAGCAGTGCCAGAGCCAGGCGCCCGGTTCCAGGTTGCAGGGGAGGATCGCCGGGTAGTCGGGCAGCACGTGGTAAGCCAGCAGATATCGTCGCCCCAGGTGGCGGAGCATCCCATCGCCTCCACAGCCGGGCCTTTCCCTGCTAGGACTTCACTCAAGAGACCAAAAAAACATCACTAGGCACTCGGCGCCTTGCCCTCTCCTCCCGGAAATAGAATGCTAATCTCTACACACTAAACTAGTTACCTTCATGGAGTCATTTCTTGTAAACAGTACTAATATGAGTATGCTGAAACTATTCACAAAAAACAAACTCAGGCGCCGGCTTTGGCAATCTCCACGCAGGCCTACAGTGGAGACCCAAGAACACGCGGCCCGGCGTGTTTTCTCCCGCCACCAAATACACCACGGCGGGCACCTGTTGCCTTCGACACAGGCGCCCAATTGTTGAGTTGTGTTCTAGTTCTGAAAAATGATGCTCGGGGACTTGGTTAAAATCTCAAGAATACGACCAAGGGGGTCCAGCCAAAGGGGTCCCAAATCCGGGATTTGGGGGCCCCCATGATTTTGGCCAAATCGACCGACTCAGGTGCGGTTAAAATTTCAAGAATACCAGAAAAGGGCGCCCCTTTTGTGTCCGCGCGAAAAGTGTCCCGGAAATGGTGTCCGTTTCCGGGGTCTCGGCGTTCGGGCATTGGGTCCCCCTCCCTGGGTAGGTCAGCTTATTCAGTATTTTATTGCGTCTGGTATCCCGTCGCGGCACAGGTAAGACCTTCTTCAGGTGGAGCGTCATGGCAAGTCGTTTCTGAAAGCAGTCCGACTTGATTTCCTGCGCGACCTTTTATGTCCGCCTTTTCTTGTTGCGTGTTTTTCAAGAATGAGATGAGCAGCATTTGCAAACAAAACAGCACACAGGTGCACTGAACTTACCTCGATGAGTCACGTGTTGATTTTTTTGTCAGTTTTCTTATTCTTGAACTTTTCCCCTTAGTACGGTCAAACCAGTACGTACTACGCAGTTCTGCAACTCGCGAACTGCGATATCGAAACTCTGAAGAAGGACCTCGGGTTCCCGCACGTGACGCAGATTGCGCAAAGAGTCGCGGTCAACAACAATAATAATACCGTAGGACCTGCAGCTGACGCAGTGATCCAATTGAAGGCCCAATTCGGTTTTCTCTTTTCCGACAAAAACAGTATAGTCCCCTTCCGGAACAAGCTTCGTGCGTGGGTTTACGTGAACGTGAAACGGATGGAACAACTAAAAAACCAGAAATCGTTCGTCTCCCAGCAGCAGCTTTTCCACCAAGAAATCGAATCGCTGAAACTAACCCCGGTAGAGGTAGAAATGGCGATCTCGATGGATTACCTCCACCGGGTTTGCGGGTTTTCGGAGTTCACCGCGGTGAAATTGGCGGAGTGTTACTTTAATAAGAACGTGGATTTTCAAGATCTTTTACCGTTATTCGACAATGGTAGTTACGCACCGGGGGTGATACCGTCTTCGGTGTCGGATGAAGAGAAGAGAGTGATGGACCGCGACTTGATGATCTTGAAACTCATGACGAATGGGGAGAAAGTTTCTAATACCAGGAAGAGCAAAGCAGAGTTACTCGGAACGGCTGAGTATGGATTGCAAAAGTATCGTACTCGTATAAATGCATGACAAATTCCCTCAGCATGACAAATGGAATTTGTAATGCGGATTTAGGTTAAGAGGTAAATTTGTAATTACTACAAGGGTGAACACGCTCCACTCAGTATGGGGGAAAAAACAAAAATCCAGCAGCTCCGTCGTTCTTCTTTATTTCTTAGCGCAGTAGTACTACTCTTAGGGCCTTGAGCGTCGACCTAAACCTTAGAAAGTCTAAGACCTACTAGCATGCGGCCTGCAGCTGTTTCACTATAAAGAAGTCTTCTTTTCTCGCATCGGATTGAGTTAGGGTAGCAATTTCTTTCCTTCCTTTTCTTTCAGAAGTTTCAGCGTGGGTTTGCTTTCAATTTTGAACTTTCAACATTTTCGGAACGGGTGCGCGTCACTTTTCTTCTTTGTCATGTAAAAAGTGCACCCGTCCGCGTCTCTTCTCAGTTGCGTGATGCCTTGGCAAAATTGTCACTGATGCCTCCCCGGTGTGATCGTCGCCGTGCTTGCTTTGCCGCTCTGCCCCTTCGCTTCTGCTTCACGGCTTTTGTCTTGCTGGTGGGCTACTGTGGGTGTGGTACGTAGCCCGACACCCGCCGGATATGTGCCCCGGCGTCTCCTAAAATGCTCCCAACTACTTCTGCCCCTTATCTCAATCCGCTAGCAGTGCCATGATTTTGAGCGCCCCCATTCCTATTAGCGGCTCGACTTATAAAGCAACTTTATTACTCCGTAGGGTCTCCCTAGGGCTCATCACTATGAACGCTACGGATATCTACTTATGCGCATACAATCTACAGGACGGAGCGAGAGGCTACGACGTGCCATATAGTCATAGTGCGTAATTGTAATTACTACAAGGGTGAACGCGCTCCACTCAGTATGGGGGAAAAAACTAAAATCCAGCAGCTCCGTCGTTCTTCTTTATTTCTTAGCGCAGTAGTACTACTCTTAGGGCCTTGAGCGTCGACCTAAACCTTAGAAAGTCTAAGACCTACTAGCATGCGGCCTGCAGCTGTTTCACTATAAAGAAGTCTTCTTTTCTCGCATCGGATTGAGTTAGGGTAGCAATTTCTTTCCTTCCTTTTCTTTCAGAAGTTTCAGCGTGGGTTTGCTTTCAATTTTGAACTTTCAACATTTTCGGAACGGGTGCGCATCACTTTTCTTCTTTGTAATGCGAATGCATGACTGCGATTACTACGAGTACGATACTTTTGCAGTGCATACTGGGCCGCGGAGCTCGGAGAGCGACACGCCTCTCCAACTCGCATTAGCTGCGGGGGAAATTACCGGGATGATCGAGAAACTGCTCACCACGAACGCTTCGCAGCAGTTTGGCTTCTTCAAGGAGAAGATCAAGAACAAGCAACTCGCGATTTTTCTCCAAACGGCAGCGTTGAAGTTCATCGGAACTTTCTCACCCGCGTTTTCGAAACTACCAAATGTAAAAATGTCTGGGTCTGGGAACTTGTGATGCTGGGTAGCGTCTCATGATGAGGCTACAAATGCTGGCTCAGCATGACAAGTTTCTGAGCTCCTATGTGTTGCCTATTCTGCATGACAAACTGCGCTTCTGCATCACAGAAAAACGCAGCTCTTGGGCAACGTGCATGACAGATTTAAGAGTCATGCCAGACAAGCATGACAAACATGAATTCTTCCAGACCCAGACATTTTTACAGTTGATACAAACGAATCGCGCACCAAATGGCTTCCTCCGTCGCGCCCACGGATGAGTCGACCTCCACCGTGTCGAAATCGGATTACGAAGCGATGAAATTTTGGAACGTGTTGAATGAGCAAACGGACCCGAAGTTGTTCGGGCAGGGGGAGAGGCAGAGGGTGTTTCATTTAAGGAAGTTGGTGTTGGAGAGAATTTTCTTGATAAAACCACCTTCCGGCTCTCTCCCGGTGTCGCATAAAGCATTTAGTGCGGAGATGGAGAATTTGGATAAGAAGCTCCAGTTCCGCGCTTTAACCACGCAGCACTTGATGCGGATCATGGCATCGTCCGGCACCGGGCCGGCGGAGGTTTACGAAATGAAGATGAAGTACGCAGCGACGAGCGAGATGCTGCAGAGGATGTTGGTCGAGGAAATGAGTTTTAGTCCTGCTTTTGCGAAAAGCGTGGCGAAACGGAATTCTGCCATGGTAAAGGCGATGAAAGGAAGTAACAAGTCCGGAGGTCGCGACACCAGCAGTCTCAATCTCGGGATACGTAGCAACACTTTATTGCAGATCGAAAATAGCTCCGACTTGAAGCAATTACGCGAAATGGGGTTCTTCATGCACACAAGCGGAGCTGCGCCGACCAGGGATAGTATTAGCAGAAAGTCGGATATGACCCACATATCTTCGGCTTCTCGTGCCGCGTCTGATCATGTAAAGCAAGCTTCTACCATGAGTAGGACAACGTCACCAGCCGCGCTCTCATCTCCCACCGCCATCGTGCAAACCGCGCCGGGAGTCAAAGTGAGCGTGACGGGTCAAGAACCGTTACAACAGCAGCAAAATCAAAATCTTCTCCCGGATACAACAACCTCCGACGCGGATACGGAGCAAAGTGGAGTTTCCTCGAGCTACAATCCGAAGGAAGGCCCTTCCTCCAGCAAATTCCCACAGAACTACACAAGTTCTGCTATGCAGCTGCAGAAGAAAGGAACCTTAAGCGGTGAAAAACTTAGTCTCGCACGAGACCTGGTGGCGGCGGCTAGTACCGTGGTCGTGGGTGATAATTCTTCTGCAACTGGCGGAGTCGCCGGGGCGGGTGCATCTTCAGCACAGAATGCTGCAGGAGGAGTTGCGTCCTCGCAGCAACAGCAAGGTGCTGGCACTCGGAAAACTGGCGCTTCCAACGAAACGGATGACCAAGTGATCGTGATTAACCCAGGTGGCCCGAACTCCAGCATGAGCAGCTTTCTCGAGGTCGACTTCCCCTTAGCAGCAGCACAACCACACGCTGAAGGCGAGGTGATTGAGTATGAGCACAACATCGTGCGGAGCAGCAGTGGCGATGCGCCCGCTGAGCTTCACGTGATGGACTTGGGCGCGTTCCAGACCCTCGCGGCCAATGGACCGCACAACATGCGTTACCCTACCAGTCACTATGCTACCAGCCACATGACAAGTCAAACTGATAGCAGTACTGAGAAGCACAGTAGCAGAAGGATCAGTTCCTCGCGCAGAAGCGATGTGAGTCATGAAGAGGTTCTGTTGAAAGGAGGAAAGTACACGTATGGTCCATCAAACGAAACACACGAGGGTGAGGTGTTGAACCAATTGAACTCCGAAGGCGAGATTGAGAATTTTCCCGAGGGGGAAATTGGTACTGTTGAGGGGGAACTCGGGCACCACAACCGGGCGAAGGAGTTACTGCAGCGCGCGCAGCAACACGCGGGTGGGCAGAAGACGTTGCAAGAGTTGAGGAAGAAAAGGGACAACAACCCGAAGAATCTTCTCTCATCTCCAGCCGCAAATTATTCCTCCAACGCCTCTGCGGTTTCGAGTAACAGCAATATCTCCACCGATCACGATAAGCACGAGAACGAAACGGAAACGGAAAAACAATTCCGGGAGAATGCCGAGTTCGATTTCTGGCTCTGGAATCGGGTGTTTGTCCAGGTTTACCGCATGTTTGACGTGAATCGGAACACGATTATGCAAATCCCCACCGGCCCGCTCGGCCCGACAGATGCGTCCGCGTGGCCGCCGATCGAGCACTATGAAATGCAAAAGCATCGTACTAGTATAATTTTAATTCGCATGATGACAAATTCCCTCAGCAAGAAGAATGGAGTTTGTAATGCGGATTCAGATTAAGAGGGAAGTTTGTAATGCATGACTGCGAGTACCATTACTGCAAGTGCAAGTGCGATACTTTTGCGCAGGATAAGCACGGGGCGGACCCGACGCGGGATGCGGGGTACCGGTTTACTCGGGATTCGGGTTTAAGCCGCGCGACGGCGACGCCGTCGGTGGCTCTTGTGGATAAAGAACGAAGAAGCTTGGAGAGCGGATTGAGCGCGGTGACTTCGATTACGTTAAATCCGAATATCCCGAAGTCGGGGCAGATTTTCGATTTGCCACCCCCAGTCGTCGCCGATCACACAGATTTCTCGCGGAAAACCAATATGACGCAAGATTCAACATCAAGAAGAACTACATCCGATGCTGGTGGAATCCGGGTGGTAAGCGTAAGCATGAACAATGCAGGTGAAAGCAACAACAGCGGGGGCCCAGGTGGAGCTACTAGCGCAGCATCTTCTACATCAAAAATAAGGCCCTCGAACCAGACGACTTTACCCCCACAACCACAAGCTCCTGCAGAAAGGGCCATTTACACGGAAAGCTTGCTGACGGGTGACATCACAAACAGTGAGAAGCTCTCTTTCGACGTGAAGCCATCGCAGTTTGTCAGCGGTGGGACGAAACAGAAATCCGTGGCTATCGGCGGGGAGTCTGTCATTAACAAAACTTCTACTAGTACGCAGGACAACGACAACAAGAATTCGAATTCCACTGTCGTGACATCGACCTCTAGAAGTACCGACACGACATCCTCGTCTCGGAGCCAAATTCTGATGGGCCAAACGCCGACGGCAATGCACGTGAACACCCCGTATGCAACGAACGCAGTGCCAAGGACCACTGCGGGAACGAATTCATCAACAACTACTACTCCATTTGCGACACAGAACGCCGCAGCCGGAACAAGTGTAGTACCAGCGGGGTCTTCAAGTGGTCCTACCACAGGGACGACGAGAAACACAAATCCAGCAAGCTCCTCCACGTATAACGGCAACAATTATGCATCGATGGCACCTCCAACGGACAGAACGTCGGGTAGCTTTTTGCCTCCGGGGGCCGGACAGACGATGCTAGGTTCTTTGCCGGAGCAGGTCGCAGTGGTTGCCGCAGCTCCTGCTGTGTCGACTACAACAGCTTCGGCTACTACCAGGAGGACAAGCAACGAGAGCACCCGAAGTACGAATGCTCGGGCTCCCTCAGCGGCCGTCAATAATTCCTACGGAAATAAAGGCGGGAAAGGAACTGGAACATCGTACAACTCTTACGGAGCAGGCACGTCTTCTTCCAAGAAAGGTGGAAAATCTGCCCGAAGGAACGAAGGAAGTGCCAACTCTCCTACTTATGCGTCGAATTATCATAGTCCTGTGTCGTCGTATCAGTATGGCCAACAGTCGTGGGGGATGAAAAGTGGCAAGGGCGGAAAGGACAAAGGCAAGGGCGGGTTCTACCAGTGACAACAAAATGGAACTTTAAACCTTGCTTCTGCTTTTTTTGACCTTTCGTTCTTTTCCTTTCTCACATGACGTAGCGCAGGAACTTTTTTAGATCTAACCCTAGTTACTACACATCACTTTTTTTTTTGCATTCACATTCACTTTCCATTGTTCACTACTAGACTGTGTAGCGTTTTGTTATCTATATCTATCCTCATCATATAACTTAGAAATAGAAGCTGAAGCAACGACCTGATCTTTTCTTCTGTTTCCCCACAGAAGACAGTCACATTCATGTCATGATTTTGTTCAGCCCGCTAGCACTAGACCCCTCTACAGCTTACTAGTTGAACAATTTTTACCTTGAGATCGCTCGCAGCGACCACGACACCAGTAGTACATTTTGAGCAGCAGCTTTTCTGCGAACATAAAAATTTCGCATGCTATTGCACAACTTGTGCCGATGATCCTTCAAGCGCAGCGAGCACGTACTAGGAAATAAGTAGAAGGGGTCATGAGACAGTTTCATCTTTGAAGTAGACACAATGCATTGTGCTGCTGATCAACATGGCGCGACCTTCCCCCCGTTTATCACTTGAAATTCTTCCATCCAATGCAAGGGTTTGTTGCGACAACGCTCAAGCAGGAGGCGGTTGTGTTCGAGTGAAAAGATGAAAATTGCTTTATGATGTCGGTCCGCAGAGCAAGGAGAAGTGGACAATCACCTCTTTACAGCTCCTGTGTATGTAGTATGTCTGTGTGAATGAAGCGGTGCGTTCCTTTTTGAGCTACAAAACTTATCGTGCAAAACAAGAAAGAATCGGTAAAGGCCATGTGATGGCTGAAACTGAAAGAAATCGGTTTCGTGCAAAATTTTAATTTTTGACATCGCAACTCCTTCGGTCGCTGCATTAACAACGCAGCTGTTGCAGATTCGTTCACATTCGCCTGTTGCGTGCAAAAAAAAAACCTTCTGGCTGTGTCATGCCTGCTTTTTCTAGGTCGTAGGTGGACTTTTTCGTTCGAAAAAAAATATTTTAGGCCACCTCTATGCTTTTTCTCTTTCTCAACTCCAGGCTAGCGGCCCCCAAGCACGAAAAAATAATACCACTTTGTTCGAGTAAAAGTTATTCACTACCCGATTCTTACAGAACTCGTACTCGTTGGATCCCAACATACGAAAACAGAATGTTGTACTTGTTATACGATCATCATGTTTTCTACGAGGACCCTCCTTCCGTGGAAAATCAAATAAATCCACCGGCGATCGCTCCTCAAATAGCGTAGTACCAAGACAAGCAGATAGCTTCATCTATGGGTAAGCAAATCGCCCCTCCGGGGGCGGAGGAACAGGAGGGACAGCACGGACAGGCAGTGCCTTTCCACGCCCAGGGCGAACCTGATGAAACCAATGCCGCACAACGACCTGAGCAGGAGCCGACAGGAATAGCAGAAAATGTTGATGATGGCCAACACCATCAACAGAAAAAACACAGTACCAGAAGTCCATTATTGTCAGAGGACCCTTTGAACCATAAGACGAAAAGCGCCAGCCTGGATCGCGATGGGCTGTTGGAGCAGGATGGGCACCACATGGTATCAAATGTAAAAATGTCTGGGTCTGGAAGGATGCGAACTTGTGATGCGCATTTCACAACACAGACAAATCTCTCATGCATGGAGAGCAAAAGGCGCCCACTTCTTGTCACCAAAATGGAGAATTTGTCATGCGGATTGAGCAATGCGGAAGCTTCCCGAAATCTGTGATGCTAGGGCTTCTATGACAGACATTTTGTGTCATGCAAAAACAACATGACAAAAATCTGCATTCTTCCAGACCCAGACATTTTTGCATTTGATACCTGGTTGACCACAACAACCGCGACGACGAGCAGATGGTCCTGCAGGTCAAAAGCAGTAGTGCTACTGTTGCTCAGAATGTGAAAGTAGGGGAGGGGGAGAACTCAGCTGATCATGGGATAATTACAACTGGGAAAGCCAGCACAAGCACCAAGACTGATCCAGTGCCTGCCAGAGCCAGTTCCCCCTCCCCGAGTTCTGCCCATGACCAGTTGCACATGAGTTTCACGACCAAGGAATCTGATTCGGGGCAGGAAAATGAAAAAGTCGCAGAACAACTTCAAGAGCACGAGGAAAGCCCGGAGGGCGCGGAAAGAATCATTCCCTCGAATCAGGTTGATGAAGAAGAAATCCAAAACAGCGACAATGCGGCTGGTGTAACACCGGTATCGCTGAGCAGTGGTGAGCTAGATGAATTGGACAGACTCACGAAAAAGGCCTCAAGTCTCTCCCCCGTTCCTCCGCTGAAGTTCGAGATTATTTCGCATGCGAAACAGGATATCGAAGAAGAAATTCAAATGGAAAAACAGATGGGCATGATGCACAACTCGCAAAACAAAACTAAAACAAGCAACTTACAGCAGTTGGAGAAGGGATTGGACTTCGTGAAAAAGGAGATATCTCCCAGCAACAGCCCGCGGAGTGAAGACTCTGCCAGCTCCAAAGCCTCTTCCAACCGGTCCGCTGGTCGCCAGGGATGGAGCAACGCGCTGTCACTTCTGAAGGAGAAAAATGCCATCGCGCGGGGCGAGAAGCCGAACTTCATTTCGGTGGTGAAAGCGGCTATTCGGAACAAAAAAAGCATCCAGATAGACAACGAGCAGGCGAAAAAGATGGCGGAGCTGAAACGAGCCACCGCAGCAATCGCAGTAGAAGCGGAACAAAGCGCAAAAAAGAGCGCAGGAGCTGCTGATAAACGTGAACAATATTTAGACCCGCGTTTCACGGCTATGTCTCGAGGTAGCATGTTGCCGGATCCTAGGGAAACCGCACAACAAATCCGACAGAAGAGTGGAGATCTTCCGGGTGCTGGTTATGATCCACGAATGTCGGTTCTCTCTCGGGGCACCGTGTTGGTGGGAAAAAGCCCGCGGAACACGGCCATGGGGCCCGTCCGCGGCGAGGCGTCGGCGTCGCAGAGGATTTCGGATGGCAGCAGAGGCACTGCTGGTTCCGAGGCAGATGGCAACAACCGTGCTATTCCCATGCCGGAATTCACGCTCGATGCGGAAACGTCAAAATCACCAGCGCCAAGGCAATCCGCAGCGACCTCGACGGAAATAAATGCAAATAATCACCCGCTTCCCGCGGTGCCGGCTGGTTCGAAGAAGAAGCTCAGTGTGGCGTCGAGTAGTGCTGCGTTGCGAGGCTCTAGTGTTCCGGTGACATCAGCAGGGACAAATAAGGCTTCGACCAACAAGGAGAATAAAGCTGCAACCAAAGGTTCCGCTTCTGAACAACGAGCGGCGTCTACTTCTTCCACCACGACCAAAGGCAAAGCTTCTGTGAACAAAAAATCCACCGCCAGCAATGCTTCTCTCGTTGCAGAGTCCTCAGAAAAACGTAGCAGCTCCTTTCCGAAGGCGAAAGTCAGGCTGTACCGGAGCAAAAAGGAGCAAAGCAGTGCCGAGTTGGGAGAAGGAGGAGGGGAGCAACAAAGCAAGGAACAGCGAAAAGCCGACATTGTTGCGGCCGCCGCTGCGGGTGCAGCCTCTTCTTCGGTCTTCAACTCGAACCAGGAACAACCGAGCGCCGCAGGAGCATCAGGAGCAGCATCTTCTTCTCTCTCCCCCCGAAACAAGAAACAAACCGACCAAAACTGCGCGTCGGCCGTCCTTACGAATTGTTGGGCGGGGATCAATCTCGCCTTTGCGACTATCGGGTGCGGGTTCAGTAAGACGGAGGAAAAAAAGGATTTCAAGCCGAAGCAAAGGAAGCTGAAAAACAGCAGAGAAGCGTCGCCGAGGACGCAGTCAACCTCGCCCCGAGGTGGAAATCTAAATCTTCGAAACGACGGCACCAATATGCAGAGCGTCCAGAAAGAAAGTCGGTCGACAGGTGGGACCTCAAATGCAGGGTCTAGTACCGGGCGGCCCTCTAACGTTTTCGCGAGCCTTCTCGCGAGCGACGAAATTCAGGATCGGATTAGTAATTTCCGCGCCGCTTTGCAAGAATTAGACAACGGCTTCCGGGGCTCGATTAAACGCGATATGGACGATTTGGTGACCAACCGGCTGATATCAAGTGCAAATATGCCTGGGTCTGGAGACATGCAACTTGTCATGCTACCTTTGGATTCCAAAAAAAATTGTATTGCGAGCAGCAAAGGGAATGTAATTTTTGCCTTCGTGGAGAGGGCATTTGTCATGCGGAACAGGCATCAAGAAGCCCTCAAAAAATCTGTGATGCTAGGGCATGCATCACAGACATCATGGCTAGTGCAAAACGTGCGTGACAGCTTTCAGAATCTCCCAGACCCAGACATATTTGCAATTGATAGCTGACGAAGTTCTGGGGCTCGGCCGACACGGACACCGCACGGCGATCGCGGTTAGTGTATCGGGATGAGGAGGGAAAGCGGGACAAACACAAAGAGCAGGAAGCCGCGAGTCGGAGGCAGCAGCAGCGGGCAATTCGGAACAAAGACACTTCCCCCAGAAACCACGAGGGGAAACGGGTTACCCGCTTATACTACCGGAAGTCGGAGATGGAACACGAGAAGAAAATCGAGGAAATCATGCAGAAGAACAAGCAAAAAAAGGCGAGAAGGAAGAAAATCGAGCACCTGATCAATATCGGGGTTTTGGACAAAGACGCACCGGAAGCGCAAATCAGCGACGACTCGAACATGGAAGAAAGCCTTGCGAAAGGCGAAACCGCCGAAGTGGATGGCCCTTTGAGCGCGCGTTCGGACAATAAGAAGGATTTCAGTTCGAGGTTCGCGTCCGACAGCTCTTTGCTTTCCCAATTTAGCAACATCAGCTTTTTAACCGCGAGTCTGAAATCCCACCAATCTTCCGAAGAGCTTACGGAGGAACAGATATCAAATGTAAAAATGTCTGGGTCTGGAAGATTGCCAGGTTTGTCATGCACATTTTGCATGACTCCTGATACCTGTGACGCATGCGCATGCCCTGGCATCACAGATTTTGTGAGGGCTTCCTGATGCCTATACCGCATGACAAATGCTCTTTCCATGTAGCAAAACTTGGACTCTCTTTGCTGCTCATGCAATACAGATTTTTTTTGAGTCCAAAATTAGCATGACAAGTTGGATTCAGACCCAGACATTTTTACAGTTGATAGCAGAAGGAAGCGAACAAAAATCCGATGGGCGGGGTGGGCTTCCACGGGTTCAAGTTTCGGAAAAGGAAGTACAAGACCAAAGCGCCACCGCAGGCGGTGATTGAGCGGGAGAAAATGAAAGGGAACATTATCGCAGAAATTGAAGCAGAAAAGTTGAAAGAAACGGCTTTGGTCAAGCAGTTCTCGAAAGAACAAACCCCGTCTACTGCGAAGCTGAACAAACAGTTAACGGAGAGTGACAATTTAATGTTCGAAGGGAGGTACGGCGCCGACGGGCGGAAGCAGTTCTTCCATTCCGTGACGACGGCGTTTCACGATGGGAAAATGATGAACTTTAAGCCAGAAGATACGGAAGGAAATGAGAACGACGAGCAGGGCGGTACTAAAAACAGTGTTGAAGAAGCTGTAAATACTTCTAAGGCCAGCAAGGCCTCTACTATCCCGCCTCTGGATCTGTCCTCCCACGGTAGAAAATCCACCCCCGTTCAAGCGCCCGGGAAAGGGGGCCGAAGCAGCAGCGCGCCGCAAAACCCTGGAGTTGTTGTAGGGACACAGCCGCAGCCGAAAAAGAAACCGAGTCAAGCGCCAGCCCCTGTGACGAGAAAGACGAATTCCCAAGGGAAAGAAATGGTGCGGTTATTCCCACGGAAATCGAAGGAGGCAGAAGTCCTACTCGAGGAGAAGGAACCTTCGCCGAGCCCTCCCTCGCCCAGAAACGTGGATTTACAGAAAGCCGATCCCTTGTTGCGCATGAAGGACGAAATTGCGACGAAAACTATGCAAGAAGATGTGGACATGGCTAAAAAGAAATCCTCGGAGGTGTTTCACGACAAAAAACTGGAAAGCAAAGGAGCTGAATACAACAAACGGCTTGATGACAGAGAGAAAAATATGACTTCAGAAGGAGTTATCGCAGGAGAGAATAAGAATCGCAGAAAAGCGGTTCAACTCGTCGAAGACAAAAAACAGAAGCGCGGTGCGGTGAACCAGGGTGACGAGCGGTTGGCGATTCTTCGCCACCCAGAAGTCCGGGAGAGGCTGACGAACTGCTGGATCGCGATAGACGAGGTCGCGCGGGACTTTGGGTGCGGAATTTCGAGAAGGGAAGAAGTCAACGAAGATTTCTTACCCGTGAAGCGTGTGCGGCACAAAGAACACGCGAAGGAGGGCGCGGGGGATCACTTGCTGAAGGGGTTGAAGAACCGGAATGAAGAATCGTTGCTCGAAGATCTGGACAGAGGGTTAGAAAATGTGAATAAGCAAGTGTTAGGTGAAATGGACGACGACCTCACCGCGGTGGTGCACACGATTTGGCACCGCGCGGACCCGGATACGCATAGAAGAACGCGACTCCGCTATCGCGATGCGGAAACGGGAGAGATTGATGAGAAGCAGCAAGCAGCGGCGTTGTCTAGGCGAATGCAGAAAAACACTTTGCGGAACAAAACTCCAAACTCCCCCCGGGAGCGCCTGGAAAAGGATTTGAATACCAGGAAATTAGATCTACGGAAGAAAAAGGACCGGGGGGACCGGATTCAAGAATACGTGGGGGACGATGTGAAGGTGAAACGATTATCCAGGTTGTTCTACTCCCCGGAAGAGATGCAGCGGGATAGGGAAATCGGGGAGGAAAAAGCGAGACTCGCGAAAGAGGAGCACGAGAAGACCAGAAAGGCGAAAGAGGTCGAGGAGTTGATGGCTTTAACAAAGTGCACATTCGAAGCGGCCGAAGCGATGTGGGAAAAGCAGGAAGAGGAAAGGATGTTGAAAAAGAAACAGGCTGCCGCTGCAGCTGCTGCTGCAGGTTCTTCATCGCTGGACAAAAATGGTCATCATGCAAGTTTGACATCTTCAGTACTAGTTTCTGGGGAGGAGGAAGACGCGCTTTCCGACCTCGCTCTGTCAGGAAACGAAGGGCCGCCCGGAGCTGCTGCAGGAGCTTCCTCTGCTGCAAAAAAGGAGAAGCAAGCCGCGGGCGCGCCTGGGGTTGTGTACAAGCACCGGTACCACAAGACGCACGCCCCGCCGGCGGATGTGATGGCGAAATTGCTGAAAAAGGGGAACATCATTGCCGGTGCCACGGCAGATGGGGGCTTTGAGGTGAGGAGTATGGAGGATTTGAAGGTTTTGAAGGAGCAGGAGAGGCAGAAAAAGGAAGCAGGGAAGACGAACCTGCAAGGGACAGCGACATCAGCGACTTCAAAAGCAAATACAACTCAGAATGCTCCTTCTGCTGCAGAACAACAGCAGCAGGAAAAAAGGTCCACCTCGAAGGAGGGCAAAGTGCGTTTATTCTCCCGCGGAAGTAAGAAGAGCGAGGAAACAGCAGGAGAGCAGCACGAAGATGAACAAAAGCCGAAAAACGACAACGATTCCCCTGCGAAACGCGCTTCCAAAGGTGCTAAGCCCGACAAGCCGGCCGCGCCCGAAACGCGAAATAGTAAATCAAGTGAAAAAGTCAGGCTCTACGCTAGAGGGAGTTCGAAGAAAGAAGAGGCAAATCCAAATGCTGGTGGTGAACAACAGCATGAGGAGCACAAGAAACACCACCACAAGTCCCACTTTGGCAGGTCCTTTACGGTGGAGGAAGTCGGGACCAAAGAGGCCGCTGCCGCGGCGGCTGCACAACAAGAAGCTCCTGATGCAAAAGCAGCTTCCACGACTACTGGTGCAAACTACAAAACCACTTCAACTTCCGGGACTACGACTACAAAGACAGCCTCTAGTACAACTACCGCAACACCTTCGAACAACACTTCCTTCGTCCAACAGGTCGCCCAGTCCGAGGAAATCTCCGAGCGGATTACGAACTTCGCCTCCGCGTGGCACGAGTTGGTTTCCGATTTTAGTCGCGGGCTGAACACGGATCTGCCCGCCATCAAGGAGTCTTTACGGAACTCTCTTGTTAAAGTGCGGGACGAGGATGAGGAGGAGGCGAAACGCAAAAAGCGGTCGGGGAGCAAAGAGGGGTTGGTCCGACTGCACCCGCGGAAAAGTTCCAAGGGGGAAGAGGAAAAGGGAAAAAAAGAACAAGAAGCTGCAGTTGCAGCGGCTTCCAGTACTGCAGTTCTAGCTGAACAACAACAAACCACTGCAGCACTCCCCTCGAACAACAACCGGGCTCTTTCGAAAGAATCGCTGAAGTCCGCCGCCTCGTCTTACCGAAGCCCGAACCGGGGGGACGAGGTTTGGGAGCGGTACGACAACTTCCGCTTTTCTCTTAAGGAATTAGTTTCTGACTTCAAGCGCGGATTGAATAATGACTGGACGAGCTTGACCACTGCGGCGAAAAACAAGCCGAAGGACGAGGGAAAGAAGCGTGACAGCAAGGAGGGGCTGGTGAGGTTACATCCGCGGAAGAGCAAAGCAGAGGAAGGCGCTGGAGAACAAGCAGAGGCCGGAGGTGCAGCAGCTTCCGCTGCGGGGGAGAAAAAGGACACCGCCGTTGGCCCAGATACTGCTGCAGCAAAAGAGCAGACTCCTGCCGGCCCTGCGCCCTCCTGTCTTGGCCAGCTCGCGGCGGTACTAGGTTGCGGTAGCAAACCACCGAAAAAGAAAACCTCGTCCAAAGAGAAGGAAGATACAGCCCCTGGTGCTCCTGCCGCAAGCACAAAAAACAAGGACGGAGGTCTTGAACAAACCCCGCTCACTCAGGAAGAGATCGCGAGGCAGATCGACCCGGAGATCATCACGTCTGACGTTCCTTCTGAGGATTTAGAGAAAGAAAAATCGATTCACGACAGGCCCAGAACTTCTTCGAAAGCGCGAGCCTCTGCTGCAGGTACCACGGCGCCGGGGACGACAGCTACTGTAACCACAACTGCTCCTGCTGCGAAGGGCAAAGCGAAAGCGAAACCAAAAGCATCTCCAGAACACCAACAACAAACACGAGGACAAAGCGAGGCTTCTGTGGTCTCTGTCAAGGAGCGCGACCACTCTACCAGGACAACAGTGCATGCTCTTCCTGGTGATCAGGATCATAAAGAAGCAGCTCTTTCTCGTGCGAGTAGCAAGTCCGACCGGGGGGATAAGACACAGCAGAATCTTTCGGTAGTTTCGGTGGAGCGGCTCAGTACCGGTAGTACCGCTAGCAAAGGCAAAGACACTGGCGGCAAGCATCAAGATGAGCGCAAGACGGACATGAGCAAAGTTTCTCAGTCGGAAATGGACAACTTGAAAGCCGCTATCAACGACTTGTTGCAGATTCCCCTCCCCGGAGGTCAAACTGCAACCGCCGGAGGGCTGCAAACATTGGATGAAAAGTCACTGTCTATTCAGCAGGATTACGAAACGGGGACGGCAAGGTCTTCCAGCACGGTCCAAACTTCTGCGACAGCAATGCAAGCAAGGAAACTCGCTTCGCAGGCGGGAGAACAACAGCAGCAGCAAAGAGCATCTTCTTCTGGTCAACAAAACTTCTTAACCGTCCCCCGGTTATCCGCGAATGAGAAACTTTCTGCCGTGGAAAAAGCGAAGATGCCGCCATCCAGTGATGGTCCTGTTGCTCGTGACTCTGCAGTAAATCGAAAATCAACAGAGCCGAAAGAGCAGGCGCCAGTGGCGCGAAAGAGCGCAGAGCAACAAACCCGGAAATCGAGCAGCACCAAACCCAAAACGCCAGAGGAGGACTCTGACCTGGACAAACCCTTCGTGCCGAAATACCGGGACGAACTGCTGAAAGACGCTGGTGCGCAAGCACAGACGCCTGCGAAAGACGCGGATCAGCAAAGCCAATCCGCAAGTTCCCACTCTGTTTTGTCTTTCACTGGAGGCGCTATTGGTGCCACAGCAGAAGCAGGCACGGTTGCAGAAGTTCCTGCACCTCTAGCTGCAGTAAAGCGTAGTCAAGTCGCCGAGCCTTTGTCCCTCCGGAGTGAGTTCTTGGAGATGCATATCCTGAGTAAAAATGTACCCACACCAGAGTTGTAATGCAGATTTGCAAAGACAGGAAGACTTGTAATGCGCATCCCCATGAGAGCCATTGCCAGTCGTGTTTTGGAATTTGCGATGCTGTGAACAGGATGAGCAGATGAATCTGTGACGCGGCTGCACTTGCTAACCAGCACGACACTGCGGAGTGCAATTTGTCATGCGTTACCCCCAAAACTCCTAGGTTTGTGTTGCAAAATCCCCATCCTGACTCTGGTGTGGGGACGTTTTTACTCAGGATAATGCACGAGCAGGTGAGGAAATCGAGAACTTCTTCTCCGTCTCCCGCAGAGAGACAGCAGCAGAGTCGGAATAAAAAATCGGAAAATATTCAAACTCAACCGGAGATAAAAGACGAGGAGGTGCAAACGGACGAGGAGGCTCTTACTGGTACTAGGAACATCAACGCAAATAACGCGGACGAGACTGAAGAGGAGGAGGAGGATCTCTTCGCCGAGCAGCAATACAAGATCTACATTGAAGAAATTGACGTCCCCGACCACGTCGATCTTCCGGACAAAAAGAAAAAATCTCTGTCTTCCAAAACGGGGAAGAAAAAGCGGCGGTTTATCCAGATTGGCTCTGTCTCCCCCACTCTGTACACGAATAAAAGAATCCGGGGAGAGGAATTGATCGCTCTTGGGAAGGTGAAGGTGTCGGAGAATGAGTTGAGAGAGCGCGCGAAACAAGAGGCCTTTGCGACGACATTTCATCATCATCACTTACATGTCCGGTCTAAAACCCCGCCGCCGAAACACGGGCGGAAGGATGAGAAGGGATTGACAGTGAATAAGCCGTTTTCCGCAAATTTGACCAAACCGACCATTTCTGCTGCGATCAGGGAAAGGGAAATAGAAGCGACTTCTCCTCGTGCGTCGCCCCGTGGGGGAATATTAAATGGGCAGGTTTTAGACGCGCGGCAGACGACGAAGACAACTAGAAAAGCAGACCCCTTCACCCCGGTGAAACAGATGTCGACTTTGACCAGCGATCGGAAACTGGACAAAAGGAAACCCGTGCCGGAGATGTGGCGGAAAAAGCCCTCGATGACGAAAAAGCAACGCGCCCGTTCGATGTCGCCCAAGCCGGTAGGTTTGAGTGGGATTCAGAGACGCCCAGATCCGGCAAATACGACCATTTCCCAGATATACAGCAATGTACAGGATCGGAGTGTCCCTGTGACGAAGTACCAAGGCTTCAACGGGACACAGCTGGATTTGTCCTCCGTTATCCGCGGTGGAGGTCGTGCGTCGAAAAACCGTGCTGAAACACCCCCGGTTTCCTGGCGGGAGGGCGGTGAGAGGTTTCGATTGTCTTCTAGTCGAGAGCGGAAAATAAAAGCAAGAGCTGCTTCGTCGCAGAAACCTTCCTTGAGCCCGACGCCGCCGAGGAGTAGGTCACCGAACGCCGCTGTTAGGAAAAGGTCCGCGGAGCGGACTCTACAGAAGCAAGCGATTCTTGATAGTGTTTCTGCTTCTTCGAAAAACAACAAGCAAACCAACCTCCGCCACCCGATCAAACTGCACAAAACGGAGGACCATGTGCCGACAAATGGGATGAAAATGAAGATCAACAGTAACAAAAAGGCCGACAACACCGACGTTCTGATTCAAACCGCGGCTATGACAAGCAAAGCAGCTCTCGAAGCGACTGGCGACTTGATCCTCCATGACGAGAGTGGGAACGCGACTGGGGCGGAGAAATTTTTGTCAAAAGAACGGCAGGACGCGGTTGATGCGGAAGTCGCACCGCCACCCCAACCAGTCGAGGAAGAAACGCCTAGAAGAAATCGCGATCCAGACGAGGACAGCCAAACGCTGTACTCCGACCAAGAAACCGCGGCAACAAAATTGCAGGCAAATTTCCGCGGGAACCAGGCGAGAAAGAAAGTCTCAAAAGAGAAGGAGGAGGAAAAAAACGCGGTTTTGAAAATCCAGGCGAACTTCCGCGGGAAGGAAACGAGGAAAAAGGTTGAGAAGGAAAAAGAAGAAACCACAACCGCGGTTACAAAAATTCAGGCAAATTTCAAAGGGAAACAAGCGAGAAAAGAGGTTGAGAAGGAGAAGAAAGAGATGACGATTTCTGCTCTGAAAATTCAGGCGAATTTCAAGGGCAACCAGGTGCGGAAACAAGTTCTTTCGAAAGATAAAACAGCAGCAGGAACTACAACTATGCCGTCCTCTCAGACGCAGAAGAAAGAGAAGCCCGCTCCTTCTACAGAGGCCGCACCAAAGGTGGAAATGAAAGCCACCGAGATGGACCGTATCGAAATCCACGACCAGGAGACGCAAACGCCCCGACCGGCGTTTTGGCAGGATAATTTTGGGAAGATGTCGGCTGCCGATCAGATTTATGCCTTGCACGGTCGTTAGCATACAGAATGGTGAATTTGCAGTGAATTTGTATTGCATGACTTGCATTTAATACTAACAAAAGAGAAGGGCGCTGCGTATTAGACACACGAGCCCAAGCAGCCCACGCAGCGTGAGGGGCTGCTCGTCGCCCGGTGGCACTTGCAGCACCGAAAGAAGTGGTCTTGCGGGGGCCCGCCGGACTGTGTAGGGCATATGTAACCAAAGATGGTGAATCGTGGGGCTCTTGTTCATCTGCGCGTCTGCCTCAGAAGTTCCTCTCCGAAATGGTCGAAAGGGAGGGCGACGCCTGAACACAGGGGCACTAGTTCAACATGTATGCTCTCACGAGTTGTGGTTGTGGCTTGGAATTGGATATCTGGGAGCAGCCTCGGGTGGAAGGGGAGGCACGATTCGGCCGCGGACGCTAGCTTGCTTCGCCTGCTGTGCTCTGCTCACAGCTCCCTACGTGTCTTTTTGCCTCCGGAGCAAGTCTTATTCGACGTGATCCCCAGGTCAAGAATTCCCTTGGTGAATTTTGGGACTTTTTGTTTTGGCGACACTTTGTTGAAGCCCCAAAACCCGGAGTTTCTCACGCGCTAGCGAATTTTGAAAAAGAGCCGGAGGACAAAACTCACCGGCGTCCTTTTCAAAATTCACCCCAAAATTCACCGAGCGCCACTTTTCGACCGTGATAAGCAAAGTTTAGCGCAGAAAAGTGCTCAAAAAAACGCACAAGTAGACCCTGGGAAGTGGGGCCGAGGGGAAAAGACAGGCGCCCGCTGTTGCCCTAGGCGCCTCTATATTCTGCCGAAAAGGCCTGGAGAGTTCACGCGCCTGCCGGATAGACGCGTCAAAGCTCTCGGCCGGGTCCTTTCGCCTTTGCTTCCGCGCCTTCATCTTGCCTAAACTGCGCTTATGTGCTTCGCGGCTCTTGTTTTTGGCGTGTTTGCCGCGGCTGCTGCAGTGCTTGCTCTTTTGCAAGCACAGGAAGACGAAACTCACATGGCCAAAGAATGACGCCCAGGCCATGTCCAGCTGCCCGCCGCATAAGCCTGGACAACTAACTTCTGCGGTGTGCAGAACCCACTTCCCAGAAGAGCAAAAGGGACAATGTCCCGGCAGTCTCCTCTGCTATTTGTCATGCAAAATTCACTACAAACTCACCACTTCTCATGCTAACGGGTGTTAAAGCTCTAAGAAACGCAAACGCCCCGACCGGCGTTTTGGCAGGATAGAATGCCGAAAAATTTCGGGAAGATGTCAGCCTCCGATCAGATGGAGTACATCAACGCTTTATCCCCGAGGTCTGCCGCGGAAGCGAAGAAGTCGGTAGCAGAGAAAACAGCGGAAAAAGAAAATCTTGCCGATTTCATGAAGGACGATGAACTACAAGTTTCCCACTCAGACGTTCCGGATGAGCATCCAGAGGTGGACGAGAACAACAGCACTGCTACTGCACCCGCACCATCGAGACCTTCACAAACAACTTCAACCGCACCTCAGAAAAGATTCAGCCAGGCGAGAGCAGAGAGCGCGTTGAATCACGAGGTAGATGATGCGGTCGCGAAGCCGGTTTTTATGAAGAAAAACAGTGTGCCGCTGAAGCCTTCTTCAGACGGAAACAAAGATTCCATACCCGTTTTGTCCCCTCGCAACCTAGACCACGAAATCGCGGAAATGAAACAGGAAAACGCGGAAGATATCGCGCGACCAAAATCCCATTTCCACAAACAATCCCTCTCCTCCCCGAGGATCGACAAGCCGCAGGATTTGCCGAGTGACATCGCTTCCCCACGTCTCCCGTCGACCTCATCAAGAGCGACGAAGGACAGCACCACGATGCTTGCCTCGCCCCGGATCGAAAAACCGTCGGAGGCAATTTCGATTTCGTCTCCGAGAGAATCCCGGGAGACGACGGGAACACAAGGACTTCTTGGCGAAAGGGATAAGGAAATCGCGGAGATAAAAATCGAAGAGGTGGACGTTGCGAGGCCGAAGGCGCACTTCCATAGTAGTGCTGCTGCAAAGAGGCCGACCGCTAGTCCGAGGATAACGCCGCCGATGATGAATAACGTTGCGGCGGATTTGTCCCCGCGAGCGCTTGATAAGGAAATCGCAGAAATGAAAACCGAGGCCTCAGATGATGTCGCGAGGCCAAAAGCGCACTTCAAAGCGGGTTCCCGGCTAGCGCCACCTGCACCAGCGGCAGCTGCTGCGATGAAGGATTCGGTTCCGGCTTTGTCCCCGCGGAACCTAGACCACGAAATCGCGGAGATAAACACAGAAGAAGCAGATATCGCCAGGCCAAAGTCGCACTTTAGGAAACTCGGGTCCGTCGACGCGGATACCGCACCGCATCACGATATGAACGCGACGGCGACGAGGAAATCCCGGGCGAGTGTGGGCCCAACAGACGAAGGCACAACTGAGGGGGAACGGTTGAAGACGATGAGGTTGTCGGGATTTTTGGACGTGGAGAACACCCCGACTCCGGAAGCGTATCCGAAGGGGACGTGAGATTCTTTTGATGTGTATTTTTCAAAGCAAAATTTTTACCCATTGTCGTTCCCATTCCAGTTGTCAATTGAGGAATTACCCATTATTTCAGTAGCATTTTTACCATCAGTAAAAAAACGGTGCAGTTTACCGTTTACACATGTATTCTGAAGCACATCCTAGTACTCACGAGCACGTACTCGCATTTTGAGATTTTTCTTGTCCAAATTCTTGTGTCATTTTTTCATGGCGCTCTACTAGTAGTGTAGATTACAAAGTCAAACCAAATACGTATCTCTCCTGTATTTCGTATGAGCACGCTGTTGCACAGCTCAATTTCAACACAGTCATAGGCTGAGCCTGAGTAGATGAGGTAGCAACAGATGTGAAAATAAACTAAACTTCGAATGTTTGTGTGGTTCTAGTTTCTGTATCTGTATTGCTAGTATCCGCTGTCGTGCCGAAGCGTGAAATTCTTGATAAATCGAGAACGATGTGCTGGTCGCAAGTGTTCCTGGTAGTTCTGTTTTTGCAAGACTTCACTACAAAAATAACCTCGTCAAGGAGTGCACTTCATTTCGGAGCCACTAGAATTATTCCAGACAGGGTCGTGCAGGGTCGAGAAACTTTCGAAAATGCAACTCGAACTCCTAAAACTAAATCTAAGCTCCAAGTGAAATTTCGCAACTGCAATTCGGTTCCGAACCTCGTGAGAGCACGTATCGCAGAAAATGAACACAAGAATCGCAACTACACTCCATACCTAGCTAACGTAACAGATCAGTCACAAATCAATCAAAATCAAAATGACTTCTTCTAGCAAGGAGGTTTTTTCTTCAAAGAGGGAGGGTAGCGCTATTGCTATTGCTATCGGATGGACACCACGAATAGTACGATCTAGAATTTTGAGTTTTTGACTAGCAAGAGAAAGTACCAAGCAGTGTGCTGCCATCAAATTTTTGAAAAGATCTCTAGCTGTTGAAGCACCTACAGTAACCAGAATCACAAAGCTCTTTGCTGCAGTTTTGCCCATTCTCAAAACCAAAAAATTTTCAATCCACAAATGACTACAGGACCACCCATTTTTTACTAGCACTGCCATTGCACAACGATTCCGATACGTGTATAATTAGACTTCTGCATTTGCACCCACGACATTAGTTACCTTCATCTTGAATCAAGAAAACCAAGCACCAAAAACCTATCACCATGTCGGACGACTGGGAAGACGAGGACAACTGGTCCGAGGAGGAGAAGGAGGACGACTGGGAGGGAGCGGATGACTCTTATGCATTGCAAATGTATCGTGCTAAGTATAAATCGCATTACAAATTTGCTCAGCATGAGAAATGGAATTTGTTTTACAACCTTGACAAGAGGATTTGTCATGCATATTAACTGCAATTAGTTTAGTACGAGTGCGATGCTTTTGCCATGTATAATTCTTCTTCAAAAACTAAACCAACAACCTCCGCCCCGGCTGGTGCGACGACGACTCCGACAACAACGCAGAAGAAGGAAGTAGAACACGATGACGACAACTACGAGATTCTGGATCAGGACAACAAAACTTCTTCTGTCTTCAGCTCCAGTACCACTCCGCCGGTGATTGTGAACAAATCCGACGCCCCGTCAGAGATCCAGAGCAGTCCGAGTCCGGCGAAGGATAAGAAGAAGGAGACTTTGCTCCCTGAATTGACAACCGGTAATATCGACGCTTTGAACAAAAAGGACGGCTCTGTGCAAACGATCAACAGCTTTGAGAGCTTTGAAGTGAAGCAGATGCAGGACGTGGAGAAGTTGATCACGCAGTTCTTACAGCCGAAATTGTTTCCAGCATCTTCCGCGGAAAACGAGAAACAGTCGGTGAAATCGGGTACAACTGGTGCTACCACGAACAAAAAAGGCGTTGTTTCCAAAAACGCGCACGGGAAATGCCTATCCCTCGCGGTGGAGAAGCAGTTTGCGAAGTTAGAGTTGAAGCAGATGGAGGCTTTTCAGGGGGAATTGACGAAGTTGATCACGAAAAAGAAAAAGGAGGAAAAAGAAGCGGAGCAAAACGCGAAGAAGGAGCAGGTCAAAGCGGATCTGGAGCAGAAAAAGGCAGAGGAGGAGAGGTTGAAAAAGGAGGCGGAGGAGAAGGGGGAGGCGTACGTGAACGACGAGGACTTCTTCGCGGGGTTGGAGTAAAAGATTTGTGCAAGATGAACAACTTGAACTTCTTCTTCGACCGATCATCTCTTCTTCGATTTCGCGTAAGAACGGCGTGCTAGCAGGTGCAAAGATTGTCATTGTCGTGCGGCGCAGAGACGGTGTTTATTGCAGGTACGTGAACGTGAATAAGAATAACATCAGTTTGGAGGAGTTGCTTGTTTTTCCTCGCATGATCATGTAGTTCATGACGCCTTTTTACCGCATCGTTTTTTGATGCTGTGCTGAATTTTTTGCTCCGCTGAGATAACTCAAAAGAAAAAACATCACTATCAGGTTCTACTCCTCGATACCAGTAAGAGCCTTGCAGACCCGTCGTCCCGGCTACCGCCAGATGATGAAACGATGATTCTGCACCTGCCACGATTCGCAGCTTGCAAAGGTGGAAGAAGATTTGATCGCTGATTACTTTTTTGCTCCGAGGATCCATCGAATTAACGTGGGTTCAGACGAGCGTGTCGACTACACGAAGATTTCATCTTTCGGGTCGACGAAAAAAGCAACGCATTTGGCAGTAGTTTGCTTCCATCCACCTCCCCGGGTGGAGCGGCCACTGCTGGCATACTTGACGGGAACGTTCAGAGATGAAGAGGAGCTTCTATGAACTTTAACTTTCACATTTTCCTTCTTTACACGACTTTTATCTTTACGCAGAAATAATCTTAATATCTACCCCTGCAGTGCTACCCAATTTCATCCAGAAGTTGAAGATTTCACAAGGACCTTGCTTGTTAAATTTCACGCCGGCTTCTACCCCATCAACAACTTTGTGATGCAAAAACAAAACGAAGGACTCGGCTTGCCACATGTGGTGCGGGTTCTTCCGACTACTTATGTCTCGTTGCGGCAAAGACGCCAGTTGTTCTCTTTCAATATCGAATCGTCGTTATCGGTACCGGAAAATTAAAGTAACAGGTCGTTGCCCGTCGCCTCTAGTCGTTTCAAACTTCCATTTTCATTGGAGCGCAATGCCATTGAAGCCGCAGTCGTGTACTTCGCACATCGTGATCGCTCGTCGTGATTCTCAAGTTGATAATGATATTACGAAGTCGTGTCGTTGTTTCTGTCGCTCTTTTTGTCGTATCAATCGCTTCCCTTTGACATCACTAGTAATTTTTAATCGAAACGCACTTGATATGGTATTACTGTCGCAACGATTTTCGTTTTACCACCACTAGAACATCAGGATCCCTTGCAGCCTCGTTTGAGCTTTGTCTTCGACGTGTTGATGTTGTAAAAATCCATACTCGTGTGCTAAAAACAATACAAGAGTAGTCATGATGTCCTCCTCAAAACATCGACATCCACATTGCGTCCGCATCCGCAGTCCTCATTTGGATATTGACGGAAAATACGTGCAGATCCAAACCGCAAAAACGATCCAAGACCACACCAACACCCAAATCGCCTACGAAAAAGTAGCACCGAAACCGGTTTCTCGTTCTTCCACGAACTTCCTCCAAAACGAAGACGAAACCTTCAACACCAACAGAGAATCCGCGAAAATTTTCCTCTACAACCTCCCCATCCCCTTCGAACACAAATTCGTCATCGGAAGTAAAATCGGATCTTCGGTCGGGGTATGGCACGGGTACGCGAGGGATGCGGGAAATGTGTTGACGCTGCAGGTGAGTAGGAACGATTTGGTGGTGGAGATTTTGGAAGAGAAGCCACACGTCGCGCGGGAAGCAAAAAATGCGAATTGTTCTGTTTCATCTGCATCAGCAGCGTCAAGCAGTAGTGCAACCAGCAGTCCGCCGAAGCACATCAGCACAAGGAGACACCAATCACCAAAGCGGGTTTCTTTCCATGTTGAAGAGAAAGAGCATGTTTACGGCCAGTTGGAGTATGAGCAGCAGAAATCTCGCGACAAGGATTTTTTTTCCGGCACCGTGAATCCGTTTTGGGAGTTTTTGGAATCCGATATCCGTGGGGATGATCCGCTTCCGCCTGGAGGAGCTCGCGGCAAGAAGCGAGCAGAAGGAAAGGCAAACCCGGATGAGCTTGAGCAGGAAGAAAACTTGCAAACACGAGGATTCGGTGCTGATCAGCAAGACAACCTCATAGACGAGGATCAAGAATCTATTTCCACCTTTTGCTCCTCCACCACGCACGCTCGGAAACCGACCTGGAAGGATAAACTGGACGTGGAGAAATTCCTCGTCGACGGAGTCAACCACTACAGGGAAAATTCGCAGAACCTCCTCTACTACGGCGAAAATTTCGAGGACGCGGAGGATTTGGAGGCAAGGAGGAGGCGGAAGCAAGCTGCTGGTGCTGCTGGAAGGCCGGATTTCGGTTTTCTACGAGGGATTCCTTTACCGATGCCGGATACAGTGAATAACGGTGGTGGCAGCGGAAACAAGGAAATTGCCGGTGGTCCTCCGCCAGAATTTGTCGGCGTAGGTGGCAACACCGGCGTCCGACTTTCCGACGGGGAATACGGTCCGAAGCAGTTTCCTCTGTTAGGTGATGAGGCGCAATACCGAAAAGACTGGAACACGATAAACGAGCAGGAAAATCAGAACGCCATGTTGCGCCAGTTTGGAGAGTATGCACTGCAAAAGTATCGTACTCGTATAAATGCATTACAAATTTTATCAGCATGAGAAATAAAATTTGTAATGCAGATTTGCCTTGGAAACAAGATTTGTAAATGCAAGACTTGCATTTGTACGAGTGCGATACTTTTGCACAGGATAGAGAAGACCGGCCTTTCGGGAACGAAAGAGCACAAGATTTGGGGAGGAAGAACCGGTTATGAATTACAAAATTATCGTACAACTAGCATAAGGATAAGTCGCATGACAAATTTGTCCAGAAAGAAAAACGGAATTTGTGATGCAGGTTCAGGTAAAAAAGCGAATCTGTCATGCCAGACCGCAATTAGTACGAGTACGATACTTTTGCAGAGGATACCGGTTTCCGGATAGCAATGCGGCTTCTTCGCCTGCGGATTTTTTGTTTTCTTCACCTCAAGGTGGGGGCAGCAGTCCTGGTGGTCGGCAGGGAGCACAAGGTTTCAGCAAGAGCCCACTATCATCGCAGAGAAAGATGAAACATCAGCACAACCTGCTCCGCCACAAAACCCAGCTGAAGATTCCGAGTAGGAGCATGCGGAACGCAGCGATCCTCCCCTTGCGGAAGCCAAGTAGAGCGCCAGGTCGTGAGGTAGATGATGACAACCCCTCTAGCGATGACGAAAAAAACAACCGCAGATCTAACAGCCCGGAAAGGAAAGTCACCGAGTACTTCGCAGGCTACCACTGGCGGTCGCAAATCAACCAAGTAGACGAGGACGACGGAACTTTGGATTTGATCTTCCTCGCCAGCGAACCCATGCCTCATGAGGATGAGGAAGAGGATCCGGACGTGGTTGCTGAGAATGAAGATGATAATTCTGATCCCCTCGACCCGATGCTCCTCAAACCGAAGAAACTCCGCTACGACGCGAACACGAATAACATGGTGACGAATTACGGAATCAAGCAACTCTACTTCAACCTGTTCGAAGCACAGAGGATCGGCTCTCTACACAGATCGAAGTACACAACAGAGCGACTGCCGCAATACGCGCTGGATTTCTGTTTTGGACTGTGTCATTTGAAGAAAAACCACCCGCAGTTGACGCAAACCCAGTGCCAGCTGTTTTCGACGCTGATCGTGGATTTGTTGAAGGCGTATTGTTACGGGTTTGACGTCGTGCACGTGCATGCAGAAACTGGGGAGGAGGTGGACGGTCCACTGCAAGGCGGCGGTGCAAATGAGGAGGAAAGCCAAGGTGGTTATGCCGGCTTCCTCGGCGGAGGACAAACAAATACTTCAGAAGATTACGACCAGAACCAGCAAACCAAACACAAAACGAAAACCCACTACTTCCCCCGCTACCCGGAAATCGCCCACTACGGGGTCGGGGCACTTTTAGTTCTCTTCAACCACACAAACTACCGACTGCAACTAGGGAAACCGCTGTTCACGGAAATCTCCGGTCTGCTAAAGTACCACAAGAACCCGCTTTTCCTCCACGCATTAGCGATGGTGATGTCGCCGGTTTCTCTCGCGGGGTTAGGGGCATTGGGTGGTGGTGGGGTTTACGCTATCCACTGCAACAGTATGGTGCTAGTATAAATCGCATGACAAATTTCCTCAGCGTGAGGAATTAAATCTGCAATGCGGATTACCCCTGAGAAGCAGACTTGTAATGCATGACTACGATTAGTACGAGTGCGATACTTTTGCACAGTATATACGCCACGGACCAATCCGGGATTATCGAGGACGACCGGAACGATTTTTCCGATTCGGATATCGTGAGAAACAAGTGTTACAGTTACACATTGTGTTGCAGGAGCCGCAAGACAGACAACCTTTGTCATGCAGGAAATGCTTGCGAACGTCATTTCGTTCGTGTTTTCCCTTAGGATCTCTGCATTGCAAGTTTTCTCTGCCACACAGAGAAAATTTGTGTTGCTGAAGTTACAACAAATATGTAACTGCAATACTTTTTTCTTGTGATATCGGAGTCCGATTATGATTCAGCGAAAAAACCGCACGGAGTGAAGAACAACAGGAAAGGAAGCAGGAACAAGACCCGCTTTACCCCCGCGGCGAACGTCGTGCAAAACCGGAATCCGGATTTGTCTCTAGCCGGAACCGACGAGGAGATCGAATTGTTGACCGGGATGAATAATGCACAGTCAAATAACGCGAACCAGGGCGGGTATCCAGTTTCTATCACCAACGAAGCTATTGACACGGTCGACCCCAACACCGACCAACACCACTACGTAGACTACAAAGATTCCAAAGCGTGGTGGAAGTTGGGACAGCAGAAACTACCGGCGAGAATTCTAGCCATGTACCCATTGAACCGTCAGAACCACGCGCATGTGATTGATTTCGCGTGTGAGATTCTGGAACAGCACGGGAGCAACCCGTGGAAAAAGAAAGCAAAACGAACTTCTCATGCGCATGGTGCAGCCAGTTCTGCGGCTTTCGACAATTTTGACGACGAAAGCCGCGGGAAACAACTACCTTCCACCCAGCAGTACATCAAAGTGTTAGAATCCTGCATCACCATCTTCTACATTGGCCAGGCGTTTGAGTACAAATTGGAGCACCAGATGAACCACTGTTTACGAGGATTAGAATCCGCTCTTTCCCAAACCACACTGTTGCTGAAATGTTTGATCTGCATCCAATCCATGTTCGAATTCCTCTACGCGCGGAGACAGCAGGTGAATTTACGGATCGTGGTGCATGAATCGGAAGGGTTTGTGTACCATAAAGGGAAGATGGATAAAGAGTCTAGAGATCTTGGCGTGAAGCAGTCGAACACCAGGCTTGCTGGGGTTTTCGAAACGAATCCGAAGACGAAGAAAAATCCCGCTGTGAAATACGAGATCACCGTTATGCAAGAAAAAAGCTGTGTAAGTGTAACTCTGTAATGAAGAACATGCAACACAGTTACGCCTGTCATGCCACACAGCCGTGAAGTCCTTTTTTCATGTGTATTTTCCCTTACAAGCCACGCATGACAGGTTTTCTCTGTCATGTAGAGCAAATTTGTGATGCTGTCAGCCAAAGAAAGTTACACTAACACAGTTTTTTTCTTGGATAACCGTAAAGCGGAACGTGGTCGGGCTACTGCTATCCGTGATGGACTTGTACCCGAATTGGCGAAAAATCTATCAAATGCAGATATGTCTGGGTCTGGAATAAACTTGTAATGCTGAAGGGGTATGATTGACTGCGCCTTTAAGTGCAGTGCAGCATGACAAATTTTTCAATCGCTTTCTCATGCGCAGAACGCATTACAAACTGTGCTCTTGCATGACGAAGGTGCGTGTGGTGCTTTATTTGCTGCTTATGCAACAGAGATTTTTTAGGTAGGCGAACAACGCAATACAGGTTCAACCTCTCCAGACCCAGACCACATATTTGCAATGCATAAAATCCAAGGCGCAGCGATGTTCGCTCTGGCAAGGGTCTTGCAGTGCTGCGACTTGTACCGTGCGCAGGTGGTGACGCAGTATCCTGTGCAAAAGTATCGCACTCGTATTGCAATCATGCATTACAAATCTTCTTCTCACGGCAAATCAGCATTACAAATTTTATTTCTCATGCTGAGGAGATTTGTAATGCATTTATACGATTACGATACTTTTGCACTGCATACGCAGGCGTTGCCATCGATTTTGTTAACCCACAAAACCCACATTTCTTCCTATTCCGTCCAGTACCACTTCTTGTCCGTTTTAGAGGGGCTGTCGAGATTTCACCAATTGTCCGCAAACGCGTTAGCCGCCTGTATGCGGGTGATCCAGGCGCAGATCCGGTACCAGTCTAAGGTGGCGAATAGACATGGAGATGAGGAAAACCCCTCGCAGTCGACGGGGCAAATGCCGCGGAAATCGGAGAAATTATTAGTGCGGACGTTTCGGGTGATGCTGCAGTTGTTGGAGTCGGGGTTGAAAATCCACGAGGATTTTCTGGCGGAAAACAGCAGGGAACTGTTTCCGGAATTTATTTATGTTTGGTGCAAAAGTCTGTCGTACTTGTTCAGTAGCAGAGGTTTTAATGTTGAGATGAAAAAGAAAACGAAACCTGTCGTGCATAAAAATAAAATTTTGAAATTTCGTGGCTGGTAGCTAATCTGAATTTTGTTTGGTCAAGCCTCTTTCCAGCTTCTGACACCAGCGCCTTTCTTGATGTTTGTTCTTTTGGACCTGCACTTTTTTTCGTTTCCGTAGTTTGCGATAAAAGTAAAATTTTGAATTTTCGTGGATTTTCGAATCCAATAAAAACAAAATTTTGAAAATTCGCTGACTTTCTGATGCGATAAACAAACGACAAAGTGCAATTTGCCATCCTGGATGAGATCATAATAGAAACTCGCAGTGCAGCTGCAGCTTTTTTGTCCTTCTCAAACAAGGAGTGCAACGACGAGGCTTTTTTGCACCACCGCATACCCTCCAAGCCGGGGAAACTCTAGTCACCTTCATGTTCGAAAAGTTCGTCCGCTCGGTTCTGTCCAGACGCGCCCCGGGAGAAGCGATGGAAATTCGAGAAGCAATCAGAGTCACTTCCGGTATCACCGCCGCCGACGTTTCCGCCCACGATAGCAGCTTACTCGCGGAGATTTTGAAAGCGACGTTAGAAATCCCCGCGCACGAGCGACAGAGAGACCACATCACCGACTGGCGAAAGCAAGTGGATGGAAAATTAGACGCGCACTCCCTCGCCCACGCGGAAGCGGAGGCGGAGAGGTTGATGGAGGAAGCGAAGCAGCACGCGGAGCACCACACGCAGCAGGCGCACAAAACCGCGGAAGAGATTAGAGCAGCGGCGGAACAGCATGCGGAGACGCGGAGGCAGGAGGCGGAAGCGCACCATGCGGAGCACATGGAAAAGTTGCAGAAGGAGTATGAGCAGGTGGAATTGCACAAGAAAGCCGCTGCGGCAGCGATGCACATGGCGAAGCAGATGGCGAGAGGGAAACCTATGCCGTCGAAGAGGAGTGGGCTCGGTATGGCGTTCTCAACTGTCACAATCTCAACTGCTTACATGAATTTCAATTTGTTATGCAAGAATGGCAAAAGTCAAAGCAGGAAGGATGCAGCTGTAGCATTACAAATTCCGCACAGATTCAGGTGCGGTTTAGCCTTTCAAAAATTTGTCATGCGAAGTAGCTTCACTTCGTGGATGTTGATGTTCATTTTGCATGACAAATCATGTAACAGTTGAGAATGTAACGCTTGAGAGTGCCATATTCGGTTTTGGAGAAGATCCGACACAGCAGTTTTTATCCGAGTTGCTCCTAGATCCGGAGATGCTGGTGAGCGATTGGCACCGGCTGATTCATCCGAAGGAAGTGAATTCGGAGCAGATTTTGACCTACATGTCCCATCATCACGGTGATGTAGTGTCGCAGTTGGTACATGTGAACCCAGGGAATGTGTTGAAGCAGCTACCGAACAACGCGAGGAAAGTGATTGGGTTGGAACCACATCCGGAAGGCGGCGAGGATCTTCATCACCATTCGGGAATAGCGCATTCAGGAGCTGCAGGAGACCACCACGGCCAGAAATCCACGATTGCGGGACACGGGGCGATGAAGTCGATGGTAGCGCTTGGCGGGACGACTGGTGGCGGTGATCATCATTCCGCGGTAAGATCCATGGCCCCGAACGTTGGTGCCAGTATGGCTCCCTCCCCGATGAAATCACACGCGGCAGGGGGTGTTGGAGGTGGGGCGATAAAATCCATGGCTGGGGCTCCAAGGATTGGCGCGAGCATGGCGCCGCACGCTGGCGCGCAGAAATCCATGGTGTTAGGCGGAGGTGGGGCGCAGAAGAGCATGGTTTTAGGAGGAGGTGGTGAGGAAGATCATGGTGACGGTGCTGCCGCTGCACAAAAGTCCATGGCGTTAATAGGCCATGGCGGTCCGCAGAAGTCCATGGTAGCGTTGGGACAACATGCCGGTCCGCAGAAATCCATGGTTTTGGGTGGAGTTGGGGGCGGTGGGCATAACCCGATGGCCTCGATGGCACCGCAGAAATCGATGGCACCGGGTGCTGGCGGACACAATCCGATGGCCTCGATGGCGCCGCAGAAGTCGATGGCGCCGGGTGCTGCTGGCGCGATGAAGTCCATGGCTGGAGTACCGAAGATCGGCGCTTCAATGGCTCCGCACGCGGGAGGCGGAGTTGGAAGCGCGATGAAATCCATGGCGGGCGGGGCAGTGATGAAATCCATGGCAGTTGGCGGTCACGGTGGAGCACCGGCGATCGGCGCTTCAATGGCCCCGCAGAAGTCAATGGCGGGTGTCGGAAACGCGATGAAATCCATGGCTGGCGGAGGAGCGGCGATGAAATCAATGGCGATCGGCGGGCCGAAGATAGGTGCGAGCATGGCACCGGTGAGAGGAGTAGAACAACATCATGAAGAAGATCACAACCCAACCGCAGAAGCGCATCACAACCAGCCTCGGCAGGGCGCGAGCATGGGGCGAGGGCAGTTGATACAAGAGGAGCACGCACCGCCGCCGATGCAGCACTATCCGAGTCCGCCTGGGAGTCAATACGGGAATAGTGATGAAGACGTTGTTGAATCTCCGTCGTTTTTTGAAGAAGGAAAGAACCTCGTCGCCGGTGACGGCAAGGAATTCAACAGTGAGGATGAAGACAAAGCATCTTCCTACGGGGGCTTGAATTCCTCTCCTGGAAGCTTCTTTTCGCGGGACAACAGCGGCAAGAACATCAACGATGAAAACGAAAGCGATCTTGCAAGTCGTAGTTCCAACAGGGAATCAGAACGGTCTTTTCGCCTGAGCAACAACTCCTGGGGCTCCTCGCCGACTTCGGTGAGGAGCGCGGTGATAGATGCAGGGGAGGATGGTGGAGCTGCTGAAGACAACGAAGCGGAAGCAGTTGCCAGTTCTCCAACACAAGTTGTGAATCAACAACCGTTCCAAGGCTTGTTCTACCCGGAGAACAAATCGGAAGCCGATTTTCTGTGCGAAAATGCACTGCCAAAAGCACCTTCATCTCTCACAGCTGCAGCGGCGGCACGTCAGCAGGTCGAACAACAGAACGACAGTGTTGAGAAAGAAAACCACGAGGACTTCCTCCTGTGCGCCCAATGTCTCGTCGATTCCAAAACCCCTGGGCCTCATGGTCTCGCCGGCTGGTCGCAGAGTTGTGATGAAGAGTTTAGTACAGCGGGTTCTTTCTCTGTCTGGGACACCTTCGGATTGAAGTTCAAGGCCGATTTGACGGTTGCCGCCGTGAAAAATCCAGCGAAGGTAAAAGGCGTCAGCGTCGGGGACCTGCTGCTTCATCTGTGTGTAACCACGGCTACAACTTCGTCTTCGGAACAACAAGCAGATGCAGATGCGTCGAAGAAGACGCAGCTGAAGAAAAACTTCTACGCCACGGACCTGTTGAAAACCACCACTGCAAGCTGCGAGGTGGTGGAATCTGTCTTGCGAAACGCGTTAGCAGACAGTGTTCGGACTGGCGGAACAAAAACCAAAGTCGCTTGGTTCTTTCTGCGGGAAAAGAAGAAGCTACAGCTTTATGATTTACCACCAGTATCCTTCACCTGCAGCTTTCCGCGGTACAAAGACGTGCGGAAGAAGGTGATGGGGGCGATCAGTGCGGGCATTGCAGAGTCCGACTCTTCCGTAGAACTCGCTGTTCTGCTCGTGATCGACAATGAAGGAAAACGATTTTCCCACGTGCCAAAAGCTGCATCTTCACCAGCCGACGAAGATAGCGCACGCAACTTTGCGAGAGAAACAGCTGCGCAGAAGGATTTGGACCGGTTTTTGCAGAAGCTAGAGATCCTGAAGGACGAGAAGATGAGCAGTTGTCAAGACGAAGACAAGAAGAGCACCCTATCCTGTAAACTTCTCTTTCGGCGTAAGAAGGGATTTGAAAGAGAGCTGCAGCTTCCGCTGGTTGCTAGCGGAGATGTTGCTGGCCCGACCATCACTCTCGGACCTCAGATCCGGAAACCACCGCCGCCTCCTGTCCAAGCAAAACCCGCATTGTCCTCCATGCTGTTCTTCCCAGAGCAGCATCTCTCTCACGACGTCCACGCAGCTGCACATCCACCCGGCCATCCTCCGCAACATCTCGATCCGCATCACCAAATGCAACATCCTGGCATGATGCCACATCCAGATCCGCACCACCCGAGCAACATGCACCATCCACAGCACCCGGGTGCTGGGCATCCTGTGCCGCACGGGCATGTCGATGCGCACGGGCATCCAATACCACCACACCACGTGGATCCGCACGGGCATCCAATACCACCACACCACGTGGATCCGCACGGGCATCCGATACCACCACACCACATGGATCCGCACGGGCATCCACCCGGCGGTCCGCACCCAGGAGGGCCCCACGGAGGACCACACGGCGCAAGTGCAGCTGCAGCTCACCACGCCACATCCACCGGCGCAGCGGCTCATTCAGCTACTTCCCCGCACGAGACTTCCATGCAGCCGGATAAAGTCCACATCGTCACCGACTACGACATACCGGCGGAAATTTTGCCGGAGAACAGAACCACCGACGAGATCATGTCGTTGCTGTTGATCGGCTCGGAATATGATGTGCTGGGTTTGGCATTCCGGCTGCTGCTCGAGTGTCTGCTCCACTTCTGCTTAGCCTACGAGCCGGTTTTTTACCAGTTGAAGGGGGTTTTAGCAATACCGTTAAAGTGGATCCACATGATTGCGCAGAGCCAAACGGTTTTTGCGGAGGCGATTGCGAGCTTTTATGAACCGGTACAACAACTACTGCATTTGAAACGCTTTTTTTGCTTTGTTTACGCATGACAAATCACACTCCGGCTCGAGTGCTTGCACCGCAAATTCAAATCGAAAAATCAATGCAAACGAAACTATCAGACTCTCCTCGCCGTCCGTCTAACGACCTTCACCCTGTACTTCCACAACCGGCGGAATGACGAATACCGACGGGCTTTCAACGCGATGAACGGTTATGAGATTTCTCTCCGCGGCATCATGTACTTGAAAGAGTCCGACGACGTCGTACGAACAGCGAAAGCTTTAACCATCGAGCAGCAGTTGGTCGACAGCGACAAAGACGGGAATCTCGCGAAAGAGTACAAAGAATCCACGAATTTCGTCCAGGAGCAGTCTAGAAATGCCATCGCGAGACTACACCGGAAGGGGTTGCTCTTAACGGAGTTACTGACGCTCTTGTCCAACGGGATTCTCTACGCGCGTGGGATCCCAAAATCGCAGATGAGCCAGCATTCGATCCAGGAAATCGTTTTGATCTCCACCGCCTACACGAACGAACCGCAACTCTGCGCGCAAGTGGCGAGGTTTTTGTCGATTTGCTGTTTCTTAATCTTCGTCAGACGCAGGGAGCTGAAAGACACGTTCGAGTTCAACCGGTTAGATTACGCGAAGTTCCAAGTTTCCTGGCATCTCGGGATGAGAACCAAGAAATTCCTCGAGAACGTCATGCTGGGGATCACCACATCCTACGAGAAGATGAAGGACGGGGGGAAGTTTATTGTGAGGAAAAATCCCCCCTCCCCATATCGAAAGCGAAATTTGTGTTGCTGTATTTGAGTACACAAATCGCATTTGTCTTGCTGGAGAGGACTGCAGACCCATATCAAGCCTGAGTAGAGAGGCTTTGACTTTGGCGCTTAGCATGAGAAGCGTCCGTGATGTTGGCTCAACAGCATGACAAACCGCCTCCATAATGGGACGGAAGCTGCTGCCTTTGTCTTCTTGCAACACAAACGTGATTTGTGACCTCAAATCAGCAACACAAATTCTCGAGACCTCACCTCTTCAATATGGGGAGGGGGGATTTTTCCTTGCGATAAAGTTTGATTCCGATTCTGACTACGAGTCTTTGAGTTCCGAAGACGAGTATGACAGTGCCTAACTCCCCCTCCCCCTCATTTGTCATGCAAAATACCCAATCCACCCTTTGCCTCTTCACACTGTTTGCATGACAAGTTCTGGTAGCCCAAATCTCACCGTACTCCACTGCAAATTTGTCATGCAAGACCGGCATTTTTGCTGATGCTTGTATTGCCGTTCATGCTATACAAATGAGGGCGGGGAGGGGGAGTTGTGCACTGTTATAACGAGTCGCCAATCTGCAGAAGGGACCCAGTCGGGCTGAACAAATTGGTGAAGTTAGATCCGGTGTTGATGCTGCACCAGGCGGAATTGTTGGTTTCTTCCTGCCAGTTGAAACAGTCGACGGAAGAGGGAACTGCCGTGAAGTGTCAGGAGCATTTGAAGCACTTGTTTCAAACGGTCGGGAAAATTAAAACCTGCTACGATTTCAACGACCAAGTCGAGCACAAGCCGCCGTTCATGATTCCGCAGGAGTTGGAGCACCATGTGCCGCATTTGGTCTTCCATCCAATCGTCTACGTCGATGAGAAAGATCACGCCGGGGATACGTCGAAGACGGATTTGAACGGAACTTTTTCTTTACCGATGCTATATGAAATGCAAAAATGTCTGGGTCTGGAAGAGTCATGCTGTTTTTGCATGACACAGAGGGGGCTGGCATGGGAGCTCTAGCATCACAGGTTTCGAGTAGCTTTCGCAATGCCGAATCCGCATAGCAAAGCGCCCATTTTGGTGACAGAAAGTCGGCAGCTTCTGCTACCGATGCATGAGAGATTTTTCTGTGTCCTGAAATGTGCATCACAGGTTTGCATTCTTCCAGACCCAGGCATATGTGCAATCCATATGCTAGTATCGAAAACCATTTTCACGGATACCGTGGCCGGGTTGGACTTGAAGGAGTCGGAAGCGGTGAAACGGGTGCCGATTTTTCCGATTTTGGCTTCTTCTGGCCTGCCGTGTGTGTTGTTGAACCCGCACAACGGGCAGGCGTTGTTACCATCCTTACCAGATGAAGACGGGACGATGAAAACGCCGATCATACCTTTAGATAAAGCGAAAACGATGCCGATGTTGGAACGGATCGACAGCGAAATCCACCCGGAGCATTATGCATTGCAAAAGTACTTATATATAAAAGTATCGCACTAGTATGAACGGCATGACAAGTTTTCTCAGGAACAAAATTAATTGGAATTTGTCATGCAGATTCAGCGAGGAAACCACATTTGTCATGCGTGATCGCAGTTTAGTACAAATACCTACGATAGTACTTTTGCAATGCATAGCCACTCGATCCACGCGATGTTCGTGAAGCCGAACGGGCAGCCGATTTTGGACCGGAAAGTGGATTTGATATGCACTGCAAAAGTATTGTACTCGTACTAATTGCAGTTATGCATTACAAATTTCTTCTTCAAGCTAAATCAGCATGACAAATTCCATTTGTCATGCTCAGCTAATTTGTATTGCAATACTTCTACGAGTGCGATACTTCTGTAGTGCATATTTGAAGAAAGTGGACAAATCGAAAATCGATTTTTTAGGAAAAACCCGACCGGTGATGCGGGTTACGGGGGAGACGTTAGGGGAGGAGGCGCGGGATGTGTTTGCGCAGTTTTACTCTACGAGGAAGTTTGTGAAGGAGATGCTGAGCATCGACGTGCCGGAAGAGATTGCGGAGGTGCACGCTGTGTTGCAGAACCAGCACGAACAGCGGATCATGGTCCAGGAACACGAGGAACGGATAAACCAGATGCACCAGCAAGCGGCGCAGTACCAGGCTGCCGGTGGTCCTGCTGCTGGGAAAGGAAAGGCGAAAGCGAAGGGGAAACCGAAGGGGAAAGCGAAAGCGCCGAGATTGAGGTACCCGAGTCCGCCGGGAAGCAGTTCTGATGGAGAGCGGGATTGTGAAGTTTCTGTTGCTGAACAGCTTGATGACAATGCGGAGGAAGTGGACGGACTCCTTCCGAGCAGCGGCTCTCCATCCCAGGCAGAAGACGAAGGAGCTCCAGAACGTGACCAGGAACAAGACGAGCTGGAAACTGCTCCGACAGAAAGGAAACAAACTTCGACTTCCACTATGCCGAATCCCTTCCTCTTCTTCCCAGAAAAGAAGCGCAAAAAGCGTTCCAGCAGTTCCTCCAGCAGCAGCAGCTCATCTTCCGATGACAATCGGAAGAAGAAAAAGAAGAAAAAGTCCTCCTCTTCCAAGAAATCGAAAAAATCCGACCCGAAGTCCGTCGCGAAGCAAATTCTCGACTACCACAACGAACTCTCCGCCGACGGCATTCCGAAAGTAGACCCGAAGCAGTTGAAAACTCTCCCGGAGTTAGTGACGTCAATCTTAAACCAACCACCGGACGATCTACTTCAGCCGAGAATCGGCCCCATGCTAGACGAACGGGACGACACGAAGCTTCCGAGGAACACAAGACTCAGGTTGTTGACCGTGAACGAATCCGAGGACTTTGCTTTGGTTGAGGCAACAGCGACTTTGAGCTTCATTTTAGAGCAGAACAGACGCAGGAAATTGAAAGTCAAACTCCGCGGAAACCGGAAATCCACACAGCATTGGACGCACTCCGACACGGAACCGGGCTATTTCGTCCGGTTGTTGGAAAGGAGATTGCAGTTGTTGAAGCAGGGGAGGCAGCTACATCGTGTTTCCCACGGAGGGTATCAACGGGATTACTTCGATGATGAAGAGGATATCATGCTCCAAACCGGTATCCAGGAAAAAACAACCATCCTTCCCCATCCATTTTATGCATGACAAACACAGGACTTCATACATGTTTTGCATGACAAACTGGACGGGGATGGTTGTTTTTTTGTGGATAACCGGGTTGAACATCCCGGATCCGAAGCGGGAGAACCCAGATTTACTGTATGCAATACAAAAGTATCGTACTAGGACAAACCGCATGACAAATTTTCTCCAGAAGGAAATTCACAAATTTGTGATGCAAAAATACATGGAGAACACTAGATCTGTCATGCATGATTGCCAGAGCGATTAGTACGAGTGAGATACTTGTTTTGCACTGCATACGCTGAACCAAGTTTCCAAAGCCGCGGACAAAGCCACTTCCGCAGCTTCTTCTGTCGGGAAACAAGCTATCACCGCATTAACGAATCTTTTCGGTTTTGGAGATGACGTTGATGACGATGAGGTAAACAACTTAGGCGAAGAACCCAACGGCGTTTACCGGCCAGAAATTTCCAACAACACGGGGTATAACATGCTGGATGTGCAGGAACAAGGGCCGGCTTCCAGGCTGGAGAAGAAGTTGGACAAGTTGATCACGGTGTTTGAGCAGTCGGAGAAGAAAATGAGCAAAAAGACGAAGAAAATCATGAAAATATGAACTGCAAAAGTATCGTACTAGTATAAATTGCAATACAAATTTCCCCAGCATGAGAAATGGAATTTGTCATGCGGATGTGCCTCGAGAAAAAAATTTGTAATGCATGAATGGGATTACTACGAGTACGATACTTTTGCACAGGATAGAAAACGGGGATGGATGATTTGAACAAAAATTTCCACACGGAATTCAACGAGAAAATCTTGTTACTGCAGAAGGAGACAGCGTATCCACAGTAAATTTGCCGTACACGTACAACAAATGCGGTTTCTGCATGACAAAACTCTCCTTCAATCCTATTCAGCATGACAAGTCGTGGTGTGCTGTAAGTTGCTGAAATTTGTCATGCATTCTGTACGTCGTCGTGTACGGGAAATTTGTATTGCATACAGTGCCATCAAGGAAAAGTGAAGGAGTTCACGCCGACGCCTTACCGGTTTCCTTCCCCCCCGGCCACAACATCGGGCTGAATGTCGGGATGGAGAGTATTGGGTCGTTTGGCGGCGCCGGAGGGGGAAAAAATAACGCGGGGATTGGGGCGAGTTTGCTGAGTTCCAGTGTGCAAGCAGCGGAAGAAGAAGAAGAAGTCGACGAGCAGGAATTTCCGGTGACGCCCGACGGGATTGCGGTGGCGGTGGACGAGAACGGGAACATAGTACAACCAATCGGGCATATTCGACCAGACGACGGGGCGGTCGTCGCGTTTGAAAACACTTCTATTGTGATTGGGCGGGCGGAGCAGGGGGAGGATGGACAGATTAAGGCGGTTGTCGATATGAAGAAGTTCCACGCGGCGAATGCTGGTGGTAGTGCAGGAGCGGGAGGACCGGCTGGTGCACAAGCGCCAACTGGACAAAATCAACACGGAAGTGGTGGGAAGAAAGGCGGAAAGGGGGCAGGGAAGAAGGGGAAAAAGAAGTGATAGGATTTTGAAAATTGCTCGTGCGGTCCCTGTCTCTCACAATCACACCTGCAATTCACAAATGAAAATAAACTACTTATTGCGCACTTTGCTGATATGCACAAACACGACGCACCCGAAAAATGCCAACTACAAAGGCGCAACACTCGTGCAGGCCCTGATGCGATCACGGTAGAAGTGGCCTGTGAAATTTTGTTGCGGTTCAGGTTGTCGTTGTTCATTCTCGTTAGATTGTCCTGTCCTTGTGTCAGAGCGCAATATCATGTTTGTTCAAACGATAAAGAACTTGAAGAACTGCTGTTGAAAAAAAATCAGATTTAGGATCCAACACAAAGAAACTTCTTTATGTTTCACATAAAGTGTACTGAGCGAATTGAAGTGTTGCAACAGACACGCAGCTGACCATCATTATGTCAGATGTTTTGCTTTCGGTCTCCAAATCCCGGCTCAAATAAGAACACGAACTACAGTAGATGTAGAATTCAAAAGTCATTGTAGCTACGTTTTTGTCGGATTTGATTCGCATTTTTGTTGCCTCATGATCAAAAATACTTTTGTTGATGAGCAACTGAATTTTTTTAGACGCAGAGGAACATCTTCAAGCCACATTTTGCACAGCCTTTTCAAAGATGAGCGACTACGGCAGACGGTCTGGGCCATCTTCGTCTTCACAGCAGACTACTCGTAATACCGTCCATAATTCTGGCGCATCAAAATCTTCCAGCCCAGTCTCGTCCGGAGGCCCGGACACGACCACGACCCCAACCATCTTCGATATAATCCCGCTGGATATTGCCCTGATCGCCCGGATAGCGACGTTCATCTGTTGTCTTCTCATCTGCGTGAAGTGGCGCAGGTTGCTGATCAACCATTTTTGTTCTGCTACGGTGACAGGGTCGTCGTCATCCTCCTCATCTTCATCCAGTCCGAGCACAATTCTCGGTTTATCCTCCCCGCTAAACAACCCCCGTTCCGGCATAAACCAAAACTTCGGCAACGTCCGGGTGATCCGACCCCCCCCACCGGTCATACCTTTAAATTCCGGCGAATTCACCGGGAGCGCGCGGTTGCGAGCGTTGGCTGCGAACGCGAATTCGGGCGATACGCCACCGGGGAGTGGGAGGACGGGGGGTAGGTCTGGTGCGGGTAGTTCGGAGTAATCGTCGTTCTTCTTCTTGTCTTTCGTAGTTGAACTTCTTTCGCACGACCACGACCTCCCTCCGCATCTTCGTTTTCCCTCCAGCAACTTCTGCATCCTCTTCAAAATGATCCCTCCCACCGACGCCGCTCTGAACAAGCTCGCTTTAGAGTACAGCTGGGAAGAAATTCTCAAGGCGACGAGGAACTTCCACCCGAACAACCAACTTGGAAAGGGAACGTACGGTGCGGTGTTCCGAGGAACGTTGAAAGATGGCACGAATGTTGCGATCAAAGTGTTGAACTACCCGAAGGAATCGGGGTTTAAAGAGGAGGTGGAGGTGTTGTCCAAATTTCGTCATCCGAATTTGGTGATATTAATGGGCTTCGCGCGGGGGAAAAACAAGGAAAGGTGTTTGATTTACGAGCTACTCGAAGCGGATGTCTGTTATCCTGTGCAAAAGTATCGCACTCGTATTGCAACCATGCATTGCAAATCCTTTTTCCAAGGTATATCCGCATTACAAATTTTATTTCTCATGCAAACTAAGGAAATTTGTAATGCATTTATACGAGTGCGAATGCGATACTTTTGCAGCTCATATTTGTTCCAGGTTGACGATGTTGGACGTGACAAATTCAACAACAAAACCGGGGCAACAACAAATCAAACCGTTGAGTTACAAGGAAAGACTGTCGATTTTGCTGGACTCCGCTCTAGGTTTAGCACACCTCCACTGCGCGACACCGCAGGTTTTTCACCGAGATATCAAGTCGCAGAACATCTTGTTGGATAGGAACGGAACGGCGAAAATGGCGGATTTCGGGTTAGCGTTACTGGCGGAGGAAACGTCAAGCGGGAAAAATTACAAAACCAGCTCTAGTAGTGGTGGTAGCGGGGGTGTGAAGGTGGAACACACAAGTGGGACGATCGGCTACGCGGACCCTTTGTACATCAACACATCGATTGTCACGGAAAAATCAGAAATCTACAGCTTCGGCATGGTGATGCTGGAAATTTTGACCGCAAAACCACCGGCATTGCAAATGCCGGACGGGAAGATTGAGTACCAGTTCACGCAGTTGATGAAAAACCACCAATATGAAGTGCAAAAGCTAAATCACATACCGTGGAAATTGCAATACAAAATTTTTCGGAAGCAATAAAACCTGAATTTGTAATGCTGATCTTGCTTAAGACTGGCATTTCTCAAGCATGTTTATGCTAGCAAAGGGCTAGTGCGCTGTGGACCCCCAGGATCAGGTAGACGAGGTCCCAGACCGAAGTGGTAGGCGCTTAGGGTGAACTATGTATGTAGCGCTTAGGGCCCTTCCGTACGGCCAATTTGTATGTCCCGCAACGGGGTTCGCCTAAGTCGGTCACTTGTATGCAAGGCGTTGGGTTACCCGGTCGGCAGAGCCGATCCACAACGAACGAACGAATGTTTGCAATTAATACGAGTGCGATGCTTTTGCAGTGCATAGCCAGCTCCTCTTCGACATGGTCGACCCAACCGCAAATTGGCCCCCGGACCATCAACTCCTCGCCTTAGTCGGCACCTTTGCTCTCAAATGCGTCAACAATTCCGAGCAAGTCCGGCCGAAATTCACCGACGTCGTCCAGAAGCTCCGCGAATGGCTGGAATTCTGCACAGCTACGACAGCATCCGACGACGCGAACTACCAGAAACAACTACAACAGCTCCAGCAAAAGGAAAAACAACTCGAAGACCGGGAAAAACTGGCGGAGCAGAGGATTTTGAAGCAGTATGAAATTATCAAAAAGGAGGATGAAATTCGGAAGAAGAATTTGATTTCGCAACAGGAGCAGCAACGGATCTTGATGGAAGAAACGATGAGAAAGTCGCAAATGTCTGTGGAGGAACAGAAAAAGCAGTTGGAGATGCAGAAAAAGCAGATGGAGTTTGAATTCGCCAGGAAATTGGAGTTGGAGAAGTTAAAAATGGAACATGAGTTGAGGAAACAATACGAAAACAACATGAACAACTCGATTCCCTCAGCTGGTGGCGCGGTCGCCGCCGGTACTAGTTCTTCCGGTTCTCAGAAGACGAAGGAGACGAACCTACCATCTCGGGGCAGCACGGTTTCGTCGGTGGAGAAGATTTCCCCTCAAGCCGCTTTCCCCATCGCGGCCGGGAGTGGTAGAAATTCGGGGAGGCGGAGTCAGAGTCAATCGGACCAGGAATTCACCCCGACGCATCTGTCCTCCGGTGGTGCTGCGAGTTCCGGGTCTGCTGCTTTACCGCAATACAACTTGCGCGTGAATGCGCAGCATGGCGGAAGTGTGCTGGCCCCCGCGATAGGACAACAGCAGCAGCAGCAATTGCAGCAGCAGCCCCAGCAACCGCTTGTGAAAAGCGTTACTCTGCCACCGCAAACACTCGCTCCAAGCGCGAAGCCGTTAGCGCCCGGCGTGTTTCAAATTTCGGAACAAACTACTGAAGACCAGTTTGACGAAAACGACAATGCGTTGCCGATAAAACCGAAGCGGGCGTCTTTGAAAGAAACGGTGGAGTACACGGGGCCGAAAAACATCACCAGTTCCAACCCCTTCAGCTTCGCGCCAAAAGTCGTGCAGCCCTTTGTCACAGCCGGCGCCGGGACTTCTGCTGGTGGTCATAACCCGGCTGTGCCGAGAAATAGTTTCACCAACGCGGAGAACTCGGTCAATTTCCAACCGGGGTTTGATTTCGACAAACTGCACGAGAGTCGGATGCAACAGAAGGCGGCTAAGGAAGCAGCCATGTTGCAGCAGCAACAGCAGCAGCAACAGCAGATGCAGCAGCAGGTGCTTGCCCCGGGTGTGGTGAGACTGTCGCAACAGAATTTGAATTATTTTCCGCAGCCAAACCCGGTCGTCGGTGCGGGATTGAGTGTTGGCTTACCCCCGGGGTCACAGCTGTTTCCGCAACCGAAAGCGAAGTCATCCAGTGTAGCGGGTTCGACCCCCGGAGGAGCTGGGTCAAGAAGGATGAGTGAGGATGTTGTAGTAGGTGCACCACAAAATCGTGCAGGAGAAGTGCCAGCAACGCAGAATCTGCAGCAAAACGACGCGGACCAGGATGTTCTGCAGGAGTTAGTCCCTTCACCGGATGAAATCAGGTATCAGCAGGAACTGAAACGGGCGATGGAAGCTTCCATGCAGGATTTGAAGGCGAGACACAGTGCCGGCGGAAGTCCGGTGGGGAAGGACGGGGATATGGAAAACAGCGGGAAGTCGACATCTAGCGCGGGTGCTGCAGCAAAAGTGCCGCCGGCCTGGAAGAGAGGGATAAAAGAGCGGTATGTTCTTGTGTATGAATCGTTGTTCTCCACGAATGATTGCATGGCAGGTCTCTTGATATACACCGGTTGATGAAAACTATCAAAACGCAAACAGGTACCCCGCGGAAATTGCGCAGATCTGCAACTTGGGCTTTCAAGAGAGACAGGCGATTTGGGGATTGGCGCAGACAAAGAACGTAGAACAGGTGGTGGCGTTGATTTGTGACAACGAGGGAGGAGATTTTGACAGTTTGCCCGTGGAAAGGAATTTGAAGGATGTTGCGAGGTGAAAGCAAGCTTACAAGAATTTAGGTGATGACATGGAGGTGGTAAGGCACATGAATCGCTTGTCGAGATTTCTGTCATGATCACCAAGAAGATCTCGCGCACCTCCGATTTAATAAGACGCGCCTGCGAGAATAGTCCGATACCTCATTTTCTTGAAGAGCAGTGATGTTGCTCCTGCTGCTGAACTCCGGACATCGTTTCTGCAAAGCCACGACAATTCTGCAGCCGAGTGCTGCCTGAGGTGTTCTTCGTGTAGAAGGCCTGTTGTTCCTTAGTCCCTTGATGCCGTCAAGGACCGCGGAACCAATACGATCCCAGGAAACCGCCTGAACGAAGCCACGAGCCGCGCCATCGTGCGGCGGAAAGGGCCCCGATTTGGGCGAAGGAATGCGCGCCGAGAGGCGGCGGCGGCGGGGGGTATCTATCGCGGTGAGCCTCGGAAACTTGGCCCGCCCGGTGGCCTGGCGCCATTCATGGCGCCACTCAATCACGGCGCTCCCCAAATCCGTGCGCTGTGTGTGAGCGCGCGGCTGGCGCACGTGGGCAGCCAGTAAGGCTACCTACTGCGTCTTCCGTTCTTGGCGGGAAGGAGCCGCTCTTGAGGCGTGGGCAAGTGCAAGGGCCGCGGCGGCGCTTGCGCTAAGTCTGGGGGGCCGCCCGGCCCTTCCCTGCCTGGCGGCAGTGCTGCGCCCGGACCACCGAAAGCGGCTCAAGTAGAAAGAAACTGGAAAGGCGAGACGGCGCGCCCGGCTCATGGAAGGCCTTACTGCCCCGAGCAAATTCGTTGACCCCATGCCGGTCGCGCGCCGCCCCCTGCCTGCCGCCATTGCTCCGCTTGGCCTTGTTGGCCCTTGTGCGCGTCTGCCCTTGCGCGCCACTTTTGCAAAATCGCCCGCCGCGGCGCGCGCCGGCGCGGTGGTTCTGCGGTCAGGCGGCCCACCCCGGGCAAAATCGGGGCGGTAAAATTCCAATAAAATGACGCTAATTCCAAGACTGGGGACCTTCTGCGCCAGTAGCTTAGCTTCCTTGCTTGGGGTGGCGGGTGCCCGAGGCAGTCGCCCGCAGTTTGCGGAAAGCTTATGGGCTCCCTCTCTCGGGCCCGGTCGCCTTTGGGTTTTCCATGTTTCCCCCGCTCGGGTTTTCCGGGGCCAAGGCCCCAGGCAGAGTCGCCCTCGGATCGTTCCGGCCCCGTAACCCTCCGCCCCGGTGTTGTGTTCTTTGTTAGGCGGCAGGGGGATGCTGGTTGGGGGACATTGGGTTGGGGGTCGTTCGTGTTGTGTCCCTACGCGCGCCCCATTGACCATTATCGACAAAAGAGGGCGGGGCGTGGTGTGTATGTTGGGCGGACGCCTTTGGTGGATGACTCGCCCAGGGGTCCTTTTGTATTTTGCCGCCAACCGTCTGGTTTTCTTTTGGGCCGGGGCGTTGTTCGGGTAATTCTCCGGTAAATTCCGGAGATAAGTTGGCGCAGAATTCCGTTAAGTATGCCGTTAATTTTCCCGTTAAGTTTTTCCGTTAGTTTCCTTTTGAGGCGATTCGTGAGGGAAATCGAGCCCCCGGAAATTAACGGAAAAATTTAACAGAAAAATCAACAGTACAATTAACGGAACCCGGCCGCGGAATTATCGCGGTCTTGCCTCCTTGAGGTTGGCCACGCCTTCCGTCCGGAAAGGGCGGCTCCCGGCGCGGTGGAGGAGGTCCTTTGGCCCCGCAGGGTTTCGCGTGGTTTCCGGCGCGCCATACCGCCAAGCCCCTTGGGGTTGGTTCCGGGGTTTGTGGCCCGTCTCGTTTTGGGTTTTCCGGGGCGCCCATGTGTCGTATGTTCATCCTTTTGGGGCGCCCCCTGTTTTTTTCTTGGCCCCAAAAGGAAGAGCCCCGGGGTGTTGTCCCGTAGAGTGGCGCCGTGTGTATTCGCCATCTGCTTGGGGGGGCGGGCGGCCGCGCCGTGGTGTTTTCCCCACGCGAAATCCCCGCACGACATGCCCTCGGGGAGTCTTTTGTCCTCGTTGGTGGTCTGCGCCCTGCGTCGCCGTGTGTCCTCCTGCTTCCGCCTTGAATATAAAAGCGGGGCGAGGCGTACCAGGTCACCTGGAAAATTAACAGTGAATTACAGGGGAATTATAGCCGGGAGCTTGCCCGGGGTGGGCCGCCTGACTGCGGGGCTTGCGCTGGTCGGCCCGTCGCATGGCCCGCCCTTGCATGCTTGGCGGCGAGCCCCGGCTTTTTTTTGGGCCCCTCGTATTCATTCTGCCGCCGTGCGTCCACGGTGGGTCGGGACGGGCCGGCGGGCTTGCAGTTTGTTGAGAACACCGCGGGCGCTTTTCTACATCCATTGTTTGGGAAGGCTGCATGCGAGTGCGAGTGATGGTGGCGCGCGCGCGCGGCCGTTTTTCCATATTGCGAGCGTGCGAGCATACTCCGCCATGTGGTTGTGTGCGGGGTCGGTCGGAGCCTTTCTCTGCCTTTGAAATCTCCGCATCCGCTCTTCTCTCTGGTATTCTTCAACAAACAAAAGAGCCGCGGGGAAATAGCTGTCGCCGCCAGCCTCCGCTGCCCGCCCGGCTGCCAGCCTGTGCGCGCTGTGTTCTTTCCCCGAATTTTGGTTCGACAGGACGGTAGCTCGCATGCTGCCATGTCTGTGTCCTGTTTGTAGGATCTGCATGCAGTAGCCCTTCAGCTTCGGTCTAGTATTCGTATTGTTACTCGGGCCAGATGTGTTGCAAGTGCAATGTCGGCCTATGCCATCAGTCACCCTCCCATCATTGTGGTCGTGAGTCTTTGTACTTGTGCAACATATGGCTAAGGAGCTCTTCCTTTTCCATTTTTGATTGACCCGTTTGCGCCATCCTCGTGTCTTCTGTTTTTCGTGTATCCGCTGTAGCCACTTTCAGGGCCCATGACCTCTGCCATTATGTCGTCGTCCCACATAAACTCCGGCCACGATCATCACCACGCCATTGCCGACAAAGACGGCCCAACGACCACAACCGCCGGCTCTTCTTCCTCAACCGCGAATAAGATCACAACGACCTCAACCACCCCCATAAACCCCACAACCCGCCTTCTCCTCCCCTACGTGCGCCAGGCACTACAACTTCTTCTAGAAACTAGGCACCCGAATCCGTTGCTCTTTCTCCACCTGTATTTCAAACTCACCTCGGTCATCAACGGCGGGGGGATTTGCGAAGCCTACAGATGTTTCGCCTTTCGAAAGCTGTACGCGGAGGGATCAGATTGTTTTGGCGGTGGTAGGACCTCCACGGGGTCAGCATCGTCAGCAGCCCAGCTCCCTTCATCGTCCTCTTCCTCCGACCTGTTCCTACAAACCGCCGATCCTCAGCAGGGAGGAATAACGAGCAGAACCACAACCAAATTAGATGAGCTGATTTACGACGCGTATGTCCGGCTCTGCTCCACCTCCACAGCGATGCTACATTCTGTGATGCACATCAGCGGGACAAACACTAGTAATCCAAACCAGGAGCAACTCCAAATGCTACAGAACGTGGAGCCCGAGAAATTGGACGTGAAATTGCTGATAAATCTATTACTAGACAACGTCCCCGCGACGTTGAAGCCGAAACAGCAGTTGCTGCAGAAATTGCAGAACACGGAGGTGACGATCCCGTTCAGATTATTTGCGGATCTACTCCACAGTGTATTCGAGTTGCTGAAATTTCACCACGAAGCGACGAGATTGTGGGGGCTGGGAGTGGTCAATGGCCGCGGTGGAAAGAACGAAGTCGATGGTGCGATGAACGTTGAAGGTGATGAGAAACAAGACGCTGGTGGAGCTGCAGCGGCAGCAGGTGGCGCTCCGGAAAAGCGACTTGTGGAAGACGTATAGTCAAGTTTTCTGTGTAGTTGCAAAGACAAAGTAGACAAATAACTGCTGCTGCATGTCAAACTAAAAAAAAAAGCGCATGACAAATCGCATTTGGTTTCAAAAATCATCCCAGATCCTCGCCGCCGAGCCCGGATTCCCGTCTTCCGTCACTTCGCCAACCCAAGCAGCCAAAAGACCTGAGGCAGACGAAGCCCCCGAGCAGTCGCAGGACGAGCAAACAGAACAACAAGGTCGTGAACCAATGCCAGCAATACAAACTTCCACCACGACCAGGCTCCCTTCCAAAACTGCAGTTAGAATCTGCACGCAAAAGCTTTTCGACTCCGAGCAGAATTACTACGATATTGAAATGAAAAAGCGGCAGAAGACTTCCTTCGTCGGCTCGATTATGATTACGAAGACGAATATCGATTACCGGAATTTGGAGGAATTGGTTGTGCCGGTGAAGGGGTTAGTTTGTTTTGGGGATTTCTGTGGAATCCTATGGGAGGCTTGTGTGTTGGAAAGTCAAGTGCAACAGACACAGACAACGTGAAGTAGATATAGTGTACCTGCGCACAAGTTATCAAGTCATAGTCAACCTCAACGTGTACTTCTTCAGTCCATCAATTTCGTCGTGCGCAGCTGGGTCGTGAAGACGTTGAATGTACCAGTGACAGTTCTTGAGTCTCGTCCATTCCTTCGCCACGTTTATAGTGCGAGTCGTACTTGCACTTGCTTTTCATGTGCGCTCGCTAGACAGGATGAAATAAACTTCGTCTGATGTAAGACCACGACAGCACTGGCCATCGCTTTCGCTTGTTCGATTTCGAATCAAACTATCGACGTGTTGTCGAAAGATGTTGAGAGACTATGTCCAGAGAGGGACGCCACTGACTACACTGCCTTACGGTCAGGTAGTGGCCGGGAGAGTATGAGTAGGTTGAGTTGGCACGTGGTGGCTCCTCGATGCTAGTAGCTTTTATTCGACGTAGTACGAAAAATCATTTAGATTTTTATTGCAGCATGTCGTGAAGAAAATCATGTATCATGATGTACGATTCTTGCATCAGCATCAACAGCTCCCCTCAACATCTAATGGTCGTGACAACATTTGCAACCGAACAAAGTTTTTTTTGTACGGAAGAGCAATAGGAAAAGGAAACAACCGAAAACGAACACGAAGTTAGAATTTCCATCTGACGAGCTCCCTTGTAGTTGTGTCGTCAGCAAATTATCAGCCAAAAATGAATCCCTACGAGTACCTCCCCGGCCTGGGAGGGGGCGATAAAAAGGCGGCTTCCACCATGGACAAGCAGAGGAATATGCTGGACAAGCAGCAAAAGAGCCAGTCCAGCTACACACCATATGGCGACATGGGATTTGCAGATCCGAATTACGGGTATACTAAAAATGGATATCTAGCATATTCAAGCAGTTTTGGGTTGTTGAACGTGATGAACTTGTCATGCGTTTTTGCATGACACATCTGTCTCAGAGGCAACAGAAGTTTCTGTCTTCAAACATGCCTATACTCGATTCAACTCAGGAGCGCAAGTGCACGGGGCGGTGCCAAGTTCGGAAACGCAAACGATAAGAGCAAAAAAGCCACCTCATCACTGATGCAGGGATTCGACAAGATCGATATGGATTACCAGCAGATGAAGGGCGCATTCGACGTATAGAAGAGGGTTTTTGCCACTTGTCATGCATGAAAAGCAAACTCATCTAGTGTCTGTCATGCTGCATAAAATACACTACACAAAAAAAAAAAGAAAACTTTTATCAGGCCTTCGGATCCAAGATGGGAACGGACGCGCAAGGTGGTCTCGGCGGTCTTCCTCTTCAGGCAAACAAGAAGTTCGAGTTTCAGGCAGACATGCCGAAACTCGCCGAGGGTCGAGAAGAGCGAATGAAGGGCTTGGGCAAAGCAGCAATCAGGAGGTTAGCGAGGAGAGGAGGCGTGAAAAGAATATCGGCGAAAATACACAAGGACTGCCGTATTTGATGGGATTTGATTTGCTGTTTTTTTTTTGTCATGCTCCCAACACACAAGATGCGTTGTTTGTCATGCTGAATTGCATTTGAAACCTATGATGTTTGTACTTCAACTTCTTGAAAACCTATCTTCAGGTGACGCGATGGGTTTCTTCCTGGAATCAACATTACAAGACGCGCTGACCTACACCACCCACGCAAAGCGGTCTACCGTGAAGCCAAGCGACATCGTAAACGCGTTGAAAAGGCGCGGACGGCAGATCTACGGTTACGGAAACTAGGACAACTGGTTGTAACTGTATTAAGCGTGGTGACAACTACGCTTCAAGAAAAAATCACGATTCCTTGATGTTTGATGTTGATGCTTCACGCCTCATTACTTCACGTTTAGTAGCAATAAGAAAAGACAGCTTGAAACGTAGCTCGTTCACTGATCTCACACCGACGCGCAAATTTACGTATCAATGACCGAGCTTTGTTTCAGAAAGTCTTTAGCGAGCTCCTGATATTGAGGCTCCTCGCGCTACAAATTTACCTTCTTCGCTGCACTCTACTGTTGATTGGAACAAGCAGACAAGCGAACTTTCAGTGCCTCGGGCGTTTTGCTGTTGCAAGACGCTCGTGCGGAAGAAGTAAACTTGTCTAGCTCACGGGACCTCTGCAGCTTCTCACGTTGCAACTGTTTACCAACCAATCTTTGAACTGTTCAGATTATTTGCGACCCCCGTAGGACTCATTTATTTGGCGGCGGATTTACGTACTTTCTCTTTCACTTCTGTCTTGATAATGAAGCCTCAAAAATACCCCACGAAGACGAAGTTCTGGCTTACGCTTACCCTTATTTCACCTCCGCATTACACCCCTTTCATCGTTGGCGCGCCACGTCCAACGAGAGGAGGCTTGGTAGCCCCAAGCAAAGATTCTTGAAAATAACGGAAATTGAACAACGTACGCAGTTGTGGAATCGCTGTGGTCCAACGTCACCTAGCAAAGTCAGTAGCAAGACAAAAAACCGAGCGATTGAAAAAAAAGCAGCCACAGATCAGGACGTTCCTTTGGTAGGGTCCTCGCCTTGTTCTACGTATGCCTAAGTCTAGAAGAAAAATAATAATTCATGCTTTTTGTTTAACAAGTGCCAGGAGCAGAAGGTAGTGCTGTGGAAGCCCTTTGGCAGGAGCGCGAACGAAAAACATAGTACGGACACAAGATGAGTTGGCCTGGGTGATGAGAGCCCGTTTTGAGGGAGTAGAAGCGAAGTGCCTAGATGTAGATCTTATGCGAGCTAATTTGTTGTGTAGTTACTCCCGGGCGTTGCTCGCGCCTGTGGTGGCGCAGCTGTCCGGAGCCCCCCTGCGCCCGCGAGGCGCAGACGACGAATCGCGCGGCGCTGGAGCGGGCGCCAGGGGTGAGGGCGCAAGCAGCCCGCCCCGCTTGCAGGGGCCCCGCCAATGAAGCGCGAGCCGGCCAAAACGCAAAAGCCGACGAAAATGTCGCAGATGCAGAAAAATGGAAGAAGATGCCGACGGCGAAAAATGGGCCGATGCGCAGAGATTGACACAGTCAACAGTCATTGCGAAGCCGCCACTTTCTTAGCGCAGCCGTACTACCTCGGCTTCGACACCAGCGCAGCGGTGTGCGTGTGTTTGCCCATGTTGGCGCCGGTTGGCTCGCGCGCGCGCGCCCGCGACCTCTTGGCCGGGCGGGGTCCGTGATGTGTACGCCTCCGGCCCTGCTTTTGCTTGGTGGTTGCGCCAGCGCGCCGCCATGAATTGGCCCCGGGCGGCGGACGGCCTAGCTCTGTGCGCCTGGCCGGGCCTCCGTGGGCGGGCGTGTGTGTGGTGCACGCCGGCCGCCCGCGTGATGTGGTTTGTTGCTTAGCTTTTTGCTGCCTGCGTGCAGTGGGTGCTGGGTGGGCGCCCGCGCGCGTGGTTTTCGGGGGCGGCCGTATTAATTTGTTGGCGCCGCCCGGTGCGCGTTGCCTAGCTTGCTATCGGCCCCTGGCCGAGCAGTGGCCATGCTGCCTGTCTGACGTAAGAAACAGTCAATGATGACCTTGACCACCCGTGTGTTACTAGACGAGCTAGTCGGTTTCTACGTGCATTTGGTGCGTTCTTGTTCACCGTGATCTTCTTGTTGTGTGGGAGTTCGGAGACGAGGAGCAGTTTTTTAATATCGTTGTGCCGTTTTGTATTTGTGTTGAGCGAACAAATACAAAGTAGAGATAAAAGCGTTTCGGAAGGAGGAGCACGAGTGAAACATGACACTAGCCGCAAAGCTGGCCTGAGCGAAGAGAGTCCTACCTTTTTGAGGGCGCAGAAGCGGCGCATTTACCTTGAAGACGGTATGTGAAGAGCGAAGCCATTAGGCGCTCGCTTCGTTCGCCTTTGATAGCCCGACTTGCCCGGGTTCCTCCTGCGCCTGCGGGGGCACAGGCTGTGAGCCGCGCGGCGCCCGGGGGGCGAGCAGGTCCGATGCGCAACGCAGACAGAGCGCCTCGCCGCGAACGGCAGCGGTGAGGCAACCGACTGCGCTGGGCCTCGTGGAAGGTGCCAAGCTTGCTCCGCCCGCGCCGCAATATTGCGCGCCGAGATCAGCTAGAGGGCAGCGGGGCCATTTCCTTTGCTAAAAAGTGGCTAAATTTTTCGGGATTTTTTCGAAGCGTGTCGGCCGAGGCGTTGCGTTAGCCTGGCCGGCTGAGCCCCGCCCTCGCAAGTGGTGCGCCGCTTCCTTTGTCTGGCCCGCCTCGCCTGGTTTTGTTTCTTTCGGCGGGCCATAGGGGCGATGGGTTCGCTGTGTTGTCTGTTGCCGCCGGGTGTTTTGTATTTGCTAGCGGGCTATGTTTTGCAGTTTAGACGTTCGCCCCGGTTTCTCTTGGGGTGTGGAGCCTTACAATTTTGGCGCGTTTCCGTTTGGTGGTGCGCCGGGTATTTTGCGTCGCGCAAAGCATCCGGCATCTCGGGCACGTGTTTGCAGGTGCTGCGCGCAACCTCTGGTCGGGCGTGTTTGGGTTTGTTTGTGTTGTCACCTCGAAAAGCCGCGGCGGGCGGTTTCTGTGGTGGTGCTCTGTGTCGCGCCGTGTGGCGTGTTATTTCCCTTCTTCAGGCGAAGACGGCCGCCGCCCCTTTTTTTTTCCTTTGTGTTCGGCTGTGGAATTTCAGAAACCAAGACGCCCGGGTCCTTTCAAATTTGCGGAAATCAGTGTCCTTTCCCCGGCTAAATTTTTGGCTAAATCGGCTGACTTTTTTTTCCTTCCCGAAATCCCTGTGGTTCCGCATTTTGCCGCCGGCTAAATTCGGCATCGCCGGGATTTCCGAAGTGAATCCCGGAAAATTTAGCCAAGATTTAGCCGACCGATTTAGCCGACCGATTTAGCCGCATAGATTTAGCCGACCGATTTAGCCGGCCGATTTAGCCGGCCGATTTAGCCGGCCGATTTAGCCGACCGATTTAGCCGGCCGATTTAGCCGGCCGATTTAGCCGGCCGATTTAGCCGACCGATTTAGCCGACCGATTTAGCCGGGATTTAGCCGCATGGTTTAGCCGGTCGCGGAAGTGTAGCAGGGAAATGCAGAAACCCGCTGCGGATGGGATGTGGGCCAGCCCATAGATATCCAGGACCCGCGCAGACTTTCGCCGGCCCCGGCTTCCGTTTGGGTTTTCTATCTTGGGCCCGAGGGTTTCCGTCTTCCGGTATTTCCTTTCCGGGTATATTTCTCATTGGGCATGGGGTTTCGCATGGTTCCGCGCGCGGTCCATTCGGGCCGCCACGCAACAATCGCAGGAAGCTCCTTGGGGTTTTTGCTTTCTTCTACCCGCGCCGCGCTGGCTTTCTCTTTTCTTCCGGCGGCAGCGCCGTCGGGGCCGCTTCTGCTTGCCCGGACTTTTAAAAAATCCCGAAAAAATTAGCCAAAAAATAGCGGGCGAAGTCGCCCCAAACCCTCCAACTGACCGAGAGCGGCGCCCCGATGGGTCGGCCCTGTGCGGTGTTGTGGCCTGCTTGCCTGCCTTCCCGGCCGGGGCGGCGGGCGGCGCCTGCCCGTGCGCGAGCGACCTACCGACCGGGCCGCGGGCCGGTGCCATCGCATCCGTGCGCCGCCGACCTTGGGTGTCTTTTTAGTGTTAGAACCCTATTTGTGCGGTGGCGCGCCGGCGCAAATTGCACCGACCCGGCGGCCGGCCCAGCCCTTGCGCTTATGCTTTGGTGTATACACCGGGACCGGGCGCTCGCGCGGCCTAAGGGTGGGGCCGTATTTGTAGTTGGCACCGACCGTCCAGCGCGCGTACCGGCCCGTGGCCGGCCGTGCCGCCTGTCTACGTAAGAATGACTTCTGTAGTCCGTCGCCTGCTAGATGAGACGTGCCCGCCGGTTGTAGTAGTATAGCTGCACTGGCTACATACAAGAGGCACAACTCCATTTCTTGAGTTCTTGTTCATCTTGATCATGTTGTGTGGATGAGAAGATGCGATGTGGAAGTTGAAGAGAAGCGAGCGGTGCTTTGCTGCCATAGCGGCAGGACATGTGCTGGGTAGCGGGTAAGGGTTTTGCCAGAAGCGAAATGGAGAGAACGGTAGAAATGTAGCTGTGAGCGAAGATAACCGTTGTTGTTGGTAGTGTTGTCGCAACTACTAGTTCAAATTTCCTATTGTTCTCTTTGTCTTTGACAGTTGTTGGCCCGGGTCTGGTGGCACAGTTGTCCGGGATCCTTCGACCCATCGGCGCCCGCTTTGCGCCGGCGCACCGACCCGGCGGGGCCCGGGCGGTGTGTGTGCCCGCGGCGATGTGGAACACAGCCCCGGCGGCGGAAATCGGCCCTGGGACCTGGACACGGAAAGAACAAGAAGGCCGCAGGCCTTTGGGTATCTATGTTGCCCATGAGGCCGGGCCGCGGGTCCACGCGCTTGGGACGGAGGCAGCGACCATTCATGGCTACGCCCTGCGCTGGCTTGCGCCAGCTCCCGCGCACTACCCGCAGGCGGAAGGGAGTGGCGTGGCGGCCGAGTCGCCGCGCCCTTCCCATTTAGTTACAAAACACAAACAGAAGAAAAGCTGCGCAGCCCTGTCCGGGTCCGGTGTGGTCTAATGGTAATGGATTACCGCGGTGGTGAGTCTCACTCGCTCGCCTTGCCGGGTATGTGGCCCCGTTTCCTAACTTTTCTGGTTCTGTGGTTTGGCGGAGTGACTCCAGAGGCAGTCGGCCCGCGCTATTTCGCGCGCCGGCCGGCCCTGTCATCCCGGCCGGGCGCGCGCGGTGCCGGCGATCATTTGTTTCGTTCGCCGCCCGCCCGGGCTGACCCCCCCGCCGGGCCCTCGCTCGGCGCCGCCCTTTCGCGCCATTCATTGTTCTTGGTGCCCCAGCAGGAAGGGCCCAGCCTTGTGCTGTTTGCTGAGTGTTGTCGGCGAACCCCCATGCGCCCCTTCGCCGCCTCCTCGGCCCCCGGCCCGTCGTTTGGCGCGCTTTCGGGGGTGGGCGCCCGCGCGCTGTTGTTTTCCGGCCCTTGGCCGGCGCGTTGCTTGGCTGCCTTTCAATTCGTTCTCCTTCTGTATGTGGGGGGCGGGGGGTCAATTGGGTTGTGGGTCGCTCGCCCTTGAAGCGTGGAGCACGTTATAACTGGCGTCCGAGCTGCTTCTAGATGTCATCGGAATTGTAGGCCTTCAGCCCCCGAGGAGCTCTTGCGTCTGCTGCACCACAGCGAGCTAGGTGATGCAGCACGGTCACCTTTCTTGTTCTGCGCGTTGGCATTCGGGCTTGCGTGCGTTTTTTATGTGCTAGGGATGAGTCGTGAGAGTGAGACCGACGTAGAGGAGATACTACAGGGAACAGCAGGCGAGGGCTTATTCATATTCTGTACGAACAACACGAACTGTAGCTTGCTTGAACGTGATGAGCAAATGTAAAGAAGGAGATGGAGAGTAGATGACACGTGACGTCGCGGCAAAATCGATGTGGTCGTCTTCTGCTCAGTCACCATTGAGAGAAAGAGAGACATGACGATGGATTTTTGAGAAAAGGTTTCAAACCGCAAAGGCAAAACGTCAGACTTTTCTTGAGCAAAGATCTAGTGTGTCCTCGTTCCAAGAAAAGAAAATCGATTTTCAACACGAAGGCCATCATCATGTCCTCCTCCTCCTCCTCCAGTTCTTCCTTGCTCAATTCGGCTAAAAACAAGGTCGAAAAGAGCCTGCAGGAGCTAGAGCAGGTCCTCGAACTGGAGGAAATTTCGCTGCAAAACCTAAACGAATCCAGAAAGCTGCGCTCCGAGAAACGGGAACAGTACGAGAAGCTACGAAGGCAGGCGGAGGCCATCGTGTATGGGGGCGAAGGACAAGGAGGTGCGGCGGGGAGTTTGGACGCAATTACCAGTGGGAAGAATGACGCAGCGGCTAGTAACCAGGGCAACCTCCGAAGGGCCTGCGAGGAGATCTTGGAGCAAGACGGACTTGCTGGCGGACACGAGGCGGCGGGGAGCGAAGGTGTGGATGAAGGTACAACTACAAATTATTTGTGTGAGTTTGTCTTTGTCATGAACATGATGCAGTGTGCAGCATGAGAAAACGTTTCTGTGATGCAGAAAGAGCAGCACCATGTGCTTGTGTATTGCCAGTCCCAGCACATCGACTGCAGCTAAGCACCACCTTCTAACCCAAAACACGACCACAGCCACCGAGAAGCAAGTCCACGAGCTGGTGGAGAATGTCCAGAAGTTTCTGGACGACGAGCATGAGGAACGATTACAAGTCCTTGATGAAGACGAAACGCAGAATGAGGACGAAAAATCCCGGAACTACATCAGGAAGATCAGTTTGGACAAGAGAAAACAAAGCTACAAGGGGATAACAAGTACGGGCACGACTGGTGCTTCATCTTTATCAAATGTAAAAATGTCTGGGTCTGGGAACTTGTGATGCTGGTTTGCGAAACAAGAGAACGCCAGAGATGCCGGCTCAGCATGACAGGTTTTTGAGTCGCTACGTGTTGCCTATTCTGCATGAGAAACTGGGTTTTTGCATGACACAAAAGTGGCGCTTTTTGGTACCTTGCATGACAGACTTGACAGTCATGCTAGCAGAGCATGACACACCCGGCATTTTTCCAGACCCAGACATATTTGCAATCCATAATCTTCTTCGAACAACAGCATCGCAAGCTGGGCGGAAAGCAAAATATTTCCCGGAGAAGTTCCGGACTACGTGCCGCCAAATGCAGCAGCAGTGGGAGGCGCTGCAGCTGCTAGTAGTACTTCTGCACCGAAGACTGGTGGTGCCAATAAAGCAGCAACTTCATCTTCCACTGCAAAAGCTGTTTCGTCTTCGTCTACCACGACGCCGAAAGCAAAGGCGAAAACGGGGGCCGCAGCTGCGAAAGCCGGCTCAACCACTCCCACTGCGTCTTCCCCTGCTGGGAAAGCAAAAGCGAGCGATGCCGCAACTTCGTCTACCAGTCCTGGGAAAGCAAAGCAGCCTGCATCATCCATAACCCCTCCAACCGTGTCGAAGAGTAAAGCAGGGAGTAAACTCTCCCCACCACCGGCTACAGCAACACCGACGGCAGCGAAGCTGCCGAGTGGGACGATGGCTTCCTCTAGTACTTCGCCGAGTAAGGCCAAAGCGGAAACTGCTGCTGCAACCTCTTCTTCCAAAGCACCTCAAGCCGGCACTGCGCCGGACGTCGTTTTGGCGAAGCAGAAGCAGAAATCGAAGTTGTCACAGGTGAAAACCACGAGTTCTTCCTCATCTTCATCGAAACAACCTTCGAATAAAGTACCCAAATCCCGCTTCCCCGACTCTGACGAGGAAGCGGAAATTCTGCAAATCCCGAAAGCGGATTTGGACGAAGTGAAGCTGTTTATGGAGAGCGGTAATCAGCAGCAGGAGCCGATATGCATTGCAAAAGTATCGTACTCGTAGTATTGCAACACAAATTCGCCCAGCTTGGCAAATGGAATTTCTCATGCTGATTTCGTTTGAAAAAAAAATTTGGATTGCATGTTTGCAATTACACACTATCAGTACGATACTTTTGCACAGGATAGCCGAAAACCCGGGAGGATTTAGAACAATTTTTTCTCGAGACGAAAAGGCAAATCATGGCCGCAGCGAGACCGATGGCGAAGGACTGGAAAGATTGGTCGGAAGCGAGGATGCAGGGAGTTGTGCGAGTGCCGGGGAGGAGAATTATGGAGAGGGATTTATTTGCGGAGACGAACAGTGCTGGTGGCTCGTCGTCATCTTCCTCTTCTGCGAACAAGTTGCCATCTTCCAAAGAGCAGGCCGCCGCGGCGATAGAAGATGTTTGGAACGATGTGTACGGAAAAGTGGTTCTAGAAAACGAGCAATCCGCGACTACTTCGCCAATCTTGGAGGAGAGCCGGCCAGCTGAGGAAGTCGGGGGTTCGGGGGCAAGTCCAACCTCCAGACGGGCAAGTGCGACAACAAGTTCCGGGAAGACTTCTCGTGCTGCCAGTCCTGAAGATGATAACCTCTCTGCGACACTGAAAGACGACGACGATATCCCGACGAAAAGTGAGAAGATGCAGGCTGCGGCTTCGCCTGAACCGGCGGTAGTACAGCCATTGAAACTCCGGTCGGAGAAAGCCTCCCGAAAGGAACAAAACGGCGTGATCAACTATGTGCAGGAAATCATCCTCAACCGGTTCATCATCAACAACGCGATGAAAGAGTCCGCGAAGAAAACTCTAACGCAGCAGGAAATCGAGGATAAACGGAAACTCTACCTGAAAAAACTCGAACAGGAGAAGGAAAACCTCTCGAATGCCGCGAAAAATCAAGCGGGTGAACAGCAGAAGGAATTACTGACGGACTCGGAGTTGGAAGAGCAGGGTGGGAAAATCATCAATTCGCTAGTGAGGGATGTTGTGGCGAGCGAGATTTGGAAATTGTCCCAGGAAATGGCTTTATTCTCCGATGAAGTCTGCTCTGCCTTTATGGAATATGCGGTGATCACTGCGGCGTTGAAAAATGTTGGCGGAGGGACCACATCAAACAAAGATGACAACGCTGCTGCTCTCACCTGGACCCAGCGGTCGCCGGCGGAATTAGAGCAGAACTTCAACCAAAACAACTCGTTCGACCAGTGTGAGTCGAAATACGAGCAGTGTGTCTCTGTCCTGAAGCAGATGGGGAGAGACGAACGGAAGCGGAGGTTTCAGACCTACAATCCCTTGTCTTTCAAAAAAGAGGAGAAACTGAAGCATTTGACCATGCAGAGTGCGGGGCTGATAGGTTCGTCTTCCGGTGGGGTAGATCATGGCTCATCAGCATCGCAAAACCAAAGCGGCTCTCCCCAAGATGACGACCCGAACACGGAGCAGAAAAAAGGTTCGGAGGAGGAGGATCAAGACGAATTACCAGAGGAGATCGACGCAGCGGCTTTGCGTGTGTGTGACGCGCCTTTCTACCGGGTTTTGAATGCGAAAAACGTGCCGAGTAGTAAAAGAAGGCGAGAAGAAAATTCACCAATTGCCGCCGCCAATGCGAACAATGAGAAAAACATGCGGTTTGCGAGTAAGGAGGTGAGAAACGTTGCTGCGCCGGAGGTGCCGTCGTTGGGTTCCAGCCCCGTGTCAGGGACGACGAGCAATTTTTCCCCGAGCTCACACTTAGGCTCAACCCAGGCGTTCGCCGTGCAGCAAGCGCAGTTCGCGACGAGAGGTGGTGGCGGTGGGGGCGGCGGATCATCACCAACGATGCGGAAAGCGGCGCGAGTTGCTGGTGATGGTATCGACGATAGCAACGGGCTTGCGAGGATTTCGGAAGACCAGGAGTTGAAGATGGGATCACCAGAGAAGAACAAAAACAGCAATTCGTACGCTACTTCCGGCGACGCACCATTGCCAAGACCCTTCACCTTCGACCCGCGTTCCCACCCTTCCTGGGTGGAGGAACGGAAACATTTCCAACGGTCCGCCGCGATAAAGCGCACCGCGAGGAATCGGAATATCATGGGCATTATGCATTGCAAAAGCATCGTACTTACTAGAAGTATGAATTGGATTACAAATATCCTCAGCGCGAGAAATGGTGCAATTTGTAATGCTGATTGACATCATTGAGATTGACCTTCGGAGTTTGTAATGCATAACTGCAATTGCCACGAGGGAGTGCGATGCTTTTGCACTGGATAAGCACGCCGGACAGCAGTGACTTGATCAGCGAGTTTTGCACTCTTGACCGGAATATCAAACGTAAAAATGTCTGGGTTTTGCATGACACTGATACTACTGGTGCTACCACCTTTTAGGGTGATTTTTTCGACGTAGGTGGGACTGTGTCTTAGTTGTTGTTTTTCATCGTTTTTTACTTTTCTTTTAATCCCTCGGTGCTAGGAAAAGTTTTTGCACAGGGCTATTTCTATCCAGATACCCACACAGCTGTCGTCGCGGCCGTCCCAGATGCTGTTGTGCTTGTCTTTCGATAGAAATCGCGTTGTCCAATAATTTCTTCTAGAGTTTACCGGGTATGAGGCTACTGTTTGTCGAATTAATTTACGAGGGGACGCCCAGCCCTTAGCCTTCCAACATGACACAGAAGGTCTGGAATGGAAGCTGTTTTTGCATGACACAGAAGGTCTGGAATGGAAGCTCTAGCATCACAGGTTTCGAGAAGCTTCCGCAATGCCGAATCCGCATGACAAATCCCCCATTTTGGTGACAGAAAGTGGGCAGCTTTTGCTGCCTATGCATGAGAGATTTTTCTGTGTTCTGAAATGCGCATCACAAGTTTGCAATCTTCCAGAGCCAGACATTTTTACATTTGATACGGAATGTCAGGACGACTTACACCTACAGTCACAATCCGAACAACGCGGGTAACACAGTGGTGCCGAAGGCGAGGATTTCGGGCTTTTTCGCTCATTGCAACGTCCGCTACACGCGGGCTTTGGGCCTGGTCTTCACGATCTGCACAGAACGGGGTTACCTAGGTGACAACTTTCTCTACGTCGTGAGGTTACCGAGGAAAAAACTTCCGAACAACAACCTCATCGCGTATCCGGGCGTTGGTTCCAAACCAGAGAAAGAGGAAAAAGAACACCAACCAATCACCACGAGTGCTGGAACTACAAGTTTAGCTGCGTCGAAACAGAAGCAGAAGCAGAAACAGGCTTACAAGACGAATAAGGACGTGGATTGGGAGGAGTTTTTCGTAGAGAAACCGATTGTTGTTAGAGAAACGGTTTCGGAGAACAAGTTCACCGAGCCGACGATTTCGGCGGATGGAACAATGATACTAGCGGTGGAGAAGGAAAAGAACAAAAATTCGAAGAACAACAAAGTCACCTTTCTCTCTACATCCGTTCTCCACGCGCAGCTCATGGACCAAAGTAGCGATTACCGTACCACCGCTGATTTGAATAAAAACAACAACGCTTTAGCATTACATAACGCGATGCAGATCGAGACGAAACATTTTAGAAGAAACGGGCAGGAGGATTACGATCTGGGGAAGTTGAATTGTTCGAAAATCGCGTTGTTTTCGGAGTTATCTTTGTTGGCGACGAACGAGTCGATGTTCTGCGGGTTGCAGGACGGATCCGTGGTGAAATTGAATTTCGGGAAGTACGCGCGGGTGTTACCGGAAGCGACGGACTTTGGCACGCCGGGGATTGCGAAAATGCCGGCGTATTGGGAAGTTGTGAGGCCGAAGGACGATAAAAGGAAAGTGGAGAAATATGAGGAGGAACACGTATTACAAATAGCGAGGGCTCTTTTTTTGTCATGCTGTTTCTACAAGAACATTTTTTTGCCGTCAAATTTGTTGCTGCGTTATAGCCATTACAAATCTTGATCTTCTCTAACAAAACAGAACACCTGGCACCCGGTTCCAAAGGAGTACTTCGAGCGGCACGACTCCGAGATCCGGTTTCTCCAGTGCACCCAAACCGACGCGCTGCTCTGGTCTCTGGACGAAAAAAACCTCATTTGCGTCTGGCGCTACACGGACAAACACCGAACTGGCTTCGGCTCTTTCCGACCACTCTCGGCCTGGCGATTGTCCCTGGACGACTACGTTTTGAACCTGCCGAAAACGGTGGTTTATGCATTGCAAAAGCATTGTACTAGTATAAATGCATTACAAATTTCCTCAGCATGAAAAATAAAATTTGTAATGCGGATTTACGTTGAGAATGAGATTTGTAATGCATGAATGCGATTACTACGGATACTTTTGCACAGGATATGGTGTCAGAATCCGGGGATGAGGAGGAGTTGCTTACCGGGCAAGCGAAAGGACATAGCAAGAACAATCAGAACAACCAGCTCTCGTTAAATGCGCCAGCTTTTCTGGATTTAAACGAACACTTCCTCTATCCGTTCTACGTGGATCCGGACACGGCGCCGAATTCGGTGGAGAACGAAAACAACATCTATTTCCCTGGGATTGAGAATTCCGTCTACCTATCCACAAAAAAAAACCATAACCATCCAATTTTGGCATGACAAACTAACACTGTTTCTGATGTTTGTCTTTGTTTTGCATGACAAATTGGATGGGGATGGGTTTTTTTCTGTGGATACTACCGGGTGAATTCGAAGACGGGGGGGAAGAGAAAAATCCCGGTGGTTGGTACACGGAACACAGGCCAGGACGATCAAGTCCATGGGAAAAAGCACGTAACTTTCGCAGGAAGTCAAAGTTCTGATGCGGAGCAGGAACTGGAAGGTGGGACAAACGATCAAAACAACCTCGGTTTTTCCGGCTCTTTTGCCGCGATGCAGCAGCAAACACTGGACCAGATCGGCGATTTTGCGGAGGAACATTTGTACGGGGTGAAAGTACCACTTTTGCACAAGTTCCCCGGGTATGGGAAGAAGATAAAACACGTGGCTGAGACCAGTGGTGGAATAACGAGTACCAAATCTTCCCCCATCCTCGATTTCGCGATCTACGGCAAAACGGCTGCGGTGCTGTACAAGGTGCAGAAATCCGTCTTCCGCTGCATGGTCTTTTCCTGCGAAACGGAGATGGGGAAGGAGCAAGTCGCGGGGGAGTTTTCCTCCTCCGCTGGAAAACGATCGCAAACCGCGCAAAGACCAAGAACCCCGAATAGACAAACCGCAGACACATCGTCCCCTCTGTCCCCAACCTCGAATTCGAAGAAGAAGGAAGAAACAAATTCTGGCGGTTTGTTCGGCTCCATGTTTTCCGCAATAACCGCTCCTGTAACCATGGTCGCTTCCGCGACTGAGTCCATCGCGGCGTCGACCGGGTTGAGCCCGGTGTCTGGTAGAAGAGATTCATCCCGGCCAACAACAGCTGACGCGAATAGGAAGAAATTACGTACCGGCTATGGCCAAGCGTTTCACAAACAACCGACCTTTTCCGATGACGGGTTCTTATCGAATTTACCGCCAATAGGGTCGAAGGCGCACCGGATGTTGATTGACGAGGAAATTTCCGAGTGCTCGAGCGATGAAGAGGATTTGGCGTATTTCACCGCGGCTGGGGCGGTGTTGCCGGATGGAATTGGTGGGGATGAGGATGAGCAGGACAGTAGTACTGATGAAGAGATTAAGGCTACACGAAATACATACTCAAGACCATACTTAAAAAATTCGCATGCTCTGCTCGAGGCGCGGAAAAAAAGACTCCAACTGGGTCTATGTTATGCAAGAATCAGAAGCGCGCATCTTCTGGATTGCTCGTCGCGAAAAAAATAGACAGGAGCGCGGAGCGCGCTCGTGCGGAGTGCCTGCGGAGGCAGGCTGTATGAGATGCCGCTTCGAATCTGCGTGAGCGCGGTTCCTCTCTCGTTTAGACTGCAACGCAAACGCGCCCGCCTGCGGTGCCCGTGCTCAAATCCGTTTCGAGAACTATCAGCACTCAAGCTGGCAGAAAGGCACGCGGGCCCAAAAGGTCGCGCGCTTCAAGCTGCGCGCAGGAAGTGGCGCTCGCTAGTAGGCGAAGATATTCCCGGCTGGAACACGTCCGCCACCAGCAACGCACTGCGTCTCTTGCTCCGGTGCTTGGCCTCCGTGTTTGAGCACAACGAGAGCGCAACGCCCGAGCCTTTCGGGAGGGCGCGGCGCTCCAGCAAAAAAAACAAGCGCGAAAAAGAGCGCGCAAACATAGATAAAAAACGCGCGCGCGCAGGAGCGCGCAGAGAACATAGACCATGCCACGCAGTCTAAGAAGTTTATGGCTGGCCACAAATGGGGTCGCTTTTTGTGCATAATTTTCAGCGCATTTTCGTGCGCATTTTCGCGCGCGCGCAAGAGCGCGCGAACATAGAGCATGCCATGCAGTCTAAGAAATTTACGGGTGGTCGAAAATGGGGTCACTTTTTCTGCATACTTTTCGGCGCATTTTCTTGCGCATTTTCGCGCGCGCGAAAAAGCGCGCGAACATAGGCCATGCCGTGCACTCTAAGAAGCAAGTTTATGGGTGGCGAAAAATGGAACCACTTACTCTGCGTATATTTTTAGCGCATTTCCGTGCGCATTTTCGCGCGCATTTTCGCGCGCGCTTCCGCTCCCTCTGGCTCCATGGTTGAGCACGACGCCGAAGCGCAGCGTCTCATGTTCGTGTGCAAGCGGAGAGAGCCATCACGGTGGGCCTGCGTGGCGCCTGTGCATTGCGCTTTACCTTTGTGGCTCCGGCGCGTGTTCTTGCGCACCGCTGTGGCGTCAAGCTTTACCGCCGAAAGCTGCACTCGAAAAAGCGCAAAAAAGCTAGCTCGCAACAAATGTGCGCGCTTGGCGTGTTTACTGCCTGTTGTGGCGGTATTTGCTTTCTCTAGTGGCGCCGCAGGGGGCCCGCTAAACTGTTGTGGGCATGCTTGCCGAAGTTTGACAGCCCCGGACCGGGCTTGGTTTTGCGGCGTGACACATTGGGCGGAAATAAGTCGTAGCCCGATCAGCGTGTGACGTCTGCGCCCTTCGTGTGTGTTTTTGGCCGTCCTGGTGTATTGGATTTCTGCGCATATGAATTTTTTAAGTATGAAGAAGAGTATGAAAATTTTGTACCTCTAAAGAGATGAATCCAGAAGAACTAGATGGTGATGATGCCGGTGACAACGCTGACCGCAAAACCCGCAGCTCCTCCTCCTCCGCAGCGAAAGGAGGTAACAGTCCCTTCGACGACCAGAAAACGCCAACGAACAGGAGTAACGCGACAACACCAACGAACGCAGGAGCAGCTGGCGCTAATCCCTTGTCCGACTCCCTCCCCGCACCAGGTCAACAAGACCAAACCCAACCTGCACAAGCAGTTCCCATCCGCCCCGTCGCCCTCCGGACGAAACGCGACCGAAAGCGGCAACAGCAGCAACAGCCCATTACCACCCTTCCGAAGATCAAATTCCAGCTCCCCTCGAAAAAACGGGAAAACCTCTTTCAATATCATAATGTTGGTTTGAATGTCGACGCCGAGCCGAAGATCGCGGTGTACCGGCACTTTGTGTGGATAGTCGACGAAATCTCGATCTACAGCTATTCCGCGAAGACAGGGCAATTGCTGATCGAGCACGAACACAAAATCCTCGACCCGGAGTTGGAGAAAGCAGCGCAGGAGGAATCAAACCCGGACGATGATAACGGGCTACTCCCGAATATCGTGTCGGTGAACATTGTGAACGTTTTTGCGAAAACCAGAGTGGTGTTGGTCGTTGCGACAAATCACGTCGTCAAGTGCTACTGGGTGCCGGCGGGATGAGATCATGACTAGGATGTGAGTCTTTTGTCAGTAAACTTCAAATCAAACCGCAGGTTGGTTTTTGTGAAATGCAAATCCACGAATCAAATGAACTTGAACAATTTGAAATGCAATGCAAACAATGTGGATGAGGACATACCCGTTCCGTGGGATTTGTTCTGTCACTACGCCAGCTGTGCACGTCGATATCCGTTGATTTGATTGCGTATTGCCTTCTTCATGCAAACACGCAAGAAATCCAGATCGGTTTTTTGGAGCTTTTGTTCCTCTTCCTTTCGTGCATTCGCATTCTCAGTGGTTTCGTTTTCGTATCGTCGGTTATTTCGAGGACGTGCAAAGCTGGAGCAACTTTTGGTTTTTTGTCGTCCGTTGTCGTCGTCGTTGTCGTACATGCAGCGAAGTCGTATGTCAGTGTCAGTTTCGAAAATAAAAAGTAAATACCCATTGGCATCGGATTCTTTCATTCCGAATCCCATTGATGTGTTGTGCTTGTGCTCGTTCGTATAAAAAGCCTTCCCGCACATTGTCACACCTCTCGTGAGCCTCGTTGGATGCCTATGTTCATTCAAACAGCGAACAAAACCAAAACCAAAACTCTACTTCTGCTTACTTTGAAGAGCCTCATTACAAAACCTAGCTCGCCCCCCCCTCGATCGTTTCTTGTCCAAAAAATCTGCATTTAAATTTATTTCTACGCAGCTAAAAATAAACCAGACCCTCCTACACCTTAATCTCAGCACACATCTTCGCGACCGCCCTCTTCAAAACATGTTGCGTCTTTTCGCACTCTCCCAGATTGTTTCCTTCACGGGGGAAGCCGAAGCTTTTACTGCACATGTGCAATCCCATCAGAAACGCGGTCGTGAGGTGAAGAACCGGGGCAAGAAATCTTCCCGGACCAAGGCCACTTCATCTCAGACTACTGCCGAGGTGAAGAGCGAAAATTCTGCTACAAAGGCGGGTGAGGCCGCTGCGCCGCACGACCGGGGGAACCGCGGTCCTCGCCGGGGTGGTGGTGCGACGGAGAAAAATTCCCACCCCCGTGATCATGTCCGCTCGGGCGCCGGTGTCACAGCACCCAGTTCATCATCTTCTTCCCACGACGTCGACGTCCCCGCGGAGTCCACGCCCAGCGCTACTAGTACCTCCGCCACAAGCACGCTCGAAGTCGTGAAGGAGGAGGAAACTACTTCCGGTGCGCAGCAGGAAATGAAGTTTGTTGTGTTGTGAATGAGAAGCTACCCGAACGAGGGTCGAGGTCAGAAAAATCTTCAAAATGTAGAGGTAGTTTAAGTTTTCCAAAAACAAAACGATGTCGAAGTCAGGCTTGCTGGTGCTTTTCTTGACCTTTGCTGCCTTTTTCCATTTTTCCTTTGTCGCGTATCCCGTGTCAGGATAAGGAGGAACGGTAGATGTAGAAGTCGAAAGGCTGATGTTTCGCTACTCGTACTGCTCGCGTGGCACGTCTATCTTGTAGCAGAAGCATCTTGATGAGGAACAAGAAATAGTGGCGAGCTGGCTTGTGCGACCTATTCATTTTTGAACAACGCAGAACAAAATCAAAAACCCCGCCGTGCGTGACCAATAAAAAGAGATTGACCCCAACATCGTCATCAAGCCTTTACATGAACCGCATCGAGTTGGACTCAGCACTTCCTGCAGTCACAAAGCTTGACAGTCCTTCTTTGAAGGGTGGCGTTTTCTTTGTAGCTTTGATTACAAGACGAGTTCTTGTGCACTGAAAATGAAAGCGCATCGGTTCATTGTCAGTGTCTTGGCTTCGTGCAGGTCGGCGTACTAGTCGTTTGGTCGTATGATTCTGCCCGCCTTTCGTAGTTTCTGCGTTGACATTGACGTGCGGTAGTTTTTCGGTTGTACTTCTGCAACAAGAAATCTGGTTTCGTTCGTTCATTCAGCGTCCACAAATCGTCCTGTGACCTCCGTTGTCTGTCCTCTAACCGGTTCAGTGGCTTTCGTCAACAAAGTCGTGTCGTCGTCGTTTTTCTGCTCAGTAGAAAGCCATGCGTATTTCTATTGCAAAACCGCCTAAGGACCTTTCATCTTCAACCAGACGCCCCTCGCAGGACTGGAGCTACACCCCGAAACCAGGTTAGTAGAATAATAATAAACCACCTGCAACTTCTATTCAAATTTGTTCATCTTCCAATCATCATTTCTTCTTTGAAGAAAGCATCAGCATGATGATGCGACTTTTTCTATTTTCCCAGCTTTTTCATTCTCTCATCGGAGCCGAAGGGTATTCCACTTCCGTTCGCTCACATCAACAGCATGCGGAAGTGAAGCAGAATGAGTCCTCATCTCGCAGCACAGCTGCTGCAGCCGCGAAGATAATGAAGGCCGCCGAAACTCGCAAAATCACGAAGGATCGCCGTGAAGCAAAAATCGCAGAACCGAGGGGGCATCTCTCGCCCAAACATCAGAAGATGGTTGAGAACCTCGAATCTGTAGTCGGCAAACCCGACGAAAATCACCAGCAGATGGACCCCAATGAGTCCACCGTGGGGGGGAAACCTGAACAACTCGAACCTGCGGTCGTGGCCAAACAGCATCTCTCGGCGGAGCACGAAAAAATGGTGGAGGAAGTTGAAGCTGTAGTCGGAGAAGCCAAGCCGCCGATGGGGCCAAACGAAAGTACCGTTGGGGAGAGGAAGCCAGCTGCACCCTCTGTCCAGGCGTGAGAAGGTTTTTTTACGACAGAGATGATGGTGATGTCGTGTGGCGATACGGAGCAGCCACCCACCAGTTTTTGGATCAAGTTTTTTTGGCGTTGCCGATAATAAAGCTTAGTCAAGCGCAGACGACGTTCTTGGCCACATATTTGAGTCTAGGAACAGGAAGCGCGACCAGCTCTACCACTGTATCTACTAGCTGCTAGCCTCTAATAATATTACTGGCCACAGGCACCTCTGGCTAATTCATAGTAGCAACTTCTGATTTATTCACTTGCTGTTGCGTCCTCATTTCGATATCCCATCAATGTTCTTGTAAAACGTAAAAGACCGGCACGAAATAGTTGAGATTCTGATCGTGAATCTTCACGGTGGTCCAGGCTGCATCTTCCACTTTGTGTGATGCAAGCAAGCTTGTCTATTTGCTAAGAAGTTTCGTAGACAAGACGTTGAAGAGTCCCGAATCAGTTTCTGTTGACAGAACAAACGTCGGTTGCTGGTGACGCTTCGTCTTCGTGGTCTGCACGATAAACAAAAAATGAGTGCAGCTTCGGTGTCTTGCCACAATCGTGCGTTTTCGGGCATCATCTTCATCATCCAAAAGGAACAATGTTTTCGTCTTCAACTTTATCCTCGTTCAGAATTATTCGTACAAGTTTTCTTCCTCGGCTTCTATCTTCGTATGATTCGTTAGCCAACTGCGCGGCTCTACTCGCTTCCTGCTTCGCGCAGCAGTGCTTGTCATTTTTCGAATTTCTGAATATAATCTCAGCAGGCATTATTTCTAGTAATTTAAACCCCTACTAATTACTTTTTAGTTCTACACCCCCAGTTGCATCTAGTTCTAGCATCATGTTTTGAATTTGATATTATTCTGCCGAGCACGAACTTATCGAGAACTTTCTTTCGCGACAAAATGCTTAGGCCCGCGAAAAACGCGGGTCTTCGTTGTCGATTAGAGATGTCGTCGAGTTTCCGTAGGCTCGTTCTATCCTCCACATTTTTCGCGACTACTTTTTTCACCCAACAAGTCCACTCACTTTCCGTACACCACCTGCATAAAGCTTCTCCGTCACCGCAAAAACATGCGAAAATTTTCCACCGGCAAGCTGCCACGCGAGCTAGTGATACTACAGAAGGAGCCGAGGAAGCAGCACTTGCTGTCGCGGTCAAAGAGAGCGGCAAACGGGGCGGTAACGAGGAAAGCGCGACAACAAGCGCTACTAGTACTGCTCTCGTGCAGAAGAATGAAGACGGAATAGCTCCTGCTGCAGACCGTGATGTCGACAATCAAGACGTCTCGTCGAATGTTCTTGACCGCGGGATGTTATCCGCAGGAGAAGGACAGGGTGACGCGGATGAGCAACAGAAACCGCTGACACCAACAACCGCTGACACAACTACGTCCGCCTCCGCTTCAGCGTTTCTCCATTTCCCGAGAGTAGATAGAAAAAAACATCAAGGACAAGCAGTTTCTGGTGTTCCCACTTCTTCAACAGCTGCAGCGAACAAGAACAGTAAGGCGGATGTTGAACAAGATGCACCGGGCAGTTCATCCGGCCTACTAGAGACGAAGAAGCTTACCGTTGGAACGACCAAGGTGAACAAGAAAATGCAGATGCAAGTAGAGATGGAGCAAAAACAACACGAAAAGCAAACCATTTCGCAGCAAACCAAACTAAACCTGAACCAGCGCATGAAGTTCGACATGATGGCGGCGAACCTCGTGAAAATCGGCGTTTTCTGCGTCCTGCCGGTCGGGATAATCGCTGTTATCATCTGTGTCTGTTGCTGCTACTGCAAAAAGGAACCGGAGGATGAGGGGTGGATTGATGATTACGGCCACTACCACCCCGCCGCGGGGGAAAACAAGCACCAGCATGGTGAGGAGCACAGGGGCAAAGGAAAGGGCGAAAAAGAAGAGTTTTGGATGAAAGGACCACCACCTGGGGCGCACGGCAAGGGCGGGGATAAAGGACAAGGTGGCAAGGATAGCGCGATGAATCCTAACATCAAAGGCGGTGGTCCTCCACACGGCAAAGATATGAAATTTTCCGGTACCAAAGATCCGTACGGAGGGAATAAAGGTGCAGGACCAGGAGCTGCGTACGGTAAAAATAATTACGACGCAGCACAACCTCAACCCCTCGATCCTCAACAACTAGCCGCTATCGAGCAGATGCAAAACGAACAGTGGTGGCAGACCATGACGCAAGACGAACAGGCACAGTATCTCCAGCAGTGGTATCAGTATCGCAAACCGCCAAAAAAACAAGAACTACCCGAGCAGCCGATCGTGCAGAAGGCACCTGACGAGAACCAGGCGCACGGGAAAAGGTATGGAAAGGTGAACCCGGTCACTGGGTTGTACGAGCCGAGCATGATGGTCATGCCGGAGCCCACTCCGGAGGTGAAACCAGTCGATTCGGGGAAGTACTATCAAGGATTCGGCGGCATTGCGCCGTTACCGGGCAAAGAGCGGAAGTCGTCTTCGAAGAAGGATAGTGCAAAACGAATCTCCTCCTCCGCCGGCGGGAAGAAAGTCTTGTCCTCCGGCCCACGAGCTGCAAAACTGCCGTCGGGCAACCAACCAGCTACGTTTGCGGGGGGCATGGCGAGCACTCCCGCGCCGCCGGTGACGTTTGCGGGCGGGATGGCAAGCTCGCCCGCACCAGCTCCGATTACCTTCGCAGGCAGCATGCCCAGTCACGCGATGGCAAGTCAGCCGAACGCGATGAACACGAGTCAGCCCGCTAACCAGACGGTGGACAGCCACAGCACTTTTGCGGGAAGTGGCGTCACCAGCGGACCAGGTGGAAACGCGGAAAGCTCGTTCAAACTTGGCGGTAGTCCACCAGCGAACTTATGCAATACAAATTTCCCGTACACGACGTCGACGTAGGTAGACGTAGAGGTACGAAATTATGCATGACAAATTTTGGCATTGGCAACTCCAACTTAGAGCCTCCCACCTGTCCTGCTGAACAAGAGGATTGAAGAAAAGTTTAAGTTTTGTCATGCAGAAACCGCATTGGCATTGGATGTGCGTCTGCGACTGCGTGCAGTACGGGAACATTTTTCCTGTGGATATATTGCCGGCGCGGGTTCCAGATACAAAGGGACGGGGAAGATGGGTCTGGGTCAGCAGACAACCGGAACTCTGGGTACCTCAGCGGCGAACAGTAACGTCGAGAGTAAAGAACTCCTCTCCACTGACCCACCCCCAATGAAGCGCATTTCGGGGATATCCTGAGCAAAAACGTCCCCACCCCATAGTCAAGTTGGTCTATCTGCAACACAAATCTCCAAGTTTTCGGCGTTGTGCATGACAAGTTCCCATCTGCAGTGTAGTGCTGGTTAGCACGGGCAGCCGCATGAGAAAGCCAGCTTGTCATTCTGTTTACAGTATTACAAAGTCCAAAACACGATTGGCAACGCCTGGCATGGACCTGCGCATTACAAATCTTCCAGTCATCGCAAATCTGCATGACAACTCTGGGGTGGGGACGTTTTTACACAGCATAGGGGAAAATCGGCGACCAGAGCGCCGTTCCAGACGCAGCCAGAACTTCGAATGCACGATCCCCCGCGGCCTTGCTGTGGCAACAAGCCGGCAAGGAGGCCCGCGCGTCCAACCCGTTTACGCAAATGCTGCAGGCCGCCCGGGCAAAATCCACGTCCACGGGAGGCTCAGTGGCTACAAATAACGCCGATAGCGCGTTGCCGGTTACGCCGTTCCGGCCCAGTAACGCGGTGGCGCTCGACTCGCAGAAGGGACGGATGGGCGGGAAGGGCGTCACGAGCGGAACGGTGTCGAAAATCAGTGTTGGGCGGTTGATATGCATCGCAAAAGTGTATCATACTCATGGTAATTGCAGTCATGCATGAAAAATCCAACCTTCTACGTCAACTAGCATGACAAACTGCATTTTTCTTTCTTCACAAAATTTGTGATGCAATTCGTATATAGTAAGATACTTTTGCAAGGCATAGTTGACGGCGCAGGACCCTGGGACCATTGAGCCGGAGGACATGTCCGCACTGTTGGATTCGGCGAAAAGGAGGAAGATTTAGAGTTCTTGTTTATTCAAGGGTGCAGAGCAGAAGTACTCGTACTCCTAGTTCGTTGGTCCTACCTTTTTTATCAGTAGTACGAGTACCTCAGTACATCAAAACAAATTCATCTAGCACATTTTTGTATTCTTTTTTTTTTGGAATCTCATTCTTTCTCTTACTCTTTCAAATTATGTTGCATTTTTTTTCGTTTGAACAACTTCATCGACCACGACCCACACCCAGTATTGCAATGACCAAGTTGAAGTTTGATTTGAGTCAGAAGATGACGAACGCCACCTCGACCTGTTTATTCGTACCCAGTTTTAGTAAAAACATGTAGCGCACTATGACGGCAGTAACGTGCCCAACAGGCTAGTTACCCAAAGGGATACAGTTTTTTTTTTTCGGTGTAAATAAGGTAGTTATATATTAAATTGCGATGACAGAGCGGTGCATGATCAGCGAAGAAGAGGGGGCCAAGGCAGTCCATGGGTTCCTCGTGGAATGGGACGGCATCGACCTGGTTCGAGAATACCGCGCTGCCGCGGCAGCGGTGTCAACGAAGCTGATGGGGGACTTGGTCCCCACCCACCTTGCCGTGTGGGACAACGGACTCCTCAACATCATCAAGATGAAGGCATCCGGGTGGGCCACGCTCGACAACGGCAGGGCCATGCGGATCACGAGGCTAGGCCGCCGGGAGTACATCCTCGAGAAACACAACCAGCACCGTTGCCCGAGGTGCGGCGATGTGTTGGAGGATGCCACCGCGCTGAAGTACCACCTGGCCACCGGGTTCTGCCGCAAGGACAAAACCATACAGGAACAGAGAACCCTACGGGTGGCCAGACAGGTAGAGGGAAAGAAGAAAAGCGAAAAGGCGGCAGCGGTGGCGGAGCCTGTTCACGTATGGCATGGTGGGAAGCAAATAGCCACGGTGGAGCGTTTTGTGTACTTGGGCACAGAAATCGACCGGAATGCAACGACTACGTCCGAAACGAAAAGGCGATGCGCGATGGCGCTGAGCACAGTTAAGTCGTTGACAAAAATCTGGCGCGACAAAGAAGTACCGAAACACCTCAAGGCAGGGCTCTACCGCGCGTTGTCGCTAAGCGTCGCCCTGTACAACGCCGAAACCTGGGCGACTTCGGAAGAAGACGAGAAGATCCTTCGGAGCTTTCAGACCCAGGTGCTGCGCCACATCCTCGGTTATTGGGATTGGCAGGGCGCGCCTTCCCGCGACCAGATGTGCCGCATGCTTGGGGTCCAGGCTATCGAAGTAGAGCTTCGGGAAAAACGGATATCCTGGATCGCACACACAGCACGGGACACAACCGGGGAGGGTTCTTTGTCCCGTGTCAGGACAGAAATCCAGGAAAAAACGCCATGGGGCCGCAAAGCCGCAGAAGACCTCGAGTTTTACAACTTCAGCCTCGACGACTTGGTGGCACAAAAGCCAACGGGCGCGGCCACAAGGGAAACGCTGACACGGCGACGGCCCTACGCCACTGGGAGAAGGGAGCAAAAGAAGAAAGGGCCCGAGCGGGGAAAGCGGTCGAAAAAGGCGGAGAAAATGCTTGAGGAGAGGCGCCTTCGGCTCGAACAACAGAAAGCTGAACAAGCTGAAGCTGCTGCAGCTCTTGTAGAAAAACTTTCAGGAAAAAAGTGGAGAGCTTCAACGAGTAGGCCGGGGCAGTGGGAGGTGGAAGGGGACCCAGAGGTGGCTTTCGAAGTCAGTGACGTCTATTTCTGCGAAAACTCAGGAAAGGAAGAAATGAACGTAGCAGGGGTGTGGTTCGTACGGGAAAACGACGGAACTTTTGTGTTGCGATAGACGAGCCTTACACCCCTGGAAGGAAAAGAAGATGATAGTAGTGCACGCACATCCACGATTCAATCGATTAATTTCAGAGCGGTTAACTGAAACAGGATAATGCGTCGAACTGAACTGAACCGAACTAGCTAGTGAAAATGCTTTGTTTTTAGTTAGCTTAATAGCTTATGTATATAAGGCGTTTTTGAAGGCTTCCACGACGCTACTCCGCCGACATCCAGCTCCACGGATTCGGGCGAATCCGTGGAGCTGGATGTCGGCGGAGTAGCGTCGTGGAAGCCTTCAAAAACGCCTTTTCTAGCTACTGATCTTATATGCGTCGCGTAGCGATTATATCAGTTCACATGATCAAGCAAGAGGGTTGCACACTCCGACACCGGGCTGGCTGCCCGGTGTCGACCAGCTTCGGCTGGGTCTCTGTCCTTTTTCCAGAAATACCGCATTGTCTTGGCTCGCCTAGATTTTGCGTTTTTTCCCACCCTCCCACCCGACTTGAGGTCGCGAGACCCCTTGCGGCACCCCTCGCAAGCCCGCCCTAGATATTCGGCGGTCCCAGTCGCGCCTCGCGGCTTGGGCCACCTCTATGTCCGGGGCATGGCTCTGTGGGGGTCGAGAGCCTGGCTTGCATGGCCTGCTACCCGTAGCTCGTTGTGCCGGCCGGGTTCTCTCTTGGCTGCCATTGTGACTGTCGCTCGAGGTCTTGCGACTATCACTGCGACGCGCTTCTGCACGTCATTCGCTTCCGTTGGTTGCGCGCGCGTTCACTCTATGGGTGAATTGCGCAGAGAAGGTGAAATTATATGCGTCGCGTAGCGATTATATCAGTTCACATGATCAAGCAAGAGGGTTGCACACTCCGACACCGGGCTGGCTGCCCGGTGTCGACCAGCTTCGGCTGGGTCTCTGTCCTTTTTCCAGAAATACCGCATTGTCTTGGCTCGCCTAGATTTTGCGTTTTTTCCCACCCTCCCACCCGACTTGAGGTCGCGAGACCCCTTGCGGCACCCCTCGCAAGCCCGCCCTAGATATTCGGCGGTCCCAGTCGCGCCTCGCGGCTTGGGCCACCTCTATGTCCGGGGCATGGCTCTGTGGGGGTCGAGAGCCTGGCTTGCATGGCCTGCTACCCGTAGCTCGTTGTGCCGGCCGGGTTCTCTCTTGGCTGCCATTGTGACTGTCGCTCGAGGTCTTGCGACTATCACTGCGACGCGCTTCTGCACGTCATTCGCTTCCGTTGGTTGCGCGCGCGTTCACTCTATGGGTGAATTGCGCAGAGAAGGTGAAATTATATGCGTCGCGTAGCGATTATATCAGTTCACATGATCAAGCAAGAGGGTTGCACACTCCGACACCGGGCTGGCTGCCCGGTGTCGACCAGCTTCGGCTGGGTCTCTGTCCTTTTTCCAGAAATACCGCATTGTCTTGGCTCGCCTAGATTTTGCGTTTTTTCCCACCCTCCCACCCGACTTGAGGTCGCGAGACCCCTTGCGGCACCCCTCGCAAGCCCGCCCTAGATATTCGGCGGTCCCAGTCGCGCCTCGCGGCTTGGGCCACCTCTATGTCCGGGGCATGGCTCTGTGGGGGTCGAGAGCCTGGCTTGCATGGCCTGCTACCCGTAGCTCGTTGTGCCGGCCGGGTTCTCTCTTGGCTGCCATTGTGACTGTCGCTCGAGGTCTTGCGACTATCACTGCGACGCGCTTCTGCACGTCATTCGCTTCCGTTGGTTGCGCGCGCGTTCACTCTATGGGTGAATTGCGCAGAGAAGGTGAAATTATATGCGTCGCGTAGCGATTATATCAGTTCACATGATCAAGCAAGAGGGTTGCACACTCCGACACCGGGCTGGCTGCCCGGTGTCGACCAGCTTCGGCTGGGTCTCTGTCCTTTTTCCAGAAATACCGCATTGTCTTGGCTCGCCTAGATTTTGCGTTTTTTCCCACCCTCCCACCCGACTTGAGGTCGCGAGACCCCTTGCGGCACCCCTCGCAAGCCCGCCCTAGATATTCGGCGGTCCCAGTCGCGTCTCGCGGCTTGGGCCACCTCTATGTCCGGGGCATGGCTCTGTGGGGGTCGAGAGCCTGGCTTGCATGGCCTGCTACCCGTAGCTCGTTGTGCCGGCCGGGTTCTCTCTTAGCTGCCATTGTGACTGTCGCTCGAGGTCTTGCGACTATCACTGCGACGCGCTACTTCTGCACGTCATTCGCTTCCGTTGGTTGCGCGCGCGTTCACTCTATGGGTGAATTGCGCAGAGAAGGTGAAATTATATATCTATTTCAACTAGGTATCTTATATAAATATCTATATTATCTATATAAGATAAACCGAAATTTTTTTTTTTATCCCCCATGGGTAAGTTAGGGGTTGGGCACGTTACTGCCGTCATACGCACACTGATAATCCCCGATTGCGATTATGATATCAAATTCTAGCAATGCCATCAAGAAACAACGAGACTCTTGTGGCTTTTCATCCCAGTACAAATCATTTTTCTGTTGTTTGCAATTTATCGAAGATCCTGCTGAACCTTGAAGTGGGAGAAGAAGAACTGCAGTTCCGTGTTCGCGTTGGTCGTAGGAGTGGAAGTCTTTGCAGATGTGATGCGTGTGTGTGATGTGAGTAAGACGTAAGTCGTGTATCTCGTACTTACACACAGCAATGAGTAGACGCGTTTTCTTTAGTTTTGCGTAGCGACAAAAGGCAGCGCTAGCTTCTGGATTGGGAGTGAGATGAGGATGGGGCTGAGGGATGTCATGTTGCGTATGAGTTGCAAATGTGAAAATTTGTTTGAATTGTGGATGGCCCGCCGGGAAGCAGATACAAACAACATACAATGGGCCCAGGTTTTGAGCTTGTGGCAGTCGAATGAAACCTGGCGGGGCGCAGAAGGGCGGGGGCCGCTGGTGACTCGTGTCGGAGAGAGTTTTCTCCGAAACGCCGCCGCCCGTACGCGTCGCGGGCCCGCTAGCCTTCTGGGTAGCCGGCATCGCGTCGGGCCGCGACAACATGGCGCGCGCGTGTTCCTCTGTTACTGTTGTTGAGAGGGGCCGGCGGGCCCAGGCTCTGCGCTGAAGAGAAACGGCGAAGGAGATCAGGGAAAGCGCGCGCCACTTGGCTCCCCCATAATGGCAACGAAGCTGATGAAGCCCCGGCAACATGTTCGCCGGCAATCCGTAACGTGTGAAGCGGGTGGCGCCCCAGCGGCCGGCCGTTTGCCGGGCGCGGGCTCCCAGTTTTGTAGCCCACCCCGGGCGCCCGCCCGATGCGTACGGGGGGGCCCCTGGGCTCGTGCTGTTCTTGGCCCCTGGGCCGCTTTTTATTGGGGGGGCCTGGGCTCGTGCGGCCGGCAGCGCGGTCAAGCAAGTGCGCCGGCGCGCGCCCCGTAATAAGGCCCAGCAGCAGGTTGGTCGTGCCCATTTATTTTAGACTCCGCAGTGGCAGACACGCGTTGGCCCGGCGGCCGGACCAACGGCCGTGGTGGCTTAGCTCCGCTTCTATCTGTTTCGGGGAGGGGCGCACAGAGGTGATTCGGCCCTTTGTGTGTCCCCTAGCCTCGTGTCGCCCTGCTTGCCTTGGTTTTTTCCAGTGGGCATCGTTTTTCGATCTTAGTTATTGTTATTCGTCGTTGATGGCCACGTCGATCTGCAGTTGTTTTGTATGTGGTCGGCGCAGTGTTTGTAGTCGGTGAAGAAGAGCCTGCAGGTTTTGTTCGCTTGGATTGTAGTATTGCTCGTGATGGTTGGGGACCGAGACAAAAGGAAGATACAACTACAGGCAAAGCAGCTGACTTAGACTTGTACTAGCTGTTGATGTTGTTTGTACAAGCTGTGGAGCCTGTTGTAGTTGTTGCAGCCAAGAAGAAGTCGTGCGAAGATATGCCGCGATGGTTCTGAAGGTGAAGATGCATGGATGCCACCAGCAGTCGCTCTTTATTCTGAAGCATGGACGCGGAGGGATTCTCACTGAGGGATGAGCGGAAGAGAGGCGGAGCGCGACTTGCGTCCGAGTTGTTTTCTGAACATCCACCATGCACGCATTACGACTACTAACGCAAACAGCATCAAAACTTAGCCCGGTTGCGCCCCTCGCAATTGGGTTCGATGGGTGGGCGCGCATGCGCAAAGCCAAAGCGCGAGCGCGACGGCGTTATCTGGCGCTACCTAGGGCCCCGATTGTTCCTGCCGCCCGCGGCAGCTGACGACGGGCAAAGGGGGATAGGGCTCGCGCCCGCGGCCGACCGGGAAAGAAACGCACGGCGCGAGGAGGCCCGCGCACCGCCGACGCGGCTGCGCCCGCCCGTCGCCAGATAGGTGGGCGCGCCGCAGACGGCGCGCGCCCGCGCGGTCGACAGTGGGCTTTGGGACATGCAGCGGCGACTGGCCCCCCAGACATACAAGGCCCGCGCGCCCGCCCTTTGCTCGCGCCGTCTGTTGGCCCGGTGGATGGTGGCCCCGCCCAGCTCGTGCCCCGCCGGCCCGGGGCCGTTTTGTCTGTGTTTCCTTCGGGCCGTGTTTCCTTCGGGCCGACCAACTTACGCGCGGGGGGACGGGCCCGCGGGGGGCCCTTCCATCTCCGGCGGCTGTCGCGCACCGGCAAAGCCCCCGGAACGAACCGGAACCCCTGTGGGGCTGGCTCTTTCCCTCTCTGATGATAGCCGGCGAACGGCGCCCATTTTCCGTTTGTTGGAGCGCAGGATCGCCGGCCCGGACACGTTGCATGCTTGGCGCCCGAGTGCTTCCCCCTCGGCGCGCTTTTTCCAAGTGCGGGCCGGCGCGCCGGCGTTTTCGCTTGTTTCCCCCAGCTGCCGTCGATTGCGCAGGGTGTGGCGTCGCATTGCGCTAGTAGGGTGAGAAAGGTTGGTAAACTCAGCCGCCCCTGGGGGTGTGAGTTGTCCGATGAAGTTGGGGTTACAGTGTGCTTGCAATGATCGCGTCAACTACAACTGAATGCTGGCAGGCGCTCGGCCTACCATGTTCTTGCTCGCCGCGGATTGAGGGTTTGATGAGATGAGCGTGTTGCCATCATGTTATTGTTGGCGATTGGATAATTTGGAGCAAACCTACAGCCCCTTTTTAAGTTGATTCTCCATGCATTTGCTAAGTTGAGTGTGAGACCGAGAGCGACACGTCCAGACGTTGTAGGAGAACAGTATGAGTGGCAACCGGCTGAGCGGCTTCTCGCCTCTCAAATTTGCAGATCTTTTATTTGCACTCCATCGCCGCTTTTTGTTTATTACTTGGACGAGGCTCTTCTTCCTGTTCCTGCTTGTTGTTGTTTCGTGCTCATCACACAGTCTCCATAACCATAACGCACCGCGTTCGGGCCTCTAGTGTGAGGGCGTTAGTTCTCGCTTGAGGATGAGTATTTACAAGTACTAGGAAGTCGTGTGCCCGACCTGCCCCGACGGAGGACATAATTACATGTATCTTAGCCCACCTGTTCCTTCGTTCAACACGGGAAGGCTCTCTATCTCTATGTATGTTCTATGATTTCAATTCACAATGACAATGATGCCCGACATCGACCTTTCCATCTTTGAGCGCGCGCAAGCGCTCCTGCAGAAACCTCTGTCTCCAACCGTGGCAGAACGGGAATTGCTCGAGGGGCAACAAAAAAACCAGTCCGGCACGACGGGTTCTGGTACAACTTCATCCCCAACAGTGAGGAAAATTGTATCCTCCACCGGCGTGACGGGCGGTAGGAAGCAGGCTTCTGGCGCAGGGGCTGCTGCATCCCGATCGAACACAAGTTCTCCTTCGAAAGCAGCTTCAGCAGCTACTGGCGGAAGCAAAAAACCATTGAAAACCAACGCAGGTGGAAATAAAGCATCTTCTTCAACGAGGCCTCCGGGTCCGGGAACAAGCAAACCCGCAGCTCCTGTAGCTCGTAGTCGGGCGCCAACGGGGGACAGCGATAGTGTTTTCGACACAGGAGGTGCTGGGCAAAATTCTTTTGACGGAGACAGCAGCAACACTGGTTTTGCTTCTCAAAATGACAACTACTTTAACGACAGCTACGACGAAGACGACTCCAACCTCCACGTCCCAAACGCGTTGAGCATCCGAGAAGTGGCGCAGACGCTCGATACCTTCACGAACGAATTGAAACAGAAGGCGAACCCGTTGAAGAAGGGGGATCACTACCTCCCCGCAAATTTGCAGCACAAGGTGGGAAAAGTGGACGAACCGTTTTCCGAGGAAGCGCATAAGGAGAAGTTAGAAAAGATCAAAGAGTTGGAAAAGGAATTGAAAAGGGAGAAAAGGAATAAGAAAAGACCTGGACAATTATTGGTGGCAGGAGGAGGTGGGGCGACTTCAAATGGTGCTGCGACCAAGGCTCCGTCTTCTTCGGCTGGTGGAAGTAGCAAAACCAGCAAAAGCAGAGTGAATTATCCCACCGGGGGAGGTGCAGATGAAGATGGTCTTCATGGAGAGGAAGACGACAATCCTGACGACGACAGCTTGTTCACCGAGCCACTTCGTGCGAGGGACCGCAGTGGATCCACCGCCTCTAGCAGCACTGTTGCGACCGGTGTTGGCGGCGGGGCTTCTGGAAGTAGAAAGCAAGATACAACTCTTGCGAGTAAACAGGCTTCGAATAAACCTCCATTCCGCACGGGCATGACCGCATCATCGATGCCGGCACATCACAACAGTAACGGAGCTGCAATTGCAGACCAGCAGCAACCGCTGATCGAAATCGAAGACGAGAAGGTTGTGCGGTTACAGGAGATGACGCGGAAGAGGGTAAAGAGATGATCATGATTGTGATTCTGTTTGTCATGCGGTTGCAGCATGGGCCTCAGCTTTGTGATGCGAAATTGGGATGTTGCTGAATTGATGCGGCATACGAATGCTCCTTACACGTACATCAAAATCAAATCAGGTTCTTGACATCGACCGTCAGAAACGGGAGCAGAAACAGCAAGAGGAGGAAAAGTTAGAACTCGACCGACTCCGCAAGGAATCTCTCAACGACCCTGACCGAATCGTTCTCACCACCCAGCAGGAATCCAAGCAAAGAGTCCTAGAACGCAAAAAGCGGGAGAAGCAGGAGCAACTGGAGAAGGAAAGAAAAGAAAAGCTGGAAGAGCAGTTGCAGAAGGAGAAATTTGAGGAAAAAGCGAGAATTTTGCAGGAGAAAACGCGGGAAAGAGTGTTGGAACAGAAACTGAAGCAGAAGCAGGAAAAGGAGCAGAAATTGATCGAAATGGAACAGAAACGAGAACAGGACGAATTGATGGGAAATTTGAAATCTGAATTACTATCAGAAGCACAGCGATTGGCAATCGAGCGGTCGCGGGAAATTTTGGAAACGAAGCAGAAACAGGAGTGGGAAGAGAAGATGAGAAGAGACCGGGAGGAACAAGAACGGATTGAAAGGTTGAAGAGGGCCAGAAAACAGTACTCGCATTTGACAACAGGAGGCGGTGGAAACCAGAAAGCAGGCTCGTCGCAACTACGAGGAGGTGTTTATGCAGCTGGTGGTCAGGAGGACGCCGACGCTGATGCATACGAACCTCTTTCGACCCCGGGAGTTTCTGTTTCTGTGTCAGGAACAACGTCGTCTACTACAGCTGGGAACGGTGTTTCTGCAGCTTCCACCGGCTCTTCTGCAGCACCTGCTGCTCGTCGCGATCGGTACGCCAATGCCAGGGCAACAGCGCCACGTATGCGCGACAACGTAAATAACCAGCACAAGCAGCAAAACGCAAGGCCTAGTGCACCTGCACGCGTGCTGAACAACAATAAAGCGCGCTCTCCGACCGAGAATCTTCCAGTAGACGTGACGAAAGTCGTCGTAAATACGAACATTTCCGGGAGAAATCAGGAAGAAGACCAACTTTTCTTCCAGCAAAGCGACGATTTTGAGATCATCGGTGCCGTGAATCCGTTCTTGGATGAGGAGGATTTGCAAAAGATGAGAACCTCGTCTGACGTTGTACAAGCTGTTCCTCCTGTGGCACCTGCACCAGCGAGCAAAAATCTTCAGCCTGTGAAGCAAATCCAGCCAAAGAGCTTCAGTAGCATCAACACTTCCAACTCCTACAGTAACCGGCCGACGCCCAGATCGAAACTGCTTCAGGCTGGTACTAATATCCACAGCACAGTCTCAAGTCGTCCCAGCTCGGGCCGCAGCGGTGCTGGTGGCGCACCCCAACAGCATAACAAAGACAAACGGGCAATCCAGCAAGCCGCCCGGGCGATCGTTGCGGGAGCGGGTGGTGGTGGACAAGAACCGAGCAACAAAATTTCGAACAAAAACCTCTATGCATAGCAAGTATGTCTGGGTCTGGAAACTTGTGATGCTGGGTGGCGTATCATGATGAGGCCACAGGTGCTGACTCAGCATGACAAGTTTCTGAGCTTCTAAGTGTTGCCTATTCTGTATGACAAACTGCGTTTCCGCATGGCAGAAAAATGGAGCTCTTGCGTAACGCGCATGACAGATTCAAGAGTCATGCCAGACAAGCATGACAAACGTGCAGTCTTCCAGACCCAGACACTTTTGCACTTGATAACCTCATCCAGGGAACGAATCTTCGGAATATCAGCAGTCACGAGAAAGCTGTCCTGCCAGTGCCTTTACGAGCAGGCGGAACATCAAATCTTCACAGCCAAAACAACAGCAGAATCCACAGCGCGAGGTCGAACGCGTCGAGTAGCAGAGCAGTGAATAACCATCAAAATTACCAGAAAAAGCCCCCGCCACTGCCTTGTGAACTGGGAGAATTGTTGCAGTACGAGGAACAGGAGGAGTACGGGGTGGATCATGCCGTTTCTGCACGAGGAAGAGAAAGGCAGAAGGCCAAACAGGTTCAACATGCTGTCCAGCATGTTGACAACAACTTTTCCGACGACGACGACGAGTCCACTTCGGGGATCGAACCGGTGGTGAATCAAAACGGGAATTTCATCCTGCCCGACATCCGTGAGCCGGAGGAAATTCCGGAATACCTACGGGAAGACAAGGACGAAACTTGTCCGTTTCCGAAGTCGTTGAAAGCGTACCAGGAGTTTGAGAAGCAAAAACAGATGCGGAAGGAGATGGGATTGCCGAGTAGGGAACCGAATAGGGTTTTCACCGGGGCGATTAAACAGAATGGGGGTGGTGGTGGAGTTCAACATCTTCTTGGCGGAGGTGGGAACGTTGTCAAGGGGATGAACAACAATTTGAACACGAGTGCTGGTGTGATGGCAGGCGATGGACCACCACTTGATGATTCTGTCACGAAGAAGAGGGGACGAGCAGCTGCCAGTAGAGAACCACGACCAAAACCACATTTTGCGGTTGACGTGGTTGACAAATCTGCGGTGCTGGCTTCAGCGGCCGGCGTTGCGATTTCCGCACAGCAGGATCATGTGTCGCCCAGAACAACAAACACGTCAACTACAGCTCCGGGAGCAGGAGGTACAGCGAAGAAGCCTCCTGCGTGGAGAAAACAAAAGCCGATTGAAATGCCGTCTGCAGATGAGATTCTTAAGAACATGAAGCGGGCTAGGTCCGTGACGAGAAGTAGGGGCGGTGGTGGGAACGTCGTTGTGGGGTAGAAGCGGTGAAGGCTGCAGGCGCAGCTTTTTTGGCCTCTACTTTGTTTGCTCGGATGAATGGGGTTTAGGCTAGGCTGAAGGAAAAACTACAAAACCAAAGGACACAGTCGATTACACCAGCACCCATCGTGGCCTGACTATGAGGATCTTCATGGTATTGACCACTTGCAGTCAAATCCTGACTAGGACGTCGAGAAAGTTTGGTTCACCATCGCTGTTGCGGTTCTTCGCCATTTTCGTGCCTGTGGGCCGTAACCGTGTCTAGTCTGTTTTGACACTGCTCAAGCAGAAGATGAGTTTGATGGGATAATCACCAGGATTTCTCGATGTCGGCGTTTTCTCAACGAGGACAGCTTCGACGTTTCGTTGTCGTCGTGATGAGATTTTGAGTTTGAGAATGTGAGTGCGACGTCGAGCAGTTGGGTACTTATGAGTTTTGCATTTGCTAAGATAGAAGATGAGATGCTGCGACTGCGTGGTGGTGGAGTTGGGCTGCTGAGATAAAGAGTGCAGAGAGCGGCCACCGCTGTGTGTCGTGCAAGTCCTGTCTATTTTCAATAAGAATGCGACAACTGAACGAACTGACCGAAGTACTTATGTAAAAGCATTTGACGGCGGCGGCGCGCTCGTTAGGGCAGCGGCGGTGTGCCGGATAGAGTGCCGGGGGATGCCACGTTGCCGCCCACACCGCGCGCGCTCGCGCTGCCGGCGCCGTCCCTTACAAAATCAACAGCGGGCGGCGCGATTTGGGCGAAGAACGCAGCGCGACGAAGACGCTTCTGCGCCCACGACTGCAGGCCACGCCTCACGGGCCGGGCGGGCGGCTCTTGGACGATGTTCCGGACCGACTCGGACGCCGCAAGACGGCCACAGCTGGCGCCATGCCGATGGGCGGCGGCCCGCCCGAGCTTATTCACCGCGCCGGCCGGCGCGGCCCCTGTTTCGATGGTGCCGGCGCCGGCCCCCGCCGCCAGAAGTGCGGGCGCCCGCAGCCACCTGCGCGGATTCGGTTGGAAAAACACCAGCCGGCGCGAGGGGTTGGGTTGTGGCTCCGTGATGCCCCCCACCTCGCCCGCATTCTAAGAGTGGCCCGATCTTGGCCCCAGTGGCGCCCCTCAGCTGGTGTTGCGTTTTTATTTCCGCTCACGCCCCTCCCGACCGGCATGTTGATCGTGGCCTCTCTGCATGTACAGAAGCTGCGGCGACCGCGGCTAGTCGCTGCTCCCGCACAGAGCAGTCATCGCTGGCGCTGTGGTTGTCCTTGCCCTGGCAGGGCCGCTGCAGTTGCCTTCGCCGCCTGTGAAGGTTGGTCGGGGAGCTTGCTCCAGAGTACCGAGAGTGTATATAGTGGGCCAGCGTTGTCGCCAGGATCAGGAATCGAATTCTTCGAAGCCCTTTTGCGCCATATTGTAAGCTGAGGCTTATGCTGTCGAGGATCTCGTTCTCGGTTTGCGAGTCTTGTTCGCGGGTTGTTTTTCGATCATTTCCTACGTTAACCTTGTTGGAGAGCGCTAGGTAGCGCACCAGAGAGGAAATAGCTGACCTTCCAAAGAGCGGCTGAGACACTGTTGGTGACGAAGCTGAGAGTATTACCTGCCACGATGTGACGCTGGCGTTGTGGACATGAGATGAGGAGGCGTTGCGCTTGTCAGGGAGTGCATTCATATCGACAGTGAGGCTGGTGAATTTTCTCGATGTGCGCAGCTGCTAATCCAAGCTATCACTTCCAATTGCAGGCACGCAGAACATGTCTCCTGTTGGCGGGGGCGGCTAGCTTCGCGGCGCGAGAAAGTAGCGCTGTTGTCTTGGCTGGGCAAGAGCGGGTGCTAGCCTCTGCGGCAGCCCTGTGGCGGCGCGCGTCGAGGCACGCGCCGCCGGGCGTCTGCTCGCGGGGCTTGGCGGGGTCCGGCATGACCAGCAAGCGCGCCGCCGTGGCCGATCGGGGGGGCCGCGCGCAGAAGCATGGAGGAGACGAAATCCAATACGCGGGGGCCCGCCGTTCGGCAACATAATGAGGCAGGCGCGGAAGCCGAGCAGCCCGGCCGAAAAAGAACGCGGCGGGCCGACCCCTCCCCCATCGCCCGACCCCGCCCGGGCGCGCGCACGTGCGCCCGTAGCGGTTTGGTGTGTCGGAAGCCCCCTGCCTGGCCCGGGGCTTTTATTTCTACCCAGTCCGCCCGGCTGTGTGGCGGGCCGGCCGCCCGGCTACTTTCTTCTGATGGGGTCGCCCAGGGGGCGCACCCTGCCGCGCCTAGAATCTGCGCGAGCGTGCGAGATTGATTTATACGGCGGCGCCCCGATTTGTATGCGGTTTTCGTGTGTGGCGCATGTCAGTGCGCCGTGGGTGGCGCGAGTCAGTCTTTCTATCTGCCCGCGCGTGTAAACTCGATCAGGGCGCCTGATGTTGCCCGCGTTGCCTGTATAGCAAACAAAGAACAGGCGCATGCCGCTGCGCCCGGCTCTGTTGGTGGCGGCCGGGGCACAGGCCCCAGGCAGCCGTGAGTATGCTTGCCTGCCGCTGCACAGAGTTCTAGGTAGTGCAGTGTAGACCTCCAACAGGTTTCAGCCTGCCTTTGTGTTTGAGGTTGTGCTAGCTGTTGTAGCTCCCCTACTCCATCCATAAAGCGCATTCCATTGGAGGAGAAACTCGCAGTCGGCGCACTGGCAGCAGGCGCATGCTTGTATTGGTCCGTACGTCGTTGGGTTGTTGTGCCACATCTGTCTCAGAGAGCTTGAGTTTGACCACCCATGCGGCATAAATGCTCCGCAGGCTCCTGATGTGCTAGCGCGCTTCACTGAAAATCAAAATAAATCTCAGACAGCTGCTTGCTATTTCGGCGATTTGCAACGCCTGTACCTAGAAGCCGGTGGCAGCAAGAGGAAACTACAAATAGGTAAATCAAAATGTCCTTCCCCCAACAGCCCCCCGGTTTCGCTGGCGTTCGCCACCCTCCTTCCCTCACGGACGCTCTGGGGAGGAAGCCTTCCAACGGCGCAATACAGCCTGCAGAGGCAGGAGGAGCTAGTACAACTTCCGCCGGTGGTGGAGTAGAACAAACAAGCAAAAAGGAGAACGTCGGGCAGTGGCAGTTCACCGCTGCAAAGAAACCTGCGTCGAAAACGAAACCAAATGCTGGGCCGATTTCCGCCGCTGTTGTTGCACAGGGTGGCTCATCCTCCTCTTCCTCAACCGGTCCGTCCAGAGGCAATTCTGTACCGACGAGCCGAAAATCCTCGTCTGTCTCGCTTGGTGGAAATAATGCGATCGCAGCATCACAAGTTCCACTGCAGCAGCAAACAACCGTAACCTTTGCAGAACAGGTTGCCGCTTCGCCGGTTTTGGAAGTTCCGGAGCAGGACATTGTCGAGGAATCTTCGGTGATGTTTCAACAACAGCCAAACCACCACAGCATCAGCACGATCAGCTACGAGTCGACCTCCGGAATTTCGTCACAAGATTTGGTGGAACAACATCAGGGTTTGTCATCATCTGCAGCAGGCACGATGAAAATTAGAGCAAAACCACAAACAAACAAATCAGGCATGCACTACCAGGTCTCCCCCTTTCGCTTCGACCAGATTGAGCACTCGATCGAAGCGGAAGACGCGGCTTCCAAAATTCTCGCGGAGCACTCCATTCTCCTACCGAAACTAGTCCCGTTGGAGAGGGGAACGGCCGCGGCGAACCACAATCAAGCCATGAAGCAACGGGCGAATTCGTATGGCGCACCGGGTTATGCAATGCAAATGTGTTTGGGTCTGGAAGTAGCAGGATCCAAACTTGTCATGCTGTCTCTCGATTCTAAAGAATAAGAAATCTGTATTGCGATGACCAGCAAGAGGGGCCCAGATTGTGCTGCGCGGAGAGGGCGTTTGTCATGCGGAATACGCATCAGGAACCCTTCCAAAAATCTGTGATGCTAAGTCATGCACTACAGGCGTCATGTGTCGTGCAAGATATGTATGACATCTTCCAGACCCAGACATGTTTGCGTTGGATACGGCTGGACCAGGTTCTTCGTCGAGCAGTAGTAGTTCATCTTCCAGTGCTGGAGGTTTGGGACAAAGCAATCCGATGAACAACTACAACGTGCGGGCTTCGGAGCTCCGTGGCTTTACGAAATCTTCGCAGTTGTTGCAGGAGGACAGTTTGTTTCTGAACGACAATTTCGGAGGACTGCTCGCGTTTGGCGCCAACAACCACAATCAATCCATCACCTCGGCCTTTTCTGGGACCGACGACGGTGCTGGTTTGGATGGGAGCATGAGCTCCTCTCTTGTGAACAGCAAGCACCAGGAATATTTAACGAGCAGGTTGCAGGACACGGTTCTCCGGATCGTGTTGGAAGGGATTCTCAACATGCACCACTTTCAGGGGGATGACTTCGCGTTTTGGCTGCAGAACTTGACGCTGTCGTCGACGAATCATGTGGTGTTGGATTTGCTGCACTTAGCGTCGTCCTCAGCGGGGAAAAAGGACGATAGGAAGGAAGAAGAGGGCGGGAGCGCCGTGACGAGCAGGAGTGGGTCGAAGAAGGTAGTACTAGCTAAGCTGTATTTTTGATGTGCTGACGCATGACAAAGTCGGCGAGTGCTTTCTAGCCCGCATGACAAAATTTTCCAATGTAGTTCCATCGACCTTTGTGAACAATGAATGAATCTTACATGACGTACTACGATACCTACAGGCCACCGCCGATCCCAGCAGCGACAACCCCACCGGGAAAAAGGAGGACCGCTTAAAGCAGCGCTTTGACACCCTCCGCGCCTACCTCAAGGACCTCTCCAACCTCCGGCAGAAGCAGAATCAGAACCAAACCTACGATCCGAACAGCCTTCCCGGGGCGGAGGATGTTACGGAGGATCTGATCAAGCGGGATGTGACGTTTTTTGAACCGTTGCAGCACTTACCCGATTCAGCCCAGGAATTGACGAGGGAGATTGTCAGGGAGAAAATGAAAACCGTGGCGACGAAATTGACGGAGGAGTATTTGGATTTCATAAAATTAAAAATGAGTTTGTCATGCATGTTGACTGTGCATGAGCATGACTAAGAGGGAACGTGGTAGTGGTTTGCTTCTATTTTCCGCGTCACAAATTCCAAATTTCAAAATGCACGTATCTTCAAATCAGTTACACCCAGCGCATGAAGGACATGGAGAAGGACTACAAGGAGAAACTCATGCGCGCGAAGATGTCCAACAGTATCCGTTTAGGCGACCAGGCGGAGTACGATCCGAACTACGCGAACGGCGGGTACGGCTCCGGTTACGGATCCGGAGAACAGAACGTGATGGAGGCGTATGATATCCACAGTAAACAACTTCCGGTACGCGTACACATGCTGTTTGTAAATGACAAAACTAGCTGTCGAACCTATTCTGCATGACAAGTTGCATGCTCTAAGTTGCGAAAGAATTTGTGATGCATTTTGTACATGTGCGGGAAATTTGTGTTGCATACACGAACGGAAGATTCAACAGTTGGAGGAATTATTATCCGAACAAACGGAGAAATCCCGGCAGTTGGAGAAAAAGCACAACCAAATCGCGGATGTGAAGATCGATTTGGAGTCTTCGGTATCAAATGTAAAAATGTCTGCGTCTGGAATATTGCCAGGTTTGTCATGCACATTTTGCATGACTCCTGATGTCTGTGATGCATGCCCTAGCATCACAGATTTTGTGAGGGCATCCTGATGCCTATACCGCATGGCAAATGCCCTTTCCGTTGTAGCAAAACTTGGACTCTCTTTGCTGCTCATGCAATACAGATTTTTTTTTATTAGAGTCCAAAATCAGCATGACAAGTTGGACTCTTCCAGACCCAGACATTTTTACAGTTGATATTCGGTGGATATCTTCAAGCTGGAAAATTCGCAGCTGAAGGAACAGCTAGAGGAATTGCAAACGAAGATGAAAAATGCGGAGTTGGTGGACGAGTTGCTGCAGGAGAAGGACAACAACGAGAAAAAACTTCTGGATTACGAGATCGAACTGAAGATGCTAAGGGAGGAGTTGTCGGTATGATTGGAATTGCTTTTTTGCATGACAGAATGACACAGGTTTTCGTGTCCCGCATGACAAAATAAATTCGAAAATGAAAACACTTTTCTATCAGGCAAAGGAGCAAGAGCTCACCCAGGAGAAAGCAGAAACCATCGCGCAACGGGAACACGCCAGCAAATTTGCAAACGTGAAGGAAACCGAGGTAAGAGAGCAGTTTTTTTGAAGTCGTTATGCTTATGGTGCGGTGGTGTCACCTGGGCGCATGCAAAGTGAAAGTTTTGGTTGTGCTACGTAGCTCTCTTCAACTTCCTCATCTTGTTTCGCATCACGAATCAAAAAAATAACATCTATCAGGTCTACAAGCAGCTCGAATCGGATTTCAACGAATTGAAACAAGATTTCCAGCGAGAGCAGCAAACCAGCAACGCTTTAAAGTCGACGGATAAGGAGCTGAGACAAAGAACCGCGAAACAGGAAATCGATTTGGAGAAACAAAGGAAGAAACTGAAAATGCAAAGTATTCAGCTAGAAGAACAGGAAAAACTCCGGAATGACCTGCAGAAAAAAATCGAGGATCTCCGGAAAGAGATGTCGGCGATGCGGAAGACGCAGATTGAAAACCAGCACTTGATCCACGAAAACGAACAGAACAAGCAGAAAATACAAAACGAGGGGAGTAGTTCTGACGTGAAACAGTTCGCTGAGATGTTGAAGCAGAAATCCAGGAAACAAGAATCGGAATTGTTGATGCTGCGGGACGCGTTAGACCAAGTACACCTCCGGTTGGACGATCGGGAGAGGAAGTTACTGAACTTACAAGCGAAGAAAGCGAAGTACAAGAATTACTTGAAGGCAAAACAGGATAATAGTGGGGAACAGGTTTCAAATCTCTTCTCTTCCGGGAACAAGCCGAGTTACGGTGGCGGAAATCGCGCTGCTGGGATGAGCAACAACATGTTCAGCAACGCGAAGATTGCGCAGCAGAAGCAAGCTGTTCCTAGTCAGCACGCCAGCGTTTCTGTCGGGATTGATCTTTCGGACAGTGAATCGGATATATCCGAAGCGGGCTTTGACATGGACGAAATCCCGGTGAGGCAAAGCACGACGAGAGGATCCGGTACGGAGGACTACGACGAGGCAATAGACGTGGAACAGGAAGAGCCGAAGGTGGAACAGATTGCCGCGTCTTCTCCCGCCGCACCGGCCACTGGCACTTCGACAGAACAACGGGCGCAAACTGCAGATCCAACAACGGAGGAGCCACCTGTAATTCCAGAAGGATCCAGTGGTCCACCCCAGCAGCAAGTCCTGAACCGTGAGTCTGGCGGCGGCGTTGAAATCTTCGCAGCTGACCAGCAGTTCATCGAACAGAAGAAAAGCGAACAAGCACGAACCAGTCAAAACAACAAGCCTCCTGGTGCTTCCTCCCCCCCAAAGGGTTCCGCCCCGATCAAGAACAAATTCCCCCGGTATTCCGAACCCGCGATCTTTTCCCAGCTCTACACGGATTTTGTTTCCCGTTTGGAAAAAATGCGCGAGTACCGCGATGAGATCTGCCCGGCGCGGGAGGGGGTGTTGTTGAAGATTTACGAGGCGCAGAAGAAGATCGTGGAGTTTTTGGAGCCGCACAAGATCGAGAAGGAAAATCCGATGCTGGAGCAGTACCTCGAGGGGGAGGATGTGGACAACTACTACCAGAAACGGCCCTCGGATCAGTACGATGGTGCGATGCAGAACAATGCGACGATCAAAAACCGGTCGCCGTCGTTTCAACTAAACAGTTCGCCGGAGAGTTATTTTGCGGAGTTTGTCACTCTGTTGAAGAAGAAGGAACAGGAGCAGAGAAGAGGTAGTCATGCTGGAATCGGTGTGGATCCGCGGGCGGGAGGTGGAAATTTGCAGAATTCGTACAATACACCGTATCACCAGTACCACTTGAACGCGAAAAGTAAGCGGGAAAGGCAACAGTCTTTACCGGATATTCTGAAGACGAGGGGGAAGTGATGAAGAACAAGAAGGGAGGTTGTGTGGAAAGAAAAAATGCCATTATATATGTTGAGGCGCTTGTAAGATGAAATAAATTGAAACTGTCTACTACTTCAGCGTTTGTTCACATCTTTTTCAGAGTTTGAGGTTTAGGGGCAGCGCAGAAGCATTGCCTGAGCCTGTATCATGTTGCCAGTATTCAAACCGTATTTCACGTAGTACAGACAGACAGAACCGAAGCTTTGCGACGGCCGTAGTTTCAATTGTAAAAACAAGAAGCAGCTGTAGATTTATGTGCTCCTCGTATTCCGCATGAAATAACGCATTTCATTGTTAAAATTGAAAGTCACCAATGAACACTCTCAAAATGTTATTTGAAGGTGAGTTATCTTGGCCCGTTGATGATCGCGATCGCGTTTGTAAAATCTGAATCGTGCTGCGACTTCTGTTTTCCTGCGCTTGTTGTACGAATATGAACCACTGTGATGCAGAAGCTTGCTAGGCATTGATGATTGTTGAAGAAGATAAATCCGCGAGCGCGCGCAGTCTCGAGGCCACGGCAGCGACTCAGATAGTGATGCTGCACCGTGCCGACGTGACATTTGATCCCGAAATACACGACCACGCCGTCAGGTGTTCTTTGAGTAGGTGTTGCTGTTTTCCGTTTATTCGACAGAGCCTACGGCCGAAAGAAACACACGCGGAGGCTTTGTAGGTGGATGCGGCCTTCTATTTTCGGGCTTCTGGCTTGGCGCCAGGCCCCCCCTGGTCCGGGCTGGTGGTGTCCCTCGCCGCAGGAACCGAGGCAGGGCGCGAGGCCGTTGCCAAGATGTCCCGCCCCACAACTCCGGACGAGGTCGCGGGCAGGCTTCTCGCCTCTGGCCGACGCCGGTGAGGCGGGGAAACCCGAGGCGGGCCACCTGCAAGCGGCGGCGGCGTTCTGGGCCCGGCTGGAGCATGGCCCGCCCCCGGCGGGCTCCGCTCGCCCCCGCGGATGAGTAGGCGGCGCGACCGGCGGCCCAGTTTCTTCGTGAGCGATCCGCCCCGGAGGGTGGGGCGGGCCTTGTGTTTTGGGCATTGATTGAGCAAGGCGCCGGCGCAGCGCGCGGCCCGTACAGACCTGGCAGCCCGGGGGCGGCCGGCGGAGGGACGCGGAGGGACGGAGCCGATGTGGGCGGCGGCGGGCGGGCGCGGACTGCCCGCGCCAAATCCGGCCCCGGAGGAAAACGGGCCGAGCGCGTGCCGCAACAAAACTTCGCGCCCGTTCCTGTGCCGTGCGTGCAGGAGGCCCCGCGCGAACAAATTGCAAAGAAGCCCGGACGTCGCGCCACGCACCAGACCAGCCGGCGCGGCGCCGGGAAGGCCAAGCAACACGAAGGGGCCCGGCGCCGGCCCCGCGCTGTTGTAAGTAACTGCCCGGGGGCCTGCTTCAAGGGCTTGCGCGCGGCCGGGCCCCATCGCGCGGCCGGGCGGCGCGGCCCTTGGGCAGCCTTGTCCGGCCGCCCAGCCATTTGGGGGGCCTTTAGAAAGGGGGGCGGCTGGGGCCATCCGAGCCTGCCCTCTTTCGTGGCGCGGCGCGGTGGGTTCCCTTTCGTGGTATGGGGGCAGATCTTGGTCCCGCCGCCCGCTCGGGCAGTGCGGGTCTTCACTCTGTGTGTATGTTCTTCGCCCCCGGACTTGGTGGCCCCACCCCGCCCACCATTGGTCCGTCTCTCGTTGGGCTTTGTTTGGTGGTGGTAGGTGCATTCCCTTGCGGCGCCGCTTGTATTGCCTGGGTGGCCCGCTCATCAGGCGGATGGCCCATTATTGGGTGATGTGTGGCAGCTGCCCTTGTCGAAGTTGGACTCGGCGGCCCAAACCCTTGCCGTTCTGTGTAGTCGTAGCGGTATGCGTAAATGGGAAAAGTTGGAAACTAAATGTCGCTGCCCGAGCACCAAGTCGCCCTGCCCGTGCTTCCGTGATTGGCATTTGCTCTCGGATGATGCCGCCGAGGGAGAGATGAACGACATAGAAGAACGAGGCGCGTATCGCTAGTCATGTGGCGTATAATTGCCGTAGTGTGGTAGGGGGACTACCACGCCACTTTCCCTTGCAGGCAAAAAGCTAAGAGTGACGAGTGTGGCGTGGTGCGCTTCATTGTGGCGCAGCCTAGTTGTGACTGAGCGAAGGGCGCTTGCAGCTCCTGGGGCCAACAGAGAAGAGTCGTCCTTGTCGTCCTTCTAGTACTTTTTCACGAACAAGAATATGTATGAGAGAGCCGACCACTAGTAATCGTAAGCCACCCACTGCCACTTCAAAGATGCAGGCCTCCTCCTCCTCGTCTAGTAAGCGCCCGCCTGGAGCGGCCGTCAACAGAATCACGGCACGGGCACCAACGACAAATCAAAGCATGAACTGTTCTGCGCGAGAACCGCGAAGTGGCAAGAGCACTGCAGATGGCATTGATCATGCTGACGTATCTGTCAAACCAAAAGCTGAAGCTGCTCAAGGGAACTACAATACCAGCGCCGCAAGTAGTAGATCTTCTTCCATGAAGGGCAAAAAGTCCGCTCCTGCTTCAGCATCAAGGGGAAAGGCTGCTCGAGGTGCACAAGCGAAAGCCGCAGCTGCAGCAGCTCCTCGACCTGTTGCAGAAGCTTCTCAGCGTGCAAGAACAGCCAAGGCTCTATCTTCATCATCATCAAAAGTAGACGCGGTCCCATCAAGCTCAAGCAAAGCAAATGCAAAAGCCAGTGCTAGGCCGAAGGCTACAACGAGGAGTAAAGCTCCTGTATCTTCCGCTGCCGCAACAAGAAAGACAACAGCTGCGAATTTCAGTAAGAAGCGAATAAAACTGAATCCTTTAGAAGAACAGTTTCTGCTCAACCAGTTGGAAAAGTCAACGTCTTCGGAGGTAGAAGACCAAGCGGATGAACCGCAACTAAAACTCAACGACACGGACGATTTTTTCCCGGTAGACGACCAGCATGCGGACGATGAAAATGTTACACGTGGCTTTGTTCCTGTTGGGCGAGTAGGAGGTGGAAGCAAATCGTCGAAAACCGCTGCTGCCGGGTCTGCACGTCGTGGCCCATCAAGTGCGATATCAAACAAGCGCTCCGCCGCGAAAACACAAGCCGCGGGAGGGAAGAACACCAGAGACAAGCCCCTGCTGCTGGCCTCTGGTGCAAGAACCGATCGTCCAGACGATGAAGATCTCGCCCAGGTTCTTGGCGCCCTGGGAGACGACGCTTTTGCCGAAGATGCGCTTGCACGAAAGGCGATGGGGATGGATGAAGATGACGACGTTGATGATGATGTTGATGATGACTTTCTTTTGGATACGAACAAGAAGCAGCGAAAAATGATGAATACCAAAGCAAAAGGAAAAGCAAAACCAAAAGCGAAGGCTGTAACCACCTCTACTACTACTGCCAAGCGCGGCAAGAATACAACCGCCAGTAACGAGAAGAACCACGTGACCTTCCTCGCCCAGCTAGACGCCGCGTTCGGTTTCAAAGAAGGTAGTGAAGCCCAGGATGAGCAGGGCGTGAACCAGAAGCGGATTGAGCGGCTCGCAGCAACAATGAAGAAGAATGAGGAGGAGAAAATTTTTGTGCAGGAAGGAAAAATCAACATGGCGGAGGATTTAGCAGTAGTTTTGGAGAAAAAGAAAAAGAAACGCCGGCTTTTATTTCCCTCCGACAGCAGCTCTCTCTCCATCGACAGCGACGACTCGAAGTACGACGAAAAAGTCGAACAGATTACCCCCCCTAAATTTCCTGTACATGTACAGATGCGGTTTCTGCATGACAAAAGTTTCCTTCGTTTCTATTCAGCATGACAAGTAGCATGCTCCAAGTTGGTGACATTTGTGATGCGTTTTGTACACGTACAGGAAATTTGTATTGCATACAGAGGAAGAAAGAACGCCTGTCGAAAGAGGAGAGGGAAAAAGAAGACTGGGAGCGGTTTATCAAACAAAAAAGTGTTAACCCTAACAGTTTCTTTGCACAGAATGCAGTCACGCATAACAGATTTTGCCTAATATGCATGCTATGCATGACAAATTGGGGCGTGTTTTGATGTGATGCGTCACTGCATTACAAATTTCGTTAGCGTTAACACTTTTTTCTGTGATACGGTTTGAGAGGAAATTAAACAGCTTCGAGCAGTACCTCCATGCGAAGTTTGCGGCGAAGGCAATTCAAGAGTACCAGAAATTGCGGGCCGCGAGAAGGGGCGGTGGTGGTGGTTTGTTTGGTGGTGCAGGATCAGTAGCAGCAGCAGCCTCTTCTAGCAGCAGCAGCAGCAGCAGCAGCAGCGCAAGTTCCATCCTGTTCCCCGCGTTCCAACACATTCCGATGCCGAACGACTTGAAGCCACTCCTGACCCTCGATTTCAAGAAAACGTTTTTCACCAACTACACAATCCCGCAAATTGTCGCGAAGGATCGCAAACTATTAGAAGCGCCCGGCGTCGCCTGCAGAATCACCGACGCGTCGAAGAGAAAAATCGTGAACATGATTCAGGACCGGCAGTGGAAAAATACTTTCTCTTTCGCGGAACGGGTAAAGAAGATTGACGGTCTGGAGGACGTGATAGAAATTGTGCGGAAGCTGGATTTCAACGATTTTACGTTTGAGGGGTTGGAGAAAGAAGTAGAGGAACAAGATATTGCTGGCGGTGACCACAACGACATCATCATCGACCCTGCCACCGGGGAGTTAATCGTCCCCGAAGGGGAGGAAGTCTACGACCCTGCCAGGATGTTTGTGGACCCAAAGAAGGGTATGCAATGCAACAGTATCGTACTCGTGTAAATGCAATTCTTGCATTACAAATCTTGTTCCCAAGGCAAATCTGCATTACATCATACTGAGGAAATTTGTATATGCAATTTCTACTACTAGTACTACGATACTTTTGCAATGCATAAAAGGCTTCGTCGGCCACGATGCGATTGACTTCGATAACAAGACAAAAAAGGCGATAAGAGAAAGGCTGAAAAAGATGGAAAAGTCGTTTGAGCTGATCACGCAGCGGATTGTGAAAGCGGTGCGGGCGGTAGGTCCTCGCGCGGATGATGATGAGCCAGATCCTGGAGAAGCAGACGCAGGAGGAGTTGTGACTTCGTCCGTCTCCGTTGCTTTGACAAGCTCTACAAATAAAACGATGGCCGGCGCTGCGACATCTTCTGTTGCACCCAAGAGGAAGAAACAAAAAGTCGAAACGCTGCTCCCCCTCGAAGAAGATGATGATGACGAGGACTTGCTTCTGCAGCAAAATGACAGGAGTGCAGCATCAACTCAAGGACGAACCCCTAAAGAACCCCCCGCTCAAAAAGTAGAAAAGTTCGCCTACCGGGACGATGAGGAGAAAACTCTTGCCGACTTCATCCACGAGCATTTAATCACCCTCCGGGAAAAAGTCGTCCGCGCCCAGATAGCGCAGGTCGCGAGGAAACAAAAAGACGACGAAGAAAAAGGCAAAACACGCGAGAAGCAAATCCGGAAGCAGGAACGGAAGCACAAGAAGATTCAGGAGAAGATCCGGCAAATGAAATCCAAGGGCTTGCACTTACGCGACGATTGGGTGGAACAGTCGAAATACGAGCTACAACAGAAAAAACTCGCGAGAGCAGAGCAAAGGCTTGCGAATTTTAGGAGGAATAAGTTTGCGAAAAACAAGCCTAAGTCTTCGATTGACCAGGATATTATCGCCGATTCGGACGAGGACAGCGGGAGTAGTGTAAGATCCACCTCATCTTCCTCCTCGGACAGCGACAAGAATTCCATGTTAGATCCGGATCTGGAAGAGAATTTCGGACATTTGTTGGACAAGAAGGACAGGGAAGAACTGGAAAAAAGCGAGAACAGCAGCAGTGCATCGTCTGATTCAGATTCTGGTGGCTCTGATGTTAAAAATACCGACGGCAGGAAGAAGAAAAAGAAGAAAAAGCGAAAAAATAGAAGTGGTTCTACTTCTTCTAGCAGCAGCTCTGAGGGGGAAAACAAGAACCAGCGGGTTCCCATCCCGGAGGATGTTTTCAACACTGATAGTGATAGCGACGACGACAGCGAAGAGCTCGTAAGGGTGCCGCTTTTTGGTACCAGTGCTAACACAAAGAAGATCAAGAAGGAGAATCAGGATAACGATACGGATAAGGATTTATTTTCCGAAGAGGACGAGAGCGACCAGATAGTCACCAGTATTAGTAAAAGCAGAAAAGCCCTGACGAAGACGAAGATCAAGAAGGAACAAAATCCGGATTCCGACGAGGACATGGAGGATGTCGAGGATGAGATGATGCGAGGTGCGAAACCTGCGGCTTCGCTCTTCGGCACCAGCACGTTGATGTCGTTGGCAAAAAATACGAAGAAAGGAAAGAGTACTAGCACGACCAATGCGGGGGCCGCCAAGAGCATGATCGACGCAGCGTTAGTACAACCAACCACAAAGAAGGAAAAGAAACCCCGAAAACCCGCTCTCACCGCGGCTGAGAAAGAAAACATCCGACTGGCGAAACTGGAACAAGAAGTCAAGTGGAAAAAAGAGAACGACGTCGCCTGGATGAACAGGCTGAATGAGGAGGAGGCGTTGAAAATAAAACGAGAAAAAGAAGAAGTAGTCGATAACGCCTTGCGAGCGATTTTAGAAGAAGCTGACTACAGTCCGAGCCTGTTGAACAGGATCGACAGAAACGCCCGCGCAGCTTTAGCGGAGAAATTTTACGAGCACAAAGACATCAATTCGGTGCTCGAGATGGTCGCGCAGGTGGACGAGGAAGCTTGTGAAGAAGAGTACATTTTCCAGGTAATCGCTATCGAGCAGGAACAGAAAGAGCAGGAGCGGAGGGAAAGAGAATACCCGTTTCTACCGGAGCCCGTGCGAGACGCGTTAAACCCGCAGGAACTGATTCACCAGTACGAACGGAATCGGATGGAGCAAGAAGAGGAGGAGGTACGAGAAGACTACAATCGCTCTCGGATGGCGAGAGAGGACACAACCGTGCAGGAGAACTTGCGAAGGAGGAAACTTGTGTTGCTAAAGCACCACATTGTGTTCTGGCAGAAGCGGAAGTTGTACAAGAGAATGAAATTAGTGAAAGCGCTAAGGAACGTGATTTTCTACGAATCAATAGTTTTTCCGCGGTTTTTAGCAGCGGAAAGGAAGAAGGCTTTTCAGGACAAGATGGGGTTGTGGGGAGGTCTTCAGACCACGGGAAAGAAGAAGAAGCAGAAGGACATGATCAAGGCGAAAACCACCAACACTGTAGAAAACGGGGCCGGCGGCAATGTTTTGAAAGATTACAAGATCTGCGTGAAAATTCCGTTTCCGAACGACCCGCACCGCGATCCGAAAACCAGTCCGTGGGTCATTTCCTTCGGGAAATACCGTGCGAAGAAGGCCGAGAAGATTTTGGCCAGGAAAGAGGAGAAAATGAAAAGAAAGCGGTTGAAAACAATCAACGACATCAGAAATGGATCTGGGCGCGGAGTGGACGCGGCAGCCACAGGAAGTGTTGGCGGTGAGAACAAAAGCTCCAGCATCCTTAACCGAGCTAGGCAGAGCAGTGACGCTGTTATAGTTGCAGGTAAGTCCGTAGAAGATGAAGGCTCCCAGTGGTCAAAGAGCTTGTCCGACGACTCATCTTCTTCTTCAGGGAGCTCCGGAAGTGGTGAATCCTCTGCCGATGACAAGTCGCCGGGCCGACGTTCCGATTCTTCCACAACTTCCTCCGTGTCAGTGACTTTCTCCTCCGAAAAATACTCGTCCTCCGAAAATGAGGAGGAAAAGGAAGAAAAGCAAAACAACATCCGCAGGCTGAACAACTGGAGAGCGAGTTTCAAAGCCGTTCCGTTTGATAACAGCGACGATTCCACGGGGATGAATCACGCTATTTCGGATGACGAAATTTCTGATGCGAGCACGCCCAGGTCGGTGCGGGATGGTGTGAGGAAGTTGCGGAGACTACTCGATGCGGAGGGGCGGTCTGCGTCTGAATTTCGTTTATTTCCGGATGGGGAAATTGCCGAGCAAGGAACGGAGAAACGGATAACCATGAAAGCCTTGGAGGATAAAGCGGTTGACATGCCGTACCATATCAGACCACAATGGAGCGAAAGCAAGGAAGATCAACTAGGTGATGCTGTACTAGTTGCAGAATCGACATCTTCGCAGCTGGGTGGAGCTGCGCGGCATGCCGCTTCTCATGTAACAGCTGGAGTCATGGTACAGAAGCTGGACACAGCAAGAGCTGCAGTTGTAGAAGCTTCGGCAGAAGCCGCTGTGCTTGGAGGAGCTGCAAGCGGCTTCGGAGAAAATGAAAGCGACCAGCAAGACGGATCGAGTGTCGCAGGAAGTTGTTCAGTAGCTGTTGATAATCAACCCCAAACAACCGCAGCCGCCCACGCAGTCTTCAACGGCCGGCTGATCCAACTAGCAGAAGACGTGGTCAGTGAAAGGAGTAACAGGAGTAGAAACAGCAAGAGAAGCAGTCGCAGGTCCTCGTCGCACAGATCCTTCGAAAGGATGAAATATCTGCAGCGGCCGAAGAAAATCCAGAGACCGGTGGTTGTGGATATGCATTGCAAAAATGTCTGGGTCTGGAAGAACGCAACTTGTGATGCTGCATTTGGATTGCAAAAAAAATCTGTATTGCATGAGCAGCAAAGGGAGTGTGACTTTTGCTACGCGGAGAGGGCATTCGTCATGCGGAATAGGCATCAAGACGCCCTCAAAAAATCTGTGATGCTAGGGCACGCATCACAGACATCATGACTCATGCAAAACCTGCATGACAAGTCGATCGATTGTGCCACTAGGGCCTTGTGTTCCGGCTACTCCGGATCGCAATCGATGGAGGGCGGGACCTGCACCGGCGACAGGCGCTACCCAACCAACCAACCAAGTCTCAGAATCTTCCAGACCCAGACATATTTGCATTCCATAGTGGAGCCTGCACAACGAAACGACGATGTGTCGTCCTTCTGTTCTTCGTCTTACGCTGCGTCTTCGGAATTATTGGTGAAGACCGCGAGGACCAGCCAGAACGGAAAGCAAGGCAGCATGGCAGATGACGACTGCTCTTCGCAGCAGGAGCAAGACAAGTTAGCGGATTCGGACTCCGACCTGGAAGACGATTCTTCTTCCGGCGGTTCTTTCGCCTGGTCGGATTGTGAAGGGGATTCGAACGAAGAGGAGAACGATGAGAACCCCGACAACAAGAACACCAAAACCGATAGTACTCTCGAAGACAAGCTTCGCCCAAAACTAGTCGACCCGCAGAAGATTCTACAGCAACACCAGGAGCGGATAATGTTAATGATGCGACAAGGAGGAAAGATGAACCAGGAGCACATGATGCACAACAAGCATGACATCAAAAACGATGAAACCATCTACGTGAAAACGGGCGCGGACCGGTTTGGCGGGCTCACCAAAGACGGGTCTTCCATGTTCGAACGCAACACTGGGGAGATAATCGCCGTGAAATTGAAAGACTTGAAGAACTCCGACCAAGACGATATCATCGATTTCGGCAGCATGAGAAAGCACGAATTTAACATCGAGCAGGAGCTGAAGAGAAAAAGACAGGACCACTTCAGCCGTTTTCTCGCTTGCGAGTACCGGGTTTTACATTGGGAAGTCATGGAAGACTTGAAACGGGTGAATTCGGAGTTTTTAGGGGAAAAGGATGAGGAGGAGCAGCGGGAGTTTTTAGAATCCGTTGTTCAGAAAATCGAAGAAGCCGGCATTTTGAAAGTCTTCGACACGACGCTGCATGGATTTGAGAAGAATTTCGACGTTGCGCAAGTTGCAAATGCGGTGGGGAACATTCTAGATTGGTGGGAGGGCATCATGTACTCGAAGGAGCAGGAATACCAGTCGTTTGTGATGGGGTGGAAAAATATAAAGCATGGAAGACAAGAAAAGGAAGAGAAGCGGAGTAAGCAGGTCCTCGAAACAAGAACCGCGGGGGCTGAAGATGTCGAAATGCAGAGCGGCGACGAGCAGGGAGCTGGACCTGGTGTTTCCGCCGTCGCTGCCGCTGCGGCCGTGGAAAATGCTCGCATGAGGCAGGTGTGAAAGAGTAGTAGAGGAACAAGATAAAACGTGTGTATATTCAAGCTGAGCCCTACTTTGTTCATAGACGCGGCTGCGCAACACAACCATGAGCTAAAGAAAAAAGGCTGTGGTCACGACCACGCCGATTCTTGTAAATCTAAATTGATGACTGGAAGAATGACTACGTCTAAAACATGTTTCTAGTTGTACCACTTTGCGTTAAGTACTATAATCACACAGAACACAGATACTGACGGCGTTCAAATATGATAACACGGACGTCCATGTTAGAATAAGATTTAGATATACGTTGTAGCGCATATGAATTTATATCGGAATTATACCAAGCACGTTACATTTTGCCCTAGGTGGTCTGAGAAAACATTGCAGCGCCAAGGCCAAATTTTGCATCCGCGTGAGTTACTGACATGGTTATGAAACGAAATAAAGCAGAACGAAGGACGAGAATGAATGCACATGAATTTACAGAGGTGTATGTCGACGACAACACTCTACTAGCGCCAAAGGTGTTGGCGCAGTCGGTCCTCCAGTGTTTCCTCCTATTCCTCGATGAGCTGGGGGTCCCCTACGCGCGGCACAAGATTCAGCTTGGAGAAGTAGTCGAAGTTCTCGGTCTGGTTTTCGGCTTCAGCGGCCCGATCCCGTGCTTCTACATCTCGGAGAAGAGAAAAGCACAAGTGTCCGCTCTCATTGATGCCGCGTTGGCCGCGGGCGAACTGCATCAACATCAGGCCCAGCGACTGCAGGGCAAGGTGATGTTTATTTTTAATAGTTTAGTAGATCGCGCGCTCAATCCAATTTTACGGCCTCTGATCAACAGGGCAAATGATGTCGCCGTGTCCTCCACGATAGGGAATCGCCTGAAGGATTGTTTGCTCGCCGCTCCAGGCCTATTCTTCGAGGAAGAGCTTATGTCAGATGACCAAGACTTTTTATCGAAAATTCTAGCAATGCGCCCAGTCTATGGGGCAGTGTCTTCAAATTCATATTTTGAAGATCTAGATTAACAATAATGCAGAAGCGTCGTGGTTCATTGTGCATCCCGTGTCATAAAAATTGGAAAAAATACCTGTACAATCCAGTCCGCATAGCACTCAGTAACACACATGACACATTCTCAACAAAAAAAAAATCGTAGTAAAACATCAATCACCGCATTCTCCTCAAGTCAAAAATAGACAAGCTAAATGCAATGGCTCGCAAGTCCAGCAGGGATCAGTGGTTTTCCGGGATTCAAGATAGACACTGACACTCTGTTCCCTTCTGCCGCGAAAGAAAAATCAAACGAGAGTAAAAAGCCGTCAAACCACTTCACAACAACTGTCGCTTCAAAGCGGATTTCGAAACGAGAAGTAGTGGGAGAAGGAAGAGCGGAGCGTCTTCCGTGTCGCGTATCAAAGTGAAAAAATCTCGCATTGCACCAATAGCGCCTTGCATGACAAATTTGCATAAAGTCCTCCTTTGCTTTTTGGCAGCGCTTTTGGATTGTTATTGGTGCAAAATCGAGATCTTTTTGCGTCGCATAGCTCTTTTCGCCACCAGTTCTTGAAAACCGGAAATCAGTAGAGCGGTGTTAAAGCAGAACGAAGGACGAGAATGAAGAATGCACATGAATTTACAACATGTACAGGAACTTCAAAACGAAGCATTACCATAACAGCGTTCTGCGCGCACCGCATCACCGGCAGCGGCGAAAAAAAAAAAAAACATTAAACATTGCGTTTGCGACTAGTACGTCCACACGAGCCAATGCTCCTGCGTTGATGCAGTTGGAGCTCTGCAATCGACCTTGTGCAGCTGCAGCCGCTCTCTTCCTGAATTCTTCCCCATTTTGGCTCTTGCGTCACAAAATGAAGATCTTGATCTACTTTTTTCTTCTTCCCACAAAATGCACGTCTTTTGCTCTCTTCCATTTTTTTTTACAGCAGATGATGCGCTTCCTTGGAAGTCTACTTAACTCAAAACAAGACTTCCGATAGGTTTGTGCTCCGCTGCACCAAGACAAACTCAAAAAAAAATAGGCCCTCTGTACATTTTAGATTTTTTCAACGACGACCTTTACAAAAAAAACCAAAAAATACCCTTTTGTACCAGTAAGGTAGCAAATATTTCTGCTTCTCCAGTAAAATGTGTCCGCTTCGCGCCATCTTATTTTCCTTTTTCCCGATGTGTGGCAGTAGAAGTCCTCTTCCGTGTCTTCACGACGAGTAGTCTTCAGTGTCACTGAAGAGCAAGAAAGCTACATGCGGGACTTACAAAGGCTATAATACTGCGCCGGACGCGAGCTGTATTTTCTACGCGTAAAGAAGAAGACAACATGGTCGACATTAAAATGTACTTAAAAGACGTATCACTATCACCATTACCAAGCTCGCCTTCGGGCAGCCTTATATCATTTTTTCAAAAATAAAAGCGAAAAACAAGGAAACGATAACGAGCGACAACTTCTGCGACAAGATGGCCAGCAAACGGTTGGCAAAGATTTTCACCAGTACCTTCTCGTGGGGAGGTACTTCCACGAATAACAGATCTACCACGGCCTCGTCCTCCTTGTCTTCCTCAAGCCACAATCAAGAGCAAGAACTTTCGCATCTTCCTGGCTCTCCCAGCTCTTCCTTGGGGTCGCCCTCGTCTTCCCGCGGAGCAGGTCAACAAGACGTAGCCGCGGTACAAGAACCCTTTCAAGGGCCATTATTTCCCTCCACGGCAGAAGAAGGAGGAGGAGGTGGGCAACTGCTCAACACCTCCGATGCAGCGCGAGCTGCAGCTGGCACTGCAGCTGCAGCAGGCGTTTCTACTCTTTCCTCGTCGTCATCCTCCGGAAATAATAAACCTAGTAGCGGCACCAAAGTCGTCGTGCCCCCAGGAACCATCGGCAAAGCAAGCGCAGATGTGGTCTATGATCACCTCGAAGGCAATCACAATGTTTTGGAAGGAGGGCACCAGTACCGCGGAAAAAAGAAGATGTCTGAGGATCCAAAACTGCTCGACGGCGCGGCGATAGGACATCCACCGACTCAAATGTATATGCGTTCATCTTCTTCCACCTCTGCTGCAGATGAACATCAGAAGCAAAGTGTCGACCACGACCACGTCGATCAGGAACTACAGCAATTTCGTCACTTATTTCCCATCCCAAGCGGAGAATCCGCGGTGGATAGTGCCCTATTTGCCGACTTTGATGAAGAACGAAGTAAAGCGGCATCAAGCTCCTCGGCAGGAGCAGGAGCTGTGCAGTTTACTCCGGATGAGCCGCAGAAGTTCTACTTCCCTGGCGGGGATGAAGCAAGTAGGACCCAAGAACCTACTAAAGGTGGTGCGGAGCTGCATGGTGTCGCTGCTGCCGTACAAGATAAAGACCACGACACAACCACCGACGCGCCGCACGAGAGCGCTGCACCAGCAGATGAAGAAACGGTTCTTACAAAGCAAGCGTTACTCCACCCTCGAACCTTAACCGGCGGCACATCCTCCAGTGGAAAACGAAGTCGGGACTCTACCCCCGGGAGGATTAAAGTGAGCACGGATTTTATCCAGGAAAAAAAGTGTGTAAGTGCAACTTTCTTGGAGGAACAGCAACACAAGTTTGCTCTGGCTCTGGCTCTGGCTCTGCATGAAAGAGAAAACCTCTCATGCGTGGCTTGTAAGGGAAAACGCAATTGAAAAGAGGACTTCATGGTTGTCTGGCATGACAGGCGTAACTCTTTTGCATGTTCTGCATGACAGAGTTTACACTATACGCACTTTTTGTCTTGCATAGATTTGAGAAAGGTCGCTCCGGAGAATTTTATGTCCGTGAAATCCGAGGGCGCGGATCTGGTATCCTGTGCAAAAGTATCGTATTCGTATAAATGCAAGTCTTGCATTACAAATTTCTTTCTGAAGTTAAATCCGCATTACAAATTTCATTTCTCATGCGGAGGCAATTTGTCATGCGATTTATACTAGTACGATGCTTTTGCATTTCATATCTGGACGACAATGATAAAAAGACGTCCCCAGACAAGTACAGCAGCGCCGGGTCTGACTGGAGTAAAAGCGCGGACGAAATTTTTCAACAGCAACAAAGAGCCGCGGCAAGTGCTGCGAAGATGGTGGAACAACAGGAGATGGTGATGAAGAAACAACAACAAGAGCAGCATGTTGAACAAGAAGCAACTACAGGCCAAATTGTTCCTACTGCCGCCAGAAGTGCAGCTGACAATAAACAACAGGATTCATCATCGCAGGAGAGCCAGATAATCCCGAAAGCGAACGTGAATGGCTTCATGGAAGTGGATGGGTTAGGACCGCCGGACAATGGCGATGGGTCCGGAGCGAATGACGTACTGGGACCGAATTCATCTTCTTCGTCTTCCTCTTCTGGCAGCGAGGACAACGAGAGCGATAACGAGAGCGACATGTCCTCTGAAATAAGTGGAACTTCTGGCGCGAGTTCTTCGCAGCGTGGGTCCTACCAGGGCTCTGTTCGCGGACTGGGGGATGACGCGCCGCGCTACTACAAGGGGTCGGATGCGCGCTCGGTTGCGGCGTCGGTCAGTGACGATGGAGACAACGGTTGTGAAGTTGACGACGACGCTATGAACTACATGTTGACCACGACCGGGTCCTCCCCATCATCTGCAGCAGGCTCCTCGAGTAGACCCCATTCTTACGGTGCTAGAAGCTGCTCTAATGCCTCGAACTCTACCGCCGCATCTTCAGCCGCGCAGCGACGGGCGGCCCAAGCGACGTCGGGGACTTTTTCAGCTCTGTACAAGCGGCACGGAAGTATTTCCGCGGAAAATAAAGCCGCCGTGTCATCGTTGCAGGAACAAAAGGAAAAGAAACTAGTTTTGGAGGAAAAGAAGCCAGCTCATCATGCTGGTGGTGGACATCATCACAAAAAACCAGCCGATGGCACAACTAGCAAAAATAAGCAGGCTGGTGCGCATCACACCAAGACATCCGGTTCTAGTTCTTCTAGAAGGCACAAATGGGAAGACGATCGGCAGTCGTTTTGCGCGAGTAGTTGTAATAACAGCATCGTGGACTCGGATACTTCCTCCGAGGCTGAGGGATTTGACTTGCAAAGGCTGCTTCGCGGCGGAAGTACTTCTGGCACTGGAATGTCGGTGATGGACATGAGCAGTATGATTCAGGGCATGACGAGCAACTACAACTCTGATACAGCGGCCGGTCGTGCTGGTGGAGGTGCCAACGACGACGACAATAGTAGCTGCGCGTCGGGTTGCAGCAGTGATTCATCTGGGGGGGAAGAGGAGATTAAGAAAAACAAAATTAACAAAGAACGCAAAAAACCTACGGAAGAAGTGAAGCATGTGCATGCCAAGCATAAGCAAAAACCTGATGCTCAACGTCAACGGTCTCAAGACGACACCAGCGACCGGGGACGCACCAGCAGTCGAAGTGGCAGCAAGAAAACCAGCCGGCGGGAACAAACTCGAACAGAAAACTCTTCGGAAGATGACGCTGACAGCGACACGGAGAGCGTAAGAACGGACAATCTCCGCCAATTCGTGAATGCTCTGCGTCTTAAGAAGAAAGAAGGAGAAGATGCAGGTGCCGACGCGAGAACTTCTGCTCATACTCCTAAAGATATTTCCAGACCCGTAACTGCCGAGGTCACGGAGGTGCATCAAAGTTTTGCTTCCTTCCTTACAGAAGGAGCTGCGGGAGGTGGAGCTCCTCAAGTTGCAGGAGGCTCTTCTTCTTTTACTCATTCGGAAAGATCTTCTTCCTCTACCTTCCCTCGGCCGACTGGTGTAACAACTGCAGCCACCTCTACTAGTAATCTCAGCGGGTCCACCTCGAGATCCTCTACGAAATCGTCCGAGCTTTTGTCATCTAGTAAAGCCGGTACTTCCACGACCAGTGATGGGAATAAAACTTCTGCCCAGAAAAGTGAAAAAAACCGACCCCGGACAAAGCCGACCGGAAGCAGCGGGTCTTCCACGCGTGGGGCAAGAGGAGCTCCTGGAACTACATCCAGTTCTTCTTCGTGTAGTGCGAAAGGTGCGGCTCCAGCGGTCGCATCTTCCAGTAAATCTTCCACCGCCGCGGCGGCTGCGGCCGGGAGACTGCTCGGTACTGCTGGCAGGCCCGCCTCAGGCGGACGCGGAGGGAGCAATGCAAACGCGAATGATCATCCTGGAGCGAATCATGCGAATACTAGATCCGCATCTTCAAAATCTTCAGATCCCGTGTCAGCGCAGACGAAAAGGAACAGTGCCGAGGGTGCGTGTGCGAAGAACAGCACTACAAATACTTCTTCTACTGATAGCCCGAATAGCACATCTCGTAAGAAGGCGAGCAAACTGTCAGATTGCCAGGCCGCGGAGGCACAGAACCGGCACCAGCCGGCATCTTCTGAAAGAACAAATGACCGGGCGGCGCCGGCTGAACACGACAACATGAAGGAGAAGATAGACATCAGCGATGGTCCCATGCACAGGCAGCTCTCAGGAGGTCCTCGCGGGGAGGGCTCAAGTTGGATGCAAGGGAGAGCTCGGCCACCTGTATCAAATGTAAAAGTGTCTGGGTCTGGAGGAAGGTTGGAACTTGTGATGCTGTCTCTGGATTCTAAAAAAATTTGTATTGCATGACCAGCAAGAGGACTCCATTTTGTGCTACGCGGAAAGGGCATTTGTCATGCGGAATAGGCATGAGGAACAAGCGCTCTAACAATCTGTGATGCTAGGCCATGCATTCCAGGCATTATGGATCATGCAAAATATGCATGACCGATCTTGATATCTCCCAGACCCAGACATTTTTACAGTTGATAACCTGCGAGAAGTAACCACACGCGGTTCCATACCGAGCCTGGAAGGGCGGCCGCCCACAGTCCGAACGAGCTCGAGGAGCTGCAGGGAGAAGGAGACGTACAACCACAGATGGTTCCTACTTCAGCGTTAAGTCCCAAGATGAACCCGCTCGAAGAAGACGAACCTTCGATATCCGAGCTGGTAATCGCGGGTGGCAATCTCGACGGGCCAACGGGAAGTGGGACGTCGATAAAAAATAACCCGGACAGTCGTCACCAGCATTACCACAAATCTTCTGACGCACACAATCTGCTGCTGGGTGCCTTGAAGCAATATAAAACTTTGCACCGTGCAGGAGCAGGAACATCAAGCAAGCCGCAAAGCTTCGATCTACAAGCCACCTCCAGTAGTGCTGCTGCCGGCGGATCGTCGTATTATTGCAGTGAAGCTGCTGATGCTGATGTGGTCGATCCGCAGGAGCAGAAGGCACAGATTAAACAGGAGCTGCCTCCTATTAAACAGGACGATGACATTGATGTTCTGCTTCGTGGCCCTGCCGATCCTGGAGCTGCTGCAGCTCCTGGTACTACGAGCAGTAAAGGCGTTGTTGAGGCGGAACTACTACAAGACCTAGGACTTCTACAAAACAGCCCAGGCCTGTCGAGCCCCCAGAGCAGCAAGCCGCGTGTTGAGTCCGACGAGTTGATTCAGCAGCTAGCGGATTTGGGAATTTCCGACGACAGAGACAAAGTCGGAGGTGGAGGTCCGCAGGCAGCTGCAACTACTGCTGCGCTATTGGAACAAACCTCCAAGAACGCCATCAAGTCCAACAGAGGTAGCCCGAAAGACGACCCGGAGGTGGAAGCACTGAGCAGGGAGTTCCAGGAAATCCTGCTTGATCCTGGTGCACCTACTTCTCTACAACAGCCTGCACTACCCATCACGTCGAATAGCACCGCTACTACCGAAGACGAACATGCCACACTGACTCGTCAGATGAACGCATTGCCGAGCGTCGTATTGAAACGGAAAAAACGAGCGGCCACCTCCGCCGCAGCGGGGGGCCGAGGTTCTTGTGGGGAAGCTGCAAGTAGCCCAGGAGCAGCTTCGCCCGGTGGTGGTGACATAAAGTCGATTCAAGGCAGTTCCCCCGGAAGAAGTTTTGCTGGTTCACCGAAGAAGTCCGCCGAGGAGCATCCAGGAGGTAGTTCTTCTTCAAGTCGTGGATTGCTGAAAAAGAACTCTAAGAAGTCGACATCTCCAAATAACCTGGAGCAGCACGAACTGGAGAACAAGGTCCCTCTCCACGTGCAGCTCGGTGCCCGACTGGAAATATTACAGAAGCAGAAGGAACAAGCGTCTACTGCGGAAGAGGATTTTTTCGACGTCAACGAAGCAGGTCGTGCAGCGGGGGCACCGGTCGTGGGAGCGTCATCTTCTGGTGCAGCGCAGACGAACAAAAGAGGTACTACAACAGCAACTTCCAGTGCAAGTGTAACATCTCCTGCAGCAAGCGCCGCTGCCTCGCCCCACTTCGGCCCAAGCAATTCTTCTTTCATCCCGGATGACGGCTTACTACCGAGGCGCCAGCTTTCCGAGCAGGTGCGACCTACGGAGAATTTATCTTCGGCGGCCGACACAAGCACAACCGCAACCTCAAGCAGTTGTGAGGGCAGGAAGAAAACTCGCCGCCACAGTGACAGCAAACTTGCGAACGCAGGGGACAAGCTGCGGCTAGAACAACAAATTGTGGCTGCAGCGGGCGGTGGTCGTGCTGGTGGTGAACAACAGCAGGAGAAGATCATGAAACATAATCACAAGCACAACTCATCGTCGACTTCCAAACACGGCGGTAGAAGTGCTGGACAGATGGTCGAGAAGATGAATTGTGGACCACAAATAAAAGCTGTAGTACCAGCGGCAGAGGACGTGTATTCCGAGCGATTGAACGACACCCGCGCGTTACCGCGATCATATAACCATGGCCCCGCTGGTGCTAGTCACCACCAAAAGCGACATCATCATGACGCGAGCTTGGTGACCGGATCGATTACTGAGTTAAACCACGGTGGTGCGAAGGCAGGCTCTTTTCAGCATAGTAAAGAAAGCGACAGTCGGGGCTCGTCCTACAAATCCAAACAGCGAACGAGGCAACCGCAACATGATGTCGTGCAGGAAGTAGATCGTGCGCCAGCGTTCACGTCAGAAACAGGTGCTTGGCCACAACAGCACGACGTCGGCCCGCAAGAGAGTAGACATCTTTCGCCAAAAAGTACTGCGCCCAAGAACAAATCTTCATCTCCTTGGCAAGAACCGCGTGGATCTCCTCCTCTGCAACAGCATCAACATTCTGCCTTGAAACAAAAGGAAAAGGACAGCAGCGCTGCAAAAGAGGCTTCCTCCACGAAGCAAGTGATGACATTGCAGCAGTTACAGGACCAGGATCTGGAAATCAATGGAGAAAGGAAGAGCAGCAACGAACGCGACCGTCGTGATGAGCAAGAACCTCCTGCCAAAAATCGGGTCCAGAAAAAAGTCCCTGAAGACCACGCACCTACCCGGTCCCCAGAGCAGCAGCACCAGGCCGGGTCTCAACTCTCTCTGGCCTCTATGAGAGTGCACAGCCCCCCCCTCTCCCTCATTTGTCATGTAAAACCCCGAATGCAAGTACTGCTGCTGCTTTGTGGCACTCTCTGCATGACAGATTCCGGAAGCCCAAACAGTACTACGCTAGGCGCGTGAATTCGCCAGAGCTGCACAGGCTCCACGCGTGCTGGTGTTTGTATTGCTATTGCTGCTTATGCCATACAAATCTATGAGGGGGAGGTGGAGTTGTGCACTCTCATATCCTCCGGCTCCGCCGCAGATAGCGAATTACTCGACCGACTTCTGGGGTTTAAGAAGACGGAGATGGAGCGGCAAGCGGCAAAAGAAAAACTGAGGAGACTGCTCAGGGAGGAGATATCAAATGCAAATAAAGTATGTCTGGGTCTGGATGAAACTTGTGATGCTAAAGTATCATGGAGAAGACTGGCGCTCTGAAGTGAAGCCAACAGCATGACAAGTCTATAACTTGATGACGCCGTCTGATATGCTTAGCACGGATGACATCAAACTGCGTTTTTTCATGACGAAAAAGTGGCGCCTTTCTTGCGGGCTGCGCAGTACAAATTTCTAGGAATTCGAAACATACAACACACGACGTTCCACTTTTCCAGACCCAGACACACTTGCAACGCATAGGAGAAGGAGGCTAGCAAAAATGCTCATACAGGAGGTGGAGAGGCGAGAAGTCGGGGATCGTCTTCTGCAGCACCAGCAGGAGCTGGTGGAGGTGCACCACCAGCTTCTACAACTTCATCGAAAAGTAAAAGGAGCCAAAATTCTTATCCAGTCTATGAATCCTCCTCTAGCGAGGACGAGAGCTTCCACAGCGGAGGTAGTCTTGAACACCATCAAGAGGACAACATCACTGACGGGGAAAATCACGGAGGTTCTTCTTATGCCGACGAGGATCACGACCAAGATGACGCATCGTCTTCCCTAGCGGGGTCATCCGAAATGAGTGGAGAGGATAATGATGATTCCGACTACTCTGGCCAGTCTTTATGATCCAGGAAAAAACTTCTACACCCATCTTCCCCATGATCCCATGTGCTGTCATGCAAAAAATACTTACATCAAAAGCAGTGTTTGTCATGCAAAAAATGGATCAGCATCAGGCTGGGTGTTATATTTTTCTGGATACTCTTTACCCCTGTCGTATTTGTCCGACGCGCGGGCCTCGGACACGGGGTCGATGTCATCCGGAATTGATGAAATGTTGTATCGCACATAACGTGAGCAGGAGGTTAAGTACTGGAGATAAAGTACTATCGACATGGTGAGCATTTTCATCTACTATCATGAGCAGGAGACGACCAGGACTACGAGGTATAATCCGTATAATTTTTTCAAAACTAGCAACACGACAAGAAAAAGAAAAACAATCTTAGACGAGACAGACTCAATATCAATCTACGATTCGTGAAAACGAAAAGCACTGACTCCGACCATTGTTTTTACGTGGATCTTCTATGTTGTGGTAGACTATACAACTACACAACATTCTTGAATGTGTATTTTTTTTTCGCGACAAGCATGAAGATAGATTGAAGTACAACCCGCCGGAAGATGTAGTTTTTTTTTTATTTTATTACTCTAGCGAAGGAGCAAGGGCAACGGCAAACACATCAAGCCGCGGCCCCCCTTTGGTTGCAAAGCCGGGCTGTAACAGGTCTTCAAGCGTGTGAGCTAGGGTGACAGTTTTTTAAGCGTGTGAGCTAGAGCTTCTCCTTGTGACGAGCTGAGATGCGTCAATTTGTGTGTGCTGGCGTACGAACAACACCGCAATAAAAGTTGTCTAGATTAATAACAAACCCTGCAGCTACAACTGCTCTTTTTGTGTAGGTCGTCCGCAGGAGAGCCCCGTGAATAAACGCAAAATGAAAATATTTCCAACTCGAAGCAGGAAACAAAGTCAAAGATGCAGAAGATGAAGAAGACAACGTTGTGCCACACATTATAGTTGTAGAGCTACTTTTTTTATTTCGCTCGTCTGGTACTATCTCGTAAAAAAAAAATAAACATCACTGCCTTTGGCTCTCATCATCGTTCTATCAAAGAACCAGAGCTGCACCTGTAATATCTATGCCTATGTACAGTACTTTGATACCAAGAATCAGTTCGCTGTGCGCCGTTCCTGAAGAAAGTATAATAGAGCTGACATCACCAAGGTGCACCAGATGATGTGACTCATTGTCGACAACATGAACATTCTTATTTCTCGTTCACCCGAGGAGCAGGAGAATCAATAAGAAAGCTGCGACAGTCAGATACATCTTCATGCCTCATCAAATTGTGATGGTTTTTCGTTTCAATATATTCATCTCTTTGTTTCATAATTCAAGACCAATGTCAGTCCTAGAATACTTCTAGCTCCTAGTAAGGTTGACATGGACCACCCCCAGAGCTTTCGTTTATCATCCTACGAACAAAAACGGCGTCAACGTTAACGTTTCTTCTTCAGCTTATTTCCTTTTCTTGCTTTGAATTGAGATTGTTAATGATGTTGTGTCGTTGTCTCTTCCTCTTGTCTTCGTGTAGTTGTAAGATTTTTGAATCTGCTTCTGCGAAACGCAAAGAAATCAAGATGTTGAAAAAAAAGCGTTTAACATAAAGACCCAACTCGAAAGAGCGTCTTTTAATCTATTTCTACTATGCGAAGTAGCCCTTGCATACAAAAGACCTCGCCACCAAGATAGCTCATCTGGCAGCTCAACAACAACAAATGTAATATCGGCAGCAAGAGAGCGTTGTTATATTTTTTTTTTTTGCAAATGGTGGCGGCGTCGTCGTTTCTACTGAGTGTCGGATGTAGTTGTAATCAGCTTACCGTGAGGCAACTTGCGATGAATCGTTCGACTATCCTCCATTATTTTCTTTGCTGCTATTTTTGGAAAAACAAAAAATATAAAAATGTACAAAAATAAGATGAACTAGGCCTGGGGTCGTCGACGAGGAGAACACCTTCAGGTCCTTCTCCTCGTGCTCGTTTTCAGCGGCAGGAAGGTGCTGCTCCCCTTGTTCAGGTTGTCCTCGCGACGCATCTTTAGCCCAATCTTCCGCCACAACGCCAGAAAAACCTCCAAAGGACCTGCTTGCAACGTCGTGACTTAAGCAGATGCAGATGCAGAAAAATTAAAATTAATCGAAAAAATATCTGCACCTCTACTCTGATTTGCAACTCCGTCCGCCTCTGCCATAACACACAATGTGAAGCGTACACAGGAGCTTCGGCTTCCTTCAATTCAAAGTCGGTCAGATGGTACTACTACTAGCTCGTTCTTGTGAAGAAAAGTCGTGAATGAAAAGGACTAAACTACATGCTCGGTCGGTGTGAGATTCGTATGGGAAACAAAAAGAGAACTGTTATTCAATTTTTGGTCTTATCGTCCCTCGGTAACGGTATTAACTGACTCTACCTGGGGCCACAATCATGAACGTTATTTCTCGTCCTCATCGTGATCGTCCTTTTGACAACATCATAGCGACTCTGGTGTGCACTTCCACTTTCACATCAATGCTTCTTCAATACTCCGGTGTCGCAGGACCTCTTCCACTTTTTACCCACTAGTAACTGTAGGCATACGCATATACTACGGCAACAGCAAGATGAACCAATTGTATTCTGTGCGCCGCATTTTCGTGTAGTTACTCAAGAAAGCGAGAACTTTGACTTTCATCTAAATTGAAATACCCTATTTCATCTGGTACATTAGCGGCCACAGCACATAATATATTCACCCCGCCTAGAGCCATTCTCGATTGTCGAGAAGTAGTAACCTTACATGTGGTAGACGTAAAAAACCCCAAAACTTACGTTGCTTCACACTACCAGCACATCAAACCATGTCCGCGAATTCATCTAAAGGCAAGGACCAATACGTCTACTTCGAGTTCTCCGCACTTGGCGGCCGCGCGACCCGGCATCTGCAAGAGCAACACGAACTCGATAGCCATGGAAACAATAGCACGGGAGAAAGCAACAAGAAGAAGGACCAAAAGCAGAATCTCAAAATGTTCCTCGTTTTAAAACTAAACCACGACCTCCGGGATTTCGACGGGGATTACTTGGTAACCAGCACAAACCCCTGTCTCCAGGGGGTTCGCCACGCCTCCTGCTGGCGCGATGAGCAACACAGAGGGTTTGACGCAACTTTACATGAGATGTGCATCGCGCGGAACCGGTTGTTGTCTGCTGGAGCTGAAGCGGAAGACGATTTGATGCTTTTGACCCAACAAGCTCTGATGAACAGGAGGATGCGGGAGAAGATGCTCGGGTTTGGTGAAGCAGGCCAAAATTCAAATGGTGCTGGCCACGCAGGGGAAGCTACCGATGGCACAATGATCCGGCGAACCGCGTCCGTTGCAGCCCTCAACGAGCCGGAAGACCAATTACTCGACAACGGCCGGTATCAGCCCGAAATGGAGCTGGTCGCGCAAATGCGGCAAACGAGTAAGGACGAGGATAAGAAGCAGATGGATCGCCATCGCGAAGCGCAAAACCGGCAGACCAGGAAGAATTTGGATAGCGTGATTTTCCGGGATAAGTTCGGAAAAATCGTGGATCGGTCGAAACCGAGGTTTAACTCCCCCGTGCCTTTAACCGCACCGAAATTGACGCCCAGAGGAGGAGGGGGAGGTGCACATATCAAATGCAAAAATGTCTGGGTCTGGACGATTCTAAACTTGTAATGCTGTCTCTGGATTCTAAAAAAATTTGTATTGCATGACCAGGAAAAGGACTCCAGTTTGTGCTACGTGGAGAGGGCATTTCTCATGCGGTAGAGGCGTCACAAAGTCCTCTAAAAATCTGTGACGCTAGGGCATGCATCACAGACATCATGGGCCATTCAAAATCTGCATGACAAACCCAGCAACATTTCAGACCCAGACATTTTTGCATTTGATAGCACATCAATCGAAGCAGAATCAGCGAGCACATCAAATCTCGACAGAACGCTCTGTGTCGAAATCACCAAGAGGAGAGATCCACACCCCGTCTGGGTCGCACGCCAGTGGGGCCGCTCAGGATTTGAACGACGCGGTTGCAAGGTACAAGGACAACACAAGGGTTCTGACCGGCGGAGTGAATGAAGACAAGCGATTTTCTGCGCAGAAGAAACGGTCTGGGACTCTGGCACTTCCCGGCGAGGGGCCGCGAAGGGGCCCGTCAAAATCGCCAGCGGGTTCCCCGCGAATCTCCGGGTCACCGAAAGGCGGCGGTGGTGGTGAATATCCTGAGTAAAAACGTACCCACACCAGAGTCAGGATGGGGATTTTGCAACACAAACCTAGGAGTTTTGGGAGTCACGCATGACAAGTTGCACTCCGCAGTGTAGTGCAGGTTAGCAAGTGCAGCCGCATCACAGATTCATCTGCTCATCCTCTTCACAGCATCACAAATTCGAATACACGATTGGAAACGGCTTTTATGGGGATGTGCATTACAAGTCTTCCTGTCTTTGCAAATCTGCATTACAACTCTGGTGTGGGGACGTTTTTACTCAGGATAGTGAAAGCACATTACTCACTCCAAGTCCAAGATCCATTCGTTCTCGCACTCCAAGCAATCGTTCCGAACGCTCCCAGCAGTCGTCCAGTGAGAGGTCTTATCAAATGTAAAAATGTCTGGGTCTGGAAGAATGGAACTTCTCATGCTGATTTTGGATTCTAAAAAAATATGTATTTTTGCATGAGCAGCAAAGATAGTCCAAGTTTTGCTACACGGAAAGAGCATTTGTCATGCGGTATAGGCATCAGGAAGCCCTCACAAAATCTGTGATGCTACGGCATGCATCACAGACATCATGGGTCATGGAAAATATGAATGACAAGTCAAGAAATCCTCCAGACCCAGACATTTTTACATTTGATAGGTCTGGGCAACCGAGAACGAGCAATACAAACCCAGCCGCCCATATGCAAGAAAAATAAAACTGTGTAAGTGTAAATTTGTGTTGCAGAACATGCAACAGAGTTACACCTGTCATGCCAGACAGCCACGAAGTCCTCTTTTCGTGTGTGTTTTCCCTTACAAGCCACGCATGACAGGTTTTCTCTGTCATGTAGAGCAAATTTGTGATGCTGTTTCTCAAAGAAAGTTACACTTACACACTTTTTTTCCTGGATAGCCCAAGCTTTGCCCTCCGTTCTTGGAGCGAGTTCTGCGGTGCAAAGCAATTTCTTGCAGAACAAGCAATTAGCCGCGGAGGGAAAGCACCGCGCGACCGCGCCGGAGATGGTCGATGAGGATCCGAATGGCTATGAGCCGAAGTTGCAGAGGAAAACCTCGTCTGTCTTCAACCTCTTCGGCGGAAGAGACAATGCTTTGACCAAAACCTCCGCCCAGGCGAAATTTTTTGAATCAATCGCCACCAGTGCAGCTGCGACCACAGATACAACTTCTTCTGCTGCTGCGAAGAAGAAGCGCGCTTCTCTCGATGACGATGATGACAGAGCGTTTCCCGAAGCGCGGGAATTCGGCTACCACAAGTACAACGACATGTACCGATTGCGGCCGGGTGAGTTGTTGCAAACCGAAGTTATCCTGAGTAAAAACGTACCCACACCAGAGTCAGGATGGGGATTCTGCAACACAAGCCTAGGAGTTTTGTGAGTCACGCATGACAAGTTGCACTATGCAGTGTAGTGCAGGTTAGCAAGTGCAGCCGCATCGCAGATTCATCTGCTCATCCTGTTCACAGCATCACAAATTCCAAAACACGATTGGAAATGGCTCTCATGGGGATGCGCATTACAAGTCTTCCTGTCTTTGCAAATCTGCATTACAACTCTGGTACAATCCGGGGCTCAACGGTCCCCGCCCCCCCTCATCGTGGGTTCAACGGCCCCGCCCCAAAGGAGACCACTTACAAATATTTTTTTCGTAGATTGAAAATTTCATCGCGACCAACCGTTCGCCATCGGCTGAAGCTGCACATGCATCCGGAGTAGTTTTGAAAAATTAACTTTATTGCCCGCGGCTTACGGGTTTCGTCTAAAGGTTCTTCGTCAGGGTGCGCGGTTTCTATTATTGGCGTTTGGCTTGGTCGCACCCTATGGCTAGTATCTGAGATCAGCAGACCGTTTATTTCGGGGGACAGTAGCGCGCGAAAAAAGTTCGTCGCGGGGGCACCCCGCATGGTTCGTTTCTGTATGTTTTCCGCGCCATGCATCGATGGCCGGGGGTTCGGTCGTGTTTCCCGCTGGGTTTTTCAAACGCGGGTTTGCAAAACCCGTTTGCATAGGGCGTTCCCAGTATCCGCGTTTACACAGATCCCGATTAGCGCGCACTAAGCGCAACTATCTCCATACGCAGTGGTCTCCTCCCTATCTTTACTACCGTCAGGTGCAGCGGCTTTCTGCACATCGCGCTTAGTCTCGACCCATATCGACCCCCCTTGCTATTCGTCCCACAGCATAGCAACGTCCGCCGCGGCTTACGGCTATAGACGTTAACTATATCGTGGGGATTTTCCATGCGTGTGTCCGGTCCAAGTTCGAAAGGGTTCAGGGGTGACCCCCCTGTATGCATGCGGATTTATGTTTCCGACGGGTTTAGGGTTTTGCTTTGTATGGACCAATGCGGCGCGCACATCGATTTTCCTGGCAGTGTCGACCTGCTGTACACGGCGCAACCCCCGGCGGAAATAGACCGGAAAGCGCAAATCTGAAACTGAAACTGAAGCTCTGGCGTGGGGCCCAATGAAAAAAAAAAAAAAAAATCTGCATTACAACTCTGGCGTGGGTACGTTTTTACTCAGGATAGAAGTGCCTTCATCCTTACTCTATGACGAAAAATACGGGCACATTTCTGGCTATGGAAGCGTCAGGTTTGAAATCGTCAAAGTTGAAATAATCCGTAATGCATAAAATGCATGACCCGAGGCACGTGTGTTGCAGAGCAGGCAAGTGAGGCCGATTGTAAGCCTGTTTAGGGTTACAGCTCGAGCTGCTAAAGTAGCATGAGAAAATCGCTCCTCTTTGCCTAAACAGCATGACAAACTGGATTTAGGGACCGCCGAGATTTGTCATGCGCTACTTGGAAACTGGGTTCCAACTGGCATCCATTTTATGCATGACATATTATTTCAACTTTGTCGATTTCAACTCTGGCACATCCATACTGGCGTGAATTTCCACACGAAGGTGCACGAGCAGATAGGCCGGGATAACGATAAGGACCACGATTTATCCTACGTGTTGAACCACCCGGGACTGAGAACGCGGTACATCTTACACGTCCACGTCCCGCGATTCCCGTTTTCCGATGAGGATTTGTTGAAGATGATATGAAAGCCTCAGGTTGGAAATCCTCAAAGTGGAAATAGTTTGTAATGCAGAAAAGCATTCCAGTTGAAGCGCCACTTCTAGGCGGCGCATGACAAATTTCTCTTGCTGCACTCAAAGCATGCCTGTCATGCTGGTTAACGCAAAGGGGTGCCCTCCTCTGGTGCTAAAAATCAGCACTCCAATTCTTGACACGTAGAAGGGCAATAGTCGGCCTTCATTTTTGCGTCCTCTGCAATACAGTCTTTTTTGCCGCGCCCGCGTCGCATTTCATGCATCACAAATTATTTCCACGTTGAGGATTTCCATTCTGAGGCTTTCATAGATGAAACGGAACGCGGATGAGCATTTTATGTACAAAAGGCTGATTCAGAAATCCGCGGAAGACTACGCGTATCCTGTGCAAAAGTATCGTACTCGTATTGCAATCATGCATTACAAATCTTGTTCTTAAGGCAAAAATGTAGCATTACAAATTTCATTTCTCATGCTGAGGAAATTTGTAATGCATTTATACGAGTGCGATACTTTTGCACTGCATAACGCGAAAACGGTGGACGAAGCGAAGTTGTCGGTCAGGAAGGTTTGGCGCTGCGTGATGACGCACGCGCTACTGGAGATCGAATCACAATCGTTAATAGCGAACCGACAGGCGGTGGTTGAAAGAAAAAATTCGAAATCACCGAGGCCCAGCCCAAGAAATTCGCCAGTGCCGTCAAATGATCCTTCACCACTCCCAACACCAGAACCGAGTCCGAGATTCATCGTCGGTGCGGACGGGCAAGAGCAGGAAACCGGTATCCAAACGGTGAAGGCGATGAGTAAAGAGGAGAAAGCGAGGAACCAACCGAAGAAACAAGACATCATCCGGGTGGGAGCGCCGGCGATCGGGAGCGGGGGCAGGCATTTTGATAAAGACGTTGCGGCGGCGCACGCTCTTGCGGGATTGTGGGATGTGTACCAAAATCAGAAGCAAATGCAGAAGGTGTTGTCGATCGAAGTCAGCTTTCTGGAAAAGGATAAATTCGTTTTTCTCGTGTGGCGCGGGATGGCGGAGACGGCACTGAAAAGGGTGACGAAGCAGCACTACGAAAGGAGTGTCGCAGGGAGGGCCAGGTGTTGTGGGATGTGCTGATGATGTTGGCGATTATAGCGGGAAATAAAAGCTGCTGTTGAAGAGGCTAGCTAAGCAGCCCTCAATTTTTTATTTTTTTGATGTAACCATAGAGAAAGAAAAAAATCGCTCGCAGTCCGTGCTTGCCAAGAATTTTTGAGAGACGCTCTTTGAAAAATTTGTTTTTGTTTGGTGCTGTACTACACTCATTCCAACGCTGCACCGCTTCTGCTTTGTTAATCAATATCAACGCCTCTCGCCACCTTCGAGATGTGTTTCGGAGTATAATTAGAACAACTTTTTCTACTGTTCATCCTGAGTTGTGAAGCAGTAGAAGAGAGACCACGGAGAGACAGGGTTGGAGAGTCCAAACTGCATCAAATTGTGCGAGCTATACCTGCTTGGTCCTGGTCGAGAAAACGAGAGAGCTGTCATCGTTCGATTTTTTGTCTCGATGGCGCCACTGCGTTCTCTTCCATCTGCGTCTGCGTCGTGTGTGTAGTTTGTTCGTCTTTTCTATCCCTGTTAAATCAAGGAAGCTCAGAGCGCCATTGCAGGAAGTTTGATTGCATTTGCAAGCCCAAGTAGTTTTTTGAGAATATAGTTCCTTCCAACTACACGCTGAATTCCTTTTTTTCAAAAGCACGAAGTATTTTTAAACCCACACCAAGATGAACTTCCTTCAAGGCATCCTTTCCGGGAACACACAGTCCGCTGAACAGCAAATTCTCGCAGAATTGGAAGAGGAAGATGTATGCAATGCAAAAGTATCGTACTAGCAGTAGCGGTATTTGGATTTGCATTACAAATTTCGTCAGCATGACTAGTACTTACATCAAATGGAATTTGTCATTGTGAATCCCCTCGGAAACCAGATTTGTGATGCATTAACGCAGTTACTACGGGTACGGGAAGTACTTCTACTTTTGCAATGCATAAGACGAAGATGACGAGGACGACGAGCACCCGGATCAGGTCTACGGACCGGCACACAAACCGAGAGGGTACGTGGAGCCAAAACAGAACTACGGCCAGGCGCGCAGCCGCGGCGGTTCTGGTGATCATGCCTCTTCGTCCCACAACGCCGACCTCGCTGCGGCGATCCAACACGGGGACTTGGACCCCTACTACCGACGGGATAACGTTTTTACAAAAGGCCACGGAGCTACAGCGACCTCGCCTGCTTCCTCTTCGAGGATCGGCCCACCACCGGGTCCGCGTTACGACTTCGACCCCAGTAGTGTCAATGAGGACGACAGCAACTTCTTCGAGTTCGAACTCGATTTGTCGCCTACAAGCCGAGGAGGAGAGCGCGGTCGCCGACAGCGTCCTGCGGATCTGTACCCGAAAATCCAGAAGTTTTTCGAGCTCCAGGAGCAGGCCACGCACTTCGAATCCCGGGGGATCGACCCGGTTACCGGGCGGCCGAAAATTTTGGCGAAGCCGGTGAATAATGCGCTGAAAAACGCGTTTGACGAGGATGATCGGTTGCATGTCAAGCCGGCGGCGGTGCGGTTGCACGAGCTGGACAAGAAGTTGACGAAGCACGAAGCGAGAGTACAAGCGCAGCAGAATTCGTTGATGCGGATACCCGCGATCATCAAGCAGCTGGAACAGTATGGAAGTCATTTGAGACAATTCGCATGCAGCATGACAGACTGAGACTCTACTTACTGTCTTTGTCTCGCATGTGGTTCTGCATCACAACTTTTGATGATGTTGCTTCGAAAATTTTATCAGGTGGGAGCGCGACCGAGCGGAACGGTTTAACGGTAAATTCTCTTTAGCCAGCCCGATCCTTTCCGTGAACCTCGCCGAGCAGGAAGATCTACCACCCAACACCGCGATCGAGCAACAGGTCCCGCCGATTGACTACGATAACCTCCCCTTCCCCTACCGCGGTGTCGCCGGCGTTTTATCACCGAGAGCAACGGCACCAGATGATGATTCATCCCCGAAGATCGCTGGTGGAAGTGGGACAATAAAGAAAACCCGAAATAGAGACCCGATCACCGCGGTTGTGACCAAATCCGACACTCTCGGCTACAGCGCTTTATCCTCGCAGCAAGCGAGGGCAAATCTGTTAGCCCACGACGTCGCATTGATCAAGTACCTGCAGAAGCGGAAAGCGCTTCACAGTAAAAAAGGTAAAGATTTCCGCGGCCAACTTCCACCGCAAGATGTGCTGTTTCGGAAAGACGGGATCGACATGTCGGTTTTCATATGAATTGAAAGAAGGATCGTACTCGTAGTAATAATTCCAGTCATGCATGACAAATCCAATTATCTACCCAAACCAGCATGGAAAATTCAAATTTCGTTTTTGTTCATGATGGAAAAGTTTGTCATGCGATTTGTACTCAGTGCGATACAACTTTTGCATTGCATACTTCACGCTGAAGAACGCCGGTGTGAAACTTTCCCACGGCTTGGGGGAAACGGCGAGGAAAATGAACCGGATTATTGAAAGAAAAAAAATCGAGGAGGCGTTCGAGCTCGGCACCGTCACTGCGTCGATGCTAGCGGAATTCGACGCGCAGCAGGACATCTTAGCGGAGCAGGAAAGGGTAAAATCGGAATTGGAGATCGCGAAGCAGCAGGAGAAGGAGAACCAGTATTGGGCGTTGCGGAAAAACCGGCTTGAGAATTATTCCAGGTTGTATCAACTCTCCGATTTAGTGCACGACATGAAGGAAACACTGCGGAAAATCGCGACGAACCCGGGGTACGTGCTATCCAGTGCAGCAAGAAATATGTCTGGGTCTCGAATAAATTTGTGATGCAAGGAAGGGAATAGTGAGCACATTGTAATGCGCTGCCCAGCATGACAAGTTTTATTTCTGTGGTTCTGAGTTGCGTACTCCGCATGAGAAACTGCGTTTTTGTATGACAGGCAAGAGTGAGGAGCTCTACTTCGCGGCCACGCAATACAGAGTTCAGAGTTATGGCAGACTAGCATGACAAGTTTCGCAATCTACCAGAGCCAGGCATATTTGCAGTTGATACGTTCCGGATGAGCACGATTTGTCTTTGTTGCGTATCATGGAGGAGCAGATGAATGTGCCGGAATCGGTTTTGGATGAGGAGATGAGAAACGCGTACAGGGAGTACATTGCCAAAGCGAAATCCTTCAATCTCCACAAGGACTTCGACTTCGAAAAATCGGCGGCGGAGTTTGTGGAGGATCTCGAGGCGGATGAGTACGCGGCAATGGCCGGGTTTACCACGAACATGGCGAACTTTTTGCATTCTGTTGGGGTCGGAGACAAAAAACCAGAGAAGGACCCGGCCATTCCGGATTTGAAAAAGCCGAAGAATGTGACGTTTATGGCGACGACGGCGAACTTATGCATCGCAAAAGTATCGTACTCGTACTCATTGTAATTGCACTTCTGCATTACAAATCTAGTCGCCAAAGTAAATCCGCATTACAGATTTAATTTGTAATGCTGAGCGAATTTGTATATACAATTCATACTAGGACGATACTTTTGCACAGGATAAAACTTCCAGGAAACAAACAAGTCCTCCTTGATGAAAAACATGAAGATGTCGGGGATGCCGGAGGGCATGATGGGTTTCAAGGAACGAGGTGGCGGAAGATCTACTTCCGTTGCTGCAGCGTCTAACGCCTACTCCGCCGCAGGACAAGAAAACCAGGAGGGTCTCGTCTACGACGTGGAAGTTGCGGCAGAGAATTTCATTCACGACGTGGAGGAAGTTCTTGGGTTGCTACCAGGCGATAAAAATGGTGCCGACCCAAGAGGACAAGCAGCAACTCAAAGTTCTTCCAGTACCACCTCTCCAGGCTTCTTCGGCAACCGCATCTTTGGCCACCATCCTGAGCTCCACGATGATCCAACCCGTCCAGTTCTATCCAGGAAAAAACACCCATTCCCATCCATTTTTTGCATGGCAGGCACTGGCTCTGATGCATGTTTTGCCTGGGAAACTGGATGGGGATGGCGGGTCTTTTTTTGTGGATAAGTCCCGCACGACTTCTACGCGATGAACAGCGCCTTGCTGGAGTATGTCGGCGACAACTTCCTCCAAAACATGCGAAAGAAGGAGAATAATACGGTAGTCCCTACAACCGTTTTACCCCAGGAACACCGACCGAGTCTAGAGGGGAAGAAGGAACTGCTAGCGACTCATCTACAACAGTTAGAAGCGCTGAAGTTCTTGGAAAATAACGGGCTCTTAGCCGGGAAGAAATCGGAAAGGGAGGAGGTTTTGGAGAATTCCGGTTTGCAAAACTTAATCGAGATGCTGAAAACAGGACCGCAACAACCGCTGTCTTCGCCTGTTTTATCGCCGAAACAACCTGGGTCACCACAGCAAGTAGCCACAAACATTCCGCAAAAGCCCGCGCCGTTTATGCGGTCTTTGATCCCTTTGATTCACAACAACAAACTGATCGAGAAGGTCGGGATCGGGTGGACGTATATGACGGTGCACAACTCCCCCTCCCCCTCATTTGTCATGCAAAATACCTACCTCACACCTTGCGCTTGCCTTTAAGCACTCTGTGCATGACAAGTTTTGCACCCCCAAATAGGACTACATTCCATTTACGGATTTCTCATGCAAAGGCTACATTTTTGGCATTGCTTCTGTTGTTCCTCATGCTATACAAATGAGGGGGAGGGGGAGTTGTGCACTCTCATAGCGTACACGTTTTTCACAGAAGAGGACTACGAGCTGTTGAACAACAAGAAGGTTTTCCCGGGAAAGAAAAAACTCGGGCCGTACTGTGGATTCACCTTAAATTGGAACGAGTTTCCGAACGTGAAAGTTGCTTCCGTGTACGAGAAAAAAACGAAATGGAACCAGTACGTGCATATCCTGTGCAAAAGTATCGTACTCGTATAAATCCGCTACTGGCATGAATATAACTTCTCACCAACTTCCCAACAACTTATGATCAACTTCTTCCCAACCTTTTCACCAACTTCCCAGCTGTTGAGAAGTTGGCGTAGACCGCTTGCCGCGGTTGTTCCGACGCTTGACGCAGAGTTGAAATCCACGCGAAGCTCCTGACAGGCTTCCGGCTAGGACGTCTCAGAAGGAATATCCCGGGCCTCGATTCGTGGCCGCACGTAAAAAGCACGCCGACGCCGCATTTTGCGGCAAGCGCGGCGCGTTACATCAATTAATGCACAAAGCAATAACTCACTTCTCAACAACATCTCTACGCACTTCATCTTACCAGCTTCGCGACGAACATTCCGGCGCATTCTGCGGCAAGCTTTGAGCTTTTGGAGGCGTCACGCTAATTCTTGCATGACGCCTCCAAAAGCTTAAAGCTTGCTGCGAAGTGCGTCGGGAAGTTCGTCGCGAAGCTGTTGAGAAGTGCGTGGAGAAGTTGTTGAGAAGTGAGCTATTGATTTGCGCATTACTTGATGTAGGGCGCACGCAAACTCGCGTTTTTTTGTGAAAACAAATAAAACGCAGACAATATATCAATTGATTAGCTGAGTAATTGGCTGCTCAGCTAATCAATTAATTAATCAGCGCCAGGCGAGAATGGCCGGCGTTCAAAGCTTGCCCGCCCAAGCCGCGCGCAGCTCCACATCGCCGAGGGAAGCTGTCTTCCGCTTCCGGCGATTCTTTCTTTGATGGCTGCACGCAGGACAGATGCGCGCGCGCAGAAATCACGGTCGCGCGGCCTGCCGCCTCTTGTATACGGCTTTGCGCGTGGTTCCGTCGTGCTAACTGATGAAACTGCACTGCAGATAAACGGACAGAACAAGACTGCGGTCTTCTTTCCATTTATCTGCAGCGCTGTTCCTTCCAGCTCTTGCAGCTGCAGTGGCAACTGCAAGCAGCGAGCACGATATAACTCGCAGCGACGGAGTGACGCGACGCGTCGCTTGGTCGAGGCGAGAACGACGCCAGCATGTCGCGGCGCGACGCCACTTCTCACCGAAGTTGGTGCGGAAGTCGGTGAGAAGTGGCGCGCGCCACTTCTCACCGACTTCCGCACCAACTTCGCAACCAACTTCGCAACCGACTTCTCACCGACTTGTCCGTCAGATTCTGCATAGAAATTTTAGCGGATTTATACGAGTACGATACTTTTGCACAGGATAGTGCATGAAAAGGTGCAAGTCGGGGACAGGTTGTTATTCGTGAACGAAGAGCCGATCGAAAACGTCCGACTTTGGCCCGGGAACGACCCGGACGAGGCGGTCTTGTTGAAGATGCTGTCGAGAAATGATATCTACAAGGACCCAGAGCAACCCGGGGAGGAGGATGAAGACCCTGAGGAGATGGAGCTAGATCCAACTACCGGCCGGATGAAGAAAAAAGCGGTGAAACTGAATAAAGACGGGAAACCGTTGGATGCGAAGGAAGAGAAGCAAAAGTTTTTGCCGAAAAAATACCTACAGAACACAACGACACTTGTCGGGTCGTTTGAATTTCTCAGGCAGAAGAGTATGACACAGTTTGTGCAGCTGTCTGTGAACGTGAAGCAGGAGATTTCGCCCGGAGAAGGGTTCGGGTTTTTCGTCGAGGAACAGGTAGCGGAGCACGGTAATGCTACTGGCGCAACCCCGGCTTCCGCACGAGGTCGTAAGCAGGAGGAAACAAAGGCCGCGACTTCCACAGAAGAGCTAGTCACTCTCATGACCAAGCCGTCGAAAAGGATCATTGCCAACTACAAATCCGTATGAGAGTGCATCACTTCCCTTCGTCCCCCTCATTTGTGATGCAAAATACCGAATCCACCGCTTGCGTGGAAGCACTGTCTGCATGACAAATTTTGGAAACTGAAACAGTACTAGACTACTACTGGTGTCCGTGTGTAGATTTGTCATGCGAAAGGCCCATTTCTGTCGCTGCTTGTGTTGTCGTTCATGTTTTACAAATGAGGGGGAGGGGGGGTTATGCATTGTCATAATCCGGTTCCGGCGGCCCGAAGGAAATGACATTGGGACAGACATCTCATTTGCAAAACGAGCTGAAGAACGAATTTAAGGAGTTTTTCATCGTCTTCATCCAGCCGGGCTCTTGGGCGGAAAGAGTGGGGCTGGAGGTTGGAGACTCATTGCTCGCCGTCAACTCGAAATTGTTACCCTACCCCGGTTACCAAATCGACATTGGGGTTAAAAACGAGGAGAAAAACTACCAAACCGCGTTTCTGCAGAACCAGGATTTTCACTTTTTGTTCCGAAGAACGGGCTATGAACTGCAAAAATGTCTGGGTCTAGAAGAATGCAAACTCGTCATGCTCGGGCGACAATGCACAAAAGTCTGTCATGCTTGCTGCGCTACAGCGCCACTTGGTTGCCATGCAAAAAGGGAATTTGTCATGCGATTAACGCTAGATGTAGCCGCCCAGAAACTTGTCATGCGCGGCTCCGCAATACAGTTTGCGTATCATTCGGACATTAGCATGACAAATTTCCAGACCCAGGCATATTTGCAATGCATACGGGCGGGCACTTCCCCTACTGGATGGTAGAGAATTTGGAGACGAAGGACTTCCCGCATTTCAAGTTACCCTTGTTATGGACCGACCCGGATATCAAGTGCAAATATGTCTGGGTCTGGAAGAGTGCATTTGTGTCATGCTTGCCTGGCATGACTCTTAAATCTGTCATGCACGTTACCCAAGAGCCCCAGTTTTCTGTCATGCAGAAACGCAGTTTGTCATGCAGAATAGGCAACACCTTAGTAGAAGCTCAGAAACTTGTCATGCTCAGCCAGCACTTTTGGCCTCCTCATGCTACGCCACTCAGCGTCACAAGTTTCCAGACCCAGGCACATTTGCAATGCATACCGGAAGCGGCAAAACGGTTGATGGCGGAGATGGAGGAACTATCCACAGTAAATTTCCCGTACATGACGTACATCAAATGTTGTTTCTGCATGACAAAACTTCCCTTCAATCTTAGTCAGCATGACAAGTTTGACACTCCAAGTTAGCGAAATTTGTCATGTATTTTGTCCATGTGCGGGAAATTTGTATTGCATAGGAACGACACGACGGCGGTGCAAATCTCGAAGACAAAGAAATCGAAGCGGCGAAAGCGGATTTGAAAAAACAAGACGAGAAAAGCAGCGCTACTGGAGGTGCAACAAGTACCGCTGCTCCGGTTTTGCCTTTCCTAGTCTCCTATCTCAGCATGCTGCCGGACATCAAAGCGGCGGGACTCATATGACAGTGCACATCAACTCGTCGTCATTTGTATAGCATGAACGGCAATACAGGCATCAGCAAGAGTGCCGGTTTTGCATGACAAATTTGCACTGGTGTCGTGTGGGGCGGCTATTTGGGCTACCAGAACTTGTCATGCAAACAGTGCCAAGAGGCAAAGGGTGGATTGGATATTTTGCATGACAAATGAGGGGGAGGGGGAGTTGTGCACTGTCATAGCTCACCGGCTGGAACCAGAATTCCATCGACGCAAAAATGTTGACGAACAAGAAACTCGACGCGAAGGAGAGATTCGTCAACCTCTTCGGCTTCAAAATCGCGGCTTGGGGAAAGGAGTTTCCAATCGTTCGCGTCTCTGAGGTGGTCGAAACGCAGAAAAACGCCGAGGGCAAGGAAGAACCATCGAGGGTATCCAGTGCAAAACTATCGCACTCGTACTAGTTCATTGCATAACAAATCTACTTTCTTAGCTGGATCGGCATTACAAATTCCATTTCTCTTTCTTTCTCTTTCTGAGAAAATTTGTGATGCAACTACTACTAGTGCGATACTGTTGCAATGCATAGATTGCGAAGAAGGCCAACGTGGTTGTTGGGGACAGGTTGATAGTCGTCCCGAGCATGAAATATCCTGTGCAAAAGTATCGTACTCGTAATTGCAGTCATGCATTACAAATTTTTTTCGTAAGGTGAATGCGCATGACAAATTTTATTTCTCATGCTGAGGAAATTTGTAATGCATTTATACGACTGCGCTACTTTTGCACGGCATATGAAAGATAGGATCACGAACTTGACGAAGTGGGAAGGCGATTCACCCGAAGAAGCAATCCTCGGCCGGATCTACAAACGGGGGAAGGCGAAGGAAAAACCTTTAGCCACTTTCCTCTTCGCGAGACAGAAATATGAACGAGCTTACATCCAGGTGAAGGCGAAGCCATTAACCAAGGATGATAAAGGGTTCGGGATTACAATTGAAACGAGTAAAGAATCGAAAAAAATAGGTCTTGTGAAGGAGATCCGGGAAGGGAGTTGGGCGAGCAAGGTACCGGAATTGATCGTGAAGGACAAAACTTTTGTCATCGCGACGGGTAATGGGGATTTGACGGAATTGGCGGCGGATAAAGTCCAGCAATTGTTACATGAAAGTAAAACGAGCAATTTGTTGTTGTTGAAGAATATAGATTCCGGGTTTGGATCCGCGGTTCGGAAGAAGCACGAGGTGAACATGAGCAGAGAATTCCCGGACAAGTGGAAAACCGACGCAGATCGAGCTTCTGTATCCGCACAAGACGCACAGAAATCCATCGCCATGGGCGCCGCGCCCTCGGGTATCGGCGCGTCCACTGTGGGTGGCGACCATTCAGGTGGTTCGGCGCAGAAGTCGATGGCGTTGGCCGACGCCGCAGCGAAGAAATCTGTGGCGCCTGGAGGAACCTCTTCCGCTGGCGCGAACAAGTCGATGGCAGCTGGATCGAAGATGGACCCGAACTCCCTCCCTATACATTGCAAAGGTATGGAGCTTGTAGTAATCAGAGTCATGCATCTACAAATCTTCATCCCAAGCTAAAACAGCATGACAAGTTCCATTTGCCGTGCTGAGCTAATTTGTAATGCGATTACTACTAGTGCGATGCTTTTGCAATCCATATTCCCGTATCTCTACCAATTTCTCGGCGGGATCAAAGACCTCAAAGCCGCGGGCGTGACCGGGTGGGCGCAAACGTCGATCGATACGGAGAAATTATCCAGCGTGAATAAGGACAACGCGAGACATATGAACTGCAAAAGTATCGTACTCGTAGTACTGCAATACATATTACCTCCGCATGACAAACGGAATTTGTCATGCTGATTTAGCTTGAAAAAAGAAAGCTGTCTTGCATGACTGCGAGTACTAGTATGCTTTTGCACAGGATAAGACAAATTTTCTACGAGGTTTTCCACATCAAACTCGATTGGTCCGATTACCCAAGTGTCACCGTCAGCGAATTAAGGGAGCAAGATGATAACGGTGAGAAGACCCGGGCGTTTAAAAATGGCGTGGTCATCGGCGACAGGATGCTGGTTTGCGCCTCTATGTCAGAAAGAATTACCAACGTTGCGCGCTGGCCGGGGGAATCGCCCGAGGAGGCGATTTTGAAGAAAGTGCAAGAACGATCACAAGGAGGGAAAACCCCCGTCGCGGCGTTTGCGTTCTTACGGAAAGTGAAGGAGGACCAATACGTGCAATTACTCGTCGAGAAAGATGTCGCGAAAGAGGAGGAAAATGGAACCGCTTCCGCTTGTCTCGGGATGGAGATAGATCCGGAAACGGGAAAGATTAATTCTGTCGCGGATGGATCCTGGGCACAATCGCAGGGTATTCAAGCGGAAATGCTCGTCTCCATTGCGGATCAGTTTGTCTACGCGAAAAAGGCCGAGGACGCGAAGAAAGCATTGCAGTCGAAGAGACCGGTGATGGTTCTCATTCGGTCAATGACCGGCGGGCTCAAACCCGGAGGGCAGTTTGAGAATTTGCAAGAAAAGGAGCCGAATTTGAGACGGAAGTTGCCAGATGGGTGGAACATGGTCGGAGCTGCTTCGGGGGAGATGGGCGCTTCCACCTTTTCAAAGGGAGCATCCACCGGCGCGCCACTGCACTATCCGGAGCCCCCGGAAGATTTGGAAGGTGAGGATGTTGAAGCAGAGTCAGATTCATCGTCGGAAGGGGCTGCCAGATCTTCCATTTTCGCCGCTTCGGACGTAGAAATCGACGGTGTGCTGGAACGCGGCAAGCAAGAAGAGAACGGAAGTGACACTTCCTGGCTCGCGGGATCGCAGTCCGAGGGAGAGGAGAAAGACCAAGAACCAAAAGACGCTCTTTCTAAATCCTGGACCAGCACCACTGGTCAGGCGTTCATGTTCTACCTGGAGACCGCGGACGAAGAGTTGTCACCTAGCAAACGGAAACTGCACGTGAAGGAGGTGACGGATGAAGAGACGCTTGAGTTCCTGGAACAGGATTATGAACGGACAAAATGCAAAACCGGACACGAAAAAAACCAAGAATAATCGTGATCCGCACCTTTTCGGCCGTTCGCGGCCAGTGTGTGCGAAGACGAAACGACAACGCCCGGACGGCCAACAACGAGAAGAACTGGCCGCAGGGAAGGCTTGACGCGGATGCGCAGGCGATTCTTTTGTTGGGTTGTTGTTCGCGATCAGCCCTCTCTTCGGCCCAACACCAATACCCGAAACGAAGGCGCAAAGTCTTCACGCGAGACAGGCAACAACCCCCGCCTGCGAGCTCTACCACCCCGCCCACCGAGCGGACTTCGCCGAGGCTTGTGGCCTGAAGTTGGGCCACAAGGAGTCACGCACAGGGGGCAGCGGGATACTAGAAAGAGCCTAGGCTTAGGCCTTCCGCCAACTTTATTTGAAGCGGGCCCTCCCATGCAAAGCGCTGGGATTGGGAGGCGGGGCGGACAGGGAGAGGCGGGGCTGTGGCCTCTGGTCTTGCATGGGCCCAGCCGCCGCTCGGCCCGTCGGAAAAATTGGCTGCGGAAAAATAGCTTAAAAGCTTGCAGCGTGCTTGGGGGGCTGCTTCCGAATTTGTTCGCATTTTTGCCCGACCGAAATTCGCGGGGAAGGGTCCCTCCCTTGGCTGCCGAAGGGGGCAAAACACCCACGAAAAAACCGTCGCTGCCCCAAGGCCATAAGCTGCGAAAAACCTTCAAACGCCTACGGTTTTAGGTGATGGGCGCTGGTTTCGCCGCGTGCAAAATTGCGAGCCAACAACAAGAAAAGCAGCCAAAACACGAAAGGTGCCGGGGCCGCGACACTTCCGCAGGCAGTCGCGACCGGGCCAAGCGCGCGGCGTTTCGCTTCGAATTTGCAAGGCGGCGCGCAAAGTCCCTACCAAGAGTCTTGGTTTTTTCCAGGTTTTTTTTCCCCCTTCTGGCCAATTCTTGGCCAAAAAGCGGCTTTTTGGCCAAGAATTGGCCAGATGGGGAAAAAAACCCGCGAAAAAACCAAGATTCTTGGATCGGCCATCTTTTGCGGCCCTGAATCGGCCTCGACGCCTTGCAGGTTTTTTGCCCGGCCTTGCGCACATTCAACGCTGGATATTTGTCGTTGGGCCCCTTCGCGACCGCCCGAAGAAACATCGCGGCCCCTGGGTTTTCCGCATTTGGCCTGTTTTTTTTCTGTTGCCGATTTGCAATTTCGCACGCGGCAAAGCGCCCACCCAACATACAAAATGGCAGGTGTGGATGAAGGCTTTCCCACACCCTTCGAAACATTGGACTGGGTGCGCAGGGGAAGGCAAGATGGAGAAGGATGGCGAACATGCTGGGGACTGGAGGGCCACCTTGCTAAAGTTGGGTGGGCTGGGAATGGGGATGGAAAATAAAGGGGGGGGGGGGAGGCGCACGCCGGGAAGCACCCAGGCCCCTTCGCCGATCCGGTTTGCGCGGCTGATCGCCCTCCCCTGCTGGCGCTGGGTTCGGGTTTTCCCTTTTTTTTTCATGCCGAGACCATGATAACCACCGAGCCCATATTTGGGCAACACAGAGGCGAAACCAGAAACCCGGCCTCGCCGTTGCAAGCGCAATGGCGTAACTCATTATGGGCCCCCCTCGCTAGGCGGGCTGGCAGAGCTCGCGGGCGGGATCTGCTGTCCATCCCGGTCAAAGCCCTTGCGCCTTCGCTTCGTTTGTTGAAACTCGGCCGAAGAGCAAGCGGACCGCCAGCAGCAGCCCCGAAAAGGCTCCCACCCCACATCCGCGCCAAGGCTTCGCGGCCACCAGTTCTTGGCGCTGTTGGTCGCCCAAACATGGGCACCGCGTCGCCTCACGACCCAACTCTGAACCGCCCAAAAATTGAAAATCGCAACTATTCTTGGTTTTTTTCGTGTCCGGTTTTGCATTTTGTCCGTTCATAAACAGGATGTGGAAGACGCACAACTTGTTTTAGCACCGCATAACAACCATGCCGCCGAACAACGATTTGGCGGTCCTTCAGATGAAGATCCTGATCCTACTCCGAAAAGCGAAACTTTCGGGGAAGAAATCGGTGAGTCTTCTGATGCAGTTTCTGCTTCCGACGACTCCTCCTCTGATGACCACGACGAATTGCACGATGTGGAGCAGATTCTAGACGACACAGTCGATCTGGAGGAAGTACACGTTGATGTTGAACTTGCGTCTGGGACGGAAGAACAGCATGACAAAGAACCTTCGATAAAAAAGCCCCACCTCCCGCTGACCAACCGTATAACCCGCTCAGGAATCAAATTCAGCGATATTTTGAAAAAAAGCGAGCCGCTATTTCTCAAATCGTCGCCATTTAAAGTCGCTACTTCAAAGCCCAGCTCTTAAGCTAGCTGGTCCGAAGGTCTTCCAGTTCTCTTGTTGATGTGTCCCTAAACGGTAAGTCCGCCGGTGGTATGGCGAAGGTGCCGGCGCGGTTTCGATCTTTGGAAAGGCAACACTTTATACAAGAGAAGAGCAAGCTTTTTCTGCAAGAAAACCTGGATGAGGAAGCACCCCCCCTCCAGGGGGGGCGTTAACATCTGAAATCAATCGACCTCATACCGCCGTGGGAAGGGTCCAAGAATGGACCCAAAAACCCGGCCCGTTTCTGCCGGATCCGGAAAAGTAGTTTTTTCACAGGTCCGAAAGGAAAAAGAGACCCCGCACCGTCGTGGTTAGCTTTTCAAAATCTCCAAAAGTGCGCTTTTTTTGTTATATTTTAGGTTTTTTCACAGGTCCGAGAGCTCCGAGGACCAGCATAGCACGCGGATCAACTTTCCAATTTGATCAAAATTGGCGATGGTTGTTTTTTTCGGTTTCAAAGACGAAAAAGGAAAGCAGTTGCTTTTTTTTCAAACTCGTGCTGAATTTAATACCTGAGCGGGTTATAAACCGGGTTCGCAATTTACTCTTCCCGTCCTCTCTAGACAAAGAGGAAGAAGAATCAGCGGAACAAAACTTCCTCCGAAAAAGCGTTTTCGAGTTCGAGGGCGCCCACGGGGCAACGAAGGATTCAACCGTTGTTGGAGCGGGGTCGAGCAGAGGGGCGTCGAAAGAACAGGTGGTGATGTTGACGTCTTCTTCTAGCGCTGCCGCAGTCGAGAAGAAAGCTGGAGCTGCGCCATCACCCCCGTCAAGCAGCACTGCCAGTAAATTTGAAGTGAAAAAAGCCCCGTCGTTCTTCACCCTTCAGTACCTCCCCTTCTCCGACAACCCGGAGATTCACAACAATTGCCTAATCGAGGTGAAAATGCCCCTCCGCCCGTCCTACCAGGCGATCCAGCAGCACTTAAACAAGATCGAAAACGACAAAGACCAGGCACAGATCTGCTGCCGGATGTTTTCCAAAGTGAATGGCGGGTTATATTTCGACTGGTCACGTTTTCCCTTTGTCCGCGTCGCGAAAGACCCGGCGGAGGATTCTATAGCCGCGACGAAGTACAACATCCGGGCGGGGGACTTGCTCTTAACTGTCATGGACACGGTAATTTCCGGACGGAATAGCATGTTGAAGTGGTGGCAATTCGAGAAAGCGAATCCGGACTACAAGAAGCCAGGTGCTAAAACCGCGGCGCAAAAGGGGATCACTGTAACGACGAATTCCCCTGAGCACGCGATTTTGCACAAACTAGCGCGGATGAAAGCGGGGGACATTCATTTCTGCTTGTTGAAATACGTGAAAGAGCAGGAATTTTTACAGGTGAAGGCCGACGATCCTTACTGCCTCCAAGACAGTGTGGAGTTTTATTCTATGCGGATGAAAACGAGCGATGGGAATGATTTTGCGTTGGAAAGAACAACAAATTTGGAACAATTACTCGGGAATAAAAACACGACTTTGACGAACATCGTGAAATCTGTGTTAGCAGCAACCGCGACGAAACCAAAAAATGTAGATAACTTTTCCGCTTTCACGCCGAAGAATGACAAAATCGAAAACAAATCCACAGTGGTCCACGGGGTGTTCAACCCGCCTTCTTTCCCCGCATCCACTTCCGAAGATGAGGAATATGCGAAAAACCTCGACACGACTCTTTCCACGGTTGGCGAGGTTCTCAAGTACAGCACGGACTGGGGTGCGAACAACGGGTTCCAGGTCGGGGACGAATTGCTCATCGTGAATGATCAGCAATACGTCAAATTCGCACGGGACAAGGGAGAGAATATCATCCTCGACCCCAGCCGGATTGAATTCCGGCACAAATTGATCGAAATGAAGCACCATTCTCACCACCATAGGGAAGAAACTGTCGTCGAAGAAGCGAAACACGACTACAATTTGAACTGGCCGAAATACTTGCTGTTTCGGAGACAAGGGACGAACAACGATAGTGCTCCGCAAGTCGATTTGTCGCTTGGATTTGGGTTTCCGGAGAAGTTGCGGCTGAAAATTTTAGAGAACAACATGCGGCTGAAAGTGCCGAAACCCTGGGACAACTACATCAAGTCTAGTAGGCACAAGTACAAGTGGAAAAAACCATCGACAATTTTAGAAATCGTGAACCGGTACAAAGACGAGGATAGCAATCGGAGGAAAGAAGTCGCAACAATCGCGAAGAAGTGGTACAGAAGAGGGAAGGAAATGGACAACTCGAGAATTGACCGCCCTACGGAAGTCGAAGCTGCGATTGCGGAACGCCAGACGCACCAGTTTTTGATGTCTTTGGGGTTGGACCCAAGTACAAGAAAACCAGAAACGGAGGAGCATAGGAAAAGAAACAACATTGCGAAACAACCAACCTATTCCGAAAAACTAGAGCAAGATCTGCAGAATGCGAACGACGAGGCTGATTTCAAATTTTTACCGAAAGCTCGTGCTGCAGACGAGTTTTGGAGGAAAAAGCCGGAAAACTTATCTTCGATGAAGCACATGGACGAACTCGCGACGGAAGATTTGACGGAGAAGTTGCAGGGGGTGAAGGATGAGAAAACTTTGAAGGCGAGGTTGAGAAAGGAGGAACAGAACGAAAAAATCGCGAAAAACCAAAATGAAGCGATGACGCAGTTGGACGAGCTGGCGAGTTTGCGGAAAGAGATGCTGAAGGAGGAGGATGAGATGCAACTACCGTTGCGCATGGCTTTGTTGCGGCAGCGGATGCTGGAGCATGAGACGAACATGAACATGCTTTTTTACCCGGAGCCGTCAAGTGGTGACGCAGTTGCAGAAATGTTGTATGAAAAAACCGCTGAAGATCGCGACGCCTGGCTGTTTCGGAGCATGCAAGAGTCTTCTTCTTCCAATAGTGAAACTACCGAGCAGCCCGCTACAACTAGAAGCTACGAAAGGCCTACTTCTTCCTCCAGGACGAAGCAGAGAACAAGGTCGCCGCTCGTCGTGGCTCCAAGCGATAACAAGCCGAAGTTAACTGGTCCGCCAGTTTCATCAGTGCGTGCTGCAGCCACAGTGGTTCCTCCGCAACCGCCGTTTCCAATCACAGGCAATTCCGCTTCCTCCTCTTCAACCTCCGGACGTCGAGCCACTGATGCGGAACTCAGACACGCAAAGAAGCTTCTCTCTGCTCGCGCGGGAGATGGTGCAGGTGCACAGCGATCATCTGTCGTTTTTTCCACTCCACGTTCCACTGCGTCAATCCCAACACAACCTCTGCTAACAAGTTCAAAAAACGGCTACGCGCCGCCGCCGTATGAACTGCAAAAGTATCGTACTCGTATAAATGCAATACAAATGTCCTCAGCATGAGAAATAAAATTTGTGATGCGGATTTAGCTTCAGAAAAAAATTTGTAATGCATTATTGCAATACGAGTACGATACTTTTGTACAGGATACGCCGATAAATCAGCCAAAACTCCGCGGCGGCGCACCGAAAAAACCAGCCTCTGGAACAAGTAAGAAATCCGCCACTGCACCTCCGGGCAAAGCCAAAGCCGCGAAAGCAAAACCGAAAGGCAAAGCCGCTCCAAAAAAAGGCGTTGGAAAAAAAGGTAAGCCACAAGTCGACCCTGTCCGGTTAGAATTTGACCACAAATTTCACTCCAAGCCGCATTGGAAGAAAAAAGAACTCCTCCATGAGAAAGAAGAGCTGGAAAAAGAGCTAGAACACCTCCACCACGAATACGAACAAGCGCTGGAACAAGGCCACCAGCACGGCTTCACCCCGGAACTGATGCACCGGGGGCAGGAATTAGAGCATTTGGCATCGGAGGTGACGAAGAAGATCGAATTTTGGCACGAGGCGATCGAGAAGCACGTGCCGAATGAGGAGGAAATTTTGGAAGAGGAAGAGGAATTGAAAAAGGAAATGGAAGATATTCCATTACAAAAGCACCGTGGTAGTAATCAAAAATCGCACTAAAAATTTTTTCTAGAGAAGAATACGCAGTTTGTCATGCTGATTCCCATACAGGCCATCGATTTGTCATGCATGGCTTCGATTTTTCATGTTACGAGCCCGTTGCTTTTGCCTCGCATAGAAGAACTGAAAAAGCAGGAGGAGGAAGCGAAGCAAGCAGAAGCAGAAGCGGAGGAGAAAAAACAGCTGGATGAGCAGGAAAAAGTCAAACAGGAAGAATTAGAACGCGAGAAACACGCGGAAGAGGAGCTGGAGAAGGAGAAAAACTACAAACGATCCCCCGCCGGCCGGATTATCGCAAGGCAACAAGCGGAGGAAGAGGAAAAGAAGACACAGCTGGAGCAGATGGACAAAATGCACGAGCGGATCGAGAAACAGAGGAAAGAACGACTGGAATTGTTGGAGAAGAAAAGGGAAAGAGCGGCAAGGGAAAAAGAGCAGAAACAGGAGTTTGGGAGGAATAAGCCGTTTCTCCTCCCTTATCTCTTAAAAGTCGTCTCGTTCAACCACGATTTTCCGCCGGAATTGTACTCGCAGACTTTGATCCCGGGTCAGAAAAAAACAAATCAACCAGAACCAGGAATTCCCCCCAAGGAGTTACAGGATTGCTTCATCAAATTTTCGCAAAAAGACGTCGACAAGGCGATCATCAAATCAAAAGATTTGAAGTCGTATGAAAAATTAAGGCAGATATGGGGCTTCAATCTCGATTGGTCCGAGTACCCGGTGGTCAGGGTCGTGGATGATCCGGATTTCGGGTCTGTCGGCCACCGGAACAAGTTGAAAGCGGGGGATATTTTGTTGCAGGCGAGCAATACGAAGCCATCGTCGATAACGAAGTCGTGGAAGGGCAAGCACCAAGACGAGGCGATGTTGATGCGGATGTATGACATCACGAAGTTCCATGAGTCGAAGAAGTATTTGGACCTTCCCTGTATCGACATGGTGTTTCTCAAACGGTCCCACGAGTTGTGTTTTTTCCAGGTGCAGGCGAACTCCATAGAGCCGGAGGAGGGGAGTCTTGGTTTCAACTGGGGAACAGGGAGATGGAACGCGAACAAGCCTTTTTCCAGCCTGGTTGATGAGTGTACTTTGACTCACGTCGACGTCGGGTCCTGGGCGAGTAAACGACAACTAGAGCAGGGAGACAGACTATTGATGGCGAACGACGAGCTTTTAGGGATAAAAACGTGGACGGCAGAGGGGCATGCGAAGAAAAAGGACAAGAAGGAAAAGGACAAAGAAAAAGCGAAGCGGAAAAAGGACCGGGAGAAGCAGCGGAAAGCGGGGGAAGAAGTTGACACTTCTGATGAGGATCAAGAAGAAGAGCCGAATTGGGAGGACCACATCGAGGTGCTTTTCCCCGAAGACGTTTTGGTCCGAGCGGACGATGACGAGATTTCGGATGAAAACGAAACCGAGGAACAGAAAAAGGCCCGGAAGGCGAAACAAACTAGCCGCACGACGTGGCCGAAGCAGTTGTTGTTTTTCCGTGCCTATCCCGGGTTTCCCGAAAGGCTTGTTATCCTCGGTTCCGAAGTGAGAAAAGGGTACAAGGGGCTCCCGCCCGATTGGGGGAAGTATGCATACAAGATGCCGTACAATTTGAAATTCCGGAAGCAACGCACAATCACTGAAGTGATGAATTTAGTCGAGAAAAACGCACAGAAAGTGGACCGGAAACTCCGCGTCAACGTCCGGGATTACACCGTGGGGCCAAGGTCGGAGGAAAATCTCGCTTTCATCCAGGCGAAGGAGGAAACGGAGAGGTATTTAGAGACGATCAAGAACAAAAAACTGGACAAGATCGTAGAAGAAAAGCTCGACATCGTGAACGAAGAAGCGGATGCGATCAACTTCGGCCGGGGAGGGGGTTATTTGAAGTCCATTTGGGAGAAAGAGCCGGAGGAGGTTTTCGACGCGTTACACTCCATCGCGATGAAGGATTTGGAAGACATCTACGAGGAGATCCGGATGGAGGAGATGGGGGTTTCTGGCGGTGTATCAAGTGCAAAAATGTCTGGGTCTGGAAGACGAAGATTGCCAGGTTTGTCATGCATATTTTGCATAACCCGTGATGCCTGTAATGCATGGCCTAGCATCGCAGATTTTTAAAGGGCCTTCTGATGCGTATTCCGCATGAGAAACGCCCACTCCCCGTAGCACAAACTGAACTCCCCGTCTTGCTGGTCATGCAATACAGATTTTTTTTTACCTTCCAATTCCAAAGACAGCATCACAAGTTGCAAGATTCCAGACCCAGACATTTTTGCATTTGATATCGTGTTGGTGGCGCTCTGAAATCCTTCGAAGTTTCCGCCGTGCAGAAAGACGCTGGAAGAAGTGGCGGTGCAGCATCTTCCCCCTCGGGTTCGAAAACGACCAAAGCGACGCAAAGAGGAAGCAATAAGAACCAAATCCCGCCGAGACTCCGGGCGAGAATGAGCAATTCCCAAGTCGCCGCGATGATGAAACTCCGCGGGCAGCAGCAGAACTACTTGCACCAGAATTTGAAGAGTCCTGGGAAACATCCGAAGAACGCCAGACAAGTTTTTTTGAAATTGCAGCAGCAGCAAATGAACGGGAGTCTCGGGTGCAGGGAGAATTTACCGCATTTCATCAGGCTGTTGATCATTCTCGCAAACTTAGGGACGATCAAAACCAAACACGCGATGAAAATGGACAAGTTGAGGAGGGACCGGGAGAAGGAAGGCGGTGGTGATCAACAGGGTTTTGAGGAAGAGAAATTGGATGAAGAGGAATCGAGTTCTTCCTCTTCCTCCGAAGATGAGTTCCAAAGCAAAGCCTTATCCTGTGCAAAAGCATCGTACTCGTAGTAATTGCAATCATGCATTACAAATTTTTTTCTCAAGGTAAATCCGCATTACAAATTTCATTTCTCACGTTGAGGGCATTTGTCATGCATCTATACGAGTACGAGTCTTTTGCAATTCATAAACCTACCACGAGCACGATCTGTGGAATTCGAACCACAAACACTTACCCCACCCGGATCACGAACACATGACGGAAGAAGAAAAAAGGGAGTATAAGAAGATCCGGACCAAAACGACAATCGACACGAATGTGTTGTTCCACTATCTCTCCATGGTTTTGGACTGTTTCAAAAACTTCTGCGACGAGCAACTGGTGTTACAGTGGATGGTGGAAGCGGTGCTAAACATCCACAACTTGGTAACTAGGGAATTTCAGAACATTTTCGACATTCAGAAATTATTGTTTAAAATCCTTTTCGACGTGCTGCAGTGTTTAGACGCGTATTGCGTGGACTTCTCGTTTCTGGATATGGACAAGTCGAAAGGCAAGGGAAAGGGTGCAGCAGGTGGTAGTTCCTCGGTCGACGACCAAACTGCTTCGTCCTATGCCGCTGGTACTGCTACTAGTCAAGATGAAGAAAAGCTCCGCGGCTACAACAACTCGGCGGACCAAAATGAAAACGCCGCTGGCCAGAAACTCTTCGAGCAATATCTCCAGTCGAACATCACGAATTTTGAAACGAAATCCAAAGTGGACATGAGCAGCGAAGATAAGGAAATGAAGGACTTCTTCAATCGGTGCCCAGGGCGGAAAACTTTGAAAAACAAGGACTTGCACTTTTTGCACACGAGACTGCTGCTTGGGTTTTCGTTGACAGCGGATCCGTTCGACGAGTTACCGATCGAGGTGATGAACTTCGTGCTGGATTTCTACTACTACAAAAGGAGTTTAGGCTATGAGAGTGCACAACTCCCCCTCCCCCTCATTTGTCATGCAAAAATGCCAAATCCTGTCTGAGCCTCTTGGCTGTGCTTGCATGACAAGTTCTGGAAACCCAAACTGCACTATGCTCCGTGCGCGGATTTGTAATGCAGAGACTGCAGTTTTGAGGTGGTTTCTGTTGCTAGAAATGCACTACAAATGAGGGGGAGGGCGAGTTTTGCACTCTCATATAGGAATTTTAAACACAACCGAAGTGGAACACGTGATCCACTTGGTGATTCTCGCGCAGGAATCCGTCAACCACATGGACCGGACGAGGCTCGAGCATATTCACAGCAGGAGCACGTTTCCCGTACACGCACGTACTACTACAGATGATGACCACGCATAACAAAAAACTTGTCCTACCTCATTCAGCATTACAAATCACTGTTTTTCATAGCTTGAACCAAAATTTGTCATGCATTTCGTGCATGCACGGTAAATTTGTATTGCATACAGCAGGGGCAGTTCGAAGAAACCGACGACCCGTTTCACGACACCTTCGGCTGGGAATCGTTTGAGCAGAGGAATAAATTCCGGTTTTACCGGTTGAGGGAGAAAGTCGGGATTTGCGTCCACGCACTGCAACTGCACAAATCAGACACGAGGATTTTGCTGCAAGCGTTGCTGTGTTTGAAGCATTTATTTGAGGTGGACACCGTGATCAATGGGGTTTCTTCTAGCTCTGTTTTGGAAGACGAGCGGTTTCACACAACTTTGCTGTTGGACCAATTCGTTCGCTCATTTGGATTTTGGAAACACTTGGGAAATCAAACAAGAGCACTAGAATGCGTGGAAATAACCCCGTCGATGGCAGCTTTTTTCGCGATTTTGTCGCTCGATGGGCGGAACCAGGATTGTTTAGGGTGTTTGATCCAGATTTTGGATTTGTACCCTTTCGAACGGAAGTTGCAGTCTATCGGGTTGCAGATTTTGGTGAAACTCGTGATCGCCATTGACCACATCAACCGCATCGTCCACATGGAGGACCAATCATCGGGTGTTGGCGCGACGGTCGGCGCTGCGGTCGGCTCTTTAGTCGAGGGGATCACTGGGGAGTCAACCGGAAACGTGCAGAATCGAGCGAAAACACTCCTCGGAAAAGTGGTGAAAGGCGTAACCGATACCGCGGCGAAAGCGGCCAAAACGGTGGCGAAGAATCTCCCCTCCGGTGTTCGAAACCAAATGAAAAAAATGAACGCGCCGGGGTTCGACTCGGAGTCTGGTTCGGACACCGAGGGGCGCCATCACGGCAGGGTAGATCCCGAAGAAGCGGTTTTGGACGAGGCGTATTACGGCAGAACGTCTCTGTACCGCAAGAAAAAACTTTTTAACTTGTGATGCATAAAATGGAACACAGAACTATTTGTCTTGCTACACCAGCAAGACCTTGACGTTGACTCTTTAAGGGTGTATTCCCTTTGGAAGGAAGCATGGCAAATTTTCTGTGTCATGTGTAAGAAACTTGTGATGCAGATCTTGCAAAACCATCACAGTGAAACAGTTTTTTCGTGGGATACTCTAGAGAACCAGCTCAACCAAGTTCCGAAGTACTTCTTTCAGCCGGGGGACTACGGACCGTTGACAAACGCGATTGAGGAGTTGATCGTGAAGCCGGTTTTGCACTCGGGGGATTCGCACAAGGACTTCTACCCGCCGGAAACGCCGAGTGGAAGCGAGGAGGAAGGAGATCACGGTGGACATCATGGAGGTAGTAGACACCACGAAGTAACTGGAAGTGGTGCAGCTTCGGGCCCTTCAGGTCCCGGTACAGGAACCAGGGCTAATCTCCAACGACCCCAGCTCCCGCATAAGAAGAAAAAGCCACCCAATTTCCTCGTCGCGGGCGTCACGAACGCGGTTTCTTCCGTGAAATCCGCCATGCATTCCACCCTGAAGCAATCCGAGGCGTTCGGGCATCTGGTCCAGGACATCGGAGAACACGTTTTGGAGGACGTGGAAAATGTAGTTCCCGTGTCCGAGTTAATCTCCACGAAGAAACACAAAAAACACCAGAAGAAAAAGATCAACTTCGAGGAAATCGTGGACAAAACAGTCCATTCCGGCGATAACCTGCTGTCGAAATACCCTCTGTTTTTGAAATCACTGACGAGATTAACCCATCTGGCGAAATCCCGTTTCGCAGATTCCAAAACCATCGCGGAAACGTTTTGCTTCCTCCATTTACACTTTGACGACTTCGTCACCGCGAACGACACACCGCAAGTTTTGGATCTCCTCCGGCAGTTCGCGGAGCACGAGGATATCGTGCTGTCCTGTGTGCGGATTTTAACGAGGAATTTTGATCTCCACCCCTACGTGGAAAAGATCTCCGGTCTCCACGACTATCTCGGCGGGCCGCAGTACGAGCCCGGGCATTTATTCCGCGCGACGATGATGCTACTCGATTTGAAATCCGGTTCCAATGATTCCCAACTCAACGGCCGCCCGGGGAAATCGCACATGGACGCGGTGAAGTCCGCGATTTCGCAAGTCGGGGAAGTGTTCGACACCCCGGACCACAAGCACTTACATGATGGAATCAACGCGAAAACCGACGCGGGTAGTATGCTGCAAAAGGCGAAAACGGGGCATAGGAGGAATAAAGTGCGAAAACTGGCGAATTTGGACGACGATTATGAGGAGACGAACTACGAGAAAATCGCGACGGCGTTGCATTACGACCCGGTCGTGCGGGAATTGTTGACGCACAAGATCCAACAGCGGAAGAAGGAAATTCTCCAACACGAGTTCGACACGCAGGCGGAGTTGATGAAGGAGGCGAATGAGAACATGCAGATGGGGAAAGAGGCGTTGGAATCCCGGTATATTGCGCTTCGAGCCAGGTTTGTGAAGCAGTGGCGGGAGTTTTTGTACATAACGGAATACCCATTAAACCGGAAAGATATGAACAAAGAGCAGTTTTTGTCGTTGGAAGAGAAGAAAAAGTGGTGCAAAGACTTGCGATACGCATTGCAAAAGTATCGTACTAGTACATTCTTGCATTACAAATTCTCTACTCAAGAACGAAAATGCGATCTGTCATGCTAGATCCGGTAGAAAAATGGATCTGTCATGCGTGATCGCAATTAGTACGGGCACGATGCTTTTGCAATGCATATGCTCGCCAGACACCGTGCGATCAACATGCCGGAGGAGCCGAAGCCGGGCGACATTGAGTTCTGGTCGAGCGAAGAAGATGATGATATCGGGCTATTAGGAGGGAAGGTGTATCGGAAAAAGGCAACGGAGAAGGAGTTGAGGGCGAAGAAGTTTTTCGATCTGGGGGACAAGGCGCTGGAACCGAAGATGTGTACTTGATGTTTTTTCAATTTCTTCATCTTTGCACGATTCTTGCATTTTTTTCTCATGTTATCTCAGCACTCCCACTACTAAACTTGATGGAAATTGTCGTCGTCACCATGGCTTGTTTGCATCAATCACAATCAAATTAAGTACAAAAAAAAAATTACCAGCCCGCTACATCGAGCTTCGGAAGCAGTCCGGGTTGGAGAAAAAAGTTTTCCACGCGCAGGATTTCAAAGTTCCCAACCAGTACCAACTCTTCGGAATGACGAGCGAGCTTGAGCTCCGGCACCTAGGACACAGAAGACACGACGTCGACCACAAAATCGACGAGGAGGAGGAGGTATGAACTGCAAATATGTCTGGGTCTGGAAGGATGTAACTTGTGATGCTGCGTTTGGATTCCAAAAAAATCTGTATTGCATGAGTAGCGAAGGAAGTGCAATTCTTGCTACGCGGAGAGGGCATTTTTCATGCGGAATAGGCATTCAGAAGCCCTCGAAAAATCTGTGATGCTAGGGCATGCATCACAGGCATCATGGCGCATGCAAAATATGCGCGACAGGTCTCAGGATCTTCCAGACCCAGACATTTTTGCAGTTGATAGGAGGGGCAGTTTGACGTGGAGAGGGTCATTCAGTCCTTCGTCGGGCACAGTGGCGGCGGTAGGCAAGCAGGCAGTTCCGGACAGCAGTTGAACTTAACCAGGAAGACGGACGGAAAAGCGGTAGTTGCGGACGTGGAGCAGGATTCTTGGGTCCGGACGAAAAAGGAACTACAGTTGCTCGACGCGGTGCAAACGGATGACGTAGACTTCGAGTTCGACGCGGAGAACCCACGGTCCTCTTGGTCTCTACACCGAACCCACGACACGCGGTTACTCTGCTCCGCGATGTTGCTTGTCGTGAAGCGGTATTTTTCCGCGAAACTCAAGGGGAACAGGATCATTCTCTACCCGATTCTTGTCCTGTTCGAGATCCAAAAACGCGAGAAATTCGGCCGGCAGCAGATCATGGAAGCGGGGTTTGACGTGATTTTAGTCGCGTTGTTACGGCACAGGCTGAACGATTTGCGGAGGACAAGACACACAGCATTAGCGCAGAACCGGTTTTTCACGTACGGCTTAACGAAAGATGCCGGGAATGAGAGTAGTACTTTCGCGAACGCGCACACCAGTAAAAAGGGGCAGAATAATCACCACTCCATGTCCGCGAACCACTTGAGGCAACATCTCGACGGAATTCAGTCGCATGACCATCGGGCGAAGCACGTCGCAACGTTATTAGCGAAGGACGGGCACACGGGGACGCATAGTCAACACGATCAAGGGCATGGCCATATGACAGTGCACAACTCTCCCTCCCCCTCATTTGTATGGCATGAACAGCAATACAAGCATCAGCAAGAATGCCGGTTGTGCATGACAAGTGTGCACTGGACTAAAGGGCTATTTGGGCTACCAGAACTTGTCATGCAAACAGTGCCAAGATGCGCAGCCTGGATTTACGATTTTGCATGACAAATGAGGCGCGGAAGGGGGAGTTGAAGTTGTGCACTGTCATAGGCCACATCGGCGGGTTGAAAACGAGAAGTAACGTCGTGAAGGAGCTCTACCGCAACCACCACGGGTTGGGGTCAACGGTGGATAAATTTGAGGGGAAATACGGGGAAGATTTCCTCCACGAGACCTCCATGTACCGGCACATGCTGGGGGAGGACCATGACAAACAGCGGAATGCGCTGAAAGACCGGAACGGGAAGATCCCGAACAAGCACAAACATAGAAGATCGGCTGCTGCGGTGGAAAATAATGCAGCTGAAAATTATGACAACGCCGATAACTATTCCGACGAAGACACCGCAGCCCACGCAGTTGCCGCGGTGGTCGGAAAAGCGGGCCAGGCGATCGGCGAGGCAGTGCAGGGGTTGAGTGACGTCGCTGGCGGGATTGTGTCCGCGTTGACGAAACCATCCAGTAATCCGAATAGTAGGTCTTCCACATCGTTATTTCTGGAAACAAGATACTTCGTGCTGGTGATTCTCAACTTCCTGATCCACTTGGTTTCCCCAAGTCCCTTGACCCAAGAACCGGATCAACCACCCGGGGTGCCGAGTCCGGCGGAGGGGGTGGTGAAGCATAATTTCGCGAAGGAGGAGGGGCTGGAATTGCTATTCGAGTTGATGCGGGAATTCTACTACGAAGAGAATTTCACGGCGATAGAATTTTGCCTGGCTTTGCTCGGTATGAAATGCAGAAACATCGTACTAGTACGAATTGCAATACAAATAGGCGCAGCATGACAAATGGAATTTGTAATGCTGATTTAGCTTAAGAAGGAAAGTTGTCATGCGTAGCTGCAATTAGTACGAGTGCGATACCTTTGCACTGCATACTCGGAAACTTGTGCACCGGACCGCGGCAGTACGTCGCGCTGATCAACGAAAACGTGAAGAAATTGAATGAAAACGGGCGGTTTCAGTCACTGTTATCAAACGGAAAAATCCCCCCTCCCCATATCAAAACGAAGTTTCTGATGCTGGATTTCCGTACACAAATCAGAGCTGTCTTGCAGTAGAGCATTGCAGGCGTATGCCCTGCCTGAGTACAGAACGTCTGACGTGGACGATTAGCATCACAAATGTCTATGCTGTAGCCCAAGCAGCATCACAAACTGCTTGCATAATGTGGCGGAGACTGTAGAGTTGCCTTCTTGCAAGACACAAAGATTTGTGGTCACAAATCAGCATTACAAATTTTCTGAGAAGTACCTTTTTGATATGGGGAGGTGTGATTTTTCCTTACGATAATTGTTGAAACACGTTTTGGAGAAATACGAATCGAGATTGGTGATTTCCGCCTTACCCCCGTACCATCGGTCGCACGTGACGGAGCGGATCAGGCGGATCCTCGCGCTGTCGACGACGATTTCCGAGATTGATTCGGCGAAGACGAATGGGATCGACATGCACGGGATTCATAAGAAAGAGGAAAAGGAGTTGTGGGAATTGGAGAAGGAAAAGTATGAGAAGAAGAAGCAGGAAGCGGAAATTTTGAAGGATAGAGATTTGATGAACTTCCTGCTAGTGGATTTTTCTTGAATAGTATATAATGCCTTTTGCGCATGACAGATTTCGTTTTGCGCATGCACGAGGCCGCGACCTTGTACAATTAGATAGAAGCAGTAATAGTTTCGACAAAAGAAGCTACGGAACCATGACTTCCAATAGCGATCAGAATTTGGATTTTCACAAAGATAGCGAACTTGTTTCAGAGTCAATTTTTTACGAAGAAAAATAGCGATCAGAATAAAAGCGAGCAGACGCTGTACGCGGCTGTTAGAACCTTTATGTTATAGCGATCACAAGACAAATCACAGGCAGAGCTTCTGGAAAATTTAACTGATTTTCCGTTTCGAGATGGAGGTACTACCAGAATCCGTTCCAAGAAATAGACGTCGATAGAGAACTGCTGCGGCAAGAAGAAACAAATTGAACGTACAAAATTTTCGTTTGCGCGCAGAACATCGGTCTTCGAAGTAGACACTTGAAATTCTGTCCATCGGCGTTCGAAATGATATGAGAAAAAAGAACCTAATGAGCGTGGCCGTACCAGCGAAATGTAGACTGTACCATGAGGAACGTTGAGCAGTAGAGATGGCGTGATGAAGAGCAAGTCGTTCATTCTGAATTGGAACTAAGTATGCAAGAATGCGCTCGGTGTCGTACAACTTTTTGTCTCGTACAAAATATAAAATGACGTATACGCTCGCTCCGATCGAAATTTATAACGTGCATGTCCTGGTATTGGTAAAAAAAATGTCGGGAGACATAGTAGCATAAGCAAGGAAGCGATAACAAATTCAAAAACATCCAATTACACACAGTGAGCCCCCCTGGTGATGGCTTCAGCTTAGTCACGCACGCATAATTCTGAGCATTGCCACATTTACGCATGTAGTTGTAAAAAAAATCGTATACAGTATACGACGAGCACGAGTTTTGGACTTTTTCTGCCTGTGTTGCCCAAGGTGTAGGAGTTTCTCTACCGAGGACAACCTAACACAGGCGTGCTGACACTGTAGTTTCCTGTATGATCTAGTAGTAAACGCATTGTTTCGCCCTTCGAGGTTTATTTTGCGCAACAGCACTGTACGATCTTCGCTAGTAGTTTCCACTACGCATAACGAACACGACACACTAACATACATATCGCGACCGCGAAGTACATACTGGAACTAGGGCTCTAAACTACGCTGGCTGTTGTACTATCCCAAAGCAATTTTTTCCGTAAGAACAATACGTGGTACAAAGCATTAACTACAGAGATTTTTTGTCCTCTGCCTTGTCAGCGCAAGCGGATAAGTAGAAAACATTACGACGAAATTTGAATTTCCTTTCAATCGAGTAGGACGAACATCAGGAGACGACTAAAAACTTCTAGCAGAACTATTTGAAGACGCTGTGGGCACATCCAACCTACCACCATGTCCGACAGCAGCACGCGGGACTCCGAGTCCCCCATGCGCAAGCGGAACAAGGAGGCAGATGACGAATTGAAGCACATTTCCAACTCGGCAAAAAAGCAGCAAGCCGCCCTAATCCCCCCCGCGGACTGCATAAAACCGTCTAGTGCTTCTACCACGACATCAAAGCCCACTCCTTACACCAGACCGGGCGCGGGTCAGCTGAAGAAATCCTCACCCTCCACCACAAACGAATCTTCTTCCAGCAAGTTCTTCCGGTTGTACACGAAACCCCTCCTCCAACAAATCGCGACCGCCTGCAACCTCAAGCATTACCAGGACTTGCGGACCTTCTGGCTGGTCGGGACGTATTATTCCCTGGTCGCGTGGAGATGGTGGCTGTACAAATTCGATCCGAGGTATAAAGCAGCGGAGGAACTGGTCCCCGGGAAGTGGAGAATCACACAATATTTACAACAAGAGGTTTTGAACCCAGCGGTTGCGAACGAATTACCGTTCTTCTCCCAGGAATTTGGGATCAAAACAGCAATCGGGGTTCTTGATTTCTGTTGGATCATTGCGGCCTGCTCCTTCGCGTTTTTTTGCGCGACGATCGTGCACAACTGCATCCACTTCGCGCAGTTCAAGAACTACCACGTGAACACTCTGTGGAACATCGTTTTGACGCACACGTATGGGCACCCGGTGTCGACTTTAATCCCCGGGCACAACTTGTCGCACCACAAGTACGTGCAGACGCCAAAGGACAGCTTCCGGACGACAAGGATGCGCTGGAGGTATTGACAATTTTTTAGTGTTTACGCATGACAAAAATGTATCGCATTGGTAGGAATTGCATGACAAATTTTGGAAAAGGAAAAATGCAATTTGTAATGCTAATGATACAACAAACTCTATCAAAGGTACAACCTTATCAACTGCCTGCTCTTCGGGGTTTCGGTCTCCTACCACTGTATTCCTACGGACAACAAATACTTCATGATCGCGTACTCCAAGGGGAACGTCTGGCTCTACTACCGAATGCGCATCGAACAGGTGGCGTACTACCCATTGCAGGTATAGAATGTGGTTGTTTTTTGATTTTTCTTTGTCATGCAGAAGCAAAATTTGAAAAGTTGCCTGTCATGCAAGAATCACATGCAAACAATATTACAAAATCAAAAACATCTATCAGATCTACCTGGCCTACAACTACTTCCAACAATGGTGGTGGATCCTTCTCATCCCCCAGCTCTGGGCCAAGCTCGCATTAATCACCATGAACATGCTGCAGCACGACGGCTGCTTGGTCCTTCGCGAGCTCGGCGAAACCCCGGATCCCTACATCGCAAAGGGAAGTCAAACCGTGGTGAAAGAAGAAGAAAAGTCTGTTGATATCGAGAAGAAAAAGGAGGAATGGGAGAAGGTGATTTTTGACAAGGACGTGCTGGGGGAAAAAGCGAAACAAGAACTGGGCTCGGAAACCGCAACTAATTTGCTGAGCCGAGTTTCTTGCTCTCCCCCGCAGAGCGGTGTTGCTGTTGCTGCTCGACCGATGTCGGAGGTTGAACTCACAGCAGCTGCATTAGTCGCGGAACCAGCACCAGTAAAGGTTGATACGAGTAAAATCGAGAAGGAAGTAGATACAGTAAACAACGACAAAGAATCGTCCACCGATTCCACGAAGGACAACTCCGACGACAACACAACGACAAAAGAAATCCGGGATGAAAACGGCAACAAGCTGTGGGATCCGGACTTCAACTTCGCGCGGGATTTTGTCGGGGAGTGGATCAACTTTTTCACGTGCAACAACGGCTTCCACACAGCGCACCACTTGCGGCCAAGTTGCCACTGGACGAAGTACCCGCAGATTAGCAAGATGCTGGTGGAGAAGGAACAGCACCCGAATTTATCAAATGTAAAAATGTCTGGGTCTGGAAGAGTCATGCTGTTTCTGCATGACACAGAAGGTCTGGCATGGAAGCTCTAGCATCACAGGTTTCGAGAAGCCTCCGCAATGCCGTTCCTGCATGACAAATCCGCCATTTTGGTGACAGAGAGTGAGCAGCTTTTGCTACCTATGCATGAGAGATTTTTGTGTGTTCTGAAATCCGCATCACAGGTTACATCCTTCCAGACCCAGACATTTTTGCACTTGATAGAATTTGCGAGTCGACAATCTAGTCACCTACGCGTTCAAATGCTTCGTTTTGGGGAGAAGGATATCAATTGCAAAAATGTCTGGGTCTGGGAGAGTGTAAGCTTGTCATGCAGTTTTTCCATGGCCCATGAGGTCTGGAATGCGGGACTTAGCATGACAGGCTCTGCGAGGTGGACGTGGAGGTCTCTGCCATACGTATCCTGCATGAGAAACTCCTTCCCAACTTGGTCGAAAGTGGAAAGCTTTTGGCACTCATGCAACACAGATTTTTGTATGCTCCAGATTTACCATGACAAGTTACCATCTTCCAGACTCAGACACTTTTACAGTTGATAGAGGATCACCTGGGACGGGCGGCCGTACTTCCCCAACGAACCGGATTATGATGTGGATTGGGTGGACGTTTTTTTCTCAAATGTCGCGGACGCGAAGGACAAGTTGAACTGATTTGTAGTATCGGATAAGAGGAGGTGCAGCAGGAGCTCTGGTTGAGGTTTATCTGGTGTTATGAAGAGATGACGAGACGAGCTTCCCTAGCATCAATAAGTTCATGGAGCTTGATAAAGGAGGTGGTGGCAAAAGTAAAGGTAGACCTAAGTATGCTTTCTTCGCTAATGCACTTAGTTTATTTCCATCGCTATGTCTTAGTTTTAGATTTGAATTTGCGCCGCTAAATACAACACCTTGACTATTTTCGACGTATATAATTCCGCTAATTCTTTTCATGTTTCGACTTGTTTTGCCAAAGACAGCAGCAAGCCAACATGTCAAAAACCGGGAGTCCAAGAAGAGAGGATCGATGTTGCGGTCGGAAATTCAAATTGTTGAGCGCTAAGTGGTCGCTGTTTCTTTCAGAGCAAGTGCACGCTTTCGCTTAGCAATTACTGTCCTGCGCAACTACGAATTTGTCTCTCGACTCCATTGTGAAGTTTATAAAACCCTAATTTTCCGAACAAGCACGCACGCAATTGATTTACCATGTGCAATTGGATATGGACTGTGGCGGTGCCTTTTATTTGATACCGACCAGCCCCACCTACTAACTCGTACTAGCTCTGTGTGAAGAAACTACGCTACTTTTCTTTTATCCTTGTCGAGCAACATCAAAGGTCGTCGTCAACTCTTGACGCGGTGAGGACAAAAAAACGGGCAAAAGATCCTGTAATGCTTTGTACTTCTGAAGAATCTGACTCACAAACCATCAACATTTCAAAACTCATACGAAAATCGTCTTTTGACGAGTCAGTGGCGCAAGAGGGTCGCTTGTGCAAGACTCGGAGATAAACCGCGAGAGTTAGATTTGCTTGCAGGCTTGTTCAACCAAGTGTCGTCTTCTACCTGTTCTGCTGCTAGCGTGGTCGGTTGTTCAACGAAATGATAACTAAGCGGCGGTCTGTTGAAAGCGCGGCGGTGCAGGGTGGGCGCGCGTCCCCACTGCACTGGGGCCCCATGGCCGCCCCTGGTGCCCTCTAGACTTAGTTGGGCCCATAACTCTGCGGATTTTCAATGGCCAGCCAATCGCCCAAGAGCCGTTCGCGGCGACGTTGTTGCTGAGCCCCAGCAACTTTCCCGCAAAGCAAATAGCGACGGGCTTACGTAAGTCGGACAACCTGTTTGCAGTGGCCAGATTTTGCAGCCCAGCAGCTTCCGCGATGGCGATCCAAGAGTCGTCGATGGGCGCGCCGGGTGGTGCGAGTCGTGCCCGTGAAAGAGAGAGCGCGAGGCATGCGCAAAAGAGCGGAAAGGCGAGCGCCACCCCATTGAGGAGACGCACAGGGCGAAGGTGCTCGGGGGGCCGAAACCTTGGGCCTGCGCCTTCAAAAAAAGCCAAAAAAGAGGCGCCCGCCTTGCCCGGGCGCCTCTGGTTTCTTTGGGGCGGGGGCCTTCGCACTGGGCCGCAAAGCGGCAAGGCGCGGCGGCAGCGGGCAAGCCTTGGCGGGCGACGTTCAGTGTTGGGGGCCCGCCGCAGTTTCCGTGTTGCGCCCGGGCCGACGCCGTTACTGTTAGGCTGCTCGGCCCTGGCGCCAGCGTGTCCCGTCGCCCTTTCAAAAAAAACCCAACGTCCGAGAAGCTGCTGGCGTGGCCCTTCCTTCGTTTCCTCTAGCAATCGAAGCCGCTGGCGCGCCCCAGCAGGCGCGCTCCGTGCGGTCAGCAAATCGAACGAGCCAAAATTTTGCTACGCCAGCCGCTGCCGCTTTCGCCGTCTGCCCCATCCTGCCCCCGGCCCCGCCGGCCTGCAGTGTGTTCCGCGCGCTTTTCGCAGGTCCTTTGCCGGCACGCCCGCTCCGGCGCGCGTCATATATTTGCGCGCCGAAGGCGTCGGCCGCCAAAGTTGGCGGCGCTGCCCTCATTGCCCCAAGGAGGCCCGCCCTTTTTGCGCTGGAAGGCGGCGCCGCGTGGATGCATGGCGTGGGCGGCCGGCTTTGGGCCTGGGGGTCATAAATAGGCCGGCCCGGCCCCCCGAGGCGCGCAGCAAATGCGGCCCCCCGTCTTCGTGCCCGGCCCGGGCACCGGGGTGAGTCGTTGTGCCCCCCTTCCCTTGGGCGGGCCCGGTGGTGTGGGTTCTCCGCCTTTGCACGCCCGCGCCGATTGTCTCGCGCCCCACCGTGCATCCGGGCGGCCGCGTCCGTGTCTCTGTTTGCTGGCGTGGTTCGACGTGTGCCTTCAGTGCGCGCAGCGACCAGCGAGCTCGTTTTCCGTGTTGATCCGCCGCACGCCGGCGTCCGGTAACCCAGCAGTCTAGCACTCCTTTTTGGCCTAGAGGTGTTCGGTGCTCCAAGATCAACAGGGGGCGATGTCTTAGTGCCGTCGTCCGGTGCTGGCAGCTGGCGAGCCCATCTTTTCTGTCTAAGTAATGGCCCGAACCCCTTTGCGCCACGTCGTTGAGTCGGTCCGTATCTATGTACTAGTTGGATTAGTATCCACAATATGTCGCGGCATTTTGCTCGTCCCCACATCATGTGGCTTCAGGTTCAGCGTCACCTGTCGCAGCTCGTGCATGGTCATTTTTGAAAAATGTCGCCCCCCGACGTCTTATGGATAGAGCAGAGGCATTTTCAACGCAAATCCACGCAAAGTGTTGCTCAACTGCAACTGCCGACCCGATTGAAACACACTTGTTGATGAAAAGTTCAGGAGCGACTTCACTTGCACTTCTATGTCCACTATTGCTGCTGCTAACCCTACGTCGACAACAGTAGTGCCATTGGTCTGTCCCGCCCTCAGCGCCAACATCATGTCCAGGTTGTTCCTCGTTTCCGTGGCGTTGTATTACAGCTCTACAAAGCTCCGTTTCGACCACGATTTGGTCTTGCGACGGGAGAGCAGATACAACAACCTGGCCGGTTCAACATCTTCAGCTTCCTCGTGGTCGACGAGTAGAGACCAGGAGCTAATCAAGGACGGCGCGCATGGTAGAACTGCAGAGAAAATAAATCGGGGCAGCAGCAGCAGCAGCACCGGTTCATCCAGTCCCTCTTCCGACCTCCGCCTTCGCCGGACGACCTTATTTTGGGATCAAAATCCTCGCACTGCTGGTAGCCAACTGCATGGAGCTACAAAGGATAAGGAGCAGGATGAGCAGTTGCGTCATGCTGCGAGGCCGAAGTTGTCATCTTCTGGAGCTGGTGGCATCACAAATCCTTTGGTGGACGCAGCCCAGCCAACAACAAAGCTTGTTGAAGTGCCAGTGGTGAGTACTACGGGCAGGACTTCTACGGGAGTCGCGACCACGAGTGGCGGAACAACCGCGACTTCCTTGCTGAAAAAGAAAAGCAGCACAGCATCCACCTCTTCTACATCAACCACTGCTGATACTACCGCTGCAACAGCTGCAGCAACGTCTGCGCCCCCAATTACCGAGCCACCCGAAAACGAGCCCCCAGCAGGAACAACTAAAGCGCAGCAGGAAGCGCGAAAATCACTGAACAAGGTGATTCGCACCGCAGCTTATCTGCCTGAAGACAGCGAGGTGAGGAGAAAATATTTGGAAGCGAACCCCATAGCGAGCGGCGAACCTTCTGAGACTGCAGAACAATCCCAATCCTCAACATCAACATCAACCCGGAAGCAGCTCGCGTACATGATTATCACCGGCTGCGACCGCTTTCACGTCATTGCGGACCAAGTCGAATCTTTGGTGACCAAGCAGAACGTGCCTCCGTCCGATATCTACGTGATGTTGACGCGTTGTCAACCCGAAGCTATTTCCCAAAACGACCCGGCGTGTCCGCGGTTCAAGGACGTGAACTTTGTGTCGTTTCTCCCGGATGGGGTGTTTCAGGACTATGCGGGGACGGGGAAAACAGGTAGCGGTAGGAGACTAGAGGAGGAGGAGGAACATCAAGGTGAACATGATATGGAAACAAGTAGGTCTGAACCGAACGACAGTAGTGTTAACACATCACCAAGTGGCTCTGCAACCGCTAGTACAACCTCGCACCCATCACACGTTGACAGCAGCGGCGCAGAGGAGCAACGTGCAGGCCCATTAACATCGTCTTCCGCTACATCTTCTGCAACAAGAAGACTCAGTGTCGGTGCTACAAGCGGTGCTTCTACCTACCAGTCCCCGGAGCAGGCGGCCTACCACAACTCACACAAACACACACAGGGCGCTATCAAATGTAAAAATGTCTGGGTCTGGAACTTGTGATGCGTGTTTCGGATCCTACAAAGATCTGTGATGCAGAACGTGCAAAAGGTGCCGACTTCTGGCCATGCTGACTGGGCATTTCTCATGCAGAATACGCATTACCAAGGAGCTGCAGAACCTGTGATGCGAAGCCCTGCATTCCAGACGTGGGGGAGCTTGAAAAAACTGCATGACAAATCTCGGAATCTCCCAGACCCAGACATTTTTGCATTTGATAGGCGCCGCGGTGGTCCATGTGCAGCAGCATAGTCAGAACGTTGTTTCCCAGTCCCAGAGAGAAGCTGCTATAGCGAAAGCCGCAGCTCCGATACAACTACCTCGTGGCGTACCTGATCTAGCCCTTCCGCCGTCCTCCTTTACAGAAACGCGGAGCGTGCAGCAACTAACCGGAACGCATCAAATACAACAGCATGCACAAGTCCCACGAGGAGCAGGGACTCCTGGCGTTGCTCATCAGGCGAACAACAACCCACAACCTCGGCCCAAACCCCCAGCACCGCCAGCGCCCCCAAGTAGACCTTCGCCACCGCAAATAAACAAACCACATGGCAAGCCCCCGCCAGTGATGGACGCGTTAGTGCTCACCCAGCACCAGGAACCCTGCACCGGGATTAGAAAAATGAAAAACGCGGGGGGCATTTCGGTTTTCCCGGCTTTGAATTCAGAATATTGGAATGACCAGAAGAACGGGTTTTACCACATAACATCCGATGCCGGCCCGAACGCGAAATCCCTTGCAAAACCCAACCAACATTTATGGTCGGTGATCCACGTGCGGCTGCACATCTACTACATGTGGGCGTTGGGGTTGCTGTTTCTCTTCTACGATCATGTTGCGGTTTTGGAGTATGGCGTTCTCAAACGTTACATTCTCAACTGTTACATGAATTTGTGATGCAAGAATGGCAACAGTCAAAGGGGCCAGCTTCCTGCTTTCGCATCACAGATCTGGCACAGATTTAGGTGCTGTTGAGTCCTTCGGAGATTTGTCATGCGAAGCAGCTTGATTATCTGTCGGCTTAAGGTAGTTTTGCATGACAAATCATGTAACAGCTGAGAATGTAACATTTGAGAACTCCATATGGAGGATGACTTGGATGTGTCGGTGTCTTTGGATATATGAATTGCAAAAGTATCGTACTCGTAGTCGTACTACTACGACTTGCAGTACAGCATGACAGAATCGGTTTCTTAGCCAATTCAGCATGAGAAGTTCCATTTTCCACCATCTGGAAAAAATTTGTAATGCCATTTCTAGTAGCAGAACTAGTACGATACTTTTGCACAGTATAAGATAAATTTTTCCGCAATTTGATCCCGGTTATGGACGAGGACTACTCTTTGATTTCCGTTTCCGCTTGGAACGACAACGGCTTGGAGGTCACGAAAAACATCCGGGATTTGAGTTCCACTTCCGCACGACCTGCACCCGGGAGTGGGACCACACCAGAAAACAGGAACTCCCGGCACGACGCGCTTTACGTGTTTCGCGAGAACCACTTTGGTGGCCTGGGGTGGATGACCAGTCGACGTGTGTTTGAGTACTACTTGATCCCGTACATGTCGTTTGAGCGGCTGACGTCCGGCTGGGACACGATTGTGAGTTTCATTATTGACAAGCTGAAAGTAAACGCGAAGACGGGGTATCCAATCATGATGAACGGTAACAGCCCCGCACTTTTTGGGCGGAAGAAAACGGGTAATCCCAGGATCGACAACCGCAAGTACTACGCGGACGAAATGACGGAAATTCTCACCTACCATGGCATCGACCCGGGGAAGGAAATGCGGCAGAACGTAAAGCAGTACGAGAAGGATCACGAACATTTAGCGTGGCCCTGGGAGAAAACGGAGAGTGGACAATTGCCGAAGTTGGAAGTGGTAGGACATGATCATCAACAAGCATCGGGCACAGGTACAACAACTACTTCTACTGCGAAAACCGAGCAAGAACAAAAGGAAAAGCTCTATCGGCACATCGCCTATCTCGAAACGGGCCCGGGGCTGAAGCACTTTCTGTTTGAGTTAGAAAAAAGAACGGACAAGGCGGCCCAGAGGATCGCAATGTTGGTCAAGTCCAGTTACGACCACTACGAGGAAGAGACTCTGACCAGGGTCTCCTCCCTCTACCCCTCCGTCGGACTCACGCACCACCGCACGACGAAAACCGGGATCAGTGTCAAAACGAAGCAAAACGCGAAAGACTTGGACAAATTGTCTTTTTGGGTTCCGCCAGTCGTGAAAATACAACAACCGGCTGTACTACCGGGAGCGCCTGCGCCTGGTGGTGGAGTTGTTGACCCTGCTTTATCATCCGCGGATCCGCTTCCCCTTGTGGAAGAGAGAATCCACGCGAACTCTGAGACCAAAGACTACCTATGCAATGTGAATTAGAATTTTCCGTACATGTACAAAATGCATGACAAATTCCGCTAATCTTGCAGTGTCCAACTTGTCATGCTAGACTAGGATTGAAGGCAAGTTTTGTCATGCAGAGACTGCATTTGTAGTTGTACGTGTACGGGAAATTTCCTGTGGACACTACCTCGCTTGGAACTACGAAAACTACTTGCGCAAGGCCGTCGGAATACCGCCGTTCTTTGTACAAGAAACGACGAGCACGACATCTGGTGGTGAAAATCTAAATCAACCCAGCAACGCGCACCTCCGTTGTCTCTACAACGCCTTTTCCGACACGGACAAGAAACCCTGGTCCTGGATGCGGCGCACCTTCCACATGCACGGAGTCGGCTGGGGGGAAACACTATGTAGTGGAAATTTTCGTCGTTGTACGCTGTGCATGTCCAAGTGCTAGAAGTGCAAAGCGCATGACAGATGAAACTGCTGTTCTTGCCGACGACGTTGTAAGTAAGTAGCTGCTTCAGAAACAGACACAAGAATCGCTCCAAAATGGTGGCAAAATTATTCCTCCATTTTGCATGCGCACAACCCCGATGGACGAAAACTTCCAATCCATACCCTCCCAGACAGGCGTACAAGGGTGCGGAAGTCGTTTTCAGCAAAGGAAGCTACTACTGGGTGGTACCGCGGTACAGCCCCTACTACATGGAAACCGCTTGCCGCGTCTGTGACCGCGCCTTGCTGGAGCACGGGCACCAAATTAGCGGTGGCGCGGTGGACCAGGCGGAGTTCCGGAAATTGTTCAAGTTGTACTTGTCACTCGTTTCCCCGAGTGCGGAGAGTAGAGCAGCGGGAGTTCAGCATGGCGGAAGTGGAAGGTCTCTTTCATCAACGACCACGGGGAGCAATTCGACGGTAGGAGGTGGTGAGTCAGCTGGTGCAGACAACGGCTTACCAACACCAAAAGTGGCTTCAACATCACATAACGACCGTGGTCCGTTACCCGCGTATTGCGTGCACGGCCCACTGCCGACGTAGGTAGAGGGTGGTTTTGTTGGTGCGGCGATCATCGGTAACTAAAAATGGCGCATGAGGACGAGTGAATAAGAACAAGAAGGAGCGCTAGGAATCGTATCTTCCGGCGTGGAGTGAAATAAATATTTTCCGTTTCGTCCCTCTTGGCAAGAGGGACGAAGAAATCTATACAAGTAAGATGAAAGTGCAACAAGATCGCGTAGAAAAAAGGAAACCAGCTTGGCAATCATACTTACGCCAATACCCGGTCAGGTGACGTGCGCGACCAATTCTCGCTGAATAAATCGGATTTGTTCTTCGTTCTCCTCAGGCGTACGTAGCAGCACGCATAGGTACAGGCGTCTTTGTCGTCAGCAGGAGCAGCGCCATACATTGAAGCGCACAGAGCAAGTCGGCGCCCGCCGCCGGGCCTCGCAATTTCTGCGAACCAATGGGGAGGCGGAGGCACGGGCGGAGGCCGTGGCTGGTTTCCCTGGCGCGACGCCGTGCGGCCCGTGCTGGGCGGCGGCTTCTGGGGGCGCTCCGGGGCCGCACGCATTTGCTTGCAGGCAGATGCTTCGGCGGGGGGCCTTCGTTTTCTATCTTCAGGCCCCGCACCGGAAAGCGGCGCGCATTGCGTTTCTGTTGCCCTCCGTGCGCAACATGGCCAGCCGCCCCATCGCCGCGGACCCCATGCCAGAACCGTGGCCCGGCGCAGGCACAAGCCCGAACTGGGCGCGGCCGGTTCGACCTGGCCCCCCCCGGCCGGCAGGCCTCCCTGTCGGTCCCGGCGCGCCGGCCCGGGGTGCTTGGCGGCCCGTGCTGCGCGGCATGTGGTTTGGTCCGTGGGCCGACCGCCCGCGGCCTTTGGTGTTGCCGTTTATTTTGAAGCACGGGGGCGCCGCGGCGTAGCAGCCGCGCGCCCGCGCGTCGGCGACGGGCTTTGTGGGGGCCGCACGCGCGGCGCCCGCCCCGCCTCCCCTCTTTGCTGGCGCAGGGGGGGCCCCGGGCGCCGCGCGGGGGGGCGGGGGGCGCGCCTGCCTGCGTGCCAGCGAGCGCCGGGGGGGCGTGCATGCCGGGGATTTTTCAGCTGTCAAACGGCAGAACCTGCGGCAGGGGGCGCCGGCCTGGCTGCTTCGGAACGGACGAGAGCGGAAAGCGTGCGCCTCGGTTGTCCAGTCTTTGGGTGCTGTGTTTTTCGTGTCGGCAAGCCCGGCGCGTCAACTTGCAGGTGGGCCCGTGTGCCTGCCTGCAAAGGGCCAGGGCGGGCCGCTTGGCGGGGCGAGCCAGGCCACCGGCCCGCGCCCATGTTCGTTGGCCGGCCCCCCGCCTGCCCCGCCCCGACGGAAATTGCCCCCGTTGTGGCTGCCGTAGTTTTGCCCGGCGGGCGGGCCCGTGGTCGTGTGTTGCTAATTGAGCATGGGGCCGCAGCGCCTGCGCGGCCGGCTGTGTTCTCAGTCTCGTGGCGGGGCTGCCCGGTGTCTGTTGCCGCGTGGTTCATTGTGTTGCGCGCGCTCGCCGCCGGCTTTTTCCCCGCTCCCTCGGAATGGAAAGTTGGCGCGCGGCCCCTGTTGGGTCTGTCGCGTGTGCTACTAGCGTCGTGGCTGGCAAAAAAATTCGTGTCGCAGGTAGCACAGCCTGTGCGCAGTTCCCCACCCACGGTCGGCGGCCTTTCATAGTAGGGGGCCCGCCGTGTGTGTCCTGCGTTTCATCGTCTCAGCAGCGGTGTTGCTTTCTTCCTGCGCGAGACGCGTCTTCACAAGCCAAAGGAGGCGCGCCTTGCTTCGTAGCTTGAAAGCAAACGAGGTAGCGTTCTTGTGTTCGCAGCTTGAAAAAACGCGTATTGCTCACCGGAAGCCTCAGTGCACTAAGTATGTCTTTTTCATTTTCGTAGACGCAGAACAAAAGAAAACTCACACGTTGATGTATATACTCAGCAGCGCGCTATACTCGATGCCGCTCTGTTATTCAATACTAAAAAAGGCATCGCTCATTTGGGTCGTGGCCACCCTCATCGTGGAACTTCGTCTGAGAAATAATAAAAACAAACTCCTTCTCGTAATCGTCATCGTGTGGGCCATCGTGATCGTATTTCAGAGTTCATCTGCGCACACAATAAATTGTCGACCAATGATGCTCCTCGAACTCGTCTTGCTATTTCGCGTCGGTTGCACAAAAAAGTTGCTCTTGCGTACTTCAGCGCTCATCTTGAGGTGCTGTAAAAGCTCCGCATAGTGATCGAGTTGTGGCCAATCGACTGCTAGTTTGAAAACCAGCGTAGACGGATTTTTTTTCTATAGCTTTTCGAGAAAAAAATGCATTTACTTCTACGTCGCTACTCCTCAAACGCCCGACGTCGAGCAACCCCTTTGTTCAGTCGTGGCACTGCAGCTTCGATATATTAAACTTCGACGTAAACCTAAACCTCTTTAACTTTGTTGTGCGGCGGCTTTCATGCTGCTACAACTAATAAACGCAGGCGAAAATAAAAATGGCTGACACGATGTCGCCGCCGCCAGGACGGCGCCAAGCTAGAAGAAACATGCTGGGTTATTTTTCGCCTGCTGTGTTGCTGCACCTAGGTTTTTTCTTCCCCCTGCTCGTCGATTCGAACATCTCGACAACCGAGACAAACACGGTGACGCCATCGACCGGAGCTAGCTTCTCCGCGGATATCGAACTAGTTTCAACAGCACCATCCGACGCGACCCAGCCCCAACAGCTGCTCACGACCTCGTCTTCCTACTTCAAAGTGGCCTTCTCGAAGCCGTCTAATGAGGTGCTTTTTCTCAAACCATTGCAGCACTGCTCGCCCTGGGGATGCGGCAGCCGGGCGACGGTGGGGCTGAACTTCGGGATCTTCGATTCCGAGGGAAACGCTGGGTCGTACGAAGATAATGCGATGATGAACTACGCTGGAGCTGGAGGTGGCAGTATTAGTGCTTCTGGCATGACAAGCTCGTGCTTCATGCTCCCGATCGACCCGGATGATTTGGTGATGGAAGTGGAGGAGACAACTCCTGCGAATGACAAGGCCAGGCAGACTCCTGAGAATAAGGACCAACAGCAAGCCGCGACTTCGACAACAGCAACCACAACTTCCAAAGAAGTCGTCACCAGTACAACTTCTAAACCAGATCCTACTTACGCTCGGAAAATTTACACCGTGGTTTACTGCAGCAGCAGCACCAGTCAAGATGGGACAAGTAGCACGTCGTGGTTCGGAAGTGCTGCAGCCGCTTCAACATCGTCTACTGGGACTGGCGGCGCCGATGCAACAACAGCAGCCCAACACCATTCCAAAACAGCTCTGAAGCCCCAACTCCTTGACAGAGGTGTTGCGATCTACGAGACCAGCGTTTCCAGCACGACTTCGAGGACCACAGAGGGAAACGCCGAAATCGATTTCGAGCAGACGAGCAGATTCCTCGACGAAGCCGCCTGCAAAACTTTGTTTCCCAAGATCAAAGACGAAGAGTGTGCGGCGGCTATGGAGACGAAAGAAACTGTCGCGGTGGTCAAGGCGGCGGGGAAACTCGGATACCTTACGAAAACGGACAACGGCAGTGGGCCAATTTCATCACGACAAACAGGAACTGCTGCTGGGACAACTGCGAACAAGAATGCCAAGGACCAAGAAGACCAAGTAATTTCCGTCCGGTCCCGGCTCCAGGACGAGTTGGGGTTGTTTGCGATGATGAAGGCGGTGGTCTTTTACGAAGAAGATCTGGTGAACGGGAACGGAAAAAACATCTTCCACCAACCGATAAGATTGAGTCACCCCTGCTTCACAATTGGATCCTCTTCCGCTGGTTCCATGCAGATGAACACCGGTGTTGGATCATCGGCCGCATCGGCAATCTCCTTCCCCAAATGCAGCGTTAACGACGAGATCTGTACCAATTTTGGCGACACGGAGATCAGTACGGATGAGCAGGACGAGATCTTCACGAGTTTGAAAACGGTCAGTGATGCCACGAATGGTTTGACTTCTTCTTCCCCGGGTGTGGCTATCGCTTCTTCGATCACGTGCAGTCCGAAAACGTTCGCGGAGGCCTTGATCGCGGCTTTTTGGACCTTACGGGAGGATTTAACCGTCTTGCCGTATGAAGAGGAGCACGGGGCTACGAGTAGCGACAAGGAAAGTCTTTCCAAAGAAAAAACTACTGCAGCTCCGAACTCCGCCCAGCATGCCAACCTTTCTGACTTGTACGGGCAAAAACTCGGGGCCTTTTTGCTCCAACCGGTTTTACCTCCGAAAGATGACCATAGCGGAACAAAGGCGAAAACGGCCACGACCACTTCCGCTATTGACGACGATGAGACGGCCGCGAATTCCGATGTGTACCAGAACGAAAATGTGGAAACTTTGTTCGGCACTTTGAAGGAAACGGACTATGTGCAGCAAGTTCTCTCCATCCACGCGTCTGATGTATCGATTCTCCCAGCGAACTTCCTTCCGCAACCAGCGGTGTCCGGCGGCACAACTGCCACGACGTTTTCCAACAGTCCAGCCAGCGCCGCATTTGATGTGGGCGTGCAGAACAGCGATACGTGGACGGAGATTTTCGCTGCTCAAGAAGGCTCCGACAGCAGCACATCAACGCAGCCGGTAACTACGACGCAGATTTCTGAGTTCCTGAAACCGAACCACCAGACACTGTTCATCAAGCTCCAAGTGCAGCGGAAGAACCCATTGGACGGAACGAGGTTGCAAACCAGCTATTTGCCCGGTGCGACGAAAATTGATCCCAACAAAGAGGTGGAAGAAACGACAAATACAGAAACCACAACAGTTTCCACCAACCCCTACGTGCGGTTACTGGGGGAAAAACTACACAAGCACCACCCTCTCGCGAACAACTTAGTCCCCGATGCGAACGACATTACGCAATCCCACCAGCAAGTTTCCGAAGAGGAGACGAAAAAAGGGCCGATTGTGGTGGACACAGACAGTGTTTTTTTACCACCGGAAAGAACGAAGAAGAAGGTGGTCATCCTCTATTTCGCCTACACGGGCTGCCCCTGTTGCCAGCGGTTCACCCCGCAACTCGCAGAGTGGTACAATGATGGGCTGTTGAAGGACACCGAGATTGTGTTTGTCGCGCACGATAGCAAATGGGAGGACGGGGTCAGTTACTGGAACTTGAAAATGCCCTGGTACATGCTACCGCGGAACGGAATCGACGGGAAGAAATTCACGACGGAGGGGGAATATTTCAAGTTAGTGGAGAAACCATTACGAAAATTCCCCTGCACCGATTTGCAACAGAACAACGAGTGCCCGGTGCAGATCAAGCGGTACCCGACGCTGTTGATGATCGACGCGAAAACAGGGCAGTTCATCCGGAAATACGTGGGGGACGGAACGACCTTGAACAACATTTTGGACTACATCCCGGAAGATGATGAAAAACCGTATGAATTGCAAAAGTATCGTACTCGTAGTAATTGCTGTTGTGCATGACAAATCTCCTTCCCAAGGTAAAACCGCATTACAAATTTCATTTGTAATGCTAAGCAAATTTGTAATGCAATTACTACTAGTACGATACTTTTGTAATGCATAAACCGATCACCACTACAACGGCGGTTCCGGTGAATTCTATGAAGAAACCTTTTCCGCAATTCAACGCGAAAGAAGCGATTAAGCGACAGGAAACCGATATCGCAAGAAAAAACTGTTTCACTGTGAACTTGTGATGCAGAGAATGGAACACAGAACCATTTGTCTTGCTACACCTGCAAGGCATTGGATGTTTGAGCGTGTTTTCCCTTGGAAAGCGCGCATGGCAAATTTTCTGTGTCATGTGTAGCAAACTTGTGATGCGGATCTTGCAAAACCATCACAGTGAAACAGTTTTTTCGTGGGATAACCGAGGTCATGCTGTACATCAAAGACCACAAAACTGACTTTGTCCCGATCGAGCTCCGGCAGCTGGGGGTAAAATCATCTCTCTTCGCCGATTATGCATTGCAAAAGTATCGTACTCGTCGTATAAATGCATGACAAATGTCTCAGCATGAGAAAAAAAATTTGTAATGCGGATTTAGCTTCAGAAAAAAATTTGTAATGCATGATTGCAATACGAATACGATACTTTTGCACAGGATACCGATAAGGAAGAACGGCGGCAGTTCAACGGGGCCTTTCCGTGGACCAGTTTGATCCCAGATACGAAGTTTGAGGTGCGCGACGCCTATCCAGGAAAAAAACTGTGTAAGTGTAACTCTGTAGGAAGAACAGCATCACAAATTCGTTTTGCATTACAGGGAAAACCTGGCATGCGCAGCTAGTAGGTGGAAACACGTATGCAAGTTGCCTATGACGCACATCCAGCATGACAAGCGTATACAGTTTTGGACTTCCTGCATCACAGACTTACACTTACACAGTTTTTTTGTTGCATAACGGCAGGGAATACTTCATCAGCAAGGACCAATGCGACGATGAGGGGTTCGCTATCAACTGCAAAAATGTCTTGGTCTGGAAGTAGGATGCACCAAGGTTTGTCATGCTTGTCTGGCATGACTGCAGAGTTTGTAATGCGTGTCCAAGAAGAGCGCCTTTTGCTTGGCATGCAAAAACGCAGTTTGTCATGCGGAAAAGCTAACGCGAAGCCGCGTAAATATTTCTCATGCGTAGCTGTGCATTACAGAGCATTCACTATTCCCAATGCACCATTACAAGTTTCCGGACCCAGACATCGATCTTTGCATTTGATATTCGTGACCCGGCTGCAGAAAATTCTCCACGCGTCGATGCAGACATTTTTCAAAACGCCGCGGTCGGATGAGGTGGAGTGCTTCGTGGTTTTTTCCTTTGATGAGTTTGGAACGAAGCAAAATGGGAACGAAATGGTGGACTTCTGCACAAACGTGATCGCGAAAGGATTGCTGCGGAGAACAGTTGCGAAGATTTTGGTCACGGCCTATTTTTTACCGAATCACCAGGGATTTGCGAACTTCCGGATTAGAGATGCCAGATCGAAGTTGGCACTGCCAGTGGTCTTGGCGGATACTGCAGCTAGTAGTGCTGCAGCGGCGGGAAACAAAAAATCGGGTAGTAGTACAACTTCTACTGCGCCGGAAGCTGCTGCTGCCACAACTAGCGCAACGATCACGACAACCGGCGCTGTTGTGATCGAGAAGAAGGAAGAACAAGAAAAACACGACCAGTCTGAAGAACTACTCGCAAACGTTTTCCCGTCCGTTTACCTGTCCCGTCGGACCCGCGCGACGAGAAAGATCACGGAAAATTTGGAAAAGACCGCGCGGTTTTGCCAGGCGGCGTTCGGACAGGGCAGCTTCGCCGTGGCGGATAACTCGATTGCAAACCTCCCGACGATTGATTTACTGGAGCATGAAGTAGAAGAGGAACAAGGTTCACCATCTTCCAACTGGTTTAGCCTGAGCAAAGCGTCCTCGCCTTGGGAACGAAAAACCTTTTTCGGGAAGCACAACCTGGTCCAAGGGATCCCCGCGAACATGCAATTTACGGAGGAGCAGTACAAAAATCTAAACTTCAAATTCGCGGGGGAGATCGTCTGCAACATGGGGAACAACTACCCGCTGATCAGACCGGAAAAGGCTGTTGCAAAAGGACTCTTACCGATATGCAATGCAAAAGTATCGTACTAGTATGTATTGCATTACAAATTAGCCCAGTATTACAAATTGAATTTGTAATGGTGCTGATTTCCCTTGAGAAAGAGATTTGTAATGCATAAATGCACTTACTACGAGTGCGATACTTTTGCACAGGATAACCGAAAGGATCGGGTGAATCATCTACGATTTTCACTACAGTCGAGGAGAAACGATTTTTGACCCTAAACGCCGCCCCGACGGAATTGATCGAAAAGGGAGAAGATAAAGCGGCGGGGGGCAGCAGTCGTGTGATGTTTCCGGATTTGGTGATTGCGAAGAGTCAGATCGAGGAGAAATTGGGGGCTGTGGATCTGAGTGTGCTGTGGAAAAACCATTTGCTCGCCTGGTGGGGGGAGAGCGTTCTGGGGGAGACGGAAGTGCAAGTGGAGGAGCTGAAGAAATACTTGGTGAAGACAACTACAAGCAGCGGAACTACAGACCCGACTGACGTGAAGGTGAGCGACGCGGACAAGGATGGTTGGCAGGATTTGGTGAAAGAAAAACTGAAAGCCGCTGCTCTCGCTGCAGATACAACTGTAGATGATGTGAAAAGCGAGAAGGAACAAGCCGCAGATGGAAAAGAACAAACGCCACAACAAACAGGTCCAGAAAAGGACAAACGCGGGAATATCCGTTTTACGCTGCCGATCATGGCCCAACTGCCGGATGTGACGCTCCCGTATGGACTGCAACAGTATCGTACTAGTATAAATCGCATTACAAATTAGCCCAGCACGACAAATGGAATTTATCATGCTGATTTGGCTTGGAAACGAGATTTGTAATGCATGACTGCGATTAGAAGTACGAGTACGGTACTTTTGCACTGGATATCCCGTTAGAGGACATGAAACTCGCGTTACACCGGACGAAGAGGAAGTTTAGTCACGAGGATGAGGTAGAAGCCACGACCGCAGACCCCACGACCTCCGGCACGACGGTCACTTCTATGAGAGTGCACAATCCCCCTTCCCCCTCTTTTGAAGGGCACGAAAAGCAGCAACACAGACAGAGGGAGAAATGTGCGTTCCGCATGACAAATCTGCACACGGATTGTACTACTGTAGTTTGAGGTTCCAAAATCTGCCATGCAGAGAGAGCCTAGAGGCAAGATGTGGACTTGGTATCCTGCATTACAAACTTGGCGGAGACAGAGGGGGTTGTGCACTCTTATCACCTCCGTCGGCCCGGGCCGGATTTCCGGGAAGTGGAAACGACTGCAAAAAATCGGGGGGAAGAATAAAAAGAAAGGCAAAGACAAAGGTGCGGACGCAGGGAGCAGCGGTCAGCATACGAAGAAAACCACAGGTTTATCGAATGCAGATATGTCTGGGTCTGGAACAAAGCAACTTGTCATGCTAAATCTGAATCATGTAAAAATCTGTGTTGCATGATTACCAAAAGCTGTCCACTTTTGACCTACTCGCGAGGCAGTTTCTCATGCAGGATAGGCACGATAGAACTCTTACAGAATTTGTCATGCTATGTCCTACATACCAGAACAAGACCCGCACCCGATGGGTCATAGAAAATCTGCATGACAAGTCTGGCATTCTTCCAGACCAAGACATTTTTGCATTTGATGAGGTTCCGGGAAAAGCAAGAACTCTTCTTCGAAAAACAAAAACGAAAATTATGACAGCAAGAGCCACGAAGTCTTGCAGTCCGACGAGGATGATGATGAGGACGACGAGCGAGATTTCTCCCGCGACTTGACTACCGAACCACTGCTCTCCGACGCGACTTTGGATCCGAGTTACATGCTATGCATTGCAAAAGTATCGTACTAGGAGAAATTGCATTACAAATTTTGTCAATAAAACAAAAGTGCAACTTGTCATGCTAGTTAGGGTCGAAAATTGAATTTGTCATGCATGACTGCAACTACCACTAGCGCGCTGCTTTTGCATTGCATACATGCGACTTCGGGACGCGTTTCTCATGATGCTGGTGGACCAGTCCGCTCTCGCGCCGCCGGAACATGGGAGACTTGAGTTCGCGAGAATGGGATTGTTCGCGTTGTATCCCAGTGTAACAGCAGCAGAGGAGGAACCTGCCGAAGGAGAAGAAGGTCAGTCTTCTGACGAGGAACAGATTACAACTACCAAGAAGCCGAAAGAACAAGCGGCATCTACTTCAGACGCTGCTGTTGCTACACTCACCCCGGACTACGTGTGCAAACCTTCCTCCGTTTACGCCGAAGACTTCCCATTACTCTACGATGACGTCACCCATGTTTCGGACGACCGCATGGTGGACGAGTGTTTATCCGAGATTTTCTCTTTCCCGCTCGCGAAACCGGATGACAAACCGAAGTTGCTGAAGTACCACGTCGCGATTGACTCTTTTCCGAAGCACGGGATGCACAACGGTGGCGGCGCGGCAATGTCTTCGTCCGATACCAGCAATACAAATAAGCCCATCCTCGTCCCGAATCTCATCACGCTCAAAGTCCGGAAAATCCAGGGCGAAATTGTGGACTGGGAGGTCCCGCGGATTTTGTTGGCGGAAAAGTGGAATTCGGAGCATATCAAATGTAAAAATGTCTGGGTCTGGAAACTTGTGATCATGCGGGGTGGCGTCTCATGATGAGGCCACAAATGCTGGCTCAGCGTGGCAGGTTTCTGAGCTTCTAGGTATTGCCTATTCTGCATGACAGACTGCGTTTGTGCATCACAGAAAAACAGAGCTCCTGGGTAACGTGCATGACAGATTCAAGAGTCAGTCATGCGAGGCAAGCATGACAAGCATGCACTGTTCCAGACCCAGACACTTTTGCACTTGATAGAGCAGTTGAAGATCCAGTTCCTCGGCAAGTTCGCCCACTCCATTTTCCCCGCGGGGACTTTATCTGTTGGAAATGTGCGGAAATATTTCGAGAACGACCACGTCAGGTTGGTGTTGCGGAAGGAGATGCGGGCGAAAAGAGTGTCTTCGCCTGGAACTACGGGTAGTGCAACTGGTGCAGACGCGACTTCGGTGAAAGTGACCGTTGAGGAGTCCATCAACGGGGACGGTTACCAGTATCTCTTCACCGAAGACTATCTCCGGAAAATCGCAGATTCGCAAACCGAGGAAGTTTCCGTGGAATTGAGCGTCGTAGCGGACGCTGTGCGGGTGCGGAAGGCGAGTAAACCTCCAGCACAAACGGAGGAACAGAAGAAGGAAGAGGCGAATAAAAACGGTTCAGGTACAGCGACCGGAACCACAGCCACAGGCGTCACCACTCCAGCAGGCGGCCAAGTTAGCGGACAGAACGCTGGTGATCAGCTGATGTCACCGAGAATGATGAATAATGCAGGAGCCGATGTAAACGATCTTTCCCTCACCCCGGACCCGCGAAGTTTGAGTGGAGGATATCAAAAGTAAAAATCCCATCTCCCCATATCAAAACGAAACTTCTGATGCTGGATTTGGATACACAGATCACATTTGTCTTGCAGCAGAGGACTGCAGGCATATGCCGAGCCTGAGGCGAGAGGTTTTGACGTAGGTGCCTAGCATGACAAACGTCTACGCTGTAGACCCAACAGCATCACAAACCGCCTACATACTGCGGTCAAATTTCTAGAGTTGCCTTCTTGCAAGACAAACAGGAGTTGTGGTCACAAATCTGCATCACAAATTTTCAGGCGCATGCGTTTTCAATATGGGGAGGGGAGATTTTTCCTTACGATAGAGCAACCGGGTCCATCCCGAACCCCGATCACAAATACTACCTGTCCGCCATCGTCGAAACCTTCTTCGTATCAACTGCAAAAATGTCTGGGTCTGGAAGAATGCAAGTTTGTCATGCTTGTCTGGCATGACTCGAGATTCTGTGTTGCATATGCACGAAAAGCCCCTCTTACCTGTCATGCAAAAATGCAGTTTGCCATGCGGAATACGTAACACAAACACATGGCAGCCAAAAAATTTGTCATGCATAGCTGCGTATTGCAGTGCGTCCATCATGATTCACCTTTAGCATTACAAGTTTCCAGACCCTGACATTTTTGCAATGCATACTTCGGGGTCGGGATTCTCGCCTTCATCTTCTCCGCCGTGGCGTTGTGGCGCTACACGAAGAACTATGACAGTGCACAACTCCCCCTCCCCCTCATTTGTCATGCAAAATAACCAATCCACCCTGCTTTGCCTCTTGGTACTGTTTGCATGACAAGTTCTGGCAGCCCAAATAGCACTACACTCCAGCGCAAATTTCTCATGCAAAACCGGCATTCTTGCTGCTGCTTGAATTGCCGTTCATGCTATACAAATGAGGGGGAGGGGGGGGTTGTGCACTGTCATAAGAACGAACTTGCGAAGGCGAAGTCGAAGCGTATGGGGGGAGCCGGTTCTCCTATGAATATTAGCAGGAGCCCCTCTGCAACTGGAACAGGAGTTCTTGGGAGCCCCTACATGGACCACCACCACAACAGCAATACCAAGCACCTCATCATGTCGACTAGTAACCAAATGCAGCTCGGCGACGCAACGGAGGGGGATGGCTTTGGCAACGCGGGCGCGGGGCTGGGCGAGCAGTCGGTTAGGATCCCCGTGCGGCTGAATTCGGCGAGCCCAAGCAACTCGGACACTGCGCACAGTCGGGAGAACAGCAAAGGCGCAACTTCCACTTCGGGTGGTCCTGGGAGGATGCAGCACACGTCGTCGACCAGGGGAAGCAGTAGAGCGAGTGTGCCGATCTTCATTCCAAACCGGTTGTTGAAAAATCAGGAAAGGTCGCCGGGGTCCTCTGATAGAGTGACGGGGTATGGGACGTTGTGAGGCGATTTTGTCGTCGTGAATTTGGCTTGCTCGACGAAATCGGACGAAGGAAAACTTTGATACCGCACCAACAAAAATGAATCATGGTGCACACGAGAACAAAAAAACGAATGAAATTGAAAAGATACACGCCTGATATAAGTGACTTACTTTCCTATGCGAATTTTTTGAATATTGTTTGACTTTGACATGAATTCAGCTGTATCTATCGATGACCTTATTTCAACGTATAATCCAAAAGCTTTATGATATGCGAGACAATCTAGTGTACCTTTTCGCTCGGACGCGGACATTGTAGTAATGCCCTGTAACACTATCAATTTGTTGTAAAATTAAACTGTATCGAAGATATTCCAAGCTGCGACAGGTGACATCTGTTTTATCGAATATCCTGCATAGAAGCTGCAAGGAGAAATGAAGACTACGATAGAAAGCGCGCTCTTTGATATGCCTTGCTGCAGCTCTTTCGGTTTCAAAGTGTCTTGTTTCTCAATTTTCGTTTGACTTTGAAACTTTATCACCGCATCACAAGACAAGGAGACACTTACAGAGATTGAGGCAGATACTTACCTGCTTTTAGCAATGAATACAAAAAGACCGAGTTGTTTCGTGAACAAAATTTGTATGCTTTTTGGATGGAAGATTGTGTTTGTGAAACAGGCCGGAATGCGCTACACGCAAGCGCATGCGCGAACGGCACAACCGCTGTTGCCGCGAAGAAAAACACTTCAACGCGACGGTAGAACGCGTCGTGTTCGATTTTTTTTTGCAGAACGCACAGAAAATCTTCGAGAAAGGAGAGATGAAGTACTTAGATCTTTCACATGGACGAGAATCATGGCTCGGTCGCTTTTTTTGGACTTTCTTCTTGCACGAAAGAAAAAATCTCTGGTACTAAATCAGCCAACTACGAGAGAATGAGACTAGGGGCTAGTTCTACTGCTATTGGCTTATTTTTTGTTCAAGGAGCTAAAGCACACGAAATCACTTGCCGTACTAAAGAAAACAATACCACAGAAGCAGGAACCCGCACTCCAAGTTGTACAGCCTACCTAGTAACGCGAAAAGCAACTACCCCGATAATTATCGCCTCCCCAGAGCAGTATTCATAGACTAGTAGTCACTATTCGGTAGTAGAGTTCTACTTCTTGAAACTGCCTAAAAACTTAGCACCTTAAACGACTCAACTCTCCGTACTAGAAGTAATAGAGCGGAAAATAAATCAACCAGAAGAACGTGTACCATATAACCTCTCCCATTCCTACCGACCGACGGACTAACACTTACTTCATCCATTCTAGGAGGTTTCATCATCTTTTCATCTCTGGAAACAACGACCAACGTGAAACAACCAAATTTGAAATTTCTGATTTAGTTGTGTAGGTGGACAAGGACAGTACTGTACAAGCACGACCTCTACGGTGTCAACGTTGTAACAAGGCAAAACAAAAAAGAAGTACACGTGTAGTACTGTTTGAACAAACCCCAACACAAATCATGAAGCCGGAACCCAATGTCACCGTGCCGGAAGGCGATGCCAAGAAGGTACAGGGAATTCAATTTTCATGTATCTTAGTCTGCAGTGCACCTGCGCATGAGAAACTTGTTTTGTCATGCAAGGAATGGGAATCCGAATCCGAATCGCAACACAAAAAAAATAAATACCCCAGGGCGCCAAGATCTTCAAGTCTAAGTGCGCACAGTGCCATATGGATGTGTCAGGATCGAAATCGTCAAAGTTGAAATAAATTTGTAATGCATAAAATGCATGACCCGCGGCACGTGTGTTGCGGAGCAGGTAAGTGAGGCCGATTATATGCCTGCTTGGGGTTACACTTACAGCTCGAGCTGCTAGAGTAGCATGAGAAAATCACTCTTCTTTGCCTCAACAGCATGACAAACTGGATTTAGGGACCGCCGAAATTTGTCATGCGCCATTTAGAATCTGGTTTCCAACTGGCATCCATTTTATGCATGACAAATTATTTCAACTTTGTCGATTTCAACTCTGACACATCCATATGCCACACCGTAGAAGCAGGTGGTCAGTCCAAGTCCGGCCCAAATCTGAACAAGATATCCTGTGCAAAAGTATCGTGCTCGTATAAATGCAAGTCTTGCATTACAAATCTTTTTGTTAAGGTGAATCCGCATTACAAATTTTATCTCTCATGCTGAGGAAATTTGTAATGCATTTATACGAGTGCGATACTTTTGCAGTTCATACAAGATCTTCAGCCGCAAGAGCGGAAGCACCGCGGGATACCAGTATACAGATTTTTGTCATGGATAGCAGCAAGTACAAGCCCAACTATGGAGGTCGTACTGACTTGAACTTGAATTTGTTTCGCGTGGAAAAACAAAAAACGAATATGTCGTGCATATAAATATAAACCAATCAAAATTCAAAGGTATTCCGAGGCCAATATGGAGGCAGAGATTATGTGGAGCCCGGCACACATGGACCAGTTTCTGGTCAACCCCAAGGCCTACATTCCAGGAACGAAGATGGTATAAATGGCATGATTTTTTGTCATGCATAGACACGTAATGCTAATGTTGAAATTGCTTTCTCATGCACGCGTACTGATGAACAACTTTTGTGAAGAAGAATGAAAGGAATTAAACTTGTGATGCAAAAAACGCAACACGTGACCACCAGGTCTTCGCCGGTATGAAGAAGGAGAAGGAGCGTGCGGACTGCATTGCCTACATGCAACAGGCCACCGCGTAAGTAGTTGTGTGGTACCGTTGCTGTTTCGCATGACAGACACAGACTACACGACATAGTAGAAATAGAATCGGGATCCCGCACAACCACGACTACCTTTTGTAAACCACGACTCTGATCCGATTTTGACGACTTCTATACTGAATTTTTTAATCCTGCTCCTGCTTTGAGATTATCAAGGGCAAGAAGCACCTGCATGGGTAGACGAAGCAAGTAAAATAGTTTGAGTCGAAACGAAATCTTCCCATCAGATGAGATGAATGTCAGCGACATTGAAATTATTTTCCATAGGACTTGCACCAGAAAAACTAAAACACGCTGCTGATGATGCGCTGTCCTACTACATCACAAACAAATCCCAAGACCGCCGCATTGGGCATTGAAAATCTGCTACAGCGGTTCTTGAGAGGACTCAACTAGCGACTCGCGTGCCTTAAAGAAGTACTACCTCACGAAGAAACAGCAAGAGTCGTTTACTTTGATTTGCTTCTAAAACTCGTCCCGAGTAAGTAAAAAATGTCAGACAGATAGATCCTATACTCTTTGGTACAAATCATCAGAATCTGAATCAGTTTATCACGATGTTTTTATCACACCGTAAATCAGAGTCAGTTTATCACAAAGCAAATGCAACTCCTTAATATTAATTGGGCGTAGAGAATAGAGGAGGTTGTAGCAGTTTTTAGCAATGGTTTATCGTAGTAATACCTTGTTTCCTGTATTGAGATTTAGATGTCAACAAAAATTGAGCAATCTCTATAGTCATGTGTAAAGCATTGTAACAGCGATCAAAAATGCACAGATAGGACTACAAACGGCAAGAAACGACTCGGGTCCGCTTCACAAAATCAATTTTTGTGCCGTGGGTTTCGATGAGATTCTTTGGGATGATGTTGAAGAACTGCTGTTGTTGTACATAAAAATCCTATACAAACACATGTTGACATACTAAAATCAGAACCTCTTCGCGAGGTGGATTGCAGCTTGGCACAGCTGGTGCGCAATGAAATTCTGTATGAGTGTTCTGGCTGTTCAAGTAATAGACCCAGTTGCCTGCATCTGGGTAAATAGGAGGACGATCTTGGGGTTTGTCGGTGGTTCCCGATAAATTTTGCACGTCGATGACCAGCCAACTGGGAAGCAGTCGGGAGGTCGGGCGCCCCCGCTCCGCATTGCGCCCCCCGTCTAGCGCAACACGCCGCGCCCAGCCGCGCGCGGCGCCCGCGCGCAGGGCAGCGCCCAGAGACGGCAGACCGCCCGCCCCTTATGTTTTCTTGCTCGAAAGATGAAACATCGTAAAAACATGGGGCGCAACCCCCCACACCGCGGCAGGCTCGGGAGTCGAGTCAGTTATGGAGTGCGAGAAATTCCTTCGAGAACAGCGCGGCATGCGCCCGCGTGGTGATTTGTTTGCCGGCGCCTGTTGCCCTGTGGCGCGCGCCCCGCCCGCCCCTCTTCGGGGCCGCCCCCCGCCCGTTTTCTTTGGGCCGGCCGGCGCGGGCGGGGCGGCGCGGCTCGTCAAGAAAGCCCGCACCCGCGAAATGGGAGACGCGCGCGACGCATAAAACAGAGCCAGATGAACGGCACTGCGCCAGGCCGATGGTTGAGACGAGGGAGCGCGCGCCCCCCCCCCCCTGTGCCGTTTTCTTGCGCCCGGGCCCGTCCTATTTGGCCGCCTGGCCGGCCCGCGCGCCTTATCGGCGCCCTTGTTTGCCGGCGCCACAGTGACGGCCTGCGCCCAAAGCTGGTGGCCTGGTCGCCCGCCGGGCTCGCCGCGCGCCCGGGCGGTGTCTCGCGCCTACCGACCTTGAGGGCCGCCCGGCCCGGTGGGCTGGCGAAATTTCCTGTCGCGCGCTGCCCTGCCCACCGTGGGGCGCCTGGGCGGGCGCAGGCGCCGGGCGTTTGTCGCGGGCCGGGATGTTTCTCGGAAGGCGCCGGGCGGACAGGTCGGGCCGGCATTTCTTTGTTTGCAGCCTTGCCTGCGTTCCCCAGCGGCGTATGTGTTTCTCTTCGGGCCCCTGCTCATTCTGCGTGCTGCCAGGCCACGGGATTCGCTCCGCGGGGCGGTCGCAAGTAGCCGTGGCGCTTTCGGGTATGGCGTCGCTCGTAAGTATTCTTGAAGCTGTCAATGGTCATGGCCACGGGAATGTTTTGTGTGGGATGTGTTCAAACTCAGTGGACAGAAGTGGCCTACCGCTGAGAACGCAGTGACGAGACAGCGCAGTGCAGCGCCGATCATATTTCGCCAATCAAAGATCTTGATTTTCGTGGACGTTCTGTAAAAATGCAGTAAGAATGACGAAGCGTGATCGTGAATGATCGACCGATCGACGGAAGGAGCAAAAGGAGAAGTGCGCCTCCTGCGCACGCCCTTCGTTTCTGCTTGTGTCCCAGCACCGAAGATCATTGATGCGGAAAGAAAAAACTGCTTATGCTCTTGTTGCTTACTCCTCAGCGCCACTGATCAAGTATGTTTTGTAGAGGAAACTAGTAAAATAATCGAAAGTCGAAGTCGACTGTTGTGTTTCTCGTTGCCCTTCGCCTTCACCTTGCAAGTAGTAGGGGTGATTGAGCCCATGATAACAAAGTCGGATCAGCTGCTTTAGCACGAAAAATACGAAAAACCATCATGCTCAACTTTGCGATCGCCGAGCACTTCCGCATCCGAAAGGACGAGAACATCGTCGGAACGGAAATAGGTTGTCTTCCGAACGCCAAACAGCAAAACTTGCAGCTCGGCCCGCCGTTCTTCTACGAGGTGACGGAAAGGAATAGTGCGGGCAGGGCAAAGAGCTCTGCATCTGCTGACCGGACTACGGGGAGAACCGCCGATGCAGAGCGAGATGCCGACCCGGAGCCGGAGGATCTTGATGATAAAAGCAACAAGCGAAGGAAAGTCACCTCACCCGAGCGAGGACCGACGCAGGCAGCAGCAGTGAGCTCGTCTTCATCGTCAAGTAGCTTCTCACGGCCCCAGCCTGTTCTTGGGAGAAGCGAGCCACATGATGTTTTGAGTGTAGGCACAGGCACGACCCCTGCTGAACAAGTCAAAACATCCATCGTGCGGCTGCAAGCGCACCATCCGAGGTATCTTTCGACAGACGATGAGGAGCAGCACACACGACACGCGGAGAAACCAAACAGATGGTCGGAAGATCATGTTCTTGGCTCGTCACCGAGGGAAACAGACACGACAACGCCACTGCGCACCGCCGTACTGCACGACTTACTCCAAAACACAAATTTCTTCGTAAAGTCCGCAATCACGTCTCACGGCGTGGATTTCGTCGTCTACGCCACGGACCCGATCAACGCGCACGGGTATTTTTTGGTGAAATGTCTGGAAAAGGAGCAGTTGGAGGAGTTGAAGCCTTTGGATTTGATCTCCTACGGCCGGATCGCGCAGCACGTGAAGAAAAAGATTTATTTGGCGTTTTTCGAAGAAGCACAAGCAGATTATCAGGATGGCGAGACAGCTGCGACAGCAGATATTCCAGGTAGAAGTGAAGCGAACGCGAAGGAAGGACCAGAAAGGAAGAAAGTACGCTATCGAATGCTAGAAACTGCAGGGGAGTACATATAGTAACGGATCTATGTTGATGACCACGCAGCTCCCGCCAATGTATAATGGACAGGACGCCAGCATTACTCTAGTAGCGACACACGACAATTACATTTAAGTACAGTAACGCGCTCACAGTCTATGCCTCAAACTTGCTGCGAAGGTATACGTAACGAAGAATGTGGGCCTCATGAGAAACCACATGTTGTGGTTCTTAGATCAACATCGTCTTCAGTTCCCCAATACATGTCGCACAACGTCAACGGTGGGGTGATCAGAACATTGAGATCCGTACATTGAGATCTTCACGTGATGCCCATCAGCTATCAGCAAACTGCGCACTGAAGATCGCAATAGGTTGTAGTATACTGAGATCTGCTGATAGGTTCTTGTTGGTGTGGTAAATTTGCCTCACATGCAGGATGATTTTGCTGAGAGCAGAAATTCGCTTTTTCAATAAACACCTATTCTTCCTTGACTTTACAGGAGATACACAAACAACAATCGAATGAACCCTCGTACGTCGTCGTGATACTAGATTTTAGATTGATGTGTCTTTCGACTCTGAGCCGACCATTTTAATTTTTGTAGCGACTTTCTCGAAGCAGAAGGAACCGAAACGCCAGCAACCAGAACTACCTTCAGACAAAATGGCGGAACAGCACGACCAAGACTCCCTCCCCGTCGTTTTTTTCGACATGATGATTGGGAAGGAACCAGCCGGGAGAATCGAAATCACGCTCAGAACAGACCACGCGCCAAAAACCTGCGAAAACTTCCGGGCACTCTGCACAGGGGAGAAAGGTACGGATTTCATTTTTGCGTGGTTTATATCGTGCATCACGAAGTACTTTGAGGTTGCCGGCTTTCTATCACAGGCACAGAGTAGTTGTCCACAATCAGCATCTTTGCATCATCCCTCCAAATTTGTAAACCGCAGGTATCGGCACATCCGGCAAGCCCCTCCACTACAAAAACACGACCTTTCACCGCGTCATACCCGGTTTTATGTGCCAAGGGGGTGACTTCACCGTCGGCAACGGCACCGGTGGTGAGTCAATTTACGGCATGAAGTTTCCAGATGAGAACTTCACTTTAAAGCACACCGGCCCGGGAATACTCTCCATGGCAAACGCGGGGAAAGATACAAACGGATCGCAATTTTTCCTCTGTTTGGTAAAAACGGATTGGTTGGATGGGAAGCACACGGTATTTGGCGAAGTGTCGAATGGCGAGTTGGGGATGATGGTGCTGAAAAAAATCGAAAATTGCGGGTCCAGCAGCGGAAAAACCATGAAGCCAGTAGTGATCGCGGACTGCGGACAGCTCGCATGAAGAAGTTATTTTTTCAATAGCTTTCTAAAAACCTCCAGTAGAAACGATGATTTTGGACTGAAAGGTTGGTGACATGCTCAATCACAATAATTACAACGCTTTTCTTGAAACAATAAATTGGCGCCCAACTACAAGGGCGAGATGAAGAGCCACTGCAGGTCTATTTCACAAGATCGTCCAAGGTGTTCGATCACTTCGTAGCTGCGCCAGAACGTTCAACGATCACCTGCTGTCCTTGTGATTTCTGTTGATCTATGTTTGCAGTTGCAGAACGCGTTCTTGCTAAGGAGCAGAACATTTCTTGTTGCGACAAAAAAGATCATTCTCTGCACCCGTTTTAGAGGCAGATGAGCGTCACCAGACATCAGCGCAAGCTAAGCAAGCTTCGATCTCTTTTACTCTTTCTTGATAGGTGCCTGAACAAATAGTGAACAAGGAAGACGAACGCCAATGACTGAGATCTTCTGATGTAGTTGTAAGTAGTTCCCATTTTCTCTTTTCCCCTAGATCGAATCGATTTTGTTTACTTCTATGGCACCAGCGACAACTACTTTTGATTTTTTGTACGTCATCAGGCCAGCACTTCTTTCGCTCCATTGGTATTGGGCTGTCTTTTTTTTGATTTATTCCCAGCAACATATCGTGCCTGGCCAGGTTTTTCTCACGACTAGCTAACAGTATCTACTTACAAATGACACAACGGTGTTTGTGGTTGCACTCGATGCACCCCTACTTGGAAGGGTGATATGGTTGTAAAGGAGTAAGAGACGCTACTCACTCTCTTTTGAAGCTATACAAGCCCTTTGCGAAAAAATGTCTGGCGCCCCTGACGGTCTAGGCGACCTATTGTCGCAGGCCTTTTCTGCCGCGGGTGTTTCGCAGTCCGGGTTCGACCCGACCAACGTCGCAGCTGCGGATCAAACCTTATCTAATGTAAAAATGTCTGGGTCTGGAAGAATGCGCGATTTGTCATGCTGCTTTTCCATGACCCATGAGGTCTGGAATGCAGGACCTAGCATGACAGATTCTGCGAGACCTTTCTCATGCCTATCCTGCATGAGAAACTCCCTCCCGACTTGGGTAAAACTGGACGACTTTTGGTAATCATGCAACACAGATTTTTGCATGCTGCAGATTTAGCATGACAGGCTGCAATCTTCCAGACCCAGACATTTTTGCATTTGATAAACCTCCATGGAAGAACTCGCACGGAAAATCAAGTCCAGCCCGACTATCCAGGAAAAAAAGTGTGTAGGTGTAACTTTCTTCGAGGAACAGCATCACAAATTTGCTCTACATGACAGAGAAAACCTGTCATGCATGGTTTGTAAGGGAAAACACACATGAAAAGAGGATTTCGTGGCTGTCTGGCATGACTAGTGGAACTCTGTTGCATCTTCTGCAACACAAATTTACACTTACGCAGTTTTTTTCTTGCATACCGACATTACAACCGTTATTAGGCGGAAGCGCGGCTGGAAGCGGCAATCCCAGTGCACAACCCTCGCCAGGGGGGCAGCACCAGCAGCACCAGCAACAGCCTTCGCCCCACGGTGGAGCACGAGGTCAACAGCACCACCTTCAACAACACAACCGGCCGTCATTTGACAAACACGGCGGGGGAGGACAGCATAACAAGGGCGGACACAAGAAGGGCAGTCATGGTGGGGGCAGTGCCAGCTCGGCGGGTGCGGCTTCGAACCCAAACTTACTGACGTCTTTCGATAACGCTTCTTCCCAGGGGGGCAACACTAGCTCCTTTGGCACGTATCAACGGCAAATATGTCTGGGTCTGGAAGGTGGAACAGTGCAACTTGTGATGCTGCATTGGGATGCTAAAAAAAATCTGTATTGCACGAGCAGCAAGAGCAGTCAAATTTGCCTACACGGATAGGGCATTTGTCATGCGGGATGCGCATCGATAAGCGCTCAGAAAATCTGTGATGCTAGGCGGGCATGCATAACAGACATCGTAGACCATGGAAAATGTGCATGACAAACTTGTCCTCTTCCAGACCCAGACATATTTGCATTTGATAGCACGGGGCTCATGCCAATACCGGACTTCACATCGGAGGTTAGCAAGACAAATCGAGGGATGACCAGCACGGCGGGGATAGAATCTGCGGCAGAGCCGAGGGTAAGGATGCTGCTGAATGCGATCTTGAGAACAACCTTGTGTGAATGTGATTCTGTTTATGACGGTATGCTGCAACTGGATGAGAAAGCACTACAAACGTCACACTCAATGGCTGTTGCACCATGGGAGCAAGAATTGCACCGTGCCTCTTCATCACGCCCACTTTTATCATGATCCAAAAACAAATGAAACACAGGAAGTCCCCCGATCCCGGCGCATAGAGCTTGACGCCGGTACGGAATACCGCGTTTTAGTGGACGACAAACTCTACGACCCGGTGACTGTGAAGGTCTGCCACAGCGAACGAGGGCCGGACCCAACCAGAACCGCGGAGATTTTCGGGAAGGAAATGGTAATTGAGCAAGAATATTCCATTCTCCCCGGCTCCCGGTCCGGCTTCTACACCTGGCGGGGCTGCACTTTGCAGATCACCGGGCCAACAGTGCAGGAATTCGCCGCGGCAAACCCCCAGATGAACCAGTACGCAAACTGCGCCGCGGTCATCGAGAGGAGACGAATTCGCGCCATAGAATATCCTACGTAAAAACGCCCCCACACCATAGTGAAGATGGGAAATCTGCAACACAAATCTCCGAGTTTTGGCAGTTCTGCATGACAAGCTTCCATCTGCAGTGTAGTGCTGGTTAGAAAGGAAAGCCACATGAGGAATACATTTACTCATTCTGTTTATAGCATTACAAAACACGACTAGAAATGCCTCTCGAGGAGATGCGCATTACAAATGTTCCTGTCATTGCACATTCGCATGACAACTCTGGGGCGGGGACGTTTTTACGCAGGATATAGAAGTCGGCGCGGCGGCACCGCGGGTGATGGTGTGTGGGTCAGACGGGAGTATCCTGAGTAAACGCGTCACCACCCCAGAGTCAAGATGGGGATTTTGCAACACAAAACTTGAAGTTTTAGGGATCACGCATGACAAGTTGCAGGCTGCACTGGAGGACAGCTTAGCAAGAGAAGCCGCATAACAAATCCATCTCCTTATCCTTTTTGCAGCATTACAAGTTCCAAAACACGATGGGAAATGTCTCTCATGGGGATGCGCATATACAAATGCTCTTGTGCTTGCAAATCTACATGACAACTTTGGGGTGGGGACGTTTTTACATAGGATAGGGAGTGGGAAATCGGTAGTGTCGGAAATCCTCTGGCACTACGCGATAAGAAGGGCGAGGACGCCTTTGTACGTCGAAACAGATACCAGGTATACGGCTTCGGTCTCAGAGCCTTTGAAAGGGTTGCCGAGTTGCGTGCACTGCGCAATACCGAAATTTCTGGAGGAGGAGCAGACAAAGAGGATAACGTTTTTCTACGGCAACATGCAGTGGAGCGACAACATACCGTTGTACGAGCAGGTCTGCAGCAGGCTCGCGACGGTGGTAAATAAGAAGCTGATGGGGAGCTCTTTCTTGGACCAAGTAATCGCGAACAGCAACGCAAATACGGCGAAGGAGTTGAAGAAACACCAGCTAGAACTGGAGATGTCGGAAGGTATAGGCGAAGTCAGGATGTCTTCATGCGGTTCCATTATCTAAAGCCAAATCTGTACTGCTCTCCTCGAACTCGACACTCTCACTCCGTATTTACAAAACCACACATACAAAATCTAAATCACACATACAGATGTCAAGCGCATCTCCCAATCCGGGCTCATCCTAAACGCGCCTAGCACCCCGACTGTGGATATCCTCCAGACCCTGGTTCGGCAATTTTACATCGACACCATTCTCTGCATCGACGACCACATCTTAGCCGATAAACTGCGCAAAGCGTTCGAGACCGAAAACGTCGACGTGGCGTTTATCGACAAAACCGACGGGGCGTTCCACGAAGACGCGCAGACGCTGCGGATGCAGAGGCACATGAGGATGCGGGAGTACTTCCAGGGCGTGTCGCCGATTAGCAACGGTATTTGTTATGAAGAATTTCTGATTTTTGTGTTGTGTGGGGTCTCTCTTCATGCGTGTTCGTTCCATTTGATCACTCAGCGAAAGATCAAGATGAAAATATGTGATGCAAGTCGTGGCTCCCTCAAGTCGGCATTTGTTATGCGCGTTCCATCAAATCTAAACCAGGTTTCCCCTTTCCCCAGCCTGGCGAAGAGCTTCCCCTCGTGCTGCAGCAATTTGTACCCCTCACGGCTTACCACGGCTCCTTTCCTCTTCACCAAGTCAATTTGCTCCAGTGTATGGGAAGGAGGATCGAATTTGTCATGGGCGGGCGCTCGCAGAGTGTTATCTTTATCTGGTTTTTCTTGTAGGACAAGCAATGCAGTATTGGAACAACGGTGACCGTCAGCATGTATCTGCGAGCCCTGAAATTATAGGTTCAACTTGTCATGCACAAATGAAGAACAGAAAACCAGCATAATGCAAGCTCCGCATGACAAATCTTTTTCCTTCGATAAGCGACACGACAAGGCTAGAATACCGATCCGACATGGACGGAAACATCCGCAGTTTCCCGCAATTGAGTACCTCCATGATTTTTTTCCTCTGAGCTCTTATGCATGACAGATCATGTTATGCACGTAGTATCGCGCATCAGAAACAAATGTCCATGTCGCCATTGATGGCATTTGCTATTGATTTCTGCATGACAAAAAAAATCAAAACAGCAACTTCGGTGTTTGACCGCACACGGCTTTCTGAGCTGATTCACACCTATGAAAGAGAAAGCTTTGATGTTGGTAGTTGAGGTGTCGTAAGACTGTCAAGAACATGTTGTAGGACTCGAAACCTATGTATGCTGCATATGAAAAAATAACATTTGATGAATGTCCTCCAACGGCATGCCAGACTACGACACCTCCTCAAACCAAAATTTCTTTCACCTCCATATTCCCGCCCTCGCCGTCATCCGGGCGCAATCCGAGGAAGATTTGCAGTACATGCAGCTCGCGGGATACATCCTCGTCACGGGGATTGATATCAGCGAAGGGATTCTCCACGTCGCGATGCCCGACGTGCCGCCGTTGCCGAGTAACTACTTTTTGGTACCGAACGACATCCGGAATATGACGTTCTTGGAGGCGCTGTCATAGAGCATTAAACATGAACTGTGTTGGCGGATAAGACCGGACTGTAGTAGTTTCTCAAGAAGATGAATCCAACGAATCACTTCTAAGTGGCGAACAAGTGGACTCAAAACGACGATACTTTTGAAAATGAAAACCTGATTTATATGGATACATTGAAAATTCAGTAGCGAGATAATTTTCAAGCGACATCGACATGACATTCACAAGTTTTGGTCGAGACTGTGAATATTAGAGTACTACGCAAGACCACCTGAATACGGTTGTAGTTGGTGGACGCGGAATATTTTCAACGCGCAATGGTGCCCTAGCGGAACGAGTGTTAATATCACCATCGTGCCCTGGGTTTTTGTCGTGAATCAATATTTTGATTTGATGCTGCAGGGGCACGGCTTCTGTTGTTCCACGACATGTACGCTTTTTTGAGGGGGAAGGAGAACCGGCACAAGGCTGAAAGAAAATAATAGCACTTCTATTTTCGTATACGAAGAGGAAGATGTGAGCAGTCGAGTGAGGGATGTTTCCATTTGAGCTTGGAGCAACTATTATGTATTATCCGTGCGAGAGGACCTTCTGCATCTGCTTTGTCGGCCATGTAGTCTTCATCTTGTTTGCAAAACGAAAAACGCGAAAGCAAAGCGCGCCACTTGTTAGAAGCAAGAGGAGGAGAGGCGGCGGCTTTTGTTGTTGTTCTTACGTGCTCCGGCGTCCCATCACATCACCGGCCGCCAGGCGGGGGGCCGTCTCCAGGCCCTGCCTTGTCTTTGCAGTCCCCCCGCGCCCGGGAGCTAGTGCAGCGGCGCCGGCGCCGTGGCGTTGTATCTCTCCGCAGTATTGAGGAGATAGCGCCGGCGTGGCCTTGTTGGCCATCTACGTATTGGCTGACGGCTGGCGCCCGCCACCGTAGCAGCGCTCGTTGAATACGTGAACGGACCGGGTGCCCGGCGCGGTGGACAGCGCCGCGGAACTGACGAAACCGCGACCGCCGAACGACGAAAAGAGCTACCAACCTAGTGCCGCGCCGCCTGTGCCTGTGTCTGTGCTTTTCCCCTGGGGTGGCGGGCCGGGCGCGCGTGGCCGCTCGCTTTTGCCGAAAGGACGAGGGGGGGCGGCCCCAGGCTGGCCCGGCAGCCGGCCTGGGCCGCCCCCACTCTCGCCGGGGGGCCTGTGTCGCTTGGCTTAGCGAAGTGCTTCGGTCTGCTGGGCCTGCGCCAGGGACTTTCTGTTCGTTGGGCCGGAACCCTCGTAGCCTCCGCGGCTGCGCCCGCACGCTCTGCCACTGGCGTCCGCCGCGTGTTTGTATTGGCGCCCGTGGTGGAGGGGCAGCTGGCGTGATATCGCGATCAGCAAATCAGGCGCGCACCGTTTTGCCGCATGCTTGTGGGTGCTACCTAGCGCCAAAGCGTGCGGCCGATAGCCGAGACAAACTCGTCAGCTTTGCCGCCCGGCGAAGGGTTTGGCCGCCGTAATATCATGGCCGAAACGACTCTGTTGCCGGTCGTTGTCGGCTGCCAGATTTTAACATTCCCCGAGGAGCAAGGGCCACTCGTGCCCTGGTCGCCTTGTACTTACCCTTCGCACAGGAGTGCCTTGTTCTGCAACGTGGTTTGTTGCCTCATGTGATGCCAAGGTTGCTACTCATATTCGCGAGAAGACCGTTGCATTTTCGTTGACATTCTGCTTTCGATTCCATCGTCCGTCCACCTGTAGTAGAATTTTTCGTTTTCGTTCCTCAAAAAGGAAAGCGCGCTGTCGTCTTCGTCATTAATTTTGTTCCTGGTGTTCGTCGCATTTTTGCCTCCTTTTCGTTTCGTTCTTCCTTACTCGTTTTTGTGTATAAGCTCCGGCTCTAATAAAGGTAATTCGTTCTCGATAGATCATGTCTTTCACGCCTGCTAGCGAAACCACTAAGGCAAGAGCGACAGTACAACAGCTTTGAAAAAATTGATCAGACCAGGACATGCAACTAGCTGCCCCCTTGCAGCAGTACCCCTTTTTCAGACAGCCAAGATTATTCCTGAGCATCTCTATACATTCGTCGCTACACAGTAATTTTTACTTTCTCTAGCTCTACCGGCTCTTGCCGTCTTTGCGCCAATTTTTGAATAAAACAGCTTTCATCATTGTACGGCAGAGTAGCCATGTCGCACCACCATCCCACGTTGCCCATGCGTAGCAAGTACCGTTCCGCGTCTGCTGCCGGTCTCCTGCTCGCAGCCTCCGCTGACACGGCACAACTGGCTGCCAGCATGGTGGTCAACGCAGAAGAACATGAACGCGAAAACCAGCAAAAGCTTTCTGCCGATGGCCAAGCTGCATCTGCCAACGACGTTTCTGCGACCTGTCCTTCCATCGGGTTTTCCAAGTCGGTTGAGGGCCTCGCGGGTAACCTCTTCTCCTGTGATTCCGGCATGATTGGGCTGTTCAACGCGAAGGAGGAAGCCGTTCACATCCTGAAGGACGTATGCATTGCAAAACAGTATCGTACACGTACTAGTATATATAAATTGCATTACAAATTGAAATTTTCCGAACTGTAGAAAATAAATGCAGTTTCTTGTCATGGTGGATCAGGCAAAGCTAGAGTGTGAGATTTCATCTCATGCGTGAAGAAGATAACAGCAATTACTACGAGTGCGATACTTTTTGCAGTGGATAGGATGGTGCGGCGAGCGGACTGTACCCGGACGAGATCTATCAAATGCAAATTAATATGTTTGGGTCTGGAACAAAGCAACTTGTCATGCTGAACCTGAATCATGTAAAAACATGTGTTGCATAGTTACCAAAAGCTGCCCACTTTTGTTGACCTAGTTCAGAGGCAGTTTCTCATGCAGGATAGGCATGATAGAACTCTCACAGAATCTGTCATGCTATGTCCTACATTCCAGACCTCATGGGTCATGCAAAATATGCATGAGGACGCCAGACCTTGCATCCTTCGCCTTCCAGACCCAGATCGATATTTGCATTTGATAAGATCGACAACGCCAGCGGAGGTCGTGCAGATGTGTACTGCTTCGGACCGTTTGACAAAATTGAGTATGGGATGCAAACACGCTGTCCTTTCTTGGGTCCACCTCTGGGAATAGTTCTGTATTTCTTCGTGTGTTTCGGAGTTGTGGTTGGAGTTGGACTTGGATGAAATACGCTGTCAAGAACAGGAGCCAAGCATGACATAGTTTCTAGAAGAGCGACGGCCCACCTTCATGTGTAGAGCGAAACTGAGCTTCGCCTTTAATGTCGAATGATGTCACGCAATACTTACAGATGATTTCCATGCAAATTGATTATACTTCATTTCCCTACCCAGAGGGGGACAAATATTTGTGGGTGATATCGAAGCGCAGGCAGTATATTGCTACGACCCGAACGCTGCAAGCGATAAGTACCCAAAAAGCACCGTCACCTTTGAAAAGAACTCGGAACTCGTCCCCGCTATATGGAAAAGAAATTGAAATTTGCTGTACGAGACGACGTATAGATAAATGCATCACGAACAATTTATCGAAGAAGTTGAAGCAGGTTGACATTTATGATCTTGATGGCATGCTGATTGCTGAACCTGAAACTGCAAGCGCTTGAATAATATTAATAAAGATCAAGATCTACTAATGTTGTCCTGCAGAATTTGTTGAGAGCAGAGGGAAACAAAGTTAGTCCAAAATGTACTTCGTGTAGTAGTAGTACGGCAAAGTCTTTATTCCTGTCCATACTTTACGGGCCCTTACTACTGGCAAGTCAAAGCTGGAGCCGAAGCCGGGTCATTCACACTGACGTGGTTCGCGAAGGAGCCGGTCGTGGCGGCGCAACCCAGCGCCAATGCTACCGACGATGGCGCGGGCTGCTGTGGCGGGTCTTTTCTCGAAAACAAGAAAGGAAATTCGGAAGATGCGGATGACGAACAAACCAACGCGCCCTCTGCTGCGGACGAACTGGAGGAAGAGGCTTTTGTCGCGGTGTGAACGAAGATGATATCAATCTACCTATCAGGAGAATCAGACTCAATCGACAACGTACTACTGCGTTCTTGTTCATCAATTGTGCTTCTTGAAAAGACGCGAAAACGTCCTCCACAAGATTCTTTCCCTCTTTGTGCGAATTCAAAAAATCGCCAGATCAGCAGATCCTGCATGCCAGTGCCGTACGACCCCTACTTTCTAGTTTTGCACCTTTCTCACTGTCACTCGAAAAACGTATCGTGTCCTCAGTCTCTAGTGAATCGCAAAACCCCATTCTCCTTGTCCCGCAAGTATTTTATTTCCTGGGCTCCAACATGTTAGTTTTATTACGTCCTTGTGCTTATGGCAATCGCAATCCTCATCCTCGTGCGTGGTAACTTCAAAATCGCGTGAACTACACACCTGCCGGCTCTCGTGGAAACAACATCCATGAACTACAACTACTACATGTTGCAAAGTACTGGCCCCGCAAAGAAAGTCGTAGTCTTCCACGAGGTCTTCGAGAAGAGCAACGACTTTGCGTCAGAAGAGCAGCTACTCCTGTAGATGCTCCGTTGAACAACATGTTCCCGCGGACGTGACTGAGACAGTCAGACGCAGAACCTGTGTGTACTTCTACCATGTCTAGGGCAACGAAAGCAGAAAAGTTTATACAAAGCTTGACGTGAAGATAGATTTCATAAACGTAATCGTCCTGCTTCTTGTCGCCACGGAAAAATATAAAATCTTCGTTCCTGTCGTTCGTCCAACCGTTGTCGCACGTTCGTGCAACCGTTGTGCATAGTTGGTATTCTGAGTAAAAACGTCCCCACCCCAGAGTCAAGGTGGGAAACGGAAATGTGCTAGACAAATCAACCAGCTCTGGTTGTTTGGCATGCCAAGTTTGTCCTCGCAATGTAGTCCCGTTTAGCTAGTTCAGAAGCATCACAGCTCTAGCTTAGCGTGCTGCTTCTAGCATCGCAAATTCCACGGAAAAATCAAAATCTTCGTTCCTGTCGTTCGTCCAACCGTTGTCGCATGTTCGTGCAAAAATCGTCTTCGTTCCCGTCCTTCTGTCGTCTTCAATACGACCGTACGGGGGTTTATTAGCGTTTTTTGGGCGTGGTCCTCCTTTCCCCCGTTGAAGAACGAATTTCATCTAAAAGTCTTTCCTGATTTGCAGCTAAAACCCATTTTCGCTTCACCTTACCCCCCATTTTCAATTTTACCCTGACAGCAATGTGTTAATCTTAATCCGATTTGAAATAAGTAAAACCGCTACCGCCTGGTGCACTTGTTCTAGCTAAAATGACCCCCGCGCGACCGAAATCACGACGCCGGGAACCACTTAGTACGAGGAGTCCAGCAGCTGCCTCTCGTCGGGTGGATAGTTTCTGCCGTCATGATGCCGTGGCGTCTCGTCCAACAAGAACTTCTCTGCGGTCCTCGTCCTTGCTACTGCGACACGGCTGCAGGTCCGGGTTCAGCTGTTTGCTCTGGACGTGCAAAAGTGTTTTCGACTCGTCGATTGACACGAGGGCGACCTGGAGCGGGACCACCTCTACAACGGTCGTAGCAGCTGCAACAGTGAAGATGAAGAAAGCGACCAACAAGAAGTTGACGGTAGAAACTTCTCTGCATGGTAAAAGAAGTGAAACCGGCGCAAGTACATCATCAAGTAGAAGTACAAGCAGAAGTACGGAACTATTTCAGCATACCAGTAAAACAAACTACAAGCACACGACGACCTTGTCTGACCCCGCGCACGCGCCAAAAATCCTGTATTCTACCGAGAGACAGGCAACCGGGACGGGTTTTTGCGCTACCCGCGGCCACACGCGCATCCCGGGTATCTATCCTGTGCAAAAGTATCGTACTCGCAGTAATCGCAGTCATGCATTACAAATCTCCACACCAAGGCAAAACAGCATGACAAATTTCATTTTTCATGCTGAGGGAATTTGTCATGCGATTTCTACTAGTACGATGCTTTTGCAGTTCATAGTATCCCCGCGGAGACGATTACCTGTGCCGGTGGGGTAATCGCCAAGGCCCGGGACGACCACGGGGAAAAGGGCTCCAACGAGAATCACATGGTCCACGTGTTACAGAACGGCGCACAAGGGAACAAAGTACAGGAAGGCAACGCGGACGAGTTTGCGGCGGCGTACTGCTTCGGCAAAGGGGAGATCAAGATCGTGAACCCCACGGCCGCGCATTTTTCTTGCTTTCTAGGCGGCGCGCACACGACCAAGCCGGAGGTATGGCGTTCTCAAACGTTACATTCTCAATTGTTACATGGATTTGTAATGCAAGAACAGCAACACTGAAAGTGCAAGTGGCAACGTTGCAGCTATCGCGTCAAAGATTTTGCACAGAGTAATATCATGCTGTTTAGGCCTTCGATAATTTGTCATGCTAAGCACCTTGATCAAGTGGAGGCTAATGGCCATTTTGCATGACAAATCCGTGTAACAGTTGAGAATGTAACGTTTGAGAGCGCCATAGGAGGAAGAAGGCTATTGGGATCCGGTGAATTGGCAGGACGACATTCCGTTCGCGCAGGCAAAGAGCGTGGAAGCCTGGATCAGTAATAATTCAATATCTGCGGAGCAGGAGACGCAGGGGGTGGCCGGAAATACAACTACTGTTTTTCCTTCGAGCTATATGCAAAGAAAAAACTGTTTCAATTTGATGATTTTGCAAGATCTGCATCACAAGTTTGCTACACACGAGACGAAAAACCTGTCGTGCGCGTTTACCAAGGGAGAATACGCTTGAAATTCCAATGCCTTGCAGGTGTGGCAAGACAAATACTTCTGTGTTCCATTTTCTGCATCACAAGTTCACGGTGAAACAGTTTTTTCTTGCGATAAGCTACGTGGAGATCGTTGCGGACGCAAATGACGAGACGTATCAAATGCAAATGTGTCTGAGTCTGGATGGGTGCGCGAGTTTGTCATGTCGTTTTTGGATGAGACAGAAGGTCTATCATGGAAGCCCTATCATCACAGATTTCGAGAAGCTTCCGCAATGCCTCATCCGCATGACAGATCCCCCATTTTGCTGACAGGAAATGACCATCGTTATCGTTTGCTGCCTATGCATGAGAGATTTGTGGGCGTTGTGAAAGGCCCATCACAAGTTCGCATCCTTCCCGACCCAGACATAATATTTGCAATGCATAAGACGAAATTCGTAGCAACCTGGTGGACGGGCGAGGACGCTGGTGAGGATTTGTATGAGGATGAGAAGGAGCAGGGGGACCAGTGTTGCGGAAGTGCCGAACAAGCTGTGACCCGGGCGCCCTCGGCCGCGCTTCAGTCCTCCTCGTCGGCGGCTGCGGCCGCAGCTGCTTTTTTGGAAATAGAGCAGAAACTAGGCGAAAATACTGGCCATGGTAGGTAGGAGGAGGAACCACCCGGCGGAGGATGAAAAGCGCCTGGTCACCGACGTCGTCTTTCAGGAGGGAAAGAATGATGTCGCCCGTGATGAAGTAAAAGATATCTTCGCAGGAATATTAAATCCACAACAACATGTATCAAATGTAAAAACGTCCCCACACCAGAGTCAAGATGGGAAATCTGCTAGACAAATCAGCCAGCTTGGGTCATTTGGCATGACAAGTTTCTCCTCGTAGTGTAATCCTGTTTAGGTAGTTCAGCAGCAACACAGATCTAGTATATCATGCAGATTATAGCATCACAAATTCCAAAACACGACTAGAAAACGCCTCTCATGGCGCTCCGCATGACAAACCTTTGTGGCATGCAGATTTGCATGACAACTCTGGTGTGGGGACGTTTTTACTCAGGATAACATGATCCCGTGCGCGGCGGCGGGTCCCGGCGCGACCCGAGAGACGGGGGCCGCCCGCATATCGAAAGGAAAAATCCCCCCGCCCCATATCAAAACAGAATTTCTGATGCTGGATTTGTGTACACAAATCCGATTTGTATTGCAGAGAGGCACTGCGGCCAGATCCCCAGGCTAGGTAGGGGCGTATGGGTCCTCTAGTTGTTCAGCATGGCAAACGGCTGTCCTCTAGGCCCGACAGCATGCCAAACCGTTCCCGTAATGGCAGGGAAGCCTCTGCATTTGTCTTCTTGCAAGACGGACGGGATTTGTGGATTCAAATCAGCAAGACAAATCTTCGGAAGCATGCCTTTTCGATATGGGAAGGGGGGATTTTTCCTCTCAGTACCGCAAAGAACGCAGACATCAGAAGATCATCTCCTGCGAACACCGCCGGAGGCAGCAGGAGATGAGCCGAGGGGCGAAGAAGGAAATAAGCTGTTGAAAAGCGGGACCGGGGAGTGCAGCACACGGGGCCACGAGCGGATTCCCGGCATCGCGGAAGAGACCATCACCTGCTCGGGCGGGGTCCTCGCGAAGCCCCGCGATTATGGGGAAACGGGGGGCTTGGAAAACTACATGGTTCATATACTGCAGCACGGCCCGGACGGGAAAACACAACCAGGCAACGCCAACGAATTTGCCGCGGCGTTCTGCTTCGGCCATGGGGAGATGAAAATCGCCGACGAGGAAATAATTACCAAAAATGATACAACAACCTCCACGCCGGCGCTGCAGTACGCGTGCTTTCTAGGCGGGGAGCACAGTACTTCGAGTGGAACCAAAGAAGGGTATTGGGACGCGGCAAATTGGCAGGGAAATTTAACCTTCGCACAGGCGGAGGGGGTAAAACAGTGGGTTTCGGCCGAAGAAGCGGAGACGGGCAGCGTTCCCGCAACCACCTACGTGGAGATCGTTGCGGACGAAAGTGATGAGACGAAATTCGTTGCTAGTTGGTGGACGAAGGGGGGCGAAGATTCTGCACCGGAAAAATTTGCGAAGAAAATCGTGGCCGATGACGACGGCATTTTTGGGGAAGTGTGTTGCGGCAAAGACGGCGATTCGGCTGGGGGAAAGGACGAGGCGCCCCCGAGGATGCTCGATTCAGCTTTTGTGGAATTGGATAGGGAGGACGCTCAGGATGCTGCATATCTCGTTGCAGTTTAAGCACGGAACAAGAAAGTATCGCACAAGATGGAAGTAGAGGCTCTTGATGTACAAGTACGCAAGCCCTGAGAGTATGGCAATGTCGGCCTGCCACGCTTGCGTTGGAATAAATGTAGTTACTTTGTTAAAGTTTCCATTTTTGAAGTATGTTTTCTTCACTTCTTTTTCTTGCAAACAGAAACGACGCACTCTTTTGCTTTTCTTATACCCCCCCCCGCCCCCTTTTGTCGTTTGTATGCACAAAGACAAACCGTTTACCGCTTGCCCTTGCGTCCGTATCTCAATATTGAAGCTACGTACAAAGCATGATCAACAATCAATTCCTCTCGTTTGTTCGTCCGCGCTTTTCCACGTCAATGTCGTAACGTTGTACAACATGATCGGTTGGTGCAGAAGTATAAGTAAGTAAGAACTTCCCTCTTTTTCTGTAAGTACGTCGGCATTCGTCTTGATTTTGAATTCAGAAGATTCGTCCATGGTGCAAAAGTAGAACCGCTGTCTGTTTTTATTTCGTCCTGCTGTATCTTTACGCCCAAGAACTACCAGCGCGGCTTTACACACACACAATTTCAAACTTCAATTCGTCGTGATTTCGTTCTCGTGTAGTGGGAAAACGTAGCTTGCTCAACGCAACAAGTACTTGAACAGCTGATGGCTGCTGGTGTACCAAACGTCGGAACAAGTTTTTCGTTCGTGGCACCAAAAGTCGTGCTGGGTTGTCGACCAAACGTGACTCGTACTTTGTTACAACCCATGGGGGAAGGTTTCTCTTTCTGCCTCTGCTCCTGTCGCTCTACGCTATCCGAAGTGCATACAATTCCTTTCTTCCGCAGGCTGTTATTCACGTTTGACCCACATTACATTCATCTAACCCCCCCCCCGATTACCAACTACACATCATTTCCTACTTATTTTTTTGTCGTCGCACAAACGAGAAATTAGATATTTTTTCCCCCCATTTTCCACAAGATAGCGCTACTGCTCTACGATCTATCACTGTTGCGCAGCTATGTTGTTCCTCGAAGTTGGTGCGTGAAAGATAAATGTCCCCCTCGACAACCAAGACGCATTTCGGCAATGCTACCCCCGCTGCAAGGAGGACATGCCCATCAGAGAGGGCTTAGAGGCTGCGGCACGGACTGAGCAAGGAGCGGATAAGTATTTCTATCGGGAACGACACCCAAGAGAAGTACTAGTCAAGCAACAGCTTCTTCGGAGAACCATGAACAACATGTCGTCCACAACCTCATCCTCATCCTCTTTCCGCGGGTTGTCGGCCCACTCGGTCTTCCTGCTCCTGCTCGCGGCGGCTCTCTACTCCGACACAAGCAGTACTCGCAGTCTGCAGCCTCTTCATCTGTGGTTCATCCCGCCGTTGTGGTCCACCTCCACCTTCGCTGCGGCCGCACGAACGCTCCTCGACAGTAAAACCGCTGCGCAGCAGGGCGCAGCGCGCAATAGAGAGGGAACACGAAAAATAGGATCTTCAAGAACTTCGAGTAGGGCGGGCAAGAAGATCCGCACCGGGAGCACAAGTACTTCTAGGGCTCGAGGACGCCAAGAGGAAGCCCGGGAACGACAAGAGAGTGGTCGAGTGTTGTCCGCAACTACTGCTTCGTGTTTTGACGCGAACGTCAACGAAGCTCCCGGTTTCGCGCAATGCAGCTCTCGGGGCTTTGTTCCGATTCCGGACGTACCGATAGAGGTGATTACCTGTGCAGGCGGGGTTTTCGGAAAGGATCTGAACAAGTTGAGCTCCCTGTATCACCCAAAGGTGAATGCTTGTCCCTACACGAGCAGCGTGGACCGGAACTGGAACGTGCACATCCTGCAAAGAGGATGGAACTCGGACAAGAAACAAACCTATAATCCGTACGACTGGTCCGACAGAACACAGTGGAACGCCGATGAGTTTGTAGACGCCAAGTGTTTCGGAACGGGCGCCGACTACCAGATCGCTACCGACGGTCCTGAACACGAAACTTACGTCTGCTACGAGGGCAGTGCGGACGTAGCCAACGCGTGGCATTATCCCGCCTACTGGTCCAACCCGACACCTTTTGCGAATACTCACCTCGTCCGAGCAGCAATAACGCAGCAAGAACAACTCGGCAACCTGAACCGCGGCATCTACCTCCAGGTCAGCGCCGACCCGCACGACGACACAAAGTTCAACGCGCAGTGGTTTTTCGACGGAACTTGCCCGGGAAATCCTAACAATAGATGCTACGAACTACCGGTCATGGACAGTACAGAGGAGGTAGTTGTAGGAGCCGAAACTCCGACGCCGATAGGACTGCAGAGCGGAACATCATCAAACGGCGACACTGGCGAGGGGAACAGCATTGACCCTGAACAAACGACCAATGGCGACGAGGATGCACCTCCTGCTGAGGGCACGCAAACTTCTACCGAGTCGTTGTCGACGTCGACGACATCCACCACGACGCCCGCGGCCATGGAACCGCCAAAGTTTGGAGGCAACTCTGAGGCTCAGAAGGAGGAACAAGACCAAGACGGTCTTGTTGAAAACAAGCTGGATAGTTCCAGCGAAGTAGGACAAGGGCAAGGCCCTGTGGCGTATAAGGAAAAAGAGCAATCACCTGGGTGCTGCGACACCGGCGCGGGCACCGTGGCGAAGGGGGAAGTGTCGAGCTCGTTTGTGGAACAGAATATTAAACATCAGACCACTATCAGCGAGGCGCTGGAGATCATGGACAAGCAAAAGCATCTTGAAGGAAAAACACGAAGAACAACAGCCTCGTGCGGAAACTGCCAGGCGGGCACGAAGTGCACCGGCAAAAAACCGATTTCTGGCTTTGTGGATTTAGAAGTATCTTGTGCGGGTGGTTTGTTGGGGAAGTTTAGAAGCCGGGTCGCCGACCCAACTTTGCAAGAAGGCGGTGAAGCAGGAACAAATGCAGTCCACGTGATCCGGGCAGACAAGCAAGCCGAGCTGGCAGATGACCCGAAAAACGCCGACAGGACGGTGGACTCCTTCTGCTTCGGCCTGCAGCCCCCCGCGGATAGCTACGCAATTCGGAATCCGAGCGGAGAGGAGTACGTGTGCCGTAGGGCTGATATGTCATGGGATCCTGACTTTCAACTTTTGCCTGGAGCCGTCCAGGTGGAAAACGGTATTGCTGAGCCTTACTACATCCAGATCGAAGCCGCGGCGGAAGACTACACAAAATTCAATATTGAAAGGAAAAAGTCACCCTCCCCATATCGAAAAGGCATATTTCCGAAAATTTGTGCTGCTGATTTGAGGCCACAAATCACATTTGTCTTGCAAGGAGACAAGGGCAGAAGCTTCGCCCCCATTGTGGAAGCGATTTGTCGTGCTGTTGGGCCTACAGATGATGAGCTTAAGTGAGCAACTTTCCATGCTGAACAACTAGACCGATACACCCCTCCCTAGCCTGGGGAAGTGGCCGCAATGCCTTCCTGCAATACAAAGCTGATTTGTGTACACAAATCCAGCAACAGAAATTTCCGTTTCAATATGGGGAGGGGGGATTTTCCCTTTCGATATTCAAAGTGACCTGGTTCCAAGGGGACGAGGAGGAGACCGTCTCCTCCTCCCAGGAGGAAGTATCCTGTGCAAAAGCATCGTATTCGTATTGCAGTCATGCATTACAAATCTTTACCTTAAGGTAAATCCGCATTACAAATTTTATTTCTCATGCTGAGAAAATTTGTAATGCATTTATACGAAAGCATCGCAGCGATGCTTTTGCACTTCATAGGGAGAGAACGCCCCCGACGGCACGGACGGGGCCACCGCTGGCACGAACCAGACCTTGTTCAGTGCTGAACTACCGAACACAACTTCTAACACAAACGCTACATCTACGCTGGGCCCCCCAACTTCTAGCAGTACCACTTCTAAACCCCCCGACGAGGACGTCGTGTACGATGCGAAGGCTTCGGAGCCCGGGTGCTGTGGCGACACTAGCTCCGCGATCGCCGCGCCGGGGGGAAGTAGCAGCAGTAGTAGTTCCTTCGCGCAGCAGGAGCAGCTGCAGCAGCTGCTGCTGCCGGAGGAACACGGCGCGGCCGAAGGACATCTTGAAAGCGAGCATAATTGTTCTGGCAGAAGTTCATCTCCACGAGCACGACGTAAACATATCAGAAGTACAAGTAGTAGCCGACGCAGTGGGAGGACGAGTCACGGAACGGCGCCTGCTCGAGGAGAAGAAGAAGAGGAGCAACAAGAAGAGGATGCAAGAACCGCCGGAACAGGAACTACATCGAGGACTAGCAGTACAAAAAGCACTAGCCGAATTGCTTTTGCTAACGCTAAGAACACGACGAAGAAGGATATTTTCATGGACACGACCAAGATGAACAATAAAAACAGTAGCTCCACGTCCACTTTTCTGGAGGCGGGACATCAAGGAAAAAAACATCGTCATCAGCGGACCTCAATAATGAAGAACCTCAACAGGAAGAATAAACTCGCGGGTGGACGACCCGGCGCCTGTTCGAAAGACTTCACGGAGATAACCGATGTGCCCACGCTGACCGCCAGAACGTGCACGCCGGCGAGAGCGGACATCGTGGGGCTGCTGGGCAAGTTTGACCAGAAAAACAAGGAGCGGTCCGTCCACGTGTACCGCAACCAGCACGAAATCCCCTCCGTTTCCGACAAGAAGGACGGGGCGAAAGAAGGGCGCCACCAGATGTACTGCTTTGGTCCGTACAGTAACCTCAGGGAATCAGCGGAACATGATTGTTTGGAGGAAGTAGGGGTCCGCCGGCCCCTATTTGGGCATTGGATCGAATGGAGTGAGGACAAATGGCACGGGAGCTTTGACCACCCCCTCGTACTTGACGGCATCCCGTCCACGACTGCCTTCGACACGTCGCAGCTCTATGTCCAAATCGAAGCGCTCCAAGACGGTCAGTTTCGGTGGAAGTGGTTTACGGCCTCCGGCGGGCCATCTTCTTCTTCGTCCGAGCGGTCCTTGTTAGCAGGTGAGGAAGAACTGCCTCGCAGTGGACAGCGCGGCCCGTCGCCTTCTCGAACAGCGAGGCCAGAAGGTAGTACTATGAACTGCAAAAGGATCGTACTCGTAGTATTGCAATACTACAAATTAGCTCAGCATGACAAATGGAATTTATCATGCTGATTTAGCTTGAAAAAGAAATTTGTCTTGCATGACTGCGACTAGTACGAGTACGATACTTTTGCACAGGATAAGTACTCCTTCAGAGCAACAAGAAGACCACTCACCGCTGCACGGCAGCAGCGGTGACGGTGAGCAAGAAGATCTGCTAGAAAAGGAGCTGCGCGTATCAACCGCAAATATGCCTGGATGTTGTCTGGAAGATTGCCAGGTTTGTCATTGTCATGCATATTTTGTATGACCCAGAAGGTCTGGAATGCGGGCTCTAGCATCACAAGTTTTGAGAAGGCTACGCAATGCTGAATCCGCATGAGAACTGCAACTGCCGCGGCCTTCTGGTATTAACCAAAAGTGAGGACTTTATTTGCTGGTCCTCACGCAATACAGATTTTTGTATCGATCAGATTTAGCATGACAAACTCGGACTCTTCGTCTTCCACATCCAGATTACATATTTGCAGTGCATAGCGCACATACCAGGAGAAGGCGGCTGCGCCTGAATGTTGTGACCCCGGATCAGCAAAAGAGGACTCGAACGCGGTGGCCATGCTCCAAGAGATCATGGACCCCAACGAGCACGAAAGAGGTATCCAAGAAAAAAACTGTGTAAGTGTAACTTTGTGTTGCAGACGATGCAAGACACTGACACCTGTCATGCTGGACATTCATCACAGGCTCTTTTCGTACGTATTTTCACGTACTAGCTACGCATGACAGGTTTTCTGTGTCATGCAGAGCAAACTTGTGATGCTACTTCCCCAAGAAAGTTACACGTACACAGTTTTTTTCCTGGATAAGAGGACGAGGTCGTCCACTAAAAGACGGCGCGGAGGAGGTTGTAGTTCCGCAGCACAGAGAACATCAAGTTCATCTGACCTCTACCTTTCTCGAGGGCGGAAACCCGAAACAACCGTGCCCGGACGAATTGACACCCATCACAGACATGGGTCCGGTCACGAATGAATTTTGCTCGAACCCGCCGGGTGCGTTGGATAAACACCACGGCCTGCTGACCAAGCGGCGGCCGGACGACCGAAAGTGGGTGCACGTTCTGTACGAAGCTAATACAGAAACCAGTCCCAGTTACGATGAGATTCGACACGAACCATTCGGCCCGAATGGGGGGCGATTTGAGCAGTTCTGCTTCGGGCCATACGAGAAAGACATTCCCAGGTCCGCCGAGTTCGGATGCCTGGCGAAATGGGAGGATAGCTTCTTATCATGAGGAAAAATCCGCCCTCCCCATATTGAAAAGAAAATTTGTGATGCCGGATTTCCGTCCACAATAAAGAAGTAGCCCCAGAGACGCATGTGCGGCCTCGTTTCTTGCAGGGAATTTGTCATGCTGTTTCCCGCCTCCAGTTGTGTTGCTTCCTCTCATGCGCAAAGCGCAACGCTTTCCGATGCCAGCCAGCGCTAAAGGCCACATCTCTTCGCTTCTAGCATGACAACGTGGTGATCTTCGCAAATCATGCTACACAAATCAGCGTTTCAAAATACACAAATCACGGGGGAGCCCTGCCCTTATTTTCTCAAACACGCAAATCAGCGTTTCAATATGGGGAGGGAGAATTATTTTTCGTTGTCATAGGCCAGGGCGAAACTTGTGTCCTTGTTTTCGCCCGACGACGCCAAGGATATCCCCGTTGACGTTGACTGGGAAACCGGAAATATCGCAAGAAAAAACTGTTTCACTGTGAATGATGGTTTTGCAAGATCTGCATTACAAGTTTGCTACACATGACACAGAAAATTTGCCATGCGCGTTTCCCAAGGGAAGACACGCTTACAAATCCACTGGGTTGCAGGTGTAGCAAGACAAACACTTTGGTGTTTCGTTCTCTGCGTGACAAGTTTACAGGAGTGAAACAGTTTGTTCTTTGCATAGGAAAGACAGTCCACGGCATCAGCCTGGAGACCGACTTTATGCATTGCCAAAATGTCTGGGTCTGGATCTGGAAGGATGCAACTTGTCATGCTGAGTCTGGATAGTACAGAAATTTGTGTTGCATGATTACCAGAAGGCGTCCACTTTTGAACAAGTTTAGCGGCAGTTTGTCATGCAGGATGGACATGTTGATAGAGACTTCGCAGAACCTGTCATGCTAGGTCCTGCATTGCAGACCTCGTGGGGCATGCAAAATATGCATGACAAGTTTGCATTTTTCCAGACCCAGACATGTTTGCATTTCATAGCCTTTGACACTGCGCAACTGTACGTGCAAGTTACTGCGAAAGCTATGGGACTCTCAAATCAGTTACATTCTCAACCGCTACGTGGTGATTTGTCATGCGAAATTGCTATTTTAAGCCACAAAGTCAAGCTACTTCGCATGACAAATTCTCGATAATCTTCTGTGCCAAATTTGTAATAATGCGAGAGATGCAAGCACAAGCTCTCCCCTACAACCCCTTTTACTTTTGCTGTTAGTAGTTCTCGCGTCACAAATTCTAATTCATGTAACAGTTGAGAATGTAACGGTTGAGAGTTCCATAAAAGCCGACGGAAATTTCGAGTGGCAATGGTTTACCGCAGCGGGGCCGCCTAGTACTTCTGTGCAGCGGCCCCTCCCAAGTCGTCCAGCTTCAACAGAAGCCGCCTCCTCCGTAGATGAAAAAGAGGGGTCGGGGGCCCCTGATGACGGAGCAGGGGAACAACAGGGTGAACAAGAGGGGTCGGGGGCCCCTGATGACGGAGCAGGGGAACAACTGGATAACTCACTAAACGAAGCCACCACCTACGAGGAAAAGGACGCAACACCCGGTTGCTGTGGCGAAAGTGGTACAGTAGATTCCGTGGCGGTGCTTAGTTCGGCGACGAATTCCTTTCTCGAACGACAAGGTGGACAAAAAGAAGAAGAAGAAGAAGTACAACCGTCTCGCGAACAAGTAGCTGAGGAGAAGACGCAACAACTACCTCGTTCTGCTGCAAATAACGAGGAGGCTGTCGAGAACAACAGGAAGAACGAGCGGACTCTTGAAGACGGGGCAGCTGCTGGTGTGCGGGCGACAAGGTCAAGTTTTTCTCTTGCCGGAGAGGAGGACCAAAGCTCGTCTGCTGTCCAAGAACTTCATGTCGCAGTGTGACGGAAACTACTTAACTCGATTGCAGATGTTTTCAACGGAGGATTGAGTTTTTTTTTTTGTTTGTTTTTTGTCAAATGTATTTACACGACAATGAACTCAATCGTAAACCAATTGAAGAATGGGATACATTGCGACGAGGAGGAAGCAAGCTTTCACTTTACGAATCAATCGTTTGCATTCTATTTTTTAGCAAGATTTCTCATACCTATGTTTAGCAAAATTATCACAAGTTTAGACATTTCCTTTCAAATTTTCATCATTTTCACGAATTCACGCACGCCATGTGCTGTTTTATTTTTAGAGTTAGCCGCGTCAAGTAGAACATTTTTCCTGTAAAATAAGAATTTCACATTTTGGAGGGTAGGTACTAGTGCTCAAGCTTATCGAATTGCGGTTGCTTTAATGCGCCGGTACAGAACCAAAAGCATTGTTGTACATAATAGTACCATGCATGAGAAAGTCCAATCCGTATAAACTGTACAATTAGAATTCGGTGGCGATAACTCTGAACGACATCGATCATGCCATTGAGCGACAAGGCTGTTGTACTGAGCTCGAGCAGTTGTAAGAGCCGGACGACCGGCCGAGAAGGTGGGAGACGCTCTGGTCGTGGTGTTCTCTTCTAGCACATCAGACACACCACCGCGCCAAGCATGGTGGAATGTGTAAGAAGTATGGAAGTAGGAACAAGATCTTTTTGCAACAGTTGGACAACATCAAGCCGGAAACTAAGCGGAGTTCCTCTTCGCGCCGTGTTTACGTTTTGTCGTGTCGGCTTTTATATGTGACCACTCGACGAGGACGACGTCCAGAACCAGATGGCTCGCGCGACAGGAAGATCTGGATCATCATCATATCTGCCTTGTAAGTACTTTACCAATGCCATTGTGTGGTGATCAAAAGATCTGATCTTTTCACAAGCTTCTGTGAACAGGACTAGCGGGCTTTCATCAGGAGGGCTGCTCTCCTTGTTCTTCCTTTGAAGATCAAGACGAAAAAAGTGCACTAAAATTGCGGGAACAAGTTTATCCTGCTTGATGCGCCAGAATTGTGATCTGAGATGCCGCAAGATGGTCAACATGTGGATCTGTTTCTGTTTTTGTTTTTGTCCTCGTACCGTGTTGAAATTGCAAGGAGTTCGTGTGCGATGGTCATTTTTAGGGTCTTTTATTCAAACACGTACGTCGTAGTTAAAGGAGAACAGGAGTAGCAGTACAGCTACAGCATACGTTCTCGTACTCGTCGTGGATCATGATTGCCATGTTAATAGGCGAAAGAACTCCACCGAAAAAAATGATCTAAAGAACCTACGACCCACAAAAAACACCACACGCGAAGATCAGCGCAAAAATGAAGCATTCGCGCTGCAGAATGAAGCACATGGCGGGCCAGCCGCGTGCTCGTGCTGTTCTTGAAAAGGCGCCTGCTGCATTGACGGCAAGAAGTACTACCTCTACGGCTGGCCTCTGCAGCATAGAAGCTGTGTGGCCCCTTGTGGAAGGGCGCTGTTCTTTGCACCGAGAGGCAGAGGGAGACCAGCAGCCTCAAATATTAGCTTCGGTGAAAAGCAAATCGAAATCATTCTGCACCTTTTCCGCTGGTGCCGCTGCAGCCAGGGCCGCAGTGTTGGACACCGAGGGCTCTTTTTCAGGTGGACGGGGACCACAAGGAAAAGCAACACAACAATCCGGTGCAATAAATCAAAGCGCTGCAACCGACGCCTTCTCGGCAACTAGCTCAACTTCGCAAAACAAGAAGATAAAGACCCACTCGTGGCAGTCGGACGCCGAGTTTGCAGCTTATTTGCGGCACCTCACCCAGCAAGACCGTTTGGAGAAGCAGAAAAAGGAGGGTGGAGCTGACGTAGGAGCGACATCAAAAACTACTACGGGTAGCAGCTCGGAAATCAATCCTACTCAAGAAACTTCTCAAGAAGAAGCACTAGCGAGCAGACAAGCTCAGGAAAAGCAAGCCGCGTTGATCTTACAGAAGAAGCAAAAACTCGATGCTTTTTTTCACCTGTTACTGCGGAAGGTAGCAGCGTTGCAAGAGGACGGAGAACTACACCAGCAACACACAACACAACCACCTCCGACGACCCTCCCCCCAGACCAGCAGCTGCACCAGTACGCAATCAAGGCCTTGCAAATCGTGAAGAATGAGCTGTGCCATGCAAAACTGCGGAAATACGTCGAGACCATGGATTATCCTGTGCAAAAATGTCTGGGTCTGGAATGTTGCCGGGTTTGTCATGCATATTTTGCATGACCCAGGATGTCTGTCATGCACGACCTAGCATCACAGATTTTTAGACGGCTTCCTGATGCCTACTCCGCATGACAAATGCCCTCTCCGCGTAGCACAAACTAGACTCCTCTTGCTGGTCATGCAATACAGATATTTTCAGAGTCCAAAGTTAGCATCACAAGTTCCAACCTTCCAGACCCAGACATTTTTACATTTGATATGGATGTGTTTGCGGAAAAAAGCGAAAAACACGAAATGCTGTAAGCATTGCAAAAGTATTGTACTGCTCGTATAAATGCATTACAAATTTCCTAAGCATGAGAAGCAAAATTTGTAATGCGGATTTACCTTAAGAAAAAAATTTGTAATGCATGACTGCAATTACTACGAGTGCGATACTTTTGGACAGGATATGCTGTTGCGCGAAGCGATTCCGGTGCTGCCGCATGTGGTACAGTTTTGGCGGGAGAGGGTGGAGAATGATGGTATTCCTTGTGCCGATAATCTGGCGACCTCTTCTGTTTTCACCGATCTTTTGCACATCAGCACGATTTTCGGCAAACATTCCTTCTACCCGGGCGAGGTTTTTGACTTTCTCACTTCTGTACGCAGAGGACCAGCACCAGCAGCGGGACAAATAGTACAAAAATCCTGTGGAAATCATCTTCACCAGCAGCAGCAAGGCAATAAAGCCTCCTCCTCTTTCCCTCTCTCCCCGAGCGAAACCGCTCACCTCCTTCAGGAGACTGGGCGTCACGGGTTACGGTGCAAGCATTTCGTGGACCGAATTATCCACTTTGCCGCGGACCAAGCAGAGAGTGCTATGACAGTTCACGAGATTATGGACAGCGCTCGTGGTTTAATCCGGTTCACGAAGGACTGGCAGGTCTTTTTCCACAAGGCGTGCCCGAAAATCCGCATGAACTTGCTGCAGTTGGAAATTCCGGACTTGCTGTTAACGCTTCGGTTCTCCCGGGATTTGAAGAGCTGCGGCTACGGCTCGGGGATGCTGTACTTGGAGCTGCAAAGGGATGTCTGTACGCTGCTGCGGAAGAAAATGTTGCTGGAAGAAGAAGGAAGTGGAGCAGGCACCCCGTCTCAAAAAGAAAATTTGTCCAGCTCGACACCCACAGGTTCCTCCTTCCCCCTCTCCGAAGCCATCCGCAGTCTCCACGATGTGTTTTTCGATAAACGCTATTCCCGGGCGGTAGGGGAATATGTGAAAGCGGTGAATGGAAAGTTGGCCGATTACCGGGAAAAGCACATGTTGTTCGTCAGAGAAAGGGAAATAGAAAATCAGCGACACAGGCAAGAAAATGAACAGCAGGACTCCCACAGCAGTCACGACGTTGGCAACAGCCGCATCAGGCAAAACGACTGGACGCTTTTAACCGACCCGGAGTTGGATAATACAGTGGAGCTGGTGAGAGGCTTGGATTCCCTAACCTCCTGGAAACACGTTTTTCTTGTCAGTCAGAATGCAACGCCAGGGACAGGAGCACCAGGAGGGCCGCAGGAGTCGTCCAGCTACCAGCTGCAAGAGCCACACTTCGACTCTTCCTACCTGCAAAACCTGCACTTCCTCACAAACATCCTCGCCGAACGCATGCCGGAAATGAAGTACAGCCCGAACGTGTCATTATGGCAGTCGGTCACGAACTCTTTGTCGAGAATTTCGATAAACAGCAGTAATTGTGATAGTACAGCCTCTGCAGTCGAAGATGTTGGAAGTTTGAGCAACATGACCTCCTCATCCGACGACTACCTCTCGAAATCCTGGCTCCAGCAGCTCCTGCCCGTCATCCAAGACAAGTACATGCTGGACCGCATCTCTATCCTGTGCAAAAGTATCGTACTCGTATTGCAATCATGCATTACAAATCCTTTTGTTAAAGTAAATCAGCATTACAAATTTTATTTCTAATGCTGAGGAAATTTGTAATGCATTTATACGAGTGCAAAAGTCTTTTGCAATGCATAATATCCTTTTTCCAACAATGCACGCTCGTCACCGCCCTAGCCCGGATGAAGTTCTTCGACAAGACGGCGTACGATTCGATCAGCTTCATGCTGCTTATGCATTGCAAAAGTATCGTACTTGTACAAATCGCATGACAAATGTCCTCAGCATGAGAAATTAGAATTTCTCATGCTGATTTACCATGAGAACGAGATTTGTAATGCATGACTGCGACTACTACGAGCGCGATACTGTTGCACTGCATACTGCTCCAAGAACGGCAACTGTTCACGGAATTGGAGCATCTGTCGCCGGTGTTGTGGGCGTATAGTTTGATGAAGTACCACCCGAATAAACCGCTCTTCGAGTTCGCGTTTGATTTTGTGGAGGAGAAGGTTGAGGGATTGAACTTGTTGCGGAAAAACTTCTACTCCAAACGAGGCCGGGTTGGTACGAATAATCCAAATGGACCTCCGACGTCCTCAGGTGGTGGACCCGAGCAGCAACTTCTATCGCAAGTCGGGTACACTGCTTTGGTGCAGTGTTGTCACGCGTTCGTCTCCGCGGGGTGGTTAGAAGTGCCAGAAGAAGAGGAGATTCGGAAGCGGCTGGTGCAGCTGCAACAGAACGGTCTTAATTATGCCAGTGGGGAACAAGATGTTGAACAAGATTTCAACCAAACGTCTTATCAAGAACCAAGCGACGCTCTACTCCGCGAAGAAAGGGCAAAGTTTCTGTGGAGGCAGAAAAGGCTCTGCAAGATGCTCGATAGTGTGTTTGTAAAGCAGGTCACAAGGGCGGCACTGGATCCGTACGCGAATGCAGGAGGTGCAGGTAATGTTAATACCACAAGACTCCTAGAGCGGTTGGTCCAGATTGCGCACATGATCGACATCACGGTGGAGAAGAATGCAGAAAAGCGGATGGAGCTGTTCTCCCCTGAGGGGTTGAAACGGATTGAACTACATCTTGGGCAGGAGTGCAATACTTGTGCTGGCGGTTTTTCTGTTGGGGGACGACAACAGAACTTCGCTCAAAATGCGAACAACATGATCGTTGGTTGCCCGTTGTCTTTAGAAGAAGGAGGGGTTTCGGTGGAGCTGGAACAAGAAGCGGCGATGTTGGATGTTGCACAGGAGCAGGTGGCATCAGGTACGACAAAACACCTACTAGATGGTTCTTGATTGGTGCAAGAATTTTCCATTTTATGGCCTCAGGTTCACGGTGTCAACATTCGTACCCGCATGATGATCTTCAAAATCAAAATGTCGGCCTACATGAGTCTCAGTGGCATGCCCTTTAGTGATCTTGAACCACGCAAACAGGACGACCGACTGTTAGTTCCATCGGAGAGCAGCAGGGACCCGACGACAAAGCAGATGCCACTACCCCAACATCAACCTCTTTCGAAGCCGAGATCCGGAAGAAGGTTAGCGACTACTTCCAAAATAAACTTGAGCCTGAAGGAGCCAGTCCAACGAGAATGTTGTCAGCGGTCAAGATGTCGCGAAACGAACTTTTGCACGGTGTGTACTGCGACTGGGTTTTGGAACTAGTACAACCTGAGAAGACAGCGAGTACTGGCGAAGGTGAAGATGCCGAAAGACAAAATGCGGAAAAAATCGCAGTTTTCCTTCTCACCAGCAACGTGCAAACCGGAGGGTCTTTCATCCGGAAAACGCATAGCAGCTCGCAGCTAGACGGGGAATCTGTCATGCAGAACAACCCTCACAGTCACAGCACGGCATTCAATGAGCAAGTAAATCTGCTTCTTGACTCCGACGGGCGGCAGGCTTTTCTGGAGGAAATTCTATCGAAGCACGGAGTGAAAGTTGTGAATCTGTTCTTGCCTGAATTCTTGCCAAGCGGGCGCGGTGATGCTGAGGACGACCGAGGTGCTGGTACCCTAGTTGCGGAGATTCTGAATCAAAAGCTGCGGTGCTTTGTAAACTAGAGTGGCGTGCGACGTCAAGAATGATCTGTGAAAAAATAGGGACATTGCAGATGGTACATGAATACTCAAATCGCGGCGCATCGAATTGCTCTGCGTTTCTTATCAAACCACACCTAGCGACCTGGATCGAGCTGTAAGTAAGTACTTGACAGTTCCCACGAACTGTGCCTGCTGTTTCAAATGAACAATTCTCTACCATGTGCTAGCCGCACCGAGCCCCCGGGGCTGTTTAGGGCTACAGTGTCCTACTTCTTGGAACCAGCAGCCTTCTGACAGTGTATCAGTGATGATTTTCGTGTGTTCACGAAGCCACACCAAACCTGCAAAAGAACTTGTCGTCATGACGACGCAGTGTTGGATCTGCAAGCAGTAGATGAAAATGCGGTCGCACCTCCGGCGAATCAGCCCCGCAGCGTCGCAAGGAGTGCCTCCATCGACTTGGACCTATTCTACTCCGCCGCAGGTGGTCGGAAAGCCCTTAACGAGAAAACACACGGCAGCTCCGCAAGCGCTAGCACTTCTACATTGGCCACAGTTGCGAAGCGTGTCGGAGGATTGGCGAACAAGGTGAAAAAGGTACCTAGAGGTGGCAGTGCGAGCAGTCTGGAGGAAGACATGCTGCAGATAGAAGCTTTGGAGCAAGAAGAAAAAAGATCGAAGGTCAAGACGAAACCCACGTACATCATCCCAAGGGGTGAGCTAATCAGGCGAAGGTTTGAAGTGGATCAGACGGTGTTGCTGATCTCCAACCGGTTTGCAAATTACCACCGAGCGGTGGTGAAGGAGACGGAGCGGGAGCTGACTTTGTCGGACAGGTTGAGCAAACAAGTAGATTCTAGTACTACTTTAGGATCAAATCTGATGCAACCCGCCAAGAAGCAAATCTGGACTCTCGACGCGGAACTGGCGCTGCAGAGTCTGGAAAAATCCATCGTGAAGACCACCGCTGAGCAGAAAAAGAAGCGGGAATCGGAGGAGAAGGAGCGCCGGAGCGTTCGGGCGTTGTACAAAAAGCGGCATCGGGGGATCATGGATGTTCAGAACGAGGTCGTGCAAGAAACGAGTTCGAGTGACGAAGAACATGATCCGGACAGACGATCATCCTCACAGCATCGTCCGGTGAAGCGGAGAAGCACCGCTAGTACTCTCCACTCGACAAATACGCAAGAGACCGGAAGGGAAAGCGGAATGACGAGACTCACAAGAATCAGCGCAGCGTCGGAAGGCACGAGTGGTGCTTTTACCGAATTTGGCGCTAGCAAAATCCCGCATTGCAGCAATCGACTGGTGTTGGAATTGGTGGAAACGAAGGAAATTGTGGATACCGGGCCGTTGGATTTGGTTTTGCCCTTGTCGGAAGCTTTCGCAGTGCAGCCTTCGTCCACGGGAGCGGGTAGTAGTAGTGGAGCTCTTTAGCTTGAAAAACTCGAAATGATCCACCAGATGAACCGTCTTTATTCCAAGATTGTTACGCTAACCATGCCAATGCCTAGCTTTTCTTTACAGTTTGCGTGTGTACGATTTTTCCTCAATTACGAAACTTTCTGTATGAAACTCCCTTCGTGTAGGATTGTTGTACTCCAATAGCAGAAACAAGAAAAAAGAAAAAACAACCGCCCACCTGTGTCAACATTCTAAGTTTGCAACAAACACTTGCTGCAGCATGTGCGTTTTTTCTTTCCAAGAACGAAAACAAGTGGAAGAACTCCACGTCTTTACCCGGAAACAGAAAAGCGTTTTTTCTTTGCGAGTCTGATCATGTTCATCCTTCCTGGCGGAGTGTCACTGAGGGACGAGTTCTGACAGCTGAATGTGCTAGTGAAAAAAAAAAAGACAAGTAGAAGAGCTGTAGAAGCAGCCATGCAAGGCCACCGCACGAAGGAAGCTGCTGCTGAAGATCGACTATAGGAAAGAAAACATGTTGTCGTCTCACAGTACTCTGTTGTCTCGTTTCACGCTTGCTTTGTTCTTTCGCGGCCTTCTCACATTGTTTCTGTGCTTTGACCGCAGCTCAGGCCTAAAAGCGGGACAACCATCGGAAGGCGGTGCGCCAGCAGATGCGGCGATCGACCAATCGCAAGCGACACAACAACCAGATGCCCGTCTCATCCCCGCCGTGGTCGCAAGACGTTCTACCAGACATCCAACGTCCGTCGACCGGGCGCCACTCGCACGGCACACACAGGCGAACAATGCGGAAACGCCACGGTTTTTTCAGCAGCACAGCCGCACGAGCATTGAAACGGACAATAGTCTGCATACGATTGCAACTTCCGTGTACACCTCTGCCAGTTCGAGTTACAGCGGGGGTGGAACAAACCCACAAGCAGGGGGGCAGAGCGGTGCTGCAGGAGCAGGTGGACCTCCACCGATGGTAAATCATGCCGGGTCGACGTCGCAACAAGTAGGGGGCCTCAATCTTGGGTTGACCCGAAGCAGACAAGGACAACCGCAATCGCAAAATCCAAACCCCCTGACGCAGTCCAGCGGCTCCGCATTCACCCTTTCTTCCAGCACAGCATCAGTTGGTGGCGTCGTTCCGTGGCGGCTGTTGACACCAAGGCCAAGGAGTCAGCCACCCCAAATCATCGCCCAAAACAGCCAGCCATCCGACACAGCGAGTGCTGGCGGGAACAGCGCTGCGCACAGAAGACATCACACGGTCAGGTTTGATTTGCCGGATAGTGTTTTGAGGGGAGGGGAATATAACGATGACGTGGATGGGTCCTCCACCATGAGGCATGATTTCGCGGATAGACAAAACATTTCCCCTGCGACCCTGGACGAGGAAATCCCGAGCCCAACACCATTGCACTCGCTGTTGCAACAGGGCGGGGGTGACAGAACGCCGCATAGTCGGGCGGGGCAGGAGGACGAAGATGGTGAGGATGACCACAATGAGCAGCTAGCTTCCTCGCAAGATGGTCTTCTACCTGCTAATCTTCGAAGTGAAGGCTCGGTGAGAACGAGTGCGTCTAGTAGTGCTGCTTTTTTGCCCGTCAGGTCTGTGAACACGGGTGCAACCTCCAGCTCCGCCGCAACAAGTAACTGCCCCCTTCCCGCAAGACGGAGCAGGAGAGCGGCGTTTCGGGACAGATTATTATCGATGGCGAGCACTGCGACAGGCGGGACGGTGGCCAGCAGTTCGTCCACTTCTGGTGCTAGACCGAGAATCCAAAGTGCGAGCACGGTAAGCACAGGCACGAGTGCTGCCTTGCATCACATCAGCAACGTCGTGTCCTCAGAAGATGAGGAAGAATCGCAAACTTTATCAGGGCAGTTAGAAGAGGATAACGAGGGCTCTTCTAGTAGTGATGAGCGCGAGGAAACCACGACCCGAGAGGAAACTGAAAGAACCAGAACAGGTACAGGGTCCTACAGCATCCAGGAAGTCGATGGATTTTCCCCTTCCGCCCTCTCCTGTGACTCCACTGCTGCGATGATCTACGCGGCTATTGAAGGCACTGCCAGAGGAGCTGGAGGCGCGGCAGCTTCCTCTCCAGCCTCCCGAGAAACCGCAGAGGCAGCAGAACTCCAGCAGTCCTCAAGTACGGTCAAATCAGAGCCGACGCCCTGTGCAATTTGCCTCTCCGCGGAGGATGACGCATCGAAGATCGTAATTCTCGGATGCGGCCACGCGACGCTCCACTGGCAATGCCTCCGCCGATGGGTCCGCGTCGGCACAAATGCAAACCGGTGCCCGGTGTGTCGTGCGACATTAGCGCCGAGCTTCATCAATGATTTACTCGCCATGCGGGATGATCAGGTGGACGCCGAAGATGCCGACGCAGCACAGAACACGAACGGGGTCAACTACGAAAACCCGCAACTCCCGACATTAGCGCTGGGGAGAAGACCACTGCGGAGAGTGGAACCGGGGACCAGGGTTAGTAGAACTGGCGTCGGGGGTACCACGACTTCCGGTGAAGATGGCAGCAGCAGAGACAATCCAGAAACTACCGACACCCCAAGACCGCCGAACGCACCGCCTCTCCACCGCGAGTGGGGACGGCTGGATGATGCGGAAAATCCCCCGTATGGGGTTCTCAAACGTTACATTCTCAACTGTTTTTACATGACTTTGTCATGCCAAAGCACCATCATCATCCACACGATGAAGCGACTTTGCATCACAAATTCCCGAAGGGCTAAACACCACCTAAATCTGTTCGGAATTTGTAATGCTACGGGTGCAACTTCCCCCCTTTCACTTTTCCCATTCTTGCATCACGAATCCATGTTACAGCTCAGAATGTAACAGTTGAGAACGCCATACCCCGGGACAGCAGCGTATGAACAACGCCTACGACCGGTTCCGGTATTTAGAACCACGCCGGCAACAAACCTGGCGGGAGGCAATGGAGTCCCGCGTGCAGGAGTGGCGGCGGGACATACAGCAAATTCGGGAGGAAGTGCCGCTATCTAATGCAAAAGTATCGTACTACACTGAGTGGTTGCAACGGTGCATGAAGACAAGTCTCATCTTTATACCTGAATCAGCATTACAAACTGAAGTTTTCCTTGTGGAAAAATTTGTCATGCGATTTCTACGTAGTGCGATACTTTTGCAATGCATAGCCGCAAAACAGTGAAGAGTGTTTCACCTGTTTGAGCAGTACGCCGCAGTTCTTGTTGGACAGGACGATTGACTGTTGTCAATACATATCAACTGCAAGAAATATGTCTGGGTCTGGAAACAGAAACTTGTAATGCTGGGCTGCGAATAGTGAATGCTCTGTAATGCACAGCCAAGTATGAGAAATACTTGCGCGGCTTAGTGTTGCGGTTTTCGCATGACAAACTGCGTCTTTGCATGACAAGCAACAGGGTCTCTTCTTGGACACGCATAACAAACTCTTCCGTAATGCACCACAAGCACGACAAAGCTCGCATCCTTTCAGACCCAAACATGTTTGCAGTTGATAATACATCATGTGCGTGGAGCCCCGGATCTGCGTGATATGAAATGTGCGCTTTTTAGCTGTGACGATGGCAAAGGCAATGCTGCTCGAGGCTGTGACAACAACTTACTTCAGACAGTGCATGCGAGATGGGATGGCTCTGAACATGTTCTTCCGCCTGGGCAGCAGATCAGATCAGTTGCTTTGATGATGATGTTCCACCTGTACTTCTACGAGGCTGTAAGTACATGATAATCATGATTCTAATCCAGGCATGAAATTGTCACAGCCAAAAGAACCTCTTCCATTGTCACACCTGAACAAGGAATGCGCTAGTCTCTGCGTGCTGGGGTGCTGCATGTGCTGCAACATGGCGCAAAACGACGCGCAGATGAACCGGGAACAGTGTGTCCAGCACTTTTTCGGGGACGAATTTGAAGTGGGGTATCCCATGTAAAAACATCCCCACCCCATAAAGTTTCTCATGCGATTCTGCATGCCAAGAAAGTTTCTCATGTGGAGCTCTATGAGAAGCATTTTCTATTCCTATTCGTGTTTTGGAATTTGTGATGCTAGGATCAGCATGCTATGCTAGATCTGTGATGCTTCTGAACTAGCCAAACAGGATTACACTACGACGACAAACTTGTCATGCCAAATAACGCAAGCTAGTTGATTTGTCTAGCAGATTTCCTATCTTGGCTCTGGTGTGAGGACGTTTTTCCTCAGGATATGGGGCACGACATGCTCTACTCCCTTGCGAAATGGAACCGGGGGAGCGAACAGTTTCTGTGGAAGGAGGTACAAGAACACGACATTGAGAAAAACTCCTCCCATCACTACAATGGGATAAAATTCATGCGCCCGGTGACGGTGGAAGAAGCGTATAACACGCTGGAAGAGCATGTGAAGAATCACAGGTTAGACGACGAAAAATTTTTCAAGGAGATTTTCCACCAGGAGTTGAATTCCGGGATGTACCGGACCCGGAGGCATTTCTTACCGCCAGAGATGGTGAACACGTTGGAGAAGAAGTTTTTGGTCAGTAGAGAAGCAAAAACTGCAGCTGAACAAGGGAAAATAGCGGGTAGAACTGGCACATCCGCCGGCTCTGTGAATTCTGATACAGTTTTTGGATTCGCGGAGTACGAACACCAGCAAGCGGAACAAGCTCAAGCGCCGGCACAGCAAATGATGCTGGGGGGAGGGAGCAGTGGAAGTAGTAGTAGCAGTAGCTCGTCCTCGTCATCTGGCGTGTTACCACAGCATCCGAATTGTAGCAGCTTTTCAACATCTTCTTCCTCTAGAAGTAGCTCCTCCTCATCAGGCTATCAAAATCGCAGCGGAATAGACTTTGCGACAGCACTCGGCGCCATCCCGGAATGCGATGACACATTTTCATCTCAAGGTGCTGGTGGATCGTCACGCGGGGCCCAACCAGGAGAAGTGGTGAGAAATCGGCTGGTCGACGCTTTGAGTTTGTTTCCAGCAAGTGGCGAAGAGCTGCCTAAGACTGCTGGTAGGACAACAGATGCTGCAGGAAATGAACATCAGTCTGCTTCTAGTTCCTCATCTGGCTCTACCCAAGGTGGACAAACTCCCCCAACATCTGCCGCAGCGTCGACGTCTATTCTTCCATCGAAGACCACAACTGCAAGCAGCTCGGGGTCTTCTACTTCCTCCTCGTCCTCTACCGCAGGAGCACCACCAGAAAAACACCTAACAATCGCCCAAAAAGCCGCCCAAGTGCAGTCCATCTACATCGGCTGTATGCGGGCGTTTGAGAGCCCCATGGACGTGGGATTACGGAGGTATCCGGGGCAGAAACCGAGAAGGGATGATGACGATGAAGAAGACTCGCAGCCGTACAGTATGGGGCGTTCCTTACCCTCGGGGCCGACAACCACGCCACCGATGTCGACGATGCCGTTTATGTCGTCAAGTAGTTCTTCTAGCAGCTCGACAAGCGCACCGTCCGGAGGAGGTGCATCCACGTCAACCCTGCGTGGACGGAGAAAAAGCAGTTCTAGTACTGCGGCTGCTGCAGCTGCATCTTCTTCCTCAGGATCAAAAGGAGAATCAACCACGAGAAAAATAACCAGTGGCGCAGCAGCTGCTTCAACTGGTGGGGCAGGAGAGATTCAGAACAGCCTTGCGACTGCGAAACTGGGCGGATCGTCGAAGGAAATTAAGGAGTATGTTCTAGAAGAATGAATGATCTATCAAGGAGGAATGAAGAACTCTGTGTGTTGTGTTTGCGAAATGCCCACAGGAACAGGATGGTCCTGATTAGCCATGTAACAAAAGAATACAGTTCCTAGATGTTAGCGTTTGACACTTCAAAAACACCCGTTGCAGCCTGACGATCTCCGCAACATAAGCGCTTATACAAGGTAAGTTTCTCATCATCTCAATCATGATCAGCCCAAAATAGTTCTTTTGTCTGCTTTCACTGCAAAAAAAACATAAATGTAGAAGATTTCCGCGAAATGCAAAAGATGCGAGAAGATGACTGATGTGCCTCATCTAGTAGAAATTTTGCGCGCCACCTTCAGCTTGGTCTGAGGCGCTCTTTCGCACGTTGACATCATTCGTAGAGATGCGTTGGTAGGATGGCATTAGTCGTTTCATCCACATTCCAAAAGCAAACCACTGTTCACTCCCGGAGCACAAGTTCAAGTACAAACAGTGAAAAGGTTCCCGAAAAAATCATAGAGAAATCGATCAAATTCTTGGGTTTACTATCGATCCAAACACCACGAGAGGAATGATCTCTGACGATCCCATGCAACCTGCGCAGAAGCAAATCCATTTCAAAGCGAACATGCTCCGGAAGCTTAGCTGCATGCTAAGTAGCCGCGATGATTCTATTTTCGATCACGACAAACCCCTATGCAGGCTCTATTTCTCTCTGGTTACGGACAAGCAGTAGTATTAGCGACTTTTTTTTTCGACGAATAACGATACCGAGGAGTATAAAGATAAAATAATACCCTACATGATTTCAAACCGTTCGTGGTCTCTATACGCTTCTCTTCCAAGTTTTTTCTTGAGCAACGAACTATCAGGTTCCTCGGCCTAGTGTGCTCTTCAGCAAGATGGCGGATCGGATACGCACTTCGTCTTCGCAGCATGGCCTGCCAACGTGGACGTCGACAGATATTCACGAATTGGATACTTGGCTTTCTGAGCATTCGTACCTCACCAAGGAAGCGACTACCGCTGCATGTGAAGGTGAACATGTAGCACAAGCACAACCTCACCAAGATGTAACACGACCTGGCGAGCAAAATACAATTCCCCTCCCGGACAAAATCCTTTTCGACCTTCTCTTCAACGACGGACCGAGCTTGGCATGCTTTGCTACAGCGAACGTAGATGAGCAAACCAAAAAACTCGCTTGTCAGTGCAGCGAAACCTTCCTCCCCTCAATTTACCGGTGGAAGCAGCATATTCTGCAAAGGAGAATCACCGGCTTCCGAACCGCGCAGCTCCAGTATAGTATGTTCGCTGAAACCATGCAACGCAAAGTCGCGCAACATGCCGCGGAGCTGAATGGAAACTTAGCGGAAGGAGGTCGGGAGAAATTACTCGAAAATTCGTTTCTCGACGAGAAAACGCGAACGGAATGGAAGAAACACAAGGAGCAAGTAGAGAGGGACAATGTGGTGGTAGAAACAGAACGGTTGCAGCGACAAAGCGAAATGAAGATCTCCACGATGCTGGAGGAAAAAGCGGAGTCCTCGTCCTTGTTGCCAGACCCAAGACGAGAGATGGAAAAGAACAGGAATAGCAGCCGAGGTGAAAGAGTGCACAGCACGACGTCGCGCAGCACCGCAACAGAAGAAAATATTAAATCGCCCGTAAAAATGGGGACAGGGCCTCTAAATAGTTCAAGCGCAACCATTTTTTCTCCTTGTTCCACCACAACTTCATCCTGGTCGCCAAGCCGTCAGAGTACTGCGGCGAGTAGTACAAATCCGAATTCGCCGGCAAGCCACGTAATCAAGGCCGCGCAAGCGACCGATGAGAGCTGTTTGTTGCCAGATGACCCGCAGGAAGATGCCGTCGAAGAACAGGCCGCCCGCGAACGCGTCATCGTCCATGAGACCGTGCCGGAGAGTTGGAAACAGGACTACAAATCCTACACGAGTGAAATGAGTGGAACATCAAATCCGAAATCCTCTTCCTATCAGCAGAAACCGGTGAAACCGTTCCTCCGCGACCAATTGTTGAGACAACAGGCCAAGCAGTGGGATATTTTCTACAAAAACAATACGGTGAACTTCTTCAAGGACCGGCACTATCTCGGGAAAGAGTTCGTCGAGCCATATTTGCAAGACGACAAAATATTGCCTTCTCATGGTATAGCAGCCCCGCAAGAGGAAAAGCCAAAACTTCTGCTGGAAATCGGGTGCGGTGTGGGAAACAGCATTCTACCCCTGATGGAGCTCCTGAACGGTGATGAAAAAGTAGAAAGTCCCACAGGTTTTGCAACACAAATGATCCATCCCAGGGAGAACTTCTGGAATTTCGTCGCCTGCGACCACAGCAAGGTGGCAATAAAATTGCTGAATGAAAAACTAGAAGACCATCCGAAAAGAGACACTGTTATCGAGACCATGGTCCTCGATGCCACGAGCGAGATGGAACCGGAGGACAAGAAACAAGGTGCCGTAGAACAAAATCAAACACAGATAAATCAGGACGGAAAGCACTCTCACCCTCACCCCCTCGCCCCCTATTTCGGTAAATGTGACGCGGTGCTCCTCCTCTTCGTTTTGTCCGCGATTGAGCCGAAAAAACAGCAAAATGTCGCGAAACTGATCGCGAAATTGCTGAAACCAAAAACGGGCTTGCTACTGTTTCGGGACTACGCAAAATTTGACTGGGCGGAAATGAGATTTCAGCATCCGTTGCACAAACCCTGTCTGATGTTAGCAGCGGATAGGAAGAACGAGGAGGAAAATAAAGCCGCGACTGCTTGCAAGCCAGATGGCACTTGTGGTGCGAATGAGTATGCAACTACAGCTGCTTCTCCGGTCTCCGTTTCTGGCGGTGAAGAATATCATGCAGAATCTGCGGAAGCACGCTACAGAGGAGCTGCTCAACCTCCTGCCAACACAACTTCTGGAGTGGTTCATGAACAAGCTAAAAATCACCAAGCCCTTTACAAACGCCATGACGGCACTCTGGCTTACTTTTTCGACTACGAAAATAAGGAGCTGGAGAGGAAAATCTTCACGAAAGAGCTGGGGTTCGCAGTAGGCCAGAATTCGTCTTCCGAAGATGATGGTCTTCTGGAGCACAAGATAGTCTGCCGCGAGATCACGAACCGAAAGGAGAACAAAGTCATGCGCAGGATGTGGTTACAGGCGGTGTTTCGGAAAAGTTGAAAATAGCGAATTGCCGGTTTTAAAAAAACGATGATTGAAAGAATGAGCGACACTTTATTTTGCGATGAACAATGTTGGAATACTGCCATTGTTTTTGTTGGTGATCAAAGCAGCACACGACGGTGAGGTCGACGACGCTTTATTTCGTCCCGTAAAAATCCTCTCACGACAGAATAGAAATCGAATTTGTTGTTGTTCGCGGAGCTGCCTGATCAGGAATTGCCTATAAAAGATCAGCCGGAGCTGTTGCTCTCCGAAAAAGTAGAGTGTGATTTTTGCAGTCTAAAAAAATAAAAGGCTCATCCGATATAGCAAAGTCGATCCAGCACAGCTGTAGCAGTCCACTTTGGATCGTGATCATCATGTAGAAGAAGTATTAAAGACACGGCATTTGTATTCACGCACATCAAGACAACTTTCGCAAACACCTTTTATGAAATGCGCTCCTTCTTGGCCGATCCAGATCTTCAGCGGCGCCTCGTTGTTTATCGACTGAATTTTTGCTAGAGTAAGTAGAGCTTGCACATGTTGTAGGCCTTTACGTTTTGCTCATATAGAACTTTTAACCGAATTCTTTTGCTCATGATACAGAATATTTTTTCTTGTGCAGAAACACTGACAGTACAAAAGCCTCCTTCTTTTTGAATCTATTCAAGAAACCGCAAACTAACCAGTATTTACGCTTGCCACGACTACGGACTACAGCCGAGTTACACAATCTATCATTATACTTGTATAATATCATGACTAAGATAAAAATGGGGTCACCAGCTCCTGCGGCCGCGCTGCTACCTGGAACGACCACACCACGGACCTTGTTCGCAGGATCATGGGGGCTAAAATCCTGCTTCTCTACTGGAGTACTTTTGTCCCTGGTCCTTCCATTCCGGGCCGTTCTTCCCGCGCTTTCGGCCGGTGTTGGTGGTGGTCCTCTCGTCCACATGGAGGACCACGATGTTGGTGAAGATGCTGCTGCTCTTGGTCCTCTCGTTCCCAGAGATGATGGAGGTCGTGCTCGAGGACGCGGCCACTTAGAGCAGGACCGCGCGGTGGATGGCGAAGAAGATGTCGATATCAAATGTAAAAATGTCTGGGTCTGGAAAACTCATGCTGTTTTTGCATGACACAGAAGGTCTGGCATGGAAGCTCTAGCATCACACGTTTCGAGAAGCTTCCGCAATGCCGAATCCGCATGACAAATGCCCCACTTTAGGGCCAGAAAGTGGGCAACTTTTGCTACCTATGCATGAGAGATTTTTATGTGTTGTGAAATGCGCATCACAAGTTTGTCTTCTTCCAGACCCAGACACTTTTGCATTTCATAGCCGACATGGAGGCGGCCGAGGACTGGGAGCAACTGGGGGAACAAGAAGAAGAAGAAGTGCGACAACCTAACGCGGCAGAAATCGAGCAAATACAGCCGATTCTTGCTCAGTTCAATGAGGACCAACAACCGTATGATCGGTTGCAGCAAGAAGAAGTTCGACAACGACCTAACGCGGCAGAACTCGAAGAAATCCAGCGCGACATGGCTGAGTTTGATGGGCCGCAAGGAGGTCCTCGTCCGGAGGCCATCGAAAATATGGATTGCAAATAGGTCTGGGTCCTCTGGAAGGTTGGAACTTGTCATGCTAAATCCGAACCATGCAAAAATCTGTGTTGCGTGAGTACCAAAAGCTGTCCACTTTCGACCAAGATGGGAGGGAGTTTCTCATGCAGGATAGGCATGATAGGGACCTCACAGACTCTGTCATGCCAGGTCCCGCATTCCAGACCTCAAGGGCCATGGAAAACCTCCTGCATGACAAGTTTACACTCTTCCAGACCCAGGCATATTTGCAATGCATAGAAAACGACTTCGAGCAAATTCGAGATAATCATCGACGAGAGTTCGGGGCGTATTTGCAGCGGGAGTTTGCGGAGCGTGATGCCGTTTTGCAGGCGGAAGCCGAAGCAGCGCGGCTCCTGGAAGCGCAGGACCGGAAAGCGAAGTTTTCGAGCGTGCTCGAGTTAATGGCGTTGGGGGCGTCGTCATCAAGGCGAGCAGGCTTAACTACAACTACCCCTCGTGCAAGAAATTACAGGAAGAAAAAATCCAGAACCAGAACCCCGCGGCGAGAAAGGGGAAGTGGAAGCAGCTCCAGAAGTAGCTCTACCTCTACCTCATCTTCATCTTCTTCGCAAGAACATCAAAATCATCCTGCAGCACGAGCCGAGGCCGACGTGGAGGTGGTCATCCGCCTCTCGAATGCCCTAACGGGGGAACTCTTCGTCCCGGGACGGGGTGGACGGGGTCACGACCATATTGATGTGTCTACTGCCAGTACTTGTGCTAGCGCATCGTCTTCATCAAGCGCAACTGGTGGAGGCCCGCTGCGCACTGCGAAAAAAAGCCACGGACATTTTCATTTTTCCACGTCTGTCGAAAGTATGACCGAGGCGAAAAACTTCGTTACAGACCTACAGCTGGAGATGAATTTTCCGCACATCCGCTTCATACTACAAAAACCCGCCCCGAAGAAAGTGCTGAATTCTAATGCAGGAGTTGTTGGGCGGCCAGGGCCACAAGCTGCACATCATGCGGAAGATCATGCAGGAGTTCATCTTGCCGGCACGAGGATGATGACCTCGGACACCTTTGACACGTTTGAGGATTTTCAAAAGCTTTTAATACGGATTTCAGAAGTAAATGAACACTCGGATAAAGCGCGACAGATTCAAAACTTGCGGGAGTGGACCACTCTTGTGGAAGACGAGGTAAAGTCGCAGCTCCCGACCACGACATCGCAAGTCGACAATTCTGGCAGCTCGTCCGATGGTACTAAAGATGATGAGCCTACTGGGATGAGACATCAGCCGATGAACATCGGGAAAAACAAGAAGAAGCAGTACAGAATTCTGGATGTGCAGTTTTACAAGCTGCACAGTGCTCCTGTCAAGTACCAACTTCAGGTGGGCCTGGGGGACGGCATCATTGAGGTACCGAGCGACAATACGGTGGCTGACGTAATAGCCGGCAAGGGGATGCAAACGTCGCTTTCCTCCGCGGCCGCGAACGGTGCCGGGACGGTGCTTCCACACATGCGAGTGTTTCCGAAGGATCCGTCGATTCTTGAACAAACCGTGCCGGGCTTACAGTACTTAACCGGCACAAGAACCACCCCGGACCGAGCTTTTTCCACCGGGGCAGCAACTTCTCAATCGGGCCTTGCTGCTCGCGCCAAAAGCTTCCTCGCGAAGCCACGCATTCTCCCCTTCCTCTGTTCGAAGCCAGTTTTCCTGGGACAAATGGTTTACCAAAGGTTCAACTGGTTTAAACTTTTCGGTGTGAACGAGCAGTGCGAGGCGTTTTTAGAACGGGCAGAGCAAGCCTTATTGGAGATGAACTTCTTCCTCGCGGTGCAGAGCGGAGCAATCATGTTTATGAATGGGGAAGTGGAGCGGGGGGAGTGGAGTTGGAACATGTGGTCGGAGCTTTTTTTTACAATTAATATCAAATGCAAAAGTGTCTGGGTCTGGAAAAGTGTAGAGTTGTCATGCAGATTTTCCATGACCCGTGAGGTCTGGAATGCGGGACTTAGCATGACAGACTCTGCGATGTCTCTGTCATGCCTATCCTGCATGAGAAACCCCCCTCCAACTTGGTCAAAAGTGTACAGCTTTTGGCACTCATGCAACACAGATTTTCGCACGCTTCAGATTTACCATGACAAGTTGGAATCTTCCAGACCCAGACATTTTTGCAATTCATAGTTAAGAAATAGGAACGAACTCGGAGAAGGTGGAGGAAGCTCCAAACCGGACGGTGTAGTAGTTCTTTAGGCAGCATTGCTACCAACGGAGGAAACGACGCCGCGGGCGGGGGTCCATCCGCTCGGCGTCGCTGCTTCGCTGCTTTTTGTTTTTTACAAAACGTATTTGACGGATATATGTACTAGGTACACAACTACACAGATAGTACTGCAGATTCGAATCTATTGGGTTGCATTGTTGTGATGATCAACAAGCATCGCACTCGCAGCACGAATGATTATTCTTTTATGTCGCTTTTTTAACCTGACGAACACGATGAAGGCTACTCGCTTCATCTCGACCTTCGGAAACGAAAATCGGTATTTGGGATTCCTGCGGCTGCGCTCGTACTAAATCACATCTTCTACGCAATTACTACACGATGTTTTTGATCTTTTTTGCCGTCTTCACGAAGCGAAGACATAAAGAAGGATGGAGCAGAAGCAAAGCTTGATCATACATTTTCGCCTCCCTAGAAGATCCTTTGCTCTACTTCTTATAAAAACTGCATCAAATTTCGATTATGAAGCTCAGTAGGGGCTCGCGCGTTGTACTATGCTCGCGCTTTTTTATTTTCGTATGTGGAATTATGGCGTATGATATCTAAAAACAGAAAGCATTTTCTTGGGGCTGGAGACTGATGCGGCCACCAAGGCGAAGGTGATTCAACACCTGTAGTATTGTTGCCGCTACAAGAACTCAACCGTGTACAATTTTCATCTATGCACAAAAAATTCATCACTGTAAACATTCTACTTAGCTCGATTCAACAAAGATGTGTCAGTGTCTGGAATAATGAGTTTTTGTTCCACACCTGATATCGCAAGAACTCAGACGAGAAGAGCTGCTTTCTATCTAGAGACCTACACCAGCAGCTCCGGCGGTGGAAAACTACGAGCACGTAACCACAGAGGTGGGGCCATGATGAAAGAGCGAGATGAGCAGGTGCAAAAACAACGCAAGAAAACGAGTTGAGGTGGGTTTATTTAGCACAAGAACTCTGAGAGGGGATTTTTCTGTGGCTGTTAATACGCGGGGATTCATTCGTGCTTCTGTGGCTTGGTGTCGTTTGAAGTGAAAACAAATCCACATTTATCTACCATCAACATGATTTCTTCCTATAGCTCATCTATTTCACGCCGCTTCGAGAAGGGCAGCCATGCACCAGCAACTATGGTGCCCGTCGTCCCGATGCACATGCAGGGTCAGGCGCAAGGCGCGGAACTATTGAAACGGTGCTGCAATTTTTGCGCTCGTGTTGGTGTTGGTGAGCAGCTGCGCATATTGTCGATTTATTTCGCGATATTAACGATAAGACATCTCTTCGCACAACAGCATGACATCATTAAGTAAAACTCTCGATCTGTGAGCGTACCCAAGCTACTTGATGTCACACTGAAAATAAGCTGCTCAAGTGCGGAATATTAAACTATGGAAGACACGACGGGAATGACCGCCCCACTCGCGGGGATGAACCAGATGTACGGCCTAACGCCCAAGCAGTACCAGGACGTGGTCAAGGCGTTTCAGGCCTTTGACGATTCCGGGGACGGTCTCATTGACATGGAAGAGTTGGAAGACGTCTTGCGGCTGCTGGGGCAGAATCCGAGCTACAAAGAGCTCCAGCAGGTCATGGACGCTTTGGATCAGGACAAGTCTGGGCAAATTGATTTTTCCGAATTCCTACCCTTCATGGCACAGGTAAAAAGTAGATTATATTTCCGACCTGGTGTTTATTTTGTTTTTGTTGCCCTCAGGCAATCAATTTGTTGTGCTGTCTGGCTTTATTGCCGCAATAGGATTCATTGTGTGTTTATTTAGTTTCTCCTTGGCGGGAAGTTGAACTAAAAACCCTTTTATTTGTCTGTGCTATAATGATTCATCTAGGTGATAAAGCTCCAGTCGGAATCCACCATTGAGGGCATGCTGCGAAAAAAGATGCCGGCCTACATCCACGGAACAGAGCCAGAGATAAAATCCGTCGGCGACCGGAGAAAAGTAGTCAACTGGTTGGTCTTTCTCACCGGCATAACGGTTCCCTGGTTGGTTTTCTCCCTGTTCTTCTGGCTCAACAGTTTCAAGTATTGGGAGATCCCGAACTGGTATGCAAGAAATAAAAAACTGTGTAAGTGTGTTGACTTTGTCTTGCAGATGCTGCAATACAGTTACACATGTCATGCTGGATGAATGTGCATCAGACGCTATTTTCATACGTGTAGTTTTCGCGTACTACATACGCCTGACAGGTTTTATTCTCTGTCATGCAAAACAAATCTGTGATGCTTTTCCTGCAAAAAAAAGTTAGAGTTACACTTGCACACTTTTTTTCTTGGATAGTTCGACCCACGCGATAAACTCCCTCACCGTTTTCTTCTTTTTCTACTTCCTCTATATCAAATGTAAAAATGTCTGGGTCTGGAAAAGTGCAACTTGTCATGCTAACTCTGAATCATACAAAATCTGCGTTGCATGATTAGGCGCAGGGTCACCCGGTCGGCAGAGCCGATCCATACGAACGAACGATGATTACCAATAAAGCTGTTCACTTTTGAGAAGGCCGAGAGGCAGTTTCTCATGCGGAAAAGGCATGGTAAAGATCTCACAGAGTCTGTGATGCTACGGCATGCATCAGAGACCTAGCACGTCATGCAAAACCTGCATCACAAGTCTGGCATTCTCCAGACCCAGACATTTTTGCAATCCATACTCTATCGGTATAAACGACGCATGCAGCTTCCCACCCAGTGGTTCCTCGCCTTTCAGGCCTTTGCGCACGTCTTATATTACAATGAAAACTGCCCCCACCCCCGAATCGTTGGAAGCATTTGTATTGCAAACCTTTCCAAATGAAACATTCGCCATCTTGCATCTATCAGCATCACAGGTTTCCAATCGTGAATAGCAAAAATTTGTATTGCAAAGGACCGCGGCAAGAGCGGCGCTTGTGATGCAAGCGATGCTGTATACGACTAGACTCTGCATCAGAAAGATTCATACTCCTTTCATGCAAGACAAAAAGTTCGTCATTTGGAAACTTCGCATGAGAAACTTTTGCAACTTTGGGCATTTTTCACTTTGATATCTTACTCGGCATGTTCTGCGGCAACCTGAACTTCTGGTTTTACCTGCACCCCTACTTATGCATTCCAAGTATGTCCGGGTCTGGAAGGTTGCAACTTCTGATGTTGTCTTTCGATTCTAAAAAAATTTGTGTTGCATGACTAGCAAGAGGAGCCCAGTTTCTGCTACACGGAGAGGGCATTTCTCATGCGGAGTAGACATTAGGAAGGGTTCTAAAAATCTGTGATGCTAGGTCGTGCATCACAGACAATCATGGGTCATGCAAAATATGCATGACAAACCCGGCAATCTTCCAGACATCCAGACATTTTTTCATTCGATACTACTACCAGCTGAACCAAATGGCGACGTACAACGCAATAAATCCGTCCAGATTGTTACCCTGTGTAAAAACGTTCCCACTCCAGAGTCAAGATGGAGATCTCGCAACACAAATCCAGAAGTTTTGGGAGTCACGCATGACAAGTTCCTCTCTGCATTGTCGCGCAGATTAGCAAGTATTGTCGCTTCACAAAACCTCCACCCACTTATCCTGTTTACAGCATTACAAATTCCACAACACGATTAGAAATGTCTTTCATGGGGATGCGCATTACAAGTTTTCCTGTAACTGCAAATCTGCATGACAACTCTGGGGTGGCGACGTTTTTCCTCAGGAGAACTATTCACCACCAAAATCGAGCGCGACCCAAATACCAACGCGATCAAGTACACGACGTCAATATGAATTGCAAAAGCATCGTACTAGTAGTAATTGCATTACAAATTACCGTAGCATGACAAATGAAATTTGTCATGCTGTTTTACCTTGGGATGTAGATTTGTAATGCATAATTGCAAATACTACGAGTGCGATACTTTTGCACAGGATAGTCAACGAGTAGCCGCCCGACGGAGGGAAAGAGGTACCAGGACGGGGTATCAAAAGGAAAAATCCCCCCTCCCCATATCAAAACGAAATTTCTGATGCTGGATTTGAGTACACAAATCAGATTTGTATTGCAGGAAAGCACTGCGGTCAGATCCCCGGGCTAGGTAGGGGCGTATGGGTCTAGTAGTTCAGCATGGCAAACGGCCCCCCTTTAGGCCCAACAGCATGACAAATCGCTTCCATAATGGGGCGGAAGCTTCTGCCCTTGTCTTCTTGCAAGACAGATGTGGTCTGTGACCTCAAATGCGCAACACAAATTTTTGGAAACATACCGTTTCAATATGGGGAGGGGGGATTTTTCCTCTCAATACGGCGGGAAGTTTTTCTTCCGTTCGGGCAGCAATGTGGTAATAGACACGGACAAAGTCATCTCCTTTAAAAATCACGACGACTACTGTGCGGCGCCCATCGTGTATCACGAGAAAAAAGTGTTACAGTTACACATTTGCTGGAGTTTCTGCATCACAAATTTTCTCTGTGTCACAGAGAAAACCTGTATTGCGAAGATCATAAGGGAAAACAGGAAGGAAACGAGGCTCCCAAGCATTTCCTGCATGAGAAAAGTTATCTGTGTTGCCGGTCTTGCAACACAATGTGTAACTGTAACACTTTTTTCTTGCGATATCGTGGACAAGTCTTGCGGGAGCGACTGCGGGTTTGACATGTGGGCGGTGGGGAAGAATTTATCCTGTGCAAAAGTATCGTACTCGTATAAATGCATCACAAATTTCCTCAGCATGAGAAATAAAATCTGTAATGCGGATTCACCTTCAGAAAAAAAATTGTAATGCATGATTGCAATTACTACGAGTGCGATACTTTTGCACAGGATAAAATTGCTGCGGAAACGACGGAAGCTTTAAGTGGACCTGTGAGGGATACGGTATGATTATAAAGTTAGTAGGTTTACGTAGAATTTTTTGTCATGCAGAATTTGCACGCAGGCACGTGTCTGCAATGCAAAATCGAAAAAGCCCAAGTAATCTTTCGTTAATAAACCCTCGATGATCAGACCCCACCCTTGACGAGGGAAATACCAACAATCCACTGGCCGAAAGAAAGGACCGGACCGCGGTTCGCTGGATAGAGGAGTCAACTGTTATAAATTGCAAATATCCCTGGATGTCTGGAAGGATGCGAACTTGTGATGCGCATTTCACAACACAGACAAATCTCTCATGCATAGGCAGCAAATCATGTCCATTTCCTGTCACCAAAGTGGGGGGTCGATTTGTCATGTGGATTAAGCAATGCGGAAGCTTGTCGAAATCTGTGATGCTCGGGCTTCCATGACAGACAAACTGTGTCATGCAAAAACAGCATGGCAAAAAACTGCACTCTTCCAGACCCAGACGTATTTGCATTTGAGAACTGTTCCCTTCTACCGATTAGCGGTGTTGGAAGCGGAAGGGATACACAATGTGAAATCCGCACACCCACTGTTTCTACGGTTTTTCCAGAACGGCCGTGACCCGGAGATTCTCGTCGCGACTTACGCGCAGACCGGCATAAAAGTGACGTTTGCGTTGTTGTTTTTTGTTTTCGTGCTGAACATTTTTGTCATGCTCGGCGTGGCGAAGAGATTTATTACCACAAAAGTGCCCTCACTGGAGGATTTTTGATAGAAGATGAACAAGAAGTGCTGAATATAAAGCGTACCAAGTTGCGTAGCAAGGGAGTAGTTGGTGCAGAAGTTTGTTTTTTCCAAATATCACGTGGACAACATCCATGCCAATTCAATGAAAACTCCCATGTGTGCTTCTGCATCTGCTGGGTGGATGAACTAGAAGTTGTACAATCATGTGCAGCTGATGTTCCACCGAAAATGTTGCTCGCGTAGTTCTTTTCGACAGGATAATGCTTACAAGACTCGTTATTTTCATCGTTTGGAATTGTTTGCAGATCGCCTGTTTCAGAATCCAGTTTTAAATGTTGGAGGGAACAAGTAGATACATCGTCGAATCATACTACTCGATATGATCGCTGTCGTGTCGTTCTGAAAGTCGATCTTCGTTTCTTGTGCTCTTTCATTTCGTTTCAATCGTAAGAACTTCTACATCGTGACAGCACCTAGACCTACTAACAACTTGTATAAGCGCCGTCTTTGTGTGGTGCACTAGCGACGTCGCACTTTTACAATGAGCAAAAAATTCAAGGATCGCTAGCTGCTCAAAGGAACAATAGTCCGCTAGTACCCGCAGAAGAGTGAGCGAACATTTTGCGACGTCGTCAACACCCTGAGAAGTACGAGACCATTCTAGAATTTGACTTTTACCTCCCTTTGACTCGAGATTTCGTAATATACGTATAATTTGTATTGCAAAATTCGCTTCAAAAATGGGCCTCCTCTCCCATTTTTTCCTCCAGCACGACCAGCACGAGATGGAGACTCCAGGGACGCTTTTTCATCAAACCGCGTTCGGTGCTGTTGCGCAAGCGGATTATTCCGGTGCAGGACAAACCACGTTGACATCAAAAATTATACCGAAAGCAAGCAACTTCTCTTCTTCCTCACAGCACGTCCACTACTCGAGAGAGGGACACCAGCTCTTGCACACAACGAGCTCCAACTTTCACCAGGAAGACGATGATACTTTTCGTTTTTCGTCTGCTAGTACTTCTACGGGGCCATTAACAGCAGGCATAGCACATCAAGAAGGAAGATCGGAAAATCGGGCGTCGTTTTTATTGTCCACAGGTTCACAACCTTCACAGCCGCGTGCCGGTGGCCTTGGTCACCAGCATTTTGACAATAAGAATAACTCCTTCAAGTTTTCGCTCGCAAAACCAGCAACTACTAAAAAATCGCTTCCAACTTCCTACGAATGGGAGCCGGAGGGGGTAGATGTGGAGGACATTCCCGAAATGGGTTTTCATGAGACGAAGGATATCGGGTCGAAAATCGGCCTGTTCGAGGCGAAATTGCTCACAGGGACGACGGTTGCATTGTATAGTTTTCGTTTTTCTAGATGAAAAATCTAATTTGTCATGCAGTTCTGCGATCCTGTATGTAGTTTCTCATGCGTAGTTGTGCAGCAGACATAAACAATGAAAAAAAGTCACAACAGGACCGTCTGCTCGACGATAATCCAGTTCCGGGCGACCATGATGGATATGACAGTGCACAACTCCCCCTGCTACCCCTCATTTGTATAATAGCATAGACGGCAATACAAGCACTAGCAAGAATGCCAGTTTTGCATGACAAATTTGCGCTGGACCTGGACGAGTGTAGTGCTATTTGGGCTAGTGCCAGAACTTGTCATGCACACAGTGCCACTAAGAGGAGAAGGGTGGGCTGCGTGTTTTGCATGACAAATGAGGGGGGGAGTAGTTGTGCACTGTCATAATGGACGTGATGTGTGCACGGAAACTTTTGAATGAAACCAGGGAAGCGGAAAAGGAATTTACGTATGAAGCCTAGTGTGCTGTTGTAGTGAGCACCACGACCACCTCCAGCTACGCTGGTTAAAGTTCATCGTTGTCACGCCGGGACTTGCTGGCCGAGCACTGCTATAATTCACTGACTGTGGCTCGATTATGTTTGTGGTCAGACTGAAGAACGACCGCTTGCAAAGAACCTCCGTATGTAAAGATGAAGTACTTCATATATGATCTTGTCTTAGCCGAACACGCACACGAGCTGCTCTGGCACAAAGAGACGGAAAAAGACACACTACACAACGAGGTCCTTTGTTTTCTTAGCAAGCTGCAAGCGTATTTCAAGCGCATTGCGGTGTCAGGATAGTGATCCATTACAGAGCTTTGATCAACTACTGCATCAAGAAGATCGACCATTTCCTATGAATCATCGCTCGACTACTTGTGTACCGACCTAAATTGAAGATAACGAGTTCCATTTACATTCATGTGTGGTTGATCCTGATCTGCGATCCCCGTATTTCCTTCGCAAGAAGAAGAAGCAGATGATCTCCGGTCAGTTTGATCTTCGTGTGAGAGTTACGAGAGTGGCACAAGTAGAAAGACCAAAAACGGATCGACATAGGAAATGAGTTTAATAAAACGCACATAATCACAAGCCTACAAGAACCATCTCAGAGGCTTCTTCATTGTTGATGCCTCTGTGGGCATTGTTAACAATATTTATTCACGTATTTTTCTCAAATCACGCTTTTCTACCAAATCAAATTTAACAACATTTATATCTACTTGAAATTGAAAAATTACTATATTCCATCACGTTTTTGATTACGACAAAAACGTAAGACCATGACCACGTCTGGAGGTACTAGAACAAGCACTACCTTTGGACCAAAGGAGGCCCTCCTCGTGGGGAACAACAAGACCAAGAACACGCGGCGCGCTGTTCGCGCCTTGCTCCACGTGGTTTTTGCAGGACCGATTTTTTACCAGTTCTGCTCTAGTGCTTTTTTTCTTCACGACTTGATTCTGCCTGCCGCGGCGAGCGGAGGTCTACTTACAGCGGAGGACCGTGGCACTACTACTAAGCGGGAACAAACTACTAGCGATGCGGGCGTGGATAGGGTAGTTCTTGGATCCACCTCGTCCGGGTCATCTTCATCCCGTGGTCCTATTGATGCCTCCTCGTCTCAACAGCGTGGGCTTGGCCTGCGGTTGCAACAGACCATGGCGTCGGGGTGGAACAGCCTGCAGTTGCAAATGCCGTGCAAGAAAAGGAAGCGCTACGAGGATAGTTCTCCTTTCGCTGGAGGACCTCCTGCTGCTAAAAAGCCCCGGAACCGCAATAGGGCGAGCACGCTGGAACAAGAACTACAGCATCCGGAACAGAAAGAGGTGAAGGTGATGTTGCCAGAAGGAGGCGGTCGTGGGAGCAGCCCCCGCGGCAGCACAGCATCCTCCGGCAACGTCCAAGACAAGTCCGCCGAGGCCGAAACAACGCCACAGCAAGGGATGATGAACCGGACTTCGGAAGAAGTCGGTGGAGCAGAAATCACCGCCGATATCCACCTGTGTGATGAAAACTTCTCCACCCCATAGTTGTCAGGTTGTTGGTAACAGGGCAAGACAAATCTCTGAATATATTTATTTGGCAGTTATGCATATTAACAAGCTTTTGTATCTGCAGTGTAGTGCTGCTTAGCAAGCAGAGCCGCGTCTTCACAAAGACAAAGGCGCCTGCTTCTGGTCCTATTTCCATACGGCATGACAAATCAAATCTTCCCAGAATGCGGCTACAAATTCGTCTTTATATGGATGTGCACTAGTACAGATACAGGATCATGCCAGCAATCTACTTGACAAAAACTATGGGTTCGCGTAGTAGACACCACGTTTTTATTACTCAGGATAGCCGACGTGCTGCGCTCGGCATTTCCCGACAGAATCCCGCAGATGATCGCGGACTTCGTGCCTCCGCCCCCCCGCCATATGGCGTTCTCAAACGTTTTATATTCTCAACTGTTACGTGTTTTGCTTTTGTCATGCAAAATTGCCTTCAGAATCTACACCATCAGGCTGCTTTGCGTGACAAATTCTCAGAGGGCCAAACAGGCTGATGATCGGTGCCAAATCTGTCATGCAAGACGCGCAAGATCTCTCCTATCACTTTTGCCATTCTTGCATCACAAATTCACGCAACAGTTTCGAATGTCCTTAACAGTTGAGAACGCCATACGCCACATCCGTGCCCTGCAGTGGTTTTTGCACTTGCTCGGGCGACAGCAGTGGTGGCGCGAGGATATGTGCAGGTCCGCGGCGAATATGACCGACAGCCAGTTCGCAAAGTTCGTCGGAGAGCTTCGAAGCCGGCAAAATACTAAACTGGTCGGCGCGCTCTCCACGTTGATGCGCAACGGGGTCGATAATTTTTCGCGCATCTACCGGGACTTCCCCATCAAAAAGCGGGAACCCGGTATGAAGTCGCCGTCGAGGGAGCTGACGCGGCTTCTTGAGTCGATTCCTCTTACCCAAAGGCCGAGGCTCGACAATGCACCAGCAGCCCGTGCGCAATACACACGCGAGATGGCCGCGCCGCCGAACGCCCTCGGGTTTACGAAGCAGCGAATCGTCCTGGTCGAAGATCCTCTCAGACGAAGGGTTCTGCGTCATAACCACCAGGAGGCCGTCAGGGACCATATAGCCTCGTGGCGGATTCTTGAGGATCACGAGCACCGTGCACGTTCGCCGATATCTGAGATTCAGTTCGAAAAGGTGTGGCCCTTGCAGCACCGAGCAGGAGGCCGTGCTGTGCCACCTGCTGTCGGGGCCACCACACTTGATGAAAATTATAGCAAGACGCTGAAGCGGAATGCAAACGGGTCACGAGGCATAGCATTGAGTTGGATCACGCGCTGTTACCTCCGGCTCCGGCACGACCCCGAGCGCATACTAGGAAATGCAAATATGTCTGGGTCTGGAAGATGAGTGCAGATTTTTGTCATGCTGTTTTTGCATGATACAGAATGGCTGTCATGGAAGTAGCCCTAGCATCACAGATTTCGACAAGCTTCCGCCTTGCTTAAAAATCCGCATGACAAATCCCTCGCTTTGGTGACAGGAAATGGACATCTTCTTTTGCTGCCATCGACGAGAGATCGGTCTGTGTTGTGAAATGCGCATCACTATCCAGAGGACCCAGACACATTTGCATTTCATACACACTCGAAGAGGACAAGGTTTGGAAGGCCGAAACTCGAGACGCGTTCCAAATCCAGTGGGACGCGGACCTACGCCGCGTGCTCGGCAGGCCGGGGCACCCTACGCCCGATGAGGTTGCGAGGCAATGGCTGCCGGCGGAGTACAAATGCCGTGTCGTATTTGATTGCGCCACGAAAAATTGGCTGTCCTTCAAATGCCGTTTCCGCGAGGAAAACGTCACGACTGCACCGCGGCGGGACATGCGAATCTATTACGACCCTGAAGAGGACGTAGCTCACCCATGGGTGCTGGAGTTGGGACCCGAGGCGGAGCAGCGTGTGCGCGTGCAGGTGCTGCGCCCTCTGGAGCAGTACGGATATGAGATATATGCCGACGGATACGGAACGGAGATTGTGGAAGATTATGCCCACACAGGCGAGCTTGAGCGCCCGGAAGAACTCGTGGATGCTGGAATCCTTTGAGGTCTCGTCGTACTAGGCAACACCAAAAATTTAAGTACTGTAACAAGTAACACCAAAAATAATAGTACGTAGTAGAGTGTCGACGTGTAAGCCTGCGCTGATCATTTGCTTTTGAACCTGCTACCTAGACGAGAGATAGGGGGTCCTCGGGCTTCAGCAATCGTTGCACATTGTCGCCGACGAGGACCACAGCAGGAGATTTAGTGCTTCTGGTCGTGGTGCAGGAGCTCCTGTAGCTGTACTGCATAATAATCATATATACTTTGTACGATGAACGTTGTAAGATGAACTACTACTATCCTATTCCTATGTATTATTCATTTCACAGGCTTTAGCAGTCGAAGTCGAAGAGATATATACACTCAAGAACTTGAACTTTATTTTCTCTAAAAGAACATATTCCCAGTATTAACTTTACGCAGCGGCTCTGTCGCGAGGAGCAGGAGGTATTATGTACTTTTCGATGCGGAACTTTTGCTTTTCGTTTTCCATATGCATGTGTCTCAAGTGAAGAACAACTCGAACTCCCGCGCCGTGAAGCTCTACGTATTGAATTTGAAGTATAGAACACATTCCCGGTATAAAAAGACGTTTTTGCGCCTACAGTTTTGACTTGTTGGCCACAAAGAATACAGCTGCAGGACGAGGAGCAAACTACTGCTAAGAAGAAAGGAACACAGTTGCAATCAAGGATGAAGTTGCAAATCAGAAAAACAAAGTGCGTGTGCATTAGCCGTGTGCGTGTGGACGAAGCAGGACCAAGTTCTTGAGTTCTGGTGTTGGGCTCCTGATGCTTGCAAGCTGGTGCTGAACATGGTGACGAAGCGGGAAATCAGTGGAGATAGTGGTCAAATGAAAATGCGCGTGGCACGCACTACTACATTTTGCTCGTGTAAAATAGCAAGCACTTCACGCATTTAGCTGCAGCGGAAGAGAATGCAGCACCTGCCCATAATAGAAATTTACGTAGCAGAAAAAGATCAAGGCCATAAGTGCTAGTACTTTAGTGAACGAAAAAAATGTGTAGTTTTTGTAAAAGTGATCGGATGTTGACCTACGTATTTCCTTCGCAAGAAGAAAAAGATCCCCGGTCAGTTTGATCATGTGAGCGCGGTGCACGAGAAACTAGGGAACGCACAACTGACCGTAGGAAACGAATTCACAAATCTACTACTACGCTCATCTACTCAAGAACAGAGGCTTCTTCATTGCTGATCCTAAAAGTCCTTCTGTGGACATTAAGAAATGCGCAACTATACCTGAGTGCGTAAGTAAGAAATTTACGGAGTAGTATCTATTCTTCCACGTTTGCTCAAATCACGTTCCCAGTACCGAATCAAATTTACCAACATCTTGAAATTAAAAAATTACGCCACTCCGTTTCGACCACGACAGAACAAAGGTAGCACCATGACGCCAGGTGGAGGTAATAAAACGAGCACCATCGTTCGACCAAACAAGGGCGTTGGGAACAAGACCAAGAACATGCGCGCTGCCTGCGCCTTGATGGTCCACCTGTTAATAGGACCGATTTTTTACCATTTCGGCTCCAGTACTTTTTTTATCAACGAGCTGATTGTTACTGCCACGGCGAGCAGTGGATATCTAGTTAGTACAGCGGAGGACCGTGGTACTCCTTCTAACGGGCGACAACGAAGTACAACTATCGATGCGGGCGTGGATGCACATGCACCAGGGGTTCTCGGATCGTCGTCCTCCGGGTCTTCATCCTCCTCTCGGCCTGTTGATGATGCCTCTGCCTCGTCTCAGCGCGGGCTTGGCCAGCGGTTGCAAGAGACGATGGCGTCGGGGTTGAATACGCTGCAATTTTTGCAAATGCCGTGCAAGAAAAGAAAGCGCTACAACAACGAGGATGGTTCAAGTTCTTCTTCTGCTGCTAAAAAGCCCCGGAAGACGACGAGCACGCTGGATGAACAAGAACATTATGATGCGGACGAGCAGCGGGAGATCATGGGTGAAAATGTTCCTACTTTTGACGACCGACACACCGCACCGGCCACTTCCACGACCGCAAACGCGCCGCAAGACCAAGCCGAAGCCGACCTCCAGCCGCAGCCGCAGCAAGGGAGCCAGAATTCGGAACAAGATCAAGAGATCACTGCGGAGGAGGTGCTCAGAGAACTTCCGCCAGCGCAAGCCAGGATGGTCGCGGAATTCTTGCCGCGAAATCACTAACGAATAAGCTTGATGCGCTGCGCTATTTTTGAAGAAAACAGAAGTGCCGACTAAGCTGCTTGCGATGAGTTATTCTTCTTGAACACTGGTGGACGAGATGAAGTAGGCACAAGTAGTGGATTCTCGGACTTCAGCATTTTCTGCAAAGTCTCGCCGACGACTGTGCAGGAAATGTTTCATGTACTGCCATGCAAATCTCCAAGTCTTGGCAGTTCTTATGCATGACAATTTTCTATCTGTAGTGGGCGACAGCACAGTAAGAACATGAAGATCAACTTTTTAAACCGTGAAGCGCTTTCTGGTCCTATTGTTTCTGTTTTCGAACATGCAGAAACACGCAAGAGCATTTGGAGATTGAGATTACCGAAAATTATAAAAGTTTCTACACGAAAGACCGCTTATTCGGCATTAGCACTTATTGTTGCTGCTGGGTCAATATCATTGAACACAATGAACAAAGCAATATGTTGCTTCTCTTGTACAATTGGTTCTGGTACTCTTTTGATGGCCGTATTTTGGGCTATTACTTCAGCTTTTCCTTGTATGATGAACTTCTGAAACTATTGCAAACAACGCTATCAAAACCGCCGAGATTTTTTTGCGCGAGGAGTGTTCCATCATGAATATGAACCACGACCAAAGATGTCACGCCGACCCACCTCCTGCCAAAGAAGCGCTATTGATGAAATAGAAGATCGACTTCTAGAGCTTGTCAGCGATAATTTGCGAAAATGAGTATTAGTGTCGCAATAGAAGGACTCGAACGATTTTTCGGTCCGGCGTGACAAAAACCAGTACGCTGCAATGGTGATGTGTACTGCTTGCCGATCAATACTTTTTTTTGCGACGCAGAAGCGCACCTTCCTGTCGTGATGAAATTTTCAGAAGCAGAACCTTTGTCAAGGTAGCAGTTTTCAATATTCTCTCCAGGACTAGCTACGTGTAGTTTCTCCAATAGTAGAAGTCGTGTGCTGAATACGTAAAAGTCCCAGCTTTGAATTCGTTTATGTGTATTTTCGGTCGTAGTTTCCATCCTCGGGAACATTCGCTTTCAACATCGCTTCTTCTTCTGCACAAGAATACCAAGACGTGATGACATAACCATAAGTGTTGGCACTAGACAAAGATATATGTGAACAAAAATGCGGAGAACATTCGGTTCGTTGCAGAGGGCTGTTCAGCTCGGCGTGCTGCGACGACGCCCCAAGACTGCGGCTTCATCTTCATGTCGCGGAAAAATACAGGACCGGCTTGGGGATGCTTGTTTACCACGATCATTTAGGTCAGGTTGTATTGCTGCATGTTCCTATGGGGCGCGTCAATTAGAACTACGTGCTTGTCATTTACAACAAGGAGCGGCGGCGCGCACGTTCTTTGACTACACTACCAGCCGAGCCTTTGCGTCGTCTTCTACGACGCCCAGCACTACATCACGGCCGAACACTGGTCCTCGTAACAAAGGAAAAGCGTCTGCTGCTGTCGCTCCACCGCCGCCACCGGTACTAGAAAATACAGACAATCTAAGAAGTACTACTACATCTGCAGCAGCTAATATCGGGAAGAAAGCAGCGAGTCACACGGCATCTTCGCGCAGTGAAAGTCTCTCCACAGGAGAGGACGCAGTTGTTAGAAGTGGTGCTTCTCCACCACGACCACCTGTTAGTACAACTTCCGCGACTGGAAGCAAGGAGTCCTCCGCGAGTGTGAACAACAAGGCGGTGCCAGTAGTACCAGAGGACGCGGCGCAGCGGACGACTGCTGGCGCAGGAGCTGCACCTGCGAAGAAGGAATTATCGGCTGACCACAGTAGGATGGTTTTCAGCGCTGCAATTGCAAACGGGATAAAGTCCACCTCTGTAGTGGATGGGGCAACAGGAAGAGTTGCAGATATTAGTCGAGCTGGAATCAAAGCAGGAGACGGTGCAGAAATAAAACAAAGTTCTACTACAACAACGACCTCCGAGAGTGCGGACGAACAGAGCACATCCTCCGTGGCAGCTGCGCCGAGCACACGAGGACCTCCGACTGAATCGTTGGAAAGCTCTGGCGGTACGTCTGGTGCGACGACCGCGAGGACAGACCCTAGTTTGCGGCGACCAGACAGTGCAACTACAGCCGTGTCGTGGTCTACCGAGGAACAACGGGATGTTGAAAGTGCTTCTACCGCACAGAAGATGAAGAAAACACCGGAGGAACAAGTCGGCAAGCGAATCGACAGCATAACTACATCCAGTTTTGGCGCAGTAGACAAAGCTGTTGAAAATAAAGGGGACAACAACTACATTGACGTCGGACCCGCGTCAACCACAACTTCTACAGCCGGAAAAAGTTGTGCTGCACCTGCTGGAAGTACAAGTAGTGCAAGTCCCTCGTCTTCGACACATACGACAACAACTTCTGTTTCTTCCAGCAAAAATAACGAAAATTCCTCCGCGAAAAAAGAACCCCCATGTCGTGAACAAGAGGATGACCCCGCGCCGGCCCCGCCTCGACTACCCCCCTACAACCGAAACTACGACTGGCGCAGCAAACTGTGGCAGGTGCACGACTTTACCCACGGCAGTACGTCCTACCACGAACGGCTCGGCCCGTACTTAGATACCGTGCACCAAATCGAGAACCTGCAGCGCATGAAGGCCTTTTTTCAGACCATCCAGCCGATTGCGTATAATGTGATCAAATTCATCTTGTGGCTCCAGTCCCGCGCGGGGCAGATGCGACCAGAGCAGGATGTCTTGATTTTGGAGAATTGGTATGCGCCGAAAGAGATGGAAAACCACTGCAACACCGCTTACAAAGAGTTGTTGAGACGAGGCTACGAGAAGGATTTCACGGAGATCTACAATTTGGTAAATTCCGAGATGGAAAAGCACGCCATGTTTTCTTCTAGTAGTGCAACAGGATCTGCGTCATCTTTCCAGCCTGACCAGCATGTTGACAAAGTTAGTGGGACTACAGGAGCCCCGGCTACTACTCCTACTGCTCCCGCCTCCGCCGGCCACAGCCACTCAAGTAGAACTACTGCAGCCTCGTCATCTTCCCCCGCTCCCGAGCTTTTTGAAGAAAATTTGTACCTGCTGAAGGAAGGAGGCTTCTTGGACGGAAGCTACTTGAAACGAAGCTCTGGTCGTGGGTTGCAGTCGCTTTTCGGAAATAAAAATCACAGTGCCACGGATGGTGGAGGGCTGGGAAGCGGGTCCTCTTCCTTGCAAGAAGCTTTGGAAAAGGCGTTCTCCTCATCGGCATCTCGTCCCGGGACGACTGGAGAATCTTCAGCATCGAATAAAACCGACATCAAGACAAAGGAAACCAAATCCGATGAAGATTCAGCGGACAGCTCATCATCGTCTCAGAGCGGAACTACAAATAACAAGGATCATCCGACAGAAAGCAAGAGCAAAGCGGCAGGTGATGCAGCTGGTGGAGATGAAAAAAACTCATCTTCGCCAGAACCAAAGCACTGGCACTGGCGATTCGGACCCATTGAGATTGAGTTTAAATCAACGATAGAAGACACAAGCTCGTCGGGAAACAAGAACATGAAGCCCGATAATGACACCAGTAATTCATCTTCTACAGAGGAGCCGCAGAACAAAGAGCCTCCGACTACTTTTCTAGGCAAGAAAAAGCTGTCAACCATCCTCCCCACAGAAAAGGCGACGGATAGTGCAACTGCTGCAGGGGCGGCTGCTACTGGGGAGAAAAGTACATCAAACCTGGAAAGTGCAAGTTCTTCTTCATCTTCTGATAGCAGTTCGACAACAAACGCAGAAGATGCAGAAAAAACCAGTACCACGGCGACAGCACAAGACAAACGAAACCGAAAAGACACAAGTATTAAAACCGCTTCATCACCTACAGGAGCCGGTTCCGCCTCTAAAGGTCTCCAGGGAGAGGACGGAAACAGCACAACCAGCATGAATAAAAACAGCAATAAAACCACAACCTACGAGTTCGAGACCGAGGTCCGGTTCCGGTCGATCAAGGGCCCAATCATCTTCCACGCTTTTGAGGAGCCGCAGAAGTATCCCTTACCGCAGGACGTCGCAAATTTGATGGAAAACGACGTGGACCTGCATCTAGATTTGGACGCAATCGCAAGAGTGATCAAGACAGACCATATTAACAGCACAGAAAAATTATCCGATTCTGCCACTTCTACTGCTGCGCCGTCCGGGACCACTGAAGTAGTACCCTCATCGAGGGAAATGAAGCAACAATCATCTTCAAGCACCAGCTGCAGCACGAAGACGATATCAACCAGCCGCACGTCGATCTACGAGCGAACCGACCAGCTGCGGTTGAGTTGCAAGTTCAACCTGCGCGAGGGGATTTCCGATCGGAATGGGTTTAGGCTGTCGCATATGCAGTGCAAAAGTATCGTACTCGTATGAATGCATTACAAATTTCCTCAGCATGAGAAATAAAATTTGCGATGGTGATTGTCCTTCACAAAAAGATTTGTAATGCATGAAAGATTGCCATACGAGTGCGATACTTTTGCACAGGATATCGCAGTGGCAAAATCTGTCGCTGCAGAAGTTGTCTTGATAAGTGGGATCTTTCATTCTTGTTCTCTCTGGCAGAATTGAGATGCTGTCCTGTGACGAAACTGAGTTCATGGAACCAATAAAAACCAGGAATATCTGAAGAACTCATTATGGTTTCGCAGACTAGGTACGTACCTATATTCTACCGATCGTTCTTGGGTGTTCTGCTCTTCGAAACTGCTATAAATTTCCTTGCGCTCATCGAGTTATTATTTCCTGTCAGTGTCATCTCGGTCGAACTATATGTACGTCTCTACGGTCGGTCACGCCCGTTTCGTCCCACCTGCTCGTCTGGCGGCAAAGTCGGTAGAAGAGTCTTCGTTCTGCTTGTCGTACTAGAGAACTCGTCCCGTTGCCACCTTTTCGGTGTTGGCGTAACTTTTTCTATCGCGTGCCCACCACCTTTCGGCTCGTGCTTGTGCTCTAGCGTCGTGCGTTTTCGTTCTGAAGAAACGCGTCCGGTCAGAATTACGAACTTTTCCTTTTTTTTCCCTCATAGTACCCGCCTTATACTTATTTCCGAAGCAGCACAGTACAGTGGAGCACGTTTCTTCCCGACGTAATTACAGTAAACCCCTGCTTCGTGTCCCCTCTAGCTCGCTTCCCTTATAGACATATTTTTTTCTCCTGCTCTTTCTTTGTACCCAGCATAAGTAGTGCAGTGGACTCATACAGCAACTCTTTCTCAACCACGTGATTTCCTGACCTGCCGATCTGGTCTTACTCTACTACTAACTCCGGCGCACGTAGACGCTCCATTGTACTTTTCACAGTCATATCGGGTGCTATATTGATTGTAGTAGTTTTGTCGCCATCAAAAAATGACGCAGCTCCTTTCGAACGCCAGGGAGGAGGACCGGGAGACCTGTGAAGCCTACGCCAGGGACTGCAACGACAAAATTGTCGCCATCTGGCGCGTTTCGGACGAAAACAATATCCTGTGCAAAAGTATCGTACTCGTATAAATGCAAGTCTTGCATTACAAATTTTTTTCCCCCCGGGGGCGAAGCCGGGTAACCAAGGTCCTGATCTCTCTCCCCTTATCGTCGGGGGCTTGCCCGAGAGATTGAAAGAGAGTATGCAGTGGTTGGCATCGTGCGTGGTATGTGTCTCTCTGGAATCTTACCGCCCTAGAGGTTTGGTTCCGACTCCCCTCATGGAGTCTTTTTGTATATTTGCATTAGGATCTCCTCCCAGTACTTTTTGGTCATGACTTCTGTGTCCTTTTAAACACAGGACTGGTTGGAATCCTCTTAGACGACTGCATACGGATCCCGCCCACCCTTGTGTCCTCTCCCCCATGAGGTTGGTGCGTCTTCGTTGTTGTTGGCACGAGCCCAAATAAGCAGCATTCCAAGCGAAACACCTACCATTTTTTCACCTGGAACAAGTGCAACGACTTGGATTCCCATCGTGATCTGGTTAGTAAGTGGATCCCTTCGGAACACAGAAAATAGAAGAAAGGGATAGCATGAGAGGCGTCTTGGGTGTGTGTGTGTGTGTTGTGTAAAGTGTGGAGGAAGTTGGCTTCCTTGCTTGAATTGCGAAACGCGAAAAGCGAAAAAAATACAAAGCCGACCCATAACAGAACTCATATAGTAAGCAAAGAGAAGGGGGAGGCGGCTGCCGAAATGCGAAACACGGAAAACAAAAAGAGCCCCAAGACAATGAATATAGTAAGCAGAGAAAAAGCGGAAGCGACCCACGAAAAGCGAAGCGCGAAACGCGAAGAAAGCGACCGGGGAAATAATTAGCAGAAGAGATAAAGAGAAGCGAAAGCCGCCCCCGAAATGCGAAACGCGAAAAGCGAGCCCAGCCATTTGGCTTTGTTCCGCCTTTTTTTCCATCACAACGAACCCCCCTCCTTGCTTTTTGAATGAATGGCATGCACGCAGCCCCTCCGGAATGAATGAATGGCCACAACGAGCCCCCCTCCTGAATGGTATGCACACAGCCCCGCGCGGTTTTCTTCAATAGCGTGCGACGCGACCGATCTTGGCGAAGCTCCGCATTGCATACGTTGCGCAGCTAGTTTGCAAAGGAAAGCGAAAGGGGAGGCGTCCGGGTCGTGGAGGCCTGGGCCCCGAGGGCGTTTTTGCTTGCTCGGTCTCAATATTGTCGCGAGGGATGTTGCCCGCCCGTGCGCCCGCAGCAGATCGGCGCGGCCCCCGCCCGCGAGGGGCTGCGCCGTCATCAGCAGAGCCAGTCTAGCAACATAACGCAAGCTAACAACTAACAAGCGCCGGGCCGGCGCGATCTTCGACAGGACAGGATACACCGAAAGGGCGCGCGCACTACAAACATGCCGCGCGCACTACAAACGCGCGCGCATGCGGGGGGTCTGGGGCGTCCGGGGGCCGGTGTCGCGCCTTTCTCCAGGGTGGCGCCGCGCGCCCATGTGGGAGGAGGGCCCCGCATCCGGCCGGAGCAGATCGGCGGCTGGATGGCAGCAAGCCCCACTCGGCAAATCCAGGCTGGCCAGTGCGGACCGCCGGCGCGACCGCGAGCGCTTTCAGGGGCCGCATTTTGCTCCGCGGGCGGATTCTCGCTGAGAGAAGGGCTAGGCCTGTTGCCATGGGCAAGCACTTTGCAACGCCATCGCTTTCGAGCACGATGGCGCTCCGGGATTTGCGTTGCATGCTTCTACCGATGAGAGGCCTGCGCTTTTTTCTTCGAACCACGAGAGGACTTTCTCGTCAGTAATCCGCTTGCGCTTTTGGATGGATGGGCTTGCTGCGGTGAACAGGGTCGCCTCCTTCTCGTCATTAATTTTTTGCGCGCAATGAATCGCGTGGCTTTGTTTGCATTTGCTTCCATTGGTGAAGAAAAATGCGCGCGCTTTCATTCTCGAGCCACGACCGAGCTGCCAGCCTGATTCACTTCGCCGGCGCTATTAGGTGGAATTTGTTGCGATGGCCCTCGTCTTCTCGCGAAACCCTCGCAACTTTGTGCTGCCGCCCGCGCCTCGAACACGGTGGGAGGCTTGGCGCCGGCGGCCCTCAGGGGCGCCCATCGCTGCGCTCTGCTACATTGGTGCGCCCGCCGGGAAGTTTCTCGCGATATTCATCTCGCCACGCACACACACAAACAGAAGCGCCCCCAGGCGAATGCCCAGCGTTTTCGTTTCGGGCCTACGCAACAGGGTGCCAACCCCGCCGCAGGCTGCGGCTGGTGCGACCGACCAAGGGCCCGCCGCGCCATTTGGCGCGGCATGGGCCAAGCGCTGCGACGGACTGGGATCCATGCCTCCGCTTTCCGCGCGCCCCCCGCCGGCCCCGGCCTCTCGCCCGGCCAAAACAAAGACAGACGGGCGGGACGGTGGTCCGCGTCGATCTGTTGCGCTTGGGCGCACGGGCGAGCCGCGTGCCTAGCGACAATGCCAAGACCAAGAGCCAACCCGCCCCTCCGGGCCCCCGGCCTCCTAGAACTGGACGCGCCCCCATGCGCATACAAACTATCACTAGCCCCGCAGGATATTCAGTGTGGGGGTCGCGGATGTCGCTAGTGCGGAAGGGTAGGAGGGACAACGCCGGAGGCGGCGCCGAGCGTCGCCAATGTCTCCACTTAGTAAGAGGCGAAGGGCCTGCCTTCTTTCCTCGCCGCTTTTCGCGTTTCGCATTTCGGAGGCGCTGTCGCTTTCTCTCTTCCTACTCTACTCATTATCAGGGAGCCCACCCCGGTCGCTTTGTTGTTTTTCGTGCTTCGCATTTCGGAGGCGCTTCCGCTGTCTCTCTTCCTACCCTACTGAGCAGCCACGGCCCCCCTTTGGCTTTTCGCGTTTCGCATTTCGGAGCCGCTTCCGCTCTCTCTCTTCCTACTCTATTAATTGCCCACGGCCCCCCTTTGGTTTTTCGCGTTTCGCATTTCGGAGGCGCTTCCGCTGTCTCTCTCTTCTTACTCTCCTAGTTCTCTATTGCCCTCCTTTGGTTTTTCGCTTTTCGCGTTTCGCATTTCGGAAGCGCTTCCGTTTTCTCTATAGTTAACTTGACAGATCTGCAATCTCTTTTAGGAAATTAGGCGAATCACAGCGGTGCTCTGCTTATTTGGGCTCCTCCCTTGTTGTTGCACCCTGCGTGGTCCGTCTTGGTCGTCGCGTCGTGGTTGGCAGTTTTGGTGCCGGGCGTCCCACTATCATTAACGAGACCTTTAAGCTTACGCTCTCAGCTCTATCCTCATCTCCTTTACTTCCTTCCCCTCCTTTTGGAATTTGGCAGCGCATAGCTCAATATTTATTCTGATGGGTTTTACGACTATCCTTCCTGTTCCTCTTCCCAAGTTTTTAACTGTGATAAAAAAAAATAGAAATATGGGGGCCCTATGCCTGCCGGCTTTTACCCTATGCCTGTGGCGTCAGGTCTTAGGCCTGCCGCCTTTTGCCTGCTGGCTGCCTTTTGCCTAATGCCTCTGGCCTTTTGCCTACTGTTTTTGGCCTTAGGCCTAATGTTTTTGGCTTTATGCCTACCGTGTTTGGCCTTACGCCTTCCGACTTTGGCCTTATGCCTGCCGCCCTGCCTGCTTTGGACTTCTGACGTCCTACGACCGCTGGCCCTATGCGCTTTCCTTCAGCCTTTTGGCTTTTTTCCTGCTGTCCTTTGGCCTTTTGCCTACCGCTTTTAGCAGCCTTGGCCATGCCTCATGCCTCAGCTATGCCTTATGCCTTTGTTTTGCCTTATGCCTTAGCTCTGCCTTATGCCTTAGCTGTGCCTTATGCCTTTTTATTTATGCCTTCTGCCTTCTGCCTTCTGCCTTCTGCCTTCTGCCTTCTGCCTTCTGCCTTCTGCCTTCTGCCTTCTGCCTTCTGCCTTCTGCCTTCTGCCTTCTGCCTTCTGCCTTCTGCCTTCTGCCTTCTGCCTTCTGCCTTCTGCCTTCTGCCTTCTGCCTTCTGCCTTATGCCTTATGCCTTATTTATGCCTTATGCGTGCCTTATGCCCTATGCCTTATTTATGCCTTGTGCCTTATTTATGCCTTACGCCTTATTTATGCCTTATGCCTTTTTTATGCCTTATGCCTTTTGTATGCCTTATGCCTTATTTATGCCTTATGCCTTATTGATGCCTTACTTCTTGCGCCTTATGCCTTTTGCCTTATGCCTTTTGCCTTATGCCCTTTGCCTTATGCTTTTTGCCTTATGCTTGTAGCCCTATGCCTACCGCCTTTTGCCCAGTGCCTACCGTCGGCAGCCCTTTACCTGCTGCCTTAGCCCTATGCCTACCGCCTGCGGCCTTGGGCCTTTTCCTGTATGGATATTGCGGCCCCGGCACTTCGCCGGGGTTTGGTTATGATGGTATGTTTTTGCTTCGCTACTATTTCCGCCCTATTTCCTTTGCCAGCTCTCTCCGCTTTATTGCTTTAAAGGAACAAAGAAGCAATCTCTTCGGTTCGGGTTTTACATTTTCCTGCATTACTGCCCCCCTCCCCTTCTTCTCTGTTGGCGGATCCCCTGGAGGTTATTGCCAGTTTGTTGGGTTCGGTTGCGTACTGTTGTTTCCCAGCGTAGGGGAGGCCTTATAGCTATATTCCCGCCGACGTCTTTGTGTTGTTGGTGTCGCGTTGTTCAAACATGTCGGTCGCATGATTTGGATCAAAATTTTTAGATCACGTTGGCACTGCACTACGATCATCATTCTCTATTGACTGCCATGGATCTGGTTTTTTATCTTTGTAATTCGATCAGGTTTTATTTTTGCATTGCTGGAAAATAGTGAATAGATCAGATTTCGTCTGCGATAACTAGATCAGATTTCGGCCGTAGATCAGTTGCGGGCATTAGATCAGACTTCGGTTGGTATCGGTAAGGTTCTGCTTCTGTTGCTCGACCCCTTCGGTATATTTTCAGGTAGTTGGCACTACGCCGGACCTGGCTCCACCATGAAGTCTCGGTTGTTTCGGTGTGCCCCCTTGAAGGATGTGTATGTAAATCACTCCCCTTCAGGGTTCGGTCCCGCCTCGATCCGGTTGCCTTAAGTGGTCTTCTGGTCCCAAGGGAACAAAGCTACCATCCCCCGTGCGAGTCTTAATATTTGAGTTGTGTCACTGTGTCTCCCAGGTGCTGTTATAGCGGGAGTGTACTAGTTGTGTGCGTCCTCGCCCACATTCTCGCACATGGGGCTCTGGTCTCCTCGATCCTTTTTATTTTCGGATAGAAAGGGGGAATAGCTTTACCACAACTCCTCATGCCGATAGTCACCCGACTGGAAGAGGTAGTTGTGAGGGTCCTCCCATAGGATCTTACTCAACAACAACAACAACAACAACAAATTTTTTTCTTAAAGTAAAGCCGCATGACAAATTTTATTTCTCATGCTGAGGAAATTTGTAATGCATTTATACGAGTGCGATACTTTTGCAGTTCATAAACAAGGAGTCGGTGCGGAAGGGCCTGTGTTGCAGCCACGTCATCTGTGTCGTGATTGGTCTCATCTCCATATCGGTTACCGTGTTTTTTGTCACAGGCTCAGGCGGCAAAGCCAGTGGGGAAGGTACAGATTTCCTTCCAAAAATTCTCCTTTCAATTCTCCTTTCTCTCCTACCGATGGTGTTGTGCATCGGGTGCATGTGTATGTCGCAGAAGAGTGCCAAAGCGTCCATGGAGGGCAAGGTGTGGGCGCTGGGGGAGAAGAATTTCTACAAGATGCAGACTGTGAACATGGGGAGACTGTATCAATCCGGCAGCGACCGGGCCTACTGTGAGTTGTCGCAAATCAACTCGATCACCATTGACCAGGCGGAGTCGGGGATGTTTGTCTGCTCTGGCGGAACCACCGCTGTCAAACTACACGTCCAACTCGGCTGCGCGATCGCCGACCCGCTGCAGGCAAATAGCCGAGACAACCGCTCTATCCTGTGCAAAAGTATCGTACTCGTAGTAATTGCATTTATTTTTACCGCTTCTCCGTCCCAAGGTACTAGATCAGCATGACAAAATCCATTTCTCATGCTAAGCTAACTTGTAATGCATTTTATGCTAGTGCGATACCGTATCGCACTAGTATAAAATGCATATCGTATCGGATACGATGCTTTTGCAGGTCATACGCTCAGCCCTGCTGAATCCCTCCTGTCGGGTGTGGTGCTCCGACCCAAACGGCGCGGCAAAGATGATTCGCGAGGCCAAGGAAAAGTACGTCAAAAGCGGCGGTGGCGCGCCGATGGTGGTGGTGCAAATGCCGGGCGGTGCTGGTGGTTATCCTATGATGGGACAGCAAAATGAAAATTATGGCACCACGACAACTTCTAATCCGGAGGATGTGTCGCGAAAAATCCTGGCGCTTAAGCAACTTCTGGATGCGGAGGCCATTACGCAATTCGAGTACGACACAAAACGCGAAGACCTCATGAGACAGTTTCATTGAAGAGTAGATTTGGAGGTGACGTGAAAAATGGTCTTCTTCTCGCCTCGGTCTCGGTGACTACACTTCAGGACACGATATTAAGAAATCACAGGCAGTCCTTCGGACGACAAGAATCTGCTTTATTTTTTCCCCAACTTGTCTACAATGTAGATCTCCATCTCCTTCACAATTGGTTAATTTTTTTATCGATATGCTCTATTTCTTTTTCCTTTTTCTCTTCATTCTTTGTTCGCCCTAGGCTAAGCACCATCCCTCCAACGAAAGAACAAAACTAGAAATTGCTTGTCTCAGTAATCAATTTGAGCGCTTCGCACGATGAGGGGCGGTCGGGGCAGGTCGAAAGCCTCGATGTAAAATATTTGAAATAGGATGGTGCAAGCACTTAAATACTCAGTTCCGCGCGCGTAGTAAAAGTTCATCTTCATATCCAAGCACATAGAATAGAGCTCTCCAAATTTGAAATCCATGATGTTGCACTACCCCGCACGAACGTCGCACTCTCCGAAAATATTCATCTGTCTGTACTTGTACAGATTTGCAGGAATAGCAGCAAAATCGCGAATACATATGTCGACCGAATAGGTAGATAGTGTTCGCCCACAATAGAGCAGAAAACATCTGTTTGCCTTTCTATTTTTACGAAGTATTGCGCACGCGACACTGCTAGACTACTTTGTGAACACCACTGCACATCCATCCTTGTAAGATTTTAGAATTGTAAGACTTTAGAAATTGTATAATTGAATTAAACAAAACGTTAAAACACCATGCCGATCGCCCAGCTGAACTGCCAGAATGTCGCGGGCGGAGAAAAGTGCCGGCTCGGACCGCCTTGCAAGTTCAGTCACGATCCGAAGGGGTGCACTGACCTCCGTAACTGGATGCAGCAGCGTGGCCGTTTGCCGCAAAATGCGCCGGCGATTTTGCCAGAGTACCTTGACGGGAGTGAGTATCGGTTGCAGTTGGCCCATCACGCAGCGAACCCTGACCCGGCTCCTGCGACTACACCTCTTGCCCCGGCTCCTGCGTCTACAATGTAGATCTCCATCTCCTTCACAATTGGTTAATTTTTTTATCGATATTTCTTTGTAAACAATGGTATAATTCATAGTCCAGTTTCTTCTTTTTTACGAGAACAACGTACGTGGGAACAACACGACAACACCCACTTATTTTTAGAGATAGACAGTTACAATAAGATAACCTCCAGCCTTCATCTTTTCATCAGTTGCACCTATCCATCAGTTGCGTCGTCAATGCAACCTCCTATAAACTTAAGCTACTGCTGTGAGCTTCGGTTTGTCCTTCTCGTTGGTCCTCCTTTCGTTCGTGTCCCTGCTCCATCATGAGGAGAAAACTTTCGTTTTCAGCAAAAAAGTCGGTATGAGATGTCGACTTATTTCTTGCAGCTACTACATTCGTTGATGTGCAGTTTCGGTATAGAAGTTGGAGGTCGTGTTGTTGGACGAATAGCTCGGTGTTGATATTGAAAATGCATTGCAAATTTGACCATCCACTGACTTCTACGCTCTGTAGCCGTCGTTGTCGTCCTGACAGCTTTATCGTCCGTACAGAATAAAAGTGAAAATCGTCCGTACCTGCGCATGGCGCTATAGAAGGTTGTACCAAAAAAGTCGGCTTCTTCGTATTTGTAAGTCGTCGTCCGTGGATCATTTTGCTTCCCTTTTGATGTTGACGACTATGGCTTTAGTATCGTTGCTTAACAAGAAATTTACCTTGCAGCTCCCTCAAAAAAACTTTCACCAGGATCGCTTTCTTGATGTGATTTTCCTTTTGAAAGCACCCACGATTTGTGATTCCTCTGATGAAGAAGGTTTTACAACCAGTAGAGAAGACGAATTTCTTCTTCCTTCAGAGCCGCGTGCTAGATTTTAATCCGAGAAGATGATTGTTAGAAAATGTCTCCCCTGACGTATAGCGAAAATTATGCGCAGTTTCATCTGTAGGGCTACTGCTTTGCATCATAAGTTTCAAAAACTGGTGGCAGCACCGTATTTATTTTATTCAGGCGAGGTACTTAGTTCCTGCTCCTCCTCCTAGTAAAACCAAAGCAGCCTCAAATTCAAAATGGTCCAGCTCCTCTCCAATGCGAAAGAGGAAGACCGCCAGAAGTGCGAGGAGTTTGCGAGAGAAGATATCGCAAGAAAAAAGTGTTGCAGTTGTACACTGTGTTGCAGGCCAAGCAAGACAGACAAGCTCTGTCATGCCGGATATGCATAGGAGCCTCGTTTCATAGGTGTTTCCACGTAGGATTTTTGCATTACAAGTTTTCTCTGTCATGCAGAGAACTTTGTGTTGCTGAATTCACTACAAATGTGTAACTGTAACACTTTTTTCGTGGGATAGAAGACAACGACAAGTTAATCGCGATATGGCGGGTCTCGGAGGAAAACCGGGAAACCATCGAAAAAAACAACACCTGTCAGGTGTGGACGAGCATCATCGCATTGCTGCTCTGTCTATGCAGTGCAAATATGTCTGGGTCTGGAAAAGTGGAACTTGTAATGGTCCCTGCGGATTCTGAAAATATCTGTGTTGCATGAGCAGCAAGAGGAGTCGATTTCTTGGCATGCGAAGAGGGCATTTCTCATGCGGGATAAGCATGAGAAATGCCCTCAAAAAATCTGTGACGCTAGGATCTGCATCACAGACCTCACGGGCCATGCAAAATGTGCATGACAAGCCCCGACTCTTCCAGACCCAGACATGCTTGCATTTGATACTGTCTCGCGATCGCCGTGGTTCCCGTGACTCTGTGGGGGATTATGCGACCGGACTTAGATGAGGAGAAAAAACTGCAAGAGGAAGAACTGCAATCCGCGTTAGCAGCGACAGGAGCAGCGAACAAAGCAACTCTTGCGTCTTCAGCACCTCTTTCAAAACCAGAAAGCACAGGTGGCTTTTTGTGCAACGACGCCATGATCGTGGGCATTTTGGTGATCACGGTCCCTGGGATGCTGTTAATCGCGAGTTTCATGTGCCGGTCGTATTGGCGCAGTGAGAAAACGAATGCAAGACTCGAAGGGATGGTGTGGGCGCTCGGGGAAAAGAACTTTTACAAACTCCGGAGCATCGACATGGGGAAATTGTACAAGTCCGGGGATGATCGGGCCTATTGCGACTTGGGCCAGATCACGAGCGTGACGGTGGATCACAAGGAATCCGGGTTATTCTACTGCTACGGCGGGACCACGGGTGTGAAGCTCCACGTTCCGGTCGGGAACGCGTTAGTTGACACCATTCAGCACCACTCTGGCCTGATGCCCTACGCGCAGATCGGGGGGGTAACCAACATCTTGCACTCCCACTGCACGGTTTTGTGCAATGATCCAGAGAGCGCGGTGAAGATGATCCGCGAACAACGGGAAAAATACCTCCGCAGCAGCACCGGCGCGGCCAAAATGGTCGTCTTGCAGATGCAACAACAGCAGCAACAACTATCCGCGGCCAATTACGCAGCTGCCCTATCCTCGGGCGCGGATACTACGAATACAACGAACCAATCGGGAACTATGTACGGAGCAACAGATAACAATGACGCGAATACAGTTTCCGCAGAACAATCAACGGGAATGAATGCGAGCGTAGCAGCTCCGACAGGTACAACCGAGGGGAACCAGAGCAGGACTGCAGCCGGCGTGGCTGCGGGAGGTACTTCATCTTCCGTGATTTCTGACGTGGACAGAGCAACCGCAGCAGTTATCACGGGAGCTGCGCAGCTCCGACCCCGGTCGGAGGACGTTTTTGCGAAAATTATGCAATTGAAGCAGTTGTTGGATGCGGAGGCCATTACGCAGTTCGAGTACGACGAAAAGCGGCGGGAAATGATGGCAAGAATTTGATTTTTTAGTGGGCGGGGTCATAAGATCATTCAATCGTTTTTCGATTTGTCTGAGATGGAAGCCGGTTGTTCACTTCTTGGAGCAGGACCAGGCGTGAGAAGAAGAGGCTGTAGTTATTCCTCTGCTTGTGGCAGTCAAGAAGCAAAACACGAAAGAACGAACCCACACCGTAGGATGGATCGGCACATCGCACATCCTGAAGAATAATTTTTTCTACTACCTACTTATTTTTAGTAATTTTTCTATTCAGAGGACGACAGTATCACCAAAAACGAAAATTCCTATTTACAGCACCTTGTGTGAACACTACAGTCACGATAGCACTCACCCTCACAGATTTAGAGAACCACAAAAATAAGGCGTAACCCGCTTCGCAGAGAAAAACTCAAAGACGTGGTTTAACTTTCACATTCAGCACCCACCCCGCATTATGTCGTCGTGCCTCATGGTGCGTCGACAGTTTCACATAGAGAATCAAAATTAAGCATTCTATGTCAGTCTTTGTTTTTTGATCTTATTTCACAGTTTTTAGCTTTTACATACTTTCAGACATAATTAATCGTGCACTTTCGCTTTATCATCCCAAAAAGAAAAATCGAGTCTTCCGCTCCCTGAGGTACAGTGCAAAAGCCTGCATAGACGGGACCATCCAGAAACAGAATAGCAGCGCACGTGCAAGAAATAAAGCCGTAACTGCTTTTCATCACAGTTCTCCAGCAACTCATGTGATCGGCCAGCAGGTTTTGCTTATTTTTCGGCATCCCTATCGTCTCTCTGCCCAAGATGAAGATACGTAAATTTCGGATGTGATCTCGGTGGAACACTTTCCTTCTGCAGAATTTTGAACTTCGTCCACGACCTTGCAGTACTGTGCTTACCTGTGTCGCGTCAGGCCGTATCGGCGAAACCAAAGCGAGTTTTGATTCTTCGGTTTAACCATTAGTTACGATGCCAAATGAGAAGTCGGTACGAAGAAGGATTTTCTTCGTGGCTTCATGTAGTATTCCCAGCCGTGCCTGATGTTTCGCGATAGTAGACATGCTTGCTTCGGTTGTTCGGTTTTGTCCGGCTTACGCTTAGTTCGTATTCGTACAACCCCATCATCATCTCGGTGTCGTGCTACAGCGTACTTCTAGCGTCCCGTCGTACATACACTTTGTTCACTTGTTTCCGTCATCCTCCTTCTCGTGCAAACATCACATGTTTATCGCTTTTCACGACCTCCACCCGTGCTATGGACAAAATTAACACCAACAGGCTACTTCCATATTGGAACCCAATTGGATGAAGAGTAGAAATAGCCATTGTTATGTATATGTTGAAAGATCTATACACTACACTTGATTTGCATTTTCGAAAAAAACAACTATGTTAACAACAAAACTAAAAACTCGACTAAGCCACGCAGCGCGCAAAAGCTGCCGCGTGGTCCCCCCGTTAAAAGTACAAGTACAATGTGAGTTTCCCGGCGACGTTGTGACGCAAATAGACTGGAGCCCAGTCTAGAAGCTCGAGGAGAAGTACTTTACGTAAAAAACAAACTAGAACATCAGTATAACACTACAGCTTCCACACCACTACCGAAAACCATCGCCATGCCAGTCGGCGTCCAGCTGTTTTCCGGCGCGGACGCCAACGACGAATGGCACATGCAGGAACACTATGGATTGCAAATATGTCTGTGTCTGGAAGATTGCGACTTGTCATGCTAAATCCGAATCATGCTAGAAAACTGTGTTGCATGAGTGCCAAAATCTGTCCACTTTCGACCAAAATCGGAGGGAGTCAGTCTCTCATGCAGGGGAGGCATAACAGACCCCCCACAGAGTCTGTCATGCTAGGTCCCACATTCCAGACCTCATGGGTCATGGAAACCTTGCATGACAAGTGTACACTCGTGTTCCAGACCCTCCAGACATATTTGCATTTGATAAACACGCGCGAAACCACGACGACAACCTCGTGGCCATCTGGCGCGTCGGGGAGCAGGTAGAACAAGCGCGGAAGAAGAAGAGCCGCTGTCTGGTCATCATCTGGGTCATCGTTCTCCTTGGGTTATGCGTCGGCGCGGGGTTCGGCGGCACGCTGTTCGTGCAGTCCAAAACGGAAGCGCTGAAGCAGGAGCACTTGGCAAAGATTCAGGAGCAGGAGATAACAGAGGAGAAAAAAGCTGCAATGACCGAGCAGCAGATTGCGGACTGGTTCACCAACCCACCCTATCACCAGTTTTACCGAAGGGGGATTCTCGCCGTGTGGGCCGGCGCGGGCGGGTTGTTGCTGATCTCCTTACTTATCGCGATTTTCTGCATCTGCGAGTGTGGGAAAAGCGAGACCGCCACCTATGAGCACACGGTGTATGCGTTAGGGCTGAAGTTCTTCTACGTGACGAAAAACCAGTACGAAACTTTGCAAGCCGCGAGCCTCTCGGAGGTGAATCACGTGGCGCTTTCCGATGTGAGTCTCGGGTGCGGAGGGAATACCACCGCGGTCTGTCTCTTCGTCCCACAATCCTCTCAAATTGCGGACAAAAGCTTGAGACGAGGCTTCTTCCACCTGTGTCCAGTCCACTGCGACAAGAAGAGCCAGAAACTCTGCCTGCAACTCATCCAGGGGGCGAAGGACGAGGGCGGGGACTTCGACATTTCTATCAGAATGAAAAATCCCCCCTCCCCATATCAAAACGAAGTTTCTGATGCCGGACTTGCGTACACAAATCAAATTTGTGCTGCTAGCGAGGACTGCAGGCCCATACTAAGCCTGAGTAGACAGGTTTTGGCCTAGGCGCGTAGCATGAAAGACGTCTACGCTGTAGCTAAAACAGCATGTCAAAACGCCTGTAGAAAGCGGCGGAGCTTTTGGAGTTGCCTTCATGCAACACAGAGACGATTTGTGACCTCAAATCAGCAACGCAAATTTTCGGCAACACACCTTTTCAATATGGGGAGGGGGGATTTTTCCTTTTGATAATTTCCAGAATTTCCTTAATCAACGCTCAGGCTGGTATCGAATGCAAAAATGTCTGGGTCTCGAAAGTTGTGATGCTAGTTTGCGAATCACCAAGCAACCTCCAATATGGGGACGCGCATGACAAGTTTCTGAGCGGCTAGATCTCGCGTAAACTGCATGTCTTCATGAGCAAAAGCAATATTTGCATATACAAAAAAAAGGCGTGGTAGCGCGACATGCATGACAGAGCTTTCTCTCCTGTCAGCGAAGCATTACAAGTCTGGCAGCCTTCCAGACCCAGACATATTTGCACTTGATAGCCGGGAACGTGAGTCAATTCTTGCGCGCCAGTCAGCAGGTAAGCGAACGCAATCCCAATCTCCCCGCAAAAAATCAGCGTGACGAACCGCCAGACCCGATAGCCGCGTTAGTGGGGCACGCCCCGACCAACTACGGCGCCACCGGAACTACAAGTGCGCCGGCGGTGGATGACAGTCCGAAACTACGGATCGACGGTAGCAAATACACGGAGCAGCCGAAAGCATATGGATGTGTCAGGATCGAAATCGTCAAAGTTGAAATAGTTTGAGTTTGTCATGCATAAAATGCAACGCAGAATCTTTCTGTATTGCAGAGGTCGCAAGAGAGGCAGATTGTAAGCCTGTTGAGGGGTAGAAATAGAGCTGCTCAAGGAGCATGACAAAAGGCGTCGTCCTTACCCGAGCAGCATGACAAACTGGATTTAGATTGTACCCAAATTTGTCATGCCCACTTGGAAACTGGGCTTCAACTGGCCTCCATTTTATGCATGGCAAATTATTTCAACTTTGTCGATTTCGAACCTAACACTTCCATAAGGCAAGTACCTCACCCGTATCGCAAGCCCCCGCCACATCCGCGCAGGCCCTTAAGGGGGCCTCCTCCAACCCGCCGGCGTTCGGTGGGGGTCCTAGTTCCACCCCTATGCATTGCAAATGTGTCTGGGTCTGGGAGACTCCGAGATTTGTCATGCAGTTTTGCCAAGCTCGCTCAAGTCTGGAATGCGGAGCCTAGCATCACAGGTTCTGCTGCCCCTTCGTGATGCCTATTCTGCAAGAGAGATACCCTCTCAGCGTGACCAGAAGTGAGCACCTAGTGCCAGTCATGCAACACAGATCTTTGTCTAGTCCACAACTGCTCGCATCACAAGTTCGGGTCCTTCCAGACCCAGACATATTTGCATTTGATAACCCCCGCAGCCGCCGTCTCGAGCCCTCCGGCCGTTGACACCGCAGTCCGGCAACGCCCCTCTTTTCTCGCGTCTTTGGAGACAAAGGGAAAAGGAAAAGGAGCCGCAGCCGCGCTGCCCGGAGGAGCTGCGAACGAAGCACCGAAATCGTCGGTGAAAGCAGGAACGACGAAAAAAGCTACCACGAAAAAGTCCGGCGGTACGAAAAAGACGAAGACGGCCTCCGCGGGGAAAATAAACCCCGAGAAGGCGGAGCGGAAAACTTTTTCCGGGAGTCTAGGTGCGGCGATGAGCGTCATGTCCGCTGCAGCGGGGGAGGATGAATCAATGGTCGAGGACATGGAGTCCGGGGAAACAGACGGTTCCGATTATACCCACATCACACTAGGCGGCAGGGACCCGAAAAAGCCGCCAGGAGAAGAGCCATCCATTTTCTCGTTTTTCGGCTTTTGATAAGCAGTATCGCGCCGCGGTGTTGTGAAGAGCAAGAAGAGCCGATTTCGACAAGTAGATGGTGAACGGGGTATAAAATAAAAGCGAAGCATTTTTATCGAGTACTGTACTGCCGCGTAAGTACAGGTTTTTCACATGATTTTTGATGAGATTTTTTCGCAAAACAAGTCATAGAGTAGTTTTTTTCCTAATTGCATAACAATTTGTTGTTTCTTCATATCCAGATGAGTTGATGTAGAGTTCCAGCTGTGAAGATGTAGTCAAAAAAAGAATACAGTTAATTATTTTGTTTTTCAATTTGCAAGTCAGTTCAAAGAGTTTACTTGATTTTAAATTACAGTTTCCATAAAAATTTTCATCCTATTTTACAAAATTTGCTCCTCGAGCATCAAACCAGGATTTCACATGATTTCACCTGAAGACCAAAGGCCCGTAAGATAAAACGCAGACTCTCGGAAAAAAAAAGAATCTGCCGCACTAGTATTTTTCCCCACCATACAAGAGAAAGAGCGGATCCCGCTCCGGTATTGTAGAAAGAATTAGAATTATTAGAGAACGAACTAACACTAAGTAGATCCCGTCCCAATCCCTGGGTAGTTTTGTTTACAATTTTATGGTTGCACTTTTTTTCAGCACATCGTAGGAAACATCAAGCAGCAAGAATGTGCTAAATGAGCCGCCGCAGCGAAAGGAAACACAGGAAGAAAAACTGCAAAGGTGTGATGAATCAAAATGCAATCGTAATTTGAATTTCAGTATGAGCCGAAGTTTTACCATACAGAGTCAGTGTCAGGTGCCAGGTACGCGGATGACAGACTCTGCCGACCATTTGCTCTTGCTGTAGTTGAAGAAAAGCACGCAAGGTTTGTTTCTCGTCAGAACTTGAACTCCTGCCTCGTATCACAAATAAATTTCGCTGTAGTCGTCCGTCGGTCCTTCCTGGGCGTCAGGTACTATCGGTGGTTCCACTGCCTTTTCGTTCCCTTTAGTTATTGTTCGTCTGCTCCCGTGCAAATGGAAAACTCAGTCGTCATAATTCGTTCGGAAAGTTAAGAGAATTGTTGTGCCGTGAAACTACAAGCCATATACTGTTTTATGGCCGACGTGGTGGTTAGGATTGCCTGACTGCTGCGTTGAGCCCGGCTCGCGTGGCTGCGCCTCATAGTTAGCCGCCTCTACTATAGCAGTAAGCGTGGTCAAGCTTAGCTCATGAAAGCACTCGCCGGAGCTCTTACAGCCCCGAGTACGCCCCACTCCAACGGCTCCAACGGCTGCGCCACGTGCGCCGACACCTCTGATCTGATCTGATCTCTTTGTCGTGCAATTCCATATGTGGTCCACCTCGAATTTCCTGTGTCGGTTATTGCTTTGCAGCCGAGAAAAAAAACTTGTCTGTTCGTGCATCCTGCTTCCGTGCTTATTTGCTTTCGGCTTATTTGCCGTGTCGTGTCGTGTACAACTGCTAGTGCTACCTTGAGGAACTACAACTGGTATGCGATGGCTCAACAACATCAATCTCCCGATAATGCCATTCTTGCAACTCATTTTTGTTTTCATTCATCGCGTTCGCGACACAGGAGCTACGTATAAATACAAGGCCCAAGAACAAGAACGATGTTGTATAACGTTTTGGTAAAAACGTAGCATGAAGAACCTTCATTAGAACGGATCCCGTTCTTCTAATATATGCTCCACATGTGACATCACGCAGCGGATCCCGCTGGTTGTCTCAGTTTCGACAAGCATGATTTATTTCAGTAAAAATCTCGTTCCTCACATATTTCAACTTCTATCTCTGCTCCTATGCACGGTGTAGTTCATCTTTCACGACAGAAATTTCATTTAACTCCAAAGCGCCTTATGCTAAAAACAATTCAAAATGATTTCAAAAGGAATTCAAAAAGACGCACTTTTCATTTTTCCGTGAAATTGAGCGGGGCTTGGGTTTATTTTTTCGGATGTGCGGCTTCTTTTTTTGGGGTTTAAGTGTCGTCCTGTGTCTAGCGGCCTAGTGCAATCGACATTGGGCAGGGCGGATTGGTAAATGCGCACTCAGTTGCGGGAGTGGGTGTCTGTTTCGGGTATGTGGTTGGATATGATGTTCCCCGGATTCGTGTGTTGTTTTGTGCACCTGCCGTGCCTTGCAGCGAATCGCCCCCACGCATGCCCAGGACCCAGGCTCGCAGCTCGGGCTCCTCTAGTACCTCTGCGCTAGGGACAAAGACTGTGGAATCCCTTCTGTTTCGTGTTATTGTTGTCGGTACCTTGGGGCCATGTTTTAAGCCAGCTGTTGGGGCGCTTTTTGTGTAAAGGCTTTCATTCGTGATCGCTTCCTGCCCCTCTTCCTTTCAGGGTGTTGGGGTATAGCTTGCGGGGCATTGTTAGGGTCGACCTTCACACCGAAAGGCTTCTCGACAGCGCTTCGGATGGGGGATTTCGTACTTGAAGGGGCATGCAGTAAAGCACGCCAACTCAAGAGGGTCCAGGTCTTGAGGAATCTCCCTTCGCCAGATTCAAAAAAAAGTTGGAAATAAGTTGGAAGCCAACTTTTTTCTGTTTCCCATACTAAGAATCCCTGACCCAACTAATTTTGAACTTGTCTCCAACTTATTCCCAACTTTTTTTTGAAATTGCCCAGATCCGCCAATTTCTTTTTGAATTGTCTCGGGGCCGCCAATTTCTTTTTGAATTCCATCAACCCCGCCAATTTCTTTTTGAATTCCGTTCAGGTCGCCAATTTCTTTTTGAAATTGCCTAGGCCCGCCAATTTCCTTTTGAAATTGGGCACTCTGCGTGATCGCTCTGGTATTGGTGTAGTTCCTCTACTCCTGCGTGATCGCTCCTATGCACGGTGTAGTTCATCTTTCACGACAGAAATTTCATCTTTGGTATTCGTCATGTACTTGGAACTTCGGGAGCCAGCCTCCAGTAAAGAGCGTTTTTTTTTCGATTTCAAAAGAAGTTCAAAAATCGTTCAAAATCCTTTTAAAATGCGTCCACCGATGAGGCTATTGGTTTGAACGCATTTTGAACGGATTTTGAACCGAGTTTTGAATTTCGTTTTGAAATTGAAAAAAGATTTGAATGACGTTTTGAAATTGCCGGGAAATTTGAAATACGTTTTGAAATTGCCGAGAAAGTTGAAAGACGTTTTGAAATTGTGCTAGATTTTGAATCATGTTTTGAAATGCGCCTGTGTACTGAGTTTTCTTGCGAATATGGCCGCCAAGCTTGGCAGCCTTGGCGACATAAGACTCGCGCCATGACCCCACTCCCTATCTGGTAGCGGCATAGACAGCGTTTGCGTGTTTGGGTCTCCAGATAGGCAGGGCCGTGTGGGGCCCACGCCTGTCGGCCATGCTTGCGCTTCCAGCCGGCAAGAAGGCCGCCCGCGACGCGAGGCGAATCCGCGCTCTTTGCAGCGTCTGTGTAGACGCAGCCGCGCGCCACTTTGGCGCGGGCCATTTTTCCCGGTGTTTCAACGTAAGCGGGGCCTCTGGCTGTACTCCATGGGGCTTCAGGAATTGGGCATCAAAGGCGCGTGCCCCGAGGAGCCTGCAGGTATCTCGTTGCTGCCCTCGCTCTGAGTCGCAAGAGTATTGGACGACCATCCACAGGTGGGTGCTTCTGTGGCGTAGAACGGGTTGGGAATGTTTTTTGTCAGGGATGTGGTGTTGTGCATCTCGGTCGTGTACACACTACGAACCCCTGACATTTTGAATTCGTTTTGAATTTGTTTTGTATTGAAATTAGCGTTCGCATACTTTGGATTTAATGCTCCTATGCACGGTGTAGTTCCTCTTTCACGACAGAAATTTCATGGCGCGACGGGAGATGAACAACAAGCCCCGGGGTCGGGCGACGTGCTACTCCTAGATTCCTAGAAAGAATAAAGCGGTAGTCCACCTTGAATAAGTACAAAAAAGCGGTACTCAGTTCTGCAGTATGCCAAAGTCGGGGGTGCAGCTTTTTTCCGGTGCCGACGCCATCGACGAATGGCACATGCAGGAGCACGCCCAGGACCACGGCGACGCCATCGTTGCCGTTTGGCGCGTGGGCCCGGACGCCAAGGACGCCGTCACAAAGAGCACGCAGTTCTGCCAGTTTTTCTGGGCCGCGTTCGTTGTTGTCATCCACGGCGTCTTGTTAACCCTGTTTTGCGTGCTAGAGTACCCGCTACGGCCGGATTACAGCGTGCTGTGCAAGGAGAAGTGGGAAATGGAACCGCCGGAAGACTGTCCCACAACGGCGCAGAGAGAAGCAAACAACGACCCGATTATAACGGACGAAGACGTGGCATTTTACAAGATGGGCAACCTGGTCATGATGATCAGCATCATCGTTTTTTTCGTCGCAAGTATGGTTTCCGTGATCTGGTGCAACTGCTACCGGAAAAGTGAGGATTTGAAAAGGTGCAACCTAACCGCGTACGGCTTGGGGATCGAAAATTTCTACGTGACGGACAATAATTACACGGATTGCACGGTGATTTCTTTGAAGGACATCCTCCACGTCGAGCCCGAAGTGCCGGTGAACGTAGGGTGCTGTTTCGGGGAATCCAAAGCCGTGGCTTTACTCCTTCCCCAAGCCAATCCCCTTCTACTGCTCAACCTGATTGGCACCGACCACGGCAAGGACGGGGTGGGCGGGTTTTGCGCGATCATGTGCGAAAAGAGCTGTCAGAGGGTGTGCGCCGGGCTGATTGAGGGGGCGCGGGATGAGGGAGCGGATTTTGACACGAGCAGAATCCGCGTCACTTTGACAGACGGCGAAGCGCTATTGTGAGGAAAAACGTCCCCAGCCCAGAGTTGTCATGCAAATGCGCAATGACAGGAACACTTGTAATGCGCATCCCCATGAGAGGCATTCCCAATCGTGTTGTTTTGGCATTTGTCATAAGTAAGTACTGTAAACAGCATGTGGATGAGAGAATGGCTTTCTCATGCAGCTTCCCTTGCTAACCACCACTACTCTGCAGATGGAAACTTGTCATGCACAACTCGCAAAGCCTGGAGATTTGTGTTGCAGATTTACCAACTTCCTTGACTACGGCGTGGGGACGTTTTTTCTTCTTGATAAGCGCCGGTGCTGCGCCCCTCAGCACTCGGATCCAGTATCGAAGTGAAAAAGCCGGTTATGTCGTTTATCAAATGTAAAAATGTCTGGGTCTGGAAGATTTCTAGATTTGTCATGCATATTTTCCATGACCCATGATGTCTGTGATGCATGCCGTAGCATCACAGATTTTTAGAGCGCTTTGTGATGCCTCTACAGCATGAGAAATGACTTTTCCGCGTAGCAAAAACTGGAGTCCTCTTGCTGGTCATGCAATACAAATTTTTTCAGAATCCAGAGACAGCATCACAAGTTTAGAATGTTCCAGACCCAGACATTTTTACATTTGATATCGTTCGGAAACAGACATAAGGAGAAAATGATCTCGAACGAGATGAAGAATACCAAAGACAACCGGAGACAACTTGGTGCGGTGCAAAGTTTCGACAACCGGCCCTCGATTGTCTCCCAGGGAGAAAAGATACGGATGACGGGAAGTAAGGATAGTAAAAAAAAGAAGCGGAAACAGGATAGCGGTCGCGATAGAAAAACGTCCAGGGAGCGGAATGTGCCGACGGTCCCCCCCATGCCGCTAGATCCCATGATGATGGGAATGATGGGTGGGCGGCCGTCCGCGGCTATGATGATACCGCCGCCCATGGGCGGCCCTCCTATGCGACCGTCCATGGGGGGTCCCATGATGGGCCCGGGCCCTCCTATGCGACCGTCTATGGGGGGTCCCATGATGGGGATGGATCCGAATCGACCCTCCTACATGGGCGGAATGATGCCACCTGGCATATCCTGAGTAAAAACGTCCCCACACCATAGTCAAGATGGTGATTTTGCTACACAAATGAACAAGTTTTGGTTGTTTCGCATGACAAGTTTATACTCGTAGTGTAGTGCTCTTTGAGGTAGTGCAGCCGCATGACAAATCGACTACATCATCCTGATTCCAGCATCACAAACTCCCAGATAGCATGAGAAAATGTCTCTCATGGGGATCCGCATGAGAAACATTTTGAGCATGCATTTTTGCATGACAACTATGGGGTTGTGGGCCTGGCTGTACATCCCCGTTATAGTGGTTTGCGAGTTGGAAGTTTGCGAGAATCAGAGTAAGGAATTGTTGGCAAAAAAAGCGAGGCGTTGTTCAGTTGGCAAGTTGGCACAGTATGGCTGTTGGCGCAGTATGGTTGGTTGGCGAGATCAGAGTTGGGATATAGTGGCCGGGAGATGATGGTGATGGCACTTCGGTGTCCGCCTGACCCACCCGCCCTGCGTGCCAAGCCATCTGCGGCCATGGTACAATGGGGGGGCAAAGTGTGTCGCATTTTGTTTAGCATGACAACTATGGGGTGGGGACGTTTTTACATAGGATATGGCATGATGCCGGGAAAGGGGCCCGGTGGAATGATGATGGCAGTTCCACCTCCGCCTCCGCAGCGGCCTTCGCAGGCCATGTTTGGTAAGGACGTCAACAAGGTGCCGAAGGGCATGATGGCCATGATGATCGACAAGGGGTATCTGATATCAAATGTAAAAGTGTCTGGGTCTGGAAGGTTGGAACTTGTGATGCTAACTTTGGACTGTAAAAAAATCTGTATTGCATGACCAGCAAGAGAGGTCTCGTTTCTGCTACGCGGGGAGGGCATTTGTCATGGGGAGTAGGCATCAGGAAGCCCTCTAAAAATCTGTGATGCTAGGTCGTGCATTACAGACATCCTGGGTCATGCAAAATATGCATGACAAGTCTCAGAATCTTCCAGACCCAAACATTTTTGCATTTGATAGCTGAAATTAGCCAGTCAGGACCCGCTCATGCCCGGGGGCGTGAGTCGCAAGAAGAAAGGTCCCGTCTACCAGGAGCATATGAATTGCAAATATGTCTGGGTCCTCTGGAAGGATGCAAGGTTTGTCATGCTTGTCTGGCATGACTGAAAAGTTTGCGATGCGTGTCCAAGAAGAAATAACTCTTTTTTTTGTCATGCAAGTACGCAGTTTGTCATGCGGAAAGCGCAGCACTAAGCAGCGCAGATATCAATATTTCTGTTTCTCATGTTTTGCTGTGCATTACAGAGCATTCGCTATTCCCAACCCGGCATAACAAGTTTCCAGTCCCAGATGACATATTTGCAATGCATAGAGCACCCGGACTCCCTGAACATGGCCGATTTTCTCGCGAGTCAGATGGGTAGTAGTACTAACACTGGTGCTCCTGCTGGCACTAGGTACACCGGAGCTGGTCCTGGGCCTCGTCTGAGCAGTCGGGAGCGGCGGCTGCAACGGACCATTAGCACCGACGGGAAAGGGGGCCGGGTCAGCACGACCATGAGCACAGGCATCACCTCCGCCGGCTCGGAAGGTCCCATGGTGGGGCCCAAGGGCGGCGAAGGAAATACCTTCTTGTTCCGCGGGGGCAAGGTATCGAAATCGAAAATCCCCCCTCCCCATATCAAAACGAAGTTTCTGATGCTGGATTTGCGTACACAAATCAGATTTGTGTTGCTGGAGAGGACTGCAGGCCCATACTAAGCCTGAGTAGACAGGTTTTGGGTTTGGCCTAGACGCTTAGCATGACAGACGTCAACGCTGTAGGTGCAACAGCATGACAAACCGCCTGGAGAACGCGGCGGAGCCACCTGTGGAGTTGCCTTCATGCAACACAGAGGCGATTTGTGGTCACAAATCAGCAACGCAAATTATTCGAAAAAATGCCGTGTCAATATGGGGAGGGGGGATTTTTCCTTTTGATGAAAGGGAGGGTATAACTACGGCGCGACGCAGTTGTCGGCCAGCGACGCGTATCCTGTGCAAAAGCATCGTACTCGTATTGCAGTCATGCATTACAAATCTTTTTCTGAAGGTAAATCAGCATTACAAATTTTATTTCTCATGCTGAGGAAAAATTTGTAATGCATTTATACGAATACGATACTTTTGCACTGCATAACGCGAGGTGCGGAGGTTCAGAAATGTCGGAAGCGGAGCTAGAGCAAACGCAACATAGTTCCGATATGCATTACAAATTCATTGCTGATATCGATCTGGGAGGTCTAGAAATAGAACAAATGGAATCTTAAACCTGTGTTGATACGGGTTGGGAGTAGTGTGTTGATACCGTATTAACGGGCTCAACAGCAAACTTCATCCAACTCGTTCCTGAGCAAAGGGAAATTTCGTGACGTAGCTTTTCATTCACAGCGCTCTTTAATTATTCGTGTGTAGTGCGGATTTTGCATGACAGACAGACACGCTGCTGTTAGACGAGTGATTATTTTCACTTTAGCTTCATTAGCGCGACTTCACTACTTCCAGACCCGGTAGCATCGATAAATTTGCAATGCATATCCGAAAGGTCCGCGCCTCGTGCAGAGAAGCAGCGGGGCCTCTTTTCGCTGTTTTTCTAGGCAACGACATCAATAATTCTGGCGTCCTCGAGCACGTTATCAACATGTGAAGAAGAACTACCTCAGTTAGTAGCAAAACCCAGTTTCAAGATCAAGCCCCGGAAACAGGTTTGACCGCACCACGTCGTGTGCTGGTGGAAGAGAGAAGAAGCACCATGTATAGATTTTTGTTGAATTTTTATGCTCCTAACTAGAAGACTACAATTTCATCATTTTATACTTACACTTCATATGGCATTTGTCTGTTGTTTTCTTTTACATTTACCTATAAATATTTTACAAACCACAAAGCACATCGCCGCCCAGCGCGTGACATCAAGAACGAGATCGCTTTTCGATTACAGAATCACACGCAAAAACAGCAAGGAAGCTCTTTTCGCTTCATTTAAGCATCGAACAGCTTTTTCTTCTTATTCGATTTTACAAGTAACACAGAAATTCACTTTCCATTTTCACAATTTTAGAATTTCATTACAGAAGCCAGGGAGAAAAAACAGAGGAAGACCTGCATGTGATCCGATATGCCTGGTCCTCCTGAGAAAAGACGTAGCAGAAATCTTGTTTTATCCTTTTGAAATTCGAGTACAAATTTTTTTTGCTTCCTTGTGTCTTGTTGGACATGTGCCTGTTATCGGAGGCACGCACCAAGTGCAGCAGATGGTTGCTTCTGTTCAGCCACTTGCCGTATGGCATCGGTTTCATTATCATTTTCTTCACAATACGCTGCTGCATTGCATTACTCTGTGCATCGGTCCACAGTCGTGGTCGTGTTTTTCGCTGTGCACAACGACCTCCAGGAAGGTGTGGTTGCCGCCTCGCAGGGTCCCGCGTCTGGCAAGCCTTCGCAGGTTCGTCCTCCCAATGAAGGTGGCTTTGTTTCCTCGACGCTGCGAAAGGTGCGTCTTTCACATCGCTCGTCTTTTCTTGATCTGGCGGCGCCTTCCGGATCGAGTGGTATTCGAATTGCGGTACAAAATTGAAAAGTGCAGCAACCCTCTTCAAGCATCAGCTCGTCTCCCGTTTCATCGAACAAGGCTTTATTTCCCATACGTGAAGCTGCGGATGAAATAGCGGCCGTTTTTTTGCCATGTTTCCGCCAGCACAGGAGCTTCGTTGGTTCAAAACAGCGGAGATGAATATCTAGTAAATAAATATGGGTGCGCCGTGATTTTGATTTAAACTGCACTCAGCTCGTCTGTGGTGATGTGTCTATGATTTTCGAAATGGTTATAAATGCAAATGGTTACTGTGCACCAGCATCATCATCAATGAATTTCCGAGTCACGTTGGCTCGCTGTGTGCGACCTCCACGTAGCCTGCCATGCTCAATACCTACGGACGTCGAGCTGCGACCAAAGTAAGAGGATTCGCTTCCTTTTTCCTTCGCATACCGCCCGACCACGCAACCCAGCTGGACCTCGAACTGGAATCAACTTGTTTTCCGCGACGACCTCCAACTCAGCCTGGCCGCCCTCGCCTTTGCCGTCTGTTTCGTCCTGTGCCGCTTTTTCTGGCATCGCGGCATCCGCTCGTCTCGCCCCGGATTGATGTCTGCAAAATGTTGCGGTGGAGCCGTGAAGCCCGCGGGTGTTGAAGCTGAAAAACCGAAACTGAAAGCCGAGCCGAAGCGGAAGCAGAAAGCGAAGCCCGGCCGGGGTCGCAAGACCAAGGGCAAGTGTGGGAGCGGTGGGGACAAAGGCGTAGTGGTGGATATGGACACCACGGAAAATCATGATTTCTCGATTGCGCCGACCGGTTACGACGACGTCAATGACGAAGCTGCTCTGGACCAGCCGCTCCTCCGCGATGAAACTGATGATGACGATATCACAAGAAAAAATGCCCCCACCCCGGACGTTGCAAAGTTTGTGATGCAAAGTGTCCAAATGAAGTCTTTTTGTCTTGCATGAATGGACTATGAGTCTTTCTGACGCGGAATCCGAATCTAGGCAAGTAGGGCATCTTTTACATGACAGGCCCGGCTGCTGCTGGGCTCTTGCGCAACACAAATTTTACCTGTTCCGCATTGAAAATTTGTGATGCTCCTGATATATGCGAGACGGGGAATGTTTCTATTGCAAAGGTTTCCAACTATACAAACGCTGCGAAGCTCTGCTGGGGTCGGGGCATTTTTCATTGTAACAGACGAAGACTCCGGCTCCACCACCGGCTCGTCCGACGACCAGGTGCAACTGGACGTGGCCGCGTGCTCGGGCAGCTCCTGTCTGAACAACGAGGGCGAGGCAGTATGCACTGCAATAAAGATGTCTGGATCTGGGAAGTAAGTTGTGGCTGTGCTGCGAGATTTTCGACGATCGGATTCGGAACTTTTCTGGATGCACCTAAGCATGACACCTTTATGTAACGCTTGTTCCTCGTGCGTGGTGCGCATTACAATCTGCATTTTCGCATGACAGGGCACTATACACATAATATGACTCCCGCTTCTGCTGGTCGCACAATACAGGTGTTTAAGCATTGCAAGACAAGTATTCCAAGTCGCACTTTTCTTTCAGACCGTGACATACGATTTTCTAATCCATACTCAGCTGGGCCGCACGATGACTGGCCGGAAGTGAAAAAGCAAAACGTTTCCGCCCACATCATGTGCGGCCTGAATTCCTCCCCACTGGAGGTCGAATGCGACACTGAATCTGCGGCGCCGTTCTCTGATTGTGATGATTCATCATCATCAATGGCGGCGACCGAATGCGAGCAGGAAGACTACGAGCAGGCAGTTTTGTGTGCCAGCGCGGTGGCCGAGGCAAAAGGTTTTTCCGACTACGCCCGCGTCTCGAAGCGTCTCTTGAAGTAAACGCGGCGAGGGCGGAGGAAATTTTGTACGGATTTTTACTCTTGCTTTGTCGTGATTCTGATCCAGCAGTTTTGATGATGATGTCGCGCCTGATGCATGAAGTTCTTATTTTTTCATGAAACAATGAGTGTCGTTTTATCCTTTTCCCACGATCACAAATCGTGAATTCGGTGCAATCATTTTCATTTCAGGTGAATGAGGCATTGTTCTGCCTCTACGACATGCAGCGCATGGGAGCACCAGAGCTGGCTTCTGGTCCTTTCGGGGACCAGGGTTATCAGGGTTTAGCCCAATTTTCATTTGTGCTACGGCGATTTTAGGTATACGATGACGCGACATTACGACCTTGCTCTACTGCGACACTTTATTTGCAAAAAAAAAGGGCTGTTTCAAATTTTGTTTTCGATTTATGTGTTTTTGCTTGCTTACAACTATCACATTTCATGTTTTATTTGTTTTGAAGATCGTTGCTTTACTACACTAGCACTAGGCTTGTCATAAATTTAAACATCTTGTTGCTCTTCTCCAGTAAATGAACTTGCTTATGATCACGAGTGTATTTCTTTCTGAACCATGCTTAACCCCATTTGTATTTTGTTCTGCTCATGATCCCGAATGAGCTTGTCTTGATAAACAACGATTTTTTCGTCACTACTCAACATTGATTCAAATATTCAACGACCCAGAGCATTGATGTTTTCTTGAATAACTAAAGAATATTACGACAGCACTATTTTACAAGGGACGTCTTTTCAACTTCACCAACAACTTTGGAAAACAAAGATTAAAAATAATGTAAAGCACCGAAATAAGACTCACTACTATTCCGTCGACCCCAGCCATTGATATGGATATTATCACGATCGGGAAGTGAGCCCAGGATCACGCGGAGGATGGAATGTTGATGTGTGTACCACAGAGTGCGGGGGGCGGTTGAGAAAGATAGAGAGAGGTAAGAACAGTAGCGCACGCTCGGATCATACAATGTTGGAAAGCAAAAAAATACGACTGAGTGCCAAGAAGGAAATGTCATTTTGCAGCGTTGGTAAGCGAGAGCGAAAGTGAGATCCCTCTTTTCCCTGTAGTTGAGTGAAGATTTTTGTGACAGCGAAAGTTCCTCCGATTCTTTGGTCCTGGTTGCGGCCTGTCGGGGAGAAGCGATGCTTCCATCAGAATGCCTGGGTGTGTCGAGGGTGCCAGGATGCTAGAGGTGGCATAAGGTGTGTGTGAATGAAAATGCCTCATTGCCAAAACCAATTTCACCGCAAGACGCACTTACTCCTTCTTTGGGAAAGTTGAGCCCATCGCTGACTCATGGTCAGTTCGGCGGCAAGACCATCATGGTTGCAGAAGCAAAGTTCCCCAGTTCGTGCACCCGAGCACTAAGCGGCTATCATCGCCCGACAAAACCGCCAGCACACCCTAGACACTACTAGCGTGGTGCCACGGACGCTTCTGCGAGGTCCTCTTTAGCAGGTGCAAGCACGGCTCTAGTACCCGACGACGTCCTCGCCAGTTCGGTTGCATTTCCGCGATCATGAGCGCCGACCTGTCCTCCTCGAAGTCAGAATGCGTGAAGGTGGTGATCCGGTGTCGGCCACTGTCGGGACAGGAGATCCATATGCAATGCAAAAGCATCGTACTATTAGTAGAAATTGCATGACAAATTAGCCCAGCATTACAAATTTAATTTGTAATGCTGATTTACCTTAAAAAGGAGATTTGTAATGCACCAGAAATGCAATTACTACGAGGACGATACTTTTGCACAGGATAATCCAGGACGGGCGGCAAAAAGTCGTCGATCTCGACGTAAAAAGCTCGTCCGTGACGTGTAGAAAACCAAACGACGCAACGGCAGTGAAGTCCTTCACATTCGACGCGGTTTATGACCACAATTCAACGCAGGTACTTACTAGTAAAAGTTTATCTACAACGGACTCTTGCGAAGTAGATTGCTGGTAAGGTACGTTTGCCATGCGTTTCTGCTACTTGCCAGGTTGTTTATGTTTGTCATGCTTGAGTACAAATCTATCACGTCGCTATCAGGTCGCAATCTACGAAGAAACTGCGTCCATCATCGTGGATAGCACGTTAGATGGCTACAATGGCACGGTGTTTGCCTACGGGCAAACGGGAACCGGAAAGACCTTCACCATGGTGGGGGTGCTGGAGCAAGAGGAACTGCTCGGTATGGAGGAGGTTTTTTTTCTGCAAGAAACTTGTCAAGCGTAAGCACCCTATCCCACTTCCATCTGTCATGCTCAATTCTGCATCTAGTACTACTCATCGCACCAAACAACTATCAGGTATGATCCCCCGCGCATTTGAGCACATTTTCCGCCACATCCTATCAGAATGCACAACTTCCCCTCTACCTCTTTTGCATGGCATGAAGAGCAATACAAACACCAGTACAGGTGGAGCCTGTGCATGACAAGTTCATGCGCCGAGTGAAGTACTGTTTGGGATTCCGGAATTTGTCATGCACGCAGTGCCACAATGACAATGTAGCAACTGAATATAGGGCTTTTGCATGACAAATGAGGGGGAGGGGGGATTGTGCACTCTCATACATCCAGACCACCGGCGAAAACTCGCAGTTCCTCGTCCGTGCAAGCTACCTATGGATTGCAACAATGTCTGGGTCTGGAAGAGCCAAACTTGTGATGCTGCATTTGAAAGCTATAAAAATCTGTATTGCATGAGCAGCAAGAGGAGTCAAATTTGGCTACGCGGAGAGGACATTTGTCATGCAGGATGCGCATCGATAGGCGCTCAAAAAATCTGTGATGTGTATGGCATACATCAGAGACATCATGGATCATGGAAAACGTGCATGACAAACTAGCTCATGTAGAAATACAAAGCAGATACTACAACAGACTAGCAGCGTGCGGGGGGAGACCAATGCGGTCTCCCCCCACCCGCTGCGACTATTAAAAAACACACCAGGGAACTTCTTTTTTTCCAGCAGAGGCTGGTCGTGGGTTGTGGGGAAAAGACGGGGATTAGAAATAGGAACAAGATGCTAGCGCGAGTTTAAATCAGGCGTAACCTCTTGAAGATTTCCGCATCGCTTTGTTTTACTTTTACTCTACAGACTAACCCACGCTAACAGACACGAAGCTTAGAAGAAAACATCATGAAAAACGAAAGCGGGCGCGGAGTCAGCGCGGCAAAGTGGGGAGTCATGATAAGGAGATATGACGGAAAACAGCCACGAGCCCGAGCCCCGCGCGGATGCAATCGAGGGACATCGGCGAGCCGCTCGAGCTACAGGACGGGGGGGACTAGGCCCCGGTGGACACGCACGCGGGAGAGGAGGGGGAAAACGGAAGCGAGGCGAGAACAAGACGCGCAGTACAATGTGCTGGAGCAGAGGACAAGAGCAGATAGTAAGAATATCAAAACAAGATGAAAAATGCACGCATACGCGCGCACTGCTTAACTGTGTGAAAGGTGTCGGCCCTGTTTGACCTGCTGCGGCAGGCAGGTGAATTCGTAGAACTGCTTCACATGTTAAGTAACGCACACCGGCCTCCTAGTTTTAGTGATGAATTTATACACGAGCGGAAAGCGCACCTGAAACTGAAACTACTAAAAAACTAGTTAGCGCAGCGGCTTACTGCGCAGCGTCGGTTCGTGCACGTGTGTCGCCCTTCGTTCGTTGCCTTCAGGAGCTTGATCGTAAATTCGTACGCTCCTCCTGCTTCGAAAAAAATCCGATCTTCCCATCTGCCCCCATCTTCCCATGTAGATTTAGGTCTCTGCCCTTTTATTTCTTCTTTTGCGTAGTGTTGTTGTTTTACCTGACTCGCCTTCTTAGCGCTAGCCCGCGTAGCCCGCGTCCTTGCAGGGGCAGCTGTTTTTTTTTCCGCCTTGCCAGCGGGTTTTGTCTTGGGGAAGAAAGCAGTCTGGGTTCAACGGTCCCCGCCCCCCCATCATCGTGGGTTCGACGGCCCCCATCCCTAAAGAGACCACTTAGAAATAGTTTTACAGTAGATTGCAAATTTTACAGTGGTCGCCCGTTTTGCATCGGCCGAGGCTGCACACGCGTCCGGAGTATTTTTCACTGACGTCCCTCGGCTTGGGTCATATGATGTTCTTCGTCAGGTCGCGCAGCCTCTATTAATGCGATTCGGGTCGGCTGCGCCCTATGGCTAGTATCTGTGATCCAGCTCGACCATATATTTCGGGGGGCAGTAACGTGAAGGAAAAGCGTTCTTTCGGGGGCGCCTAGTAACCACGCAAACACGAACCCGGATAACGCCCCCTATGGGTGACTAGCTCCATACACAGTGGTCTCGCCCTATCTTTACTATTTTTCAGTGCAGCGGCTTACTGCACTTATCGCCCTACGGAGACTGTGATCTGACCCCCCTCTACCTTCCCTGGTGGACGTCTGCCGCGGCTTACGGCTCTAGACGTTAACTAGGATCAGTGCGTTGTGCGGGTTTAGGGTTTTGAAATTAATTTTGTATCTCCCACTGCTGCATGAACCTGCTGCAAGAACTTGTTATGCAAAACAACCTTCGGGTTGTTCCCGCGCTTCAGGAGTAGTCCTGTTGCGTGATGGCGGCAGAAGATGAAAAAAGGTGTTGGCTTAGGGGGTTCAAAATGTTTGTGCATGTGTGATGCAAAAGACGAAGAAAAATTCGTGCGTGGGAGCGCATTTTTAAGCACAGCGGGCGGGTGTCGTTCCCGCCGTCACACAATGCCATACAATACAATACAATACAACAGAGCGGGGCCCAATTAAAAAAAAAAAAAAAACGTGCATGACAAACTTCTCCTCTTCCAGACCCAGACATATTTGCAGTTGATACTACCTGGAGATTTACAATGAGGAAATTCGAGACTTGTTGTCGAAGAACCCCAAAACCAAATTAGAGTTGAAAGACAACCCAGACACTGGAGTTTACGTGAAGGATTTGAGTGCGTTTGTCGTCAAGGGCGTCGAAGAGATGCATCAGGTAAGTAAGAGGAGATGCTTCAGCAAAAATGCTTCCTGAATGAACAAGCGCATGACAAAACAAGTTTTTTTTTCGCAAACAACGCATGACAAACTTTTTTTAAGCACTTCTACTTCAGGTCATGGCCGCGGGCACCAGGAACCGGTCCGTTGGACAAATATCCTGTGCAAAAGTATCGTACTCGTAGTAATCGCAATCATGCATTACAAATCTATATCCCAAGGCAAAACAGCATGACAAATTCCATTTGTCATGCTGAGCTAATTTGTATTGCAATTACTACTAGTTGTACGATACTTTTGCACTTGATAACAAACGAAGATGAACGAAACCTCCTCCCGATCACATTATGCGTGGCAAATATAAGGTCTCGATTTGCGATGCAGGAATCGTATGGCAAAGGAAAGGAATCTGCAATTATGCATTTTTGTCACGCGGCATAATGAAAAGGTCACAACAGGCATGTCTCAAAATCGAAAATTTTTCCTGCACTCATTCCCCCCCAAAGATTCTTCACCATGCGAGTAGAGTCACCAGTAGTTTTATTTCCAGCTGCAAACCAAGACACCATATTTGCAGTGGATTCGCATTCTATTTTTACGATTACCATCGAGTGCAGCACGAACGGGCACATCAGAGTTGGGAAACTAAACATGGTGGATCTCGTATCCTGTGTAAAGACGTCCCCACCCCAGAGTCAAGATGGGGATTTTGCAACACAAACCGAGAACTTTTGCGAGTCACGCATGACAAGTTGCAGCCTGTAGTGTAGTGCAGCTTAGCAAGGGAATTCGCATTGCAAATCCGTCTCGTCATCCTGTTTACAGCATTACAAGTTTCAAAACACGACTGGAAGTGCCTTCCTTGGAGATGCGCATCACAAATGCCCCTCTGCTTGCTAATCTGCATGACAACTCTGGGGTGGGGACGTTTTTCCTCGGGATATCTCGCCGGTTCGGAAAGGCAGTCGAAAACCGGCGTATCAACTGTAAAAATGTCTGGGTCTGGAAGATTACAACTTGTCATGCTAAATCTGCAGCATGCAAAAATCTGTGTTGCATGATTACCAAAAGTCGTCCAGTTTTGACCAAGTCGGGAGGTAGTTTCTCATGCAGGATAGGCATTAGAAAGGTCTCGCAGAATCTGTCATGCTAGGTCCTGCATTCCAGACCTCGTGGGTCATGGAAAAGCAGCATGACAAATCGCGCACTCTTCCAGACCCAGACATTTTTACATTTGATACGGCGCGACGGGGGACACTTTGAAGGAAGCCACGAAAATCAACTTGTCGCTATCCGCCTTGGGAAACGTGATTTCCGCGTTGGTGGACGCGAAAACGAGTTTTGTGCCGTACAGGGACTCGAAGCTGACCCGGTTGTTACAAGACTCGCTGGGAGGGAATACGAAGTATTGCTTTGTTACACCCTCACTCCGTGTGTTTTGTGTCATGCTTGAAAAGCGGTATTGAGAGGACGCTGCACTGCTTCAAGAGAAAATGTAGTACTATGCGTAACAAATGCGCATGAGATCATGAAATCAATTTCAAAATTCCTATCAGAACCGTCATGGTAGCAAATGTCGGCCCTGTGGATTACAACTATGACGAAACGATTTCCACTCTCCGCTACGCGCACCGGGCGAAATCGATTCAGAACAAACCGAAAATCAACGAGGACCCCAAGGACGCCATGCTCCGCGAGTTTCAGGAGGATATGGGGTTCTCAAGCGTTACATTCTCAACTGTTACATGAATTTGCCATGCAAACTTGCCTTCGATATCTACATGATCAAGCTGCTTCGCATGACAAATTCTCGATGCGCTAGATAGCATCAGAATCTCCTGCGCCAAACCTGTAATGCAAAAGGCGCAATGTATCCCCTTTCACTTTTGCCATTCTTGCATTGCAAATCCATGTACACAGTTGAGAGTGTAACTGATTTGAGAATCCCATAGAGGAGATTGCCCGGTTACGCCGGCAGGTGGAATTACAGCAGGCAGGACACTATGCAGTGCAAAAGCATAGTACTCGTGTCAATGCATTACAAATTTCCTCAGCATGAGAAATAGAATTTGTAATGCGGATTTGCCCCAAGAAAAAGATTTGTGATGCATGATTGCAATACGAGCGCGATACTTTTGCACAGAATAGACACCAAGTCGTCATCGATCCGGAGACCGGGGAGGAGAAGGTGATTACGGAGAAGATAATAGAAAAAGTGGTGGAAGTGGAGAAGGACATGGGCGGGGCGGTATGGGAGTGCACAGCTCCCCCTTCCCCTCAACATTTGTATTGCAATAATATCCCAAATACAGTTACGGCCTTGTGGCGCTGTTTGCATCACAAATTTTTCCGGTGGAACCCCAAACATTACTACACTTCTCAGCGCACGAACTTGTCATGCGCAGCATCCACCTGTATTGGCGTTTGTATTGCTGTTCATGCCAACATGCAAATGAGGGTGAGGGGGGGTTGTGCACTCTCATGGGCGAGTCAATCGGACGCGAAGATGCTGTATCAAATGTAAAAATGTCTGGGTCTGGAAGATTCCGAACTTGTGATGCGTATTTCAGAACACAGAAAAATCTCTCATGCATAGGGAGCAAAAGCTGCCCACTTTCTGCCACCAAAGTGGCGGACTTGTCATGCGGATTCGGCATTGCGGAAGCTTCACGAAACCTGTGATGCTAGAGCTTCCATGCCACCCCTTCTGTGTCATGCAAAAACAGCATGACTCTTCCAGAGCCAGACCCAGACATTTTTACATTTGATATGCTGGAGGAGAAGATGCTGGAGGAGAAGCTGCAGATGGAGCAAGAGTTAGAGCAGGAAAGGCTACGGATCGAGCAGGAAAAGGGGCAAACCGAAGCGGAGAAAGAGCAGTTGCTGAAAGAACTGATGGAGAAGGAAAAGTTGGCGGAGGACCAGCGGAAGCAGCATATGGAACAAAACGAAAATTTATCCGTACACGTAGAAGTAGAACAGATCGCTTTGCTAACTTAGAAGCAAGAGAGATAAGATTTGTATTGCTAAATTGAGAAAAGAAGCAAGAACTTTATCATGCAGAAGTAGAATGCAACTAATGAATTCGTGTACGGCAAAATTTTTTTTTCTCTCCACACAGCAGGCGGAGATGATACAGAAGGTAAAGCAAATGGAAGAGAAAATTCTCGCCGGCTCGTCCGTCATGGAAAAGGCCGCGCAGCAGGAACTGGAACTGCAGAAAGCCCAGCGCGCGGTGGCGGAAATGAAGAGAAACGAGAAGAAATTGGCGAAGCTCGCAGAAAAAAACATCGACGAGAAACTGATGCTGCAGGAAAAATTATGGAAAGAAAAAAGCGTATACAGTCACAGTTACACTTTGTGTTCTTGCAGACCAAGCAAGACAGACAAGGTCTGTCATGCCGGATATGCTCAGGAGTTTCGTTTTATTAGTCTTTTTCCCTATTTTCTCTGCATGGCAAGTTTCCTCGCTCATGCAGAACACGTTTGTGTTGCTGCTTGTCCAGGAGCAAATGTGTAACTGAGACACTTCTCTCCTTCGATAAAAATCGAATTCCGTGGAGGAGCAGGTGCAGAAACTCACAACGAAACTGGAAAAGCTGTGGGAGCGGTACCAGCTCGCGCAGCAGGAAATTAAGGATTTGCAGCACGAGTTCCAACTAGAGCGCGAAGATTTGCTGGAGACGATAAGGGCAGCCGCGAAGGAAGTGAAGCTGAAAACGTTGTTGATGGATGAATTTGTTCCGAACAACATGAAGTCCCTGGTGGAGAAATACAGTCACTGGAACGAGGAAGAGGGAATTTGGACCATATCCTGCGCAAAACTATGGTACTCGTATGTAGTGAGGTCACGAACGTTCTAATCTAGCGATCTTTTTGACATGTCTCATGCAAAACGACCGGCAGTTTTCAAGCGGCCGGAAGGCTTTTTTGACATAAAAAATTTCCAATTATCAAGCGGCCGGGGCGTTTGCGGCAAAAAAGCCCGAGCGGATTCTATCGATTCCCGCTTGATAAAACGTCGCAGGGGAGCCGGCAAAAGGGGCGCCCTTCTGAGGCGCCCACCGCCTTAGTTTCTGGCGATTTGCGGCGCCGAAAAATGGGCGCCCAAAAAGCAGCACTCCGAAAAAAGCAGCGAATCCGCATGATATGGGCCTCATTTTGCCCCACATTCGGGCCCCGCAAAAGACGCCTTCAAAATCCGCCATTTCAGAGGCGGGCTGAAGGCCAGAAGATGCGTCATTTTGACAAAAAAAAAACAAAAGAAACAAAGTCCGCCAAAAGCAAAAAGCCAATCCGCATGCTATGGGCCCGCTTTGGGGCTCCCAAGGGGCCGACCCTTGCGCGGGCCCTGGCGGGGCCATAGCATGCGGGGAAGGTTTTTCGATTCGAAACCAAATGGAGGCCGCCTCTGGATCGAGATTTTTAGCGACCGCCGTGCCGTCGTGCATAACATTGCTCACGATGGCATGGTGGGCAGAGAAGTTGCGTCCTTTTTTGGCGTGAACACAAAAAGACCGCCATGACCTCACTACCTCCGCGGACCCGGCTATTATTGGTAGTTGTAATTGCAGTCATGCATTAAAGGTAAATCCGCATTGCAAATGCAATTTCTCATGCTGAGAAATGCATTTCTACGAGTACGATACTTTTGCAATTCATAGACCATCGAAAAGATCCATTTAGCGGGCAACAACCTGCTCGCGCCCGGAGCGGCGCAGGGGGCCGGCGGGTTTGGAAGTGGAGCAGGAGGGTCAAATCCACCCGGGAGTGGCAGTGGGGAGCAAACCCGGTACGACCGGGCCTGCATGCGGCAAAACGTGTACTTCGTGTACGACAGTCGGGAGGGGATGCTACGATCAAACAAAATGATTTCCACCGCGTCCGTAAAGCAGACAAATCTCGTGTCCGCGCGCAAGTCGAAATCGCAGTCCGCCCGACCGAATACCGCCAGTCGGAAGGGGCGGGGCGCGGTATCAAATGCAAATATGTCTGGGTCTGGGAGAGCGGAACTTGTGATGCTGCATTTGGATTCCAAAGAAATCTGTATTGTATGAGCAGCAAGGGGATTGTAATTCTTTCTACGCGGAGAGGGAGAGGGCATTTGTCATGCGGAATAGGCATCAAGCAGCCCTCAAAAGTTCTCTCATGCTAAGGCATGGTGCATCACAGACATGATGGCTCATCCAAAACGTGCATGACAAGTCTCGGAATCTTCCAGACCCAGACATATCTGCATTTGATACGCGGGCGTGATGGGCAGTACTGCCGCGAGCGGCGGGTTTTCCGGGGCAAACTATCCTGTGCAAAAGTATCGTACTCGTATTGCAGTCATGCATTACAAATCTTTTTCTTGAGGTAAATCCGCATTACAAATTTTATTGCTCATGCTGAGGAGATTTGTAATGCATTTATACGAGTACGATACTGTTGCAGTTCATACAAACGGCAACGCAACCATGTCCACAACCGCTGGGGGCGGCGGGGGCAACACTATGAATTGCAAAAGTATCGTACTCCTACATACTCGTATAAATGCATTACAAATTTCCACAACATGAGAAATGAAATTTGTAATGCGGATTTGCCTTAAGGAAAGGATTTGTAATGCAAGACTTGCATTTATACGAGTACGATACTTATGCACAGGATAAACACGCCCGTGGACGGATTTGGCGGGTTTGGCGGTGGCGGCGAGTTTATCAACTGCAAAAATGTTTGGGTCTGGAAACTTGTAATGCTGCGCTGGGGCTAGTGAATGCTCTGTAATGCACAGCCACGCATGAGAAATATCTGCGCTTCTTTGTGTTGCGTTTTTCGCATTACAAACTGCGTTTTTGCATGACAGGCGAAAGGGTCTCTTCTTGGACACGCATCGCAAACTTTTTGGTGATGCCAGACAAGCATGACAAGTCTCAAAATCTTCCAGACCCAGACACTTTTGCATTTGATAGAGTTTATGGGCCAGCAGGATTTGGAAAGGGAAAGTAAAAGTTCCAGGAGTAGGAGAGGAAGCACGGACTCGATATGAGAGTGCACAAGAAGAACTCTTGTTCCCGCTCATTTTTTAGCGGGCATGAAAAGTACTAAGGGGAAGCAACTCGATGACAAAATCGTCAGCCTAATGTTAGGGCTTCGAAATTTCAATTTGTCATGAAAACTACATTCTTGCCACAGCGACAGCGCAGGAACTTGATTTAGCACAGCTGTTTTGCATATACAAATGAGGAAGAGGGGGAGTTGTGCACTCTCATATTCGAGCGCCAGCTTTCCAAAGGCCAGGGGACTGGTGCAGAGGGGGTAGTAGATGGGAAGAGGAGCAGAGAAGTTGTGCGGACTTTCTCTCACTACCACTTTCATCTTGCAGTTGTTTTTGAGAAACAGAGAAAAAGTAAATACCTGCATTTTGCACTTTTATGAATACTTAGATTTCACTTTTGACATCGACCTCGTTAGCCACATCAGCTACACACTATTTTTTCGTAAAGAAGACACATCAAAGAGAAAGAAAGGGGAGACCAAATAAACATGATTACTGTAAACAGATCACAGCGGCGCTGAGTAAAACTCCGCGCGGTGTGCACAAAGATTGGTGCGCGGGAAGCGTTTCTTGCAAGAGAAATTTGGTGGTAAAAGACGTTCGATCAAGACCGTGCGAAAAGAAGTTCTTTGAGCAGTACGCCTGCCTAGACAAAAAGGATTGAGATTTAGCTCTACTAGCTTCAAAACGGCACCTGCTCACCAGCTGTGGAAGCAAGCGCCGGAGTTTCTGCGAAGAGAAGGCATCGACAGCTTCAGTGGTGTTCAACAGTTTCCAATTTAAATAAAGCCGGAGGTGGACTGTGTTGTTTCGGCCATGTCGTGCTAGCAGCTTTTATCCCCTGCCAGAGTGTCGTGTGAGCCGTGTACAGCTAGTGCACGCCCAGGCCTATCACTACACATGAAAAAATACCAGAAAGCGCCGGCGCAAATGGCCCGAAACAAGGGGTGCAGGAGCGAGCCAAGAGCAGGACCGACGATCTAGCATGCCAAATCTTCGAGCGGCCCTTGTATAGCTGGTGGCCGAGGTTGCTTGGCTGGCTTGAGTTTCAATTGCGCAGAAGAGATGACGCAATCTTCTGAGGTAACTACGTCTTACAAGCATTCAAAAACTATAGCAAACACTACTGCTGGCAGGACAAACCGATTTTTCCGTTCACGGTCAGCCGCTGCTCATACATCAAACAACTTTGTCAACACCTAGGAAAAAAGAAACACAAGGCCCCTAACCGTGGGACGAGAATCTTGATTTTGGCTTTCTACTAAAGGTGTCGAATTATACACAATAAACCCGAAGAGCAGTTCAAAAAATGCCGCACTACCCAGACGAAATCGAGTATAGCGAGAAGTACCAGGACGATACCTACGAGTACCGGCACGTGATTTTGCCGAAGACCATCGCGAAGAAAATGTACGCGTCCTACGGCCGTTCCCTGCTGTCCGAAGACCAGTGGCGCGGGCTTATGAAATGTAAAAATGTCTGGGTCTGGAAGAGTGCGAGGTTTGTCATGCACGTTTTGCATGAGCCATGATGTCTGTGATGCATACCCTAGCAATACAGATCTTTTGGAGGATTCGTGATGCCTATTCCGCATGACAAATGCCTTCTCAGCGTAGCAAAAATTGCATTCCCTTTGGTACTCATGCAATACAGATTTTTTTGGAATCCAAATGCAGCATCACAAGTTGCATTCTTCCAGACCCAGACATTTTTACATTTGATAGGGCTTGGCGTGCAGCAGAGCCGGGGGTGGATGCACTACGAGTGTCACCGCCCGGAACCCCACATCTTGCTCTTCCGCCGACCGTATATGGAATTGAGAATTTACTACAACCTCGGTCGCATACGCATGCTTGTCATGCTCGTTTCTGCATGATGAAGCGCCGTTCTTTGTCATGCAAAAACACGCATTGGATAGCGACTGCAAACAAGTGGTGGTTTTGTAAATTCTCATACCTGTGGGCACGAACCCGCTGACGGGCATGGTCGATCCCCCGGAGATGCAGCAACAGATGGGTGTTGTGGCGTGAAGAATACACGACGAGAGGTGAACGTGTTAAGGATAAGACGTGGGTGGTGCCGGTGAAGACACTGTGGCTGTGCTCGAATTCGAATATTAAAACAGTAGAATTTTTCACAGACATTTTGGAAAGCATCAAGAAACTACAAGTCAAGAAAGTCGGGTGTTAGTTGCTCAGTAGCAGCTAATACCGTGGTGACAGGAGCGTTTTGTTGATCACTTTGTCCTTGCATTCTGCAGCAACGACCAGGCAAGTAACATTGATTTAGCAAGGACACTGATACCGGTGCCGCTTTTTCCTGCTCACGACACATCGGCAGCAATAATCAAGTGCCTTTGACTAGTTCAAGGTTTTCATTTTGTTCTGTCTCGGCGTGCAGAGCATTTTAGTCGTGTTTGTGAATTATACGCAACTGAACTTTTGCGGCGAAAATTTGAATCTTCTCCAACTCGTCAGGGTCGTCGTCATAAATCGTCATCGCGTATTTCTTCATCGCTTTATTTCGCGACTACGAATTCACTTGCCCGATCGGTGCTAGAAGAAAGAGCTAGACACGCAGTTCACCTGTACTGTCTCATCGTATCAACTGTTCCGGGAAACAAGATCTACTTGACTCGTTTGCGTAGCTGGCTCGTTCTGCAGTTGGGCCGTGCTTGTTTTGATCGTGACAGACCTCTGAATAAACTTTCCGGTGGTCGTCAAATAAAACGCGACTGTAACTACATCTTCGCCTCGTCATGAAATAGGAACATATCGTGTTTCCCAAGGTAGACATAGATGAAAAATCGTACTAAATGAAACTGGCCTCTCATGGGCAAAGTTCAAGAAAGTAGACTTCTCGCTTTATTTTTGAGCTACACCTAGTAGTTTCCTGTCGCTGTCCTCGCCGCGAGCAGCAGCACACCGCTCCTGATCTCGATTATACCTTCGACTCTTGTTTGCGTTTAGTTTTGAAAACATCAAGACCTTCGCCACTATTCGCACCTCCCTGTCGTCCTTGTGCACGACCAAGGTCCTCCGACGTAGTGACAAAATGGACGTTGCGTCTGCGGAAATAAAAAATCCGTCGTGCCGGCTGTTCCCCCCGGCCACGGAACACGACCAGAAATTGTATCCTGTATTAGAACGTCCCCACGCACCCCAGAGTCAAGACGGCGATCTTGCATAACACGAATCAGCAAATTCCAGCCGTTGCGCATGACAAGATCATTGGGTCTCTAAGTCTAAGAAGTGTAGTCCTCGTTGGCTGGTGAAATCACATCGCAAATCTAGCTCTTTATCCTGATGAGAGCATGAAAAAGCTCAAGGCAGCATGAAAAATGCTCCTCATCATGGGGTTCTTGCGCATGAGAAATATTCACATTTGCCGCATGCGGATTCGCATGATAGATAAGTCCAGGGTCGTGAAGATGTTTTTACTCGCGATGAAATGGTGGAGCATTGGATCGAGCAGATGAAGGTGGGCGAAAAGATTATCGCCGTCTGGCGCGTGTCCGAAGCGAACAAAAACAAGCGTGTCAGATGGTTTATCTACGTGTGAGGGTGCACAACTCCCCCTCCACCTCATTTGTATCTATAGCTATACGCATCAGCGGCAAAAATACAAGCATCAGCAAGAGTGTCGGTTTTTCATAGACAAATTTGCACAGGAGTGTCGTACTGTCTGGGTATCCTTGATTTGTCATGAAAACAGTATCAAGAGACACGGCCTGGATTTGGTGTTTTGCATGACAAATGAGGGGGAGCGAGGGGGAGTTTTGCACTGTCATACAACTACGTGGCAACAGTAATCGCGGTCCTTTCTGTTTTCCTTTTGAGTATGCAAGTACTCCGTGCTTCTCCTGCACAGCAGGTAGAATTGTCGTACACGTCGCACAGGTGGTTCTGCGGTACAGGGATTAAGATTCAATCTATATTATGAATGCGAACTGCTTACTCTTGTGCTTCAATTTCTACATCTAGTTTCTCAACAAGGCATCAAAAACAAGGCCTCTCATCATGATGATGTCGGGCTGAAATGATGATACTCGCTTCTCTGGCCGCTAGTAGCTCTTGGTTTCTCAGTCAGAATCCTGTGCGACGACCGTGTGCTATTTTTTTCCACAGAATATCCCTTTTTCTGGCGATCTACACGGCGATGGAGAGTGACGAAGCACCTTTGAGCACAGGTGACCCATGGTTTGACAACAAATGGTGCCAGTTTGTCAAAGTCTGCGTCCCGCTCCTACTCTTTAACCTGCTCTGGTTTTTCTACATGCCGCGCGTCGGGAAACATCAGCTGGAGAGCGAAATCTACGCGCTCGGCGAGCGTAACTTCTTCTACGCTGGCTTTTCCCAAGGCATGGTATCAAATGTAAAAATGTCTGGGTCTGGAAGATTGCCAGGTTTGTCATGCACATTTTGCATGACTCCTGATGTCTGTGATGCATGCCCTAGCATCACAGATTGCGTGAGGGCCCTCTGATGCCTATACCGCATGACAAATGCTCTTTCCGTGTAGCAAAACTTGGACTCTCTTTGCTGCTCATGCAATACAGATTTTTTTAGAATCCAAAATCAGCATGACAAGTTGGATTCTTCCAGACCCAGACATTTTTACAGTTGATACATGGGCTACTTTGACGCAACGACGTACCTGGAAATCGGAAACGACTGGCTCTTCAAGGTACACAAATGTTGTGGAGGACGAGAGAATATCTACTTCCTACTAATCCTTTTTGGATCGTTGAAATCCAATATTCATGACTCAGGAGCTACATGTTGATCAACGCCTCTTTTCTTCTACTTATTACTAGTATGCTTTCCAAATCCAATTTACTATTCTCGTATGAAAAAACAAAGGTAGAAGCTGTTGTGCCGATGGACAAAGATTCCTACCTATCCTGTGTAAAAACGTCCCCACCCCCTAATCAAGATGGCGATTTTGCAACACAAACATAGAAGTTTTGGGACTCACGCATCACAAGTTGCTGCTCGCAGTGTAGTGCAGGTTAGCAAGGAGAAGGACAAACGCATCACAAATCCATCTGCTTATTCTGGTTACAGCATTAAAAATGCCAAAACACGAATAGAAACGCCTCTCATGGAGATGCGCACTACACATGTTCCTGTCATTGCAAATCTGCATCACAACTCTGGGGTGGGGACATTTTTACAAATGATACTACCACGGGTGCGAGGGGGTGGAGTTGAAGCTTCCCGCCTCGTATCAAATGCAAAAATGTCTAGGTCTGGAAGAATGCGCGACTTGTCATGCGGATTTTCCATGACTCATGAGGTCTGGAATGCAGAAACTAGCATGACAGATTCTGTGAGATCTCTGTCATGCCTGTCCCGCATGAGAAACTCCCTCTGAACCAGGTCAAAAGTGGACATTTTTTGGTAAGCATGCAACACAGATTTTTACAGGATGCAGACTTAGCATGACAAGTTGCAACCTTCCAGACATCCAGGGATATTTGCAATGCATACCTCGACGGCATCAACGATTTCCGATTCGCGGTTTCTCGTGCCGAGTTGCTTTTCCTGCTGCTGCATATGCATTGCAAATAGGTCTGGGTCTGGAAGAGTACAACTTGTCATGCTAAATCTGAATCATACAAAAATCTGTGTTGCATGATTACCAATAAAGCTGTTCACTTTTGAGAAGGCCCAGAGGCAGTTTCTCATCTGGAAAAGGCATGAAAAAGATCTCACAAAATCTGTGACGCTAGGGCATGCATCACAGACCTCGTGCGTCATGCAAAACGTGCATCACAAATGTTGCACTTTTCCCGACCCAGAAACATTTGCCCTTGATACTGCACCCCGCAGTACAAAGCCATCATCATGAACGAGCAAAACCAGGACGAGGCGCTGCAAATACTTCGGCAAGCGGTCGAGAAGTGCACCAAAGAATACACCGACAGCCGTACGGGAAAAATCAATATGCATAGAAAATAGGTCATCTGGGTCTGGAAAATTGCAACACCTGTCCTGCTGTTGAACTTGCATGGAATTCCTCCAGTACCTTTTTGTCATGCAGAAACGCGAATAATTTGCATATGACTATGACATGATGCCATGCGAGTCACCACGCACGACAGATTCGTTTGAAAATTGCTCATGCTTGACTTCTGCGTACTGGAGTTAGTACCAGTTTGGCATTCATATATTGAAAGTAGCGGGCGGACAATTTTCCTCCAAACTCAGACACATTCTCATGTGATAATCGACCAGGCGAAAATCGACGCGTATGGGGAAGAAGTAACCAAAAGGCAGAACGAGGCGCGTGGCAACTACGGTGCAGTTTGAAATACTGGAGGAGAACAAAACACTTGATATCCCTCGGAACAATAATTGCAATCACTGTGAAGGCTACTGTGCGTTTTACAAATTGAAAAGTAAGAATCTTTCACCTTGTCTCTCTGTTTGGATCATGAAGAATTTCAATGTCTATGTTTATATTTGAATAACAGTAAATCTAAATAGCCGCGATTTCGTGCAATACAACTACAGCTTCTACACACAACTTTTGTACAGAAATTAAAGGTAAGAGAGGGAATCAGACTTAACAGATGGAATCAGACTAATGGAATCAGACTAGATGTAGAATCAGTTTAGTGGAATCAGAATAGTGAATAGAATCAAGATACTTGAATCAGACTCATACACTGAATCTGCACCCCCATCCGTCGTCGAATGAATGTGATCGGTCATTGCGTTCTCTGTCGTATGCATTGGACACGTTGACGCCCTCCTGCAAGCATCGTTTTGGCCCATCGCTTTCTCGTCACTTCATCTGTGGGCAGTGCGTGCTCGCTGCCGCGCTTCTATTTCAGGCGGGACTTGACGTTGACTTGCATGCTCTGTATGTTTGCGCATCAGACCACATCTAGACGGGGGGGGCAAGGTTTTCATAGTATATCTTGCATCGAGATTGTTTTCGGCGATCCGTGGTGGTCAGCCCGGGTCAACTTCTTTCACAAGCTCCGGATCATTGTCGGCTCACCCGCTTCCTCATCCTCGCGACGGCACGACTGGCAGACCGCGCATGTGCCATGGATGACGGGGACGGGCCCTAGCAGGTACTCCATGCAGATGCCTTGTTTTTTGTTTCAGATACCATGTTGCTTGTTTTTTTTTGGACAGACTGCTTCGCTCTCGCGGAGGAAGCAGGGGCGCCGTGCTCTACTTTCCATCTCATGTTGCATTCGTGCGCGATGGTTTTCCTTAACGAAGCAACAGAATTGCTGCTGCTGTTGATGCTCTCTCCTTTGCCTTTTACTCCTTCCTACTTCTCAGTCTTGCCGCCCTCTCTTCTACCCTCCCAAGCAGGACGCCCTACTTCTCCCTATCCCTTTTGCGCGGGGCGCAACTGTGGTCTGGCATCGCTCCCATTGTGTAGAATGGGCGAGGTAGCTGGCCGGCTATGTCTAGCGAGCACAGCGTGGCTGCTAGAAGATCACCCCGCGTCCTCACTAGCTGCCCCCCCACACAGAGATGATCGTAGGAAAGCCTAAACGAAAAGAAAAGCACGGCTCGGGCCGTGGCCGCGCAGGTTCCTGCGCACAAAACGACGCGAAACATGCCAAGAAGAAAAGACGCGAAGGCGCCGCGGTTATCTGGAGCCAATTTCTCGAACTCAGACAAAAGGGGGCTACTTTTCTGATTTTTGCGCCAAAAATAGGGGGGGAACGTTGGCAAATTTTAAAAAATCGACCCTGTTTTTGCGTTTTCTACTTAGCAAAGCCCGGCGTTGGGCCAGTGAGTAAGTGTTGCGAGGGGACTCGTTGTGATGTCGCTTTTTTTTTGTTCCGTCAGTGGCTGCAGCGCTCTGTGGCTTCCTTCCTCATCTTTATTTCTTTTCTCGTCGTACCTCGGTGGGCGCGCGCGCCGCGCCAAGACTTTGCATCCATGCGTTTTGCACGCAGCCTCTGGAGGAGTTGTGGTTGTTCGTGCATCGAGTTGGCAAAAAGACTAGGCCCGCGAAAAGGAGACGATATGCGCAGTGCCGCGCGGAGCACTTATTTGCAACTTCGCGCGCGGTTCTATACCTCTAGGCGAATATTGCTGAATATGGTAGAAGTGGCGCGAGGCAGAAAGGAGCTGCTGCGTAGATTCTGTGCCAGACCTATACATCGCATTCCCGTTTTCAACCTGAATCCCCTAAAAAAACATATCTCAGGCAATCTGCCCGGGCTTGGCGTCAGTGTCGCTGGGAAGCGTGGGGGCGCCCTTGGACATACCGAATGGCATCGGCGGCTGCGGAGAGACACTGACCCGTGGATGGTGCCGAAAGTCAAGCATGTCGGAGACCACAGTGTAAAGACCTCCGCTGGCCTTGCCGTTGCTAGTAAGATCAGGAGCGGCCACAACCACACGACTCAGCACATTGCGCAACAAACTACCACCAGACCCGGCCGCGCACGCGCGGGCACGACAGAACACGGACGCGATGTTGAAGCACTAGTCTGATTCCACTAGTCTGATTCCACCTGTTAGCCGGATTCCACTAGCCCGATTCCAGAAATTAATAAATCTGACTCCGTAAATCCTTTAGTCTGATACCATCGACGACCGAAATTAAATACTTGGATCAGAACAAGTTGTTTCATTTGAAGTGGTCACGACACGAAAGCACAAAGAACAGGAAACATAAAATACAAAGTTTCGGGCGCGTTGGTTTTATCTTTGACACAAGAAGAACGGTACGCGTACGTCCTTCAAAAAGTACACCCTCCTGTGCTGGGTGGTGTTCCTCTCCGAAATTTTTCTTGCGGAGGTCTTCTGTTTTTCGTCATCACGGCGCCGGCGGTCCAGAAGCGAATCCAGGCCACGACTGCTTTCCGCCTCAACAGGAGGGCGCATGCTGTTGAGCGGTTCTGGAGAGTGGGTAGAAGAAGCAGCTACAGGAGCGTTTAGGTTTTGAGATGCAGATGACAGAGTGGAAAAATACAACCTCAAGCAAGAGGAGGTGGTATTTTTGAGGTTCGATCTTGCTAGAAAAAAAAGAGAGACGGTTTAGAAAGCTGATTTGGTTTTTGGGGAACGTGAGTTTCCTCTCTAAGATGACCACGACCACCCTCCATCTTCCTTCACACACTACTTGACTTTTCGTTTTGTCGTTTAGCGCTCCGCTTCTTCTGAAAGAAGAAGGAGCACGCGCATGAGACTCATGATGCCCGAGCCCGAGGAGTGCACGCGCCGGGCGCAGAGACACGAAAGCCGTGCCGGCGGCACTCCGTTACTAACTCGGTCGCAGGGGCCCCCTGTCGGTCGATGTGAGCGCGAGCCGCCCGCCGGGCGCGAGCCACCCGCCAGGCGCGGGTGGGACCAACTCCGTACAGTCATGGCGTTGAGTGGAATTGTCGGAACCTTCCCCGCCAAAGTTCTCCGGTCGTGCGAGACGCCTCCTCTAGCGTTTCAGACTGAAGCGGTGCTGCGCCGGGAAGGTGTTTCTTCAATGCGTGGACTTTTTTTTTGCGTAGAAAGTCTGACGCCGCGGTCCGGCGCCAGCGAGCGAAGCTGGGCGGGCGCGGGAGCCCGGCGCCCTGAGGGCCCATCTTGTTCCCCGCTCGCCCGGCCCCGCCCCCCAGCCCAAAAGCATGCGCCCCGGCCGCGATGGTCTGTGGCAGTGGGGCAGCGTGTCAGGCCTATTTATAGCCTTCGAGACAGAGAGCAGCCACCGGTATCGCGCGCGGTGGGCCTGCCAAGTCGGGCCGTCAACTGGATGGCGGCCGGCGCCCTCCGGAGTAGCCGTTCCAGGAAGGGGGGCGCGGCCGCGGCACTAGCACGTCCGTCCGCCGCTGAACCATAGTAGTAAGCGGCCCCCGTTTATTTCCCGTCTTTTTCTGGTGCAGTTAGGTCGTATACGTCGTACGGTATCAATCACGACCACGCAGCTTTCTGTTGTGGTCGGCAAACGGCTGTTCATACAGAGAGGCAGTCGCATTCGTGTAGGTTGATCTCTGATGAGAACAAGTGTGTAAAAAATTTTCTCAACATCGCAATCAGTATTCCGAGACGCTTTTCGCTGGTTCAGCTTTTTGCTATCGATCCCATTGTCACAGACACATCCACGGCGCTGAAGAGAGTTGCACAGTACTGATCCTGCTGGACCTTGAGTTTATTTTTCCAACGGCAGCTCACCGCTCCTTGTTGAGCTGTCCAGGTTTTGCCGTTCTTGATTCGGCTTTTATTTCCTATAAATATCTTTTTGTTTTCCCACGGAGGGCGCAGCGGCTTTTTTTAAGGCATTTTTAGTTTTCCCCTTTCGAAAGATGAAATAAAATTTTTTGTGTCAAGATGTATGTCATTGTTTTGACCTTTATTGCCTTTTTCTAGTAGTGCTGCAAATAACAAAAGTAAAAAGATGCGCGCCTTGTTCAATCTCTATTGAAGCATGGCGCGTAACAAATACAGCAAAATGAGGTGCCTCGTGACGGTGTTCCTCGGACTTGCGTCGTGGTTCCTTCCGACAGTATCCGCAGCTTCCTTGCCCATAGCTGCGAAGCCCACAACTTCTGGAAGATTCATGTTACCCGCAGGCGCAGTGGCGACAGATGATGAGGGGATAGTACTCCACGACCCGCCGCTGCATTCTGATGCTGTTTTGGCACAGCAAGAACAGCCTGGGTTTCTCGAGGAAAGAAACGATGGCGCGACTTCATCCGCTTCCCGGCAAAGCAGCCCCCCATTTGAGAAGCAAACCAGCCCAGGAGCGCAGTCTACCGCATACGATACTTGTGCTGACACGTGCAGGTCCTCTGCGTCAGCCCCTGCTTCACCACCCTCGTCTTCCCGCCCCTCGACCACTTCCTCCGCCGCAGGTGGGTCGTCCCCCTTTTCTCCGGCGGATTCTATGCCCTCGACCAGCGAAATTGCCCCTTTAACCGGGATCTATCAAATGCAAAAATGTCTGGGTCTGGAAACTTGTGATGCTGGGTGGCGTCTCATGATGAGGCTACAAATGCTGGCTCAGCATGACAAGTTTCTGAGCTCCTAGGTGTTGCCTATTCTGCATGACAAACTGCGCTTCTGCATCACAGAAAAGCGGAGCTCTTGGGTAACGTGCATGACAGATTTAAGAGTCATGCCAGACAAGCATGACAAACATGAATTCTTCCACAGACCCAGACATTTTTACAGTTGATAGGATCTCCCTCGTGACAATCGGCGGGGACAAAATTCTGGAGAACTTAACCATCCGGCTGGACCGAGTGTTTTCCAAGGACTACCAATCCCGGCGGGGGCGGAGCAGCAGGGGATCTTTCTTTTTCGGAGGAAGCGGCGCTGAAGAAATTGAAAGCCATGATGTGTATAGCGGTCCTAGCAGGGATGTCGTACAGGGTCTGCTAGACACAAGTCGAGCGGGCACGACTGCAGATCATGGGCCACATGCAGCGAGCAACTGCTACAACGCCTTTGTGCAGTTTTTGAATCAAGAAATCTACTTCTCGAAGGCAGAATTTTTGGAAAATAAGACAAAGAACAGCAATCTTCCGGGAGAAAAAAATGGAGCTGCGAACAAAAAGAACAAACATAAAGGACAGTCTGCTCCTACAACAGTGACTATCGAATTAGACTCTCTCCTCGATCCGGTCTACGATGTGATTCTCACTCCTGGAGGCGTAAATCTCGCTAAACTCTGGTCTGACCACGCAATGATTCCCGAAGACGCCGATCCGAGGTTGTTGTTTCATCTCGACGAGTTCTTGTTTAGAACAGGCCCAAAAGGTCGTGGTGGAATGCCGGTTTTATCGGACAACAGTGCTTTAACCCTGATCCGGAAACCGAAGACATTACAGAATCTCTTAACCTCCGACTACATGAATGGAAGAAATGGTATCCCACGAAAAAACTGTTTCACTGTGATGGCTTTGCAAGATTTGCATCACAAGTTTGTTACACATGACAAAGAAAACTTGGCATGCGTGCTTCCTAAGGGAAAACACAGCTAAAATTCCAATGTGTAGCAAGACAAACACACTTGCGTTCCGTTCTATGCATCACAAGTTTACAGTGAAACAGTTTTTTCTTGCGATAAGTGGGCCGCTGTACTTGCTGAAGAAGCAGCTCTACTACAGCGAGTTTTTGAAAATTCCCTCTGAAGTATGAGAGTGCACAACCCCCTCCTCCTCATTTGAATGGCATGAGCAGCAACACAAGCAACGCCAGATATGTGGCTTCCGCATGACAAATTTGGACTCGGATTGTAGTACTGTTTGAGGCTCCAAAATTTGTCACGCAAACTGTGCTCAGAAGCAAGATGCGAATTTAGTACTTTGCATTACAAATGAGGGGGGGGGAGTTGTGCACTCTCATGTGAAGCCGAGCCGGTGCAGGAGATTGACGCCGTACGCGACCCAGAAATGCGGGCGACCGCGAAACTTGTGGGGTTGAAAATGCTGGACGTTTTGGTGAAGCAGGAAATTGTGGAGGAATTGAAAAGGACAACGAGAACTTCTGGTGCAGCTGCTGCGCGGACAGGTACTAGTAGTGGCTCATCTTCGTCTTCCTTGATGTCTCCTGCACCACAAGAAGAACAACCAGCACCATCTCCCCCAGTTGCCCTCCTCGACCCGCTCCCGCAAACCGAAGGGTTGAAGCTCGACATTTTGCGGTCCGCGAGGATCGAGCAGCCGTTTTCGCGCCCGCATGCCACGTTACTGGATCCGGTGACCGATTTCGAAGAAATGCTGCAGCGGAATGTGATCGTGAAAAAGAACGCCGAAAACCTCGCTTTGCAACCGGAGCTAGTGGACAGCACGGTGGAACGGCCGAGGTGCTGGACGAGAAATTGTTTTCAACTTGTGATGAACGATTATAGGGGAGATGAGCAAGACGGAGGACAACTACACGAAGATCTTCACCTTCACGGGAATGATTATCACGATCATGATGACATCGTCGACCACGACGGGAACGAAACCCAATTTCCCGCTGAGCATCAAGGAGCTGAAATTATTGCCCAGCACTCGGAAGATGTCGCGGATCAGCCAATGGATGCCCTTCCTGGTATAGTTCGGGAAGATGCGGAGCGGCCAGACGCTGCTCAGCAAGAAGCTGGAGCTGTACCAGGAGACCCGACGCTACATCTACAGCTGCATCATCAAATTGCTGCTGTCCCCTACCCCGCTGTTTACCGTCCAGTTGCGGTTGCGCGCCAACATCCCGCGGCTCTGAACGGAGACGTCCTCGAGGCCCAGGATGTTGTGATGCAGCAAGGCGATGATCTTGATCCTCACCCGGCACAAGAAGTGCAAATGGAGGTGGTGGAGCTGCAACAGGAGGAGCAGCATGATCCTGATGTACAACGTCCACAGCCGGAGCAACAGGTGTTCCTCCAACATCACCAAATCCATGAGCAAGAATGGCATTACGACGCTCGTCGGGAAGAAGCCCAGTCCGTCCTCGCCGTCGACTTCGCAGCCCTGGAACTTGAACTAGCCGCGCACGAAATTAACAGGAAAAAATCCCTCGCGAGCCACAGATTCACCGCAGAGACCCTGCTGCGTTTGTTGGACGCGCAGCAAGAGGCGACGTGTGGGATTAGGTGTTTGAATCATGTTGCCTCTGGATCAACAACTACATCGGGAACGACGACCAAATTGGTGCATACGTACCGTGCGAATAAACCTGAAGAACAAGGACCAGTTTCGACGGATGGCGCAGTAGCAGGAGCCACAACAGGAGCACCACGATTGCAATTGCTGGTGAAAAAAGCTCCTTCTGACCAGGATGATCCTGAAATAGCGGGAAGCAATGCAAAACCAAGTAGCAGCTCCGCGTCGTCCGGTCGTGCAGCAGTTCTTCCTCGTCATCTTCGCGAGGACTATCACATCGAGATCTTTACCAAGCGGTCAGATCTGAATGAAGACCAGCCCTACGTATGGCTTTCGGTGGCCTTCTACCCGGCGAGACAACGACCGCGACGACATCAATATCAAATGTAAAAATGTCTGGGTCTGGAAACTTGTGATGCTGGGTGGCGTCGCATGATGAGGCCACAAATGCTGGCTCAGCATGACAAGTTTCTGAGCTTCTAGGTGTTGCCTATTCTGCATGACAGACTGCGTTTCTGCATCACAGAAAAATGGGTCTCTTGGGTGACGTGCATGACAGATTTAAGATTCAGTCATGCCAGACAAGCATGACAAACATGCATTCTTCCAGACCCAGACACTTTTACATTTGATAATCAAGGGGCTAGTACAACTTCATCAAAATTTAGATCTACAACCATAGGCGAAGATGAAGATGATGTTGGTATTTCAGAACTAGTACACCAAGATGAACAACTACCTCCGACCGGCGCCAACCTCCTAGAGGAAGAGAAAAGGAGAAAACTGCTGCAGCGGGTCGACTTGCGGTTCGAGTTAGAGACGAGTGTTGGTGGTGAAGCTTCGTCAAATAATCCGCCACAACCAAATTTTTATTACGAAATGTACAATTACGACTTCGATGACGACGGGTACTACCAGGAACATCTTGTCCAGCAGAACAATGGCCAGCACATGCAGCACAACACTTTCGGTCACATGCAGTTCATATGGATTGTAAAAATGTCTGGGTCTGGAAGATTGAAACTTGTCATGCTGATTTTGCACTCTAAAAAAATTTGTATTGCATGACCAGAAAGAGGGGTCCGGTTTGTGCTACACGGACAGGGCATTTCTCATGCGAAAGGTGCATCAGGAAGGGTTCTAAAAATCTGCAATGCTAGGGCATACATCACAGACTATCATGGGTCATGAGAAATATGCATGACAAATCTTGCATTCTTCCAGACCCAGACACTTTTACAGTTGATAGTTCAAGAAGCCACTAAACAGACCGCCGTACGGCTTACGCGGCGTCGTGCAATCAGAAGAACACACAGGAATAGTCACCATGGTACGCAACACAAAGTCCGAGGACGTGTTGCTCCGGGATGTTTCTGTCTTCTTTTCCGCGGTGGTGCTGAATAACAATTGGGTCCCGAAGCACGTGACGCTCGATCGGGAGTGGCATTTGTTCTACGAGCATCAATACCAAATGCAAATATGTCTGGATCTCGAAAGAACTTGTAATGCTAGGCCGTGAAAAATGAATGCTCTGTAATGCGCAGCGAAGCATGAGAAATAGTTGCGCAGCTACGTATTGCCCATCCCGCATGACAAACTGGTTTTTGGATGACAAACAAAAGGACCTCGTCGTCGTGGACACGCATCACAAGCTCTACAGTCATGTCAGACAAGCATGACAAACTGGTATTGTTCCAGACCCTGACTACATATTTGCTATGCATAATCAAATTGGAGCGGAGAAACAGGACAGCGACAGTGAGGACGCAGAAGACGATAGTTTGCTGGACTGGGTTGGCACCGGGGGAAATTGTTCATCACACGGAGCTAGTACATCACACATGCAAGGTCATCTACTTGAGGTTGCTCCACCACGACCTGGAAGTGGTGTGAATAGTACAGGAGGTTTATTTCTCGCACCTAGTTCATCATCAACACACGGTGTAGTCGATATGATTACGGAACAAGTCGAACTTGATGAAAAAGCAATATCCGCGAAGAAGAACTTCTCCCCCCAAGTTCACGCCCGGTGCGTTGCCGCTCACATGAGAGCGGTCACTTTACCGCCACCGGATGCGGCCTTGCGGGTTGGAGGTGCAGGGCGGGACGTCGGGCACAGGTTTTTGGTGCCTGGGCCGGGAACCATGCGAGCAGGGGACATTGCGGTGTACTGGTGAGAAGGTATGGACAATGGTGATGCTCATATCTGATGTAGTTTCTGGGCTGCACCAAGTTACGTCTTCAACAAAATTATTCCGAGAATATAGAAGCTCGAGTTGTTTCAATTTTGTTTCCCTCAGTCACTCCTGTAAGTCGATCTGTCGCTGGTCAAATACAGCTGCAAGAAAGGTCATGCGACTCGGCACTGGCGGGTCGGGCTTGGTGGGGTTGCGTTTTCCTTTTTATCATTTCTCGCATGTCATGATAGCGACATTCTGAAATTTTGGCTGTTGAAATATTTTTGCTATGAGCAGAACACAAATCAACCTTGTCAAACTAACATCGTGGTCCCTCGTTGTTTCGAAGAGATCATTTTGTGCCACTGATAATTTTCATTCTATCGAGGCGGAAATCGAAAACGGCCGTCGGCCTGCCACCGAGGCGACTGCGGAAGACAGTTGTACTAGACTTGGTGCACGATAGGCTCTACTTTGTAGCACACCCGGTTTATTAAGTACTTCTGCATGTTGACCTGGACACCGCCACACGCAAATCATAGCGAGGATCGGCGTTACTGCAAAAACAATGCCTCGGAGGAGTATCTTCTTTTGGTCTTCGCAAGCAAACAACTTAGGTTCATAGACGCTGAAAATTATGCTGAAAATTGTTCTACATGAAAAAGATTGCCTGTTCGTTGTTTCGATATAGTCCGGCGTTTCAAAGTGATCATGAGCACATACAATCCGATCGAACATAGGCCTAGTACAGAACACGCAGCGATGTCCTATCAGCTGCGCGACTGAAAAATCGATTTTTCTGGAAAAGTGTCCTGCGGCTCCGTATAAGAACCTAGTGACTCATCTAAATTCAGAAGAAGGATCTGCTTTATTTTGGTCTCCCGATGTTGGTTAAGCGAGTAGAGTTCCTCTCGAACCATATCATGAGGATCCGCGAATGTTTTTCCCGTTCTAACATTGTGTTTTGAGCTAGACCCACGAAGTTTATGGTTTCGCTTTTGAAACAAAATCTTTTCTTTCACGACAGGCCGAATTGGTGTACTTGTAATTATACACGTGATATTAAATCGTCCTTGTGGTTTTTTAGGTGCGCAAACTCTACGGGTTTAGTTGTTCTACAGTAGTTTTATCAGAGCTGCGCTAGTGACACTTTTTAGTTTTACGACTTTGCTGTTTGACGACTTTATTGTTTTCGCAACCTAACAAGTTCTTCTTCATTCCCAACAACCCTCTTCCAAAATGGCGGACCGAAAGACGAAGATGCAAACCTGGATCGACTACCGGGTAAGGGTGACGACAAACGAAAAAGACCGCAGGGTGCTGGTGGGAACATTCCTGGCGTTTGACAAGTATAAGAAAGTTTTTGCCCTCTCTGATCTTGGTGCCGGTTATGGACTATCTGCAATACAGATCTTGTTTTGCTGCTCTTGTTGCATGCGAAATCATACTTATTTTGCCTCGTGCAAGGCAACTTCTTGTTCCCATGACACATATAAACTCGCTGTACATCAGGTACATGAACATGGTACTTGGCGAAACAGAAGAATTCCGCAAAGTCAAACACAAGGCCTCCGGTGAGGAGAGAGAAGTAAAGCGAGTAATCGGATTGGTGGTGTTACGAGGAGATACGGTAAGAATCATGTATCGTTGATGTTGCGTTTCTTGTATGACAAAATCAAATTTTGCATCATGATCATGTAAAGCAGTCTGCTGACAAATACACTTGTATGTGTGTATGAAAAAAATCTCATCTATGTATCAATATCAGGTCATGTCGATGACGGCGGAGGCACCTCCTGCGCACTTGGTAAAATCGACACAACACACTGCCGGCCCCGGTCGAGCAGCGGTCGCGGGTCGCGGTGGCGGCAACGCGCTTGCCATGAATAAGATGGGTATGGGCCTGCAAGCACCCACTCGCGGGGTCGGAGGACCGAATCAGTCCCAAATGCAACCGCGGGGCTTGAGACCGCCGGGGATGCCGCAGTGAGGAGGAGGAGATAAGAGGATTTGAAGTTGTGGATCACCAACGACTGTATCACCACATCAACCGCATTTACTTGAGTGCTTCTTCACAGAGGTGGAAGAAGAATGTGGGCAAGAATGCGATGAGACAACAGGACCACACCTGGTGGTTGGTTTCTCGTCTCAATCTATCGCACAAATGAAGCAAACGCTAAAATGAAGGGGGCGGAAGATCAAGTGAACGCTTGCTATCAAACACATTAGATTTTACGCGCAAACATCGCATAGCCATCTTCATTTGAGATACACATCGACACTGCCGTGATGAACCTTCTTCCTAGAAGTAAAACGAAAACCACCCCGCTTTTCCAATAATTTTTGACAAAAACAATAAAGCCGGCTCGTTGACAGCCTTCAGCCGCGCTTTTTATCTCCTATTTTCCCGCCAGCTGCATCAAAACTGTCGTTTTTTCGTTAAATTCCAATGTCGAGGAGAAGTGTTGTTTCTTTTCTCTTCCTCGCAAAAGTGAGAGAATTTTTGCACCACGCCCTACGAGCGCAAAAATGATTGACTTTGAATTCGGGGCGATTTGAGGGAGAAAAAAATCGTATTAAAGGTGTTTGTTGTTGTTCGCACCTGTGAGCGACATCGTTTTTAGTGAATCACTTATAAGTTGTAAATCAGAAATTATATCAGGGTAAGGTGGAACTTGACAGCACTTCACTTCGAGAACAACAAAGCGTGCGTTTTCACATTCTGCTGAAGCACAAGCAGCAAAAATCGTACAACTAAAAATGCCAACCGCCTTCGCGACCCGGGGCCGCATCCAGGCCCCGACGCAGCTGAACAGCACTTCTCCACTAGATCCCATGCAGGCAAAACGGGCACTGAATTTGATCCAGTCACAGAAGCGGAAGCGGAAAGGCAGCAATGGGTCAAGCCTCTACTCCTCTACCATGTCAACCCGGGCGCCAATCTATGAGAGTCCACAACCCCCCCTCTCCCTCATTTGTATCGGATAAGCAGCAATACAAACACCAGCACACGTGGAGCCTGTGCGTGGCAAATGCACGCGCCTAGTGTAGTACTGTTTGGGCTTCCGGAATCTGTCATGCCGAGAGTGCCACAAAGCAGCGCTTGGGTTTGGGGTTTCGCATGACAAACGAGGGGGAGGGGAGTTGTGCACTCGCATACGATCGGGATGAATAGCAGCTCCTTCAACGACACAGACTACCAGGACATGTCGATCTATGAGAACAGTTACAGCCAAAACGAAGACAACTTAATTCACAACCCGAACTCTTCCACTTTTTCCCTTCTCGCGAACAGCACCGCTCTTCCTCCCTTGAAGAACATCGGGAAAAATTTCTACAAATCCAGGTCGAAAAACAACAATTTGGATTCCTGGGAAATCATGAATACGCGGGCAGCCCGGGCGAGTCAGATCGAAAAGGAGAAAGAGGAGGAGAGGCAACGGAAGGAGAAAGAAGCGAAAAAGAATAACCTAAAGCCGGTCCTTCCCTTCTACAAGAAAAACAAAAACAAATCGCAACTAGACGCTTTTTTAACCGGTATCGATGCGGAGATCGAGGGGCTGGAAATGTTTGAAAACGGGGATAATACTAAACAGAAATCGAAGCACTCGAAGGTTTTGAACCACATGCTTGTGGAGCGGAGGAAAGCGGAGGAGTTGGTGAACGCGGCAGAAATTTCGAAACAGAGATTATTCGCGAAAGAACCGCCGGAATATTTATCCGAGCCGGGAATGAGTGACGATGGTGATCCGGACATCCACGATTTACCAGCTATCAAATGCAAATACGTCGGGGTCTGGAAACCTGTGATGCTGAAATGCGCATGAGTGAAACGGTTGCAATGGCAGCCAAGCATGACAGGTTTTTTGAACGCTTTCTGATGCCTAGCACGCATTACGAATTGTATTTCTGCATGACAAAGCAAGCTGCTCTTTTGCTGCTCGTGCAACACAGGTTTTTCAGGAATGCAAGATATGCATTACAAAGTCCAGCTTTCCATTCCCAGACACATTTGCAATGCATACCCGCGTTCAACACACGACAAGTGCCCGATGACTTCCTCGAGCTGGAGAAAAACCCACCGAAGGACTTGAGTTACCCGGTCGGGTTAACCCACGAACCGAGTGTGAACGAAATGGGTATATCAAATGTAAAAAAGTCTTGGTCTGGAAAGTTGGAACTTGTAATGCTAGCTTTCCATTCCTGGGAAATCTGTATTGCGTAAGAACCGACAAAAGCCGCAGCCATTTTTGTCATGCAAAAACGCAGTTTCTCATGCGGGCTGCCTATGAGACAGAGCTCCGGAAAGTTGTCATGCTGGTCTGCATTCGGAAGTGTTTCCATCATGCACATTTTAGCATCACAAGTCTCCAGACCCAGACATATTTGCATTTGATAGAACAAGTTCGTTGACGATCCGTTTCTCACCGTGGCGAAAAAGTGGAAGATGGGTATGGATTGCAAAAATGTCTGGGTCTGGAAGAATGCCAGACTTGTGATGCAGGTTTTGCATGACGTGTGAGGTCTGTGATGCATGCCTCAGCATCACAGATTCTGTGAGACCTTTACTATGCCTTTTCCGCATGACAAACTGCCTCTACTCGGCCTTCTCAAAAGTGAACAGCTTTATTCGTAATCATGCAACACAGATTTTTGTATGATTCAGATGTAGCATGACAAGTTGCACTTTTCCAGACCCAGACATTTTTACAGTTGATAATGGGAGAAGTAGAACAACAGTACGGATGTAGTGCTTCTGCCGCGAGGAAAGCTTCGAAATCTGGTACAACTTCTACGTCGAATAAAGGCGGTAGTAGCAGTGGCACCGGTAGCAATACAAGGTCGAGCTCGAAAGCTTCTGCGTCTAATTCTTCCCGAAGAAGAAGCAAATCCGACAGTTTGGTTACTGACAGTGTGATGACAAACCAATTAGACCAGGACAATTCGATCGACTATGATAAGGAGTTCTCCTTCCAACAGTCACTCAGCGGATCCACCGCGGCGATTAGGCGGAGCAACAGGGCACCTCCAGGGGGATCTTCAAACAGAGCACCCCCTTTGCAGAGGAGTAAATCGAAATCGAGTTCTTCCTCAAGCACTAGCAAATCTTCGAAATCATCATCGTCGAAGCGGGCCAAGTATGCACTGCAAGAGTATCGTACTAGTATAAATCGCATCACAAATTTGGGAAGCATGAAGTAGAATTGAATTTGCAAAAATGCCGATTCGCGTAAAAAGGTAGATCTGTCATGCATGATTTCGATTAGTACGAGCGCGATGCTTTTGCAGTGCATACAAAGATGACAGATCTAGTGGAGGAAAACAACAACCTCGCTGCGAATCTTGAGGACATCTTTGAAGTCAGCGACCTCTGCGACGGATACCGGCACATGAGAGAACCTGGGCCGCCGGGTGGAGTAGAAGACGCTTTCGTCGACCATTTCCCGATGTCGCATACGACAGACGAGGAGACCATAGCGAGCACCGACCACCAGTCTATGGCGAGCACCATGGTGCCACCGACTGAGCACGATCATCCGAACTCGAGGTCATCCGGCGGAAACCGAAGGAGTCCTCACGATCTACCATCAAGAATACAGCAGAGGAGTAAAAAACCTTCAAAACCAAGTAAGCCAACGGCGGAAAACCTCTATGAAGAAGAGCAGCAGATCGTAGAGCCCGACGGGGGGCCTTCTAGAGGGAAGAAAAAGAAACCACATGCACCGTCGGCGACGCAGCGCCAGCGGTTTCACGAGGTATAAAAAATCTTCTCTGCTTCCTCTCATTCTGTGCAATCACGATCGAATGAAGTCGTGCATGACAAACCGCACATTCTCACTTGAACAAACCCCCAAGAACATCCACCTTTCTCTATCAGGCCTGCCGTTTTGGCAACGTGAACGTCGTGCGCATTCTCCTCCACGAGCTCACGCAACATTTGAAAGTGGAGCAGTACGCCGAGGTCGCCTCAAATTCTACTGCGATCTTCTCCGGGATTCAAGCGCAGAAGGCGTATCAGGTGGTAGAATTCCTGCTGAAAAACGGCTTCAACCCGAACGCGAGGAACCACGGCATTGGGGAAACGCCCTTGATCTACCTCATAAAGCACAAAATCTATGCATTGCAAAAGTGTCGTGCTTATGTTGTACTGATTGCGTCTGTGCATGACAAACCAATGTGCTCTTTGGTCTGTTTGCATGACAAATTTCACTTTTCCATTTGAGCATTATGAATAAATTTGTGATGCAGTAGTTTCTGCTAGAACGATACAGATACTTTTGCCATGCACAAGATCCGGCACGGAACGAACTCCGCCTGGGTGCAGGAAAAAGATTCGGTTGGGTTGATCAAACTCTTGGTGGAGTTCCGCGCAGAGGTCAACACTCGAGAATCGGGAATGCAGCGGACAGCGCTCTGGTGGGCCGCGAAATATAACAACAAGGTATAGAAGTGACATTGCTTTATTCTGTCTCTGTCATGCATCTTTTCCTTTTGGTTTTGCATAACACAGCTATGAGTCTCGTTCGCACCATGCATTTTGTCTTCCAAGAACGCATAAACACCAAAATCAACCCAGCCCGCCGTGTCCCTCCTCCTCCAGCTCCGAGCAGATCCGAGGATCCCCGACAAAAAAACCGTGATCCCCTCCGACTGCACGACGAATCAAGACGTGGATTTGGTTTTGCAAAGGGCATTAACCCAGTGGAACACCAACCCATACCTCATCGATAACCCGGAAATTCAAAAACCAAACATCATCAGTTACGAGGATGATGAGAACGAATTGACGATCGACGACGACGAAATAAACAACCCCGGGTCTTTGTTTAGCAAACAGCGAACTGCGGCTATCGCTTCGGCTTTTGACGCGGAGGGGGAGCGGATGCTACGGGAGAGGAAAAATTTGAAGCAGCTGTGGGACAAGAAAGGGATCAAGGTACTGCTACTGTGATGCCGCATATGCATGACAGAACGCGTTTCACATGCATGTCTATGCATGAGAGATTTTCAAAAGCAACAAATCACCTTACTATCACAGATCGTCGACTTCCCGGAGTCCGCGCCCATTGGCATCTTCAAAGTCGGCGACGAAGAAACCCTATGCATTGCAAATATGTCTGGGTCTGAAAGATTGCCAGGTTTGTCATGCATATTCTGCGTGACCCATGACGCCTATAATGCATGACCTAGCATCAAAGAACTTTACGGGGCTTCCTGATGCCCATACCGCATGAGAAATGTCCCTTCCATGTTGTAAAACCTGGACCTCTATCGCTGTTCATGCAGTACAGATTTTATGCACAATCGAAAGACAGCATCACAAGTTGAATCCTTCCAGACCCAGACGTATTTGCAGTTGATAAACCCTCTGCACCGTGGAGATCACGAAGGGAAAATTTGTCGTGCGCGGCCCGACGGGCGAGGTGGTCGTGGATAGGAGGACGAAGAACGTGCGCAAAGACGACGTCAGTCGTTTGCGGTCGTTGTCAAATTTGAGTGACAACTTCTTGGAACTGTGATTTTTCTTCTGGACAACTAGAGGTGGGTCAATAGTGGAGGTCTTGGTCTAGTGTTGTGTCTGCAGGATGATCGACTTGGAAAGAAGAAGAACAAGAAGCAAAGAGCATTGACACTCCACGCAAGAAGCTTTTTGCCAACCAAGCCTATCGGGTGTTGTTCTTCTTCTTCTATCTACAAGTACTACCTTTTGTGCTGCTAGTACTACGTACAGCGAACTACTCATATATCGTCGAAACCAAACCGAGAAGGGAAAAGAGAGGGGCGTTAAACGGAAATCGGCCATGCAAAAGTGATGTGAGCACGCGACAGTTACAGTGATGTGGAGGTTGACGGTCATCAAAATTTCGCGAATAAAATTCGCCATCAAATACTAGATACGCACCAGCACACCCATAGATTGCTGGTAACTTTAGATAACATCCAACTGCTCCAAAAAAACTTCCACCAAAAAAAAAGTAGCTGTAGAAAATGCTGATATTACAACAGAGCCTTGCCATGACTTGAAAGCTGAACTGTTAAAGCTACGAAAATCCACACGAGATGTCCGACAAGGCGGTCGTCGACTTCTACGATCCACGCACCTGTTTCTGCCGGTTTTTCTGTCCAACTCTGGCAATCTGGGCCTGGCAGGGTTGCGATGACCCGGCTGCCATCATCATCAGCGCGTTTCTCTGTACCAACTGCGCGGCCGGCTGGCTTTACAGTCTCCTCCTCTGGTCCCCCGGCCCGCAGAAAATTTTCGCGGTGGAAACAACAGATGAGCCCAAGTACCTCTGCTGCTTCTGCCACCCGAAAGACCAGTGTTGCCGGTTTTGGTTTCCGGTTGTTGCGGTTTTTACCTGGCAGGGATGTGACGGCATTGTCGACCTGTTCTGCGCGGTTTCCTCCGGTATCGTTCCGTTCCTCGGCAACTTCTACGTGTGCCTACTGTGGGGGCCGGGAGATAGTCAGAAGATGTGGGGCGGGGAAGCGGTGGTCGGGGCGCCGGTGGTGGCGAGTACTAATTACGGGGCGACAGAGGAGGCGAAGTGAGGAAAATGGCTGTTGTTGATGTCAGTTGTCCTACTATAGTTGGTGAGGAAAAATAGTTGTACTGGCAAGCCTGTTCCTCGAAATGATAAAATTTAGCACTTTTTTTGTTCAACCTTCAAAATGTTTTGTTTCTCGAAAATAAGTCTCTGTTTCGCTAGTAAATAAGTGTGTTTCCTAGAAAAGCTGGAGCTGGCCACCTGCAGGGGCAACTATGTTGCGCGTACACGAGTACGCTAACAAATGAATGAGTTACAGTTTCAGAAGTAAAAATTTTAGCCTGAATAACGAAAAGTAAAATTGCAATTTCTAAATGCAGTGATAGGGCGGCGCGAGAAAGGCTTTCCCTTTCGCGTCTCCATTTGGCGCCACTCTGGGTACTGCTGTTGTACTTTTATTTCGGTTTGTGAAGAACAAGATTGGGATCATTCGTCCTGAGCATTGAGTGCGTTGCTTGTTTTAACTTTTCGAATTTCATCGGTATTTCGAACGGTCAACCTCCTCTGCTCGGTGTCGCCGATCCACGGTCCATAAGCATCTGATGAGGATGATAATAGTCGGCTTTGGTCTTCCACGAGAGATGTAAGAAACTCGTTCGTATGCGACATAAATGGATATTGGCACAAGCTCTCAGTGTGATCTGTGACCAAATCATTTGCGACAATTCGGGCGCGTGCAAACGCATCGTGGTTCGTAGAGCTCGTCTATGGCAAGCTACCTCAGAAGTTTAAAGCCACAACTACTCTTTTACTGTTTCAGCCGCAAACTAATATCCGCGTGACCCCCTGGCTTCCGTCCTCGGCCGTACGCTGCGATATTTTGACCGGCAAACTTTTGCTGTGCAAGAGGGAAACGAGCCGGAAAATTTTTCACAATAGGTAACCAACAGAGTCTAGATTTCCAGAGTTTCATTTTTCAGCACTCTCATATTAATTTATCAAATTTTGTCTGTCCTCTGCCGTTGCGTGTCTCGCGACAAAAAAAATGGCACTCGCTCCGGGATCAACAGCGTTCCTGAGTGCCAACGACCTCAGTCACGCGGGTGACATCTTGGCGAAAGAAAACGGCGTAGCGCATAGGCACGCCAGTGGCCTTTTTGTCAATAGAGCCGAGTGCGGGGTCAGCAGCTTGCCCCGGGTGATCCAGACGCACCAGGACGTGAAGTCGTTGTGCGCAACCGTGGCGAATCTAGACATGGCGATTGCGAATCTGAGCCAGGCGATTGATCCAAGTGCCGTAAGCTTGAAGCTCCAGGAAACTGCAGTGAACGTAGAAACGACGGCATCAAAAGGAAAAATCCCCCCTCCCCATATCAAAACGAAGTTTCTGATGCTGGATTTCCGTACCCAAATGCGCGCTGTCTTGCAATAAGGCATCGCAGCCAGATCCTCAGCCTAGGCACTGGCGCTTGGCTCTAGTTGTTTAGCATTACAAACGGCGGCCCCCTAGGCCCAGCGGCATGATAAATCGCTTCCATAATGGGGCGGAAGCTTCTGCCCTTGTCTTCTCGCAAGACAGACAGGAATTGTGGTCACGAATCTGCATCACAAATTATCGGCAGCATACCTTTTCGATATGGGGAGGGGGGATTTTTCCTCTCAATAGACGGCGCTCCGCATCGGCGGGTTGGAAGCGGGGCTGGGGAGCGTGGCAGAGGCGGCCACGGCGGGGAACCAGTTGGTGGAGAAGCTCAACAAGCTCGTATTGTGAGGAAAAACGTTTCCGCCCCAGAGTCAAGATAGAAATTTTGCAACACAAAGCTGAAAGTTTTGCGAGTCACGCATGACAAGTTGCAGGTTGTAGTTTAATGCAGTTTAGCAAGGGAATCCGCATAACACATCCATCTCCTCATCCTGTTTACAGCATTACAAGTTCCAGAACACGATTGGAATTGCCTCTCTTGGGAATGCGCATCGCAAATGCTCCTGTGCTTGCTAATGTGCATGACAACTTTGGTGTGGGGACGTTTTGAAAAAGGATAGCTCGAGGCGAAGATGGACGCGAAGATGGATGCAATCTATCAAATGTAAAAATGTCTGGGTCTGGAAGATTGCCAGGCTTGTCATGCACATTTTGCATGACTCCTGATGTCTGTGATGCATGCCCTAGCGTCACAGATTTTGTGAGGGCTTCCTGATGCCTATACCGCTACCGCATGACAAATGCTCTTTCCGTGTAGCAAAACTTGGACTCTCTTTGCTGCTCATGCAATACAGATTTATTTTAGAAGCCAAAATCAGCATGACTAGTTGGATTCTTCCAGACCCAGGCATTTTTACAGTTGACACAATCCAGGCGGAACTGAAAGAAACGAAGGCACGGGTGGCACAAGTAGACAAAGAAATGTGCCGCTGCGTCATTATGTAACGGGAACGAATTCGCTAGTACAACTGTGTGTTTGCTAGAAAAGCTAAAGCTGCAGAGGCAACTATATTGCGCGTGCACGAGTACGCTAACAAATGAATGAGTTACAGTTTCAGAAGTAATTTTAGCCTCAATAGCGAAAAGTGAAATTTGAATTTCTAACATGTAATTGCAGCAGACAGAAAAGCGTACTCCTGCCACGCTGGTTGGTGACTTTTTGTTCTTGAAGGCGTGCGAGAGGGTCCGTTCCCCGTGCCTGCGCACGAAAAGAAAGAGCTATGCTGATGATCAAAAGGAGGTTTGTTCAGCGATCCTTTCCTTGTGAAGCTCATGACCCTTCTTGCGGGGCATCACAAACATAAGAAGTTCGTTTCGAAGGCTACTTTGATGATCTCGACCAGACCACAGTTCTCAGCCCCTCAGACAACGAAAGAAATAATTCATTTCACCGTTCTTGATCAGCATCAGTCTTTATTTCTCGTTCCAATATCTTTGCCCAGCCCGAGCTTTCCGCCAGAGAGCCTTATGACCGTTTAATTTTGTTTATCTTCATCACACACGGGTGGTCTTCAAAATAAAGATTGAGATCACTATCGACACAAAAATGGCAACAGCAATCACGATTTGCTCAGGCGGTCCGGTCAGGATGATCGGGCTAGAACGCGGCGGAAGTTGTTGTGCAGCAAGCTTGTTGAAGCTGCATATAGCACCGTGCCTCACCGGAACGTCGGCAGCTGCTTCATCAACTACCAAGTGCAAAAATGTCTGGGTCTGGAAGAATGCAACTTGTGATGCTGCATTTGGATTCCAAAAAAATCTGTATTGCATGAGTACCAAAGGGAATGTAATTTTTGCTACGCGGAGAGGGCATTTGTAATGCGGAATAGGCATCAAGAAGCTCTCAAAAAATCTGTGATGCTAGGGCATGCATCACAGACATCAGGGCTCATGCAAAACGAGCATGACAAGTGTCAGAATCTTCCAGACCCAGACACTTTTACAGTTGATATCAACCTCAACAAAGCAGCATCGTCCCCGCTGGACCAATCATCCGAGGTTCTTTTCCACAGCAACAGGGACTTCTACCGAAAAACATCAAGCTGCGTCCGCAACAGCGACATCAGGAGCTGCTGCTGACCACGCCGCTTCAAAAAATGCCAAAACCGTTGCCATTGTCGGTTCCGGGCCGGCTGGTTTCTACACAGCGAAATTTTTGTTGCGGAGAAATACTCCTGCTGCTGCACCTGGTTCTACGAACAAGGGCAAGGAAGGAAACACTGCAAGTAGTGACCGCATGATTAAACCACAAATCAACATCCACATGTTTGACCAGTTCCCCACTCCTTTTGGCCTAGTCCGTTACGGCGTCGCTCCAGATCACCCGGAGGTGAAGAACGTGATCAATGATTTCGAGGAGGTCGTTGAGAAAAATAAGCAGCATTTCAAGTATTTCGGAAACGTGTGGGTCGGAGATATGTTGAGAACTTCTCATGCGAAAACCAAAACAGCAATAAATCGAGAAGATTTCTCATGCGAGAGAACTGGGAACACAAAAGACAACGGCGCTCCTGATGACTTCAACGTGATCCAAAATACTTTAGTTTCGATCTTCGATCGGGTGTACACGACTTTTTTCCCCTCTTCCACCGATCATGCGGCGAAATCCTCTACCTCCTCTGAGAGTTCAACAATTACAGGCACCTCAGCAACTCCTTCCAGCGCTGCGAATAAGATAAACCCGCATGACAACAAAGACAAACTCGTCCTCCCCTTGTCTCAACTGAGAGAAAACTACGACGCCGTGGTATTAGCGACGGGCGCGCAGTTTGGAAAGACCAGCATACCGGGTAGTGTCGACGCCTACAGTTTTGTGCAGGAGTACAACGGATTTCCTGTGGAAAGTGAGTCCACCTCGGAAAAATCGCCAGTACCTCCAACTGCATCTTCTTCTTCTTCACAAAAAATCGGCAGTAAAATCGTGATCAACGGACTGGGCAACGTCGCCCTAGACGTCGCGCGAATGTTGCTATCCCCCAAAGCACCACAAGTAATTCACTCCGATATCATTGAGGAAACCCGGGACGCGATTGAGAAGTCGAATGTTGCGCACGTTATCATCACGGGAAGAAGAGGTGCGGTGCAGAACCAATTCGGCACGAAGGAATTACGGGAGTTATTACACGCGGATCCTTCGCTTTTCACGACGGTGATTGATCCTGTTGACTTCCAAAATTCAATGGATGAGACTTCGAAGCAAGAGTTGGGAAAATCCAAGATGAAACAGCGGCAGATGAAAATTTTGGAGGAAATGGTGAAAAACTGGGAAAGCTTGTCGGTAAAGGACTCGGAACCGGTCGGAACGAGGGAAAAGCCGATTTTGCAGTTGAAGTTTTTAACGCAGCCGGTGGATTTTGATATATGGATTGCAAATATGTCTGAGTCTGGAAGCTGGCAACTTGTCATGGTAAATCTGAAGCATGCGAAAATCTGTGTTGCATGAGTGCCAAAAGCTTTTCACTTTTGACCAAGTTGGGAGGGAGTTTCTCATGCAGGATAGGCATGGCAGAGACCTCACAGAGTCTGTCATGCTAGGTCCCGCATTCCAGACCTCATGGGTCATGGAAAATCTGCATGACGAGTTTACATTCTTCCAGACCCAGACACTTTTACATTTGATATGATAAGAGCAAAAACGAATTGAAATACTTGAAAACGAAGTTGGTGGTAAAAGAGATGGAAACAACATCTGATCCAGCTGTTGTGAAGGCGGTTCCTGCAAGTGACGAATTGGTGTTGAAAGGCGTGGATAGGGTGTTCGAGTCGGTCGGGTTCGGATTTGAACCCTTCGACAAGGAGTTGGTGCCGTACCATGTCAACACTGCAGCTACCGTTTCTGAGGAGAAAAGTAGTGTTGAGCAGGATACAACACGAGTAGGGGCTGATGTTGCAGCCGTCGCAGAAGTCCCACCACGCCCATTAGATCTCGGCCCGTTAAAGAACAACAAGGGTCATGTTTTTGACAACGTTTTCTGCGCCGGGTGGTTGAAACGGGGACCGAGAGGCACGATCGCGTCCAACGTACCTGATGCGGCGGAAACAAGTGGGCATGTGCTGGCGTATTTAGATAGAAATGAAACAACTGCAACATCTTCCCGCATGACAAAAACAGGTCCAGTTCATCCTGCAGAAGCATCACAAGTTGGTACCAGCATGGTAGATGGACCGGTAACTGACTTCGACGATTGGCTGAGGTTGAAGGCAGTGGAAGAGGAAGAGGGGAAAAAAGTGGAGAAACTAGCCGTGAAAATCACTTCCATTGCAGAAATGATGGAAAAAATCAGGATGAAAGCTTGAGTCGATCTCGATCCTTGCTAGACGTGCTCAAAAAGAAAATTGAATTGCTTGTGTAGTTGTGTACACAGAAAAATACCTGTTCTTGACGATGAGAAAAATCCTGTTGCTCTGACGTCTGGATGAAAGAATGAACGCACGATCTTTTTCAGTGTTCCGCGGCACCAAATTTGTCTGAAAGATCGTTCGTAAGGTAATTTCTGCGAACTAGACGACGATCGCGAAGCTGGAGGACGGAATAGCGACGCGCGCCACGATTGTACTAGCCGAGAACTTTTTTCATTGTCCCCCTTTAGTTGTGTTTGGGCTGGCTCATAGAGCGCCGGCGTGCGTTGGCATAAGAATAGCCGCGCCCGCTTGCCGGCGCCGTGTCCGTCGTGCCGGGGCCGCGCCCAGTGCGAGGGCTGTGCCGCGTGCGCTTTCCTAGCGCCGGGCCGCCGCGGCGGCGCCGCGCGCCGGCCTTGCCGTGTCGACAGGTGGCAGTCGCCAGCCTGCCGGGTGCGGCCCGCGGTAACCAAGCAGGCAGACCCTCGGGGCGCCTCGTCTGACGGCGCCGACGAGAAAGCACAAGGAAGCGGCATAGGGTGAAAGGCCGGCGCCGGGAAGGGTTGCGTGGGCTCCCAGCGCCGCCGGGCCCAGGAGGCATGGATGGACGCAAGCCCGGCGCCGCGAAAAACGGTGGGGGCCCGCACTCCCTAAACAAACCAACGGAGAAACTCCTGCCGGCCGGCGATAATAGGCGGCGGCCATGGATGTTGGAGGGCGGCCGTATATTTGTGGCCCGGCCGCAGTCGGCGTCGGCCGGGGGCCCGGCTGTTGCCTTCGGTGGCGCCGCCGCACGCTAGCCGGCCGCGCGGGCGCAGTGCCAGTCGGCATCTTTTACCGAGAAGGCCCGGCGGCAGATGCGGCCGCCACACCGCTACGCCAACACGGTTGACGCGGGCGCCGCAGCCTTGTGGAGGATGGGCGGCCGCAGCTTTCCAAAGGGGCGCCGCTTGCCGCTTGGTCGGGCGGGCTCTGGAGGTGCCTTCCCTCGTGCGTAGCGGCGCAGTTGTTGCGCCCATCGGCCCGGGGGGGTGTGTCGCCTGGGGCCGCTCAAGGTAGGGCGCGCGGCGCGCGCGGCCGGCCCGGCTTTTGTGGCTGGGGGGGCGAACGAAGATGAAGGCTCTTGATTTCGGCAAGAGCAGCGGCCTGCACCAAGACCAGGCCCGAAGCGCCCCGCACGCTCCAGAGCTAGCTTCGTGGGCGTCCCGCGCTTTGCCCCAAGAGGCGGCGGCCCGTGCCGCCGGCCTTGCCCTATCCTGCCGGCGCCCGCGCCGGCCCCTGGTCCCGCCTTCGCAGGCGCGGCCCGCCGGCCGGGTTTTGGCAGCGGGCGCCCCCCCCCCCTTAATGGGTTGCGTCCGCCCCCCCGCCCTTTGTCGGGGCGCGCGGGCCGCGGGGCTACCTGATGGCGCGCGGGTCGGCGGCGCCACGGGTATCTTGCGGAAATCCTCTCCGCAGGATCTTCCTGCTTGGCCTGCAAGTGCAGCAGGGGGAGCACCACCCGGGTCGCCGAGAATCAATGAGGAAAGTCTCCTTCAAATCTCCGGAATTTAGGGCCATCCCAGCGGTAGGGAACCAGACGCCCCTGTCAGAAGCCAGGATAAAAACGCAGCCGCGGCGCGGCAGGCTCTCGAGCCCGGAAACCCTAAACGGGGCACGCCCGTTCCGTGTCGCGCCCACGCCCGGCAGCGCATGGGCTGCCCGGCGGGGGCTCCCTCGGCCGGGTGCGCGCGGGCCGCTGGGGGCTTCGCCCGTTCCGCGCCCCCGCCCTTTGCTGTCCCTGCCGCTTCCCATTTTCTTCCTACCTTCGTGCGTGGCCGCAGGCAGCTGTTTTGTGTATTTTCGCTCCGGCGCCCGTGCTGTGTTTCCCACCCAGCCGGCCGCCCCGCTGGGAGCGAGGGCCATCCGCCCCTCCTTGGCTGGCAATGGTGGTCCCCGTGCCCACAGGTATTTTCAGGGAGCCGCGCGCCGGTGCCGTGTGGCGCTCTGGTAGTTCACCGATTGCCGTTTTGGCAAACGCTGCAAACAATCAATGTGGCGGCGGCGGCATGCCAGTCCCCTGGATCAGTCGAACCAAATTTCGCACTGTGACGCGCCAGGAGCGCCCGTTGGTGTGTTTTCCCGTAAAGAGAAAGTGTTCTTCCTTCGTGGGTAGAATTGTGGCATCTGAGGCTCGTCGCCGCAGATTTTATGGTAGATAGATTGAATTCGGGCACACCACTGCGGCCACCACCCGCACTCAGGTCCCTCGGCAACCGCGAGGAAGCTCTCGATGGCACTTTCCCCTTGACATGGCACAGCAACTACACATGTTTCATCAGCTCCTACGAGACCGTTATTTCTTGTTTCACTCTTAAGCTTTAAGTTTAACAAGTACTTACATACCTGCTCTGTCCATAACTACAAACAGGAATCTTTTATTGTGTCTCCGAGCATAGAAACAAGGAAGTGCTTTGTATAATTCATCGCCCCCCAAAGCTGCTAGCCTCCTCAACGTTATTATACCCGTGCTTTCCACCCGCACCCGCCTACCAAAACTATAAAACACAATGGCTCCCGCCGGCAAGAAGAAAACGGCGAAGCCAGACCCCGCGGCAGCAGAAGATGTTGTTATGGAAGATGTGGCAGCAGCAACTGACGCAAAAATCGCAGCCGATGCTCCCACCGACCCAACCGCCGATCAACAAGACGCCGAGCCTTCCGCAGCGAAAAAATCAAAAAATGCGAAGAAGAAGGCGAAAAAGAAGGGGAACAAGAAGCTCCGCGGCGCGTATTGGGACACCAATGAGGATGGAGAGGAAGTTCTCAAATTCGACGACTGGGCCATGAACGTTTTGGGTTTAGCACCGACACAACCTCCTACCCCAGCAGCTGCACCAAGTAACGGCGATAAAAATAACCCATCATCCGAGCAGGCCACGTCAGCGACTACAATAACCACCGCGAAGAAGAAAATGGGGAAAAAGCAACCAGAGCCCGAGTATTGGGAGGCCCCAGGGCGGGTGAGAAGGAGACCGAAGGAGTATGTTTTTAGCGGGGAACTGAGACCCGGGAAGGTGATGAAACAGGTGATATCAACTGCAAATATGTCTGGGTCTGGAAACTTCTGATGCTAAAATGTGGATGATGGAAACAGTCCCGAATCCAACCTAGCATGACAACCTTCCAGAACGGTTTCTCATGGGCAATCCGCATGAGAAGTTGTTTGTATGAACAAAAGACAAAGAGGCTGCGACTGTTGTAGGTTATGCAATACAGATTTACTAGGTATGGAAAGCTAGCATTACAAGTTGCAACCTTCCAGACCCAGACATATTTGCAATGCATAGGTCAAGATGCCGGATTACATCGAGGCCCCGGATTACGCGGACCACCCAGAGGGACATTGTCTCTCCGAGCAGCAGCACCCGGAAAACGTGGTGCCGGTGGTATCAAATGTAAAAATGTCTGGGTCTGGGAGATTGCAACTTGTGATGCTGTGTTTGGATTCCAAAAAAGTCTGTATTGCATGACCAGCAAAAGGAGTCCAGTTTGTGCTACGCGGAGAGGGCATTTCTCATGCGGAATACGCACCAGAAAGCCCTCTCAAAATCTGTGATGCTAGGCCACGCATTACAGGCATCATGTGTCATGCAAAATATGCATGACAAACCTGGCATTCTTCCAGACCCAGACATTTTTACATTTGATAGGTGGTTAAGGGCGACGAGTTGGAGATCATGCGGGAAGTGTGCCGGCTGGGAAGAGACGTGCTGGACTTGGCGAGCGGGTACTCGTTCTCTTATACTTGATTTTTTCGTATGAGTATGCAAATTTTCATTTTTGCAAGAGCAGTGGGTCTTCTAATGCACTAATACAAGGAACCGAAATATGCGCTCCTAGTTGCACGTGTTGCTCTCAAAATGCAACAACGTGTTGGTATGTTGCCGCTACAGAAAATAAATGGCACAATTTGCGACCCAAGCACACTTCTATCTTTTCGTAGTGTTGGAACTTGGTACTACTGTGTCAAACAGATTTTTCTCTGCAGTTCCATCACGCATGACAAATTCCATTCGGAGTCGATATCAGAAATTGCATCGTGCTGACAACCATATAATTTCAAACAGCTTTGCGCACCGTAGCTTGCACCTCGCGCGCCCCACTACACATCACCATCATGATCGGTTTTACAAACGCAGCATGCGCCCGCGCCCCGTGCTTCTGCGTTGAAATTCCGTATGACAAAAGATATCACCGCTCATCCACTTCATAACTGCAAATACAGCTACGTCTGCGTCGGCGTGACCGGGGACCAGATTGACAAAATCATTACCCAAGCCTGCATTGACCGCCGGATTTACCCTTCCCCCCTCAACTACTACCGGTTCCCCAAATCCGTCTGTGTGTCCGCAAACGAAGTGATTTGCCACGGCATTCCGGACGACCGGCCGTTTGAGGACGGAGACATCATCAACTTGGACATTTCCGTCTACAGCAGAGGCTTCCACGCGGATTTGAACGAAACCTTTTTGGTCGGGAAATCCTACACCGACCCGGAGTATTTCGAGAAACTGCCGGACGAGAAGAAAAGAACAGTTGAGGAGTCCGCGAAACTAGTTGAAACCGCCTACAGCGCGCTGTTGGCCGCGGCAAAGACGATAAAGCCGGGAACATTATACCGGTCGGTGGGGAATCAGATAACAAAGGTCGCGGAGGGGAGAGGATGCTCTGTGGTAACAGCGTATTGTGGGCACGGAGTCGGAAAATTGTTTCACGGGCCGCCACAGGTATGTAGGTTTGATTGTTGCTGGTGGGGGTATTGATGTTTTGGCACACGCGATTGTACTCACTATTCTTTTGGGTTGTTGTTCCGCATGGCAAATGCCTGCTGTTATCACCATTGCTCCATGACAAACTCGATTATCATGAAAATCGTCAAAACAGGTCCCCCATTACAAGGGCTCGAAGGTGCCGGGGATCATGAAGCCGGGGCACATTTTCACCATCGAGCCGATGATCAATCTGGGGTTGAACAACAGCCACGACGGCATTTGGCCCGACGACTGGACCGCGGTGACCATGAACGGAGCCCGCAGTGCGCAGTTTGAGCACACGTTTCTGGTCACGGAAAACGGGTATGAATGCTTGACCTTGTCAGCGGAAAGGATAAAACAGCAAGGCGGGTCGCTGCAAATGCCAGAGTGGAATCGAGAATGGTTTCAGAGGTGATGAAGGAAGGACGAAGAAAGTGATAAATGTAGTGGCACAAGTTCCTGAAGCTACCTGGAGTGTCGTGAAAATTTTCCAAGAACTGAACATTTTTTGCGACATGCTGCATCACGCAGCGCCACTGCTGCAGCTCTGATGTGGCATTGCGTCTTGACTGATGGCAACGCTTTGCGATATCGGATTTGAGATATTCGTTGATGCACCAACTACCAAGGCTTGATCTTTAGCTACATTGTGTATTCGCTGGGAGTTTCGATAAAAAGTGTTCACCACTGCCGTGGCTGCTGTGCGTTGTTTTGTTCTTGCACATGGCTCACTGCTTGTGCATTCTCACCGGACACATCCGAGCGGCGTTGTTCTTTTTCTTCCAGGCGCATGCTTCGTAGCGCTTTCTTGGTTTGCAATTTCGCGCGCATGCAAGCCCAGGGGGGGGGGGTGCAATTAGGGCGGCCGCTGCGCGGGATGGTGGCGCAGGCGCCCAAGCTAATCGCCCCGCCCGCACGGGGGGCCGGGCCCTGTGGCCGCCTACAAGGCGGCCCAGCACTCGCAGGGGCTAGCAACGTGCCCCAGCGTGGCCACCTGCTTCGCTGCCCCCCTGTCGCCGCGTGCGGAGTCGGATGCGGCGCAGATGGCCGCGGCGATCTTGGCGGGGCGGCGGGCACGCCTGCCCTCCGGTGCCCCTATGTAGCCGCTCAGTTGCTCGAGGCAGGCGCGCGGGAGTGAAGGGCGGACCGCGTTGAGCTTGGTGAAATGAGCGCCGCGGGCGGAAGTCAAACGTCAGCGATGGTTTCGGCAAAGTAATCTACTACGCGGCGGGGCCCAGCGAATCACTTCTCGAAGCTGACCAGGTGCACTTCAAAGGCTGCGCGAGGTGGTGTAGCCCGCGGCTAACTGAGCGGCCACACCCTGCAGGCCCCCCGGGCTGGCCGCCCGGGCGATGGCCGGCCGGCTGGTTTCGGGCCTGCCGGCCTGGCGCGGCCCGGCCGGCCGCCCTTGATCGATGGGCCGTTGGCCTGTTCGCCCGGCAGCAGGCCGGGCGCTTGGGGGTTGGGCGCGCCGGCACGCAGGGGCCCAGTATTTGTGGACGGCTGGGGCCGGGCGGCGTCTACGGCGGCGTCTACGGCGACGCCGCCGGCGTGCATTACGAGCTTTTGTCAAATCTGCCCGTTACACAGCGCAGCGGCGCGATTCGTCGGCCGACTACCCTGGAGGAGCCGGATCCGTCTGCGAACTTTCCGCTTGCGCTCGATTCCTTTACGCAGGCGGAGTGCGCAGCCTTGTGCTGTGCCGATTGTTTGATTGGCCCGTGCCCGGGGGCGGCCGCGCCCGCCGCCTGCGTGCCTCTCCTCCGGGGCGGCTTTTGGGCCCGCGCCGCCCGCGCCGGCCCCTTGCTGTGTGTGTGGCCCACCGACCTGGGCCGGCGTCCGCGCGCCGTTCGCTGGGCGTGTGAGTGTAGGGCGCAGCCGCCGTCTGGGCCCGCCGCGTGCCGCCCGGCAAACAATCGGAGGCCCGGCAGAAGTCTCGCGCGCCCCGGCCGTTCGGCTTGCCGGCTCCCCCGTTGGCCCGCCAGCCTCTGTGGCGGGTGGGTCGGTCGGTGTGTCTCTATGTTTCCAGGCGCGCGCCCGCCCGCTGCCGCCTCAAGCAACCGCAGACAGCCATCGGGCGCATTGTATGTTAACCGTGCCATGCAGCCGGGGGGGGGGCGGGGCGGGTGGCGCTGATTTCGTCGTCCACGAAGCGGGGCGCGGTCGTTGTCCTGTCTCTCCCTGCAAGGTGCTCTGTAACTAGATAACACACTCGGCAGTTCCGCCACCCAGCCGCCCACGCGCTATGTCTGTAGCGCTTCACTCTGCTCCGCCGCGGATTCCTGCGCGCATCGCTTCTTGTGTATGTGCCTCCTCCTTAGTTCTGTCTCGTGTTCCCAAAGACAAGGCACAACAGCAAACCATGTTGAGAGCAGTTCATGAGCGAGGAGTTTTTGACGGTGTCTGGCCTTTTGCGAGTGCCCAGACGTCGGAGTGCTGTATCACAGAGAAGCCTCTAGAGCGAAAGTTGTTCTTTCTATTCTGTTGCGCAATCGTACTATCCCAAGGCCAACAAAAGCCTAGCTCAGTCTGACCTTTATGACCAGGTCATCCCAAGGTCGCTCTCGTCCGCCGAGCGAGAAGTTTTTTTCACAGGATGGACGATAGCGACCGACCCTGAACTGCGAAAACCTTACATCCAGTTCCAGGCAGCATGAGAAACCGGAAGCGGCGGCCTTTTCTTAGTCCCCGCTTGTCGTTCTTGCCGACAACAACTGCGACGCTTTTATTTTTCGTCCAATGGACGAGCCACTACTACCCTCTCGTTGGTCTTGCCACGGCTGCCGCGACTGCTGCGGGGGAAGAGCAAGCTCGGCGAAGTACCGAAAAGGAGAAAGATGCAAAAATCCCCTACCAGCATGATTCTGTACTTCCTCACACCGTCGCAGGACAGCTCGGGGAAGTGTTCGAGAACCGTGTCGACCACGTTGGACTAGTACCACCAAGCAGCACGACCGAAGCTAGTCGTCCTACAACTACGAGCACAAGTTCCGTTTATTCCGATGTTCTTCTTTCCGGAGAGGGAAAGAACAACAACAGGAAAAATAGGCCGTCCTCTTGGTCTGCTAGGGGAGCCAAGGCTCCTCCTGCACAGCAAGATGACAGTAGCAAACGCAGCAGGAGAGACCGCTTCCGTCGTGAGGCGATCAGAAGTTCGTACAACCGCCGAGCCGGAATGGTGCCGTTGGTGCGCATGCTGGGGAACAAACTTTTTTCCGGAAATTTCGTTCGGAGTAGAGGGAATAGTTGGGTGAAGAAAACAGACCACGGAGTGATGAAGTCGACGAGCAGAAGAAGTGGAGATGAGATCAGAACCACTCCAGCGGGGAGATCTTCATCTGCGGCGCATGACAACAATATGGTAGACTTCGCTGCACTAGAGAAACAGCAGCGCCAGAAGTTTGCAGCGGGCCCGTTTGACGTTTCGGAGGGACATAATCCGGAGCTGACTGGTGAAAGCGAGCTTTCGGACAAGCCACATCAGCAGCAGCAGCAACTGCCTTCCGAAATGACCAGCAAGACGTCGCCGGTTTCGGAAATTCTGGACCTGCCTTCGAAGCGCGAAATGGCAGTAAAACCTCCCGTCGAGAAGGTGGAGCAGTCGGGGCCAGAAAGAAGAGACCAAATTCCTACAGATGACGCAGGTTCAGCGGGAGCAGTGTTCAAAACCACACGACCTAACGCGGAAGTAGCTCATCTCTCCGGTTTGGAAAAGGCAAAACAGCACGCGCTTCTTGCGGCGAAGGAAATTTTCGGTCTTGATGAAGCGAAGGTCAACACGGAGATCCAAGACAGGAAAAAATTTTCTTCCACATCGTCGGAACTGGTAAAAGAGATGAAAGCAGAAGAAAAGGATCTAAAGATCCAAGACCAAACAACAACGGCCTCATCATCGAAGCAGATGCCCGGTTACCGCCCCAACGGTGTGCACGCGCCCATCAACGGCAAGGGCGCCGGAAATTTGCCGCATAACTACGTTCCCGTGCCTCCAAGTAGACGTCACAATTCCCATTCATCCGCGAGATCTTCGCATTACCCAAACGCGTTCCCCGACCCGGCGGAAAGAAGCCCCCGCGGCACTCCTCCCGCTTTGAGTGCGGACGACGCGGCGACGTTAATCCGCAAGAGCCAGCGGCGGGAGAGAAGAGACGAAAGCCACCACAGGAGCAGCGATTCCGGGGAGGGGGGACACAGGAGGAGCAGCGATTCCGGGGAGGGGGGAACAAGCGGGAGCAGATACCAAGATTTGGAGGAAGACAGTGATGAAGAAGAAAAAGAAGCGGAGAAAGCGAGTGCACGACGGAGGAGAAAAAAGCATAGGAGCAGTGCCGACACTCATAAGATGCTGGAGGAAGGGGAAGATGCGGAAAACGAAGGGGGGGAACAGGAAAAACCGTTTTTGACACCGGAGCTTGCATATCAGGAGATGATGGACAAGACGCTACTAAGAAATTGATGAACACGTGCCTCAGAAAGGATAAAGGGTTTATCATATACGAAGCGAAGTTGCATGTCGTAGTCTGAGGAGCAACCAGTTATTTTTTCTCATGCGCAAGCAGAAAGCAGAAGCCGTATGCATTTTTTATAACTTCGCGCCACATCAGCATCGCATTCGGATCTGTGACAACATACATTTTTGCATTTTTTCCCTGGGGAGCGTTTTCAAGGTTTTAATAGCTCATGCAGAAACCCGAGAAGCACGAGTACCTCCAGGGTGGAACAAAACACCATAAAAATTTCGACTACGTACTGAAGATGCCTTCGAAGGCCGTGGCGGAAGATTACAAGAAGAAGCAAATCACGCTGGAAAAAGTGGCGAAAAAGGCGAAAAAGTACGCCGCGGCGGTGAGGGAAGAGGAGAAGGACGACGAAGTAGAAAAAGGGGAGAGAAGCCGCGCATCAGAAAGAGAAATAACTCCAACACCACTACATAATCATCCCCACGACGAGCACTTGTCGCCCCTCCAACATCTTTCCCCCGTGCAAGAAGCTGGCTTAGACGAAATCCACATGAGCAAAATTGCAACCGGTAGAATAAGCAGATCTGGTGCGAGCTATTTGGATCAGATGGCTGCGGCCATGTCGGTGGCGAGGAAGGAGGCAAAAACTACTAAAACTTCTGCGGCGACGTTAAATGAAAATGTCAAAAGCTACACGCTGAGGAACGGCGGTGTGGATAAAACTGAAGAAGAGCACTCTGGTGTTCCTGGAGGTACTGCTGCGGCGGGGGAAAACAACGATGAAAAACCCAAAGAAGAGGAGGATGTAAAGCCGCACGGCACGAAGGGAACTAAAACGACAAAACCTCCTGGCAGTAAAAATAGCAAACAACCCCCGATCGTTCTCCCGCCGCACCAGACTATAGACTCGAACGACCATGCGCAGAACCCACAACCGAATCTGCACGAGAAGGGGAAGGATAAAAAAGACAAAGAAAAAGAGGGAGAGAAGCCGCCAGCACCCCCACAAAAAGGGGAAAACCCGCCGCCCCCACAAGACGAACCACCGAAGTATTTCAAGCCGATACCGTTAGTCCCGGCACACAGTTTGGTGGCGAACAAGGAGACGTTGACCTCTTCTTCTTCGCTTCGGGAGAAAGTGAAGAGTTTAGACGTTGGGAGCACGACGACGGATGAATTGGTGAAGATCAACAATAGACTGGATGCGGAGGATATCAAGGTAATGTTGCTTTGAATCTGTATTTGTAAAGTTTGTCATGCGTACTTTCGCATGAGTGGATCTCCTTGTCATGTAAAAATCTCCAAATAAAACAGCTCAACGCCATCACCACGGCGCAATCCAGTCTCGCTTCGAAACTGGACACTTTGATTCAGTCTGTTGGGACCTTAACGGAAGACCACCTCGACACCATCAAAGCCGACGTGTCGGACTTGAGAACCGCGGTAGGCACTTTGGATCAAAAAGTCGCGAAAGAATCCACGGTCGGGACACTAGCAAAGGAAGTCACCGTGCAGAATTTCATGGACTCTTTAGAGGATTCGGTGGCGCACGCGCTGGCGAACAATGGTGGGGGATCTAGTTCTGCTTCTTCTTCTAACAACAGCAGCGGCAGCATTTTCGGTAGCAGTTCCAGTGGCAGTGGTTCTATCGACACCGACGCAATCGCCACTGCAGTGGAACAAAAAGTGATTGAGCTCCTCTCCTCTTCCGGCCTATGAAATGCAAATATGTCTGGGTCTGGATGAATACAAGGCTTGTCATGCATATTTTCCATGAGTCATGATGTCTGTGATCGTGATGCATGCCTAGCATCACAGATTCTGCGAGAGCTTTCTGATGCTCCTACCGCATGAGAAGTGCCGTCTTTGCGTAGCAACAACTGGACCTCTTTTCCTGTTTATGCAAGACAGATTTTATGTAGAATCCAAAGGCAGCATCACAAGTTGCACCCTTCCAGACCAAGACATTTTTACATTTGATACGGCCAGCTCCAAACCGATTTGAAAACGGAAATGGCGACGAACGCGGACAAATTAAAAACGGAGATCCGGTATGTATTGGAAATATGTCTGGGTCTGGAAAGTTGTGATGCATGTTTGCAGCTCACAAGCATCCTCCAACATGGGGAAACGCATGACAAGTATCTGAGCGACTTGTAGGTCTTGCGTAAACTGCATGAGAAACTGCGTTTTTGCATTTACAAAAAAGCAGCGCGGTAGCGCAACATGCATGACAGATCTTTGTCTCCTGTTAGTGGAGCATTACAAGTCTTGCACAAGCCCAGACCCGCCTGACATATTTGCATTTGATATCCGGACGGAAGTGCAGCAGGATTTTTCCACCGAATTGGAGGATAAATTGTCGAATCTGGATTTAAGTGCAGCGAAACTGGATTTGAGTTCGTTGAACACGACCAACACGGTGAACAACTACGCGCATCACGACCACCACCACGTGACGAACATCATTCAGGACAGTACTGGGTTGAACACGACCGTTGTGAACACTTCGGAAATCGTTTCCGCTGTGGAACAGAAAATGTTAGAGATGTTGTCGTCTAGTGGGCAGTTGCAACTGGATTTAAAGCACGAGATGGCACACAATGCGGAATTATTGAAACACGAGATTAACAACATTGACGTGCAACCGGCGCCAGCGCCTAGTGTTACAACCGTGCCTTCTGGTAAATCCGCTGCTTCACCTGCGCCAGCACCTGACGATGGTTCGGGAGACGACTCGGGCGAGGATAATGAAGCCGGCGACGGGGCATCAAGCGAGAGCGATGACGGAGGAAAACCATCATCATCAAATCTAGACGCGACCGCGGTGGCGAGTCAGGTGAAAACGGTTGTGGAACAATTATTGAACAACTTGCTCTCCTCTTCCGGTCAGTTACAGCAGGATTTGAAGCACGAAATGGCGAGCAATTCGGAAATGCTGAAACACGAAATGACCCACAACACAGACAGTCTGAAGCAAGAGATTAGCAGTAATAGCAATACAGGTGGTTCATCTGGAGGTTCTAGCTCGGCAAGTTCTAAGAGTGGCTCTTCTTCGGGTGTTCCAGGCACGACTGACTCCGGCAGCCCGGCGGGTAACACCAGCGGTGATAATACTTCTAGCACAACTCCAGCCAGCACACCTATCGACATCGGGCCGAACCCAGTGAACATCAGCGACGCGAATTTCACCGCCGCAGAGATCGCCCAACACGTGACCCACGATATGCCACAAAAAAACTGAGTAAGTGTAAGTCTGTGATGCAGAATATGCAAAACAGTTACACTTGTCATGCTGGACGTGCGTCATTGCCGTATTTCATACGTTTTTTCACGTACTAGGTGCGCATGACAGGTTTTCCCTGTAATTCAAAACAAATTTGTGATGCTGCTCCTCCCACAGAGTTACACTTACACAGTTTTTTTCCTGGATACACGAGGTCCAGCAATTACTAGCGAATTTACTCGCTCCTACTGGGGAACTCCAGCAGGATTTGAAACAGGACATGACGACGACCGCTGAGAATTTAAAGTATCAAATGCAAATATGTCTGGGTCCGGAAGCTTGGAACTTGTAGTGCTGTCTTTGGATTCCAAAAAAATCTGTATTGCATGAGCAGCAACAGGAGTCCAGTTTGTGTTACGCGGAGAGGGAATTGCTCATGCGGGATAGGCATTAGGAAGCCCTTTACAAATCTGTGATGCTAGATCATGCATTACAGGCGTCGCGAATCATGCAGAATCTGCATGACAAACCTGGCAATCTTCCAGACCCAGACACTTTTGCAATCCATATGAAAGACGAATTAACCACCGAATTGGAAAACCACATCTCGACCGAATTAGACAAGTTCGAGCCAGCTCCTCAGCCGACTTATGTTCCTGTACATACGCAACCGAAAAACAAAGCTGCTAATGCGAAAAGTGCAGCAGCTTCTAATACGACCACCCAGAGTGGTACTAACGGAACTGCTAGTACTTCGCCATCTGCGTCCTCTTCTTCCCCTTCCGCTGGCGCAAAAACAAATACTAACTCTGCAGTGGACGACGAGGGCATTGCCGCAGTTGCGGACGCCGTGGAGAAGAAGCTCACAAGTTTGCTAGGCAGTTCTGGCCAACTCCAAACCGATTTGAAAAAGCAGATGGAAGCGGACAAGGAAGAGTTGAAGGGGCATATCAGCAGCGAGGTTGGAGGAAATGCGGGTAGCGGTAGTAGCGCAGGACCATCTTCCGCAGTAGGAGTGCCCGGTGGTAGTGCAACTGATCCATCCGCTTCGAACTCGTCTTCTTCCTCTTCCGGAGCATATTCAGGCAGTCCTGACGCCAGCCAGGCCAAAACCGTCGCCCAGCAAGTGCGGTTGGAGCTCGCGGACGCGTTTGCGACACTAGAAAACGCGGTGGAGGAAAATCAGGAGGATGTTGCGGAGAAAGTGGTAAAAGCGATTAAGGACCAAGGGTGCTGCGACGGAGGTTCTGGGAATGACACAAGCAATTCATCTAGTACATTTGGCAACACCGTTTACAGCAACGCCGGGGTTTCCGCGACTGAAATCGCGAATAAGGTCAGGGTATCAAATGTAAAAATATCTGGGTCTGGATGTCATGCAGATTTTACATGACACATGACGTCTGTAATGCATAACCTGGCATCACAGATTTTTAGCGGGCTTTCTGATGCCTATCCCGCATGAGAAATACCCTCCCCATATAGCACAAACTGGAGCCCTCTTGCTGGTCATGCAATACAGATTTTTGTATAATGCAGAGACAGCATCACAAGTTGCAATCTTCCAGACCCAGACACTTTTACCTTTGATACAGGGACGAGCTGCAGACCGTCATCGCGTCATTGGATAATTCGGTAAAGGAAAATCAGGAGACCGTCGCGGTGAAACTGTTTAAGGCGTTGGACGCGATCAACCAAACTTTCGGGATCGGAAGTGGTAGTGCGGGTTCTGGCTTCAACGACGGTGGGATGTATCAAATGTAAAAGTGACTGGGTCTGGAAGAATCCAAGGCTTGTCATGCTCTGCTAGCATGACTCCAAAGGCTGTCACGCACATTACCCAAAAGCCCCATTTTTCTGTCATGCAGAAACGCGATTTGTCATGCAGAATACACAACACCGTAGGCACTCAGAAACTTGTCATGCTGAGCTGCAAATTGAGACGTCATCATGATTGTCCTACCCGCATCACAAGTTTCCAGACCCAGACATATTTCCAATCCATAGGATGAATAGCAGCACAACAGACGGGAGTGGCAGTGGCTACATGAGCGGTGAGATGACAAGCACCCCGACGCTCGCCACACAGGTGAAGAACGTTCTAGCCGAGCAGTTTGCGATCCTCCAAACACAGGGAACCACCAACGCCGACGAGATTAAACAGTTGCTAGAGAATATGAAATGCAAAAATGTCTGGGTCTGGAAGAGTGCACGTTTGTCATGCTTGTCTGGCATGACTCTCAAATCTGTCATACGCGTTACCCAAGAGCGCCACTTTTCTGTCATGCAGAGACGCAGTCTGTCATGCAGAATAGGCAACACCTAGAAGCTCAGAAACTTGTCATGCTGAGCCAGCACTTGTGGCCTCCATACGATACGCCACCCAGCATCACAACTCTCCAGACCCAGACACTTTTGCATTTCATAGAGAAACTCAACATTCAACTCGCCGGCTTGAACCTAACCGACTGGCAAAACGTGCACAAGATCGACGACTCGGCTGCTTTGGGGAATCAGTACGACCCGACAGTGTTGGAAAACAAAATCAACACTTTGGGCGAGCAGTTGAGCGGGAAAAATGTAGCTTCCGCAGTGGTGCAGGAATTGAAGAACCAGTTGAGCGGCGGAGCGTCGGCTGCGAGTAGTGGGGATGATCCTGCTACAACTGCCTCATCTACTCTCGGCTCCAACAGCGCAACGGATTCAGAATCTCAGTCCCCAGCAGACTCTGGCTTTTCTGACGATACGTCGAACAGCTCCTCGGGGATGGCCACCTCAGGGGCGGCGTCCTCTAGCCCAACAACCACCAACGCCGACGAGATCGCGGCAAAAGTGAGTGAAAAGGTCACGGAGGGGCTGTTGAAGGTGCAGGATGCGATGATACAAAACCAAGACATGCTGTCCGAGCAGGAGGCGGCGCAGTTGGGGGAGATTCTGAACAACACGGCTTATGGGAAAAAGGCTGCGAGTTCGCTTTCATCTGAGTCGGGCGGCGAACGAGTTTTATCGGCGACCCCAGAGGAGCAGAAACAGGAGCACTACCAGCTGTTGCAGAGGATCAAAGAGGAAGTCGAGGGGATTGCTGCGAAATTGTACAGTAGTGACAACTTCACGCTTTCATCTGGCTCTTCTTCTGGCGTCACCGCAATGAACCCGGCCACGGAAGATATCCCACGAAAAGCTGTTTCACTGGGATGGTTTTGCAAGATCTGCATCACAAGTTTGCTACACATCACACAGAACATTTGTCATGCGTGTTTCCCAGGGGAAAACACGCCTAAAAATCCGTTGTGTTGCATGTGTAGCAAGACAAACACTTTGTTGCTTCGTTCTCTGCATCACAGGCTCACAGTGAAACAGTTTTTTCTTACGATAGAAGAAGCGAGGGATCAGCTGTTTGAAAAGATGGTGGAATATCTAGAGACCATCAAAGCAGCATCTGAACAAACGAACAAAACGGTGACACTGGCGTTAGGGACAAATCCAATGGAGGAGGAGCCGACGTTGTTGTCCGATGAAGAGATTCTAGCGAAAAGAAAAGCCGACGAGATCCGGATGCAGGAAGTGAAAACGGACACCATGGCGGTCTATCCTCAGTAAAAACGTCCCCACACCAGAGTCAAGATGGGGATTTTGCAACACAAACCTAGGAGCTTTGGGAGTCACGCATGACAAGTTGCACTCCGTAGTGTAGTGCAGGTTAGCAACTGCAGCCGCATCACAGATCCATCTGCTTATCCTGTTCACAGCATCACAAATTCCAAAACACGACTGGAAATGTCTGCCATAGGTATGCGCATCACCAATGTCCTTGTCATTGCAAATCTGCATGACAATTCTGGGATTGAGACGTTTTTCCTCAGGATACGGTGGCGGAAAAATTCACGGACATCGACACGATCATCGATACTTGGCAGAACACGCTGTCTGACGTAACAAGTATCGCCGAGGCGGTGTCTGAGTTGAAGGACAAAGTCGGAAACGTCACTACCGCGATCGACGACACGCAGAACACCATTACAGCCGTTGGTACCGCAAGGAAAATTGTTTCACTGTGAACTTGTCATGCGTGGAATCAAACACGAAAGTCAAGTGTTTGTGTTGCTGTGCCTGCAAGACATTCGGTTTTTGAGCGTGTTTTCTCTAGGGAAGCGCGCATGGCAAATTTTGATTTTCTGTGTCATGTGTCGCAAACGAAACTCAAACTTGTGAAGCAGGTCTTGCAAAATCATCACAGTGAAGCAGTTTTTTCATACGATAGTTAGGGCCGAGATGCAATCGGTCCGGGAAGACGTGCAAGGGTCTTTGAGACGAATGAAGAACGTCACCGAAGATCTCTTCCAAGTTAGCAAGATGGAGAAAGACCAAATGGACGCTTTCGAGACGATTTTCGAGGATATTGACAACGCGGTTTCTTTGATGAGTAAAAATCTCGGGAACGAAACGGATGTCACTCGGGAGGAGATGCACGGACAGTTAAGTGACATGGAATCGAGGTTGCAAATTTTAGTGCAGTCGACCTTGGCGCCTTTATCGCACACGATCGAGACCTTCATGCGGAGTCCGAGAAAAAGGACGGAGGAGAAAAAACACTTGGTGTATGACCCGGTATAGATGGTTTTATTTTCGATCTACTTTGTCATGCATATTGTGTTTAGTGTGATCTGCTTTGTCATGCTTGACCTTGAAGCATAAATAACACAAAACAGCAAACCAAAACGTCGAAATGGGAGACCACCGAACTCGTTTCCGAGACCAATGAACTGGCGCCCCAAGCCTCCACCGCGGATATTCAACGGGAGATGGCGGAGTCGGTTGCGAAATCGGAATTGGCGAAAGCTATCCTGTGTAAAAACGTCCCCACCCCAGAGTTGTCATGCAGATTTGCGATTACAGGAACACTTGTAATGCGCAGACCCAAGAGAGGCGTTTTCAGCCATGTTTTGGTATTTGTAATGCTGAAAACAGGATGAGCAGATGGATTTGTGGTGCGGTTTCCGTTGCTAACCTGCACTACACTACGGACTGCAACTTGTCATGTGTGGCTCCCAAAACTTCTGGGTTTGTGTTGCTAAGTTCCCAACTTGACTCTGGTATGGGGACGCTTTTACTCAGGATAAAGGCGGTGGGGAAGTTAGCGATGCTGCCGGACACGGAGTACGTGAAGGAGTTGGCGAAAAGTTTGACCGATAAGGATTCCATCACCAAAGCGTTGGAGGACGTGAAGAAACTGCAGGACGACAGTGGTTCCAACAGCACATTATGCATTGCAAGAGTATGTATCGTACTAGTAGTGAAAATTGCATGGCATTTACATTTTTTTTCAGGAAGATTGCAATATATCAAGAGCCTACTAGATCTGTCATGCAATTTATGCGACTACGATACGTTTGCACTGCATACGCAGATGATCTCTACAAATCACCGGTTTTGAAGTCCCTTCTCGACGACATCCGCTCCAAGTACACGGTCGCCGGAGCGTATGAGAAAGTCGCGGAGGCGTACCATACACAACTCGAGCAAACCCAAGCGGAGAAGGATTTGATGACGAAAGTGTACGAAAAAACGGCGTATCAAATGCAAATTTGTCTGGGTCTGGAAACTTGTGATGCTAGTTTGCGAATGGTGGGCACATTGCAATACGCAGCTGCGCATGACAAGTTTTTGAGATCCTATGTGTTTCACTTATCACATGGCAAACTCCATTTTTGCATCACCGGCAACTGGCTTTCTTCCTGCTGCTGCATAACAGATTTAAGGGCCATGTGAAACAAGCATGACAAACCTGCACTCTTCCAGACCCAGACAGATATTCATCCCATACGGCGGAGAACATCGCGAATAGCATGGAGAATTTGAAGTGGCAGCAAAATTTGAAAAAAGACCCGCTGACAAGCGGCTTTGTCAACGACACCAAGGAGAAAGTGCAGAAGGAAGTGGAAAATTTGCCGGAGGGGAAAGAGATTTTAGATGAACAGGCGTCGAAAGATGATGATGACAAGAAGGAGGAAAGCGATGAAGCTGATAGTGCAGAAACGGCTGAACAAGATGAAAGTGACACCAGCAGCTCAGCGAATGAAACTACCGTGAGTACCAACGCGACCACGACAGTCGACGAGCCGATTTTAGACACGCCGGCGTCAGCGGATGACGAGTATAAGGATGAAATCGTGCAAGAGGCTGGAACCGCTGCTACTGGTGTGTCTGATGCGGTTTCGGGTACTGCAGGGAAAGCTGGTGAAGCTGCGGCTGGTGTTACTGGTGCTGTTTCAAGTGGTGCAGGAGAGGCTGGTACCGCTGCTACTGATGCGGTATCGAGTGGTGCGGAACAGGCTAGCGACGCGGTCAGTGGTCTCACCGATGCTCTCACCGGGGGGGCGGAGCAGGTCACTGGTGTGGTTACTGGTGATGATTCATCGAAAAACGACGAGGACGAGGATTCCGACGAAGCAGAAGAAGAATCTTCCGACGAGAGCGCCAACAACGATCCTTCTGCTGATTTGAACGGCGACGGGGAAGCGGATGGGGTGAATGGCAATGAGTACCTGTATCCCGGAGAAGACGAATTGCTGTTAGACGAAGCAAGGAGGTCATCTTCTGGGGAGAAGAAGAGACAGAAATTGAAAAAAACGGATTATCTGGACGAAGTGAAACTGAATAAAATCCGTGCAGCAGTCCACTCCCGTCGTCCTGCGGCTCCCCGGAAGGAACAAGAACTAGACGTTGCAGCTGCGAAGAAAACTTTGCAGCAGTTGAAGGACATCTTGGATGAAACAAAACCTTCCGCACAACGCTTAGAAGAACAACCAGTCCCACAACCTGCGAGGAAGATGGCGCTCAGGAAGAAGAAAACCACAAGCAAAGCTCCAAGCAAAAGGCCGAAAAACATCTTCAACATGGCGAAATTTGTCAGGAGGAGGAAAAAAAGCTCCAATGCGGGCACCGCGATCACAAAAGCGTCTAGGATCATCGACGACCACGTTGCAGGGAAGAAGGCGGACGGGAATTTCATGCCAGTGTCGAAGAGAAAAATCGCGGCAAGGGGATTTTTGCACCCTAAAAGCAAGATCGCGGACACGCTGCTGAGTATGGGGAGCAACACCTTCCTTTAGGGTGGAGAGAAGTTGTGCATGCGATTAGGAATAGGATTCCGGTTCCAATCCTAGGGAAATGTCGCGCATGCCAAACCTAATGACGCGCGATGAATTTTTTTAGATTTTCAGTCCGTTTTGAATTTATGGAAATAGGCTTTTTTCTTTTTAGACACTGCTGCTTTTGAGCAGTTGCCAACTATGAAAACAGATTTTAGACACGCAATCAAGGTCCTGCGCAAAGCATGCAAACGTGCATGCAGAGTGCGGCGGTCTTGAGAAAAACTTCCAGAGAATATAGTACAAACTAGAATCAGAAAGCGAAAGACGAAAAGACAATCTGTGTCAACAGGGTTCCAAGAATCCGATAGTGATACAATCCGATAGTGATACTAATTTCCGAGCCCAAGTTATTTGTTTTTCATGAGATGGATGCACACTTTTTTTGTAGAATGAATCGCACAGCAGAAAACGAATACAACGAGCAAGTACAACGAAATGTAGTCGACCCGTTTCAAATTTCAACATGAACAATCAAAAATTCATAAATGCAACCTCTGTACAAGAAGGAGACGTGAGACCAAGCAGTAGAGTCATACAGAATTTCGGTTAGAATATTGTGGCTGAGAAGTGTAGCCGCATGAGCAATGCAGCGAAAGAAAAACAGTCTGTTGAGTGATGTCATCGTATCTGTTCACCCGGCAAAGCAATCATCGTTTCGTTTTTTTCGGAATTTTTTTTCCCTCTATTGTATGACATTCAGAAGCAACAAGTTCTCGGTGGAATGTTTTCTTTCCATATTACCACTCCAAAGAAATATCGGTATTGCGGATGCACTACTTTCTTTGACTTCCTCGGTTTTGAGCAGCTGCATGACACAGTGCTAGCGATAGAATCCTCGGTTTCTTTCGTTTTTTCGTCCTCTGCCTCGTTTTTTCCGCTTGCGAGCCTCGCAATTTTTTTCCGCTACAAAAATCCTCTACTCTGCCAGGGAATTGAGACGGTTTGTATTCCCACCAAAATTTCGCGCTATCAAGTACGACAACGACCCAAGTTCCTTTTATAATTAACGACGCGATAAAAATTACTGACCTTTCTTTACTAGTGGACCACATAGGGCGGCATAGTGGTTGATACTCACTACATTTGGTTTATACATTTTAACATCTCAACATCATAGTTTGTTTATACCATTTCTGTCATATCGCTAGAACGACCCTGTTGTTGTTTCTGGTGATATTGATACTCAATTTCTACCACACAGTTTTTCTCAACAACATCTCGATCTCTCATACCATTTTGATCGCGAAATAAAAGTGAAAAATTTGAATTGCAATACGTAGGCCTTGACATCACGAACTTCATCCTGAGGAGAAGGATGAAGATGTACTAGTCTACTTTCGGAAGTAGTAGAGAATGTCAGGGTGAAGAGGTGTTGTACACACAAAAATTACAAGCGCAGTACACCTTGTAGTGCCACAAGAAACCTTCGAAACAGAGTTATATTTTCCGCTTTTGGGCGAGTCAGTGTTGGACTTGGACAGCACGGGAGGCTGTGCGGTTGCGGAGATCGTCGAGTAATCTTCTTCTTCATCGAGATCCTGAAGTCCGCCAAAAACTTCTACCAAAGGCAAAAAACCTCCTTCAACAATGGAAAATAACCAGGAGTCCAAAGAGAGCTCCAGTTTCCAGCCGCCGACGCGGTCTTCCCCACCCTCCCGGTTCGTTCCGCCGCCACCGCCGACCGGTCTACCACCGCCCAGTCCGATGGGGAGTAAAGGTTCAGTTCCTGGTGGGCGGAACGATGGCCCGGAAGCTTTGCAACTTCCGAGTTACGTCCAACCACCGAGTCCACCGGGTATGACAACTGCAGCGCCTGGCGGCGAGAACACGAGTAACTTCAATTCGTTCCCTCCGTCCCCGATCCAATCGAGATTGCAGTCGGAGGAGGGGCAGTCGCTGACGCAGAAATTGTTGTCTGCAGAATCTCAGAGGACGATGAGTGGTACTGGCGGGATGAACCAAAATACTAGTACTTTGGTCGTGCAGCAACAATTAACCGCGAACTCCACTTCGACTCTCCGCCGTGTGTCCACCGGATCGAGTAACAATTTACACACGGTCAGCTCCGGTGCGGGGACTTCGCCGACTTCGAGCTGGAATCCGGGTTCTCCGCCGCCTCTGCCTCCACCGATGTTACCTGGGTTACCAACCGGGTTTTCCGGTATCGTGGGGTTGACGGACGACATCACGGGTGACTCCCGGTCAAACCTCTCTTCTCCGCAGGTGAGTTACAGCGGTTCGCCGTTGCAATCTCCGCCTACCGGTCCGTCTGGCGCGAACATTATCTCCTTCGACGAACACGTTCGGAAGTTTATGAATGACGAGGATGCGGGAGCGGGTGCTCCGCCCTTTGTGAATACGACTCAGCGCAGCAACACAAATTCTACTCCGGACTACACGACCGCGACGTCCGCCGCTGGGACCGTTTCCGGTAACGAGCAGTTTGTTTCCTTGCAGAATCGGGTGAATAGCTACGGAAGTAGTTCGTACCAGACGACGCAACAGCAGCATTCCTGGATGAAAGGGTCATCTGGCGATGTCTCTATGCGCGAACCGCCGGGTTTAGGTGCGACCGGCCGGCAGCACTCGCAGCAATCAACTGGTGGGCCGAATTCTTCTTCTTCGTCTTTGCAGCAAAACACGAATAACAATTTGGTCCGGGATGTCATCGATGTGGAGGAACGGCATCTCGGGTTGATTTTCGGCCGGAACGCGTCCACCATCCGGGCGTTGCGCGAAGACACGGGCGCAAGCATCTTTGTTGAAAAAGACGCGATCCCGTTACCGCGTGTGATCATCCGGGGTACGAGAATGCAGACGGAGCTCGCGGGGAGGAAGATCAGACAATTATTGCAGCAAAAGCGGCAAAGAGGTGGGATTGCGGAGCTGAAGATCCAAACGGCTAGACTCCGGATGGCTTTGGTGAACTTATTGAAGAATAACAACCAGAACCAGGCCACTACCGGTGAAACGGCGGAACAGAACGGGGAGAAGGAAATGAAGGACACGACTGGGCAGGAAATGCTCGCCGCGGATATTTTATCCGATGCGAACTTCTTGGAAGTGTGGAACAGCTGCGGTCGGCTACCGCTGATCAAGACCGTGTTGAACCAGGATCCGTTCGAAATTTTTCACAAAGGAGGACAGCTTGGTATAGAAGTGTTTTTCTTCGTTGTTTTTCTGTGCATGACAGACTGCGATATGCTTTCAGGCTTTGCAACACAAATTTCCTGTTTGTAATGCATGATCTCGAGGACCCATGACAAACATCTCCCTACAGGTATCCGTCTCTCCGGTCCGTACTATCTCGAGCAGGAAGACGACCAACTGATCCGCCGGTACGGCCAGCAGGAGAAGGAGCTCATGAACGCCCCATCGGAGAACCAAACCGTGACCGCAAGTGAGTTACTCGATGCCCCCAACTCGGGTGGACTTGAGCCCAATTCCGGGCCGAGCAAAACCACAGCTTCCTCCTCTCCGACCTTCGTCCAACGGACAGAATCGACCGGCGCCCCCACTGCTTCTACCCTCGTCCAATCGGAGTCGAAGCACGCGCAATTCGGCCGCCAGCCGACGACGGACGATTTGCTCGGCGTTTGGGACTCTTTCTCGTTGGAGAATTCTCCTTCCAGTACGAACAAATGTTCCAACAAGGAGTACCCGGAGGTCGAGGCCAAGAAGAACCGGATTTCCGGGACGATCTCCAGTCTTGCGAGTTCGGGTGGGGTCTTGCCAATTTCCCCGATTTTGTCCGCGACGAATACACCGACGCATGGTAGTAGTACAAACCAGAAGAGTGGTCCGAATAAGTCGCCGATGAATGGATCGCACGGAATCAACGGGGGGAACAATGAACATCGCACGACTTCTAACGGTATGAACGGGGCCAACAGCCACCTCTCCTCCACCAGCTCCCGCAACCCGGAAGAACCGATTCCGAATTTGTTACAAGCGTTGATGGCCGCGGACTTGGAAGATTCGTTGGATCAATCCCCTTCTAAATCTTACCCGATCGACGCGCAGGATCAGCTGGTGAGTAAATCCCCGACGCCCAGGGACAAGTTGGAGAAGAAGGAAGACGACCATTCTGGTTCGAAAAAAATCAAGGGGGTGAACATTTTGAGTCTGTTGCAAGACCCGTCGCAATCGGATAATGTTCTACCGCAGAATTCCGATCGGTCCGGGAATAACAACCAGGAGTCTTCTACCGGGTCTTCCACCGAACAAACGAATTCCGACCAACCAATCGTAATCCGGGAAATCGGATCAAAGGGGCCGAAGGATGCGGAGGCGGATCTAGTACAACACCATACGTTTGACCCGAGCAGAGGCGCGAGTCAATTCGATTCCTGGGTATGAACTGCAAATATGTCTGGGTCTGGAAGGTTGCAACTTGTGATGCTGTCTTCGGATCCTAAAAACATTTGTATTGCATGACCAGGAAGAGTAGATCACTTTGTGCTATGCGAAAAGGGCATTTGTCATGCGGAATAGGCATCAAGACGACCTCTAAAAGTCTGTGGTGCTAGGCCATGCTTTACAAGCATCATGGGTCATGCAAAATATGCATGACAAACTTGGCAACCTTCCAGACCCAGACACTTTTGCATTTGATACTGGGAGCTCCGCGACCACGCGTTCTTCGGATCGCCGGAACAAGTTCGGGGGCCGCTATCAAATGTAAAAATGTCTGGGTCTGGAAGGTTGAAACTTGTCATGCTAAAATCGAATCATGCAGAAATCTGTGTTGCATGAGTGCCAAAAGCTGTCCAGTTTCGACCAAGTTTGGAGGAAGTTTCTCATGCAGGATAGGAATGGCAGAGACCTCTCAGACTCTGTCATGCTAGGTCCCGCATTCCAGACCTCCTGGGTCATGAAAAACCAGCATGACAAGTTTACACCCTTCCAGACCTAGACATTTTTGCATTTGATAGCCGCTTGGGGAGGATGACGCGTGGTTGAGCTGGTTCGACCCGACTTGGTGGAACGATAAAAACGCGTACAACAATAGTGCTGGAGGTGGTTTTGGCACCGATTACAACGCGGCTTTTGGCTCCACTGATTCGACGACGGTTCCCGGTTCGGGCGCAGGTACGGGGAACAGTGGGATTACACAGCAGCCGACTTCTTCTGGAACAACTGCTGCGAATAAGGAGGGTCCAGCAGGAGCTTCTCCAGGTGGAAGTAGCTCCACCGGCGCCGGTTTATCCCCACCCGCTCCTCCCAGTTTACCGGCGTGGTTACAGCAGGAGTTGGATTCGCAACAGTATTTGCAGAGCGGGATCTCCATCCCATCTGGAACCCCACCCTCCGACTCGAAAAACACGAACGCTTTGCAGAGTTACGACCCAGCCACTGCGACCTTCCCTCGTCCGCCGATGCCGACGCGGGCGGTTCCGGAACCGCCAGCTCCGGTGGGGTTTGCTGGACCACCCGGTAGTTCTGCCGCGGGTTTGAACCCCGCGCAACTGGCTTTGGTGCAGCAGCAGTACGAAGCGATCGCCACGATGCAGCAGGCACAGCAACTCCGGGAGGCGGCACTCTACTACAACGCGTACAAAACTGCGTTCATCCAAACCGCAGCCCAGCAATTCGCGGCGCAGCAAGCCGCCGCGGCTTACGGCGTGGCGCAGTTAGCGCAGGCGAACGCGAATGCACAAAGCACTTCTGCGGCTTCTGGGTACAACAATCAGCAGAGCTGGTACGGACAAGGAAATGCAAATTCATCGGCTGGAGTAAATCAAAATCAACAGCAAGGTGGACTACAAAGTCAACTCTATGAACTGCAAAAGCATCGTACTAGTATAAATCGCATGACAAATCCCCTCAGCATGAGAAAGAAAATTTGTAATGCGGATTCAACCTGAGAAAGAAATTTGTAATGCATGAATGCGATTAGTACGAGTGCGATACTTTTGCACAGGATAAACTCCAAAACTCGACGATGACCGGCTCCGAAACCGCCACTTCCACCGGTCAGTACTGGCAATCGGGTATCCTGTGTAAAAATATCCCCACCCCAGAGTTGTAATGCAAATCTGCATGCTTAAAATGTTTCACATGCGGAGACCCATGAGAAGCATTTTCTAGTGGTGATTTGAGATTTGTGATGCCCGCATCAACATGATATGCTAGATCTGTGATGCTGCTCCACTAGCTAAAGACGAGGATTACAATGCGAGCCCAAATTTGTCATGCGCAACAACTAAAACAGGTTGATTTGTCTTGCAGTTTTCCCATCTTGACTATGCGGTGGGGACGTTTGTACACAGGATATCGGGCCAAGAATGGGTTCCTCCGTCCGGGTCCGTCGGCGCCGCGAACCCTTCGTCCGGTCCGCCCGGGCCTCATCCCCCTACCGGGCGGATGAATAACAAGAAAAAAGATACGAAGCCGAATCAGTACAGCCAGTCCCTGTACGAGCAACAAGCGAGCTATGGGGGTGTCAGGATCGAAATCAACAAAATCGAAATGATCTGTAATGCATAAAATGCTACACAAAAAGCGACTCTATTGCAGAGGATGCAAGGAAGACGGATTGTAGTCCTGGTAAGGGTTACGTGTTGGGCTGCTGACTAGCATGACAGAAGGCAGCTCTTTTGCCCTAAACCGCATGACAGATTCGCTTCCAGGGCGGGTAGAATTTGTCATGCGCCGACTACAAACTGTGGGTCTAACTAGCATCGATTTTGTGCATCGCAAGTTTTTCGATTTTGTCAATTTCGATTCTGACACATCCATACGAGCTACTGGAATTCCTTCTACGGTGCGGCGGCCTCGTCGCAAAATACGACCAAAGCGGCCGCGGCCCACGCCCAGGCGGAAGCCATTTCCAAGGCGGAGCAGAAGGCGACTGCGAGTAAGGGATCGAAAGAACCCTACGTGCCTAGCAAAGGTGCGGGTAGTCAGTTCCACAATTACACGACCACTGGGTTTAAACAGGGGCACGCCGGTGGTGGGGGTGGGTTCAGTTACAGCAAGGGAGGGACCATGTACCAGAATAGTGGTGGTCAAGATGTGGAACATCAAGAAGAACAAAGTAATTCAACAGCGGCTCCAAGCAGTCCGGTCCCCGCAGGGTTAAAGAACACTTCCTCCGTTTCCCCAACCTTGTCGATCGAAGTCCCGGGAACGATCGGAAAAGCTGCTGTTAATAACGCCCTGACGAGCCAGCATGCGATCGCGCAGGCGAACGCAGCGAAGGGAACCGCGAATTTCCACTCCTGGGCCATGGACCAACAGAAACAGCCGGTGCGGACCGGGCCGTTGAACGCGTCTACGTTGTCCGCGGAAGAGCAGAAGATTTTGAACGGAGAATTCACCGGTTTGGGAACATCGCCTCCACCCCCTCCGCCGGTGATTTTAGCGTCTAGCTCCGGTACTGCGAAAAATGCTTCTTCCGCTTCCGGTCCGTCTGTTGCTTCGGGGGACAAAGAAAAAACGACTTCCGGTAACAACAATCTCCAGCCTTCCCCGAGCCTGTCTATGAGAGTGCGCAACTCCCCCTCCCCCTTATTTGTAATGCAAAAATGCCAAATCCTGTCCGAGCCTTTTGGCTGTGCTTGCATGAGAAGTTCTGGAAGCCCAAACTGCACTTTGCCCCGTGCGTGGATTTGTAATGCAGAGACTGCATTTCTGACATGCTTTCTGTTGCTAGAAATGCACTACAAATTAGGGGGAGGGGGAGTTGTGCACTGTCATACTGTCCAAGGAGAATTCCGAAGTTCCCTCCGGTACGGTGGAGAAAGAACGCTCCGGCGAGTTGAACGGTTGGGAATCGCTGGAGGAGGATTCTTATGAACTGCAAAAGTATCGTACTCGTACGAATTGCATTTATGCATTACAAATTTCTTTTTCAAGCTAAATCAGCATGACAAATTCCATTTGTCATGCTGAGCTAATTTGTATTGTAATACTACGAGTGCGATACTTTTGCAGTGCATAATTCTTCTGCGTTGAAAGCGGGACCAGCAGTGGGGAATAATAACAAGGAAGAGCAAGTGTCGACCAACGCCGGTTCGCCATCCCCTTCTCCGATCGTGAACGAGGATACAACTCCTGCGAACGCCAGTACAACCCCCTCGCCGAACAGTCAAGCCGGAACAGCTGGAGATAATTCGACAACCGCGCCTAGTTCTCCCGAGAAGATGAAACCGGACACGACTTCCGCCCCGACGATCGATTTTTCCCAGTGGATTTTGAACAACACGATGAACGACAACCAGCGGCAACACTTACTCCGCAACCAAGCCAACGCGGCTTTGGTCGCCGCACAAACCGCCGCGGCGAACGCCAGTCCCAACGCGTCCAAAGCGAGCACGAACCCATTGGAAACCCCGGAAGCACTGGAGAAGATGGTGCAGGATTTGATCACGCCCTTGACTTCTCCCCTGAACAAAAACGCGCCCCCGGGGCACCTCCCGGTGGTCGGGCAAGCGGCTGCGGGGCAGAGTCCTACTGGTTCGGCGAATGATGAGGAGAAGGAGAAGGAACTGGAGGGGACCACTACAGGTTCTGCCGCGATGAAAAAGGGCTCTTCGAAGGATAATTCAGCCTCTAAAACCACCAAAGACACGACCGAAAAAGGTCCTATCAATTCCTGGCTGTTCACCGACCGGATTAACCAGCTGCCGAACACGACAAATTCCTACTTCTCCCCCGGCGGTCTCCGAACCGTCCCGACCTACAACAGCATGAAGGGCCGCGGGGGGCAGGCTTATCCGGAGGAAAGTTTGACGTACCAGTGGGAACAGCACCAACAGTGGCAGAAGCACCAACAGAATCAGCAGCAGAAGCAACAATCTGGCCAGCAGGGGTCGAGTAACAGCAAGGGGACTACTGGAGGCGCCGGGGCTGCTGGGACTACAACTGCAACGACTGGGGCTGCAGCTTCGCAAGGACAAGGTGGTTCTTCTGCTGGGAATAACAATGAGAATTCGATGAACAACTCGCAGAATCAGAACAACAACGGTTCTTCCACCGGAGGTTGGGGATCTTGGAACGGTTGGAGCAACAATAACGGTTCATCTGGTTGGAACAGCAATAACGGAAATAACATGAATGCCAACAACAACGGTTCTTACGGCAACATTGACATGAGCCCGGGCTCTGCCTACCAGTGGAACCAGCAGTACGACCATTCTTACCGGGGCGGTGCCTATGGGAACAAGAAGGGCAAATACTTTTTCCAGTCTTGGCAGCCGAAAAACGCGACGGGAAAACAGCACTACAACAACCAGAACAATAGCATTTGGGGCAACAGCGAGTCCATCGGGGTGGTTAGTGCTGCTGACATGCAGTATAATCAGCAAGCGAATGCTATCACACAGAAAAAAGCAGGCAGGTCAAACTTGTATATGCAAAAATAAATACACAAAAAAATTCGTATTGCATACCCCAAACAGCATGCTACGGGGCCGCCGATGACAAGTTTTTCTCGCCTAGAACACCTCGCGCCGCCTAGAACACCTCGCGCCGCGCCCGTTCTAGTTAGGGTCTACTTTCGCTTCTCTTCTTCTCTTCATTCAAAATCGACAGGATAAGCACACAATAATACGCGATTCGCCCCGGCTACAGTGAAACTTCAATTTTGATTTTACATTGCAATGTATTTGTTTTTGCATTGCAAATATGCCCTGCCAGCTTTTTTCTCTGGGATAAATGCGGTCGCGCAGCAGCAGAACCAGCAGGAGCAATCTGCTTTGGCCGATTACTACGCGAACATTGCTGCGGAAGTGAATAAGGGCAAAGACAGCGGTGCTGGTGGTGGTGGTAATAATCCTGCTTCCAGTACGGACGCGATCGTTACCGCCGCGGAGCCGAACAGTCAAACTTCCGCTTATTACAATTCGCAGCAGATGGCGTTTTCGACGAACATGAAGAAAAAATGGAACGGGGTGACAAATAATGGGACTACAAATGGCACAAGCAACAATTTTTCTAACGCGAACAACAACGAAGTAGAGAACAATTCCAACTACGACAAATCCCTTTACCAAACCGCGCACAACAACCTCGCCAAAGCTGAAGGAGCGGAACTGCCCGGTAGCGGATCTAGTGGCGCGGACGATTACGACCGCGTTGCGGACGTGCTTGGGGCTTTCGACGCTTCCACCATGCCGGCGGGGTCCGGGGAATTTTTATCCGTGAAAGCGGGGGATGTGATTTTGGTGAAAAAGGAAGAAGTGTCCGCTGGCTGGAGTATGGTGAAGTTGAATACCAACGAGGAGGGGTGGATTCCTACGAGCTTCTACCGAATCCGGGAATAGAAGATATGCTGTTGGATGAAAAACGTTTTGGTTGTTCTTTTTTATGTAGGATAATTCTACTGGTACTGATATTGAAAATTTTCGCATGAGGACAAAATCACAGATAGCGCCAGGTAGTTTCGATACCGTCATAGACCTGAGAATCAAGTTCTTGCACTGTAAGTGTATAATGCCATGTCATAGTGTCGTGTAAAAAATGAACATCAGCATAGAGAAAGCGCAGCTGCACATGTAGTGTCATGAAATTTCTATATTCTAAATCACTTGATGTCATCAATGTCGTTGCAGCAAAAGATTCTTGCCGATAGCATTCGAGCACACACCTAACGATTTATTCAGTTTTCATGCGCGAAAAACAGAACTCTGAAGGATTCTTTTTCGAAAATTAGGGAACGCTACAAAAAGCGCTTGATATATTTTGGTTCGAACTAATCTAGATCTAGCCTGCGGCTAGAACACCAGTCACTACTCGTTTAACTTTTACAGGTTTTCATTTTGCATTTGCTTACACTTGTTTTACAAGATTACATCACAGCGCGTTTATATCAGCATTCGGTATACTCGTCATTTTGGCGACGTTTTATCAAGCCTAGCTCATGATCTACTCGAGCTAGTGTATCTACTGCACTTTGCAGTTGTATGTTACAGTTTTTGAAATTCATCTCTATTGCCAAATCAATCTCTATCCAAACGACCTGAAACAGAGGAGAGCAGCTTTCGGTCGTGCAAGGAGTACTAGGGGCACTAATTTTGCTATACAACCTTTACAACTTTACAGATTCACATCTATACACAAAAGAAAACTCCGCCCTCGTGGGTGTGTGTTTTTCCTAGCGCACCATCTGTTCTTTACAGTCCTTACTTTTGACAATTTTACACTTTAGTATTTCAGTTTTTTACAACAATTTCTAGAAGTATTCGCGCAACTTCACTATGGCGAAGGGGCATGAACAAATAGGGTGAGTATATCAGTTATGACACATAATTTTCACATAACACATGCGGGAAGAGTCTTACAAGCATGCATAGGGGAGTATTTCAATATCTAGTTCTATCCGACATAGTTACTTTGTATGTGGAATTACATCACAGGCGGGGTATTTGTAGTTCCAATGGCTCAACTTGTTGTGCCATATCTTCTTGAATGATGCACTACTATTCATCAGTTCTGGCAAAAATCTTTGCTAGAACTCATTAGATTGTTTGAGTTGAAAATTACAGCATACGCATATAACAATCCAAGTATAGGGGAGACAAGCTCTAGCTCATAGAAAACGCATAGGAGATCTTGAAATTGGTACTGTCATAACTACACCTGCTCTAGATCGAGACGCGGCTAGTACATGCGCTGGACAATTTCAAGAGTGCGATGCTATACACGATATCAACATGGGGATAGATCACCTTGATCTGGACCCGATTACTCTTGTATCAGATCACTTTGGGGACATTGTCATACTGGGAAAATAAAATCATAGTTTCTTTTTACTTCGCATAGGTTCCAAAAATTGAATTGAAACGACTCCGCCGTGCTGAGTTGTAGTTGCTCCTTTGCCCGTCACTACTATGGCACGGTGGTAACAACTCCTCGCGGCGCTGGTGAACAAGAAAAGCTGCACTTTCAACAAGGCTGTTGGTGTTCCCCGGCAACCGAAGCGAAAACTTCTTCTGTCTTCGCGCAGCTGCTTCTCGACGCGATGCAATGATTGCACCCCATTATTTTTGCGGTCCTCTTTTGATTGCATTTGCACCGCATTATTTCTGAGTCATCACTTCTTTCCTCCACTTTCAAGTCAGGTTTAGAGAATAAAACAGAAAGCAAAATAGCGTTTCAGCTGGCCAGCGCCAGCTCGAGTAGAAGATGTTTCACCTTTTTCTGGTAAGAAAGTAAAGAGGTCCACAAGTATTCCTCAAAAAGGACTACACGGATCAGTTCTCATTCCAACCGATTTCAACATTCCAAATTTATGGTCTACAACACGCGCACTAATCTTGTCTTCGAAGTTACCACTAGTTTCATCACGCCTACCCAAATAACCCATGAATATGACCCATGACAAAATTTTGATTTGTAGGCAATAGGCATTGGCAGCTCTTTGATTCTGAAAACATGGCAAGCTAAATAAATCATCTATCGTGTAGTTGTATTAGGATAGTCAAAGCCAATCAGAACTTTTACTTCAAAATGCCGTTCGCCGCGGTTTCCACAGCGGACAAAGATGCCGCAATCTTCCTGGAAGCCAGACGGGGTCAGCAGGTGGAGTGTAAGCAATGCGGGAAAGCGTGCATGACGGACGACTGTCCGTACACCTACACGTGTAAAAACGAGCATTTAACCTGGCTCTGCAGCAATGAGTGCGGCGCGCGGTTCAAGAAGGAAATCGAGAAGCAGATCAAGGCCATGTCGCGGATGCACAAAACGCGGTTGAACAACTTTGAACTGATGAACTTAGACGAAGCGATGAAGCGGAACGCTTTAATCTGTCCGGAGTGTAAGGGGTGTTGCCAGTTTTTCGACAATAAGAAAATCCGGGAAGAGCAAACAGAGCAGAAGAAACTAGACGGGGATGTGAATAGCTCGGAAGAGGAAAAGATCCGGGAAAGGGATGAACTAGTCGCGGGCATGGAGCCGGAAGACCAGGACTATGAAATGTTTGCCGACCTTCAGGAGTTTGCGATGGTCGGATATGAAGATGTTGACGAAGACAGTGAAACGGAGGCGATGAATGCAGTGTCGAGGCAAGTGAGGGAACAGAACCGAATTTTTGAAAGCGAGGCGAAGGCTGTGGAATGGCTCGACATGGTCTCCGAAAAAATTTTATGCATTTTGCAAACATATGGATCTGGGTCTGGAACATCAAGGTGTTGCAACTTGTAATGCATACTGTAGATTCATATCACACAAATGCCCATTTTTGGCCATGCTGAAAGTGCATCTGTTCCCATGCGATATATGGTTTTGGTTTTTCTTTTTTTTTGCAAACGAAACAAGCCCTTACAAATAAACCTGTCATGCTGGTGTACCCAGCATTCCAGTCCTCGTAAGAATCTGCATCACAAAATCCTGCACTCATCCAGACCCAAAATCACGTGTTTGCCATGCATAAATTGAGAGCAACCAGTTGATGGCAGATCCGGACGAGGTCGAGGAGGAGGACGACGATTCCTCTTCAAAAGACGACATGAGCAAAATGCACCTCGTTCCGGTTTTGACGAAAACGTTGAAACCGTTTCAAATCGACCGGTTGAAGAAACGATACAGGAGATTCCGCGAAGCATACGAACTGTTTGAGATGCGGAAGCACGAAAAGGCGTTTGAGGCGATGCAGAAGCAGCAGGAACAGATTAAGAAACAGCAGGAGGAGGAGAAGGAAAAAAAGCGGTTAGCGGAACTGGAGAAGGAAGAACAGAAGAAAAAAGAGCAGGAGGAGCGGAAAAGACTCGAAGAGCAGAAACGGAAGGAGAGAGAAGAGAAACTCCGGTTAGCGAAGGAAAACGAAGAGGAGAACGAGCAGGACAGTTCCATGATGGCTACTTCGGAGTTGGAAACGTCTCAAGCGCCAGATTTCGACAGCATGCGGGTTTTAAATTCCCCCCGGAATTACGATGAAAACGGGGAGAAAATCGCCGGTGGAGGAAACAACAACAATAATTCATCTGCTGACAAAGACAACACCATCACCATGGAGGCGTTTGGTGCTTCCGGTGCGGTCTTGAAAGTCAAAAAGAAGAAGCAAGCAGTAGAAGACAAAAACGCAAAGAACGGAAAACAAGCATTAAACAAGCAGCGACAATCCTTCAAGTACCAGTCACGGAAAACCCTCAACACTTTAACCGAAAAACTCGCGGAGATTCTCAACACCAATACCGAAATGCCGGATGTGACAAACGAAACAACCGAGTGGTGCGAAGATTGGATCATGGACCAGCTGGAAAAGAACGGGGAATTGGATTTGTTCAAATACGTGGATAATCTAGTAAGAGAACAGGCCTCCATGCAGTGGTCGGCGTTTCTCACCCACTGTGGCAAAAACGCGAAGAAGAAGCCAAGTCAATTGGATCATCTGTCGCTGATCCATTTTCTCGCTTTCTTGGGTGACAGGGCGCCGGAGATGCTGTCGTTAGTGGATGGGGACGGGATTTTGTACGTGGTCATGCGGATGGTTGGCGGGGAATTGACCGAGTATGCTGATTTAGATAAGAGAAAAACCTGGGCGGAGAATGCGGATAAATCATTACAAAACACGCAGTTAACGATGTTGACACAGACGTCTTCTGCGCAGCTAACGAACAGCGGCATGAACAGCGGTGCAGGCGGTCCTTCTAAACAAGGTGGCAATTTGAACAACCAAAACGGACATCAAGATTCCTGGATGGAGGAAGACGAGGATGACTACCTGGACGACAGCCGGAATTTAGATCAGGACACGGAAGTGGATTCTTACTACGGCCAGAATTCCAAGAATAGAAGAGACAATAATTACAACAACATGCAGATCCCTTTACCGGTAACCACGTCCACGAGGACAGACCAGACAAGAACGAAGTCGAAGGATGAAGTTGAGTATGAGTTCCAAAACCAGTCGGGGCTTGTTCGAACACAAAGCGACGCCGAGTGGTACGACTACAAACCGCCGCCACCGCCGCATATGGTAGAGGTTTTGACGTTTCTCTCTCTTTTGTGTTGTGCTTGCGCATGACAGATTTTTAGAAAGTCGTGGTCGCAAAAAAATGCATAAAACGCATGACGAATAAACCAAATTCTATCACAGCCCACCGCCCACGCCATCTACATGCAAGACCAACAGCACGATGAGTGGGAGAACAATGAGGAATTGCAGGAAATGCTCCGTGGGGATTACAGTAGCTTTCGACACCGAGATTTCCTGCACGACGACGAATCCGATTACAAACTCCGGGAGCAGATGTTCAATCTGGGCAATCTCTCTTCCGCAGACCCAAGTCAGATTGACATCTCCGCGGATTCTAGGACCACTTGCCCACCACTCGCTATGCAGATTGAAGATTTTTCCCACGAGCAGAAAATCCGAAATTGCTTGCGGTTCGTCTCCTTAGAATTCTACAAGTACATGGCGGTGGTTTTGGATGATTACTATCCACTGCAAATATGTCTGGGTCTGGGAACTTGTGATGCACGTCTGCGATTTTTGAAGAGCGCACTTGAATGGGTAACAACGCATGGCAACTTTTTCAGCTGCTATGTTTTGCGTATTCGCATGGCAAATGGCGTTTTTGCATGACAGGCTAGAGGAGCTTTTGTTCGTGCGTATGCATCACAGACCTTAGAGTCATGCCAGAAAGATATGACAAACCGTGCATCCCTCCAGATGACCCTGACCTATTTGCAATGCATAACTACAACCAGTACACAAATTTGGATAAACACTGGCTGCACTTCATCATAAAACTGTGCGAAGACGAAGAATGTGAGGAATACGAGTGCATACCGGGGTCGGAAGGTATTGTATAAAGGAAGCGATTTATTTGCTCGCGTATTTGAACAGAACTTGTGTTGCTAGTCGTGCCAAAAGAGACGTAAACCTGTCATGCATTGCCACCTACAGAGACAGATTATATCACAACAAAAAACAGCCTATTGGGCCGACGTCCGCGACCGTCTTGCGGATGCTTTAGCCACTCTTACCTGGGAGAGCGAAAACCGTGAGAGGGAGCAAAACGGCTATTTCCGGGCGATGAGGGATAGATTCGATTCCGATGATTCGCAAGACATATCAAATGCAAAAATGTCTGGGTCTGGAAGATTGCTGGGTTTGTCACGCAGGTTTCCCATGACCCACGCAGTCCGGCATGCACGGCCTAGCATGACAGATTCTGCGAGATCTCTATCATGCATTTCCTGCATGAGAAACTGCCTCTAAACTTGATCAAAAGTGGAGAAATTTTGGTAATCATGCACCACAAATTTTTTCACGATCCAGATGTAGCATGACAAGTTACACTCTTCTAGACCCAGACATATTTGCAATGCACAAGACACGCGTAACTGCTACTCTGTATCCGGCGACAATATTTATTTCAAAGAGCAGTACCTGGCGGAGTGGTTCGCGGACATCAACCAATTACTACCGGAAAGAAGTTGGAGAAAATTAAAATGCAGCAAGAAAACCTCGCTCGGCGAGAAGGTTTGGTATTTGAACACGGTAACGCACGAGTGGTTTTACGAGGATGATGTAGAGGCGTTCGGATGGCGGAAGTTTTTAACGCCAGTGCAGCAAAGGGAGGTGAAACCTGACGGAGAAGACGATTTTTCAGACATGGACACGGAGGATGATGCTCGAGGACGGGCGAGAAAGAACCAGCAAAACGGAAGTAATGGGATTATTACGAATGGAACAACTTCGAATCATGTCCCAGACCACGAAAATAACGTGAAAACGTTGCCAGTGAAGAGCTGCAGGTGGTTTTTGAAAGTGAAGGAGCCGGGAATTGGCAGGTGGTTTCATGCGAATATGAAGGGATAAAAAGAAAGTAGTTCTTGCTCTTTATCTTTTTCTCTATTTCCCCGCCCGTTTGCTAAAAATTTTGGATTCGAGGCGGTTTGATGTCACAGGATTGGGCCTCGGGAGGGGGCGCCTTGATTCAAACGTAAACGTCCATGTCATACTGAAGCGTGAATCTGCCGTTTGCGTGTAGAACAAAAGCGAAGTTTCACTTCTATTATATTGAGTTGGAGGACCCCCATGTTGACCCTGCGATGATGAATTACACCCCAGAAAAACAAGCGACCACTTTTGCGTGAAGAAGGGCCAGAAGAATGCCCTTCTTTCCCCTCCTTTCTAACTCCATTGTATCATGAGCATGACTTTCAGAACAATTCTGCCCACTCAGCGAAACAAGAACCCACTCTGGTCCAAAATCTTTATGGCAATGCGCAATAAAGGATCCGGCTGTTTCGATTGATGCAGCAGTACAGGTACGTTCCGTGTTCCGCTTGTGAAGATAAGTAAAGTATTTACTAATAGGATGACACTTCGAAACGAAACCGGAATTGCGGTTTTGAAGCGCCACAGGATTCACACAGCAGCGCGCCGCGCGTCATGTGTGCCGTGGCGTGATGGGCTGGCTGGTGGCGCTCGGGTTAGCGGGTGCACACACAAGCACGAGCATCCGCGAGCCCCGCGCGCGGGGGAGAACGCGGCCCACCCCATCGCCGTGATGACGGCGCCGCACATGCAGCCCACGTGTGGCACTTGTTTGCGTGCTGGTGTTTCTGGGGGCGCTATGACGGCAGCAGTGCCTTCGCAAAACCCCAGCGCATTAGAGAAGGTGGAACTTTCATGCTGTGCCCATGTTGTACCCCCTAGCAGGCTGCTACGCTCGTACCGCTAACGATTGACCGCAGCAAAGCCGCCGGCGCGTTAGTATCGTATCCGCGGCCGGCTACGTGGGAAAGCGGAAAAAATGAGGCGGGGGGCATTCATGGCGGCAAGGCCGGCGCGCGCATGATCTAAAATCCCGCCGGCGGCCGCGGGGCTGTTTGTAGTGGGCCCGCCCCGCGCCCAATCCGGCCCGCCCCCGTCGCAGCGACTTCCGTGCAACAGCGCGAAGCAGAGAACACCGGGCGACATAACAAAACGGCCCGGGGCGGCGCGCTCGTTCTTTCTTCTCGTTGTAGCAACGACGCACCCACCCGCGCCCCCGCGCGGTTCGGCGAACCTTCCTGCTATCGGGGGGCGCGCGGCGCGGGCAAAGTAAACCAAGGGGCCCCGGGCGGGGGCGGGGGGTGGCTCTGCGCAGCCCGGTGGCGCCGTGGCGCTCGTTGCCGGCCCGCCGGCGGGACGGGCTTAGGGGCGCCCCGAGTCGGGCCGCGGCCTTGCCCCGGAAGGATGGCGCTCTGGGAGTTGCGAACAGGAGGGGGCAGATTGAGCAGGGCCCCACTGCTGTCAATGTTTGAGCGCCAGCGCCGCGCCACTGGCCGCCTGCGTGCCTCGTTTTGTTTGAATCAATGGCGCCGGCCTGCCCCCCAGGCCCGGCCGGCGGGGCGCCCGGTGTGATGGCCTCGGCCCGCCTCTTTTTTCGGGGGCGTGCGGGCGCCGCGCGCGCTTGCCGGCTGGCCTCGCTTGGTTGCGGCCCTGCCGGGCCCCCCGTATATTGCAAAGCCGCCCTCGCCTCGGGGGCAGGGCCGGCGGCCCGCCGCAGGCCGCCCGGCGTACGTTAGTTTCCTTCGGCTATGCCCGGCCCGGCAGCCGCGGTCCCCGGGGCCCGTTCGTTGCCATCTTGGCGCCATTCTTTCATTGGCTGCCCTTCCTCCGTTTGCCGGGTGGTGGGGCCCCCCGCCCACTCGCTCGCGCCCTCGCGCGCCAGCACGCTGCCGGGCTTGTGTGCGTCGGCTGTGCCTGCCCGGTCGGCACTGACTCGTCCCGCCGCCGCCGACGCGTGCCCTCACTACTCCGCGCGCCCGCGCGCAACAGCAGTTCTTTGCACGCATGTATGTGTATGCTTCTCCTGTGCGGGGTGATGTGACTTATAGGCTGGGCAGCTTCGCCCGCGATTTTGATTTAATCCTGCAAGGCGCGCGAGCTTTCCTGTGAAGATCATCCGGCTCCGGACGCAAAAAAAGGATAGCACCAGCATGGAGATTTTATTCTTTTCATTTTAGCTACTGACACACAGGCACACCGCACTCACTTGCTTAGCTACTGACACACAGGCACACCGCACTTTCGTCACCTGTGCTGCGTGTCAGATGAACACTATCAGCGATGAGGCGACCTTCTTATGCTGCAGCTAACGCTAAGTAGAGATCCCGTCCGTCTTCCTTGTACTTTTGGCCTCTTGCTGTAAGAACATATTTAGTTTTCCACGGTAAGTAGAAGAAATCGAAGCTGACAGCTACACAGCGACCTTCTGCTTAGACGCACAGACAGAAACCCTAGCTTTTCCGCCGACCTCCTCCTAAAACGTAATCCATTGGATTCATTATCATTTTCCACTTGTAAAAATCACAAATTCTCAAACAAAGCACCATGCCGACCCAGCAAGAGACTCTTCAGCAGGTCGCCCAGGCGAAGACCTACAAGGACGCGGGGAACGACTTTTTCAAGAACAAGCAGTACCGCAAAGCCCTGGGCCGCTACCACTTCGTTCTCCTCCACGTCAACGGGATCCACGACCCGGACGAAGGAAATCAGGGCCCGAAGGGGCCGAAAGCGACGACGTTTGGGGAGGAGGACAGCGGCATGGGGATCGCGAAGATGATGGCGGAGCAGTCGCAGAGCAAGGAGGAAAAGCTGGAGAAGACGAGCCTGGAGGAGATCAGATTATTGAAAATCACAACGAGAGTCAACATGATGACCTGCTTGCTGTTACTGTACGAGGAGATTTGTGAGCAGCAGGCCCAGCCGATGGAGGTGGATGATCATCCGATGGAGATGACTGGTGACTTACCATCGCCAGGCGGGAACAATCAGAGTAGCAATGCGATGGACGTGGACGACGACGCAGCTGGTGCTAGCGCGGTAGCTACAACTGGTAGTGCGGGAAGTAGTTCCAGTACGACAAATAATCAAACACCAACCACCAACCCTGATTTGCAGAAACAGGAGGAAGAAAAATCCAGGCTCCTTTCCCGTTGTATCGAGGAGGGGAAGAAAGCGGTAAATTTGGTCGAGAAATTCCCCAACTTGCCCTATCCGAGCGGGGCGCAGTACGCCGGAAAGCCGTACTTCAAGCTCGGCCAGGGTTTTTTGAAGGAGAAAAACGTGGAAAAAGCGGTGGAAATGTTCGAAATGGCGGGGAGCAAAGGGGGTATTGACTGCCGAAAGGAGATGAACGAATGCAAGGTGTTGAGAAAACGAATTGAGAAGGAAGATTCCAAGCGGATGCAAATGATGTTCGGCGGGAAGTTGAGATGAGGGTCGTGAAGGTGACAGGGATGAAGGATAGTTTTGATTTGTGGTGCATCTTGTAGAAGCAGCGGCGCGGGCCATTGAGGTGCTGTGCTTTGGATGTAACTAGGGATCTCTTGTTCCTCTGCGACGGAAGCATTCACATTGAAGTTCACCACACTATCACGGCGTGCTGAAATAAAACAACAAGAAAGAAAAGGCAACACGTAAGTGTAGTGCCTCCAGAGTGCTTTTTTAGCTTTCCTTGGTAAATAAAACTGCAATGTGTGTTCGGCCTCTTCTCTATGACTGACCTCCAATCCGAGTTTGAGGACCTGGGCCCGAGTCAACCGACTCCGCGGCGCATGCGTCGGGATCGCAACTTGGAACATTTTTCTTCAACGGCGAAGGAGTGGCCTATTGCGCGGGCCATTCCATAAAAGGCGGGAGCTCTCGGCGCGCCTAAGGGCGCGGCCATCCTAATGCAGCGGGGCCGCGAAGTTCGGCGCTGCTGTTGTTGTGGCGCCGGCTGTGGCCGGCCCGCCCGCGGAAGCGGACGCGCCTGGTGCAGATGCCCGACCCATTTGGGGGGCGGGCCCTGGGGGGCCGAGGGGTGTGCTAGGGGGGCGCTGTGGTGCGCGTAGCTTTTTCGGCGAGGCCGCGCAAGTTTGGCGCGGCGCGCACGTTCTCCGGCTCCCGCGGCTAGGGGCGGCAGCCGGTGAGCGGCGCGCTTTTCCTGGCGCACCGGAGTGGCGAGGGGAATACCCGAAAAACGAAGCGGGCCGCCATATGCCGAAGCCGGGCCGGGGGGCGGCCGCGGGTGATCGTTTTGCGCCGCCCGACCCCCGCGAATTTGCCGGCCGCCGCCCCCGACTGGGCCGGCGGCGCCGGCTTCCCCATCCCCCCGCGCGCCCGGGCGTGTGGGGTCGGGGGGGGGGGGGGGGTGCGCACCATGCCGGCGCCGCTTCGTTCCCTTCCCCCATCTTATGCGCCCGCCGCCATCGAAAGGGCGGCCGGCCGGGCCGGTTCATTGGGGGCCTTTTTGCCGCCCGCAGGGCAGTCAAGTCTGCCTACCGAGCCCTGACTTCGGGTCCCCCCGGTCCGCCATCATCGTGCCGCCCCGGGCCCCCTTGGCTCGTTGTCGCGGATGGCTAGGAGGCCCGGGGCCCCCCAACTCGCTTGCGCCCCCGCGCGCTAGCTTGGCCCACGGGCAAACTAGCGCAGCGGCCAAGGCAGAAGCAATCTATCGGCGCAAGTGCGGCAGGTATGGATGCAAGATCGTTGCCTCTCGTATCTCTGCGACTGCGCGCATTCTTCATTTTCAGCATGAGTGTGGCAGCACGACGGCGGCTCTCGAAATACTTGCCATAACTGTTTTCACCCCCGTGGCAGACATGCAGCAGCGTTCGTTCTCACCGTCGGGCCTTGTGGTGCTCACAACCCTTGCGTCTCCGTTTTCAGCCAACGCAACCTCACTACCTAACCCAGGAACAAAACTTAGGGCCTGCTACGGTACGCTGACAGATTCCATTTGGCGTTTTGTCACGACTCTTTTTCAAATAAGTAATGCTAATGCTTAAGCTTAGGCCGACAACTGTAAATGTAATGAAACGCAAACGCCTTTTCCTTTCAGAGACTCGTTTTCTCTATCTTTGTCTTTTACGTTCTCGACAATAAAGATCTTTTTTCGCACGCCAAGTTTTTGAAAATGGCGTTCCTTTTCACAACTTTTCACAACCTGCTCGTCCTTGCTATGTCGATTCTGCCGAGCCCATGGCGCGCAACCACGATCTCCACGACTGCAACTGCTTTTGTACTAACAACAAAAACGGCCGCCATGATTCCCCGGCGGCGCGGCCCCTTTCTTTCGCTCGCGTCGCTCCAGCTGGCAACCACGGCGCTCTTCGTGGACGGCAGGTTCCAGCTGGCCCGCTTTCAGAGGAAAACGCGGATGACGTCGATTCCTAGCAGCGACGATTTCCATGATGGGCGCCAACCTACTTCCAGCCGACGTCGTGCGGTGGATGCCGGGGAAGATGGACATCAGACACAGGAACAACCGCAGCGGCGCCGTGTTTCCGCTGACCCACCGTTCTTATCCGAGGAGCAGTTGGCACAACACCCGCAAAATGAAACTCCTCTACAACGTGTTGCCAGGAACGCGACTGGGTTAGTGACCACCCAACAACAGCAGCAGATTAACTCTCAACAACTGAACCCTGTGATGCAGCTACCGCCGTTACAGATACCGCAAAATAATTCATCATCTCCAACATCTCCGGTTGCGGCAGAGACGTCGCAGTTCGGCGGTGTATTCAACAGCAGCTTCCAGCAAAGCCCGCAGGAACATCAAATTGGTGCAGCTGCTTCAGGCGGCGCTTCCAGCTTTACACCCGGAGAGGACCATCATCATCTTCAACAACGTCCCCCGCTGGCCCCGTACCCGCATCTCCCACCGTTACCCCTGTCCAGTCCGCGTGAATCCGAGCCCAACTCCGAGGGGGTCAGTTCCAGGTTTGACGGGAGCTCTTTCGGAGGTCATGACCACCGCGGAGTACTAGAGCGGCCCTCCTTCGAAGACCACAGCTCGGAAGAGCACGGTATGTCACGCGGCACGAATGAACGTTCGCTGCTTACAAAACTGAGTCTCAAAGTCCATGCCCGTGGCGGCGCGGACACCGCCGGGACCACGTCGAATACCGCTTTTGACCAAACGGGAAGGTACTATTCTCGACAACCAGCCGAGGAGAGAATTGAAAATATCTTTACCCACGAGGACCACGCAATGGAGGCGACGACGAGAGAAAGAGCTACAGGAGACATCAACTTCAACGCAGTAGAGCGCCGGGAAAGGACTACCGAAGCTGGCCCCAGCGCATCTTCTTCCCTGGCATTTCTTCACAGCTTGGCGCGGCAAGAACTGCAGCCTCCGGACTCTGGGCGTGGAAGCAGCTCCCGGTTTGACAATTCGGAAGATGATTCCGATAACGCTGCTTCCGCCGTGGCGCAAATTGGAGGTTGCGCGGGAGCAAGTTCTTGCGTTGCTGCTGTCAAGACAGCAGGACAAATTTTTGGTGATCAAGAACACCCGAGCCGTCCGTCTGTGGAGCGAGTCGTCGACCATATTAGTGTAGGAGCTGGCGAAATGCCTAAGCCGCAGTCCGATGTTGAAGATGATTTATTTAGTCGAGAATCGAGCTTTGTCGAACACCGTGGCGGGGCAGCGAGACACGACCACCAGCATGGAGTCACGACCGATGGTCGTGGACAAGAAACTGCAGTCGTCTCCATGGAGAGTGCTTTCTACGCAGTTCCAGGCGACGCCCACCATCCGAGGAATATCCCCTACACCCGGAACAATCATCGGCAACAGACTGTCGACTCTGACCGTCACTCAGAACAAGGTCACGCGAGTTCTCCCGGAGGTAGTAGAGGCGAGGAAAACAGGCCTACAGGCGAAAGAACTCCCGGTCCGCGCCGAACTGCCGACTCTGGCCGAACTTCTAGTACCTTGGCAAGACTCAGTTTGGAAGTGCACACAGGGGGAGCTGCTGATGAAACATTGAATGCGGAAGGTGGAGACCACGTGGGAGCAACAGCAAGGGAAATCTTAGGACTGCAACAGCCCCGGCATGATCAACAAGTCGGACACGACCAATCACCGCCCTTGGTCCCAGTCCACCCGTCTCGGCGGATCGAGCAGTTGACTACATTCGACATGGTTCTTGCACAACATCAACCGGAGCAAGAGCCGGAAATTGATGATACCATGTTTCAGCTATCTCCGACGGCATCGATGATCTCCGGTGGTACTACGGGAAATCAGATGTTGGTGACACGCGGGGGTTATGGCGATGTTTCGTTCGCAGGCGGACCGAATAAACCTCCGGAGCACGACATGCCAGATTTCGCCGAACAGCGGCAGCGGGTACAGGAATTCCTTGCTGCATCTAGAAGTACTGCCGTTAGTCAAGGCCCGGGGCAACAAGAAGGTCTGCACCAGCTGTATCAACAACAGTCGCCCCCTGCTGGGACTACAGCCGCGACTTCCTCCAATCGCCAACCACGAACATCAGAATCCTTTGTCGTCGATGAGCAGTACCTGCAGGACACGCGTTTTGAAACGGACAGTTTGGCCCTCTCGCACTCCTCCGGCACGACCGGCCGTACTTCGGACGCCAACACGATCGGAAGTAGTGCCAAGAACCCCCGAGGAACGAAGGGCTCGCGGAGCGGCAAGAATCGCGAGAAATTCAACAGTCAATTCAGTCAACTTTCCCGCGCCTCGCGATTCGACAGCAATCTCAGTTCCTGTCCGAGTCAGGATTTAGTTGAATCACCTGGAGGTCCGTCAGGCTCCCCTAGCTGCCATGATTTGGAGCCGGTCGGGGTGGGAGATGGTAATTCATTATTTCCCAATGGGAAATTGTCATCAGAAAATGTTGCCGCCTTCACCAGATACTACTCCCCGCCGGATGGGTCCAGTAATTCCGAGGGGGGAATACCTCCTACGCCTTTCTCCCGGTACGTGTCCGCGCAAGAGCAGGGAGAGGAAACATTAGCACAAGATCAAGGTCTTCAAAACCGCGAAATAGAAGATCAAGGTCAACAAAACCGTGCTCGGAGTTGTACTTCGTTTGAATATGGTCACGTTGTCACGCCGCATATTATCATTTCGAGCACAAGAACTGAAGACGGGAGAGAAGGTGTGGAAAGTAGCCCGCCTCCGGGCTCAACAGCGGGACTGACTCAACACTATCAAATGTAAAAATGTCTGGGTCTGGAAGATTTCTAGCTTTGTGATGCCTCTACAGCATGAGAAATGACCTCTCCGCGTCGCACAAACTGGAGTCCTCTTGCTGGTCATGCAATACAAATTTTTTCAGAGCACAGCATCACAAGCTTAGAATGTTCCAGACCCAGACACTTTTACATTTGATAAACGCCACGTTTTGACCAAATCTTCCGTGGGTTCGTCCACCTCCGCCGGCGGGGTCGGAACCCGGAGCGGGAATCTCACGCTGTCTCAGTCGCAAGAAAACAACACACAGTGGAGCCGGTTTGTGACACCGGAGAGTAACAACGGAATAAACGTTGGTGAATCAGAAGCAGAATCTTGCGGTGGCGCCGCGTCGGGCGCGTCCGCGAGCAGCATGTCGGTTTCGCCTTCCCGGTCGATTTCGAAGGGGCGGAACAGCGGGTGCGGGGAAGGTACTGGCAGTATCCCGGAATCGGTGTCGAGTTTGGTTGTATCAAATGCAAAAATGTCTGGGTCTGGAAAGTTTGGAACTTGTGATGCAAACTCTGGAACACACAAAAATTTGTGTTGCATGGGCGCCAAAAGCTGTCCACTTCTTGGCACGCAAGTAGGAAGTTTCTCATGCGGGACAGGCATCATGACGCTTGCTCAAAACCTGTGATGCTTTTGCCTGCACCAGACGCCATTTGCGTGATCCGAAACATGCATGACAAAGCGCCGATGTCTTCTGGGAGCACCGGCGCGTCAGTTATCTCAGCTTCCAGTTGTCGTGGGGGAGTCGAGGTCGACACGCCCCGAGTATCAAATGCAAATATGTCTGGGTCTGGAAACTTGTGATGCTGGGTGGCGTATCACGAAGAGGCCACAAGTGCTGGCTCAGCATGGCAATTTTCTGAGCTTCTAGGTGTTGCCTATTCTGCATGACAAACTGCGTTTCTGCATGACAGAAAAGTGGGGCTCTTAGGAAATGTGCATGACAACTTTCAGAGTCATGTGAGACAAGCATGACAAAGTTGCACACTTCCAGACCCAGACACTTTTGCACTTGATACCGCGGTAGCGAGAACAACACCGGGAGTGCCGTTGGCGCCGGGGGTGGAGGGGGTTCCAGCACGGGAACAACCTCAGCGAGGGCGATGAAAAGGGAAAGGAGCAAGGAGCCAGTCGGAGGTGCGACTTCTGGGGTGCAACAGGTGAAAACTTTGGATACAATCATGTCTGCGGGTGCGGATTCGGTAGAACAGTTGCAGATGATCCAAGCAATGGATGTGGCGATGGCGGAGTATGCGAAGCAGGGCGACGGCGATTTGGATAATTTCCGAGACCAAATGGACGACGGTGCTGGAGCAGAAAAAGAACGAGCTCAGTATCAACAACTACAGCAAGGACGATCGGCATCCCCAACGCTGGCATCGCAGCAGCTGCAGACCCAAATTCAAACTGGTCCTACTTCTTCGCAAGTAGAACATTTTTCCGCCGTGCAGCGCGACCCCCGGTTTTTCACCGCGGATGTCGCCGATTTTCAAGGCAGCGGTAATACAGGTCCTCAAAACCATATTTCCTGGGAATCCGACGTGACGGAGGACATCGACAAGCTCGCACCAGAAGGGTACCTTCCCTTTGCCAGAGCATCTGCGTCTGGTGCTGCTGTATCCTGTGTAAAAGTATCGCACTCGTAGCAATCGACGGCGCAGTCAACATGCATTTACAAATCTCCATCCCAAGGTAAAACAGCATGACAAACTCCATTTCTCATGCTGAGTGAATTTGTCATGCGATTTCTACTAGTACAATACTTTTGCAATGCATAAGCTGGATCACACAACACTTTCGACCACCAGCTCGCGACGGAACAGCAACTTCGGGAACTCATGCTCGCGAGAAGAGGATCCGCAGCGGAGATTGAGGCGCAGATCCGGGCGTTACAAGCCGGTGCGGTAAGTGGGAGTTTTGTTCCTGAAGGTGCAGCTATTATGGGTCCTTCTGGTAGTCAAGATCCTGCTGATCCCACTTCTTCTGCGCCGGAGCAGGTTGTTGCTTCGGGGATGTTGTTTCAAGATGATGAAGACCACCATGGTGCTGAGAGAGTACTACCAACCACTGGGACCATCGACGAACACGCGCTGCTGCGGCAAAGATATCTCGCTGAACAGAGACAGTACGAACAACAAATTGACCTCGTCCAGGAGCAGCAGCAACAGCTGCAAGTGCAACAAACTCAGCAATACACTCCCCCCGCCGGTCCACCGAGACCGCAATCCGCATCAAACGTTGCGGCGACGAGGAAAAAGATGTCGCCGTGGTACCATCCAGGTCAAGCGAGCGTGTTTGCGCCGCAGCCGGAATTGCAGGCTGGCTCTGCACAACAACAATTATATCCTGGCACTGATCCTGGTCCTTCTATGGGAAGTGCTGCTCAACATCAAGACCAGATGTTTGCTGCCGCGAACCCGCAAGCCCAACACGTCGGCGTCGCAGGGGCTCCGTATAATATTAACCCAATGAATAACGCAGTTCTGGTCCACCAGCACACTACTATTAGCCCGCACCTGTTACCTGCTCACCAGGCTTTTCATCTGCAGCAGCACTCACAACCACCATTTCTGCCTCCTCAGCATTCGCAGCCGTGGCCGACGCATGTATTTCCAGCTCCCGGGCAACATCAACATGCACAACTGCCGTTCAATCCAAATGCCCCGCAGCCGCAGCAGAATTTGTATCAGCACGGAGTACTAGTGGACCATCATCTCCCCGCCCCGGAACATGCTTCCCCGCCGGAAGTTCCCTATACCAGTCTGCCCCCGTTGGAAGCCATTCGGGAGCAGAACTGGACGCAGGAATCACTCCCTTCTATGGTGGGGGAAGCCGGTGCGATGCAGAGCCAGGTGAGCTGCAGTGTGAGTTCTGTGGCACCGGCGGGCGGCCAGAACAGTGGCCTTTCTCCTGCCGAAAGATTCTCTTCGTCCGGCTCGTCGCAGCCACCACAAGCAAGGCTCTCTGCGGACCGCTTTAGCTCCGACGGAGGAAGGTCCTCCGGTGCGGGAACTAGTACTCAGAACAAGAGGTTGAACGTATCAAAAGGAAAAATCCCCCCTCCCCATATCAAAACGGAATTCTGTGATGCAGATTTGTTGTCACAAATCAGCTTTGTCATGCTACACGGGAAAAGATGCGGACTGTAGTGCTGGGTGGCGTGGGGGAGCCTTGCATCTTCAGCATGATAGGAGGCAGCTGAGAGTGGGAAACAGCATGACAAATTGCCTGCAAACGAGACCACGACTGCGGCTCTTGGCCTTCTAGCATGACAAGTCGATTTGGTACCTCAAATCCTGCATCACAGATTTCCATTTCGATATGGGGAGGGGGGATTTTTCCGTTTGATAGAACGAGGGACGGTTCACGTCCGACCAATCTTTTGCTAGCCCAGCGGGAATATGAAATGTAAAAATGTCTGGGTCTGGAAGGTTGGAACTTGTCGTGCTAAATCTGAATCATGTAAAAATCTGTGTTGCATGAGTGCCAAAAGCTGTCCACTTTTGACCTAATCCAGAGGCAGTTTCTCATGCAGGATAGGCATCATAGAACTCTCACGGAATCTGTCATGCTATGTCCTCCATACCAGACCTCATGGGTCATGGGAAACCTGCATGACAAGTCTGGCAATCTTCCAGACCCAGACATTTTTACATTTGATAGGGAACGGAGGTGGGCGCGACAACTCCTGTTGCCCACCCGGGAGGTGGTCAACAGACATCGGCTCCGGGAGCAGCAACAGGTAGTTTGTGGCAGGGTGCGTCCCCCGCGACTGGTTCCTCTCCGCCGTTGCCGTCCTGTTTCGGGAGCGGCAGCTGCTCCGGTAGCAGTGTCGCCGCCGCGGCGGCAGTTGACAGTACAGTAACGACGCAGATGCCGCTTTTATTGACAGTGTCGCAAGACAAATTCTACTCCGCTGAGAGCACGACCTCGGTGGCTCTGCAGCAAGATCGAGATAGACTTGTAAAAGGAGGATCAGTGCAACAGGATCAGGCAGCTGGCCCGTCGGCGAAGCAAATGTTAATGGAGAGTATGCGAAAAGAGATTACGGAACTGGTTAGGAATAAACCAACTGGCTCTACATCTGGTACGGCTGGGACCGAAAGTAATTCGCCTGCTACAACTGCGGCGGCACCAGCAAGTGCGGCTGCTGGTGCAGCTGCCTTTACTTCATCTGCCGCAGAAGAAATTGCAGAAGAGGCACGGCTGCAAGAACGTGTCGAAACTTCTGCAGAGGAAGAGGAGCACAAGCAAGCGGAGGCAGAAGTAAAGCCTCCCCGTAGAGACAAAACCCGCCGCCAGAGGCTGCAAGGAGCGGAGCAGCGAGAAGCGGCGGCTGCTTCCGCTTCGGCTGCCGCGGCAGCCGATGTTGCCCGGGCCCAAGAACAAGAAGGAGGGCATGATATTCCAGAAAAGCCAACTGAAGATGAGCAACAGGGAGGTCCCCCGCAAGAGCAGGATCAGCTTCTGAACTACTTCTTCTGGCAGCAGCATATCAAATGCAAAAATGTCTGGGTCTGGAAACTTGTGATGCTAGAATGTGGATGATGGAAAGAGTTCCGAATGCAACCCAGCATGACAACTTTCCAGAACGCTCTCTCATAGGCAATCCGCATGAGAATTTGCGTTTTTGCATGTACAAAAGAGGTCGCGACTTTTGTTGGTAATGCAATAGATACAGATATTCTAGGTATGGAAAGCTAGCATTACAAGTTCCAACCTTCCAGACCCAGACACTTTTGCAATCCATACAGCAGGAGCAAAGACGATTGGCCATGCTGCAGCAGATTCAGAGTTTGCAGCAGGGTGGCGCTGTGCCGCCGGCGGGCGACCCCCAGCAGCAGCAGCAGCAGCAGCAGATATACGTCAGCAACCAACAAGCTCTTGCTTCGCAACAGCAGCATGATCGCGACAACGTTCATCTGCAAACTCCACATCTCGGGACCGGCCCTGGCGCTGCGTCGTCAAGTGGCCACGAAACCGACGCGACGACGACAGCTCATCGTCCAATGGATCTGGGCGACTTAACTGAAATTCCCGGGCTCTACCAAGCACGTTTACACGAGAGGAACCAGACGGCTCAACTGATTCAGCAGTCTGCTCCGCTATCACAAGCGAGCAGCGCCGGAGCTACCCCAGGCGCTCCTTACTTCGCCGAGTCGATGGAAGCTGCGACAAGCCAAGACCTGCTCGAACAGAGGTTGAAGCTGCTGCAGGATGGGGCAGTATCGTTCGACTCGAAACTGAAAGACGCCATGACAACAGGCGTAGACAAGGTCAAATTCGAAGAAATGCTGGCGCATTCGGAAGTTTTTCAGGCGGAAATGATAGAGCAAGATAGAAAGTTGAAACAGGAGAGGACGAGACTACTTTTGAAAAAGTCAAAACATCATGATCTTCAGGCAAGTCAACAAGAAGAGCAGGAGCCGCGGAGTTTTAGCAAGCGAGTTCCGGACAGAGAGGACTCACTTGACGATATTGAGAGGAAAAATCCCCCCTCCCCATATCAAAACGGAACTTCTGATGCTGGATTTGTGTACATAAATCAGCTTTGTATTGCAGGAAGGCACTGCGGCCAGATACCCAGGCTAGGCAAGGGCGTATGGGTCTAGTTCTTAAGCATGGCAAACTGCTCCCCTCTAGGCCCAACAGCATGACAAAGCGCTTCCATAATGGGGCGGAAGCTTCTGCCCTTGTCTTCTTGCAAGAAAAATGTGATTTGTGACCTCAAATCAGCAACACAAATTTCCGGAAACATGCCTTTTCAATATGGGGAGGGGGGATTTTTCCTTACGATAGACGAAGAAGAACTTTCTATGGACAGTGACATGGACTGGCTGCGGCAAACGTCAGACCCACAGGGGACACATGACAGAAAAAACCGGGAATTTTTATCTGGAGAGTTCGCCGGCGAAGGAAATGCAGTAGACTCACATGCGGGAACAATTCCGCAACACGCAAAAACTGCGGACGTGCTACCGACCATGCCGCTGACACGAGAGAATTTAGCACGGCAAAAAGACTTATTGCGGCAGCAGCGACTCAGACAGAGTTTGTCCGCGTTGGGAGGTCAAGCTGGTCAAGAACTACTACATCGGCGCGATAAAAGCGTGCATTGCGGAGGGGAAAGTGCAGCTGCTACTGCTGTCCCTGGTCAACATCTTCCAGACGCCGGACAACCATCCGCGTCTGCGTCTCTGGGCGGCACAGTCAGCTATCAGCTCCACTGCCTGCTCGTCCAGCAGCAGCAATTGCGGGAGCAACAGAAATATCAAATGCAAATATGTCTGGGTCTGGAAGGATGCAAGGTTTGTCATGCACATTTTGCATGATTCCTGATGTCTGCGATGCATGCCCTAGCATCACAGATTTTGTGAGGGCTTCCTCAAGCCTATACCGCATGAGAAATAGTACCCTCTCACCGTGGCAAAAACTGGACCGCTTTTGCTGCTCATGCAATACAGATTTTTTTAGAATCCAAATGCAAATGCAGCATCACAAGTTGCATCCTTCCAGACCCAGTAGACATATTTGCAATGCATAAGAAACAGCAGGAGCTCCAGCACGAAGAACTGCAGCGACAGCTTTTACAGCAGCAGCAAGTGCTGCAGCAACAGCAATTTTTGCAGCAGCCGCAACAGCACCATCTTCCAACAAGTGCCATGAGCGACATCCCCTACGAAATGCGGGACATGTTGAGTACCGGCGGACTGTGGGAAAATGAGGGTAGTTCTAGCGGTGCATGGGGCGGAGCTGCCGGTGCACAAGCAGCAACACCTTCTGCACATCAACAACCGTTCTTGCAAGATGTTGAGCCAGGTCTTCTACAAAATATTAACCCAATGCCTCTGCCTCCCAACCCTACCATGGAACAGCTACCGCACGGTCCACACGAAGGTGCTGCTGCAGCTGCAGCCGCTGCAATTGATAATCCCCCGCCTGTGTACTATGGAGGCACGATGTTGCACCAACCACAGCTGTTTCCCTACTTCCGTCCGCCTCATTCCGGGCCACCCTCAAGTACTAGCACTTTCGGCGGGTCCGCCTATCACCCCCACAGCGGTAGTCAAGAGTTCGGACAGCAGCTTCGGGTTCGACCCCCACCGAGTACCGATAGTGCCAAGGAAGCCATGGCGGCGTTGGACTTATTAGAGGCGATGCGCATTTTATCGCCAGAAAAAACTGTTTCACTGTAAACTTGTAATGCAGAAAATGTATCTCACAAGTGTTTGTCTTGCTACACATGCAAGACAATGGATTTTTAGCTGTGTTTTCCCTTAGGAACCTTGCATGGCAAATTTTCTCTGTCATGTAGAACAAACTTGTGATGCAAAACCTGGAAAATCCTTACAGTGAAACACTTTTTTCGTATGATACATTTCCCCACCGGCCAGTCAGCCGGGGACCCAGTACGATGGGGGGCAGCAGCACCAGCAACACGGAGGGCAACATCACTACGTGTCCCCTCCGGGTAGCGGGAAAGGAGTGCATCAGAGAACCAGGCGCGGAGCGAAAAATGCGCACCAATACCACCAGAAAGGCGGGGTGGTTTCGCCGCCGGGAAGTTTTTCCGGTGTAGTTGGAACATCAAATAACGCCGGCCGATCAAGCCACGGGTCAGATCGAAACAGACCTGCTCAGACGTCGACTACATCAAAGGGCACGCCGGCAGGCGCCACTGCTGCTTCTAGCAGTGGTGGTGGACATCAGCACGAAATGGTAAACCACGGCGGATCATCTTCTTCCCAAGGTCCTACAGGGTCGAGTTTTGACCTCGCGGCCGCCCCGAGAGGAGTGGCTTCTAGCACGGTTGTACATACGGGGCCACCGGGCCCGCAATACCGGCCGCCGCGTAGTTCCGCACCAACGCAAAGCCGACAGCAGGGCCAGAAGATTCGGCGGGACTTTTTTCAGTCCGGGGGGTCGCATAGCAGCTCCGGGTTGGGGTCTAGTAGCGGGAAGTCGTATCTTTCCGCCGGCCAAGGCACCAGCTCTTCCTCCGGGGGGAACTCTTTTGCCGCTTCCAGCCGGCAAGGTCCGGTGCCCTCCCTCGGCGGGAACAACTCCGGGGGCAGTGGTCGGGGAACCAACCGACACTTAACCAGCACTTCTGGCTCGGCAAACAGTTCGTGGCACTCGCAACGAGGTGGAGGTGCTTACCTATCAAATGTAAAAATGTCTGGATCTGGAAGATTCTGACACTTGTCATGCACGTTTTGCATGAGCCCTGATGTCTGTGGTGCATGCCCTAGCATCACAGATTTTTTGAGAGCTTCTTGATGCCTATTCCGCATGACAAATGCCCTCTCCGCGTAGCAAGAATTACGTTCCCTTTGGTACTCATGCAATACAGATTTTTTTGGAATCCAAATGCAGCATCACAAGTTGCATTCTTCCAGACCCAGACACTTTTACATTTGGTATTACCCCGCCGGACCGCATTCGCCGCCCTTGTCGCATGGCTCTAGCCTTGGCGGATATCCTGTGCAAAAGTATCGTATTCGTATAAATGCAAGCCTTGCATCACAAGTTTTTTTCTTGAGGCAAATCAGCATTGCAAATTTTATTTCTCATGCTGAGGAAATTTGTAATGCATTTATACGAGTACGATGCTTTTGCAGTTCATAGCGGAGCATCCAACTCTATGTCGAGTATGCGGGTGAACGTGCAGCCAGTGACACTGGGGAATCCATTCCCCGGCGGTCAACAGCAAAATCCAAATGCAGCGCTATTTGCCGCGGCACAGCAACATCATCTGCTCCAGCAGCAACTGCAGCTCCAGCAGCAACAAAGCGACCCGTTTTACCACCCCAATAACTCCGGCGAATTCGCCCGGTACCAAAGCGGCGGCTCGAGCGCGAGCTCCCGGCCCTCGCCCGGGCACTACCGCGCTGTCGCCCCTCTATCGCAAGACAGCAACGGCTCTGGGGGTGCGCAAAGCCAAGGGTCGTCGTTGAGAGTGAATGTGGGCGGGAATGGTTTCGGGCCCCAATGCCACCACCAGCAACACCAGCAGCAGAATAGGCCGATGTTGGCGGACCGACCGACTTTTGGCGGGGGTTCGGAGGGGGAACAAGTGGTATTTGGTGTTGACCTGCAAACGCCACAGCCGCCATTCGTTGCTGGTACAGCAGCACCACAAATGCTTCGCGGTGACGAGCTGGTAGGGTGGTCTTGGCCGGCGGAAGGAGTGCAGCAGCCGCCTCCGGGGATAGTTGCTGTGCCCGGAGGGCCGCCAGGCGTTGCATCTTTACCCGATTTCCTGGCAGGCCCGATGCAAGAAACACGACTCGGAGACGATAATATGCAGTATCAACAACTTCTGCACCGGCGCTCGGAAACGCTCGCAGCACAGGCTGATCAACCAATGATGGTGCAGGAACAACCAACAGGTGATATTGAACCAACGCATGGACGAGTAGATGCAACAAGAGCAGCACAACATCGGGCGAGAAGGAGAAGCGTGTCTAGCTCACTCTTCGAGAGCAACACCTCCATCGATGACAACTGAATGATACGTAGTACACAAACATTTCAAGACGTTCGGCGCTGCGATTTGGATAATATCCCATGGAGATTGTTACAATTCACAGCTGTACAACTCCTTTTTCGGCCAACATCAAATAGACACGACGGACTATACGAAATTCAGCAGCGGGACAGAATAGTCTTAACATCTTCAGAGGAGTCCTCTTCACAGGGCCTTCAACAACGGGACATAATTCCATCGCTTTGCCTACTCTTTTCATTTTTTTTTTTCAACGCGAGATCATTTTAGCTCCGATGAGTAACTGGCTTCCGATTTCGTCGTAATGTTACAAGCGCCATGGTGTAATCTGCTGGTGCATTTGTCCTCGAGGTGGTGATGGAACCATGCTACTTACCTACTTCTAAAATTAGAAAGATTGGTCACGATTTTTTTGAAATCTGATCGAAACTGGATGTTTCTATCACCTCTGCACCTTAACTCATTGATAATTATGTATGAACACCGACAAATATTGCTTCTTCGATAATTTCAATTTTGGCCGGCGCTAGACGGTTCGACTGCTACTGCTAGACGGTTCGACTATACTATTAAACTGCACGATCTGATACCTAGAAACGTAATAAACGAGGCGATATCTTCAAATGAATAGCAGTACAAAAATTAAGATATAAACATGGATATGGGATATACTCGATGTAAAGAAAGTGAAATATGCCAGAAATATAGTATCTCTATGTTTACAACTCGTGGGCCCGATTCTCTCATGCCTTATCAGGCGACAAGGAGCGTGAGATGAGTTTAGAATAGAGCATGTTACGACTTTTTTCAATTTACAAGAAGGGCCAGGGCCACGAACGCACTGCATTTTTACCTGCTCTCAAGAGGTCATGATCGTTCTAAATCGTGCAAGTGGTACTTATAGCACTATGTTATATTGCACGCAGTGTGCAGCCGTTTCACCCACCTAAAAGACGACAGCATCCGCATACACATAGAATCAAAATATTTAGAACTATTTTTTCCGTGATATTAGAGTGAGGTAACAAATTCCTCCGTTAAGTTTGTTACCGGGTAACTTAGCGTCCGGCCGGCCGCCGGACGCTAAGTTACCCGGTTCCCGGGATCCGGGATCCGGAGAACGGAACGGTCCGATCCGCTGGAACGGGCTGGCGGTTGGGAACCGGGTAACTTAACGGAGGAATTTGTTACCTCACTCTTATCTGTTTTTGAGCCGCACCAATGATCTACTTTCTGTAAAATTTCATTGATTTGGTGCCTTCGAAATCGAATCACGAAACCGCATAATGCCACACTGCTTGAGGTGTGCTTGTCATTGATATCGTTACAAGCTTTCCGCAAAATAAGCAATAGACTGGGTATGTTTTGAGAATTCAGATGAAAACCAGTTCTCGATTCTAAGAGGTCTATTTTTTTCCGCTGTATTCTGTTGTAAAGAAGATAGGGAAAAACAAAAACACACGACGAGTTGTTCACCTTCAAATTCTTTCTGTTGTTTAGGATTCGGATTCCTGAAATTCGCTTCTTGTTGGAAGAAAAAACTACTATACGCTGGAACAGTTGTCGGCCAAAATATCAGCGCTGCTGCAGTCTTATTCGGTGGCGTATTAATAGAGTACTATCTGCTGGTCGTCCGATAACAACTAAAGTGAAACGTAAAAAAATTCGGCTACCATCAAATGTTGAGTGATGCTGTAGAGACAAAACAGCTCCTATTTGTTCTTTTCGCGAATGATTTTCGTGTTCATCTTCCCCATTTTTTAGCTGTACAAATCACTCTTGCAGCCCTTCGCCAGGCGACATTCGGTTGTATTTCGGATCGGTTCTTCATCGATAAAGAACACACAAAAGTTGTTGTTTCCGCTCCTCGGTCATTATTGTGTCTGCCACAACCCGGTCGGATTACTTCATTGCAGTGGGCAGCAGCTCATGACGCAACGAAATTAATATCGGTTTTTGAATTTGCGAAGCCATGCTTCGGTCTCATTCCCCTGCGCAGGGGTTCTTCACGCGGCTCCAACTTATCGGTCTTCTGCCTTCCGTAAGATTTTGTTTTGTTTTCGGAGGAGGTTTTCAGTATTTCTATAGTTGACCAATAATTCCTTCTTTGCGATACAGGTTTGACCCAGCAGGTCGAAACCTCTGGCTACTGGCGTTTGCGTTTCAACACCACGACCCCCCATTTCATTTATTCGAGAACTTAGTGTTGTTTTTGTGTAATTTTTTCATTCTCGTATTTTTTCGGCACTATACACATCCTCATAATTTATCCAACTGTCAGCCCTCTGTTTATTTCTCAAATCGAACTACATCGAAGATCTACCGCGAAAATGAACGTTTACCTCCTCAACCCGGACCAACAATCTCTCAACCCCCACGGCTTCACCGAGCACAAGGCGCACGTGGATAAAATTTTGATCAACGGGGGGAGACTCTTTTTCGAACGGAAGCAGCCCGATGCGACGAATTACCGGGTTTTTTCCGCCGCGGACTACGGCTTTTTCTGGATCAGCGGTACTTGGACGGGCATCTCCGTCCGGTTTCAGAAATTGGAGAATTACAAGGTCGATGGATCCAAGTCGGTGATTCGCGGGCAGGGGAACATTAAGTTGAGTTTGGAGAATGTCAGGTTGTTACAAGGGGACATGTCGAAATCGGACTCCGTGTTGCACTCGATGAGAAGAAGTGCTGTGCGGAAGTTGCAGGGAGACCAAATTGTGAAGGAACAGATGGTATCCGTCACGACGCACGGGAATGGGAGTAGTACTGCGTCGTCTTCGAGTGCGACTGCTATGGGAACAGCTGCAACCTCCGCAATTTCTCAACAACAGCAGGCCCAGCAAAACACCAAATTCGACAAACTCGCGAAAGCGGTTGCGTTGACGCATCCCAGGTGGAAGGAGTACGGGTTTATCGTGGACTATTCGGTATCGCACGGTAAATAAAGTATTTCACGGTGAGGATTTTGTTGCAAGTTTTGCATCACAAGTTAGTTCGACATGACAGGCAAAATTTGCCATGCATGCACCCGAAGGCAAAAAACGGCTAAAAAGCCACCGTCACCGTCTTGCATGTGTAGCAAGACAAACACTTTTATGCTGCTTCCTCTGTATCACAAGTTCACAGTGAAACAGGTTTTTCTTGCGATATTCCGACAACTCCATGTACTGCTACCACGTGGAGGACTTCACGACGTTGCTTTCCGAAGTGCAGTCTCTAACCGACGTCATCGTGGAGCACCGGGAAAGAATCCACTACGAGAAGCGGCAGAAAACTTTATCGATGAAGAAGATGGGAAAAAACAAGGGCAGGGGAAATAAGATGAAAGCTGCACCACCCGCGATGAAAAAGATGAACCAAAAGCAAGGCGGGAAAAAAATGAACACGCCAATGGGTCGAGGAAAGAAACCCGGTGCAGCGGCAGGAAATAACAAGAAGAAGAAACCTGGCCCGAAAAACAAGCGAGTGAACACTATCGTGAAAAAATCTTCCGGAAAAAGGTCGATAGAGCGACTTCAAAACGCCAGGAATCGGGTGAAACGCGTGCAGCAACGGGTGGAAAAGAAAATTGAAGAGAGACGGAGGGAACTGTTTTTACAGTCTCTGAAACCCGACGCAGTCCGGAGAGCAGCGAATGGCGGGCGGAGTAAGAACATCAATAGTGGGACGAACAACAATTCTTCTACCAGCAGATCCGGCTCCCCCTCGAACAGCAAGAAAAATAACATCGACGAACTGCAGATCCACGACCACAATTCTTTGCTCGACACCGGCACCGGGACGAGTTTTTTGCTCCATCATTCCCAGATCATGGAGACTTTGGAACGATTATTAGATCATTTGAAGCACGAAGACCACATGCTGACGCACTTATGACAGTGCACAACCCCCCCTCCCCCTCATTTGTATAGTATGAACGGCAATACACGTGCCAGCAAGAATGCAGGTTTTGCATGACAAATTTGCGAAGGAGTGTAGTGCTATTTGGGCTTCCAGAACTTGTCACGCTAAACGTGTCAAGAGGCACAGGGTGGAAGATTGGGTATTTTGCATTACAAATGAGGGGGAGAGGGAGTTGTGCACTCTCATAGCACTTACTGTTGAAGCACAGGATCTCTCTCCGGAAGCACAGCAGGAAGTTGGTCGCGTCGAATTCCGCTGCTGCGGCTGCTGGTACTGGTACTGGCCCGATCAGCAGCAAGTCTTCCCTCTTAACCAGCCCGTCGAGTAAGATCGGATCTCTAATCTCCCGCCACATGGGGGATATCAAGCAGTATTCCAAACCGGACGAGATGCAGGATTTTACCCTACCCGGGTCGACTATGCATTGCAAATATGTCTGAGTCTGGAAGGATGCAAGGTTTGTCATGCTTGTCTGGCAGGACTAAAAAAGTTTGTGATGCGTGTCCAAGAAGACGCCCTTTTGTTTGTCATGCAAAAACGCAGTTTGCCATGCGAAAAATGCAACACAAAGAAGCGCAGACATTTCTCATGCTTGGCTGCGCACCATTGCATTTGCAGAGCATTCCCTATTCCCAACGCAGCATTACAAGTTTCCAGACTCCCAGACATATTTGCAATCCATATCGACGAAGGAAACACAACAGCTCGCTGCAATGAATCAAAAATTGGATGTGGAGCAGGCGGGAATCCGGGAATTACTGCTGGAATTATTAACCCAGTGGAAAGTTTTGATATCCCGGTATCAGAAGTTTTTGCTCCAGTCCTCCCGGTTGAACAAATTGCTCTTTCCGACGAAGAAATCCACGAAGAACCAGATTGAGGAGAGGGAACTCCAACTCTTCCGGCAGATGGTGACGTATTGCTTTCGGAATTTGTTGAATTTATCGACGATCGAGTTGGAGGAGCGGAATTACGACCACGCAATTTTACTCGCGGAAGAAGCGTCGATTTTGTGGTGCAGCATGCTGGCGGACGAGGATTCGCCGACGGTGGTCCCGCCGGCTTGCATCAACAGGATCGATTTGGCTTTGATGGAGCGCGGGGTTTCTTACAATCGGTTCACGGGGGAAAGCAGTGGTCATTACAACGATCATAACGATGCTGCAGCTGCTCTTCGCAACAGTGGTACTAGGATGAGCCAGGGGTCGGAATTTGGAGGGGGTCTAGTACATCAAGAACACGATGATCCGGAAACAAAAAAGGACAAGCACATGCGGGATTTTCTGCGCAGGATCCAGAACTTAGTCCACGTGAAGAAACAGCAGCAACTGGTCGCGCAGAACAACAGTAACAACAGTTTACAAGCGCAATCCGCATGGGAAGTTTCTTCAAACGCGAGCAACAACATGAAGTCGCCGCGGGAGGGAGCAGAGAGTTCCAAGGCGTTGGCGGTGCATTTACCAAGGACCTTATCCGAAGAGCAGATTCAGGAGCATAGCAAGCAAAGAAGGATTGAAAGCACAACGACTTTGGCCACTCCGCAGCAGAATCAGAAGAGGATGAGCATCAATGAGTTGCTGAAGGAGCAGACGACGTTGCATTTGTTGAGACTAAGGGAGAATCTGAAATTTTTCATGCAGCCGACGTTGTTGGCGAGGATGAATCCGTTGCTGGCGCATGGTTTGATGATTCCACATAACGTGACCGCTGCAAGACCGGTTTTGCATTGTTGCCAAGTCTGCGGAGTCCCGGCGCAGCACTTCCGGGAAACGGAGAACGGGTATAGAGTGTGTTACAACACTTCTGACACGTACTGCTATCTAACCGCTCTGGAAAGGAAGAAACAAAACTTACGCAGAGTTCACTGGAAAGCGGCCGCGCAAGCGAGGATTGAGCCAAGCTGGACTTGGGTGGGGGCGCAGACGAGGTTGAGATTCAGCAAACTGTCCAACATGACAATCTATGGGCACGTGAAAACGTCTCACCACCCGATTGAAAGTAAAAACGCGCACGAGCAGTCGAAATTGGTGGAGAAGGAGACGGCCGGGCAGCATTTGACAAAAGCAGGCTCCGGGTGGAGAAGCAATGGGGCGGAGTATACATTGTATACGAAGCAGAATCCGGAGTTTAACTACGTGAGTGTCGTTTCATCTGGGAATGACAATCACAACAGCTCATCTGCTATGTACAGCACGACAATAAACGAGGTCTCACCACGTCAGAAGCTCGCTGATTTTCACAACGCTTTAAACTACGGGAATGGGAAGCAGAGCCCGAACAAAAGGCCGGCCGGGGCAAGCGGTGGTGATCACATGGAAATCATTCTGAACAATGCGGTGAATACCAACTCCAACGACATGTTATTGCATAACGTGAACAACAACTACAACAACAACAGCGAATTCCATTTCAAAAACCACCCCTCCGAAACAAACTTACACCACATCGGCCCGGCGCAGCCCGCGTCTTTCGACTACACAGTGATGCAGAAAACCACCAGTCTTCCTCCCGCGGTTGACAGTCCCAAAATGACGAAAACCGCTGGTGAAGTAGATGCTCCGGTAACTGCTTCTGCCGTGATCCCACAAATCAGGAAGAAGGTGGACATGACCGTTTTAACCACCTTCCAAGAAACGGTGGAAGATCTCGACCACGATGATATGGTAACGGAGGATTTGCAGTCCATCGCGACCGTGGACAAAATTCTCCTAAAACTTGACACGGACGAGAATGACGAGAAGCTCGGCGATTACAAGAACTTCAACCTTCAGAGTTTAATCTCTCCGGACAAACTACAACGGTACGAGGACGCGCACAAGGCGTTGCTCGATTTGAACAAACCGAAACACAAAATGCGGAACAGCATGAAGCACAAAAACGGGAATGGAAACGGTGGCCATGCATCTCATTACGCCGTAAAAAATGGGTCTTACAACCAAGTTTTGAAGAAAAAAAACAGCTCCACTCACCAGAACACCGACAATGGAGACGACAACCACACCCGTATTCTCCTCGGGGTCCGGAAATCCCTACATTTCAACAAAAAACCGAAATCGGCGAAAGACGTTGCGGAGGAAACACAGGAGTACGAGCGGGAGTTAGAATTTCTCAGAATCGCCGCGGAGAAAGGGTGCAAGTACATCATCGGCTTAGTCTGCAGTTATGTCGTTCCGAGCCAAAACTTGCGTGCTTTCGTGATGGAGTTGGGGAGTTGCGACATGAGCGATTGGCTGAAGAACAAGCAGCACGGGAAAACGTTTGACATTCCCCGGTATTTCAAGATGATCATCCACGGAACGTTGGAGGTGCATAGACGGGTTGGGTGTTTAAACGGCGATGTTTCGATTGAAAACTTTGTGTATTGCAGAAGTAGCGATACGCTGAAGACGATCGACTTGGGTGCTTGTAGGAGGGAGGGGAAGGACTGCTGTTTGTACAAGATCCAGTGGGTCGAGCCGGAAAGGGTAAAAATCCCGTTTGCGGTGCAGAGTGAGGAAGAGGACGAGGACGATGAGGAAGGTATCCAAATGCAAAACTAGGCTACACAGTTTAACGATGCGGAATTTGTGATGCGAAAAATTGTGCGTATGTCCGTAGTTTTTGCAGCTTTTTTTGCATTTGCAATGCCACAGTCAGTGCATGGCAAACTCAAAACTCGCCCTAACTTTGTGTAGCTGTTTTGCAATCCATACCTTAAGAAGAGGAGGAGGAATCCGAGGAGGCTGAGGAGGAATCTGAAGAAGCTGACGACGGTGAGGAAGGGTCAGGAGACGGCGATGGGAGTGACGACGATAGCGACGACGAGCCGGAGGTATTCAAGTTTTTTCAAAATTTGCAATGCAGTTTTCCCACTGTTGGACAAGATTCTCATGCTATTTTTACCTCGCATGCGACGTACTACGTTGAATGCATTTTTCAATATCTAAATCGCTATCAAAACAGGACTCCTGCAACTTTTCCTTCAACCCAGTTACCGAGAAATCTGACTACTGGGCTTGCGGGATTATCCTCTACAAGATGATCTTCGGCCTTGAGCAGAACCCCACGACGCAACTTGTGTTGCAGCACGTGCAGGAGCGGGAAAAGGCGGAACAGGAGCAGCTCATGGAAGCGGAAGAAGAGAACAAACCGAAAATTGCAAACGGAACAAGCTGTCATGCACACGATTCCTACATGGAGATGGAACACCAGTATCAATCTTACGAAAACAATCCAGACAACCAGTACGAAGGCACTCCCGACCAGAGCTCACCCGACCCCTCGGATGGCTCTGGGTCGGATTCTCCCGTGGAGGATCCGGCTCTTTTGAAGGACCGTGTGGTGCGAAAACGGGTGAAGAGGCACGGGAAGATTGTGGAGATCGACGCGGATACAGGGAAGGTGATCACCGACACTCCAGCAGTAGCTCCTGCGAGTGGGCCTCCTGGGTCAGCAAAACTCGCCCCCGGGTCGAAGCAGCCGGGAGAGGTTCACACAACATCGTCGGCCAAGCAGAGTAAAAACAAAACAAATACCCAGCAAGCTTTCAACAAAACAGCTGATGATTTGTTGGAGGACGACTACGGGGAGGTGCTTTTGTTACTCAACGAAACACTCAATTTCACCAACGGCACCGATTTGACCAAAAGCGCGAAGAATGAAGGAGAGGCGGAGAGACTAGAGCACTGGCTCGCGGTTTTGAATACCCCGAAGGAGGTTCAAAATTGTCTGGACAAGAAAGTCCCTTATGAATTCGATTTTTCCCACGCTCGAGCGAACCACGTGATCCCTACGAACACACCGGCGTTAAACCCGATCCATCCGCAACACTTGTCTGGCGTGTCTTCTGGGATAGCGTCGTCGCAGCAGTCGCACCTCCCACTGGTTTCCTGGACCAGCGAAGACGCGGTGAGGCCTTGGGAGTACGAAAAATCTTTGCGGTGTATTCTGAACATTGACCCGACAAAGCGGAGTTTGGAGGACTGCGAGAAGCTTTTGCCGCATGTTTTGGCTGGTGAGGACTATTCTGATTTGGAAGATTTGGCATGATTTTTTCGGTCGTCGACAGGCAGACGCAAGAACTACGCTCTCGTTTAGCAGTCTTACGCGGACGTTGTTGACACGCAAACTTGTTTTACTTATTTTGAAGGTACGTTTGAGACCACCACCACTTTGAGTTTGACGACTATAATTTGTAGAATTTCGGTACGTGTTTCGCTTTATCAGATTTTGAAGGTGACGGGCGGTCAATGTCACACGAAGTACAGTACAAAAGTTTTTGCCCTCATGCAGTTGTATGAGGTTTTCTAATTCTACTTCGCATACGCTACGAAATTTCAAGAATTTTTACACGCAATAGATACCTAAACTGTCACGCAGGAGAATCGTAGAAGTAGGCTGTTACAAGGAAAGGTTTTATTGGCCCGCTTTCTACTAACTTGAAACAAACGCATATCTGTTTCTGTACTGACTTCATTTTTCCAGGAGAAAATAAACGCAAGTAAGAGTATAACTACGATTAGGTGACGCAAACCGTATTTGAGTCTCCTCACGACTCCTGTGTTCCACGACCTGAGGCAATTTTGGTGCCTGCTTTCGATCAAAACATATTATGGATCTGGATCGGACTATTTCTATCGCTTTTGGGCCTTGCTTCTGCAATGACGATGAAGTAGTTTTTGTTCCCTTTCAGCGACATTTTTTCGGTCCCTTTCTGGTGCGCATTTCAACACATGTTTTGAAGATTGATCTTTTTCACTGGCGGTATCGCAGGCCCGCGACTACGACACTCCGTGAACCAAAATGACGAGCAAGATGATCCTCGCCTCCTGTATGACCCCTTGACAACTTCTACTCAGCTGCAGTAGCAAAGATGGGCAACAACTTTTCCACCCGTGTCCAGGGGCATTTATCTGAGCAGCAGTCGACCCAGACGACACTTTCCACCACTACTGGCGCAGGAGCCAACAAATTCTCCGACACGGCGAATGTCCCGATCGTCAACAATCTGCTGTACGAAGAATGGCTCGCGAGCAACAAGCTGTTCAAAACGGCGAAGTCAACCCATACGAAACATGGGAAAGTGATCTGTAAGGTTTTCTTCCACCGGGACTTACTCGACCCGAAGGTTTTTTCCGAAATCGTGAAAATCTTGAAAAGAATCCGGAAGCAGTTGACAAACAACGGGGACAATTCGAAGTTGAATGGTAACTTCGCTTGCGTTTCTAATGTTGTCCCTTACGAAGGGATTGAGTTCGTCGACCCAGACCAGCATGTGTCGAATTACAACCAAGCGGATGGGATATTGGCGCAGCAATCCCTCGGAACTACCGCGGCGAACAACAATCTGCAGGGCGAGGTGCCGATAACGCCTGGCGGGGAGAATGCCCAGTTGACTGGGAAGTCGGATTCAGGAACGAGTGTTTTGCTTCTAAAGCAGGAAAACCTGCAGAATAGGGATCATGGTGGGTCTTTAACCCCCGGCGGAAGTGTTGCCGCGCGGTCCGGCGCAGTGCAGCGAAGCGATGTTAACTCGCAGAATGCGTCCGATATCAAGAGGAAAAATCCCCCCTCCCCATATCGAAACGAAGTTTCTGATGCTGGATTTCCGTACACAAATCAGATTTGTCTTGCAGTAGAGGTCTGCAGGCATATGTCAAGCCTCGGTCGAGAGGTTTTGACGTAGGCGCCTAGCATGGCAAAAGCGTATGCTCTAAGCCCAACAGCATCACAAACCGCCTGCAAAATGCAGGGGGCTCTCCGGACTTGCCTTCTTGCAATACAGACAAGATTTGGGGTCACAAATGTGCATCACAAATTTGGGGCTATTTCGATTATCGAGTTTCTGTTTTCTGAGGAAGGGCTGGAGGCTAGTGGGCTGAGAAAATTCCTTTTGCTAAACGACAACGAGGCGGGGTTCGATGTTGTTTCGCATCAGGTGCTGACTGAGTCCATGCAAAAACTAGGGGTGCCAGTGGACCTGGTCTGTGCCACGGTTCAGTGGCTCTCCTACCGAAAAGTAAGAATCAAAACGGGGACTAGGTACTGGACTTTGTCCCCCGGCATGCCACAAGGGTCGCCCTACTCGGGCGGCTGCTTCAATTGCCACAACTGTATTTTGATACAGAAAATGGAAACCATCAATGCGGACGGGGCGCAGAATCAGTTTAGTGACGACAACAGCCAGTGCGGCACGGGGGACCAGCAGAAGGTGAGCGAGCTCAAGAAGGACCTCGTCCAGGCGGGACGAGAGTCCTTCATTTTCTTTGAGGAGTCAAAGTCCGAAGCGATCTATTATGATGTGGGGGTTAGTAAAAAGGTCGAGATCAGTGACGCAAGCAGGTCGCTGGGATTCTTTTATGATGGGACCTGGGATTTCAGTTCCCACTACGAAATCACAAAGCGGAAGATGACACAAGAAAACAACAGCGTCGCCCGACTGAAAAGCATCAGAGTCACCACAAAAATAGATGTCTACGTATCTCTGGTCTACAGTGCAGTGCTAAGTAATTCCGTGCCGTTTTTTCCCTACTTCAAGAAGTCCAACAAGCTACAGCTGCAAAAGGACACAGCAAAATTTTTGAAAAATATTTGCATGCTGCCGAGGCAGATCCCAAATACACTCCTGCACCGGTGCGCAGGAATTCCGGACATCTGCACCCTGATGGCGGTGGAAAACTTGATGCTGTACTACAAGGGAATTGCCCTGAAACAGTGGGCGATAGACAAAGTGCCCAGTGTGCGGGCAGCGAGGCTGCTAGATAGCGTCGAGGCTACCTGCCCGGCAAAGTTTCTACATGAAATGGACAAAAAGCATCTCCAATGGACGGAAATTGTGCAGGCACTGTCCGTGAAGCTTTTCCCGGACATTCACTCCTTTTTTAGGCGCAAGAAGCTTCACATCGGGAAAGTCTTCTGGCGGGGGGTGAACCTTGACGCCCGGTCGATGGACCGGGTAGGCAAGGATTACGGCCTGGGGAAGCTTTCGGGCTTGAAGGATGGCGCGCTGAACATAGCGCGCCACGTCATCGCAGCGGACCACAACAGAATGGCGCGCTCTATTCTGAGACAGTCGCCAAAAAATCTAGTGACTGCCACCGACGGCTTGGTGGACAAGGAGAGAAGCCTAGGTGTAGGCGCGGGGGCCAGCTGGTGGTGGGAGCCGATCGGGCTGGGGCGCGGCTCCCCCCACCCCACCTACAGCGCTGGCGCTGGCTGGCCTGTCTTGCGGTGTGAGGAGGAGATCACGGCAGAAGCAAATGACGACGAAACCCCAGAGCCCATTCTGGTCACAGGGTGCTATGTGACATCCTCGTTGGAAGACGTCGCAGTGGATTCATTTGATGCAGAATGTTTCGGACTGCTAGAGCAATTGATAGAAATTCATGAACACCTTGAAAAACGGCCCATCTTGAGAAAAACGATCCGAAGCTTTTGGTTTTTTCTTGACTCTAACAGCATCGTGCAGGCACTGGAATGCTATGATGACTCCTCCAACCCAATGATCCACCAGATCATGAAAGTCATGGAAATGATAAAAGTGCTGTGCGTAGGTATCTGCCCGAATGGGGACGAGGAGGTCTGGTTCCACTACAGGTGGACACCAGGCCACGCAAAGATGGCCCTAAATGATTGCGCAGATTTTCTCACAAACGCCTTCCATCGGGCGTGGACAGATGGCCAGCAGCCAAAAACTGCTACCAAATGGCGGAAATGGATGACGGCGCCCATCTTGCGGCGCCTTCTGGTGAAACGGATACTCGAGGACAAGTTTAAAAAATGTAATACCATCCCGGAGTACATGAAAAAGCGCGCGGACGAAATGGGAAGGTTCCGACCCCCGGTCGGAACCTTCCCGAACAAAGAAGCAGAAATGCTGTATCTCTGGATATGGCTCGGCTACGCTCCGTCTCCGCACCTCGCGTGTGGAGATGTTGTATACCAAGGCGGCACCTGCCTGCAAAAGTGCAAGCTATGCGGCCGCTTGTGCCCCTGTTGCGTGGACCATGCACTATTCGAGTGCGAAAAGCTTGAGGCGGCCCGCCTCAAGCACTTTGGCTTTGCCAGTCGGCCTCCATCAATGGCGCAGGGCATGCTATTGTCTCCGCAAAAAATACTTCGCTTTGTCATCGATGAAGCAACAAACCTGACGCACGAGTTCTACAGGAAAAGGGTGGGGGAGGTCATTGAAAATATATCAACTAGCATTGACAAGAAGCAAAAAAATCACGTGAGGTCAGGCAACGTATTCCAAATGCAAAAAACAGCACGAAGTATGAAAGTAATGACAAGAATTCTAGATGGAAAATACTTGGAGTAAATGTTGATGCACAATGAAAATTGAAAAAATTAAAAAACAAACAAAAACAGGACTTGCTTTGTGATTTTAACATGACAAATTGACACATCAAGCAGTAGCGACGGCGAACACGTGACAGACACCTACGCCAAAAACGGCGCGGACATCACTGGTATTATTTCTAGTAACAAAAAAAGAAATAATGTAACTTCTTTTCCTCTTTTGGTTCCATGGTTTACAAGTTCATATGTCGGCATGACATTACTAAGCGGCATTTGTGGTTTTTTGTAGGAGATCCTCTGAATATCCTTTCAAATTTGTAATGCCAGGCTGACAAAACAAGAATTAAACAAATACTACAGGTCCAGGAGCCGCCTCGCGCGGACATGAATCGTGATCGATGAAGGAGCCGCGAAGATTGATATACTATACTGCACTAGATGCCCTATCGTGTAACTCCCCGCTGCTTGAATAGAGATGCTTTTGGTAGATCGGTTGCGTGACAAGCGCCTGATAGATTAGCATTGTAATTGCGCGCTCGGTAGTAATATAGAATAAGCGCACTCTTCTGATCTACTTTTTGCTCCCCTCTATGGCAGAAGATCCCCCAACTAGATCCGTGCAGAGTTCCGGCGCTTACAAGTGGCTACAGATCCAGAAATAGAAACGCGTGCTCCTTCATATCAATCCAAAAAAAAAATTTCGCAATGAAACTGAACAGGAAGCAGGGAAAGGGTGGTGATATTGTTCGGACTAATTTGAAGAAGAAGTGAATGAGTAGCATACTACAAAGAGACTGAGTTACTTAGTAGCACTGGTAAGCAAAGACAGATAGGCCAAAACAGAAGAGAACGAGCGCGCAGATTTTTTATTTTGGTTTTACATTGTAGATGATGGGAAAAGTATGCACAGCCGTAGATCATATTTTTCTAAGAGCATGAATTGCCATCGAAGTGTAGAGGTGATGTACGTCTCGGTCTTAAGTCTTTTCATCTAGTGCATAACTTTAAGTAGGTCTCCTTTACAAACAGTGCGCCTATTGTAAAAGCATGCATTTATCTTGCACAAGATTCGCATTCAAGTAAGGCACTATGTTAATACGAGTTCACAAATCAAGATGGTGCAACAAGTAGCAGTAGGTCTCTCACTGCCACGTGGCAGATTTCGTCTTCTCTTCTGCCTCTGCATCTTGCAGAATAGTACTTGCTCAAAGGTAAGAATCCGGCGGAAAAAAGTTGCTGCTATTCAGCATACGATAATTATTTTGGAAACGAATAGAGGCTTTTTGCATGAGATACCCTGAAAAAATGAAGAACAGATAGCACTGAGATCAATCAGCGCGAACGTCGCGTTTGTCATGCAGAGCTGCAAAGCATGTGATCAAATGAAGTGCCAAAGAAGTCGAAGAAACCATTTGGAACGGTGATAGAAATTCAATCAGCATAAGTGAAAAACTAACTTCCAAGAAAGTGAAATGCATATATCTCATAAAACAGAAAGCCTGAAACTTTCCAAAATAATGAGCGACATACTTATGCCCATGATGATTACACATAAGTTCAGGAAAAGCTGCTTTCATCCTGCGCTTTTTGTATCCTATGCGCTACACCCGTCACTCTATATCTTTGTCTGCGCCAACCCCTGCAAATAAACATGTATTTGATGTAGAGCAGCAAAGATATTGAGTAACAGATATGAAAACAAATTAGGCAGAATATAAGCAGCCTAGTACAAAAAGAACTTAAGTGCCACTTGTCAAGCAGCATACAGCCCAAGAGACGACAGGGCGAGAGCCCTGCAAGGCCGGGCGTCGGTAGTAAGAAAACAAAAATCAAAAAAAGATGGTGTACACGCGCAATGCTTAGCTGTGTGAAAGGTGTCGGCCCTGTGAAACCTGCTGCGGCAGGCAGGTGAATTCGTAGAACTGATTCACATTCTAAGTAACGCCCACTGGCCTCCTAGCTTAGTGATGAATTTACATGGCAAAAATGAGGGGCCCAATGAAAAAAAAAAAAAAAAAAATGTGCATCACAAATTTTCAGACGGATGCGTTTTCAATATGGGGAAGGGGGATTTTTCTTTACGATATCCGATCAAGCGACTGCGAGCCACTTACTTAGAAGAGCGGACTCCGCCGCGAGCCAGCAGTCTGGGCAAACCTTGCCGGACAGAACCGCGAGTCAGAGGTCCGGCAGCCAGGATTTCACGCAGACCGGTACACCCGCGAACCAGGTAGTTGCGACGACGCCTACAGGGATTATGACCAACGCCATGGGGCAGTTGACGTTGCAGGATCAACAGCAATTGCTCCAATCCGTCCAGCCGACGCAGCAGCAATGCGTGTTACTTTTGAGACCGTTTTGGAAGAAATCGCTTCACGACAGGCTGCACTGCCGGCCGTTCTTGAAACAAGCGGAGAAGCACTACCTCGCGTTCCAATTGCTGTTAGCCGTGAACCAGCTGCACAAATGCGGAATTCCACATCTAGACATCAAGTCGGAAAATGTTTTTATCGTGAATGGTTCGGAGAGGTTGATTTTGTCCGACATCGCTTACCCATTCAAACCGGTGTTTATTACGGAAAGGAACCCGGCGGATTTCTCCTTCTACTTCTCCTCTGCTTCCTTCTACTACGAACGAAGGGTTTTCCTAGCGCCGGAGCGGTTGCGGAGCGGAACTGAGGGAGATAGCAGGAACAAAACTTCTTCCGGCTTGGAGTTTGCGCTCGTTTCCACAACTTCAAGTGGGTCTTCGTCGAGCAAAGAAAACGCGGCTTCAACATCGCAACAGTCTATTTACAAAAACGAAGATCTCTATCAACAGCATTTCCAGCAAACGCTTGCCCCGATGGACATTTTCTCCGCTGGGTGTGTGCTAGCGGACCTGTTTCTAGACGGTAGGAGCCAATTGATTGTCGATTTACCGGAGCTACTGCAGTACCGGAACAACCCGAAGCAGTTTTTTGAGGAGATTTTGCAGCCGCGGTTGGAGAAGATACAAGACACCGGGTCGAACAACGTCTTCAAAAACCTGATCGCCCAAATGGTACAAGCAGACCCGAGGAAGAGGCCAACCGCTTTTGCTTGTTTACAGCAAATCTGCAGCGCTTCTTCCCCATTACAGCAAAATTTCAATGTCGCGGGGTTGCACGCGTTTAGCACGAGTGTCGGTTTACACCCGTTGCTGCAGCACCCGGATTTGTGGCTGTGCTATTTGAGACAGAATTTTTTCAATCTTTTTCCGAAAGAATTCATCGATAGCAGAGGCGCTCCTCCAATCGCGGAGTTAGACGCGGCCAGTCTGCAAAATGCGGTTTTTCTCGCGTTGAAGTGCTGCACCTATTTCGCGAACGCGAACAACTTGATAGGAGGGCAAGGTGCGAATGCGATTATGAACAAGCAGGGGAACACTAACAGCGCAGTCTCCGCTTCCGCAAAAGCCGCGGCCAAAGACGTGTTTTTCAACCTCCAGCTTGGGCACGACTTCCTTGCGAATTCGCAGCTGTACTTAGCAAACCTCGTGCAAAGCTACAAATCCATGTTCCGGTTCGGGCAGGAGGATTTGCAACAAACCGGGATCCAGCTACACGATTTGTTTCAAACGACACAAACAACAGCTCCAACTTCCACAGCAGCAGGAAATAAAGACTACGCAGAGGCCCGGCGCCAGCTTTTCCGCGGCATGTTGAAGATGATACCGACTTTGATCTCCACTCTGGAGGTGAAACTCCACTCGGTTTCCAGCCCAAATTTGAAGATTATCGGCGCGGACATGCTGGGTGGGTTACTCTTGATCCACTACTACGAGAACTATTCGCGGTTGAAGAAGTGGAAAAACGAAGAGGAATTGCTGCTTTCCTTTTCCTTATTGGAGGAACATTTGCTCCCAACCTTCCACCACCTACTCGCCGACAACGCGACGAATGTCAGAACCAGGGTTTTGTCCAATCTGGCAAGTTGTCTCCACGCCTTCGCGACATCCTTATCGCCGATAAATGTTGATCAAAATAATGGAGACAACAACTTCACAGCAAAAAATTTCGAGCAGTTGAGAAGATTGATTTCGAAAACCTTCAAAGAGTATCTGCTACCCCAGATCAGCCGGATGGTACAGTCTTTGGCGGTGAACGAGAACGATTTGTCGTTCTCTCTAGCGGTCGCGAACAAGTTGGGGTATTTTTTGGATATTGCAATGAGCTTGGAAAACGATGGGAAAACGAGTGTAGCGGAGATTGGCAATAACCGGGATTTGTTCACTGATCCGATGCAGTTGTTACTGCAGAATTTGTTGCAGCAGGCGGAATCAAACTCCTCCATAAGCAGTGCAGCCCAACAGCAACAGCACGGCGGATTGCATTTGATGCACGACTTCACGACCTTGCAAATCAAACTCCAGATTCTAAACGCGTTGCCGAAACTCTCGTTATACTTCGGGAGAATATCAAATGTAAAAATGTCTGGGTCTGGAAGGTTGTAACTTGTCATGCTGTCTTCGGATTCGAAAAAACTCTGTATTGCATGACCAGCAAGAGGAGTCCAGTTTGGTCTACACGGAGAGGGCATTTCTCATGCAGAATAGGCATCAGGAAGCCCTCTAGAAATATGTGATGCTAGGCCATGCATTACAGCCATCAGTGGCCATGCAAAATATGCATGACAAGTCTGGCAATCTTCCAGACCCAGACATTTTTACATTTGATGGAGAACCGGGATGCACAACTTCTTACTTCCTCATCTCATCTCCTTCATGAACACAAACGACTGGGAGGTCAGGGCATCATTCTGTGAATTCTGCTGCGAGATTTCGAACACATCTTTGACGACAACAAGCACAGAAGGGTTGCTGTACCCCTGTTACGAACAATGTCTTTCCGATAACGAGGAGAGGGTGATTATCGCCGCGTTGGACGGGTTGGCGAAACTGGTTTTGCATCAGAAATTTTCTGACCAGTTTACCAACACCTGGAGCTTCCAACGACCGGTGTTGCCCTTGATACTACACCCTTCAAGCAGGGTGAGAACCGCTTGCACGCAACTGATAGAGTCTGTCATCAAATCCGATGTCGTCTGCTACCACGCGTTCTGGCTGCCGAATTTGCAGCCCTATTTGAAGGAGTCGATTGTGATTAACGGGGAAATGTTTCCGCTTAGTCATGCGGATCCGGAGAGTCTGTTGTGGAGGAATCCGGTGTCGAAACAGGGCTTTCAGATGCTGGTGAAGGTATAGTTTTTATGTTGAACAATACCTGATTCTTTGTTGCTCTTGCTACTTTCCACCAGTGAATTATTGTCATGCGAGTTTTAGACTAATGTCGCTTTTCTTGTAATGCGCACTTTAGCATGAAAAACCAAATCACACAGGAGCAGCAGACCATTTTGGGCATCGTCGACGAGAAGCAGCAGCCAGCCCCGATTCTCCCTCTATGCATTGCAAAAATGTCTGGGTCTGGAAGAATACAAACTTGTGGTGCGCATTTCAGAGAACAGAAAAATCTCTCATGCATAGGTAGCAAAAGCTGCCCGCTTTCTGTCACCAAAATGGGGGATTTGTCATGCGGATTCGGCATGGCGGAAGCTTCTCGAAACCTGTGATGCTAGAGCTTCCATGCGAGACCTTCTGTGTCATGCAAAAACAGCATCACTCTTCCAGACCCAGACATTCTTCCATTTGATACCCGCAAGATGAGGACAAAAAATCACTAGAACTCCTCAAACCCTGGGTGGCGAAGTGGACGCAGCAGCAACACAGGAGCTATGCAAGAAAAAAAGTGTGTAAGGGTAAGTCTGTCATGCAGAGAGAGCAAAAGAGTTACACTTGTCATGCCAGACACCCACAAAGTCCTCTTTTCAGGTGCGTTTTCACGTATTTGTTCTGCATGACAAGCTTGCTCTGTCATGCGGAGCAAGTTTGTCATGCTGTCACTCCAAGAGACCTACGCTACCACAGCTTTTTTCTTGGATAGGACTTTGAACACAGCGAACAACACTGTGCAGAATCTAGCGCAGTTTCACTTGATACAAAAAGTGAACCCGCACAGCATCCCCTATCCAATCACTTGTGACAAGCAATCCGCGCGGGGGTTGGACGTGAGGATGGAAACCAGCACGTGCTCTTCGTCAAACACTGGCAGGATAGCAAGGATACGGAAAGCGTCGAAGAAAAGACTACAGAGGAAAAATCTTCAAGGTGGTTCTATCAATAAGAAAACCACTCCGGTCCTCCACGTGTCTATCGCACAAAACGCAGGAGCGGGCGGGGGCGGGCAGGAAGACAGTAATTCTAGTACAGCGAGAGAATCATCCAGCAGACGGGAATCTGTGTCAAATCGCCAGTCGCAATCCCCGAATAACGCGCATTCGGGCCCGAGAAGAGCCAGGCTGACGGATTGGAAAGTATCGGCGCTGCAATTGCCATTAGCTTTTGACAACGCGGCGACCAATAAAGCAGGTAGTTCTGCCAACAGCGTTGAGCATCAACAGCAGGGCGGTTTCGGCACAAGGGCATCCACCGGAGTAGCATCGGAACAATTTCAGCCGCCATCCAGAACCGCGGCTGCGCTCGCAAATGCTTACGCCAATGGCCCGACCGCGGCGGACTGGTTTTACACCGTTTTTCCCAATCAGGTGCAAACGAGGGGGAGTTACGGCAACGACAGTGGTAATTCTACTATTAACGGCGCACAGCAAGGAACAACAACGCCGCAGAACAAGCAACATTCCTTCCCAAATCCCCCCTTCAACATGCGACTGCTGGCGACTTTGTACGAGTATTGCCGGGGAGAAATTCCTACCGCGGTCGTGAAAATTGACAACAGTGCTGACGGGAGATTGTTGCTGACCGGGGGGGAAAACGGAAAAGTCAACTGCTACAACACGGCGGCGCTCGATCGAGATGTGCCGATGCAGCCGGTTTGGAGTGTTGATTGGTTCAAAGCCATTGGATCATCCGCATCAAACCAAAACCCCACCGCTTCAAAAAAATCCACCAAGCTCCGGTGTTTGAAAATTCTAACCGCAAACAACAACACTCCTGGGCTCTTTCCCGGCACTCCAGGGTTTCAGCAGCAAGCGCATTTGCAGAAGCACAGCTCGGAGTTTGTGTTAGCTGGCGACTTATCAAATGTAAAAATGTCTGGGTCTGGAAGGATACAACTTGTGATGCTACTTTCGGAATCTACATAAAAACTGTATTGCATGAACAGCAAAAGAGGTGTAATTTGTGCTACGCGCAGAGGGCATTTCTCATGCGGTATGAGCATCAGAAAGCCCTCGCAAAATATCTGATGCTAGGGCATGCATCACAGACCTCATGGCTCATGCAAAATCTGCATGACAAACTCCTGCATGCTTCCAGACCCAGACACTTTTGCAATCCATACGACTCGGATGTTGTGTCCCTGCACTCCTTCGAGCGGAGCGGTGCGTGCATTTCGCAGAAGGATTTGTCCAGCTTTTCAAGGACGACAGTGTCAGGCACCGATGTATCCTGAGCAAAAACGCCCCCACCCCAGAGTCAAGATGGGGAATCCGCTAGACAAATCCGCCACCTCTGGTGGTTTCGCATGACAAATTTATCCTCGTAGTGTAATCCTGTTTAGCTAGTTCCGAAGCATCACAGATCTAGCACATCATGCTGATTCTAGCATTACAAATTCCGAAACAGGATAAGACAATGGCTCTCATGGGGCTCCGCATGAGAAACTTTTTTGGCATGCAGATTTGCATGACAACTCTGGTGTGGGGACATTTTTACTCAGGATACGATGGTCAACAGCCCTTCACGCAATCCACCACGGCGATAGACTACTGCGAGACGTCCCTTGATTCCCTAATCCTCATCGCCCGACAGCAGGGCCAGGTCCACGGGTGGGACACGCGCATGAAGCAACTCGCTTTCACGGCAGTAATTCCCCCGCAGCTCGGCGCGCCATCGTGTCTCTCTACGAACAACAGCTTTTTAGTGGCCGGCACTTTTGGTGGGTGCGGAGTCTTGTTCGATTTGAGATTTCTCGCGGCCGTGCGTAAGTGGAAGGTCTCAACTTCCGCGCCAATTATGGACTGCAAGATCATGCAGACAAACAGAAACTCCGGTAATAGTTCGAACACGCTAGAAGTGGTCACGGCGCTCGGCGGCGAGGGGAACGAGGTTGCGGTGTTTGACTTCATACGAGGTTCAACATTGCAGTTCTTCGAATCAAAATCCAGTTCGGGCAGGCCGGTGTCGTTACCGCAATTACTGGAGTGCAAGCTAGAACAACCCGCAAATTACAGCGGTACGACAACTTCTAGAGACTCCTCTCTCCACCTAGCGAAGAACATCGTGCACGCAGAACAATTTTCCTCCACTTTTGGTTCCACCACCACCTCTGTTGCGTCGACGAAAACGGGAGGGAGTAAGTCGACGTCAAAAGGCGCTGCTAATGTAGGGATTGCAAAAGTGTCTGGGTCTGGAAGATTGCAACTTGTCATGCTAAATCCGAATCATGCAGAAGTCTGTGTTGCATGACTGCCAAAAGCTGTCCCCTTTTGACCAAGTTGAGAGGGAGTTTCTCATGCAGGAAAGGCATGATAGAGACCTCAAAGAATCTGTAATGCTGGGTCTCGCATTCCAGACCTCATGGGCCATGGAAAACCTGCATCACAAATCTTGCATTCTCCCAGACCCAGACATTTTTGCAATTGATATAATGCGTGGAATTTGAATTTGCGGAATTCCATGGTGCGTTGTCTAAAGCTCATCCCCGGAACTATCCTGTTCAAAAGTATCGTACCCGTATTGCAATCATGCATTACAAAAAAATTAGGATTAGGTAAATCCGCATTACAAATTTTATTTCTCATGCTGAAGAAATTTGTAATGCATTTATACGAGTGCGATACTTTTGCAGTTCATAGGCACAAACGGCTTGTTATTCGGTGGGACGGACGCAAGGGTCCGGTTGTGGAATTTATCCGCGAGTAACCCGAACAATTTTGACCACAACGGAGGTGGATCAACCTTTTTGTCCAGTGGTGGCCACGACAGCTCGAATACCCTCGTCCAAATGCTCATCGGGGGGAGGAGAGATGGAGGTGGAGCGTCGTCGAATTACGGCCCGAATCTGCAGCTCTCCGATGTGACTACTGGTGGACATCAGCAAAGCGGGCAGGGGCAGAGTGGTGGGTCGTTGTCTGCGGCACAGCAGCAGCTGCAGCAGAATAGTATTGGCGGTTCTTTCGCATCAGCTTTCAACAGGAACTCCACGCGGTACAGCTGCAGTCGACTGGGCGAGAAAACGATTGTGGTTTGCGAGGAAGAACCAATGGCTACGCAGCAGCAGGGCGCAAGTACTGCGGGTGGAAGATCTTTTGGAAGCAGTGGAACTACTACATCAGGCGGAAACAACAATACAGGTTCGAACACTGCAGCTGCGACTGGGCAGCAAGACAACGTGTCGGGGGGTGGAGGTTCTACTTTGTCGGACATTATTAACCCGAACGAGTTGCTGCGGCCGGGACCAAGGGAGCCAAATCCGAACCACCGGGACGCGATTCTGGACATGAGTTTGCTGTATCGTGGGCCGAATTTCAGCACGTTGCTGGCGACTGCGGGGAGGGATGGATTGGTGAAGTTGTGGTGTTGATTGAGTGGAAGATGAGGTGTGGCGAAGATGTTCGCATACTTTAAGTAATCAATCTATACTGACTCAAACTACATGCACATATAGCAGAAGCAACTACCCCTATTACTGACTCGAGGCCTAGGCCGAGCTTGCGACATCTATCGTATACTTTTTCCCCTGCGGTCTGGCGCAACCACCTTTATCAGTTTTCTCTTGTCCTCCATAGTGTGTTCCTGCGTAATCCTGCGGCGTTGCGTGCTACAACAGGTCGTTTTTGCGCCGTGTTTCTTCGGCAAAAGAACACTCCACTTCCCACCTCGACGGAAAAGCTACCGCGGTAGCCTAACCGGGTAGGTAAGGGGGTGCGCGTCCGTGGCCACGTCGGTGGCGCAGTTGATTGCGTCGCAAATGCAGGCAGCCGCCCGACTTCGGGAGGGCAACCGGCGCGCGGCCGGGTCGGGGCCGCTGTGGCAATAAAGTGCGTAAGCGCGCGGCGTCGGCACGCGCCACCTGTGTGGAGGCCAGTTGGGGGCCGTAGTGGGTGTCTCGCGCGGCGGGTTTCGTTGGTTGTGTTTCGCGTGTGTGTTGCGCCGCGAAAGGGGCAGCGACCCGGCCCAGCGCCCGGCAGGACAAAGACGGCCAGCCGCCTTGCGCGGGGGCGCCCCCCGTGCAAGGCGGGCGGCCTTGGGCCCACGATCTGGCGCGCCGCCAGTGCCGGACACCCTTGGCACGGCGGGCGGATGTGGTTGGCCCCCGTTGCCCGCCCGCCCGCGCACCCTCCTGCCGGAGGGGCGCGCAGGCGCCCGCGCCACTGGACAGGGGCGCGGGCGGCTTATCAAATGTGCGCAAACCCGTAAGGGGGGGGGGGGGCACGCGCCGCGATCGACAAGAAGCGTGTGGCGAGCTTCGGGCGGGCTGGCTGCCGATCCGAGCGTCGGCAGGCAGCCAGGGAGGCGCGACGGAAGCGCTGGCGTGCCTGGCCATTGTGGGCGCCGGGGGGGGGGGCGGCGGGCGGCCGGGCGGCCTCTTGGGTTTTTTGACGTTTTGGCATTTTGGTCTTTTGAGGTTTTGCCCGATTGTAGTGTGCCTGTGCCCTTCTGGGTTTTGGGGTTTTGAACTTTAGCCGCCCGGCTTTCGGTGCTTTGGAACTAGCCCGCCCACGACAGCCACCGCAAGCCGGAGCCCCGGGCCGTGCGTCTGTCCCGGGTGGGCGCGTGCTTGGGTCGCGTCGCTTTTGGCCCCCGCCCGACCGAGGAGCCTTGGCCGCGAGCAGGATCGGCGTCGCGCGCGCCCCGGCCGCCCGGAGTGGCGCTGGCTCGCAGCCAAGCCCCTGCGGCCAACGAGTGCGCGAAAACGAGGAGGCCATGGGGGGCGCGCCGAGGATCGCGCGGGCACCGAAGGCATCTGGCACGCAGGCCCGGGCGACCAGCTCCAGTCAATCAGTGGCCCGGCCGCCGCGCTCGCGTGCTAGTTTGGTTGTCAGCCCGCGCGCACGGTCCCGCCAAGGCGCAGCCGCCTGCGCCCCCAGATAGCGGGGTAGATCGAACGAGAGGGCCGGGGCGCGTCGTTTCATTCTCGCCCCGCCCGCGTGGCGCCGCCGCCCGGCGTTTTTGTGCCTGCGGTGGATGGAAGGCAGGGGCCCCGCCATGTTTTCGGAGCCCCGCCCCGGATGGGTGTGGGCCTCTTGTCCCCTGCGTCGGCCCCTCCGCTGATTTTCGCAGCCCCTATTCGTGTTGGCTAGAGGCCTGCCCGCGCCCGTAGCCTATCAACCTATGGTAGGCAGCAGGCGGGCCGCGCTTCGCCCCTGGCAGGCTGCAGTCTGGTTACCAGCAGGGGCGCGGGGCGGCGCGCCGGGTGGTTCGCGCAGCCAGGCAAATTAATAGCCGTCGCCCAATCTGCCGGCCAGGCGGCCGCCCGTTGTCGGCCGGGGCAGTCGAGGCCCGCCCCGCCCGAATGCGCCCGAGCTCTTCGGCAATTGCAATGACGTGCTGAGTTAAGTAGCTGGCCCAATTGCATTCGTAGTGGTTGTGGATTGTTCCGGGCGTGAGCTCGACCTCTTCGACAAATCATTTGTTTCCTTGGGCAGGGGCCCTAGCCCAAGGACCGAAGCCATTGCTCTCTCACGCGCATAGCCCGCGCCAGCATTGATCCGTGTTCCCCAGCTACCGGAACACAGCAAAAGTCCCGCGCAAGTAGACTTTGGAGAAGTAGCCACGCACCTCGTCGACGTGTCGCTTTAATTGTCGGTCTATCTCTATTCTCTTTGAAGTTTATGGAACTTGACGCGAGTCGCTATACTTACACAAGTCTGGTATGTGTGTCCAAGAGCGATCCATCGAGCGGACAAAGCTGAGCATCTGAAAGCAGATACACCGAGCCGCACAAAAGTCGACTTTTCTTCATCGCACTCAACACAGAAAATGTGAAAGAATTGCAATTTTCCAGTCTGTCAGGTTAGGGTTAATCACGAATTTTCAGAATAAGCCCCCGCTCGCCATTCATCCTGCGGTTCATATCGAAGAATCTTTACGGCTGCGCATTGCAAAACGAAAATCACAAGTCGCAGAAAAAAATCCGTGTAGAAATTCTTTTCCATCAATAACGCGAGCTGGTAAAGAGCACCAGTGCCCCCCGTCGTACCTAAATATCCACCAAGATGGGCGAAGACAGCAAGATGTTTGGGTACCAAATTCTGTTCATGAAGGAATGGGTCGCGGATACAGACGAGAAAAAAATGGAATACCGCGACAAAATGATGGCCTGGATTAAGGAGTGCTGCATGGAGGTAATATGTACTTCACTTTATTAGACATTGCGATCTTCGAGAATCTGTCATGCATAAATTCCCTTATAGAACCTTTTTCTCATGCGATACGCCCTTCTCATCATAAACATAAATTCAATCAAGGTCGTCTACGTCGGTCCGGCCCACGCCTTCTACGAAACCGCGAAAAAATGCCCGCCGAACATGTTTGTCGGCAAGTACGAATCCCTCCAGGCAGCGAAGGACGCGATGGAAAAAATTCCGGACCGCACGGAGTACGTGAAGCGGTCGATGCGCGTCATCGAGGGCCCGGGCGATTTGTTCCAGAAGGGCCACGCCTACTGGATCGCGCAAATCGAGACCATCCACGGGGACGGATCGAAGTGGGCGAAGTACTTCCAAGCGTTCGGCGAGGCGAACACCAGCGGCTTCAACTGCAAATACCCCGACGGGAACACCAAGCCGGTGCAGCTGAATTTGAAAAATGTCAGTGGTTCCACTTTTTACGACGACAGCAAGGTGGGCACCGGGAACGCTTTTATCCCGGGCACGGAGATTACGGACGACAAGGGGTTAGTGATTATCGCCGAGTTTCCGGACTGTGAATCCGGCCTGTTAATCCACGACGCGCCGGAGTACAAGGGGTCTTTGTTGGCTTCGTTGGACATGGAGTACACGAATGAGGAGGAGTGGGAGAAGGCGGAGGTGCGGATTTTGGCCGAGGTATCCTGTACAAAAGTATCGCACTCGTACTAATTGCGGTTATGCATTACAAATCTAGATGCTAAGGGAGATCCGCATTACAAATTTAATTCGTAATGCTGCGCCAATTTGTATTGCAATGCATACTAGTTGTGCGATACTTTTGCAATGCATACGAGGTGGTGGAGAGGGATATCCGGATCTTCAAGTACGAATGAAGAAGCGGGGGATTTGAATGAAGAGAACCGCAGTGAATTTTTGAGGCTGGATTCGACGCGGTCCTGAGGGAAATAAAAGATGGCTTAGTCCCAGCCATCTCATTTAAGCGCCCCATTTCAGACATACGACGCATGCTGATTTCTGGCGTCAAAGTTGGTTATATATTTGTACGATTTACGAAGAATGCAACTACTCGCCCTGTGAAGTTTCACGATGCGACGTCATTTGCTCTCTCTGAATGAATGTAAGTATACCAGAAGAAGAAGTCGGCAGTGCCCGAAATAATTCGAAGAAAAAAAAACGCGACTTCATCATTGGGTGCGCGTTTCCAAAATCTTCAAGACTAAGACTTTTTAAATGACGAATGAAAACAGCGCATTTACTGGTCTTTAGCAAGAAACCTCAGACAAAATCGACTGACAACAAGCGGAGGTCAAAATGTTTCTGCAGCACGACCCAGTTTCTGCAGCACGAGTTTTTGCAAATGCGATCTAGCGATCATGGATATCCAATGTTACTGAGCCTGGATAACACTTCAAAGCCAAACTCATAAGTACGCCACAGAAAAAATGCCTTCGGCGCTCGCCTCTAAAATTCGAGGCCGTTATAGGCTATGCCTATGGCGAGTTCCTGTTGCTTTTTGTTCTTATCTCGCATGGAAGGACGTCAGCACTTGATGGACGTGTTTTCCACCTCCGGGAAGGAGAGCGCCGGCGTCGACTGCGCCGCTGCTGTTTCGCTGAACGCATTGGCCTACAGCTCCGGCCTCGATGGCACCTGCTTCGCGGGAAGCCGCCCGCTCGTGAATTTGTGCAGCCAGATGGCTGAGGACGCCGCGAATGTGAAAGCCGTTTACTCGACCGACCTCGCTAGCACTCCCTCGGCCCCTGCGCTTCACCCGGAACGCCCCAGCCTGCGCGGGGCTGGTTGCAATGCCCGCGCAGCGCGTGGCCTATGTCACCAATTGCCTGGCGCAGTTGTGTCAGTTTCCGGGCCCGCCCCAGAGGTGCGGCAGCAGCGGCAGAGGCGGGGCAGGGGTGTCAAGACGCCTGGCGCGGGCGACGCGCCTCCGCCGGGTGGCCATCGTAATCGATGCCAGCCGGCCGCGTCTTGTGGCCTGGGCTGCTGGCTATGGTGCAGACGTGCAAGTGGCCCCGACAGTTTGGCGTGCCCCAACACTGCCGAAGCTTGTGCCATTTTTTTTTTGGTTTTTGCCTGTGTGCCGCGCGCCAACCAGGCGGGCGCGGGGGGCGGAATGAAAAGCGCAGCGCGGGCCCGTCGGCCCGCCCCCTTGATTGTGGCCGGGCCCGTGCGCGTTACTCAGGCGCGGCAGATCTGCCCCGGGAGGAAGCGGGCGCCGACGTGGCGGGCCGCAGTAGCAGGCGAAGGCCCGCGCGCACAGGCGCCCGCTGAGCACCGGCGCCCGTTGTGCGACCTTTCCCCGCCGGAAAAGCGCCAAGGCCAAGGCCAAAGCCGCGCGCCCCGCCCCTGCCTGCCTGCCTGCCTGCGTTCGCCGCCCGGCAAGAAAATGGGCGGCGGGCGGGGGTAGCCTCTCGAGGGTGGCGGCCCGCCCGCCTCCGCGCTGGGCCGGGCCGGCGCGCGCCCGTCCGACCGTGTCTCGGCCCGCCCCCAATCTGCGCGCGCCCCCCGCGCGCCGGGTGTTGGGTATTCTCTGGCTGCTCCCGGCCGCCCTCCGTATGTCGCTCGCACGCATGCCCCGGCGGGCCGGTACGCGTCGGGGTTGCCGGGCGCATTGGGGCGCTTTTGTCATTGGCTTTGCAGCCCTAGCCCTTGGACCTCGGTCTGACTGCAGGGCGGGCCTCGTTGGGTTGCGCCGTCTGCTTCCGCGCCCGGGCTAGATATTCTCTGTCTTGGCCTGGGCAGCCTCTTGTGCCTGTGCGACCGAGTGAGGGAGCCAGCGTCCCGTCCGGCCGTCGCGCGCCAAAGTTGTTAGTTTGTTTGGGGGGCCTGCCAATAAATATGTTTTGGTTTGCTTGTGCAAGCCACCCTCAACAGAGTTTTTCTCTCAGGCCGAGCCGGCTTGGTCGGTCAGCCGCCTCTTCGCCGGGCCGATCGAACCCAGCCACTCATCGCTCCGTCCCTCCGTCATGAGGACTGTTCGTCAGTATTTGTTCGTGACCGCGCGTCCGATGAAGGGCCGATGGCGAGTAGCGACGAACAGCTATTGTCGCGCCGGCAATTTTTTTTTGTATTTTCTCAGCTGCGCAGTACTACATCCATACAGTCGCAGTACTAAATCCATACAACAAATGCATAGTGCAACATGGGTTAGAAGGGCATCAAATTCCCTAATCCTCATCAATCCAGCGCAGCAACTTGAAGTAGTATCTTGCGTCTCCTTGCTTGGTAGAGTTCCACCTGCAGTATCCCAGCAGACTCTCTGCGGCCCCGGGCTCATTCTTTCTATTCACGAGCGATTCTATGTTTCTTGAGTAAGAAAAGAACACCACATAGTTTCTATTATCCTGCAGTAATCGAAAAACCAAAATGGCAATCGACGCCCAACTACATCAAGCGACCGCGCACGCCGAGTGCAGCACGACCAGCAGTGCAGACTCAGCAGTAGACGACAAGACCCAAATAGAATCCGATTCCCCAGCATTTCGCTCCATGGCCGAGGTTCTAAACGACCAGCCCGACCACGAAAGCCTCACATGGACGGGAGAGGAGGGGGAAATTCTCAACGAGTTACTGCAGAAAGACACCTTCTTGCGAAAATGCGGCCAAAACTTGCCAAAGGAGAAGGCGGAGTTTATCGAAGCACAAGCGAGGAAAAATATGAACAGTGCTGAGGCTGCTGGCGCCAACGCAACATCTTCTCCTGCTTTTGACTACCTGACCATTCGGAAAATTATCGAAGGGCTGGAGGCGCCGCATTTAAAACCAGAGCCGAGCTGGTTGGAAGAAGCGAAAAGTCCAAACTGTTGGACCGTGTTTACGCTGCTCGGGCATTACAAGAACGGTGGATCTTTTTGAACGGATTGTAAGTCGAGGAGTTGTGGCCCTGCAGAAGAAGAAGAGCGCCGCGGCTTCCTTTCAATTCTTGTTGCGCACGAAGCGAATTTCAATTCCGACTTTGGAATCATGAGAGCCGCGAAGACCTGTGGAAACAAATCGAGATATTTCCACGCGAAAGCGAACAACTTGGATGCATTGATTACGCAGTTCACTCTTGAGGACTTCAACGCCACACTTCACAACAAGGATTGCTCATCATAATTTCATCTATTATTGCCACGCAACGAGTTTCAAAGATAACGAATTAAAAGCCGAGACGACGCTAAAGCGACGGTAAACACTTTCAGTGTTGTGCCTTGTCTCCCGTCGTGTCACAAAACGTATTTTTGATGTGTTCACATGTAGACGCGGATCTTCTTCATCCGATAGCACAGTGGGACTAGGAACAATGACAGAACAAGTATCTTCGCTCTGGGGGAAAGAACTACAAAGACGTAACTCTGTTGAGTGTGGTGTTGAGAATAAATGACTGCGGAAATATAGTCCCCCTGTCTGGTGATTGAGGTGCTGGGGTAGAAAAAAGGCACGGTATGTTTTGAGTATTCATGAGAGAACAAGAAGTGGGACATAAGTGATAGAAAGTTCAACTTGACTCAAAACAGGAATGCATTCTACTCAAAGTTGTGTCTGTCGTATTTGAGTGTGTAGGATTTGAAGTCGCGAAGTAGAAACAACTCACGCACGCATGGTGGGAGCAGTGTGTAAGTATTCATCATCATCTCAAAGTCGTGGAAAAGCAATTTTCGAAAAATAAACTGCATTCTCATCCATTCTGTTCGCCCAACAAAAAAATCATAGGATGTCGCATGCCAGATGTCGTGAGTAGAGTACCAAGTAAAGTAGATGAATGAAAGATACGTAGTAGTAACTGGAAGCGTCGTGCTGAGCACAAAGAATGCACACAGAAACGGAAAAAAATCGGTCACAGATGATGAAGAAAGTCCGTCGCGTGAACATACCGTCGTGAGAACTGGAAATAAGTGAATACAGACTACCGTGAAGAAGTCGCTGTGAGTATGCAACTGTACACTAGTCGAACTGGATAATTCATTCCATGTGCAGAGGCAAGAAGTACAACGAACACAAAAACATCTTCCAACAGCTCTCTTCGTAAAAAGTCTTCGTGCTTCCACCGCAATTTATCGTTTTTACAACTGAAAACAGGAACCACAGCACGGCCAAAGAAGTACATCGCTTCTTTCTCCCAGAAGCTCCACATTGGTAGTCTTGATATCTCGATTTTCAACCACTGAGAATTGGGTGTGAAGACTACCAAGAACTAGCCCGGTAATATTTTCAGCAAAATTACAACATTTCCGTAGATTCATTGTCCTATTTCGAAGTACTAATTTTTCTACGGTAAAAATTGTGGTTTTGTACGATTATAGTTTTCGGCTAGTCTCAGTTGAATCGAGTACGAAGTGTTTGAGTTGTTTTTCTTGTTCTAGCATAGTACAGGTGCATAACCTCTATACGACAAAATTATCCTAGATATGGTTTCAGTTTTTTAACTTTTCGCATAGTCTATTTATTTTATAGCGCTAGCTTTATCGCTATTCCCATGTAAGATTTTATTCAGTTTTATATATTTTGCATAGGATTTAGTAAAATTCTGTGTAGATCTTTTATCTTTTGCGCATCAGAGATTTGCATAATTTAGGATTCAAAAAAATGAACGAAGTTCGTCCTATGTAGAGATATTTGATAAATGATTTCTATGCCTGGTATTTAGCATATTTCAAGAAGTCTCTATTTACCAAGTAAGTGCATAAGAATGAACACTACCAAGTTTCACCACTACTACTGCTACGTAAAAGATTCGCTATGTAATGTTGTTGGTGAGGAGCTTTACCACGACCTCCGAATCGTAGAAACTACACTGCTCCCGGGAACGAACGGAACCAGAGCTGCTGCCATTGCGTAAGAACTTCTGCGGGATAATTTGCCTCGATACCTTGTCCAGATGAAACCAGGTTCCAACCCGATGAAGACCGACATGGCAGCGCCGCGGCGCTTCTCGACGCAGGAGGTCTCTTCACGACGAATACCTGTGAAGGCCGTGTTGTACCACCTCCTTCATCTCTGGTCCTTCTCTTTCACCGGTGCTACCTCTTCAACCGTCGACACGTCCACCACAACCCCCAATCCGCAACCAACCTCGGGTCCCTGCGACGCGTATCAAATGCAAAAATGTCTGGGTCTGGGAGATTGCGAGATTTGTCATGTTTGTCTGGTATGACTCTGAACTCTGTGTTGCATGGCCGCGAAGAGCTCCCCCTCCCTGTCATGCAAAAACGCAGTTTCTCATGCGGAGTACGCAACTCAGAACCATGGAAAAAACTTGTCATGCTTGGCAGCGCATTATAGTGACTTTACTACTCCCTTTTTTGCATCACAAGTTTCCAAACCCAGACATTTTTGCATTTGATAACGCGGCCACCGCAGCGAAATGCGGCTCTTTCGACATCTACCACAGCTGTAACTATGTGGATCCTTCTGTGTATGGACAAAACAACAACCACCCGGGCTACCAGTGCAACTGCAAACACCCGGCGTGGACGTTTGACACGTATGGGACTGGGGGGTGTAAACAGAACTTCCAGAACATCCCGCATCGACGGCTCCCGCAGGCGTATTTACCAAGACCGAGTCAAACCTACACGATGGATGAAAACGGGATATGGACACGAAAGTTTGTCACAGTCACTATTTTGCAAGTTTTGCATCAGAAATTTTCTAGCATCACAACTTTTATCGTGTATTGCGGAAATAACACAAGGCGAATCGCATATGAAATTTGACTGTGATGCATGTTGATGCATGACAGGCGGCCTTTGTATTGCGAAACTGCGCATGAGTGATCGTGACCAACTTTTTTTGTTTGATACGGGAAGATTTTGCTGCAGTCCCAGCAGGTGAGCAGTATCGTGAGGAAAAACTGTTTCACTGTGATACTTTTGCAAGTTTTGCATCACAAGTTTGCTATGCATGACATAGAAAATTTGCCATGCGCCCTCCCTAACAGAAAGCACACTTAGATTATATCCCATGTCTTGCAGGTCGTGTAGCAAGACAAATAGATCTGTGTCCCAGCCTATGCATCACAAGTTCACAGTGAAGCAGTTTTTTCTTGCGACAAGCAGCACGGCGGAGCTGATGCCGACGGATCCGGAGCCGTGGATCATCCAGAATGACATCAGCACGGTGCCGGATGTATGAATTGCAATAAAGGTATCGTACTACTATAAATTGCATTACAAATTAGCCCAGCATTACAAATTTAATTTGTAATGCTGATTTACCTCGAGAACGAGATTTGTAATGCATGATTACAATACGAGTAGGAGTACGATACTTTTGCACAGGATAGGATGCTTACGCAGAGGTGTCGTTGCTGCGGAAGGCGGTCTATGCATTGCAAGTATGTCTGGGTCTGGAAGGATATAACTTGTGCTGCTGCATTTGGATACTACGAAAATCTGTATTGCATGAACAGCTAAAGAGGTGAAGTGTTTGCCACGGCGAGAGGGTTTTTCTAATGCGGTATAGGCATCAGGAAGATCTCGCAAAATCTGTGATGCTAGGGCATGCATCACAGACGTCAGGAGTCATGCAAAATGTGCATGACAAACCTTGCTTCCTCTCACAACCAGACATGTTTGCATTTGATACGGTCCTGGAATTCGCGATCACATCCGACGACATGAAGTTCAACTGTGCGGTATCCTGAGTAAAAACGTACCCACACCAGAGTCAAGATGTGGATTTTGCAACACAAACCTAGGAGTTTTGGGAGTCACGCATGACAAGTTTCAGTCCGTAAGGTAGTGCAAGTTAGCAAGGAAAGCCGCATCACAAATCGATCTGCTGATCCTGTTTACAGCATTACAAGTTCCCAAACACGATTGGAAATGCCTGTCATGGGGTTGCGCATCACAAATGTTCCTGTCATGGCAAATCTGCATGACAACTCTGGTGTGGGGACGTTTTTACTCAGGATATGCGGCGTTGGAATTAGGCGATTACGGGAAGATCATGCTGATGATAAAAAGGATAAAGTCCCAATCGAGTAACAACCAGTCAAGACTACGGAGTTTGTTCACGAACGAAAATCAGCCGGAAACACTTGAGGAAGAAGAGGAACGGAGGATGCTGAAACAGGAAAAAGCCGCGCTGAAGAGAATACAAAGCGGAACTAGTCCAGAAACGTATGACGAGGATGTTGCGCTTGTAGAGAGGGCAAGAAACCGGCAGTTGTCGCTTGCGCAGGGAGCTGGTGCTGGTGGTGATACGACTACTGGCACAAATCAACCCGGTGCTGGTCCACACCGTTCTTACCCCGGGACCGAGCAAAATCAGATCCAGCTTGACTGCGCGCAATTGTCCGGCGTCTGGGACAGCTATGGCGACGTAACCTATCTCAGCCTCCAACTATCTCAATTTTTTTTGCCTCAGCTTCGAATAGCTGTATGAGGAAGGTGCTCTCTCTAGCATCGGATCTGCATGCATATAATGCGCAGAGTCTTTGCGCGACAGACTAGCTGCATGAAGCAAACACGTCTGGTCCTGCTGCGTCGACCTGTTGCCCTCCGTTTTCATTGTCTTTCGGCCATCGACCTGTGACCTCTTCTTGGACCCTCTTCCCAGGCCCTGAGGAAGCCTTCAAAAGTGCGCACTTTTTTGGCGAGCCATGCCATCGGTGGAAGGTGATTACTGCCATGCCCCTTCGGTATACCCCTTGCGGGCGACGCCCTTTATTCCGGAGCCCCCCTTCAAGCAAAGCACCCCCCGGACAGGACAGGGGGTGCTTGGCCTTGTCTTTTTGTCTTGATTGTTCGATGGAGCAGTTGACCCGACAACTTTTGTGAATGCAGCTGATTTGCCCGGCAACGGATAATAAAACCACTCAGCTTCATGTCTTTGCCAGATAAAGTAGCTTCCCGAAGTATCCGCACTTAGTTGAAGTAAAAACTCGTTTGAGATAGTATCCGGCGTCTGGGACAGCAGGACTGCATCGGGTACCGGATTTGCATTTGTGGTGCATGGCTGCAAGAATTACGTACGAGTATCAGATACAACTTTTGCAGTGGAAATTCATCCTCTTTCAGTTCGTCCTTGTGGCAAATCAGGTCGAAAGTTCTCCCGGTAGCATCCCTGACCGTCGCGAAGACAACCGTGTCGGGGCTGTTTGGGTCGAGGGTAGTTGTACTGGCGTTCGTGTTCGTATTCCCCCCGTGGTCTTGATGCTGTGACGATCCTGATCCAGCTGTCGCTGTATGAAGATTATTTTCCTGCTGCTGGCGTTGTAGGCTACTGGTCCTCGAGGTAAGATCTGGTTGTCGAGGCATTTTCGTTAAAATCTCGCTCATTTCTTCCTCGTCAATGTCCACGAACATGTGGTCTTCAGCAAGCGGTGGAAGGACGACGGGTCTCGAGCAAGCGGTTCAGCCCAGTCTTGAAGTTTTCCGGTTTGTTGTCGGAGATCAAAACTTCGCTCGGGAAGATTTTGTTGAGAATCGTGTAACTGTCAGTGGTTTTGTTGTATTCCTCGACCTTCATCCCCCGGACGGTTCCCAGCTCCGCGTACTCTTCCTCGATAGCCTGTTTTCCGATGACAAAGCTGGCATACGCAGTGCCGAAGGGCAGGCGGGGGACGGGTCGTCTGCGGCGCGGTGGAGGTGCGGGACGTGGAGGTTGTTCTTGCCTCTCGTCGTCCTGCTTGTCTCATGCATTGCAAATATCGTACTCGTCGTATAAAATGCATTGCAAATTTTTATTTTGCCAGCATGAGAAATAAAATCTGTCACAAGTTGAAGTAAAAACGTTTTGAGACTGCGCGCAATTATCCGGCGTCTGGGACAGCAGGACTGGACATGCGCGCAATTATCCGCCTCGTCCTGATGCGACAGCAGGAGATGCAGCGTCACAAGTTCGGATTCTTCCAGACATCCAGGGATTTTTACATTTGGTAAGTTTCCGACGCGGTCGAACAGGGGTTGCTTATCGGATTTGTCGTTTTCGTGCAGGACATGCTTCTCTGGTTCGCCTGCATGTTGATGTGCATCGTCAGCTCCACCACTCCGTACATCAATCCCATTTTTGTATTTTTCCCGCGCTGTTCTTGTACTACCTGCCAAAGAGGACGTTATCGTTTTCTTCACTGACGCCTTTACTTTGTTCTTCTGAAGCAAGGTGGTTGTACTCCTGCGACCACCATTTTTGTTTTTCCGGAAGCGCCTCTCCGGCGGAGAAATAAAAGAAGCACTTTGCGACGCGCCTTTCTCTCGTCGTCCATGATGTCGTGTGGAAGTTGTACTCACCGGTCGAATCAAAGCTGCTGCACTACTCCGCGCGGTCGTCTTCCGGAAAGTAGATGACGAAAATCCACTCTCTGTTTTCCCGGCGATAGAGGTCGTCCTCTTGGTTGTACACAAATCAGACCGGTCTTGCAGTAGAGGACTGCAGGCCCATATCGTGCCGGAGTCGAGGGGCTTCGGCGGGCCTGGGCACTTAGCATGAAGAACGTCTATCTATGCCGTAGGCCCGAGAGCATTACAAACCGCCTGCACAATGGGGCGGAGCCTGCCCTCTGGCGTTGCTTTCCTGCATCACAGATGCGATTTGTGGTCACAAATCAGCAGGACAAAGTTTCTGAGGCGTGCCTTTATCGATATGGGCAGGGGGGATTTTTCCTTACGATACAGGAACCCCTGTTTCTTTTCGCCTTCTTCCCCACACAACCCCGTCTCGGAATACTCCCGCCACCCCTTCCCCCGGTTGCGCAGCAGACAGGGCCGGGCCCTGCAGCGAAGCGAGAGAATGGCTTTCTTGCTGCTACTAGTTGTAGCACTTCTTAGGGAGAAAAACCGGGGGGACCGTGGTGAATCTTTAAAATTTTTCCGGCCTTCTCATCCGCCCCGGGCCAATCCTCATTGCGGCCTACCTTCCTGCTTTCCGGGCTGGCAACTTGCCCTCCAGATATTGCAGAGCGGCCATGGTGCTCTTTGCGCCATCCCCCTTCGCCCCTCTCGCCTTCAGCAGGTTGGGCACCCATCCTAGCAACGGCCGAGGGCACCTCCGCAACCCGTCTTCTTTGTGCCTATGGAGGCGGCACGCGCCGCGATCGCAGCGCCGGGGCGCAAGTTATGCCGCATCCCCCAGCTCAGCTTTTCACAAAATGCCTGGAGTGGCCGCCAAGCTTTCCACGCCCGCGGCTAAGGGTTGACGGGCGCGCGCGAGTCCATTGGTGGCCCCCGGGGCAAGGAGCGCGAAGTGCCCGGCAGCCAGTGGCCGTCCGCCACGGGAGCAGCTGGTGGCGAAGAAAATGCCGTCAAGGGTGGCCCCAACACATGTCGCCATGGCGCGGGGCCCTCTGGGGGCCCGGCGGCGACTTTGCTTGAAGGGACTGCCGAAAGGGTCCGACCTGGGACATTTCTGGGGCCAAATAATTTTTCCAGATTTTTCCCAGATTTGAACCCGATGCGGCCAGATTTACAGCGGTGCGACGTGAAAGATTTTCGCCAGATTTTGCCCAGATTGGCCCCCCGGATGGGGGCAAATCTGGGGCCCGATCTGGCCCAAATCTGGAAGCCGCACACTTTCGCCAGATTTGACCCCGAAGCGGCCGGAATTACAGCGGTGCGAGGTGAAAGATTTGCGCCAGATTAGTCCCAGACCCGGCCGACACATTCCGGCGTGGCCTCTGCCGGGTTCTCGCAGGTTGGCCCGGGTTGCGCCGCCCGGGCCAGTCTGGGAGGACTCGGCGTCGGCGACGAACTGGCCGCCCGCCTCAAGGAAGCGCGCGCGAGCGGAAGCGCGAAGTGGTGCGTCGCTCTCTCCCGCCGAGCTCCTCCCCGGCCACTCGGCCCGCTCCTCCGCTTCCAAATCAAGTAGTCGCATGTGGGGCCCGGTGGCGAGGTGGCCAGACCGGGGCCCTCCATTCATTCGCCACCAGTCCCCGACGCTCCCTATTACGGACCACACGCGCCGCCAGACAGCGAGGGCGCAGGGCGCACGCGGTGCGAAGCTGTGAGGCCCCGCATATTGCAAGAGCTTGCGCAGTCTGATCGGCCGGCCGGATGAGAGCGCCAGAAAAATTTTATAGATTCACCACGGTCCCCCCGGTTTTCCTCCCTAAACTTCTGGCGCAATTATCCGGCGTCTGGGACAGCAGGACCAACCCTCCACCAACCTCTCCACCAACCTCTCCACCAACCTCTCCACCAACCTCTCCACCAACCCCTCCACCAACCACATGAGAAACCAACCCTCCACCAACTAAACTACCAGCAAACTACAGAAAAAATGCCTACCTCCAGCGCCCTTTCATTGGTCCACTTTTTCTCCCTGACTCTCTCCATCAAAAGAGAGAATTTCCGCATGGCCATGTGCCGCGCACTCAAGTAGTTATTCGCGGCGTGGAACCACCTGGGTTGCTTCTTCTGCGCTGCGGTCGGCGTCGGTTGCTTCTGGTTCATATTGACCGTGACTGCAGTGGGTTGGGATTTTGGCGGAGCATTCGCATTCGCTCCTGCTGCTAGCCCCAGTTGCTGCTGCTGCTGCGACTGTGTTTTCGCAGCATTGGGTGGCAACACCGTATTTGCCATCGGATCTGGACCACCGGCAGAGGCGCCGGTGCGCAAATCGATCGGCGCCATGGTCGGAAGAGGTCGTGGGGAAGAAGATGTTGCACTCAGGTGAGCACGCGGAAATTTGTCCACACGACGTGCTGGTTGCAATTGAAACAGGGGCACGACAAGGACCAGAAACCACCTCCACCGCACGCGAAGCACTCACATCTTATTTATCTATCTACCAGCTGTTAATAATAACAGGTGCATCCTGCGAGTGCAGCGCTCCCGAAATTTCAGAGATTTCAGTTTTCATCAGTGAAGCTAGTGCTAGCGCTAGGACTACTGGGTCGTCATGATTTTTACCGCTGTTTCGTCCTTGTCGCTCCTCTCCTCTCTCTTTTATTTTCACCTGGGACCACCACGCTCCTGCCGAGCTTCTGGAGAAATAAGGGAACGTGCTGATATTACAGCGAGCACCAGCACCGCTTCACCGCTTACAGCGATTGCAGAAGCGGCCTGACGCACTATATAAGAGCGCTCAAACCTGAAAAACTCCACTTCAGCTGGTCAACAGCTGTATGATCTATGTGTAAGGACGACGTGGCGCAATTATCCGGCGTCTGGGACAGCAGGACTGAGATAGGTTACGTCGCCATAACAGCAGTGATTGGACGGAACAGGAGTTAGTCTTCACACAGCACGAGAACACGTGTTTCGCGGTGCACAAGAATCAAGTCCGCTTCATTCGGATTATGCATTGCAAATATCGGTCTGGGTCTGGATGGAAAGTTACAAAAAACTTGTGATGCGTATTCCAGACCAGACAAAAATCTGTCATGCTCGGACCGCAAAAGTTGCGCATTTCTTGTCACGACCCAAAGAGCGTTAATTTGTCATGTGGATAGGCGTATATTGCGAATCTTTCTCAAAACCGTTGATGCTAGGCCTTGGTGCATGTCAGACCTTCTGTGTGATGCAAAAAAAGCATCACACTCTTGTTCAAGACCCAGACTACATATTTGCAATGTATACGGATGGACTACCGGCAAGGGTTTAACAACGTGACGCTTTCCCAAATGTACTATCGAAAGGAAAAACCCCCCCTCCCCAACATACTCAAACTGGAAATTTCTGATGCTGATTTGTGACCGCAAGGACGTTGTCATGCTAGAAGGCAAAAGATGCGAACTGTAGAGTAGGCGTGGGCCTGCGGGCCTAAATTCCGGTGGGTTGGTCGGTTGGTTGGTTGGTTTTGGACAGACGACATTTGACCGAATTTACGAAGTATGGGGACACGCCTTCCGGGTAGGGGCGCAGGACGTGTTGCAGCTGCAGGCAGTTGTCCTTCTACAGTCTGTCTAAAGTTTGTCTAAAGTTGCAACATAGGCAAAATCGCACACGATTTTGCAAATTTGCAACTTTAGACTTCATTTTAGAAGAAGTGTCAAAGCCGAAAATTACCATGTCGACGTCAGTTGCGGCAGCTGCGAGGAGCAACTGACGATCAGGTAGAGAGCCAAGAACATGTTCATGATCAGGCTCATGAACATGTTCTTCCCTGGACCAAGCACATTCATCTTCATCATCATACAGCCATGATGAAGGTGTCGGCTTATTACACGTTCGTTCCCGACGAACAAAATCTATCGCGGCTTGCATCATGGGCAGGCATGGCCGTGCTTGGCGCCGATCAAGAAAAAAAGCACACAACTTGAACAGGAAAAATCTTGCGCCAAAGGACGGAAGATTTTTGCCTGTACAGAACTCCCTGCCCCATTGCTCGCAGAATACGACCAGCAAGAACAACTGCAACCCTAGAGATTGAGACCAAGATCCCCGACATCAAAACCCAAACGAA